AAAACTAAGGATAGATCTCTTAAGCTAATAGTAGAACTTAATTAACTTTTAGTAATTAACTAAGAAATACCTAAAGAGTTATAAACTAAGATTATTAAATAATACTACGATAACCCTATATATAGACACCTAGGTATTACAAAAATAATAGAACTTATATAACGAAATTACATATTTAGAGGAATAAAAGAAGCTATAACTAGTTATATCTAAAAATATATAGAATACTAAAGGAATAAATATAGTATATATCTTAAGTATAGAGACATATAACTAATTAGTACTAATAGTATCTTTTAAAGACATTACTATAGACTTTATTATAGAAATACTAGACTTAATTAACCTAGCCACAAAAACCTTATATAATAGCATTTTAGTAATTATATATTACTTTATAAGCTACGTTAAATTAATTCTATATCTAAAGAATATAATAGCTAAAGAGCTAGCTTACCTTTTTTAAAATAAGTAGGTTAGACACTATAGTATTCTAAAGATAATTATTAGTAATAGAAATAAGCTCTTTACATTAAACTTTTAGATAATATTTACGGCACTTATTAGAATAAAATAAAAACTATCTATAGCATATTATCTATAGATAGATAAAAAAATAGAAAGAATAAATTAAACTATAAAAATATATCTATAAATATACTATAATAAATAAAAAAATAACTAAGTTTTACTATTATCTATAGCATAATTAGCATATAATAATAAAGTATTAATAGTAATAAGGTAAACACCTTATTACACTATATATAGAAAATATCTAAATCTCTTTAACTAATAACTACTAACGAATATTAACGCAAAGGAAGCCATAGATATAGTAGATAATATAAAAAAATATATAATAAACTCTAAGAAAACCTTAAGAAAGCTTAATAGCAAAGTATTTTATATATAAACTAGAAATAAAAAATAGCACCTTAGCTAAAGAAGGGGATAAAGTATATCTACTTATAAAGAATCTTTAAACCTAGAAGAAAAAATATAAAAAACTAGACTATATTAAGGTTAGACTATTTTATGTTTCTAAATAAATATTACTAGTAAACTATAGATTAGAATTACTACTAAATATAAAAATACACCTAGTATTCTATATATTACTATTAGAACTAGTAGATCCTAAGACACTAGTTAAAACTACCTTCTATTATAGAGCTAAAGAAGAAACTAAATTTAAAGTTAAAAGTATTATATATATAAGAACCTATAAAGGAATCTAATAGTACCTTATTAAGTAGAAAGAATACCTAAATAGTAAAAATACTTAGGAACTAAGAAGTAATCTAGATAACTATTAATAAAAGGTTAAGAAATATAAGTAAAACCTTTAGAACCCTATTATATAATAAAGAATATAAGAACGTACCTAGCCACTAGATATAGAAGAAATATTTTCCTAGAAATTAGAAGGAAGATTATCTATTACTAACTAGATAGAGGGACAAAGCTCTATAGGACTAGTAGGCTAAGTAGGCTAAATAGAATTTTTATCTAACTCTACTAATACTATACTTTTTACTATAATAACTTTACTAGTATGCTTCTTATTCTATAATAACTACTTCTTTAACTAATCCTCTTTCGCTTAAGCCGCATATATAGTTTTAAAAGTAGTATTCTACTCCTTTTATACTTTATCTAATTACGCTTCTAACTTCTTCTTCTTAGTAACTAACTATAAGAATTTATTCTAAGTAATAGTAATATTACACTTTAAATCTTACTTCTAATACTTACTATACTTTCCTAAACTAATATGGACCTTATAAACATAGGCGTATAACTAATAAAATAAATATTTTAACACTATAATAATACTATAGTTTTTAATAGTAAAAATAAGATTATAGCGACGCTTTATAGAATAATAGTTAGTAGGTATAATTCTTTAGGGCGAAGAATAAGGAGGGAAGGAATAATATTATAAACTAGATAATAGTAGGGAAGTTTAGGCGCTTATAAAGGTAGAAGATATAATAACTAGAACTATAATAAGATAGAGATATACTAAGTTACTTAGATAGTAGTTATATAACTTACTTAGTTATTTAGGGCTCCTAAGTAACTAAGTAGGATCCCTATATAGAAATATAAGAATAAACCTTTATACTTATATTTAACCTAAGTTTTAATCTATTATTTAGATTTACTTAGGCTCTCCTTATTAACTTATTATACTTTGTAAGATACTTCTATATTAATAAGAACCCCTTTCTCCTCCCCTCTATAAGTCTTGCCTAAGAACTAACCCTAACCTATTTAGGATTAGCTACCCTTTCTAGATTTAATATATTAGTCTTCTTATATAATTATTACCTCGCCCCCTAGAAGTAAGGTTAGAATATTCTCTTACCCTTTATTATTTATTTATCCTTATCTACTAAATACCTATAAGGCCGGCCTAGGTTAGATACGTAGAAACCCCTTATAAAATTAGACTAGAATTAGGTATAATATAATATAGAATACTTTCTATAGTATACTAGATATAGGAGGTTTCTATAATTATATTAGCTCTAAGGATTTTATTATATAAATAGAGTTAATAGGAGTAGGAGTTAGAAGGTATTATAGCTACCTACTAGGTTAATAGATATAGGGCTTATACTTATATAATAGTAATTAAGAAGTATATAATTTAAGGATAAATCTATAAAGAAAGGGGATAATATTAGGATCTAGACCTAAGTAATAGTTAGGACCTTATTTTATATTATAATAAAACTTACTATTAGCTTATCTAGATAGAGTATACGTTAACTATACTACTAGGTACTAATAAGACGTTATATAACTAATAGTTAATAAGTAATAGTTAATAAGTAATAGTTAGCTATTATGTAACTAAGTATATAGAAGTATAAGAATAAAGTTCTTATACTTATATTTAACCTATTTCTTAATCTATTATTTAGATTTACTTAGGCCTCCCTTATTAACTTATTATACTTTATAAAATATCTCTATATTAATAAGAACCCTTTCTCCTTCCCTTAGTAAGTCTTACCTAAGAACTAACCTTAACCTATTTAGAATTAGCTACCCTCTCTAAATTTAATAAAAGGGGCCTCTAGAGTATACTTAAGAACCTAAGCTACTACCTAGAACCTATATAGATATATATTAATAGTACTTTAGTTATATAGTATTTATAAGATAATTCTACTCTCTCTTCTTAATAGGTCTTTTTATACTACTAGAAGTCTATAAATACTCTTAATATTAAAATTAAATAGTCCTCTAGATATATAAATATAAATAGTAATAAATTAGTAGACTAGATAGTAGACTAGGTAGCTAAGACTATAATTTTACCTAATAGTATAGCTACTAAGTCTACTATCTTAGGTATCTAATCTAATAAATAATAGATTAGTGTAGTAGTAGCTATTTACTAGTAAAGTAAATACTACTCTAAACTCTTACTCTAGTACTAATAATAGGGTTTTAATTATAACCTTAATAGGCTACCCCTAATACTCTTACTAGCGTACCTAGTATTAGCTAGGGTCCTAGCTATATAAACCTAATATAGTAACTTTACTTAGTATTACTATAAATTCTAATATAAAGATACTATACTTTTTTACTTATATAGTATAGACTACTCTCCTAACTATATTATTTACTATCTAAAGATAGTAAAATACCTTAAATACTAACTTAGTTAACCTATATACCTACTTATAAGTATATATAAGGGGCTAGAATACCTAAGATTATTTAATATAAAGGAAATAGTAATTCTCCTCTTCTTATAAAATAGGGAGGATAATATTACTATATAGCTAGATTTTTTCTATATAGGTAGAGTATTACCTCTTATAGGCTAGGCTTATTACTAGTACTATATATACCTTAAATAGAATTTTTAATATATATTTAGACTTTTACTCTAGGGCTTAGTTTATTAGGTAGAATTAGGGTCTACTCTATATATCCTTTACCTACTAAATACTATTATAATTATACTAGTATAACTAGGGGCTTCTATACCCTAGCCTATACTAGGTATTTTAATAAGGGGGACTACTATTATAGAGTAGTATTTTATTCTATCTTTCTATTAAATCTAGAAAGGGTAGCTAGTCCTAAATAGGTTAAGATTAGTTCTTAGGTAAGACTTACTAAGGGAAGGAGAGAAGGGGTTCTTATTAATATAGAAGTATCTTATAAAGTATAATAAGTTAATAAGGAGGGGCCTAAGTAAATCTAAATAATAGATTAAAACTTAGGTTAAATATAAGTATAAGGTCTTTATACTTATACTCCTATATACTTAGCTTAGGTAGTAGTTAACTATTACTTATTAACTATTACTTATTAAATATCTAATAGTTAACTATTACTTATTAACTATTAGTTACGTAATATCTTTCTTAGCGCCTAGTAGTATAGTTAAAACGTATACTCTACCTAGGTAAGCTAATAGTAAGCATTACTAGAATATAAAATAAGGTCCTAACCCTTACTTAGGTCTAGATTCTAACACTTTCTCTCTATATACTCTCTTTACTCTTTTTACTTTTAATACTCTCTTTATACTTTATTTCTTTTAAAAAGTATCTATTTATATTTACTATACTACTTTAAGCTTAGTACTTACGCTAAAAGGCTTAGTACTAGATATTATAGTTTTAGGGTAGTCTAAAGACTACCCCTAAAGACCCCCTAGAAAACTACTATATATATATATATAAGAACCTATAGGCCTATAAACTACTACCTAATTTACCCCTAAATAGAGTAGGGTAGTAGGAAGATAAACCTATTTTAGTAGTAAAAAGTATAGAGTACTAACTCTTTATTACCTACTAGTGCCTAGAGCGTCCTAATGCCCCTAGGGAGGCCTAGATAGGACGTAAAATAATACTACTACTACTACTACTCTAATCCAAGACCCGCCTCGCTTTAATATAATGAGTATTCATACAATCTCCCCCACAGGAAAGGACCATGACAAATTTGTCCCACCGCTTCTAGTGCCATCCTTGATCTTCGCGCCTGCTGCGCGAACCACCGCTGCGACTTGCGCTCCCGGGAGCAGGGCGACTAGGTGTGCCGCCAGTATTGTCACCGCGACTGCTGCGACTACCTCCATCGCGACGACTGTCATAGTGAGGACGGTCAGAACCGATAGGTGGCTGAGCAGGCCTCCCAGGTGAGTTGGTCTCGGAACCGAAAGCAGAGAGATGATCTGCACCCTCAAGACCAGGCGGGGGAGGTATGATTGGTCGACCGCCCGGGTGTGAGGTCTGCCGGAAAGGGTGACCGGAGAGCTCATGGGCGCCGCCCGCTTGATAGTTGTATGGAACTAGCTCGTTGGCTTGCGGGAAAGCAGGAGGAGCATGTGATGGAATAGTCCGGAGTGTGTCTTGGACGTAGTGCGGTGGCTGGAAACCATGAGGCGGAGGCACCCCATACTCGCCGCGGAGGCTGGAATTTGATGGCCACTGTTGAGGGCCATAATGGGATGAGTTGTAGCCACCAAGGCCTCCAGACGGTGGACCGTATGTGGTTCTAGCAGACGGCGGGCCATACGGCGAGTACGGTGAAGGGGTGTAACCTGAGAAGGGCGGAAGGCTACCGACAGCACTGCCAGGGGTCCGGTTTTCGAAAGTTTTAGAGCCCTGAGGACGGAGGCTGCCCGCCTGAGGGTGCTGCGTGGGAGGTTGGCCTGAAGAGGTCCAGTTCGCACGAACTGATGGCGTGCTCGCCTGCGCCTCATCCCGAGACCTATACCGATTAGTAGGCGAAAGACTATACTGACCGAGGACTACATACCATGTGGGATATCTAACTGGTTGACCTCTCTCAGCGGCTGCATCTTGGGCAGTACGAGCCTGGAGACGCGGTGGGAGCCACAGACCTCCACGCGTCACGCCTCCGTCGCCGCCATTCTGGAAGTCATTGGAAGCATGCATCATTAACAGTACTGAGATGATGATGCGGTTCTGATACGCCATCTGGTCATTGGCGCCCTGCGAGCGTAGCGTAGGGTACAGCGGCTGCTCATCACCGTGTGTGCTTGCCATCGAGTACACCACGTCGTGGATGAACTCAGGGGGAGCATCACGCAAGCGATTCTACGATCGGTTAGTTGTGATCCTGGGTCAGAGAGGCCATGATGTACTTACAAGCTCCTCAACAATTCGTTGAGCGAAGTAAAATTCCTCGTTGAACTGCCTGTCACCCCCGCCAGCGTCCCTACTGTTCATGCGCGTGTATGCACGCAGGAACGGCGCAAGGGAGGTGTCATTGAACGTCGGCCCAGACGGTCTTTGTTGCCCAACGATGATATTTGCGGGCTTGTGTTTGCCGGCACGCTTGGGTGGCATGGTCGCGGGCGAGGTTGAGATTTCTGTTTAATCGACGTCGATTTGGACCCGACTTCTGGTATCGTAGGTGCGGGAGATCCGAGAATATATGGATAGACGGATGTGAGAAGGAGGGGTGTGTTGCTCTATGGAGACAAGTAGAAAAGGAGCAGGTGGAAGGACTATATATCTTGCGTGGATTATTTTCTGGGGTGACCGAAGAGCTTATAAGCACGGAGAGCTTCACTTCGGAACAATGTTTGTTCCGCAACCGTCGAGCTTTTGTGGGTGACCGACAATTTTTCAACCTCGTGAAAAGGAAAGAGCGAGCGGGGAATCAACCGAACATCACATACGCAACTTCTTTAACTTCTTCCTGAAGGGAATAAAAGAATGAAGCAAAGAACAGAAGACTGGGGCCCTGGTTGTCCAGAATCCATTGAGGTGAGGAGATAGTGATACTTATACTGGTTACTGTTGCTAGTGTCGATTCTATGGCATTCTGATGTTTGCACACTTATCGAAGGCTCTAGTCCGCTGTCATATCACGCCGCTAAACCATGGATAGCCTTATTGAACGCGTGATGATACCTGAAAGGAACAATCCCCTCGTGATGTATAGCTTCGGTTTGATGGAATCTATGGAACTGTTCTCATGATCAAGAAACCTTTACCTGCCGTTATGCTGGCATCGACTCACGTTTTGAACAAGCTAGGAGGTGGTCTCAAATCTCCTTCATGTTACGCGATTCCGTGGCGCTTCTTGTACGACGATGACAATCCTTTGGTAGGTGAGCTCCCGAGACTCAGTACATCCTTGGCTAACTCTTCGAATTCCGCCTTGAACTGGAGCTTTTCCAACCATCGCTCCGGAATAGCCTCTATGCCATCTCTTGCTCCTAGAAGACCACCTGCTATAGCGCCATTGGTATCAGTGTCTCCACCTATCCTCGTCACATCCACTAAGACGTCTTCGAACGAACGTGGGTCAAGAAGTGCTGCGATAGCGACAGTGAGACTTTGGAGGACGTATCCAGAAGTGTTGTCTGGCAGCTCGCCACCCGGTCCTTCGCTTGCAAACTTTGAGAGCGGGAGCTTCTTGCCGCGCTCAATTGCGACCTCAACATCAGGACGATTCTGCCCACGAGCGACTTCGACGCCGATGTCCACAGCTGACTGTGGCTTCTTTCCATCCAGAAGTGCGGCAACAATCTCGTTATATGTTGCGCATGAGATGGTACAACGCAAATCGTTATGTGTGAAAGCACTGATCGCCTTGGACTCCTTGATTCTTTCGTCTCTGGACTCAGTAAAGAGAGCAGTTGGTATGCATCGCATCAAGCTACCGTTTCCAGCACTCCCAGGCCCTGCTCCGCACGTGCGGGGATCGCGTGTACCCGAGTACTGCATCAAGCCGATACGGGTCGCGTTTCCAATGTCCATGGGTCCTTGTCCCTTCTTTCGTCCTGGCCAGTCCCCTTCGTACCAATCCAATGACCAGTCTGCTGCAGAGCGAGCAACGTCAAAATCTTTGCTGGGGTTTTTGAGCATCTTGTAGTTTGCGCGATCGTGATAAGCCAGTAGCACAGCGCGCGTCAAGTCGGTATCATCTGTCGCATGGCCGGCTGACCAGTCAAAGGTTCCGCCGCCAATAATCTCGCGCAAGCCATTCGGATAATGGGTTTGGATCTGCTGCCATGAGTTGAACTCGAGCGTTGCGCCGAGCGAGTCGCCGGCATGGACCCCTAGGAGCGCACCCAAAGTTTTGGACAGGCGAGCTTGCCCTGCTGTCGCCATGGTATACCTCTAAAAGGGAATAGCGTGCGTCGTGAGTTGCTGTTTGACCTTGGGCAACAGCCGTGAGAATATCGTTGGGCAGATGAAGAGGCGCAAGTAATGAGTCAATTCTCAGGTGGTTACCGCACAGCCACGATCGATGCTGGTGCCTGGCGTACCTAGGTAGCGTCGCAAGTGGCACCCCCCATCCTGTTTCACCTACTCACACATATTTAGGTAGTGTTGACTTTCGTAGGCATTATGTAACAGCCATAGGCGATGGATGGGATGGAGAGAGGTAGCCGTCGTAGAGGCTAAACCTAGTGGAGTGGAACGCTAAACTACCTCCGGCTGAAGTGGTCATACTTTCCTTCTCATGGCTCACATATCTTTTTATTCAACGTTGACTTCATTCCAGGGTTCTTGCAAGACATAGTAGCTTCTTTGAGCAACGTCTCAAAAATCTTTGAGGTCTATTTTTAACCTTACGCCAGTCCCGTATCCTGATGCAGATCTACCCAACTGCCGAACATTCATTGGCCTCAACGTCCGATTTACGAGCCTCATCCGCATCCCAACACGCCCCATCCGTCATGCTTCCCCACAAAGGAGCCCATCTGCTACCGATGTTAAGCAAATCGCTGTACCTGTCGGCATTGCGGCGCTGAACCGACCACCGGAAGCTTGGCAAGCTTATATCTACGCCTCATTCAGGCCATTGACTGGAGATCTTGATGCCTTGCGCCAATCAAACGCTATTCAGGTCCCATGTGCTTCTACCAAACGATCTTTTAAGCGAGTACGGCGTTTGATAGTCATTACATACGGGGATATGTAGAGCCGCATGTTAGACCAGAGACTATACCCGAGTAGCCTCAGGCCGCAAAGTCAGATGTCCAACATCGTGTTCGCAGTCCTTACTTATGCTGTGATGTGGGTCTTAGCTTGTAACTTCTTTTTAGAGCTGTGAGCTTGTCAATCTCCTCGCATTCCTCGTCTTGCTCATCTACGACCTCCGTGCTCGACATACGATATACTCGATCCAGAAGTCAGAATGCTTCATGAGTGTCGATCAAAGAGCTCTACTATCAACTGGAATAGATTCATCGTGATGAAAATAGCAAGATTGACTTCAGCTTCTCCAACACACGAAGTCCGGTATGGAAACTGTCGTCACTCACGAGGCACGAAGTCGGCACATGCTTGTAGATTGCGACAAGTACGAGGAGAACCAGAGACACCAGAAAACGCATAAATACCCCCTTCTTTCTCTCCTCTAGACCATCACCACAACAGCTTCCCAACCATACAATTCACACAAAAAACCACTCTACCATCCACTTTCACAGCCCAGCTTCTTTTGCATACCATCAAGATGTACACCTCCACCATCATCTCCACCATCTTCGCCGCGGTCGCCATCGCTGCTCCCGCAAACAATGTTGCCAACAACGAGCCCCGCGCTGAAGCACGAGTTCAAGCTGCCCAGGCAAACCTCGATGCCTTAGTCGCCAATGGATGCAACGTCCTAGGTAATCCTTCACTCCCCATCATCTTCTTCTGCACGTTTCTAATGAAGATTACAGGATGTCTTGCCGCAGTTGCGCCGGCATCTGCTACCTGCGCGGCCGCTCTGGCCGAAGCTGGGGCGAACCCCGTGGCTGATATTGCCTGCTTCGCTGGTGTGGTTGCCACGATGTCGAACCCGGTAAGCAAACACGGCTGAGTGTGAGAATTCTGCTAATGCATGATAGCCTGCCCCTTGCAAGGGTTGCTAGTGGGACACAGGTCGCTTAGGAAGTGATTGCTATGCGGTGCTTGCTTGATTTCAGGTATATTGTGGAGGAAAGTCACTCGCTTGGGTCTTGTATATATTGCGAATAGTCATACTGTCTGGTCAACAGTCCACACCTCTCCGATTCTGTGATTCTTCTACCTTACACATTTTCTTTCTCCTTCCCATGTCAAACTCCATCCCAAATGCTGGATACCGCGAGATGTGGCCTCGACAACAATGAAATCTGTGAACCAGTCGGTTGCAGTGACGGCGGCAGAAGGAAGAAGGTCGTGGATTTCGAGGAGTAGGTGTAGACAGACACGCGACGTCGATCACTGCCGTTTCGCGCTTACGACCGGCCGATGGGGATGTCATGGGTCCGCGGGATTTGAGCTTAGGGCTCGCCAAGTCCAATATAAGATAAGAACTATTTTGCAGGAGTCGTTCCATCGGATCTTGGTAAAAGATTTGTACAGTAGGTACAAGTAAGGCCCATATTGGAATGAAATGCTTGGAAACACTGAGTCATATGTGGGTTAAAGGCATAGTTGCTGTTGACAAGTATCCTGGGAATGGTATTACTCTTTCATAGTTGATTGTGTGACGAGGGTAGAAGGACGTAGTGACAGAGATGCAGAAGACGGTGGCCAGGACGTATAAGGCAAGACCAGCCAAATTTGAAAATTCTTCAGATTGTCGTGGAGGAAAATACGGATGGTACCTTTTGAACGAGATAGCGAAAGTATCCTCAGAAAACAGCTTGTTGTACGTTCGACCATGGCCGGGGCTCTCCTGTCAAAGGATTGCAACTGCATGCCGTTCCTATGGCGAGGGCTCTGCCCACGTATTCACTCATGTAGGCAGATGTGGTAAGTCCGTCCTTCCACGAATTGACGAGAAGTTGTGCCTGGAACTATGGAAGGGCTTACCGCGTCATACAATATATCATATAAACATTATTAATAGTTCGTAGTCTGTACAATGTCACAAGGACTGATGGATCGAACAGGAAGCCTCGAACAGGTCAGCTTTGCATGCATATATATGCGACTTCAGATGGGATCTTCCGATGTCTAAGCGATCTCCTCATCGTGCTCGCGGTCGTTCACTAATAATGATAACCTTTGAAGAACACTGCTCACGTGAGACGGACTGAAAAGTGACCATGCCGTATCGGGGCGCCCGCGCTGACGGGGGCACGTGAAGGGTTGCTGTGGCAACAACGCGTATGTAAGCGAGCGCGCCGCTTGGCACCACACAGACAACAAAGCTCGGTCGCACCTGCTTCTCCACCCTCACATCACGCGTCACACACCGCGCTTGCAACAACTACCAGCACACACAACTTCTTGTCTGGCACACTCTCAATAGCAAGCACAATGGTCGCGACACGCTCCCGAGGCAAAGCCACGGGCGATGCCGCCGCCACAAACAACACCACCGCCTCCACACTGAAGGCGCCACCGAAGCGCGCTGTTAAGCGCAAGGCCGCCGACGAAGTCCCCGCGCCCGAACCCGGCAAGGCGTCTGCACAGCAGCCGGCAAAGAGGAAGAGGACAGCAGCCGCCGCTGCCACCGCTGAGCTCGAGAAGCCTGCGACACGTACGACAAGGCGGGCAGCAAAGCCCGTCGAGGAGCCTCAGGCTGAGGCATCTGAAGCGCCCAAGCCGGCAAAGCGGGCCACCCGCGGTCGCAAGGCTGCTGAGCCTGCCGTGCCCGTTGTTGAACCCGAGAAGAAGATCGAGGAGCCAGCGCCCACAAAGACCACTCGCGCACGCAAGGCTCCCGGCAAGGTGACCAAGGCTGTCGCCACAAAAGCAGTCAGGCTGCCTCCGGCTTCATCAGCTCCAAAGCGTGCAACTCGCGCTACCAAGGCCACCGTCTCGATTGCTGCGCCAATCGTCGGTGCGCGTGCAACTGACTCGCCTCTCAAGAAGCCGGCGCGCAAGCCTGCGAAGAAGACCCCGACAAGGAAGACCGCCACCAAGGCTGTCGTCGAGAACAAGGCTGCAGTCGCGCCTGTCGAGGAGCCCTTCGCCGAGTTCCCGACCTATCCGAGTACACCGGGTCACATTGTTGCACCCATCTCCGGCCGTGATGCGCTCAAAGAGCTCCCTGCTGGATATCCGGAGACTCCCGCTCACATCGCAGCGCCCATCTCTTCGCGCGATGCGCTCAAAGAGCTGCCTGCAGGCTACCCAAGCACTCCAGCACACATCTCCGCACCTACTTCAAGCGGTGATGCTTTCAAGGAGCTTCCAATCGGCTACCCCAACACTCCCGCCCACATCATTGCGCCGGCTCAGCAAGATAACGGAATGCTTGAGCAGTCCGAGCAGCAAAGCGCAGCTCAACAAGACAACTCCTCCAAGCCGTTCCCCACTTCCTTTAGTGTCCCAGACTCCTCTGACGATGAAGACGAGGACGAAGATGAAGACATTGCTGAGCCTCTTGCCGTGAATGTGCCTAGCTCTCACACGGCGACTCCTTCAAAGATCGCGAGCTCCCCGAAGACGCCAAAGGCAAAGACCCCAGTCCAGAGCGAAGAAGCCTTACAAGCCATGTTGAACCAGGAGGCCCTCGAGGAACTTCCAGCCGACTATCCCAGGACTCCTGCGCAGTTCATCGACGCCTACGGGAACAAGGAGGCTTTCAACCAGCTTCCGGAGTATCCCAAGACCCCGGCACACGTTGCAGAGGCGTACGGCAACCAGAAGGCGCTTGACGAGCTGCCCGGCTACCCTAAGACTCCTAATCACATCATGTCGGCTCAGAAGAATCAGAAGGCATTTAAGGAGCTCGCCGCCGAATACCCTTCGACCCCTGATGAATATGTGGACGCGTCCGAGAACCTACAAGCCTTCAAGCAGATGGCTGAATACCCGAAGACTCCGGCTCACATTAATGCGCCTATGTCTACCCGGGAGGCGCTCAAGGAGCTCCCGATTGATTATCCAGCCACCCCGGCTCACATCATGACTGTCAAGCAAGGGCTCGACCAATTGCCCGGTTATCCAAATACGCCGGCCCTCAAGAACGTCACGAGCACTCCGGCGCAGCAATCGAGCGCATCGAAGTCGGCGAGCGACAATGGATCTGAGGAATTCGAGTCGGCGCTAGATGTGACTGAGTCAGACTTGATGCAGATCGATGGTGATGACTACATCGTCAAGAGCACGCCTCCGAAGGTGAACTTCAATATCAACGGCAGCATTAGCCTGGCGCCAACGCTGGCTCCCCCGGTATCGGCTGCCCGCGCTTCCCCGACCAAGTCTGCTCTGCGCTCACCGTTGAAGAATGGCGCCAAAACTCCCAAGAAACAGGTCACCTGGCCTGAGGATTTCGAAGCCGACGAGGACGAGACATTCGATTTTTCTGTCATTCTTCGCGGTACACGATTCTTGGTCGATGTGACATCGAATGGTGAAGACCAAAGCCTATTCTTTACAACCACGCTCGAGGAGATGGGCGCTCAGGTCTTCCGTGAGTGGACGGAGACTACCTCGTTGACCCACGTCATCTTCAAAGAAGGCTCTCAAGAGACCATCGACAAGATTCGCGCCTCTAACGGCACGGTCAAGTGCATCAACACAGGTTGGTTGGTAGACGTTGAGAACACGAAGAAGCGCGTAAATGAGAACAAATACCTCATCGATCTGTCTACAGCCACGGTCTGTACGCCTGTGGCCCGCACCCCTCGGAGGCGTGATTTCTTTACTCCGGCGAAGACTCCCACAAGGTTCCTCAACAACATCGAGTCCAGCTCTGCTGCAAAATCGGTTGAAGATATTCCGGCCACACCAACCTCTTCCGATTTCGATCGATCCTTGGCTTCCATCGAAGATAAGGAGAACAGCTTCGAGGACAGCACCTTCTTTAAGAAGTTCTCATTGTCTGTTCCAGCAAAGAAGCCATGGCGGATGGCCAAAGCCCCAACGAAGACTCCGACTAAAGAGAGTCTGCTTCGTGAGGCTCCAGTCAAGAGCTCGATATTCAGTGAGCGCCCCGTCAAGAGCTCCATGATCAGTGAGCGCCCCGTCAAGAGCTCCATGTTTAGCCAGCCTCCTGTCAAGAACCCGTTCTTCGGATCGACTGCGGCTAAGGATCCCCTGTTCAGCCAGCCCCCGATCAAGGGCCCGCTCTTCCGCACGGGTCCTATGAAAAGCTCTTCACTGTTCGGTCAGTCTCCTTCGAAGCCCTCCTCGCTTGACCGACCCGCTTCGCCGGACACTTGGTTCGACCAGCAGGCGAAGAAGTCTTCCTCTTTGCTTGGACAGGGTCCAGTGAAGTCCTCAACCTTGCTATCACAGAGTGTACAAAAGCCGGTTACTTCTGGTCGATTCTCCGCTCTGCTAAACGGCGTGCCTTCAACCCCTACTGCCAACCGTGTGGCGCCGCCTGTGAACTTCTTGTCGACTCACAAGAAGAGGACGGCGGCTCAGAGCTTCGGTGGCAGCATCACGACTCCGGCGAAGAAGTTCCGGGGTCTGTTCTAGAGTGAAATTTTGTCATCTCTCCGTCATCTGTCATTGGATGAACGCCTTCGGGCATGCATTGCATAAAACGGTGTTTGATAATGGGTTGGGCGGATGGGAATACCCTTGTAAGGCGTTGGATGGCTCATTCGTTGTTCTATTATGGATGTGGTCGGAGTTTTGGTTTTGCATGGATGGCTCTGTGTTTTGGACGATCATGGTTGGAGTTCTTGTCTTTTTTTTGGCGATTGTCCTGCTCAGCTGTCGCCCTACCCCGATAGATCTCCCGTTTTGGCTTGAGCTCCGAAGTTGTAGGCCTTAGATGGCCTCCCTAGGAGCAACAACAGCCAGGTGAGAACTTGGGGTAGGGCAAGGCGAGGCGACGAGGACTAGGATCGCTTGCTTGATTATTTTGGTAACCGTCCGTTGTAAAACTCAACGGATATGGCGGTGTAACGATGGACTGAATTGAACATACTCTAAGAACTTTTGACCTCGTATGCGCATGCAGTGAATATCACAAAGTGTATATCCTACAAATTAATTTACCGTTCTCTGTGCTCACGTATGTAGTTAGTCTTCATGGAGGGATGCGCGAGGTCGACGCGACGAAGCTTGGCGTTGGTGCTATCATGCACGTCATCGACGCGGAGTCACTAGGCAGCGAACGTCGCCCTCAAGCTCCCTTCACAATCATTCTGTGACCCGTCCACCGAGTCATCCTCGATGATAACCCACTCACCACATCCGCCATGGGTGTCACCGGTCTCTGGACCGTCCTGCAGCCCTGCGCCCGCCCCATCAAGATCGAAACGCTGAACAAAAAGCGCCTCGCCGTCGATGCCTCCATCTGGATCTACCAGTTCCTCAAAGCCGTGCGCGACAAAGAGGGCAATGCTCTCCGCAACTCACACATCGTCGGCTTCTTCCGAAGAATATGCAAGCTCCTCTTCTTCGGCATCAAGCCTGTCTTCGTGTTCGACGGCGGCGCACCGGCTCTCAAGAGGCAGACCATCAGCAACCGCAAATCGAGACGGGAAGGGAGGAGAGAGGATGCGGTGCGCACGGCTGGAAAGCTGTTAGCGCTGCAGATGCAGAGAGTTGCCGAGGAAGAGGAGAAGAAGCGGAAAGAGGCTGCACGGCAACCGAGAGAAGAGGCAGAAGAGGAGATACCCGACAACCTTGTGTATGCGGAGGAAGTCATACAGACGCAACAGGAGCGCCTCGCGAACCGCAAGTTCAAGCGCAAAGATCAGTACCATCTTCCCGACCTCGGCACCTCGATCGCAGAGATGGGCGGTGCGAACGATCCACGCATAATGAGTTTGGAAGAGCTGGAGCATTATGCGCGGCAGTTTGATAGTGGCGAGGATATCAATGTGTACGATTTCTCGAAGATTGACTTCGATAGTGCGTTCTTTACGAGCTTGCCTGCGTCCGATCGTTACAATATTCTGAACGCTGCGAGGTTACGGAGCAGGCTGAGGATGGGATACTCGAAAGACCAGCTGGATATCATGTTTCCCGACCGCATGGCCTTTTCGAAGTTTCAGATTGAGAGAGTAAGGGAGAGAAACGAGCTTACGCAGAGGCTGATGAACATCAATGGGATGAGCGATGATTCTATGTTTGGAGCTGGTGCTGCTAGCCGGATTGCTGGCGACAAGGGGAGGGAATACGTGCTTGTGAAGAATGACGGAGTAGAGGGAGGTTGGGCGTTAGGTGTGGTCACGAACAGAGATGAGGGTAAGGCGGATAAGCCGATCGATGTGGATAATATACCGGTTCAGAATCTTGATGAGGATGAGGAGTGGGAAGAAGAGGAAGACTTCGAAGATGTGCCGATCGAAGGTTTGAATCGGCTGCCAAAGCCACCGCCTGGAATGACTGCGCGTGATCGAGAAGGCCAAGATTTTATTTCCCAAGAGCTTATGAATAGGCGTCAGAAATTTTATGCTTCTCGCAAAGCCAGGCCGTCAAAGCTGAGAGCGCCTGGGCCAGCGAGGCCTGCGCCCGTCAACCAGGACCCCGACTCACTATTTCTGGCGGAAGGTGGCGAGCAGCAGGAATGGGAGGATGTACCAGCAGCAGACGAGAACGATGCAGCTGAGGAGCCTGTAGGAGACGACGAAGAGGAACGACAACTGCAGCAGGCCATTGCTCTGTCCATGGGGCAGAATGGCGCGGTAGAAGAGGAAGCAGAGCAGGAATCCGAAGAAGAGGATATCTACCGCGAAGTGTTCCAACAAGAACGGGCGAAAGAAACGAATCCTTTCGCGGGCACTAAAGGCTCGGGCATGGCTATCGCACGATTGGCAAATCAAAGAAGCAGCAAAGTGGCACCTGCTCCTGGACCTTTCACTGGCAGCGATAGCGAGGATGACGATATGGATCTCCAAGCAGCACTGACTGAATCTAGGAAGTCAAAGCGGCCTGCCACTACGATACATCCTACACCGAAGTCGCCTCCTAGAATCAGGATGGCTTCACCGGCGGCCAAGCCAAAGTCTGCTAAGTTGACAAATGCGCCAGGATTTGACGGCCCGCTGCCATTCGAGAAGCTCAGTCTTGGTAACTCTCTTTTGGGCAAGAAAAAAATGGAGAAGCTTGAGGCAGAAAATGCAGGTGGCTTCGAAAAGGATTTGGGAGACAAGAAGAAGAACGAAGATGCACCGCTCCCTCCATGGTTTGGTGGTGGCGAGCGAAACATCGAGGAAGAGTTAAAGGCGAATAGAGAGGATGCGAAGAAGGAATGGGAACGGGCGCGCAAGGAAGAGGCTGAGCAGTTTCAATTCCAAGAAATTCCACGCCTACGCAAGCATGATACTCAAGAGGTGATCGACCTGGAAGACGTCAATACACAGGAGAAGCCAAAAGAGATTATGACCATCCAATCAGACGACGATGACGACGCTGAGATGGAGGATGTCGTAGTCGTGGACTCAAAACTACGCATGGGTGACTTAGCTGACAAGGCTCGAGCAGAGCCTCCTCGTTCCCTCAGAGGAGACCAGCCCCAACCGCCAAAACAAGATAAGTCGCTAGTTGGAAAGGGTCCTTTTGCAGAAGACTCGGATGGGCCGATCGATTGGTCGGAAAGTGAACCTGAGGATGAGCGACAGCAGCGTGCGCAGCAGCCAGCCAACCCGTTGTCACTTGGATCATCTAAGGTACCTTCGAAATCACCGTCTCCGGAGTTTGAAGATGTGCCAATAGGGACTGATCCTGCTGGTTCGGCCCCGGCAAAGTCACCATCTCCAGAATTTGAGGATGTTCCACTCGATACGGAGAACGATACCGGTCCAGCACCTGCTACATCACCATCTCCTGAATTTGAAGACGTACCCTTAGAACTCGCACCAGCGCCTCCACGCGGCCGTTCGCCATCTCCATTCGCACTAGGAGGCGCCGACGAGCTCGAAGCACCCGTTGTACCTTACAGCGGCACAGCCGACGACAACGCCCCCATCGATATCCCTGATAACGCCTCTGAACAGTATTCCGATCCCGAAGACGCAGAGCTCTTCGCCTCCCTCGCCGCGGAGGGCGAAGAACACGCTCGATTTGCGCAAGAGCTTACCAACAATTCGCGCCCTCGAGTCAATTTTGATGAAGAGCTCAAGCAGCTACGTGCACAGCAGAAAAAGGACCGGCGAGACGCAGACGAGGTTACGCAGACCATGGTCGCGGAATGCCAGCACTTACTCACGCTCTTCGGGCTCCCATACGTCACCGCGCCCATGGAGGCGGAAGCACAATGTGCAGAACTCGTGCACCTCGGTCTCGTTGACGGCATCGTAACAGACGATTCCGATACATTCCTCTTTGGTGGCACCCGCGTCTACAAGAACATGTTCAACGCCGCCAAGTTCGTCGAATGCTACCTCGCCTCAGACCTTGCTAGCGAATTTGCACTCACCCGCGAGAAACTAATCGACATCGCGCAGCTTCTTGGAAGCGATTACACCACCGGCATCCCCGGCATCGGCCCCGTTACCGCGCTCGAACTCCTCAGCGAATTCAAGGATCTACCCGGCTTCAGAGAGTGGTGGGATGGCGTCCAGAGCGGCTCTATTTCTAAAGAAGCAGACAAGAATTCGCAATTTCGCCGTCGATTCCGACGTACCCAGGCTACGAAGCTGTTCCTCCCGCCGGGCTTCCCTGATCCGCGTGTTAAGGAAGCGTATCTCAAGCCGGAGGTCGACAGCGATCCTATGCCATTCCAATGGGGCGTGCCTGATCTCGATGCGCTGAGATCGTTTTTGAGCAGCCAGATTGGGTGGAGTGCGGAACGCACAGACGAAGTCCTGGTACCAGTGATCAAAGACCTGGCGAGGAGGGAGAAGGAGGGAACGCAGAGCAATCTGACGAGATTCTTTGAGGGGGGTGTTGGGGCGGGGGCATTCGCACCTCGAGTACGTGGCGAAGTGGGGCAGCCGAGGGGTAAAGGTGCAGCGGGCAAGAGATTGGGTGCCGCGTTAACGAAATTGGCTCAGAGGGAGAAGGGTAATGCGGGAGATGGGGAAGCTGCTGGTGATGAAGTGGAGGTTGTTGGGCAGAACGGAGGTGCGCATGTGGAAGGGGATGGGAACGCGTCGACGGATGGTGGGACGAAGAGGAGACGCAAGGGTAGGAAAGCTGCGACTGAGGCAGTGGATGAGGTCGAGGACGAGGACAACGATGAGGCATACTTCGAGCCGAAGAAGAAGAGGGCAAGGAAGATTAAGAAAAAAGACTAGGAAGTGCACCTAGCGACTCGCCATTGCATAATTCTGGCATGAAGCAAATCTAACAGCTCCGATGTTGAAAAAAAAAAGTAAATGACGAAGGGAAGTACCACGATGCTCACCGAGCTATCAACTACTGGATGAGTGCTTTCTTGCGTGCTTTTATAGGCCACCTGCAGCAACAGAACCCAAAAAATTGCTGTAGCATATCATCAGGGTTCTGTTTAACTGGCCTTCAATTCACTTGGTCAGTACAGCGGGTAATGCGCTTACCCGAACACTCAGGCGGTTATCGCACTCTACTTCCTTTTAGCTCCTTCGAGTCTGTGGGCGTAACGCTCATCCCTACCTTGAACAGTAGCGCTGAGTAAGTAGCTGCGATGCCCCGCTGCTGACAGTCGCATAAGCGCGGGCTTCGCTCGAGATCTCTCGAAACCAAATGTGCATCGAATATTTATGTACCTCTCATAGACACCTTTGTTTACTCTGCACAGCTAGTATAACTTCTCATATACGGCAGAACCAATATCTCGCTTGCGCGGAAGAAAGAGCTAGTATCGCACAGTATTGGTCACCCGGTATCGCAGTCACGTGAAATAGAAGCCAGCACCATCACAGGAGAATCCTCGGGTTTAAATGAGATTTACGAGTTGAGGCTAGGATAAGGCGTGCTGGACATCATACTTCAGCTGCGCTACTTAGTATAAAGCAACAGTTTACTCCTACCCACGTTTTGGGCGTGGCAGCAACAATTTCAGACACTCAAACAAAAGATAGCAAGATGGGCAGTGCAACGGACGTATACGCACAACTGAAGGAGCAATTGAAGAGCAGCAAAGCTGAGATCCTCTTCCCGAGCGATGGAGAGAAATACGAAGAGAGCATCAAGAGGTGGAGTGAGCATTGTGAGAAGCGTGCTGTACGCTACGCCTTTTCGTTCCCTCCTTGATTTTCCTTGTCTAGAGTCTTGATTCTTTCTTCTTACCGTGGCTAATAATTGTCAGGCCTGTGTTGTCAAAATCAGCTCCGCAGACGACGCCTCTGCCACGGTGAAGTTTGTCAAGGAAAACAAGATTCCCTTCGTTGTCCGTGGCGGTGGCCACTCTACCTCTGGCAGCGCCAGCATCGAAGACGGCCTCGTCATCGACCTCTCTCTGATGCGTGGCGTCACTGTCAACCCTGAGAAGAAGACAGTCAGAGCCGAGGGCGGCGCGTTGTGGGTCGATGTCGACGAGGCGGCGGCGCAATATGGACTGGCTACTGTGGGTGGGACGGTCAACCATACAGGTGTTGGTGGACTGACGTTGGGCGGTGGGTATGGTTACTTGAGCGGGAAGTATGGGTTGACGATTGGTAAGTGGTGCTTAAGTCAGGGGACCAAGACGAACCTGCGAGGCTGATGTGAGACAGATAACCTGCTGCAAGTTGAAATTGTGCTTGCGTCTGGGGAGCAGGTTATTGCTTCTGAGACGGAGAACCCAGATCTTTTCTGGGCAATTAGGGGCGCGGGTCAGGTAAATCTCAAAGCTGCATTGGGAGAAACTGGAAAAGATGAGCTAACATGGAAATAGAACTTCGGCGTCGTGACAGCTTTCACGTTTCGCGGCTATGAGCAAACTAATCAGGTCTTCGCTGGTCCGCTCATCTTCCTTCCTGACAAGCTCCCGCAAGTTGTGGAGTTTATGAACAAATTCCAGACTAAGAACGATGGAAACCAAGCCTTCCTCCTCGGCTTCACCTGTCCACCACCCGCCCACGCTCCCGTCGTCCTGACACAAGTCTTCCACAACGGTACTCAAGAGGAAGGCAACGCCTTCTTCAAGGATCTCATCGACCTCGGTCCTGTGGCAAGTACGTGCTTCCCTCCTTATTCTCCCACCGTACCTCCTCCTCCACCATCCCAATATCACGCCTATTAGCTCACACTAACCCCATAATCAGACATGACTTCCATGATGCCCTACGAAAAGCTAAATGCCGCCATGAACGAAGGCCAAGGATTTGGAGGCCGCAAGATGTTCGGCGGCGGCGCGTACAAGCTTCCCCTTGCACCACCCTTCGTGCAAGCGCTCTTCGATGAGTTCATCGGCTTCAGCACCACACAGCCCGCTATGACGGACTCGATCCTCCTCTTTGAGACGATCCCGTATGCAAAGGTTGTCGAGGTACCTAATGAGAAGATGGCTTTTAGCAACCGTGGCGAGTACTACAATCTCGCGACTATGATAAAGTGGTAAGTTCATTTTCGATCCTACTCGCTCTTGTCGGCAAGCCCCGCGAATATTCGCAAAGAGACGTCGCGCTAACGACATGAAAAGGGCTAATCCCGCGCTCGACGACACCGTCCGCGAATTCTCGCGCGCGCTGTTGAAGAAAGCCTCGCAGTCTGCTGGCGTGGTACAGGACGAGAAAGTGCGCTCCACGGAGGGCGTCGGTGTGTATGGCAACTATGTCAATCCGGATGTTCCTGCGAGCGAGGTGTATGGCGGGAATGCGAAGAAGCTGGCAGAGTTGAAGGGGAAGTATGATCCGGAGAATTTGTTTGATAGGGGAACGAGGTTGGTTCCGAGGCCGGTGGTTGTTGTGAATTGATGAGGTGGGGATAGCAAGATTGTTGTGGCCTTGTAGACTAGAATGATAGGTGTAGAATTGCTGACATCAGTATCGTTTCGTGTCCGCTGCAGCGTCACAAAAGCGAATTCGGTACAAGAACATGGCAACGCAAGTTTTACTTTCCCTCAATCTCTCGATCTTTTAGAAAACGCCACTTTGTGCTCGCTGTCACCACCCGATTGGTAATGACCTGGAACCTGGAGCCAAAGGTCTCTTCGTGCTTATTATTGTGTTCGTGCCTTCTGTAAAAGAACAAAAGTGCATTTGTCCATGCTGATGTTTATGATCGAGAAGTAGCGACGCGGCTTTGCTTCGGGACTATTGAAATGAACCATTGCTATCTGAGAGGCAACGTGCCCAAAGGTTTGCCTAGGCTCACTCGCGGTGGCTCATGGGACCGGTAAAGCGTGCGAGTGATTGCGTTGGTGCGCTTGCTGCGAACCCCGCCATGCAACGCTGTTTCTGGTTGACCGGTCCGCAGGGGTTCATCAAAGACAGCGAACGAGGCTATGGCAGCCATGCAAATATATTGAAAAGCTCGAAAGCTTTCTGTTTCGCGAACGAGGTATCGAAAGGCAAAAAGTACTAAAGGACGCCTACGCCACCATACGCTGCCAGGTGGTTTTCTTTTTTCCTTCCTGCCGACCACATCATGGTAGATCCATTCACTGCTTTTGGTGGTCTTGCTTCTATAATCCAGATCGCAGATGTCTCGTTGCGCTTGTCGTCGGAATTCAAGCGTTGCTTCTACACTGTCCATCATGCGCCGCAGGAGCTTCAAAGCTTCCATGACGATCTATCAGTCTTTTCCTCAAGCCTACACATGTTCCACGAGAGATCAGACTTATGGCTAGAAGAACTCAAAGGATCGATGGAGAGGGAAAGGCGAAAAAAACACGTCGCAGGTGTAATCAAAGAATGTCATGCCGTGGTCAAGGGATACGACGCGCTGCTGAGGAAATTCTTGGGAAACTCAGGCAAAGTCCCTAGTATCTCCAACCCTTTTGATCGACTACGGTGGTATTTTCAGAAGCCTTTGGTCGCGGGTCTGAAATTGTCTCTCGAGAGCGCAAAATTGTCCATCATACTCTTTGTCATTCTTCATATGTTCGAGACTTTGCAGCGGAAGGTCTCTGAGCTCCAAAAAAACCATCAGAGAGTACCGAAAATTATGAGGCGACAACTGTACAAATCCCTTCCATCTATAGAATGCTCTATCCGCTAATCGTTGCAATCCAGGCGTTCCACCGAGCAGCAAGCTATTGTACAGGCAAAAGCCAGGAACTCTGCCCGTAGACGTTTCGAAGAGCATCTCAAAGCGACCCCTTTCTCGACCCCAATACTCTTTCCAGACATACAACCGATCCTGGATGAAACACGGGTCACTGAACAGTATGCGAGCAGGAGTCTTCGGAAAGAAGGGCGTCGGATTCGGCAAGAGTTTTCATCGCCCAAACAATCGCGATACCCACAACACCGGAGTCCATCACCAGATTCACGGATCGCAGCCCGAGGGCCCCATGGTCCTCGGCCCTCACCTCCGGATCTGAACGGTGTGGGCAAGCCCACTATGCAGCGAATGGATGACGCTCTGGGAAACATCACCAACATACGTCGGAAATGGACGTCTACAGTTCCACATAACAGCAATCTGTCGAACAACTCAAACACTAGCGAGGCCACTCCTATCGTCCCGATAAGACCGCTGCACTCAAGGTCACCTTTTGAAGCAGAGAGAAGCCCCGTTTCTCCCCTAGCATCGGTGTTCCCGGAGCCGAAGATACACGGATCCAGAATTCGGGACGACAGTAACGAGATCCGAAACAATTCCGGGGAATGGCGACCGGAAGCGTCCGAACCAGCAAGTCCAGTACTTAGTACAGTCGATTTAGCGCTCTCGTCATTGCCTCGGCCAAGGAAAAAAGATGCAACCGTCCGCGGAGTAAATCCTGATCTTGAAAGGTCTAACAGCGATGAGCAAAAAGGTTTTGTAAAGACCAAGGTGGATCTTTTCGAGGGAGATCAACGGTCATCAAATGCGGGACATAGCCCATTCAAGGCTATGCCTCCGTTCCTTGATGAAGACTGGAAGGGGATACGGCGCAGACCATCTCAATGAAGTAGACAAAACGAGCTCGCTGGGAATATTTTAGAAAGATAAATAATTTAAATTGAATCATATTCAGATGTGGTAACTACACTTCGCTGCAAATTGCTAAGATATTTTGAAACATCCCGTAGTAGATGGAAGATCGCGTAGGACTGTACGACGGAAGTATAGACAAATTCGAGGAAGTGATGTCATAGAGATCATTGTCCCCTATGTATCGTTCTGCATCATATAATTCTCACAGGTTAGGTGGTGGGCACAAACATGCCGGCAACATCATCGGCGTGACTTTCCACACGGATGTAAAACTTTTTCGCCCGGTATATCTGCCTCCAAGACGATAACATCAGTGTTCCAGATTGTTGAGGACAAGAAATTGAGCGAGGGAAAAAAGTCACCTGATCGCTGAGATAACCGCCTAATTCGCTTATCACCAATGCCTGTTCCTGCGAGGACACATCCCCCAGCGTGCGACCGCGACACTGGCATGACTCATCCCTTTCGGCAGATCGTGACTCACTAGCATCGCGGCGCAGCTCTAGCTAATCATTTATATATAACAGTAAGGTAGGGTGAACATACTCATTGTTTCCTCCCTCCTGAGATCACCAAGGAGCCTCATCAATAGGTACGGTCATCTGCATCATGGACGATACCACACAGACGGCTGCCAATCGAACCACGATTCTGGATTTGCCGAAGGAAATATTGCTCCAAGTATTCGGCTACTTCTGCGACACGTTCCCCGTGAACGATCCCTCCCGGTACTACAACGACTCAGAGGCTAGCGACCGGCTCATACTTTACAACAGCCGGCTAGTCTGTCGCGCATTCGACAGACTGATCAGTCCGTTGCTATGCCCTGTTGTGAGCGTGTCGCTGTGTTCGGGGTCAATTGATCGCTTGCAGGGCCTCTTTCGCAATCCCTTGATAGCGCATGGCGTCCGTGGCGTCGCTATTAGCCTCCGTTTTCGACCAAGCGGTATTGCAACAGATCTGCGGAGGTACCACGCTCATGCAGGTTCAATCCTCGATGATTGCATAGGAGAGTGTGACTGGCATACAGAGTTTCAGTCCTACGAAGAAGACGACATGTCTGAAGATGCAGTCACCCATCGAGATTATGAAGCGGCTATGGAGAAATTTTCTCACATGCGATATATATGGCACCAGCTCTTTGAACAAAAGAAATCTCGAGAAGAAGAACCGGCGACAGGGGAGGGTCTGGACGATGCTGAAAGGAATGTCGAACAAGATAAAGAAGACGAAGGATTCAGAGATCTCTTGAAACGCTGCTTCGAAACCTATGCCGCTTCTTATGCAGATCAGGCTCGCATCGTCGCGGATGGTTCTTTTGTTCGCAGCATCGTAACTGCACTGTCTTACTGTGACTCGTCACCTTATGTGTGGTTCAATGAGACTCAGCTCGGAAAAAAAGACACTAAGAGTGGCGCGATTGCCCTCGCGAACAGCGATGAAGCTTTGGCTCATATGATGGTACAGGGCCATGAATGGCTCAGAATCGAAGACACTCTTTGCAAGAATGACGATGATACGGGGCTTTTCTTCCCAGCCAGCATTCTGACTGGACTACCCATAGCCTGCCACGATGCTGGGGTAAAATTACGGGGTATCCAAGTCGACTGCTTCCCCCTGTTGAGAGGCTATAATTGTCTCCTACCAAGTTCCACTCAAGCCGACGACAGTGCCACGCAAAACCCCTGGGCTCGGTTCGCTGCAGCGTGCCACGACCTGGAAATCTTCAACTTTGGCCAACGCGGCATGAGTTGTTCACCCATACGTCCTGAGCGCCAAAGCTTTTCCGATTCAGAGATGATAAACGGCTTCATCGGGGCGGCGTGCTCAGGGCCCAGTCTGCAGAGGTTCGCTCTAAACATGACGCCTTTCAGAGTAAGAGCTGGACGTGCTGGTGAACGCGATGAAGAGCAGTCGTATCTAGCCTCGCCGATCCTCGCTGCCCTCACATCAACGCACCTACGCAGCATCGTCTTGAACAATGTCGATGTCTGCGGGCAGGATCTCCTGGCGCTCGTCAAGGGCATTTCTGCAGTGCACCTGACAGACCTCTACTTTGCCGGCGTGACGCTTTCACGTGGGCGTTATGCAGAATCCATGAGCCTGCTGCACGACATAGCGGTTTATAGAATACAAAATAAATGCTCTAAACCAGAGATAAGGTTCAATACTTTGCAGGGAGCGGAATTTGGCGCGCCTTCTACCTTCGATGACGACAGTTGGATGTGGACGGATAGTGAGGAGGAGAGGCAAGCGTTCTGGGACAGATTGGAGGAGCACCAGCATCCCGCTGTCCTGAAGCAGGTTGAGGAATGGGTCGAGGATGGCCAGGCAGATGAGCCGAACCCTCTGTTGAGATTCAACGTTGCCCAGGACTGAGCTCAGTTGCGTTACTATTTGATACTAAATAATAGATAAATCTCGCAGGCTGTACGCCTGTATATCGAAACTCATATTTCATTGTTCCCTCATTTCTCTCATTCCTTCGTTCAGTCATCCGTGGGAATTTGGAGCAGAGCAGTGTTGATGCTACGCAGTGAGAAGCCCTCAGAACAAAAGGACTAAGAGTTGACGCACCGCACTTCAGGAGACCAATTGAACCTCAGTCATTCTTCCCCAACCCATTCACCCACAGATCCGTTCGCAGACACTCGTTCTGCTCCGGGCGGGACCAACCAACACGCGATGAAGAGCAACCACACTCAGCGGTCCGCTCACCGTGTGCTCTTGCCGCTGATGAGACCAAACTGATTCTCATAAAACCATTGACATCTTGAAGTTATTCAACGGATAGAAGCGATGAAGTCAGAGTAGTATACTTTGCGTGCACACTCTCTCCAAAAGGCATTGAACTCTTGTCACCCCCTTTGGAAACGCACATTGAGCGAGAATGATATCATCGCACTTCACTGTTGAATCCCGGATGGATCAATAGCTATAGTGAGCGAGACAACGAGGTATAGACGCCCTTGCAGTCGAGTAGGTCTGTAATATTCCACGTTCATCATGCTAACTGACGGTATCGGCTCTTCGTTTGCGCCCTCGACTGACGTCTCGTAAATCCCACTTCTGTCCTCAGTCGCCAACATCATGAAGCTGCGAAAAACGCGAATCTGCTTCCTCGCACGATTGATAAAGTATTTCCGATGGTCGGAAAAAGACATCACCTTTCCATCGTCGCGCTGACGACGTGCGGCTCTCACCCGGATTGTGCATATATCTCTTTCCGCGTCGGCCGTGACCTTCCCGAATCCGCAATGCAGCCCAGAACACGAGCCTCGTCCTTCGCGTTAACGACCAAGCGAAACAGCTTTTGTTGTGCTCAGGCTGCGACTAGGGAGGCCTTGCCGTGAGATTTTAGATGCGAATGACACTGCGCTACGGCGCATCTCGGTCTAGATCTGAAGCGAAGTGGACACGTACCCTACACTTGCCTCCCAAGTATTAAGACCATGCGGCTGAGCATAGAGCACGGAGATGTGGAGATAGATATCTGTGTATAAAAGAGGGTGTCTGGACATTGCCTTCGCCATCCGTTTACGACGCGCGAAACCGACACAAAGAACCAGCCATCTTTGCCCAGTATCCCGTCAACGCAGGGAATGGCCAAACCGACAGTCCTCTTCATGCACGGCTCCTGGCATACCCCAGCGCACTTCGCACCCGTCCGCGCCGTCTTCGAAAACGCAGGCTATCCCACTTCCTGCCCTCGCCAACCTAGCACGCGGGGCCTAGCCACCGTTGGCCTGGCCGAAGATGCGGAGCGCATCACTTCCGAGCTCGTAACGTTGATCGAAGGAGAAGAGAAGGACGTCATCGTAGTTGCGCACTCATACGGCGGCGTGGTCGCAACGCAAGCAGTGCGGAAACGCTTTGCGCGCCAAGAGAGAGAGAAAGAAGGGGAGAAAGGTGGCGTGCTCAGAATCGTATATATGTGCGCGTTTCTGCTGCAAGACGGCGAGAACCTGATGGGTGCCTTTGGGATCGGAGAGGGCGATGCGCTACCGCCGTTTATCGTTGTCGATGTATGTTGCTGAGAATCTCTCTTGGAGATCTGCTCACGAGTGTAGGACCGAAAAATGTGCACCATGGCCGACCCTGCGGCCCGCTTCTACAGCGACCTCTCGTTGCAGGAGCAGCAGAAGTGGGTTGGGCTGCTTGTGCCGAATGCGGCTCATACGCAGGCAACGCCTATCACTCATGCGGCGTATCTTTACCACCCGGTCACGTACCTGTTCTGTGAGAAAGATGAGGCGTTGCCGTTGGAGGTGCAGGAGCAAATGGTGGAGAAAGTGAGAGCGTTGGGAGTAAAGGTTGTGGAGGAGAGATGCGCGGCAGGACATAGTCCGTATCTGAGTATGCCTGAGACCGTGTTGGACGTCATAGAGCGAATGGAGTGAACGCGTTCCATGAATGATCGTATGAGGACGAGGATGAGGAAATCCTGGTTCAAGGGGCCGTGCTTGTAGACATAGAGCTTTGTTGCCACAGAATAGATGAAGCAGGGCGAGGGTGGGTGCTAGCAAGAAACGTCTTCGCGAAGGCCATCCTAGTGATATAGACAATCATTATCCTCCTCCTCCTCTTCAACACCGGCCCTCGGGTCAAGTACCGTTGACTTAGAGATAGATTAAATTGCGCGTCTTGTGTGCTAGCTGATGATGATAGCTCTCGTTAGTGAAAATGAATGTACACTACAAGATCGTCAACGCGAAGAGTGAAGCGCTTGAAAGATTCCTCCTGGAAAATCGAATATCGTCACAATGGAGTAAGCTGACCTAATAGAAGCACCCACCCACTCATTCACCGCCAAGCACCACCAAGCTTCGACAAGCTTTGGGAAGAGCTTCCCCGAGATCGCCGTCACCTTCCGCCGCCGACCTCACACCATGCTCTGTGTCGCAGATCAGCACTCGCACTGCATCCCATCTCACACCTACCGCTCCTGAACGCCGCTCTGCTAATCCACCATAAAACCCTCAACGCAGCGCACATTCGTTTCCATTTCATCTATCGACAAGAGGAGTACAGCACCCCCCGCTACAGTGAGTGAGCTTGAACGCAACAAGCTCCCAACCAACCGCACCCCACGTGCACCCGCCATGCTAGCTCTCACAGAGCTACGTCTCCCCCTCAATTAATCTCCGCTCGGCCTGTAATCCCGCGAAGCGTTCCCATACCCGTCTGCAAGGCGATAACGCCCACACCATCCCTTTTGACTATAATTCAGATCTAATGACACGCTGAAGAATAGAAAGAACCCTCCTCTGCTCCCGGAGACAGCCACATTCTCTCTGGAGTCCCTCACGTATAACGCCAACACCACGTACGTAGAGTGCAGTGGGCACATATAACTCGGTACAAGGCAACCTAGCCTAACCTAGCGCGCAAGCCATCGACTTAGCCTTTCCCTCTCGGTACGTTCCACTAGCCCGCGCTGCCGGTCCAGAACTTCAGGCCCACATTCCGCGTCCGCGGTTTTGACACTTCGGTTGAGCTTGAGATATCAGCACGCCCCGATACGAGCGTACCGTCAGGTTACGGAACGCAAGGATGACGAGAAAGCGTAATCGAGTGTACTATACACTCTGTGGATCTGGATCGCCTGGATACCTAGATAGATAAGGTTTCGGCGACAGCGATCAACATGTGGGGTTGTCGCTGTTCCGCGTTGGAGGCGGAGATGGGCTCGTATACCGTATAGCATACTAAGGTCCACACAATTGTATCCTAATTCGCCACGCCTCTTGCTTTTTTTCGGAGGATATCGCATTGTTGTATACAACGCATGCTGACTTCAAGCACAGTCATGCTCGCAGAATACTGTGCAGACATGCGTGCATAAGCGAATGTAATAACCGACTTACTCATGTAGGTGCTTGCAAACCTAAGCAGCCAGGCGCGTAAGGTATTGGAGGAAATAGTAGCCTGTGTACCACCTCTAAGAGCACCTGACAGAGTAAGAAATGCAAAGAAACGCGCTGCCAGTGTCGTGCTTCGCCTGGTACAGCGGTTCATTCGTGTGCATTTCCTTGCGATCGATGCCGCATCGCCGGCCGTGCTAACTTAAAGCTGCAACATTATCTCTGATAAGGACCAATCAGAACACGATTGCGCTTCCGATTTTGTTTGGGTACAGCTTTCGGATGAGGCCTCTGCTCGGAAAGGGTACCAGAATGAGTACCTTTTGTCCAGGAGCGGGCACCCGGTACGGTGCTTATAACACAGCTGATAAGCTGGCTGAAATGCGGGGCACCGACCGAGTGTCTAGAATAACGTATGAAGTACACAGCTGAAGCTTGACTCTGGGTGTGGCTGAATAGAGCAAGTTATCAAACGCCCGAAATGTACTAGATCGACTCGAGGTAACATGCCTCCTGCAACCGCACAGTAGCGAGATGGTGCACTTCTCGCCCGTGTTGCTCCAGCCGTTGCGCGTCGGAAGAGCATGTATGTGTCGAATAGGCAATTTCGTACGGAGAGGAAGTTTTAGGCTATTCTCCGCCCAACAGGCAACGACGTGGGATTGAATCTGCAGGGTCTTTATGGCGCACTCCACAAAGATCTGTTTTGAACGGTGACAGGACAGATTGGAGCGGAGGCGTACAACCGGAGGAATGAGCTTGCTCGCTACGCCGGTACTGCCGACCGGCGGTTGTTATTGGCCATGTGTGTGGCTTGATTGACTCACCAGTAGGAATTCGTCCTCAGCAAGCTAGGCCAAAGAGGCAGACCGGATACTTGACGGTATAGAAAACACTCAAAGCCAAAAACGAGGTGACTCGTTACAGCCGTACCTGAGACCTCAGGCGGGACAGATCTGATTGGCGGGATAGAGCTCATTTTGGACTCAAGGCGGGCCTAGCGCTGACGACAGCCGTAGTTCTATGGGACCAGGATGTCGATCCGGCTCCATGGCGAGAATCCCATGGCTGGATAGCTTCGAGAAGGCGAATTTGGTGTTGGTGATGAATGCAACAACACCTTCAGAGCATCTGTAGATGTTCGGTTGTTTTGCCTGCAAAGAGAGGATGCTCGCCTAAATCCATGATCGCCAGCAGGGTCTTTGATGATCACTGAGGACGGATGAGTTGGCGTCAACGCTTTCAACGCTTGGCCGCTGCGGATGCTCTCCCCCAGCAAGCGCCCGCGTCCGCTGCCTTAGCAGCGAAAAGCACATGGGGGCACAAGGGGTGCTGAGGGGTGTTGGAGAAAATCGTTTCGCCCAACCAGTGGAAAAGTTTCCGGACGTGACCGTCTTGCAATCCCAGATGCCGCCTTGATTAACCGCGAGAGCCACTTCTTCGACTCGACGAGAGTGCGGTCGAAGCTGCAGTCAGCAAGGCGCACCCGAACAATGGAAGTGAGGAGCATTAGGGTATAAGGTCTCCAGCCTACTGTCGCCAGTGGAGGGCTGCAGCACCGGCGCGGCGACAGCATTACCGTGAGGGGCATGGCGACGGTTCCAATAGTGAAGGGCCATGTTGTGGCTGCTGCTCCCACGCACTGGTCCAGCACCAGGTACGCCATGTCTGGAGCTGCAGGTGAACCAAAGGGCCGCAGTGCTGTTTGGCATGCACGACGACATAGGGCAGGCGTACTAAGCACCGAGCGTTGCAGTGTTGGAACCGCCCCAAGCCGTTCTCCCTCAATCGTGCTGGGATGGCATTGTGCATGGGTGCCATAGCGGCCAGGGTCGCCGAGTAGACCGTGAATCCCACATCGGAGGACGCGCGCAGCCGGAGCCCATGGCCCAGGTCTCAGCCTGTATTAAAACACTCCCTTGCCCGCTGGCCCCAAGCACGCACTGCTGGCTCTAGCTCCCCACGTCACCTCACGGAAGGTAGCTTGCACGGTGAATGTGGTTCCGTCTCTTGTACGACCTGTGACCTCGCCACGCCCACACACAGCCATGGACTACTCGTACTTCAGCACCCCGCCGCAGCCCTACTTCATGGGCATGCCCAACAGCGGCTTCGCGCATGGCGTCGATCCTGAGACGATACGCAGCATTGTGAGTACCAGAACCGACATGGTGATGGGAACCCCGCACCTCGTTGCTAGTTCTTGGCTGAACGCTTGCGTAGGAGCCCTTGGAGGCCGGTTTCCTGTCTGGCCCGTACGACGCCTTCTCTTTCAGCCACGGCCTGCCGACGACACATGGCTCACCCGACCCAGCAATAGCAGCGACGCCGATGCAAGTCGGCAGTCTGGACAGTGGAATTGGCGGTGATGTCGAGGATAGCCGGGGGAGCCGGACGCGGAGCAGCAGTGAGGAGAAGGAGGCAGCTCTGACGCCAGCGCAGAGCAGGCGAAAAGCGCAGAATCGCGCAGCGTACGTCGCGCCTCCCCCCTCTGTGGCGCGTTGGGAAGGAATCCTCAGAAGCTGACGCCCGTTGCAGACAGCGCGCCTTCCGCGAGCGCAAGGAACGACATGTGCGCGACCTCGAGGCCAAGCTGTCGGCCCTCGAATCCAGCACCCACTCGTTGCAGTCGGACAACGAACGCTTGAAGCTCGCACTGCAGCGTGCCCGGACCGAGAACGAGATCCTTCGGGCCACGACCGGCCACTCCCCTACGTCCTCGAGACCAGTTTCCGCAAGCTATCCTTCTCCCGGTGCCCACCTTCCCGAAGATGGTGACGACGTATATAACGTGCAGGAGCTATCCAACGGAAGCGTAGTGAACAGCGCCGACAAAGACCATGCCGCCTCCCGCACGAAGAACAAGAGCCGCGAGATTCCCGCCGCCCAGACATGGGATCTCATCCAGTCACATCCTCTCGTCAAGCAGGGTCTTGTCGACATCGCCGACGTCTGCGAGCGGCTGAAGGGTGCTGCTAGGTGTGATGGCAACGGCCCCGTATTCGAGGAAACAATCGTGTGGGCAGCAATCGAGGGTTCACGAAGAAGCGGCGGCGACGAATTGATTTAACCCTTCGCCATGATCGCAACCAATATGCAAGGCGAGGGCAGCGGAGTTCTACGGTCTTTTCACGTACCTTATACCCGTTCATGACTATACTATCGAACCGTCTGCGGACGGACGACTTTTGACGACGGCGTTACACGGATTCGGGGATTGGAAATTCAATAAGCATTTGGGAGTCCTGCGGGAAGGACCTATGGCATGGAAAAGTAGTATCTCAAGGATACATTATCTTCACATCAGCACGAATGTCCATGCACATTCGTATCACTTTTACTAGGAATGCTGGACACACCCAGATAACATCAAAGAACCAAGTGCATCTCGAAAACAATTTGAGTATGTGAACTACGCATTGCTCTCTTGTGATGGAACTTAAAGATGGGTCGAACGTGAGGTCATGTCGTATGCTTGTTTGAGCACCGATCGTCATAGTACAGCGGATGGATACCAAAGGTACATGCCATGTCACATGTGGCAAGCTTCTAGTTCATGGTGCCGAGAGGCATCAAGCCATGGGCCACGAATCCGCTAGTGCACCCGGGAAAGTATCGTCGGACTTCGACGTCTTCGTTTTTGTGCTTGAAAATACTATCTGTTGTACGCTGGTCGTGGGCATGGCTGGGTGGGCAGCCGCAACTCAACTCGCGCAATTCGGGAATTGACCGAAAGAGAGCAAACTGCCCCTCATTGCGACCAGTCCTACCATTCTCGTTGCACCGATCGTCGAGCCCAATCTACTAAGACCTAGAGCTAGCAGCAACTGCCTTAAGTGGCACATCATTCGCCCAAATCACCTCCAGTGGCTTCGGGCGACCTCAGCAGGCTAGGCATGTTGGCGGTGCTCACTGGGAACTCGAGCGTGCTGAGGGCCGTCAACAACGTGGGGAGAGCCCGATGGCGCGCTCGTGATTTCCACCTTTCCAACGGAAATTTCAGGTACAAGCTCGCTGGGACGGTAGTTGGGAATCTAGATGCAAGGTGGTAGCCGGCAGGGCCTTGACGTCTCAGCTGCCAGTGCACTACTCTAGGAAGGTGCTTTCTCCCCAAGGTTTGGTTGGCTGCGTGCGTTGATGGACGGCATTGGTCGAAGTGCCCGCGGGTGGGGAACGGATGTGAATGAACAACTTTTCGGAGACTTTTGGAGTGGAAGCTGAAGCGCCGTTTCATTTCTGCAGCTGAGGGGCCCGCAAACCAAAAGCATGGATGACGAGGGCTGGAAAGCGACCTGATGTAGCATCGCCCATAGCTATGGGCGGGACACTTTCCGGTACGCGACCGTTACTGTACCTACGGCTCCTACAGAGCTTGAGCAGATAGCGGTCGGGATTGAGCGCTAACTGCGGAAAGCTGTTCCGTTTCGATCCCAACGACTTTCTGGGCGCACGTTGCAAGGCGAAGCTTGAGTGCGCAATGCGCTCAAGTGCCGTCTTGTAGAGCAAAGTGTACGCAAACCTCAAATATTTAGCATGAGTGTATGAGTGCGTGGCGTTTGATTCAGGAGAGTAACCATTTTGTCTGTTAGGAGCGCTCTTTGCTCGCAGCCACCTGAGTTACTCGCAACGATGCCTCAGGAATGTGCCATGTTACACATGGCACTTTCTTCAACTTTGCCGCCTGAAGCTTCGTAACGTTTTCGGGTAGCTGTAGAGCAATGTTTTCTGCAGTATGCCCGTGGAAAGGACGATGTTATCTGCGCGACCCGAATCGTAGCTAGTGGGTGGTAACAAAGGCGATTGACGTCGGCCTTGCCGTGACCAATGACAATGTGTTAGACTCAGCGTGAGGGCTTCGTAACTTCTGCGCGGAGGAGCCATCAAACCGCAGCGATACCCAGAGTCATCCCCTCAACCGTTATAGCATCGGCGATCGAGCCGCAACCCGTGGCAATGGCTCCGCTGTAGGGCCGACCCCTATTGCTGAAGACAGACGGGATGAACCTTAGGTAGACCAGCGATCTTGTTTCTGCGACCGATTGGAGGGATGTAGGAGTGACATGGCGACGGCTCACCGCCCAGTACTTTATGGCATCCTGGTCTCAAGTATGGGGGATCGTCCATATCATATTGAAGGATCCCACACTTCGAAGCGAGCCGCGGCTTTGGTCGGGCGTAGAGACAAGCTAACGCGTGACGAGCGCACAGGAAACACGCCGCCGGCCGCATCTTGGGCTTCATTTCTCAAAGCGCTCCGTGGTGCATACAAACGATGTCGATGTTGTTGGTATGGGGCCAAAGCATGGGCCTGCGTGCATATTGGCGAGAGCGCTTGCTCGATGAACCCTGTTGCTGCTCAAGATGATGATCCTTCAGACCCCTCCTCGGCTGGATGTCAGCAGCTTCTGCGGGATGTCAGCTCAGCGAAATTTGTGTGTGACGACTTAAGTAAGCCGATGGGAGCCAGGGTGGTAGTTAGATAAACCAGACCCCGGTCGATGCCGACGCAGGTAAGCACGCGGGGTCGCGATATTGGTATTCGCTGGTGGCTGCACAATGGTGGGGCTTGACTGCAATGTTTCATCCATCGTATGTTCAGTGCATTTGAGCCTGCATCTATCCACATCTCTCCCGTGTCGTCGCTCACTTGAGCCGCGTTATTGAAGTGGCCGGTGTCCGCATTGTTGCCCCTCTTCAGCCCGACTTGTCTATCGAAGGACCGGCATATGGACTCAGTTCCTGAGTCGGACTATTGTGTAGATGGTCTTGTTCTGGGTTATTCCGAGCGTCTGCAGAAAGCTCGGAGCGGTGTGAACAGTTACCGAACTTCACCGCGGCTCTATTGGTGCCCATACAACTGCCTCAGTCCCAGTCACTATCGTCCGGGTCCGCAGCTGATTCGCCCCGTCTTATCTTGCTCGTACTAGTATCAGCATCTACATCCGCCTTGTTACGACGCAGGCGTGTATCCCCAATGCGCACAGCACCGATGTCCACCAATAACTGTTCCACATCTGCAACAAGTCGCGTCAGCATAGGTCCCCGAACAAGATGGATGACTGTGTGAGAGGGTGCAGCATGCGCAGACATAGCCTGTGTAAAGCGCAATAGCCGCGCTGTAGGGCCACGCAAGTGCAGCGAAGGGCCAATCTAGCATGGCGGGGGGACTTTCGGGGCGAACAAGTGGCGTACCTTCAGCATTGGTCTGCGTCCCACGCAGCTCGCGCAACGTCACCAGCTGCTTCTTGATGTCACCGTCTTTGTAAACGAGCACCGTCGGCGTGTTTTTCTCGGGATATCCCTCTATGCATAGGTCCGCGCGCATCTGGCAGAACTTGATGTCGCCAAAGCGCTGCGCAAGTTCTCGCCAGACGTCAATCATGATTCGGGACTCGCCGTTAGTGCCATGCGACGAAGTCAGTAGCACCAATATATAGGCCTTGCTGGAGGCCTCGGTGACGTCTCGCGAGTAATCGGGCTTTTGAAGGTGATAGACCTGATTGTAGACCGAAGCAGTGTTGATGGTCGATAGCTCCTGCAGACGCTTCTTCCTGTTGGGCGTCAGACCTGCACTGCTACACCAAAGTCACGCGGGCCAGAGAAGTACCGGTAATGCTCGAGGAACTCATCGTCCTCGTCGTCTTCAAGTTCGGCGAGCTCATCCAAATCTTTCCCCTCCAGTCTGTTCTCATGTGCTAGTCTGCGGGCTTCCTCAAGTGCTTCTTGTATCATAGGTGTCGGCGACGGAGGCTTTTCGGGGATAACGCCGTGCTTGCGGAGGATATCGTTCCTGCTCTCGTCAGCCCACACGTCGAAGGCAGTTTGGAAAGCAGAGGCTCACCATTCTGTATCCGCATTGGGATCATCGACCGGTACATTAACGGGCATATCTGGCATCTGCATGGTTACAGAATGGTACTGGAAGCGGCAGGCGCGAAGGCGGGTTTGTAGCTGTCGTGCTGATGCGATGCTGGGTTTCGAGAAGAGCGAATGCCGCAGACGTATGTGTAATGTACGTGATTTATATGTTGTTGATGTTGCGGCTGCCTGGATGGAGCGACACTGACGACGACAATAGAGGCCTGAGGTTGCCTTGAGAAATTGTGCGCCTCGGTCGTGCCTGCCATTGCACCCCTGCAGATCTTTCTTCACCCCGCCCCCGCCTTACGTCACCCTCAATCCGACAGCAGCCACAACACCATGCTCCAACACCACCTCTACAAGGAATTGCGCAGCAGTGGACATACCTCATGCCCATCTACTGCTGCAGCGCATCGTCGCGTAGACTTTGTAGAGTAGCGTCTTTCCGAGAAGTCGCCGAATAGCACCCTTCATCCGTACCATACCAGCGACAAGGAGAGGAACTCGACCTCATCCGATCTCTGCATGATCACATTGAGACCTATCATTAATCTTTGCGGGCGGATAACGCCATGCCCTCGTTAGTCCTGCTCGAGCCTGAGTCCTGAACCTTCAGGCAGGGCTGCAGTCTGGTCACGTGCCTCTAGTCTCGCCCGCCCATAACACATTCACCACCATTCCAACCCCACGACATTCACACGTGAACGTTGCGAGTACCACTCAAGGCCAGCAGCTGCAGCACTTCGGGCGCAGACCTTCAGCCTATCGTACCCACAAGATTAGTCCGAGAGCTCCTTCGCGCGAGCCACGCAAGGCTCCAATAGCAGTGCTTACGCCCTGACCCTCTTCGAGAGAACGAGCTCTGGACACTCTAAACGCCCAAAAGGCGAACTAAATGAGGCGTGACCAAATCGGATACGTTTGCGCTTACTTCCGCCCACCCTCGACCCGGGACACCGTAAAGACCAGGCATGCGGATTCCGCACGCCAAGACGTTCAGCTCGACATGTGAATGCTTAAGACGCCACTGGGCGCCTTTCGCCTTGTCTTGATCAGGCCTTACGAGCTGCCATGCATGAGCCCTATCAGCCATCGTACGTGAGTCTGCTTGCAATAGCCTCATTAGGACAAAAATCCAAGCCCTTACCGTACCGCAATTGTTTTACAACATTCCAATGATGCACCGCTGCCATCAGCAACTGGTCCATGGAAAACTGGAGAAGGGGGGGTTGATGGTCACACATTAGACGCGACTGATGTTGGGCTGTAGAGTAGACATACTGGTACCATGAACGCAGTGAGAATGAGACTTGAATTTTGACGTTTTGATATTTTTTTCTGCCTTTCTTCTACATGTACTGTTGTGATAGTAATAACAAGAACGCCCTCGATGCGTCTGCGATACTCGCGATACCTCTCCACCAGGGAAAGGCTCATTATCGTCTGAGTACGACAACCGACCACCGACCGCCGGTAACTGTCCAAAGCGCCAAACCATCTCGTAGAGTCCACCATCAAGCTCCCACCTAGGCGCGCTTCTTCCTCGCCGCTGCTGCCGCCGTCCTCGCCGCCGCCGCCGCTTCCTTCTCAGCTTGCTTCTTCTCCTTCGCCGCCTGCTTCTCAGCTTCCTTCCTCTCTTTCTCAGCCAGCTTCTCAGCCGCCTTCCTCGCCTTCTCCTCAGCTTTCTCCTTCTGCGCCGCCTCCCTAGCGAGCCTCTTCTCCCTCTGCCGGTCCGTCTCCTGCTTCTTGAGGCGCCCAGCACGATCAAGATTACCCTTGTTGTTCGCAGTCTTGGTGCTCGCGCGGTAGATAGGATTGTCGACAGTCTGCATTAACAAGTCGCCGCCCTGGACGCAGTCGTTGGCAATAGCCTTGTTGTGCTTGAGGATACCGCAGATGCGCTCCAGGCGGCCTTCGATGCTCTCGTTGAAGATGTCCTTGAGCTTGCCGCGGACGAAGGCGCGGCGGTTGTAGTCGTAGCCGTACCAGCCGCGGCGGTGGACACCGATGCACGCGTCGAAGATGTGGTGCGCGGTCGCTTCGAGATCTTCCTCTTTGAAGTGGTGGATCTTGCTGAAGTTTGTGGCGATGACGGAACCCTTGTTGTCGAAAATGAGGTCGACGTTGATCATGGCGTCGTAGATGCGCTTGGTCCAGTAGTAGCGGCCGTACTTCTGGACGCGGTCGATGTCCTTTGCGATCTTGGCTGGGTGGCGGATTTTCTTGCGGTGGGCTCGCGCTTCCTCGGCGGTCTTGAACATGTATCGGTAGGGAGCGTATTGGACTTTGCGAGGGAGGTATTTGGTGTCCTTTTTGTCTCCCTTCTTCCCCTTACCCTTGCCCTTGGTGGTGGTAGCCGCTTGTTCCTCGTTTTCTTCTTCACCTTCGGCCGGATCGGCCTCTAGATCGTCGTCAGGCTCATCGTCACCTTTCCTGAGAGGCTCTTGGTACCAGTCGAGCGCCCATGGTTTCTCCTCGAGCGTCTTGCCCACGTTCGGCAAGATCGCGGAAATCGTCTCAGGGCCAACCTCGGGCTCATAACGGTATTGCGCGAGAGTGTCGGCGATCTCGTCACGGCGCGCAATCATGTCGAGGAACTCATGGCCCTTCCCAGCAAGTTCTTCGCATGTGATGTTGTTGAAGTCGAAATCAAGTTCGTTGCGGAGAGCTTCGAGAGCCTCGTTGTCGTGAACGATTGCAGAAGGCATGGGACCGGAGACGTTGTTGACTACGTCCCTGCCAGTCATACTCATTGCAGCCTCGTAGTTGAAGGTGGGAATGAAGTGAGGGTTCTCGTGGATCATTCGATCGAGCTGGCGGTTCCGGCCGACGCTCAAACGTATGTTCTCCGGCAGGCTGTTCAGGAAGCGTTGGGAATGTTCAGTGAGTGGTCGAATAGGACTGATAGGGCTAGTAGGGCTGCTTGGTTCGGTAGAGGCGACGCCGCGAGGGCTGTCCGAGACAACTTGAACTGGGCTGGAGGCAACCTCAGGGCCAGCAAACGTCAGTGATGAAGAGAAATTTTCTTGGTGATCCAAGGGGCCCGACATGAGCGGGAAGCCCGAATTGCCAGCCCCGGCGCCGGATCGGCTCGATTCTCCATTGTAGTACTGACCAGCAGTACCTAGGTCTTGATTAGTATGAGATTGCAGACAGCGTCAAGGTATAATGTACCATTGCTCTCGAAGAACGGTGAGGGTTGGGCCCCATTAGCGAGACTGGCGAAATTGGCGAAGTCCGCATCATCAGCGGTAGCAAACGGGTTCAACCCGTTGAAGTTGTTGTGGCCGTAGTACTGGGACATCGCGAAAACTGAGAACCGGTCTCGAGTTGTAAATTGATATCGAAGAATAAGAGCCCTGCTCAAGAACGACGGCCAGCGCCAGGAGAATTGAATTAATACCGTCAAGGTAGTTTATGAAAAGACAAATAAGAAGAGCAATGAAGAGCAGTCCAAAGAAGTGTTCTGGGGAAGAAGAGAAGCGTGCGGGTGAGGATGAAGTCTAAGAGCTTTTAACGGACGGCTGCAGTGGGGCGCTCATTGTGCGCGATCAGCGACAATACCAGCCCTCGTTTTGAGGAGTGGGCCGTGAGTGATGAAAGTGAACAACTTCAGTGCTATTGTCCGAGGAGGTGTGTGGGCGATGAATAGCATCTGACGTCCGTGCACTCACCTTTCACTGGCAGCGAGAAAGGCGCGCGAGCACGCAAGCCGGAAGAAGGGCAGCGGTGTATAACCCCCAGAAGCGATCAACAGTAGTTGATAGTTCGAAATCAGGATTGTTTGTCGGGCTGGGCCACCGTTGCGCAAGGATTGAGGCACCGCAAAGTCGGTGCAGCAACATGCCGTTAGACCGCGACCGTCACTGAGGTAGACCAAACTTGGTTTGATCTATGAAACAAATTGTATAGCCCCTGTACGGACTTTGTATGTGAGATTGATCAATACAACAAGAGCATTCTTGCGCTGCTAGCGTGCAAAATGTTGCAAACGATCGAGTAAGCGACGATCTGGGAAATCACCGCTGCAACAGTGCAATGGATGCATCACTACGCGGAAGTTTGTAAGAGTATTGGAAAGAGCCCAATTGATGGTCGTTGAACTATACGCAGGCCATGACGTCATATTTCCGTTCGCAATCTCATCTCCTCTACCCGTGTGTCCAAGGCATACCCGAATGTTTAATGCATTATTCGGCCTATGCATAATTGTTTGCGTTGATGTGGTGCAAGCATCAACGTCTCAGATGGTTATCTCGGAAAGACTCATGAAATTGGCATACCTCCTATGCAATGATATCTAGCACTTATTCGTACGGTGGCTTTCCTCTCGGTGCCCTCATGACTCTGTGTATCTTACACTCCCGTGATGCCCATTACTCCTTCTCCTCATGCTTCCACCCCAGTATCCTCTCAGCCTTTTCAATCGTCCAGAACCCCTTATTACCCTCAAGCCCCTTCCTTATCTCCGCCTCAGGATAGTACTTCTTCGCCAGCTCCGCCGAGGTCGTCTCCTGCGTTGTCTCTGGCGCCACAATATTGAACACCTCGCATCCTTCATACGCATCTGCCTTCTCAACGCTCAAAAGACATGCTCGCGCCACCGCCGCCGGACTCACCCACGCCCACAGCTGTCCCACGGCAGCTGCATTCCAATTCTCCTCATGCTCTTTCTGCACGTCCTTCTTCGGCGCCACCTCATGGATTCGTAGACAAGCAATCTTGGTCCCTGGAAACCAGTTCACGAAAGCCTTCGCCTGCGTCTCTGCTTCGACCTTGGCGAGAGCGTACGCGTCAGTGGGGTTAGGCGGGTACTCCTCATCGATGGGGAAATACTTGAACTTCAGCGGTTGATTGGCGTAGGCGAGTCCAATAGCGTTGACCGAGGACGCGTAGCAGATCTTCTTGATGCCGAGTTCGCCGCAGGCGCGGAAGCCGTTGAATGCGGATTCCACATTGTTGCTGTGTACCATGAAGTCGGGTTTATCTACGGGATCGGGGATCGCTGCAAGATGGATGACGGCGTCGCAGCCTTTGAAGGCTTGAACGGTGGCATCGTAGTCGTTTGCTGTGTCTGCGGTACGGTACTTGGAGTTCTTTGTGCCGTCGGGCTCCTGCTCGGTGCGGTTGACCTGGACGATGGAGTGGCCTGCGTCGACGGCCGCTTTGACGACGTATTGGCCGACTGTGCCGCGTGATCCTGTGATTGCGATTTTCATGTTCGGGTTTGGTGTTTGGGTATAATGGCGGATGAATCGCAGTGATGGGGCCCGGCGAGTGAGGGCTTTTAAAGTCTGCATCGGGAAGGAGCGGATGAGTGACGTTTTGGTGAGAAAAGGCTCTTGGCTGTCAATTGAGTTATACCTAGGTACCTTCTGGACGCCATTGGTATGGAATTGGCAAGCACGGTGCAGGTGTGCTCTAAAAGTGATGGATTTGTGACGTCAGTGTATAGACCCTCAATTTTCCGTCCCAAGTTCAAGTTAACATAATCGTTGCAGCACCGAGCAACAAACATAATAGCACCATGGCGCTGTCGTGCCCTACCCTTCTTCCCTCACTATTCTGGAATACACCCGGCTGTGGGCTCCTCGTTTGGTTTGGCCCACCGCTTCCAGTCCCATTGACTAACATAGACTCGCTAATACCATCCCACAGCTTGCAAAAACTGTAATCAATATCTTCGAAAGTCAGTCCCTCTCCAGTTGCAACCAGTCCCTTTGTTCCATTACTACTGAAAGTCGGCCAGACACCAGGTAGCAGCGGAGAATCTGGACTCTGGGCCCTCGCCATAGCTGTCCAAGCACTCGACACCGCATCACTGATGTTCTTCTCGGCTGCTGAGAAGCTGCAGGTACCGTTGGGCGGAGGCAGGTGTTCTGTGTTCCGTAGTACGAACGGAATCTCGGAGGTATGTGCCACACCAAGAAGCTCAAGTATCTGGGAGCTGATGCCGCTGCTGAGCTCCGGTAGCCAAGGACAGCTTGGAGCCGTGTCCCACACATAAGCATAGGCAGGAACGCCTTTGGCTGTGGCTCGTTTGAGACCTCGTTGCGCGGAACATGTGTATGACGCGTGGGTCCAGATCGCAGTCATAGCGAAGTATGGGGCAAGCGAAGCAGAAGAGTCATTCGCGAATCGAGAGATTGGATAATACGACTTCACCGCCGCCGCATATGGGCCAAAGTTCGACTCGATGAGGCTGGTGTAGTTGGCTTGCGTCGGCGGGAAATTGTTCTGGTAGGCCCCCAGGATGAACAGTGAACCATCATTGGATGTGGATCCGAAGATTGCAGGAACGCGACTGCCCACTGCGGCCGGGTCTTCTGGGACAACCTTGCCATCAATCACCGACGCAAAGCCCTTTGCGTAACCGAGCGGGATCGTTGCTGAGGTCAATTCGACCGGGAAGGAAGCATTGAGCTCTTGTGGTGACTTGGACCGCATACAGTCCAGGTCATCAAGTGCGCAGCCTAGGTTCTTGACGAATGCCTTGAAGTAAGGCTGGGCTTCAGCATATGGAGCGGATCCTCTTCCTCCGCCAGATTCTGCAGCCACGGCGGATATGAGCGAAGGAGCTTCCGCAAGCGTGCTGATGAGGAAGGACAATGCAGCGCCCGCGGATTGCCCGAACAATAATACTTTGGACTGCTCTTCGTCAGTAATTTATGCAGTCTCTGCTGGAATCGACTTACGTGATCACCACCGAATGCCTCGATGTTATCCTGCACCCAACGAAGCCCCAGAAGCAAGTCCTGTACCGCGTAATTACCCGACAGTCCTGCGTCTTTGAGAGCTAGAAAGCCAAGCGGGCCTAGTCGGTAGTTGATAGACACAACGATCGAATCGGTGGCAGCATTGCACCCATCGTAAAGCGGGTCGCTGATTCCACCAGCCGTGTTGCTCCCACCGTAGACCCATACCTTCACCGGCAGCTTCGAGCCGCTGCTGGCATTCTTCGGTGCCCAGACATTAAGATACAAGCAGTCCTCTGACCAAGGCTGAGGTTCAGTGAAGAAGTCGCCGCCAAATTGAATGCAGGTAGGTGCGGTTTTTGTTCCGTCTAAGGTCCCGTTGAACTTTTGATCAAAAGGGTGGGGCGCGGCAAACCGGAGGGATCCCAGCGGTGGTTGTGCGAATGGAATGGCATGGTAGTAGTTCGCCGCTGAAGATGGACATGATCCTCCTTGGACAGTACCGTTGGAAACAGTGATGCTTTGCGCAAGCGCGCTCGGCGCAAGCAACGCCATTCCAGTGGTACGTAGCCGCATGTTTGGAGGTCGGGGTGGCGAGGGACGGTGAAGCTTTGCAATATGGTCGTTAGAGAGCTAAAAGCAGCTGACCAGTCGACTCCTACGGTGCCCTGCTTCTATAACGAATTCTTCGTTCAATATATAGTATCTGGATCGTGGCGGTTGAGTCCGGGTCGATGGCACGTCAGATCCGTGCTAAGATGCGATTGGTCGGTACCTGAGGCTGTGAGCGATCTCCGCTTACGGGGTCTACGCGCAGCCTACCCCTTTCAGTAAGGACGGCCCCCATCGCGCCATCGGGCTACCAAAGATGATTAGAAAAGATGACGTTGGTATGCTGTTGTTGTCTGGCGGCGGGGATTAAGGTACAGTAGCTTCATAACAATGTGTCGTGCCATCGACTTTCGCGTGGAGCAGTGGAAACCCGTTTGATCGTAATCACAGTTTTCCCGGGCCAAAAGTCCTTGAGCTGCTCGAATCAAAGCATTCGATGTAGGCACCGGTTACTCTAGGGTATCCTCTTACTGATACCAGCTCTCGAACTTTGCCCCCTCGCTGTTCTTATCCTCTTCTTTAGGAGGTCTATCGGTTTCCCATAAAGATCTCTCGTACTCCTCTTCCTCTATGTCCTTCCTGTCAGGGCGCTTCAACCACTCAAGCCATTGTTCCTTCGTGATACGCGGTTCGCTATACACTAAGCCCATACCCGTAGGTTTGAATACTCTTTCCCTCAGGTCCACCATCCAGTCCCATGGATAACCCCAAGCTAATTCGGTATCTCCATATCTTGGTTTGAACTGTATCTGGAACGTCTTGAGAACAGCCTCGCGGGCTACGGCCTCACTTATAATCTTCTCAACCCAGAGAGCCGCTGTTTTCCCAAAGCCATGCCAGTCTTCGTTGTGCTCGTCAAAGACTCTGAAGTCCCAGCAGAAGGTTTTGAGGCTTGGACCTAGGATGTTTGCATCATCAGCCTGAAATTCCACAGATACTTGGGACATCTGCCATCTTGACAGTCTCAGGTACTCGAGGTGTGGAAAAAGCGTTGCGTTGAAAAGTCGGCGGTCGCCACGCTCTGAAAGATGGCCTATGGCAACATGTTTAAGGGTGTCTTTGTGTATGAGTAGCCAAGATTCGAACATGGGGTAGTCTAAGATATATGGGTATCTGAGCAAACTACCAAACTCGAAACGCGTGAGTGCAGCAGGCCATTGGATGAGCAAAGACGTCATGCTAGGTCTCTCTGAATAGCCAGCGAGACAGAGGGATGTAAATGGAGCAGCGCGACGTTTCTATGGCTGTATTAGCACTTGTACCGACCGCAACTCCCACTGAGTGGTTACCCAATGCGATACTCAACGGACACTCGCTGACCTACCTCATGATCGAGCTCAGTAATTTCTTTCCGAGATCTATGCATCCGAAGAATGACCAGAACCTTCAATTTGGGAAAATTGATATACTTGAAGATGTCCCTGAGTTCCAAACCAAGCAGTTCTGCTGAAAGTTCCAAATGTTCAATGTCTTTACAATGGGCGCTAAACCGACTGAGAAGAGCCCATGTTGATTTAAGGTGTCTTTCATTGGGTCCGTTCTTGAAACCACCCAGGATCGAGAGACAACGCAGCCTGTTCAGCCCGAGTGCGAAGTCATCTGCTACGCGATCGTTTCTCGGCAGATAATCCAGACGAAATGTATCAGGAGCGTACAGGTGTAATGATCTAGCCGCGAAGAAGAAGGTCAGTTCTGCGGATTACGCGCTGCAAAGGGTAAATGAGCACCTGCAATGCCCTCTCAAGTGAGGCTTCTCTTTTAGGGTCTGATGGAGTCTGCGATACAATCTGCTGGGAACTGTCGATTGCCGTTGGAGGTAAATCTCTCGCACGAGCACCAGTTGAGCAACGTCCGAAAATCTGCGACACACCTGCGACAGTGCTTTCAGACGCCCGTAGCTCCATTGGAGGTGTCGAGTGTTATTACTCAATGAACATTCCCCGCATATACTAGCATCAAAAGACTTCGAAGGAGGATTCCTGGCTGCAAGCTCGATTATCGGGTAGAGCAATTCGTTTGGGAGTCTCAAAATGTAGGTTTGCGTGGCAGAGTTTGATGTGATACCATACGTATGTGGCACTGGGGATGCGGGGTAGGCCCTCGTGAGAAGTTGGGCTGAAGAGGCACTGGGGTGGGCTTGTTGATAGTCTGGCATTATGACGGGACTTTAAACCAAGATGCGGTGAGGAAAATTTGCGGTGCAGTAATTGTGAGTACGCATGTGTCAGGTTGTAGGTCGAAAGGGTGCGGTCATGATGAAGAATTATGAGCCATCCGCGCTAGTATGTTACACTGTTTTATCGAAATCCGGTCTAGCGTGTCTGGTGGTTCCTCCCCATAAGAATTCGGAAGCATCCCAGAGCGACCCTACCACAATCACGCGGCGGATGATTCTCAAGCCCCAGAGTGAACTCGAATCGCCAGCTTTCGATATGGTTTTACCTTTCCTACTTTTCCAACAATGGGCGACTGTTGCAGCCGCAACGAACGACAACCCGAAGACTGTACCGTGCAAAGCATCGTCCTTTACAGACCCAGTCATTCCAGGCGCCAAGGTACTCTCCATAAAAGCAGAAGAGAGGCGAAATTTTGACATACCTGCCGTTCCTGGACTTCTTGAGCCAGTAACCGACCTCAACTTCTGCGACGTGCAGATGTACCTCACCCACCCAGGATCCAACGACAAAGTACTTGTAAAGACATGGCTACCGCTCACGAGAGAACTCTGGAACGATCGTTTCCAAGCGATAGGTGGTGGTGGCTGGGCAACGGGCATGCTCGATCTCTCGCTCGGTCCGGCGGTCGCAACCAGCTATTCCGCATCATCCACAGACGGCGGACATCCAGTTGATTATTTCAGTGCGGACTGGACACTGAATGAGAATAAGAGCGTCACTTGGGATCTCCTGCAGAACTTCGGAACGCGAAGTCTAGCAGACATGATCCATGTCGGCAAGAGCCTTACTGAGCAGTACTATAGTCAAAAGCCGCGCTACTCGTACTGGAATGGATGCTCTCAGGGTGGCCGACAAGGTTATGCCGTCGCTCAGAGATATCCGGACTTACTCGACGGCATTTTGGCTGCAGCACCAGCTTTGAGATTCCCAGCGCTTACGATGTCTTTCCTCTGGCCAAACCTTGTCATGAAGGAGATGGGAACAGTGGTCAGCAATTGCGAGTTCAACTGGTTCGCCGCGAAAGCCCTTGAAGAATGCGACATTCTGGATGGAGCCAAAGACGGAGTCATCGGAGACCCGGAGACCTGCACGTTCGATCCACGAACGCTCATCGGACAGAAGTTAGAATGCTCCGGTATCGAGATCGAGGTCACAGAAGCCATGGCAGATGTCGTGCACAAAGTTCATGAGGGTCCCACTACGCCATACGGTTCGAACGTCTTCCCAAGTCTTACTCACGGAACATCTCTCAGCACATTTGTGAATGCTACCACTAACCCCGACGGCACTCGCACCTTGAATGACCCTGGTCTCGACGTTTTCGCTCGAACTGTGCTCTTGAGAAATTCGGACACATACAACGTTGCCAAACTGACCCCAACCGAATTTTGGTCCCTCTGGGTGCAAACAGACGAGGAGTATGGCTGGATCATGGACGGGGATAACCCAGATCTTTCCGCTTTCCGCGACGCAGGCGCGAAGCTGCTCAGCTGGCACGGCACCAATGACGACATCATTCCTCACAAGACCACTAACAAATATCGCCAGCGCGTTGAAAGGGAGTTAGGAGGTGCAAAGGCTGTGGATGAGTTCTACAGGTTGTTCCTCGCTCCAGGTGTAAAACACTGTGGGTTCGGTAATGGCGCAGTGCCAAAAGATCCACTCGAGACTCTACGAGATTGGGTGGAGAAGAGCGAAGCGTCTGATACGCTGGCAGCGGAAACCCGGAGCGAAGCGGACGAGCTTGTGACAAGAAACTTGTGTCGGTACCCCAGAACACTTAAATACCTAGGCACAGGAGACGTGAACAGGGCAAGTAGCTGGAGCTGCGTGGGCGGTGATGGGGACGCGGTATTGAAAAACGGAGAGAAAACTAGAGACGAGCTGTGAACAACCTTTATGGGCGTTTTTACGAACCTTCGGAGGCAAGTTTTGATTATCAGCCAGGAGTAGGCGTTTAGATAGAGAAAAATGTGGTTGCTTTCAAGCGCAATGGATGATTATTCTGCCAACTACCACATCTTCCTATCTTCAAATCATTTGCACATAAACCCTCTTTCCCACCCATAAACTTCCCATCTCTCCATTTGCAATCCACATAGTCTCCCCGGCAGACTACTCATGAAGGCTTCAACCCCCACATTTCCTAGAACACATCTGACAAAAAATGCGGAAGGAGGATTGGGGCGGGGGAGAGAGAAATGAGGCAAGGTTGCGGAGGCACTTAGGAATTAACCATCTGATAACCAGACTTAGACGGTCATAAACATAACATTCGTAACATCTCTGCATCATACACATACATTGCGTCGCTCGGCACCAGCCCAAAAGACTCGCCTTCACTCTTACACTGCCCCCAATCTCACTTCCTCTCATCTCCCTCCTTCCACCCCGCCTGCGCCGGACTCTCAAGCGCCAACGTCTCATCCGTATCCACCCTCCTCACAGCATCCACATCCTGCACATGTATCTCAGGACGTTCAAGCTCGTCTGCTCCCTTCTCCACAACCGTCTCGCCAGGCGAGAGGGAAACACCCTCATCCTCCTTCGCCAACGAACACCAATGCTGCGTAACCGGCACCGCACCATCCACATTCCGCCACTCCTCCTCCTCAGCAAGAACCAGCGTGTTCTTATGAACCTGCAACAGCCCGTCTTCAGCCCAAGCATCCACGCCCCGATGCGCCGCCTTCCTCCGCCGCTGAAAGCACCGGATGAGGCTCTCCAGGAAGACGTTCGCGAGGATGATCAGCGTTCCCAGACCAATCGTCAGCGCAAGCCCGTACGTATTGATGGAGCTAAATTGTCCGCTTGTCTTTGCCCTGATCATCGAGCACAAGTTGCGGTAGTTGCTGTCCGGCACAACGAGGAACTGCTTCGCGCCTTGGGAGGAAGGGCCGCGGGCGTAGTCGACGATAATGCGTTGTATCTCCGTGAGGACGCGGTTGTGCATGTCTTGGAGCTCGATGATCCACTGATTCTTTGGCAGCGGCATTTGTACGCCATCGTTGCTCGTGTCGTCTGCCAGAAGCTGAATCGGCTGAAGTATAATAGCATTGTTGGCGTAGACGGCATTGATGAGCAGGTCGACAATAGCAGACTGCATGGGCGACAAATCGAGGTCGAATTTCGCGGCTGCGGTTGCAGGAACGATCCCCGCGAGGGAGGTACATGCTCCTTCTGCATCTCCTTTCTTCGGATTACAGAACTGAAATTGCTCGACACAGCCTAGCGGCGAGAGAAGGTGATCGCTGAAGTAGTAGGTACGGTTTACGGGTCCAGGGTTCGGACGGTGCGCCGAAAACCAGGGGTCATCGATAGGCTTTGCGAAGTTGACGGCATGCGCAGCGAGGAACATCATGTAGATGTCTCCGTCTGTCGTATTAAATTCTTTTCGCGGTAAGTATGACGAAGAGCTTGGAAATGGTAGACGTGAGTCGAGGCGGTAGTATCTCTGGGTGCTAAATCGCCGTCAATTAGTTGAGGTGAAAGTGTCATGAATAGAGAAACACATACACCATCGAGTAGCCCGTGAAACTTTGAGATAGGCGGTTGGTGTTATCGCTAACTGCTTCCGCAACATAGTCTGTGTCGTTGTACCAGGGGATCGTGCCCCAATTCCACTTGATGCGGTATTCATCTTCACCCATCGGACCGGTAGTGTTCTCCCTTGTTGTCCATAGATCAGGCTGCAAAGGCGCACACGTGGTGACTTTACGAAAGTGGACATTGTCTTCACGGGTATTGATTCCAAGGACGTCGTTGGTGTCCATGTTGCCGGTGTCCATCTGTAGATTCTCATTGCCATAGATGCAGGTCTGATTGTCGAATGGGCATGAGGCATTCATGTGAGAGGTGTAAGGGATGGCTTTCGTCGTGAAGGCCTCACACATAGGTGAACTTGTCTCGCTGGTGGTGTTGTAGCAGGCACGAGCGTAGATGCGACCAAACTCAGTGACCCCACCGATGTATTTGGCATTCTCAATCATGAACCCGTTGTCGCTGGCTTTGACTGTCTCTGCATCTGGCACTTCCCAGATCCCACATTCTGCATTTGTCAGCTGGGGGCTTCTTGCAAATACTGAGTGCACTGTTTCGAAAGAACTTACCGTCTCCCCTCAGCAGGATATTCACTTGACTTGTCTCCATGATATTGGAAGACAAAATACCCGTTGCGGTCAACAACACCATGAACAGAAACGGCACAAAGATCGGCAACCCGCTCACTCTCCACCACGCCTTCTTCTCTTTCTTGTAGCCCTTGGCATGTCGCCACGCCCACGCAATGCGTGTCAGAGTCCACAGTGTCTGGCCAGGAGATCCATTATTTCTAATGGACATATCCTGCTGATACCTCAGAGCGGCATTGTACTTTCGCCTCCCAGAAAGCCGGAGCTGGTACCAGATGAACGCAGCGATGCCCCAGAGATGCTGACCCGCGAACTGGACGAAGAGAGCGAGGAAGGCAACGAGAATGACGCCATTCTTGGAGGAGATGGTAATGTTGGTGCCCTTGATCGTACCCTTGGAATGATCTTTCCAGGAGCCGATGAAAACGTCTGCGTACGAGACGTCGGCTGGTGAAGCCATTGTGTAGATAGAAATCGAGTTCGTAGCACTTGCCTGGTTCGACACTGTTCAACACGGCTCTGGCGAGGATCATATATCCCCCTCTCGAAGGTGCAGTATCTTCTGGACCCCAGTACCATATCCCACATGTAGTAAGCCTTGCGCAATGCCGGGAATCTCCATACATGTGGTCATTGGCTGGGATAGATTTGTTTCGTCGAAACATATCTTTCAGCTGCAGTCAACTTGGGCTGCAGTAGGGCTGGTCCAGCCTAATTTCGTTCCTGTCTCCGCCCGCGTGCAACGGGATTGATCTACCCCGAGGCCGCCCATGATTGGCCCGCCAAATATACATGGGGTAGACGGCGCGTAGGTGCAGCAAAGCAACCACGCTTCGATGAAAAAGAAGGCATCGCCATGTGTAAGACGAACCATGTGTGGTTGCTTTAAGGTTATTTTCGCCTCATCCCGCATCTTTTTCCGCGTTCTCGCTGGGTCTGCGTCGCTTCTGATACCTCCGTAGATAATGCAATGCTGGGGCTGGGTCCCGTTGTTAATCTGTGATGTTCCCAGCTTGCATCCACGAGTTTGAGCCCCTGCCTGAGGCCGGCTAATATAGCCATGCACCCCATGGCCAAGACCATGGTTGAGATAGGGGCCGAAAGTGAATGTTCGGATCTCGAATTGCCATGCCCGAGCGGAAGGGACTGGAGTGGTACAAGTGGGCTTCTGAGTTGACCTTGAGGGCGGACTGATGGTCGAACTGCGAGAAGCAAGAGCGAATCGAGCCCTCTATCATGGAAATTGAAGGTTCCGACCTGGTCCGCTCAGCTGCGAAAGCTATCTCGAAGATCAGCGCGCCCGTTGAACCACCCACATTGTTACTATTTAGAGGGGACTCTAGTGCTTCTAATGATGGTTTGGTGTGACGAATGCACACGTAGCGTACCTCTGGCGCACCTATTTTCAACGACCGAGCAGAGCAAGCCCAACTCAATAGTCAGTCCGCCGGGAAGCATGGGGTGTGCCCGGATGTGTGGGAAGCCATCGGAGAATTCCATCCTTCGAACAGTGCGCAGGGCCCTCAATGGACGGCAGGAACCGTGGTCTCACCTCAGCCGTTGGGAACCCGCCAATCGTGTCTTCGCGTCCCTGTGTGCAGGGTTTTGGGGCCAAAAATAAGACCCTATGTGCTATCGGATGACGTCCACAGTGCTCGAGAGTGTCGTCTTGACTCGCGTGTCTGCCGTTCTTTCTCGTGACTTCGCATACACTACTGTAAGCTGTTTTGACCACATGAACCGATTCTCCCACACCCTTGAGTACCTGGCGCTTGTGACACGGCTTTCGGGCTGAGGTAAGGCATATTTTGTGCCACAACATTCGCTGTTCCTGAGTGCAGGACTGATTCGCGTACCTGCAGACGCCATTATTCTTGCGTGTTACGTCATTCCACCGAACGAAATGAGAATTGAACTGGGTTCGCTGATAATGGTATACATTCTGTGAAGGAAGTTGATCATGGGAGCGATGGGGAAGTCTGGGCAGTTGAAAGCACTACATGGAACTAGCGGTCTAGCGCAACGTTGGAAGGCAAGGGCCACCAAGGCCGGAAGGTGCCTTTTCACGGCAACATAGGGGAAAGGGACGACGGGGATATGTCATACCATCTAAGAATTATTTTCCATTCTAGTAGTAAGTTACAGGAAGTGGAGAGGAGGAAAGGGTATGGAGCAGAAGCATGTAGGCGCACGCTCCGTCAAAAAGACTTCGCGAGCCATGCCCAAAACCAACAAAACGGCACACCAGTCTATTACAGCGCCGAACCAGGCTCTCCGCGGTCCCTCCCGCCCCCATGAATCTCGTCGAGCCTCGCAAGAAGGTATAACTCCCGCCTATGCAATGCAGATCGCAGCGTACTCAAGCCCCAACCGGAACTACCCTGCCTAATGTCATCTCCTCAGGGCTGTCCTTCCCAAAGGTAAGAATCTATTTCGTACCGTTGGTGTCAGACATCTTAGCGTCTGCGTACGCCTTTGAGGTGAACTCCTTGTTGCCCTCGGGCGTGGCCTTGATGGTGCTGTCGCCGGGGTTCCAGTTGGCGGGGCAGACTTCGCCGTACTTGTCGGTGAATTGGAAGGCGTCGATGAGGCGGAGGGTTTCGTCGACGGAGCGGCCGACGGGGAGATCGTTGATGGTGATCTAGAATAGCTGTTAGCCACATTTCTTTTTCTCAAGCCGTGATTCATTTCTGCGGCACCGCGCAGTTGGACGATTCCATTTATGCCGTCTCTTTCCTGCAGCTCCTCTAGCCCAATTCACAGCTCAAATGTCCACTCACCTGTCGTACAATGCCATTCGGGTCAATAACAAACAGACCCCGCAGCGCAATACCATCCTCCTCAATCAGGACTCCATAATCCTTGCTCAGCTGATGGTTCTTGTCGCTCAACAGCGGGATATCAATCTTTCCCAGTCCACCGTCCCGTCTGCTGGCATTCGTCCATGCGAGCAGACTGTACTCGGAGTCGGTGGATGCGAAGACGACCTTCGTGTTCCGCGCTTCGAAGTCGGCAGCCCGCTCGCTGAAGGCGATGATCTCGGTCGGGCACACGAAGGTCCACGCCATGGGGACGAAGCCCAGGACGAGCCATTGCTTGGTCGAGGTGTATTGCGTGAGGGACAGGTCTGCGAAGGGTGTCAGAGGGGCCTCGAGCCAGTGACGTGCTACGGCATGGAATGCCGGCTAGCTAGAGGAAAAGCCAGGGCTGGGATACTGGCGGTATGGTTGGCGGGCGTACCTTCGAAGGTGCCATCAACGACAGCGGTGCCGCTGAATGGCGGCGCAGGCTTCTGGACCCGCGCTTTGGGCGTGTAGGCGGCAAAAGCCATAGTGCGTTATGTCGATGTAGGAGCTGGAATGGAAGATGGCGCGATGCGCAATCAGTCAGTCAAAGCTTTAGTGACGAGCGGTGTCTCAGCTGAAAGCGTTGTGCGCAAGCGGGTGGAGGATGCTTGCAATCAAGACAGCACAGGTAGATAAATAGGACTGATGTAAAGAAAATCAGCAGATAATTTGTCCCAAGCTCCCGTTCCGATTTGGCACGCCCGGCTGTCTGTGCTGCGTCAGGTAAGCAACGCGCTCTAAGAACAGAGCCTCTTCGTCACTCAGAAGTGGGCCCTCGCTCTACGTAATTGCGTAGAACGTGGTGCCAGAACCCTCTGTTCGCGACACGCCTTGCCGATAACGGCCGCCGAATTGATGCCGCAGCATTCGAGGCTCGCCCGCTTACGCGACCCTTCAATTACTTTTTATCAACGTCCCGAACCAGGGCGCATGCACCTAAAAAGAGCCTCTTACCCACTTGTGGCCACGCCGCAATTGAGCGATTGGCCGCGGCGACATCGCGCCGGCAGCTCACACGTGGTGCGCCATCCTGCTTTGGTCAAAACACCATTGTGCATTCTAGAAACGTCATTTACGCTACATGGTATAAACTACACGGTCGACCCACTACGGATTCTTGATGTGGTGTTATCTTATCAATCGCTGTAGCCGTGCTATGATAGCCTCCACGCCCGCAGCGGCAGCGCTTGTATCCTCGCCACCGCTGGCTTGATGTACCCGTAGAAGGTCACCGCCCCGATGATTATGCATATGATGTTCATCACATAGTAGCCATCCGTCTGCACATTGCAGGTGCCACCTCCGGTTTCGCAGCGGTGTCGGTCAGCCTCCAGCGCGCAAGAGAAGGCTTGGGTTACAAGGTCACCCTTGAGCTCAGCTGGAGCCTTGGTAGGCGGCTCGCATGTGGCCACGGTGAAGTAGTCAACGAAGCGGAGCACGAAGTAGCGAGGGAAGGTACCGCCGAGGTTGGAAACACTGTTGTGAAGTTACTAAGGTGCTCAATTCTAGAAGAGCGGTGGGTTTGCTTACGTGGCCAGTAGAGTCATGTAGGTGCCTCCGATTACCGGGTCGGAGATCTTCGCGTGGAAAGCGGACACCGCAACAAACATGACCGTATTCATGAATGTGGATAACACGTGCTCGCAGATGACGAGGAGCAGGTACCAGGTCGTCGTTCCGCCCGCAGGGAAGATAGAGACGACAAATTGAGCAAATCCGGCCGCAATCAGGCGCCCCACGAAAGCCAGTGACCAGATGTGCATGGGTGGATACGTCTGGCACCATTTTCCAATGTAGTATCCCAGCGACATTTCGATAGGAAAGTCGATAAGAATGGTGAGGGCAAGATCTTCCTGGCTGAATCCCTTGGCAAGCAACTTCAAGCTGGTGACTCCGTCGTTGGTCTGGAAGCCGATCTTCGCAATGAGATGGATGACGATGAAGCTTTGAATGTTCGGGAGTTTGAGGATCCCCCACATGGTCTGGTAGACCTCCATGATGCCTTCCCTCTCTTTGGTCCTTTCCTCGCGCTTCATCAGAGCCAGACCCAAGGTCACGACTAGATATGCCCATCCCCAGAACGTAAGGTAACTGTCCAGGTTCATCAATCCGGTTGTGCCAGGCGTGCTGCGGAACCACTTGTTGGTAAACTCGACCGAGTTGAAAGCGAGGAAGACTGTGTGAGAAAGGAACTGGCCACCAGTAAGACCGACTGTTTGCGCCGTAGATGCGAAAGCAAGATTCTCTTGAGAGAGAAGCGTCAGTGCCCAGCCTGGAAAGATATTAGCATTCGTTCAAGAGCTTCTTCAAAGGCGATCCTACCGTCTACAGCAATATCCTGCGTTGCGCACAGGAAAACTAACGCGAACCACCAGAATGTGAAGTTCCAGATTCCACTACCATCCCTTTCCGCAGCAGAGTCCATGATCTTATTTACCACAGAGCCCAGCCAAAGCATCGAGAAGCCGGAGATGGTCTGAATCGGCAAGATCCAACTCTTTCTGCGCCCGAGCTTTGGTGACCACACCGCGTCCACGATAGGACTCCAAAGTAGCTTCAGCGAGTATGGGTATGCCGCAAGTGAGAAGACTCCAATAGCCGAATACGAAGCGTCCGCTTTCTTAAGCAGAAATGGTACTGAGCCCATCGCGAGGCCCATGGGTATGCCTTGCAAGAAGTACAACAGTACTAGCAGCAAAAAATTCCTCTGATCTTTCTTTGATAGCTCGGAGAAACCCTTGGACGACCCCTCGTCATCTTTGTCTAGCTGTGGTACTGCATCGTCCAAGGTGAAGCTTGGGCGCTGCATCAGGGAGGCTGCCTGGCCAGCTGGCGAACTAAGATCTATAGAGCCGTGTCTACGCCGGTGTTCGAGAATGTTGCTGCTCATGGTCGCGCTGCTGTCGGCCCGCCCGTTCTGCTCTTTGGGCGACTTCGCGTTGCGCTTGCTCATTTGTAGATCGGTATCGGAGGAAGAGTCGTGGTCGGAAGAGAAGGAGGAAGTGCGGAGTAGGTGGGCGCTCTCTGGCGCGTCTGATGCGGCGAGGGAACGATGACCGGCGCGTTGCTTTCGTTGAGCTTTGTTTTGACCGTTTGAACCAAGGTTCTGAAGCTCGACTGCAGCTCCACTGTACGAGCGGCGGTGTTGCACTTGGTGAAGGGAGCTTCGCGGAGAAGCAGGGCTGTTAACAGAAGATGATGCAGGGTATGAGGGAACAATGAGTGGCTCGTTAGTCGGGGGTGGCATCCATAAAGAGATCTAAGAAAGGGCCCCGGAAAGGAACGTGTCTACTTTGCGGTAGAAGTTAGTGCGGGCAATCCAATTAGGTTCGCGATGATGCTCGGGCACATTTGGGTGGAACGTGGCCCTTCCGCTAGTGCTCAGGTGGCGGAGGTCGCTAGCTCCCCGAAGCTTGAGAATGACAGCATTGTGGACAACAACATCGACTTTGAGCATCCATGCGTCTGTAGGACAATACAAGTAATGACCCGATGTGCTTTTAAACTCCAAACTATCGCGATCACGACCTCTGCCCATGACGATTAGTATGCGAGCGGCTGGCAGGAACGACTGGTCTGCGCTTCCCACGTGAGACCGTGTTTCGGCCTTTCCCCATTCAGACGCCCGCTTCGCATCAACATCACTCCGCACCCTCAATCCAGCACCATACCGAACCCTCACTATGGACACCGCAGAAGCGCTCGATGCTGATATCAGCGATCTCCATGACCGCATCGCGACCCTTCGAGCGCATCGCGCAAACTTAACCTCCATCCTCCTCTCACAACCCCACCTTCCGACGCGTCTCGAACAGCGCCCAGTCCTGCACGAGCGCAACCGCCGCAATGCCGTCAAACTCGTGCAAAAGCAATCGAATCGCAATCTCGAGAACATATATCGTGCCTGCGCTGGCGTTACAGCCTACAAAGTCAAGGATCCAGATCCATGCGCAATAGACGACGGCAATGTGCTTGGTGTGCGCATCGAGGTGTCCGTTGGCGGCAGGTTCGTCGAGACGTATCATGTGTTGTTTAACCGACCAAATACGGCACATAAGACCATGTTGAAGATTCACAAACATACAATCCCGCCGTGCATCCCGCTGCAACCGCTCGCGAATAGATGGTTACCCACGGCGAAGAAGAGTGCAGAGGAACCTAAGGAGCAGAATCTGGTGAAGTTTGGCAGACATCTGCGGAAAGAGCTCGTGAGTTGGCATCTGAGATTGAACACGCTGGAGAAGCTGCGGAAGGATGCAAAGGTGGAGGACAAACCAGCGGGACCAGACGAATCGAATATAGAACCTGCGGTCGGGACGGTGTTGAACGCCTTCGTCAGCGATGATGAGGATTCAGAAGAGGAGGATCCGCTAAGCGAAGCAGTTGGTCCTCTCAGAATCTCCACACTCGATGCGGATGCGGCTGTGCGAGAGATCACAATTACGTGGTCCAATGGCAGAGTGGGCATTTTCAAGGTCACCAAAGATGGCGAAGTCGACAAGGCTGTCGTGAGGACAAAAGAGGGTGCCCGAGAAGCTTCACTCGTTAGTAAAGCTCTTGGACGGATTGAGGGACTGCTCGAGAGGCTCGAAGCGTAATCTGTGAAAGCTCGAGGTTCCCATCGGCGAAGCGATTACGATGGACGTAAGAACGGAGTCTGGATTTTTTCAAGATACCCATGGTTTATTCAATATCAAAGTTGTCTTTTTTCGACGCGAGCTCACATCCGGTGACTTGCACGGCTCATTTGCAGAAAGACCTCTCGATGGTCTCGAGCATAGCCTTCTATATGGTGCTGGGAACGGGACCCCGGGATGAAGGCGTGATTGTTGACAATAAGTTACCTTCTCGTTCAAGCTGACGCGGCGCACAATATCTTCCAAAAACGGAAAGTGTTTGGCCCCCGTAAGGCACCGAATCGTATCACTTTGCAGGATGCCTTCCCCTGAGGCGCAGCGGCACTCTTCGTATATACCCAAGATCTCGCTCTATCGATCTTTCACAGCACCTATCTACCATGCGGTACATCATCTTGCTAGCATCTGCACTCGCAACCATGGGCGCGTCAGAAGACCTAGGCAGCAGCACAGCCACTGCCACCACTGTACTCACGTTTCCGTGCTCTGGAACAGCTCTCCCAAACGTCTGCCTCGCAAATAGTTGGTCGAACACCATCGCCAAAGTCACAGTTGTCCCTGGCGGTGCGTGCCCTTACCTCCTCTTCTCATGTCTCTACATGCTTGCTAACAATATTAGATGTCTTCAATATGCCAACCGACATCTCCAACCCCGCAGCATCCAGCACAGGCAACGTCCTGAGCGTGCTGCCCTCGTTGACGGGAGATGTTCCCGACACTACTACTGTATCTGCTACCACTGTATTCACGCTTGCGTGCACGGCGACCCCGCTTCCAAACGACTGTGAGGTGAATAGCTGGTCTAACACCGTTATTGAGGTTACTGCTACGCCTGGTCGTGCGTTTGCCCTAATCCTTTCGCCTCCTTGAAACAGAAGCTAATTGTGAAATCTAGAAGTTCTGGTTAACCTCCCAACTGACCTCCTCGTAACGACTTCGCCGACGGCAAGCGAGATTCAACAGCCAGCAGGAACACCTGGTGCTGCCATGGGTAGGGAGGTCGGCGTTATAGGGGCGGTGGTCGGTGGGCTAGTTGCTGGGTTGGTTGTGCTTTAAGGTGCTACTGTAAGTTACAGGATCGAAGATTCGCGTGGGTGTTAGTACTCCAAATCTTTTCTAGTTGAAGTGTGACAATTGACAATTATTCTTCAGTCCAAAATTCCGCAATTTAGATTGAGCATCTTTCAAACAAGTGTGAATCTGCATATAACTTGCGTACCCAATCAGCCACTAGCACCTACGCTTATGTAACTAGCTTGTCGTCTTCGCCTACACAAAATCTTCCATCGACCTTCTTTCCCACTGCATCGCGCACCCCACGATACCGCATACTATCTTCAACCCGCCAGCCGTGCTTGTCTTCCATTAAGACCACCAGCACGTGCTCCGCTTAAATTACCCTCTTCAGTATACGTCGTCTTTCCTTCTCAATGAGAGGCTCGTTTGTCAATAGAGGAAGAATAACATGCGCTCCAGCTCCTACTTCAAATCAATAGCATTATTAATGAACGTGAGCCTGGAGTTGGAGCGCGACATATCGAGATGTAGGCATGGCATGGTGTGGTGATGCATGGCGCGGGTGGGATGTCGATGTTTCGAACGTGGTGGGAAAGAAGCGCTATTGTCTTGGGCAATAGCAAAAGTGAGCGTCGGCCTCAAATTGTAGCACTGTTCTTCTGAGCAGTAGCGTAGATGAGAAGAGCTGTCATGGACACATAACGTTCGCCTTGATCCGAGAAAGCTGCCTCAACTCCTGGGGGCGCGTTGTCGTGAGGGCAAGGAGCCAAGCCGCTCCCCAAAGCGCGCCGTGGTTGCAATGTATCATACGACCAGGTTTTGGCGATTTCGCAATGCTCATGGCGATTCTCCACATTGCTGGCGGTGGTAGGGATTCAGCAGCTTTCTTGGATCCAGATATGGCTGGCAGTCAAGCCAAACGCGATGGGCAAGTGCCCTGCTACATTGCTTGTACGAGACGGAACTCGCTGATCGCATAGATTGTTTCTGACCCCCTTGTGCTTCTTCTGAATTGTCATCTTTTTTATACCAGGTATTCGACCTCGTCGAGGCTACTTTTGGCGCTGTCTGTGTGTCTTGATAGTGCTAGGGGCCGTGCCTTAATCCCGTGTGTGGACGATCCTCTGAAAACTAGTACACGAGGCACACCAGAGCTCGTGTGATGCTGAATACTGTTGAGATACAAGCTGATTCTACGCAGGTTGTATCCAATCTTTTTCCGGTATATCGGGCAGAACACCGAGCCAGGCGGTGCCGGTTTCCACCCTTGTCTCGATGTAATTCATGTTAAAGTTCTTGTGCTTCTCCTGACTGAGAGTCTGCATGTATTCGGACCAAGAATCGCTCCTCGTTATGCTCTGGCTGCTGGAGACAGGTTTGGGTTCGACGATCTGACGGGTGATTTCCTTGCGTGACCGATGGCGCGACATCTCCTCACCAAGCTCGGGACGTGAAACGTTCTCGGTGGTATTCTTGATCAGGCAGCTTGTGATGAACATCGACCAAGCAACTGCATCATATGTAAGCTGTCATTTTTTTAAGAACCGGAAGCTCGCTTACCATCGGTGAGACAGCTCAAGAGACAGATATGGCTCCTCTTTGCGTCGGTCCGTGTTAGATACACAGTCATGTTGATCAGAGTGAACGACAGCATCGAAGCCCAACCAATAATGTTCTTGCATAGCATCGTGATATTGCGATTTCGGCGCATTTCATCTTCTTGAAGCGTACCGCTTCTCGAAACACTGACGGATTTCATCCGATGCTCTGTATGGGTCGATGATCGTGCCGATACAGGGGCTTGATGGGATTTCAGCGCGGATCGCAGTATGCAAATGAACACGCCTGTGAGATAGGCCCCCACGGCCAATAGAAAGGTAGAGAAACCAATAACAGCCTCTTGTGTCAGGCGAATGCTACATTGGCCAGTCTTGCGCTCGAGTCGTGCTAACGGAGCTGTGGCTGCGAGGTATATACTGGCTGCGACGCCAGCTACGACGCAGATCGTACAGATGACCCAGACGGGATCACGCACTCGCTTTAGGCATGGTGCTCGGAGGTTGTGTACGCGCTCGTTGAAAGTCATGTATCTATATTGTCAGTTGATTTCCGCACACTCGGACCAAGAAGAAGGACCCACAAAGCTGTCTTACTGATGCCAAAGAGTAGAATACAGACGACGCTCGCTGCGTAACACTGGTCATCTGTAACCATAGCCAAGCCGGCCTCCAGCAGAACCACGCTCGAGACGATGGCGATAGTTGTGAAGAATTGGATGTGTAGCAGCACCTCGAGGAACTTGGATTTTGTTTCTTTCCCGAGCATCTGGCCATAACGAATGCCTTGATGTTTGATGTTATGTTAGGATATTGTGTAGATTACGGCATGAGTGCTTACCTTGCTGCAGTACGAGTGCGAAGAAGTACACAAGACACAGACAGATGACTAGGATCTGCCTACTGGGGCTTTCTCCACTATACGTCTGTATACCGTCTGCCCCAGCTATGTCGGCCGTGCTAGGCGAAGGCATTGCCTCAACGCTGGACAGCAGTAAGAAAGCAAATGGAACGATGGTCGGGACCTGCTTCACGATGAAGAGAAAGCCTTTCAGCAGGTACAACGCGCCAGCTGCCCATTGACTTTCATATCTTGGAAATTCCATACAAAGTTTAGCTCCCAAATCGGTAGAGGGAAGCTTAGTCGACTGAGTCGTGGGGGCTTCGCTAGACGGCGCGGGAAGGCCGCCGGATGTACCTCCGAGGCTTTGAAAAAGTACTTAACGAAGCGTCCGGTCGAAATTTACAGAGGCTTTCACAGATCGCCATACCTTGGTCGTTTTGCGTGGTAGTGGTGCGCGTCTATATCGCATCTAGACGTCTTGGGTCTTCTCGTTTCATAGATATTGCGGTTGCTGTTTTCTATTCTGTGGGCGTATCCGTCCGGGGAGACATTTGAAACGACGACGCGTGGAGATAGCTGCACAAGCGCACAGTACTGCCCTTTCCGACGACTCTAGCGCGGGAACCCTTTCTACATATGATTTGCGCAGGTAACTGCCGACTCTCTCGAATGTCTGTCGACAAAGGTGGGTCAAAAGACTATCGCTTAGCCACCGTCTGCGGCTAGCTTCGTCAAACCTGCCGTGAACCTGCGTGAACCTTACACCGCGAGTCAGCGAGGAACGAATTGCGAAATGTGGAAGTGGCATGATACATGACGGGTGACGCGGGCTAGGTGCATTTGACTGATCATGGCTGCATGGACATACATAATGAACACTTCGACGAAGATCTTTCTCAAAACCTCTGCTGTGCAGGACATCCTGATAGAAGGGTTAACAATTCCTGGAATCTTGGAAAGGTGCATAGTCTGAGTCATCATGCAGGTCAAAACAGTCGCTAGACTTGGACTCATTGTTCAACGGTGAATGTTTGCTGAGAAAGAAGGTAGAATATAGCGCATGGGCGATTCCAATCGTGATGCACAACAAAGGCCCGTCTTCGACTCAGCTTAGACGCCCAGTCATGACGAAGGCTCGTAGCACGAAGCAATCCTCTCAGAGAAGCTGCATGCCATAATACTCGGTACTCAACCAGATTCATTAATGTGGATTTCAGGTATTGTTCCTCGTAAACTATTCACTTGTTTCCAGTGAAACTTCTGGACTGTCATTTAAAGGCATGTAACGCGTAAATTTCGCGTCAACAGTATGTAACATCGCCTATATGACGACAATAAAGATTTCAATACACAGTGCGGCATCGTCACCCACTCAAAGTCTTTCATAATCCGCATAGTCCAGGCTTTTGATAGTCTCGTTGAACTTTTGGATCTTCGATGTGGTTCTTCTGTCCAAGTCCATCGATTGCTTTAGTAGCTCGCCCAGGGATGGGCCTGAATCAGACTCCCCGTGCAAAAGACTACTTTGTGCGGCGGCGATCTGCTCAGCGATGCGTATCCCTTGGGGTCCGTGATGTTGAACGGCGTACTTCTCGGCCTCGCGCTCAAAATATGACTTGCTGGCACGCCATCCACAGGCTTCGGGAAAGGGGTGCTTGTAGGGACGGAATCTTTCGATGTCGCTGTGAGTTATGTTCGAATCAGGCGGTGGGTCCGGACCGTCTCTGGGGGTGGTTTGACCACCGCAATGGTCCAGATGCAACGAGTGACAGCTCGGTGGTAAGGCGGCAGCAACGTCAGGCCACCCGTAGCCTCGGGTAGGCAAGTAAATATGTTTAAACACCGCCTTCTCCAGTGCGGGTTGCGCTTTGAGAAAAGCAATCAGGGAGGGTGTGTATAGCACGAGGCTAATTAATTCCAGTTGTTTAAGCCTGGGGAAGACAAAAGCCTCGGTTCCGCTGCCTGGTTCATAGCCCCATAATTTCTCGAGCAGGTGCTCTCCACGGCGAGGGCGATGCATGTTAAAGGCAAAAAGGCTTGAAAACTGCAACTTCTCTAAAGTGTGTCGCGTACACTGTATGAGGGTACGAAACGATGGTGGCTGTTCGTCGTAGTCGTTAAGCATCTCCGCCGGGTCGTGCAAGTCAAAGGACAATGAAGTCAACCCTGTGAACAAGTGCTGAATAGAAGGACTCTTTCTCTTGATAGCTCGTCCGTTCACGGTTGGTAAGAGTAAGTGTCTGATGCGGACTCCAGCCTCATCAAGTGCACCACTGAGTGTCTCGAGATGCAGATTCAAGATGTCGGTATCAGAGAATTGGTACTCGATCTCTTCGCTGCTTCCGTCAGTGAAGTGGTCATTCGGATGCAGTGACATACTCAATCTCTCCATCTATCCCGTGTCTCTTCAGCTCACGTGCGCAAGACCACTCCATAACCTGCAGACGGTCCAGGCGCGGCATTACTCTAAAGAGACGCACCAAGGCAGCATGATTGGCAGTTTTCTGCTGCTCCTGTTCCGTGGCTTTGGTCTGCCAGTAAGACTCCGCTTTTATGATAATCTCGCGTTCTTTTTCAGGTCTGGCTTGTCGCGCTTCCGCCAACCGACGAACTCCAACATGACCCCACTCATCGTCTGACTCCCATGCGTCTGACATAGTCCCGTCCATATCTTCAAAGGTGAGCTCGTGAGCTGAATCCGCCCATTCCTCAACCCAATTGCGATATAACTCCCAGAAGTCTGTCCTTGCACATTAGCACAGGCCCAAAGCACATCTATGAAGAGACCGACCGTCGAAAAATATTTTCGGGCTGTACTGAAGGGTTGAAACATATTTTAGTATGTCCAGCTCGATCACTTCGTCTATAGTGGCCTCTAACGAGGCCAGCTCGACTGGCTTGAGTCGTCCAACGTTGTTGCGATCGCGAGGGTGTCGAAGTAGAACATGCTGCTGGCTGACTTCCTCATCACCATGAAACGTCAATGTCTCGAACAGGAAGGGTTTGGCAGCGGCAGCGAGGGAGCCACACGTGCGAGAGAGGGATAGAAGATCATTGTGTGGAAGATGTGAGCAAATCTCAAGTCGCAGTTCCCCTGGGAGAGACTCCATCCTTGAGATCAGGGTAAGGTGAGATCAGTTGGTCATCAAGAGTGAAAGTATAGAAGATGTTCATCGGACACCTGACAGCGTGGAAAAGCCGCGTCACGTTAGCGTCCAGGCAGCACTGGCGCGTACATGAGAGCACGCGTCGCGGGCCCACAACACGTTCACCCTTCAAAGCTGCACTGCCATTCTTACTGTTGCACCGTTCTTCCGCATGTGCTATATGTCTGGCCTAATTCAGCAGATATTCAAAAGAAAATAAGGCAGGTTTGTCGTCCTGCTCGACGCCAACCGCATCGTCGAGAGTTCCTATCACAAAAGCTCACGATGACTACAAACGAACTCATTACACATCTGTCGCTCGGTCACTGGCGTATTGACGTGCCAATTCATAGTGAGGGTACTGATAGGCCCAATCAAACATTCGTGAAGCCCCAGTTCGTTCAGGTCTTCGGTCTTCAGACCCATACGGTCACACATGACTTGCCCATCCTCAACGACGGCTTCTGAAGTCATAGCCCGGGGGCCAAAGATGTTCGCCTCTTCAACGGTGCTTCCGGGTTGACTTAGGGCAGAACGATTCAGTATCATTCCACCAATCCTTCTTAATATTTTCCGGGAGCACAAGGAGCCGCAAAGAGATTTCAGACTCTAGAAGCTTGACGGTTTGCCCATAGAATTCATTAGATATGGACGACGCGTTAGTGAAGCCAAAGACTTCATGGGACTCGCTGGCGTGAAATATGTCTGGAAGGTCGCGGAACGTCTCTTTAAGTAAGCACTCGGTGGGTAAGTCAGGATCGCCATGACTATGATGTAGTATCAAGTTCTTTGTCTTGGTACCGTATTTCTTGATGTAGTCAACTTGACCTTGTTAGCAAGTGTATCCTGACAGTAAACGCCCAGAAACACAAGTAATATGGCGTCAACAGTGGGTGACGTAGACCAGACAGGAACATACTATTCAACGTGCGGAGCTGCATGACTGGGAGGTCTTTGAGCAGTTCACCCGCGAGAAGCTGGTAGAACGCGCGACATGTTTGCATCAAGGCGACCGCATCTCGAGCGCTCGAGGCCTGGAAGTAATATTAGCATCAATCGTGGTCTATCACTGAGCATACCTACTTCACGAGCGATCTTGCATAGGAGCTCTTTCGGACAGTCCTCTAGCTTCTTCCTTGACTGCGCCATATTAGCCGTGAGAGGGTGATGGGGTAGAGCAGGTGAGCAGTACAGTGACAGTCTATGTTAAATTGAGAGCGCGCGTGGTACCCCACCGCAGTGACTGCTCTGCTTTCACCTTGCTGTAGCTCAGGCCGTGACGCTCTCAAATGGGCAGGCGCGCGGTCCCCCCGGGTTAGTGCTTGCCACGTGACCTTTGACGCCTTCTGCTGCGCGTTTGAAAAGGCCTGACGGGACCCGTTCTCTTTTTGCTCTCCCTTTACTCACGCTCTGCCTCGTCGTTTAACCACGACCCGCACCGCACACCGTCTGTCGACTCTTGTACCACTTTTCCAAGTTCGATTCTATCATTATGCTCACGTCTTGGACATCCCCCGGCCCTCTCGAGCTACGTTGGCGACCCGCGTTCATGCTCATACCTGACTGATAGGAAGCCATGGCGCCGAAGTGGGTAGCGCATTGACTGCAACGCCCATTCCATGTGCTCTCTTGAGGTGTAGTTGTCTCCTGTGGAGGCGCTGCTATGCTAGGCTATCTACGGTTGCCCAAGACCCGTTGGTCTATAGGCTGAGACCGCGGGATATACTAGCATGAGAATGAGAATGGTGCACGGCAAGGCCCTCCGACAAAGCGGCGCTGCATTCCCGCTCACCCCACGGATTGAGGAGCAGCGTCTTCGATCTGGACAGTCCATCTGGATAGCGAAGTACTGCTTGAAGGACCTGTCGTGATAGTTTCGTCTAGATCACATCACCCAAGGTACCATGGGTGCGTGAATTGGCTGGTTGGTACAAGCTGTACGGCCTCCGAGGCGTGGCTATCATTGGGGTGCGGTGAGGCCTTCCGATGGGCTCCGCTGCTTTTTCGCTCATCCTAGCGGATTGTGAGATTGGCATCTCCTTTCCGGGCAGTCACCTGGAAAGCGAAGTACTGCTTAGAAGGACCTGTCGTGGTAGACGTACCTAGCCGTGGATCTACCTGAGGTACCACGGGTGAGGTAAAAGCGTTACTAGGTGCGGCTATCACTGGGATGTCAGCGATAAGCCCTTCCAGGTATGTGTTCCTCCCTGTCAGCTGACGGTGAACAGACAAGGTCCTCGAAGACGGACTCTGCACCTGTACGTGGTGAGGGCTACGAACCTGGCCGTGAGCGTATTTGGTTCGCGACCAAAGCCAACGCAGAGACGCACTTACAATGATGACTTCAAGAGGTCCTGACGATGCTTCATCTTGGGACAGGCGCACTTCGGCGCATACGCTCCCACACATTACCTAGATAGCAGTTTAGCAGTCACTACGTAAATGGAGTATCATTCGTGCTCACTCTGTTGCTTCAATATGTCTTCGATGCTAGGGACACATGGTGACGAACAAAGGCTTGCAGTGGTGCGCCGTGGACAGACATGTTAATTGACAAACACCGTACCACGTAAGTGTTTGCTCTCCGAGGAAGTGCACATGTGACTGGTGCTCTTACCCCCAGTCAAGACTTCTTTAACGCGCCTTCCATCAAGTCTCACCAATCCCTCGTTTGCCAACCTCTTTCGATGCCGACTTCGTGAGCCCGTAAGCCGCGTGCTTAGACGCAACGTACGCTGAGTCGCCTGCGAACCCGATGAGACCGGACACGGAGCCTACATTCACGATGCTGGAGGGAGAGGAAAGTGTGTCAGGGAAAATTCAAGCTCGGAGGCACTCGAATAGGCCCACAGTGTTGATCTGAATTGTTTCCTCGAACTCTTTGTCTGTTATGTCTTCGATGTTCTTTGGGGCCCAGAGCGGGTGGAAACCCGCGACCTTGCACAGCTATCGATTTTCGTGTTGAAGTGCTTTCTTGTGGTGGATATCCAGTCGTTCGCTGAGGCGGAATTGCGGATGTCTAAGGGCGTGGAGATGATGTTCTCTGGGCTGGAGACTGCGGCTATTTCTTCGTGTGCTTTTGACAGATTGGCCTTGTGATAGTTCGCTAAGGCAGCCACGCTCCTCGTTGAGCTAGAAGACGAGCTGTGGAGAGGCCGATTCCTCATGCGGCGCCGGTAATGGTGATGAGTTTGTTGACGAGAGATGAAGACATGGTACCACTGTCACAAATGCAGGCTACGTAGAAGAAAATCAAGCACACGCAAATCCACGAAGATTTGCGTACTCTGAGCTCACATTGAGTATACTCAAGAACAACTATCGAAGCCCGCAACATCATATATCTTCTTCTCTTGTTCGACCATACGCGTCACGGGAAAGTATAACCGATACCGCCGCTCCCTATCCGGAGCTCCACCCTTAATTCGGAGCAGTCACAACACAACCCCTCCACCCCGCAATCCAGCCGTTCCAAGCCTCACGTAGTCAATCCGAGCTCCAAACCACACCAAAACAACTATGATTATCCAGGAATCCCACAAGGATGTGCCGACCCAGGCGGGCGGCGACATGAGTAATTGACATCTTTCGAGGGGTGCCTCGTCATTGAGAAGAGAGATGCTGATATGTTTGGGATAGGGATTTTCCTCTTCCATCCAACGATTCCGAATTATCCCAAGGCGAAGTTTCCGGGCGTTGTGGTGTTCAGTGAGATCTATCAAGGTAAGGCGACTTGCATTATCTTTCTTTCGATTTCACACATTCAGTCTTTACCTCTGATTTCTTCTGTTCCATGTCTTCTTCGTCTTCTACTTTCTCATCTATTCCCCGTGTAACATCACCTCATCTTGAAGATCAAGATAATGCTGCTCTACTCAACCTCGTTATGCCATCTATAGCTTGCACGACATACACCGACGATTCTTCGAAGCCATAATCCATCTAACACATCATAGTAACCGGCCCCGTCGCCCGCTTCGCCCGCCAAATCGCTTCCCAAGGCTACATCGTCGCCGCCCCATCCTCCTATCACGAGTTCACCGGCCCCGAGCCCCTCGCCTACGACGTCCCCGGCACAGACGCCGGAAACGAATGGAAGGTACCTAACCCATCTCCCTTAGTCCCATACCCGCGCCTTCCCTCCCCTCCTTCCCATTTCCACTACGCCCTTTCCCCTACTAACCTCCCACCCACAGATAACAAAAAAGCTCTCCGCCTACGACGAAGACTCCACCCTCTCCATCGACCTCCTAGCCAGCTTAGAAACATGCACCGGCCGCATCGGCACAACAGGCATGTGTCTCGGCGGCCACCTCGCCTACCGCTGCGCCCTAGACCCCCGCGTCAGCGCAGCAGTCTGCTACTTCGCGACCGACATCCACTCGCACTCGCTAGGCGCGGGCAAGAACGACGATTCGTTGGCCCGGGCCAAGGATATAAAAGTAAGATAAGCGTTACCTTACCTTCACCACCCCTTACGCTCTACCACCCCTTCCTTCCAGGAAAGTGAGCACTGCAGGAAGTTACTAACAAGCAAAAGGGCGAACTCGTCATGATCTTCGGCAAGCTGGATAACCATGTTCCGCCCCAGGGGAGGGATCTGATTCGCAAGACGCTGCATGAGGCGGGCGTGACGTTTAGTTTCTACGAGCATGCGTGGGCGCAGCACGCTTTCATAAGGGATGAGCTGAGTAAAGGACGGTACGATGCTGCTTTGAGCGGTGTGTGCTTTGAGATGCTGAAGGAGGTGTTTAACCGGACGTTGAGGTCGGACTTGGGCCCGAGGAGCGGTGGCGATGTAGAGGTGGAGGATGTATGCTAGGGTGGGGAATGGGGACGGTGAGGGTATGGTGAAGAACGTGCTTCGCAGCCTGGCAAGTGTATGCTGCCGTGCTAGCGCGCGCGCGCAACCGCCTCAGGTAGCATCGAAAAAATGCCTTAGGAATAGAACCAATTAACACAACGACATCACTAGTCAAACACATGTTCTGAACAGAGCACTGTTATCATTATTTTCCTCACGTGCTTACCCTCTCTCAAGGGTATCACTCCTCCCGGGCACGCCCGGAGAAAACTCCCCATCCTTAACCTCATCCAAGCTCATGCAAATGCGTTACAAGTCCCTCGTCAAAGCGACAGAGACCCATCATGAACGCTAATCCACCGATGCATGTGCTCAATGCAAATGCCCGAAGAAACTTTTGTATCGCCAACCCATCTACCCGGAAAGCGATGTCGTATAGATCCCATTGAGCGTGCGAGCGCTTCTGAAGGCTCATGTCCCTCAAGATTCAATGCGCTGGTAGAAAAGAATGTACGCAACCTTGTTGTCGCGCACATTCTCTTTCGGCAATGGCGTCCGCTTTCCTGCCGAGTTGGGCGTCGCCGTGCCATTGACCACTCCTGCCCACTTCTTCTCCTTCTTGTTCTCCGAGCCGTTGACTTGGCTCCAACCACCTTTGTCTGACTCTGCATCGTCGCCAATCTGCTCGAAGAAGTTCTTCCTCGTGGCGGCGCCTGCATCGTTTTTGTGCTGCTCGAGCGCGGCGGCGAGGACCTTGGGATCCTCTTCGGCACCGCCCTCGGCAACGTCTTGTGCACGGATGCGACGAATGACCGTGTCGTCCATGCGAATCCATTCGCGGCCCTCTTGCCGGCGAAGGTCAACGGTGTAATGACCGCCGCTTGCATTCTTTCCGTGATGGTAGACCACCGCTGTCAATCGGTAGCGTGGTGAGCCGCGGGCGCCGAACCCGCCTCGCTTGTGGGGTGGGAACACCTCCTTGGGAATATCAAGCTCAAGTGGATAGCCAATCTTCTTCCAGATCTTCTGAGGTCCACTGACATCGTAGTGGAAGCGCTTGAGATGTAGTATAAGCACTGGTGGAAGAGTCTCAATGAACATCTGCTTGGTGGAGGCACGTGCGCCCCGGGTGGTGCTATCCAAAGTCTCCAGGTGTGTCAGCCCCTTCAGCGCATCGGCAATGTTGTTGACGTTCGGTGAACCAATGTCCAATTGCAGAGGCTGGTAGGGCTCCATAGTAACGGAAGGCTTCTCGCCTGGCCTCTTGTATTCGGAGCGGATCTTGCCGCCAAAGATCTTGGTAAGCGGGCTCTCAACGTCAACAGCCCCCGAAGACTGTGTAACAGATGCCTTTTGCTTCGGGCCGACCTCGAGCCAGCCTCCATCGACAGACCCGGATCGTTCGCTGTTCGGAGAAGTAACCGAGGCGTCTCCATTCGAAGATCTCGAGGTCTTGATGACGTGAGCGCATTCGTCGTGAAGGCCTGCAAGAAGGAACCCCAAAAACTCTTCCGCATCCTCCTGCTGACCACGCTTCATGTTATCGAAACGAGGCAATCGCCTGATGACGTCGTATACGTATTCTGGTGTTAGAGGTTCACCGTACTGCTCAAGTTCGTTATCCTTCAAGCGCATGCGGAGCTTTTCGGTAGATTCAGCCGAGTCGATGACTTTGAAATCGCGCATAAACATGATCCTAGTCAAGTCAGATTTGCTTGGTTGGCGAGGCTGCAGGCTGTACTCACATTGCGTCTACAAGAGGGGTTTCAGACTTGAAGCTATGCACGGCGCGCTTCGCATACTGATCCAAGAAGTCGTAGAATGGTACGCAGAAAACAAGGACTTGAAGAATCTGCATATTGTTAGTTGCGTGAATGATGAATAAACACCGGCTTTTACTTACAGAGTTCATATAACACAGGTTGCCCGTATTTACAAGGCCACGGGGTTCGAGAAAAGAAATCTTTTTATAGGAATCGACAGAATAGGAGGCAAGGACATCGCCAAGGGAATTGCTCTTGGACACCACCGGGCCATTTGTGGGAGCGACGCCGTTGGAGATGGTAGGAGCTTTGGCGGTGGCGGCAGCAGAATTCTTCGAATGGAGAAGTGCGGCCCATGACTTAGGTGCTGCTTTTGGTGGAGGGGATGCTTTGGGCGTCTCTTCGGCGTTGCCACCAGTCTCTTGGGCAGGAGTAGTAGGTGTGACGACCTCTGGCTTGCTTCCCTCTTTATCTGCTGTTGATGACTTTACCGAGTTCTGGGTAGGTGATGTAACGCTAAGTGCTTTGGTAGGCTTAATCGGTATCAGAGGCACAGCAGGCTTCGTCTGCGTGCGGGCGTGCGAGCCCTGAGACGCGCGCGCAGGCTGCGTGGGCATTGTAGGAGATGTAGCTGCCGGAAGAGTAGAGTCTATTTCTGAAGGAGGATGTGAAGATTGCGGGGTATCGGTGGCCGCCTCTGAAGCAGGGGCCATGGTCGAGGCCTGCGACTCTTCCGGTCCCTCAGTCGAAGTGTGGTCGGCATCCTCTTGTAATTCCTTCGCACCAAGAACCTTCTCAACGTCTACCACCTGCTCACGCGACGGCAGAGCAAGGTCGTCCTCCTGCGCCGGTACCGGAGCCCTTCTCCGTCGCTTCTTTTGTGATGCTCGTGGTGGGAAATCGGCATCGGGGACCGAGAGCCATGGCAGCGGCGGGTAGAAGGGCATACGCGTGCCCGTCGGGATGGGCGCTCCGCTCATCGATGCTGAAGTTACCGAGGGAGTCGTAGGCGGCGGTGTTGCCGTCGCCGTAGTCGTTGGCGGGGTCGGCGAGGATGCCAACGCCTGCTGTGAATGCACAGAGGGGGTAGAAGGAAGAAGCTGAGGCGTTCGCTGAGGTGTAGGGATGCGCGGCGCGGGAGGTGTGCGTGAATGCACGATAGGCGGTGTTTGACCCATGGCGCGGTTCACGGGTGGCAAGTGCGCCATGTGAGGATGTGAGGAAACGACAACAGGCGACCCATGCGGCTGGAACTGTCGCGGAGGCATCGCATAAGGATGGTGTTGCGGCTGAGCGTATGGGTTCATTCCATACCATTGCGGCTGCGGAGGGTACGGCGATGCGTGCGGCGCATAATGAGGATGCGGGTATGCGGCGTAGGGGTTATGGTGAACCGGCGAATGAGCCTGCGGAGGAGGCTGATAGTATTGGTGATGGTCGCCATGCCGCCTTCCCGGATGGAATGGTACGGCAGGCGGTATCGTGTGGCCCGGCATCATGAGGAAGGTGCGGTGCTGTTGCCTTCACAGTTGGGCGCTGGCCAAAGACCAAGCAGCGCAACGTGTGAGGCAACGGGGGAGAAGGCTCGTGGAAACACTGTATACGTACCCCGAGACTCGTTGACTTGGGGTGCGGGCGCGGCGTGGAGCCTATGGTGATGCGCTCAATAATTCTTGCTAGGGTCCGATGCGCGCGAGCTCGGAGAGCGGGCAGGTGTGAGTCGGAGACAGCTGCACGTGTCGGTCGCGGGCATTGCCTCAGCAGTCCATAGCGGGCAGCGAGACGGCCGGCCCGTGGATGGAAGAGGAGAGCGGAGAGAAGGGCGAGGTGGCCGGGTGTTGTCGTGCCTGACCGACTGATGGAAGGAGTTCGAAGGTCTCTTGCAAAGCAGCTCGCGGCGGCCTGTGCGTGGAGCAAACGAGCCGGGGTGTGGCGCCTAGCGTGGGTGCCGCAGTCGAACAACCGTGTGCAACAAGCGCAGGCAGGCCGACAGGGCGTCGAATGTCTGGGGAGCGAGGCTTCAGAGGGGCGCTCGACGTGCAGACGCGGAGTCTTGCTCGGCCGGAAGCAGAATACCACACGAAACACCAGAGCGGCCCGCTCCAGTCATGCGCCCACGTGACTGATGGCGAATCGCCCATGTCATCTCGTTGCTAGCCACTGTGACTCCGTCCTCTCTCCAAGTCCATCCCTCTGGGGGACCCAAACACCAGCAATTACAACAGTCTTCCACCTCTGCTCGCCGCGTTTCCCTTTCCTTTGCCTCCTCTCTCGCTGCATCACACCTCGACCCCTCCTCCGACGGTGTTAGCTCTAGCACGGTAGAGCCCTGCAGCCATCGTCATCGTCGCCGCCCGCACTGGTGGGACCATGTCGTCGAACCCGCCCGCAATCCCGACCTCGTCCAAGGCTTCAGCGCCCTCTGGCCAGCTCTCGCCAGCGCAGACGCAGCCGGGCTCAGCCGCGACTGGCGACGGCTACGGCCAGCGACGCAGCGGCAGCAGCTTCGGCGCGGGGGCAGCTTCCCGCGCAAGTCCTACGCCCCGCAGCGCCCAGCAGGGTCGCAAGCAGCACAAGACCTCAAAACGCTTCGCCAGGGTTGACGACGATGCCATTGCAGAGTCGGTGAGTGCCTCAGCAGCTCGAGACAGCCTGTACGGATACAATGCTAACTCCGGGCAGCTCAACATGCGCCCGTTCAACAGTCGCAAAGGGCAGACCAACATCACCCACCTCATGAACTTCAGCCTCCCACCTCGCCCGCAGAACCATCATTCAAACGGCCACGGCAGGGGTTACCGGAGGAATCCGACCTGGGGTCTAGGGTCTGGCTATCACGCCACCGACAAGGCGAGGTGAGCCGCACCTTCCTCTTATAATTACCCTTAACAAGAGAGTGAGACGTTAATGCGGGTCAGGTATGTGCATGCCAACTATCGCTTCATTGTCGATCCACGCGGCGACTACCGCGCTCAGAGCGTCGACGCCGATATCCATCTTGACTGGAACAACGTCCTGCAGATATTGGCGTCTTCGCAGTCGCAGGATGCGTCCTGCCCGATATGCCTGGGAACTCCTGTAGCTCCGAGGATGGCAAAATGTGGCCACATATTCTGCTTACCCTGCTTGATCCGCTACATGCATTCAGAAGACGAAGGCAAGGGGGTTTCGGAGAAGAGGGCACGCTCGAAGAAGTGTCCATTATGCTGGGACAGTATCTATATCTCGGAGACGAGACCTGTGCGCTGGTACATGGGCCAGGAAGGCCTGCCGCCCCGAGAGGGTGGAGACGTTGTCCTGCGGCTAGTCATGAGGTCAGCAGGCAGCACGCTGGCAATGCCTCGCGACGGAGCTGATGCTTTGGGCAAAGAGACGGATATCCCTTGGTACCATGCCGCCGAAGTGATGGACTACGCCCGCATGATGAGGGGTGGCGAGGACTATATGCTCGAGCAATTCGACGCTGAGGTCCATCAACTCAAGCAGCAAGAGAAGGAAGACGAGCTCATGTTTGGGGAGGACAACATTGAGTGGATGAGGAAGGCGATACGCTCTATCCAAGAATCGAAAGAGAAGGTCAAGGGTGTGGGTAATCCGCCCCAAGAGCCGGCCAAGCCGTCTGAACCGAAGCCGAAGAAGGCACCTATCGTATTCCACGAGGTTGACGAAGACACGCCTACCATGTACTCTCTCCAAAACGCTGCTAAATCAGGCCAAAGCCTACCTTCACAGGCCCATATCCCTGTCCCAGATACGGCTACTGGCGATCAGCTCGTCAACGGGGCAGATGCAAACTCAAGAAGATTGTCGATGTCATCGCACTCATCTAAAACAAGTCATGGCCTTGGATCTACCCTAGCTGAAATACGCAATCGCCAACAACATGACACCCAGCATACGCCATCGGAATATTTCTTTTACCAAGCACTGTTACATTATTACCTCTCGCCGTTAGACATTCGCATACTAAAATCCGCATTTGGAGACTTTGCAACCTTTCCTTCGACTATCTTACCACGAGTCGAGCGCGTGTCTACTGGTCACGTCATCGACGACGATCTGCGCAAGCGCACTAAATACCTCGCCCACCTTCCGTACGGCTGTGAAGTGTGTTTCTTGGAATGTGATTGGACAGATACGGTGGCACCCGAAATATTGGAAAAGTTCAAACCGGAAATCGAAAAGAGGAGGAAGAGGCACTACGACAAGGAGAGCAAGGAAGAGAAGGCTCGGCTGAGGGCAGAGAAAGCCGAATACGCAGAGTTTGCGGCGGCGCGGCGGAAGAGGAATAGCATATCAGAACGGTTCTCGGCGGAAGACTTCCAGCCACTTGCTTCGGGAAGTATACCTGTCGAAACAGTGGGACAAGCGGGCGAGGAGAGTGCTTCAACATCGCCTCCGTGGCCACCAAGAAGAGGAGGACAGGGCTTTGCCTCGCTGGCCTCGCCTTCAACGAGCCCGTCTACATCTCGCACTGTTTGGGGTACGGCGGCTATCGCCGCAACATCCCCTATCATGGCGCCTTTGGAACATAACGCGCAGGACGATGGCTGGTTGCAGGGTTGGGAGAAAGATCTGCTAAATGAAGAGGACGCTATGGTTGCACAAGCGCAAGTTCTGAGTGTAGAGGACAGCGAGGCGCCTAAGAAACAGGCGGGAGGAAAGAAGAAGAAGGCAAAGAAGATTACGCTCATGAGCACCAACGCTAGGAGAGGTGCATGATCTTTGTGATGGCCATGTGTGCCTAGCATTGGCGATACATGGGCAGAACATACCCAACTTCTAGCCCTTGGCATACCATACTGCGTAACATCATAGTAATTCACATGTGCCTCGAATCATTCATCCGCTCTGACCCGTTTCCCCATCTACGCCTTACCCAACCCCACACTCCGCGCCTTGATCTGCATCGCAAGATACCGACTCATGATCCTGCACAGCGCGAGGTTCCCCCCGAGAAACCACAGCCCTGGGTGCCCCGTAGGCCGCCACATAGCATTAATCTCACCTTCCTCATCTAGATCCCAAACATCCTTGCAGCGCTCTGCTTCCGCTTTGCCAAACGCCGCCTCGACGCTGGTGCGCATGTTAGCGTAGCCAGTTGCCAGGACTACTATATCGGCGTCTAGCTTCCGTCCGTCTGCTAGGACGAGCCCGTCTTGTTCGAAGCCTTTGATACCGTTGGGGGATTGGACGACTTTGATTTTGTTGTCGATGATGAGCTGCGAGGCGCCGACGTCGATGTAGTAGCCGCCGCCGCGGGTGATATACTTGCGATATATACCGCTGCCATCGTGCCCGAAGTCAACATTAAAGCCTGCTTTAGCCAGACCATCTAAATTTTCTTTCTCGACTTCTTTGATGCGGTTGGTCAAATCAACATTCAACGCTGGCACCACCGTCGTTAGTATGTATCCCTCAATATGATGTTGAAGGGAGCGAGGGGGAGACAAACCAAATTGCACAGCGTTAGGCAAAGAGTTCCCAAATACATCTGCGTCTTCAAGCGGCGGGCCACCCTCTTCGTACATGCCTTTGTGCAGCATGAAAAGCCCTTTCGAGGCTTGGATGACGTAGGTGCCGCGGCGTTGGAGCATGGTTACGGAGTGGGCGCCGGAGAGGTGGTAGTTTTGGGCGATGTCGTGGCCGGAGTTGCCTTTCGTTCATTAACATTCACCAATCTGCAGAATTTTTGGGGAAGAGGAAGGGTACCTGTGCCGACGACGATGACTTTCTTGCCCGCCAACTTATCTGAATGTTTTGAAGCGTCTTTGTGCTGCGAGGCGTGATATACCGTCCCTTTGAACGTGTCCTGGCCTGGGAACGAGGGTACGAGAGGGACGCCGGAGTGGCCTGTGCAGAAGACTACGTGCGAGGGGTGCAGTGTTCTCTCCGTGCCGTCGTTTCGTTTGACAGTCACGGTCCATTTCTGGTCGGAGTCAGAGTAGGAGGCGGCAGAGATGGTGGTCGAGGTCCAGACGTTGAGTTCGAGGGCAGAGGCGTAGATCTCGAACCAGTCTGCGAGCTTGTCTTTGGGAGTGAAGAGCGGCCAGCTAGAGGGAAAGTCCAAGTAGGCCATGTGTGTGTATTGAACCGGGTCTGGGATCGGCGTTAGTCTGAGTGAGAAAGGAAAAGGGGGGAGAAAATGTACCATGTGTGACAAGAGTCCGGTACCGATGTCGCCAGTTGTCTCCCACGCGCTCGTTCTTATCGACGACAAGAACGGACATGTTGAGCGCTTGCAAGCGAGCGGCAACATTGAGCCCGGATTGACCAGCACCTACAACGAAGACGTCTGGCTCCGCATCCAGGAATTCTTTCTCGCTATCTCGTTTCTCCTGCCAGTTCAGTCCACCCTTCATCCCTCCTGATGTCCCATCCAATGCATTGTTGCCTCCGTGTTTTCTCCTCGTGCCAGCCAACTCTTCGTATCCTTTGAGCTCCAATAGCGTTGTGCTCAGGAAATGTGCTTTCCAGATGCCATCGTCTCCCTGTGCGAGACGCAGCACGCCCTTTCCTCTTCCAACCTTGGTCTCGAAGTGGAAAAGTGAAACTACCCATTCCAGACCTTCAAGTGGAGTCTCATAATGAGGAGCAAAAGGATGCGGGGCTTCTTCTAAACGAAACGAAGAAAAGTGGGTGTTGGGAAGGTTGGTGTTGAGGAAAGATGTGATATTAGACAGAGAGCGGATTGTGCGGAGATCCCAGGTCAGCACGAGGAAGTCGCGCCACCAGCTGTCATCATGGAACAGAGTTGGAAGTTTGGCGGGGTCATTGCTGGACAGAAGAGATGAAAACTTGTCCAGCCAGCCTTGGGCAATGCTGCGTGCTTCGCGGCGCTCGGGGGCTTGGACTTTGATGTCGTGCTTGGTGAAGGTGGGAAGAGTGACGTCGTGGGGATGTTGAGCGAGCATTTTCTCTGTTGAAAAATACGCAGTATCTTGAGCTGTTGCAAGACATGAAACTTTATATATTCAAAGAGAAATACTACCGAGATCCTTTAGGGCAAGCTCTCCGCTCTGTTGAGGATCCCCGTGGGGCCCCAAGCCGTGTAGAAGTCAACATTCGGAGTGACATGGCCCGTTTATTCTCCCAATGACAGAGCGGTTCGGGCACTTCGCTGTCCAATTCCATTGGTTACAGCTTTGTAGACGCGTCTATGGTTGTATGACGATGGCAGGTTGCGGGGTTCTCGTGAAGGTAGCTCGGTAGACCTTCCTCATCGGTCTCGGTCAAGTTGCCTTCCAACTCGGAATTCGATCGGAACATGTTCCGATCAAACAGCACCCGCTCTGCTAATGCGGTTGATCTTTTACAGCACAGCAGATAAGTCTTGATGCCCACACCATAATAAGCTCATTATGAGTTATATGCACAAAGTACATTTGGGGCAGGTTGAGCGAGTGTTCCTATGTAAGCAAATCAAGCGTACATGCCCTCTCGGTGTGACATGGCCCGATACAACGCTAGCCTACCTCGGTTACTCCTGTCATTCCTACCACGACGTCACGCTTATGCGTTGAGCCATGTCAAAGGCATCGAAAGAAGTTGGGCGTTCACTGAAATACATTCTTATATGCCAGTAGGATGAACAAGACAGTGTAAGTTCTCGGGCTGAATTGAATACATGAGGCTCACCATCCAGGTGCAAGCTATGTCGTCAGAGGAAGACGCGATGTAATCGCCAGCTTCCCAAATGCGATAGCTGTACCAAAGCGGGCGTGGACTGCCAATACGGTAGGCATACCGTCACAGCAAGGTAGACACTAAACTAAGCAGCTGACGTAACTGTATTGTAGTCAAAGATAAGTCCAGACCAGGTCTGAGAGCTGGCTACGTTTCCGCACTGGAGGAGAGGCTAAGTAATGTGGACTTACATAATTTGATTACACTGAGGTCTAACCATCCTTCTAGATCGGCTCGAGAAGGAGGTACAACTGTTGAAGGCTGATCGCTGTCGTATGTGGACTGCCCTCCCAACATCGTCCGATGCTGACCATACCAAGCGCATGCGACCACAGCAGCAGTCCATGGCAATTCCTTTCTGAGCCCTTCCCATGTGTCGATTCTTGAAGTACAAGGTGGCTTACAGCCTAGTCCTGCCCCTGCATCAATATTGGAAACCCAAAATTCAGTCGCTCACAGCTCATCGAATTTTGAAGAATCGCCATGTCACTTTGATCCACTTTCGCCGAACGTCGTTGACGAACTATGTGCTGTGTGGTTTGGTAAGAATACGACGAGTAATCAGTGGTATCTACTAATGACAATGGGTCTTTAGAAATGTATCATCCGTGGTTCCCTGTTCTGCATCAGCCTTCGTTGCTCGAGGCACTGCAGGCGTCGGCTGATGTTAGAGACACGCCCTACCTTCCCATATTGAAAGCTATAATTGCAGTCACAATACATAAGAACCACCGATTCGATGCACCATCCTGGGAGCAATGCCGTCGAATTTCTGATGATCTTCGCAACCAAGTTGTCATGGAAGCCATAGATAATCTCTCATTACGACCGTTACAAGCGATCCTGATCCTTTGTATTTTAGAGTATGGTGCTGGGCGATTGAAGGAACACTGGAATTTAGTAGCTCTGGTAAAGCGGTATGTCAAAGATGGCGATGTGGTGGTCTACCTGTGGGTCTGCACCTCTTACTGACTGCACACTAGCATGGCAATTCAGCTTGGCCTGAGAGACCTCGTAGCGTACCACTGCAGCAACTTCAACCGCGTCTCTACATTGCCTCCGCGTATGCTGCCAATCCCCGATACATTGGTGGACAGGGAAGAAAAGATAAGGGCATATTGGATGGCTGAAGGCAAGCATATGCTATCTTCCGTGATCACACTACAAAAAGAAGCTAATGACAGATTAGTGCTTGATGGAGCCTCCACTGTTGGTGCGGCCTGGAATATCAGCATCTCCAAACCCGAGAACGACGGCCTACTTCCTTGTAGCGACGCTGCGTGGGCTTTTCCGGAAGCCGTCATCAGTGCTTGGCCATTCGACGATATCGCAATGTCTTCAACATACTCACTTTACGTCATGCTCGTTACGAACGAGATATACCATGTCCATTATTTTCTCCAACAGTCCTACGATCTGCAGCGCGCCGACGAACGTGCTCGTAGACGTCAAGATTGCCAGCTTGTCGACGAAAGATTGAAGGACTGGCGAGCCAAATTCGACGCGACGCAGTTGCCGTTTAGTCCAGATATCGAAGGCCAACACGATCCGAACAGTATGCTTATCCAATGCGTACTGGACCTGTAAGCGGCTTGATCAAGCACAATGAACTTTACTGACCTTTCTACAGTGCGACTATATCCTTATATCAAGGCTTGATCTTCCCGCCCGTAGGGGGCACGCCAGGGACATGGAAGCACGCTCTGCGACGCTGTCTAGATGCTTGCGATAGCATCACGAACGTGTTGCGAACAATCGCAGACACGGACCTCGAGAACATGAGTCCGCTCGTTATCCCTTGCATTTTCGTTGCAGCCAGGTTCTGCATCCGTAAGTCGAACATTCTCAATATAGCAAGATTATAGCTGAACAGAGTCGCAGTCCACGCGAAGCTATTCAACATCGAACCCTCTCACAAAATCGCGTTCTTCCCCATCAAACTAGAGATTTGCGGACGACGTTGGCCATACGCGCAGCGACTATTGAAGGTTCTAAAGACAGCAGTCGCAACCTATGATCCATCGAACGAAGCGACGACGACCCTTCCTATCCAATTTTATGACTTTCTGTACTCGTACCTAGACATTGATGAAGCACTTCGGATATGGACAGAAAGCTCAGAAACTTAGACGCAGCTGTATAGTTCGGTCCTACTTGAACGATGCAAGCAACACTGCATTTGTCTGGGGTTTCGAATGCGTCTGTCGTGGTAAACGCAGAGAATGGAAGCGCTGTCATAAAAATGTCGACACGCCTTCTACGTCACTGTCGCTAGCAACATCGCAGCGTCAAGCAGCCACATCACGTACCACGGTTCCATCTTAAGCATCACCACTCAACAAAACACCAGCAAGTCACATCAGAGCTAATACCACGAACGTTGCCTAACAGAACGTGATTGAAAGTGCCCGCAAGAGAACATCGCAGTGTCGACGGCATCAATATTTTCTGATACGGAACTCGATGGATATACACCCTTCAGGCACAGCGAGAAGCGGTACCTAAAGCAATCGAGCCATCTTCCATAAATACCAGCAATACTAATCCTTCTTGGATGCTGACTGCAGGCATTGGGGTACCAAAAAGGTATCCTATAGTCGGCGGGGTACAAGGTACCTGTATGTAAACGCACTATGCCTGTCTAGGCAAGTGACTGCATGCTCCAGGGGCACCTGGCGCTTATCTCCTCACATCCACAAAGCTTGCTTTGACCCTCAGTATGATTTCCAGCATTATTTCTTATTAAGCAGAGAGCAATGTCTGAGAAAGCTCCCTCACATGGGATTCTGCGGCGCCTGCATGATCAATCAAGCTTATGCGACTGCCATTCTTGGTCGTCGGATGACCCGGGCTCAGTCCGCTATCGGACAAGGGTTCCCCAGAAAGCTGTAGGAACGCCGTGCAGCGACGATCTCGCGACCACACGGCGTTGATAAGTACTCATTTCGACCGCGCGTGAGCATCCACCCGCATGCAAACTAAGTCCGATCAATGCGATCTCATTGGCTGCATACCCATATCCTCGCAACATGCAATATGCTGCCTGGGGCGATGTCACCATGGGACGGTGTACCTTCCACATGGTGCCAGCATGGGAATAGGAGTGCATGCGAAGGATGTTGTGTCCGCGTCCATCATGCATTCAAATACCGGAGTCATTGCCATGGGAACAAGTGCCGTCGACACTTCGAGTTGATCGTTCTTTACTTCTCGATCCTCCAAACATGGTCATTCCGAAGACCGCCGTCTTCGCGTTCTTGTCGCTCGTTCCGCAACTTGCTAGAGGGCAGAATTCCACTGATAACCTGAAATATGTTGATCAGTTAATTGGAAGTGCTAATGGAGGTCCGTAACAGTTCCGTCATGGGACGAGATTCCCGCTGAACTGGCAGGCAACGTTTTCCCTGGCGCAACGCTGCCATATGGCATGGCAAAAGCTGTCGCTGATGTCGACTCCGAGAGCAATCAGGGTGGCTTCACAACGGAAGGAGGCAGCGTTACCGGCTTCAGTACGATGCACGACAGTGGAACGGGTATGACAATTGTGTTCAGTTGCCCTCTCACGAGAAAATGAGCTCAGGTTGCGCAGGTGGCAGCCCTTCACTCGGCAATTTTGCCTTCTTTCCTTACGCGTCATGCGCCGGCGGTGACGTGAACGGATGCGTATTTCCCAAGAAGGCACGGAAAATTCCATATAAACCAGACTCTGTCAAGGCCACTCCAGGATACTTCGGCATCCAGCTGCAGAGTGGTGTCGCTGCCGAGATGACTACTGCGCATCACACCTCCCTTTTCCGCTTCCAGTTTCCTTCGACCAGCGACAACAGTCCACTACTTCTATTAGATCTTACAGACCTCAGCGATTCGCGCCAAGACAATGCAACTATTGAGGTAGATGAGACGACTGGCCGAATGTCTGGAAGTTCTCGCTTCAACCCAAGTTTTGGCACCGGCACCTACGTTGCTTACTTTTGCGCCGATTTCAAGGGCGCTTCAATACGCGACAACGGTATCTTCGTGAATTCTCGGGCAGGTGCGACCGTGAAAGACCTGAAGATCAATCGTTCTATTAATGGCTATCCTTTGCCTGGAGGCGGCTTCATCCGTTTCTCTGAAAATCCCGCCGATGGAATCCTTGCGCGCATTGCTGTGAGCTACATCAGTAGTGAACAGGCTTGCAGCAACGCCGAGGCGGAAATTCCTGATTTTGATTTCGAAGCCACTCATACTGCGGCCGAGTCTGCATGGCGAGAGAAACTTTCGCCGATCACAGTATCCTCGGAGGGTGTTGACTCGTCGTTCGTCACGAACTTTTACTCTGGAATATACCGTACCATGGTGAGCTTGCAGTCTTCACGTGATGACGTCGTCGATACTGATCCTATACAGGTTAACCCTCAGAACTATACCGGCGAGAATCCCCTGTGGCAGAGCGATGAGCCTTACTTTGACTCTTTCTACTGCCTTTGGGACAGCTTCCGCTCGCAACTGCCATTCCTGACCATCAACGATCCAAATGCACTAACTCAGATGATTCGTTCACTCATTGACACATACAAAAATGAAGGCTGGCTCCCGGACTGTCGCATGAGCCTTTGTAAAGGATACACGCAGGGTGGCTCTAACGCCGACGTTGTGTTGACTGACGGCTTTATCAAGGGCCTCACTAATGGTATTGACTGGGATTTAGGCTATCAAGCTGTTGTGAAAGACGCCGAGGTGGAACCGTTCTTCTGGTCTGTGGAAGGCCGTGGTGGCCTAGACAGCTGGAAATCTCTTGGATACGTCCCTACGGAAGATTTCGATTACAAAGGCTTTGGTACGATGACTCGCTCTGTATCACGAACCCTAGAGTATGCGTACAACGACTTCTGTATCGCGCAGATGGCGAGCAAACTCGGCAAGACCGATGACGTGGAGAAGTACACAGAAAGCAGTGGCAATTGGGAGAATTTGTTTGATCGAAACCAGACCAGCTTCTTCAACAATGGAACCGATACTGGGTTCGTGGGATTCTTCCAAGGTAGATACCAAAATGGTACCTGGCATGATCAGGATCCGTTATGGTGCTCGACTATTGATAACTACTCGGGCAAGTCCTGCTCGTTGCAGAATACCGGCCAAGAAACGTTTGAGTCCAGTTTGTGGGAGTATGGCTTGTACGTATCATCCAGATTTGTGATCGAGGCTGTCGCTAATGGATGGCAGCTACGTACCTGGTGATCAAGCGGCCCTGATCCAACTGTACGGCGGACCAGATGGTTTCGTGAAACGTCTTGACTACTTGCACGACCAAAACATCACTTACATCGGCAATGAGGCGAGCATATCCACCTTGATTTTTGTGAGCTCAAGCTAACAACATATCAGCCGTCATTCCTCACTGTGTTCCAATACCACTACGCCGGTCGTCCTGCACTCAGCGCCAAGCGATCCCACTTTTACATCCCGCGGTACTTCTCGCCTCAAAACGATGGCCTGCCTGGCAACGATGACTCTGGTGCGATGGGTTCGTTCGTTGCTATGTCTATGTAAGCCCACCCCCTCCAAGGCCAAAACATAATTCATCACTAATATTTTACAGGATGGGCCTCTTCCCCAACCCAGGCCAAAACGTGTACCTCATCACACCCCCCTACTTCCCCTCCATATCCATCAAATCGCCCCTCACCGGCAACACAGCAACCATACGCAACGTCAACTTCGACCCTACCTATGAAGCTATCTATATACAATCTGCTACTCTAGATGGCGAACCTTACACGAAGAATTGGATAGATCACAGCTTCTTCACGGAAGGCAAGGAGTTGGTGCTTACGCTGGGAAAGAACGAAAGTAGCTGGGGCACGAAGATTGAGGATCTGCCGCCGAGTCTGAGCGAGTATGCGGGTGGGAATGGGACGGCGAATGGAACTGTTACGAAGACGTTGGGGAGGAGGGAAGTTACTATGGGGATGTTGAAGGAGAGGGCGGGGTTGGGGAGCGTGGTTATGGCTGGTGTGGGGGTCTAGACTTGTGTTGAAGAGTGTGGTATTACTTAGCAGACTCCAGATCTTGCGCGGTTTGGTTAACAGAATGATAGACTTTCGACGTTCGGGTCTGCATGCCGAACTTGGGCTTTTGGCTCCTTTGTTAGTTGATACCCGGCTTTGTTGTCCCAACCGAAAGATAGAACCCGCAGCTGTGATCCTATCACGAAAACGCTCGAAATAGACGACAAAGAGACCCCACGTAGACGCTGAAAATACAAAAGAGATATAAAGAAAGGTAGTTCTCCGAGAGTAGAGGTGTCCCATCAAGATGGGGAAGAAGCTCGTGCGCCGTACAATAGCGTTCGGTCACTTCATGGTCGTGCAAGCCTGCAGAAAAATACATCATGCTATGGCGGGGTGAGAAGCAGCTTTACCTCTTTCACGTTGTATTAAATAAGAGCTCCGTAATGTTCTGGCCAGATCGGTGTATGCGTGCGAAGGTCTTGTGAGACATTAGAGTCGAGGCTTGCGTAGTGAACACTATTTGCGTCACGACTGAAATTATTATGATGTAGATGTCGCTTCCATGTTCGATGTCACTGCTTTGCACACGGTCGTACATCACGTATTTCACTAATGATTAGTAAACTATGTGATTCCATACTTCACATCTAGCTATTGCATTTACGTTATTCCCGTGTGTATTCTCGCTTTACGCTCCTTTGTGCAGATTTTCATGACGAAGCGAAACATCGTTAAGTTTCTTCGCCTCCTCGCTCTTTGTCCTGCGTTGTTACGAGAACAACCATCTTGCGCTTGAAATAGCCCTTCTCAATCATGGACCATCCAACAGATAGTATTCCCTTCCCCTCTCTTCTACTTCCCCCACCAACGATCACCCCAACATCAGTAAATATGTCAACAGAGACTAACCGGTCAGCATCCTCCACTTCTGATCAGCCAGCCCCTACCTCCAGTGAGGCTCGCTCAACGAATGCACCCTCAAGCTCCGCGGCCTCGCCAACGTCATCCAAACAAGAGCCGACGTCGATACCGGCAGAGCCGTCTACGACTAAATCCCCGCCTCCGCCTCCATCATCAGAGGCTCCTCTATCGACAACGAGCACGGCATCGAAGTCAGAACCCACGTCGACGGCCGTGACCAGCATTGATCCTCCGACAACTTCGGAGCCACCGCCAACGACTACCTCCGTTGTCCCTTCCACAACCTCTTTCATTACCTCGCCCACAATCTCATCTTCACCCCCAGCAACCGCCACATCAGCCGCACCAACCATCGCCCCCATCTCCCCAAGCGGCCTCCCCAACGGTGCCAAACTGGGTCTCGCCATCGGCCTACCCGTCGTCTTCGCTCTCGCGCTCCTCATGGGCCTCATTCACTACGGCCGCAAGCGTTACCAGAACAATAAGGAAAACAAGAAGCGAGTCCAGGACATAGAAGACCAGGCACGACTTTCGGCTTTCCAGTCGCAGATGGCGCAGGCGGCACCGACGGAGGCGAACGGGAGGGGCTCGGCTATGGTTGGTATTCATCCGAGTAGGTTTGGGGATGTGCAGCAGGAGAGTGTGCAACATTCGCAGCGGTATCAGCCGTATTCGAGGGAGAGTAATTACCGGGGTTGGTAGATTCATAAACGGTATAGGAATCTGCGATATTCGCTGAGCAAGCCGATGTCCAAGTAGCGTGTGTTTTCTGTGCTATGTGCACGACAAGGGCAAACGTGTTTTTCGGTGACAATGAGCGTTGCCAAGTTATAGGCCACGATGAAGAAGCCAAAGACCCATGATATGTACTGCAGATTTTGGAAGACCGAGAAGATGCGACAGTATAAGCACAACAGCGAGAGCTTCGTCAGCACAACGCACAACGCATACGCCACGATACAGGTTACGTAGCCTTGAATAAAACCAGCTCTGTTTGTGACGAAGATGATGTGCCTGCCCTCGCCAAAAGTGACCTGGGGCCACCCTACGATGGCGTAGGATGAAAGTGGGACCAGCGCCGCGATAATTAGCCAATCGTCTCAGGCAAATCGCGCCTTTGCTACCCTGCGAGCGTAGACGCGTAAGCCCACGAAAAGGTAGGCCAGAATCAAGCGTGCGGCGTTGGACGCTATGATGCTCGGTTGCAAAGTCGATTTCTTCTTGTGATAGTGACATGATAGATACGAAGGGTAGACGAAGTTGTCACGAGCCCAGCGGCATACGAGCGAAAGTCCTGATTCAAGTTCAGCCTCGTTGAACGTCCTACAGCGGGGGCTGGGGACCCTTCTCGAGATGCATCCTGACGGGCGGACGAAGGGGAAGGCGTTCAGGCGACTTCAAATGATGAACGCCTTGCAGCGTAACATCTACAGTGATGGCCAATCAGACGTAATGGTGGCCACATGCATGCAGTAGGGATGGGTTGCTACGACTGACGCTTACGTCCTCCCAGCACGGTTCGGATTACAACACTGCTTTTCCAGGGGAGTTTCGTGTGGCGAAGGACTACTTGCAGGCCTAGGGATCCCTGACGCGCTGTGCATCCGGAGTTGTTAGAAGGTTGTATATGTGTAATGCCGTGTTGCGCGCACTTCGATACCATAGGTAGGTAAGACATGATCTGCAAATGTCCTGGACAATGCCTTGCCGTTGGTAACAAGAAATTGGAAACGCATCGGAGTTCTACTTTAACGAAATCAAGAGAATACAAAAGATATTATTGATTATGGCACTCACGAGCACCACACCAAGCGAGGTTGTCTACCCAAAAATGGATTGTAAGAGGCGCAGTTACTATGGTATCAATTGCTCATGTGGGGGTTTTAGAAAGACGAGTACGTAAGCTGCGCAAGCGACCCAACGCATATATGACCTTTGTCTTTTACCTATCAACCTAGATAGAATCTCTTTCTCCCCGCGCACAAGTACCATATCAACCCTTAGGCCACTATGGCGCTCAACGAAGTTCTTATGGTCGGTAGTGTTCCTGGGACTGGGCCGCAGGAAGTCTTTTCTCGACTACTCGCAGCGCTACCTGGTCGATTACAAGCTGTACCTGACGGGGAGACGGGTGAGCGGAACAACTACATTGGATGGCAACTGCAGCGTTTCCCTCGGGTGGCCCGAAGAAATGAATTGGGAGGGACGCCGTTGCCTGAACTTGGACCGCCGACCTTTTCGCTCGAAGACATTGAGCCAACAGCCTACGACGAAGCCGCGTTGTCATCCTATGCCGAATTTACACGTCTTCGTCAGCAAAAGATCGTCCCACCGAATGTTCTTTTCCAGATCGGTCTACCTTCACCCTACAGCGTGATAACCGGCCATATCAAACCCGAGCTGGCCAACGCGATTGAGCCGTTATATGAGCAGCGCGTCGCAGATTCCATTGATAAAATCGTTGCAAATATCCCTCATGATGACTTGATAGTACAATGGGACCTTTGTTTCGAGATCACGGCACTCGAGTTCAATCAAGGGCGGCTGAATGACAAACGCCACCAGCCCTACTTTTCGACTTCTGTGCTACAAGGTCTGGTAGACCGAGTAGTGAGGCTATGCAAACGGATTCCTGGAGATATCAAAATTGCTTTCCACCTTTGTTATGGCGATCTTAGGCACAAGCACTTCATCGAACCAGAGGATACATCACTCCTTGTAGAGTTTGCCAACGCTTTGCTTTCACACGAGAGGATTGGCTCGCGGACCCGGTGGATTCATCTTCCAATACCAAAGGATCGATCAGATGCTGAATACTTCGCACCTTTGGCTGGCCTCAAGCTCAATGGCCTTGACTCTGGCTCAAAACCACCACTCTTATACCTCGGTCTAGTGCACGCCAACGATGAGGCTGGGACACGAAAACGCATAGAGACTGCGCAGTCTAGCATTCCGTTCACGTTCGGCATAGCGACAGAATGTGGATTGGGAAGGACACCACTGGAGGAAATTGGCAGCGTTTTACAAATTTGCAAAGATGTCACCACAGAGCGCTCCTCGGAGCATCTTTAACCTGGGCAAATATTGGTTATGTAGGCAGCCTGTGAGGAAGTCGCACCATGCATTTGACACGAATGATCAAATTTACATTCAGCTGTAAGTAATACAAGTGGAAGATTACTAGTCTTGCATTTCCTTGCCAGCAAAACGGTGTTACTTTAATGATAAGGCACCGGTGCAAGGACTTACGAACGCTTGTTTTCAGCTATCTTTGGAAAGGTTTGTCCGCATCATTTTAGGCAGTGATTTTCAATTTCAGATGATGGCCGTGCAATAAGAGTGGGGTTATTGCGCTGTGTAACAGTAAGCAGCGGGGGTTGTTGTTTTTGTGATTCAAAACAAGGCAACCGAGGAATATCCAAATTTTGCAATTATGGATCGACAGTGCACCACAATCTGCAAGGTGAACCTATGAAATTCGATCCGTGGTAGGTATGTGAATCTACAAAGGGTAGGCACGCTTACGGTCACCGAAGGATCCTGGGATGTGCCACATTGATACATCTCGTTTGTTGCACCAACGAATTTCCTTAGCGGCGCAAACAATGAAAGTGCATTAGCACGCAATACTCATATTAGTATCCTTGAGTGCCCCGTCCGATGACCCCTCCAGACTGGTGAAGGTCTGCTCAGCCCTGCAGCCGCGGACCTATCGGCGAGCCTCAATGCCGTAATCTCTGCATGGGCAAGCTGAAAGTTCCGGAAATGGTAGGAGCTTCTAGTGGGCCAGCTTAGCCCCGCCATTCTCGCGCAAGCGGGGATCTTGGCTAGTATCTATTAATTCCGAACGAGTAGCGGCAGCTAGTTTGGCACAACCAGGCTACGTATAGGCCTCTATGCCTAAGTGCAACTCAACTTTGAATATGCTACTGTTTGACTCTTGTGAAGATGTATAGAAGTCGAGTTTTCGTAATAGTGTAGTCGGTGCGGCCGGTCACCTCCCTGCTAGCGGGAGCAAGTTTGTATAGTATTTTGCGCGTTTATCACTTTTTATACTGTAAATACCGCTAATTATGCTGCTGTCGAACCCGCCCTAGTGACTCCGTGCATATGATTTGTTTGGCTTTTTGTGGCTTGCATATTACTTAAGCCTGGAATGGTTACAGAACTGACACAACTTAGGCAGCAGCTGGGTACAGTTAACCGCCCTGCTTTCATTATCGCTCCCTCCGACCTTCACTACTCGCCGTAGTCAATATCTATTCTTGAACTAAAGGAGAATCGCGTCTCAACTCGAGGTTGATTAAAGATTGTTTCACTGCTTACGTCCTCGGCACGCACCTAGTACGATGAATAGAAAATTTGGGCGGTTTGACGACTGGCACTATAGTCATCGTACAGACCATGTCGCGACCAGCAGGCATGGTAACAGTGATTCTATAAGGAGACGTCGCTGGGGTAAACACTAAGCAGGCGGCTAGCATGCGATCGGTTCACACTTGAGGCTACATAGTTGCATATGGAGAGGCGAAAACATATCATGGCCTAGAGCGCTTTTTAAGACAACTACACGTACGGTCGCCAACACATGGATTCTTTGTTGACATAAAACCAACAATGTCGAAATCACTTTGATTTTGAAGGCCGATAAAAACCAGTCTGGTATTGAGAGCGAGTTTGATCATGATCGCCGTCATGCTCGCGGACTCCTGTCCCACTTGAATTCAAGACCTACACGTCTTCCTCTATGCGGGTCTAGTTCATCAGAATCAGGAACCCACCCCCCCGCCCTCAATGTAGTCTCGTGGTACGAGCCGTAGAGAAAGCTGCTGCCTCTCATCCATGTCTCCAACATACACACAACCCGGTACGATCACGTCTTCTTCTAGGCGATTCAAGGGGCCTTGTACACGGCGGAGGTGCCCCCCTATATACTGTTCCAATAGATACTGCCCACCTTTTCCAAGAAGATCAGGGTTTTCAGTATCAAGTATTCTGTATCCCCATCGCCGACTGTACTCTCGCCGTCCCTCGTATTGGAAAAACACTCCGAAAGAATACCCGGAAGCTTCCAATATTGTGTTATGAAATACCCATTTCTTATTTATGCCGAAGAGCACTAAGCAAACAAAAGTTCCTTTGTGCCCGGCGTGAACTGTCCTCGTAGATGGATCCCAGCATGCTAAGGGAGCTACTTCACTGATGTATAAACCCTGATATTCCCCCGGATAATGTAACGGTATTCCGGCCTGTGTCCAGGATTTCTCTGCTCGACAGAACTTTGGGCACTTGAATAGTCATTTCCCAGGAGGACGAACATTCGTCTTCGTCTAGCAATCTATCGGGAGAAACTCTAACGCAGAATTCCTTGCTAATCTGACGGAGGAGTAAACCAAGTCGCATACGTTGCGATCTAGACTGATGTCCGAGTACTAACACGAGGCAGCCGGTCGGTTTGTAGTACTTTAGAGGGTATTCTCGAAATCGAATTCCTTGGTTTGTGACGGAGAATTCGCTGTAAACAGTCCTGATGCTGGGTGCTGCTTCTAATTCATGACCGTCTCTGAACCATTGAGGCGATTCCGCCAGCAGACCTGAGAACATCGATGGAAGTGGGTTCGTCCAAGCAAAGATAGACAGATCAGGGTTTTGCTTGATTATCTCTTCTTGTAGGCGAATGAAGGCCTTCTTTCCCTCGCCATAGAGTAGTGGCATGTTGACGTCAAATATGCCCATCAGGCAGTAGGCAAGGTCTTCGACTCGCGTGGTATGGCGCTGCGAAGCCCATGACATACGCACAGCAACTGGAAGTTCGGAAGTATACTCAAACGTCGATATGTGAGTGACCCTCTGTATAACGTCTCGAAATGTATGCCTGGTGCCACGAAACGCCCAGCTCTTATCGTAGAATCTAATGCTTCTCGGAGCGACCAATTCCTGGAGTGTCCATCCGCGGGTGAACCATCTCGACGTCTCGAAGGTCCCTAGATTCGCAGTCATGTCCGAGAGGTAGGCAAAGCAAACGACTGCCTCAAGATAGTATTTGTACATGGAGTTGATAGCTTCGCTCAACTCAGCGCTAGAGCTTTTATCGATGCAGCAGGTATCGATCCAGGCATGCTCGATACGCTGGTCCTGATGAAGCAGGCGATCCTGGTGATAAATACTTGCCTCATTGCTCAGGTTGTAATGCTGAGCGTTTTGGCATGTCCTAAAGATCTTTCGGTACCCAGGCTTCAATGTTGTGCTCGGAGGCCGATCGCCAGGATCGACAAGCATCTCCTGGAAGGTCACTTCCTCGGAATCAGTTCCCCATGTATGCGACAGGATGACATAAGTTGGGATCTCGCTCGTGAAAGACTCAAGCTTGTTGGTCCAGATGTTGATGAGACGCATTGCGAAAACCTACGAGCGGCTCAGCGCAGATTCCATGGATGTTCTTTATTCAGACTTGCGGGGGGTTTGCGCTTGCGGCGCAGGGTGCATAAGGCTGACATCCAGCTGCGCCACCACATGCAGCATTCATGGACACGTGGACCAAGCAGAAGTAAGTCAAAGCGTACAAAAGTTTCCTTTCACTGTCAACCATATCTTCCAAAGAGAATCGTGAAACTTAACGCCAAACGAATCAGACCCTCGCGAGGGAACAACTAGCACCTGCATGACATCGATCACGTGACCACAAAACACCCAGGGTGGCCGCGTCGATTGTTTCTCATCGTGGGAAACCTTATAAGCGAACGACACATTTTCTAAAATGTTATAATACTGGAGTTACACACGGCCTGAAAGACTCCAGCTTAGATTTCAAGGTCGGCTTTAGCACGGAGTGAGCAACGAATGCAAGTAGTATACCCAACATTATCTTATAACCTGTTATAGGCTATGTCTTATAGAGAGGACTGTCTCCAGCACGTTGTATCATCCTGCAGGATTTTCCGCCCTCGCTAATGAACGGCCACTTAGTACTCATACTCCACTCTCCTCGATATGTTCCTGAACCGCCAGCTTATGAGCTATCCGACGGGCACCATTGATCGTCGGGATCAGAGAAGGAGGCGGGGCCATGATAACACGATTCGAACCCATCGGGGGACGTGGCAAACATTGGGGAGTCTGCGAGACTGGCGGTGAACTCAAAGCCAGTAGATCATCGATATAGTGATCTCTTTCTCTGAGACCCAATTTCATGTCTTGAATCTCTGCTTCCATGTGTGATATCGTCGCCATGAGATGCTCGGGCTTGCAACATGGACCATACAACGGCGAGCGCGCCTTTCCTAGCTGACTGATAACTGCCAGGTGCTTATCCAGCGTGTGGGCTGACGGCCGTAAATGTGGTTTCTTCTCCATCATGTTTTCGATCTCGCATAGCAAGTGCTGTAGCTGCGTATTTCTAGTTCTTAGCAACTTGAACCATGCTTGCTTGTGCTGTAGGTTTGCCTGAAATGAGCCTCTTTGTTCCGGACAGGAATCTTTGAGCTCTTCAAGAGGTACACCTTTGATCAGAGCCATCATCTCGAGGAATATGCAACCAAGAGAGAAGATATCAGCAGCACGCCCACTCTTTTCGTATACCGCCACTTCTGGTGCGAAGTATCTGAATGTGCCGCGCTCGATCGCCTCGCTTTGACTGTTCGAATGTGCCGAGAAGTCCGATGAAATCCCGAAGTCCGCAAGCCACAAGCCACCGTTGGAGAGCAGTATATTGTGAGGCTTGATGTCTTTGTGTCGGATACGTTGGCCATGAACGTAGTCGATAGCGCCGATGAGGCATCCGAAGCAGGCCGATAGTCGCGATACTGCAGCAACGTATGCATCCGTCCTGGGATCTGTCTCTGGACAGAGGGATCCAAGACGACTCATGATCGACGATATTTGGCTGTTCTCGATACCACCTGTCTCCAGATCTGTGAGGCTTCCGCGGAGAACATCGATGTCATCCATGAAAGTCGCGAGATCACAGACCGCCACCGGCCAGATGAGTAACCCCAGCTCTGCTCCTTGTGTATACGTTCCGACCAGCTTGATGACATGCCTATGGCTCATTCGTTTCAATACGTCCACTTCTCTCCGTTGATTGAGTTGGTCAACCGTTTTACGGCAATATTTGATTTTCCACGCCAGCCGCATTTCTTTGCAACTGGTTTCGTAAACACCGCCTTATGAGGAACAATCATCAGTCGAAGGAAAGATTTTTCGTTGATGATGACGCATACCTTGGGAACCATAACCAAGAAGTCGCCCTCGCCGGAGCGGAATGTGTTCATTAGCTCCAAAGTCAACATGGTACCCCCGGCCACACCAATCTATGCCCTCGTTCGGTCTTTTAGATTGAAGCTCCCATCTATGATGTGAGGTTTCCAATGTCACCCTCCCTCGAAGCTGGCGGCGGCGAATGTCACTGTGTCTCGCATCATTGGCAATTAGAACAATGCCGCCGTCGCTGTCGGTGTTCGGCTCGGACGAATACAGGTAAGGTGCGCGCGACGGAGATGGCGAGGTACGGATTACTACCTTCGAACATAGTCAACGAACAGTCTTGAGGCTGTCAAGGGTGCGATCGTGGGGGTGAAGTGGTACTGACCTGAGCCATGTCGACCTTGACAGGTTGGCAGACCAGCTAGCGCGGGGACCTGTGGGGCCCGAGTAGCAGTGGTTCAATAGTCGTGCATTGATTCAGGGAGCTCTTTTTGATTGTAACGAAGCCTCAGCTAGGAATTCGAAAGTGTTGGGGGCACCCTTGGAACACTCTGATTTCTGCTCAGCCACACAACCCGTATAGCCTCATGCAGCTTCATGCGGCCTTAACGAATAGCATTACAACCCATATATTACACCACAGCCAATAGTGACGCGAGACAATGACGTCGCAGCTGACCGGCGAATTCAGACGTTTTGCTGCCAAAAGCGTCCGACCATTTCGATATCTCTCAACGGTTGTGGTACACAAAAGTTCCTCTCCCACCATCCTACAGCGGTATTCACATGGCCTAAGCCTTTCATAAATTAGATTAGGTTGTTTACCCTACTATTAGTCTCTTCCCTCCGATACGCTTAGCGAATAGCTTCGTGCCCTATCTTCCACTACGAATTAGAATGACTAAAATAAGCTGATTGATAAGAGTCAACTGATACTAGGGTATATACGTTACACTAAGTCGCTAAAACCTTGAAATGTGGGAATCAGAGCCATAGAAAGGTGGCGGGGAATCTTTTAGAAACAATAGGTGAACGATCGCAGGCGTTGCATCAGGGTATCCTTAGAGGAGGGTACTCTAAGAGGATAAGCGTCGTAGAGGTGTCCCCTTAGCGTTACTAATTCGTGGCATAAGCATAGCCAGCTGATATGTGGATAAGGGTGTAGAAGATAAAGATAGAAGTAAGGTTAGTAATTTAGAGTTTAACTACGCTTAGTACTATTAAGTAGCTATGTTGCGAACTATAGTTCTATCCTAGGTATTACCACTCAACAGAACACTAGCAAGTCCCACTAAAGCTATAACCACGAACGTTGCCCAACAGCACTTAATCAAAGTGCCGAAAGAAGACCAATGAGTGATGATCTAGATCTTCTAGAATATGCAGGATGCTTCATAGAAGTTTCATTCGCCGGTGCACTTGTGGGCGCACCTATGGCTACTAGTTCGCCATGTACGCCATCTCCCTGTCATAATTATGAACCTATCGCCCTGTCTGACCATCTCGAGAAATTCTATTCGTCTGGTCCAGTGGCAATTCTGACGTTGTATCGGTGATTTGCAAAAGTTCTGCCTCGACTGTTCCATTGCTCTGGATCAGCATTTAATTGATTTTACGCCTTGACAGCTTGGTGTCCTTCTCGACGTCTTCCGCGACCAAACTTAACTTTGAACAAAAACCAGCCAACGATTGAATGTAAAGATCTTAGAAACTCAATAGTAGTTGGAAGAAATTGACCCAGATCCATGAAAAGGCGGCGGCAGAAGCTTTCCAGTCGACTATAATATTGCGAACATAACTGCTGAGTGCGGAAGCACGTTCTCAGTATTCTTGATTGTGACTACATGGCTAAATCAAGCCAGACGTTTAAGTAAGTCAGAGTTAACAATTCAGGTCGAACCTTGTATGCCATCGCGTACCGCGGTCATGTTTCACTCGTGGTTTTCCATGAGATTCCGCAGGTTGAGCCCTTCCCTTGCGGCCAACAGTAGGACCATTCTTTTCATTCCAAGATAGCTGTCTCAAATTTCGACATCGTCCACGACATATGGCAAGTATCATAATATTGCATATCTTTCCATCTCCGTTATGTCATGTTAAGTACCACGCCACGTAGAGACAACCACATCTAAAATGGCTAGAATCTTAACATCCAATCCACCCTCCACCCCGCCTAGTACTCATACTCCGCCCTCCTCAACACCGGCACCTTAAACCTCTTTCTCCCCGAAACACACCAATCCCCCACCGCAAACAAGATAACAAACCCTGCAATCGGCCCCGCATAATTCATCGTCTCTCCATCCACCGGGCGGAAACTCGGCAGCGGCAACCAACACAGCACAAAGAGGATATACACCATCGCCCCGAAGTTGATGAACGGGCCGAGCTTGCCGAGCCGGAAGGGCCCCCAGGGTATAGGCGTGGGGTGCTTGGTAGACAAGCGCCGCATGAAGATAAAGAGAATGGGAATGAAGTACGAGATATACCCTCCCAGCGCAGGCAGAGAAATAAACGCGTTAAACGCCGTCGTACTCCCTATATTAATCAATGCCAAAATGCAAAGACACGCCCCCAGCAAAATCAACGCATTAAGCGGCATTTTCAACCCCGGATGCACCTTCGCAAACGTACTACTAAACGGCAGCCCGTTATCTCTTGAGAACGCCCAGATAAGGCGAGACACCGAAGCGAATATGTTGAAGAAGGAGACGAAGATGATGATGCAGATTACGACGACGAAGAGGTTTGTAGCGGGCTTGGAGCCGGTGGCTTGGTAGTAGACTTGGATTATGGGGAGGGGGTCTGCGGCGACGAGGGCGGGGTCGCCGATGGTGAAGAGGACGGTTGTCAGGAAGGCGAATTGCATGATGGCGTTTAGGACGACGGAGAAGATCATGGAGCGGGGACGCGGAGGCGGGTTTTTTTACTTCGTCCGACATGTGCATTACGCCGTCTGGGGTTGTCAGTATCTATGCGATGGGGCTGGGATGGTGGTGTGGGGAGCAGCGGGGGGATGGGGTTGGCGTACCGAAACCTGTTAATGGGTAGGCTACGGTGAGGAGGCCGATGCCGAAGGCTACGATGGGCTGTTGCCAGCCGCTATCGTGGGTGAGCGTCTTGAAGACATAGTCGGGGGAGCTTCGCGGCGCGAGGACTACTAGAGTGATGATGCTGACGATGAAGAAGATGACGTGCAAAAGGGCGCCGATGGCTTCAAAGGGGTTCAGCAACTTTCTGAAGTAGAAGTTGGCGAAGAAAGGTAGCGATGTAATTGCCCACATCAGCAGCGTTGTGTGCCATTGCTTGGGGACGTAGTCAGGGTTGTTGAAAATGACGAGACCTGTGATGATATTCGAGATCAAGGCTGGATTGGAGGTGCATGAGCATATCCAAGCGAAGACAGTGATCCATCCTAAATCAAGTCAGATTCGCGATATTGTAGAAGAAGTCGGTAGGAGTAAAGGTGTACCTTGCATCAAACCAAAGAACCGGGGCCATTTCGGAGCGAACGTTGCTGACCAGCGATATTGGGCTCCAACGGTCGGGTCCCTGAGCCCAGATCAGTTCCGTTCCAACGGAGATCGGTTATCGCCTGCGATAACATGCACGATGTGACGGCGCTTACATCGAGGCCATCTCGGCCAGTGAGGTGACCACAAGCGTGGTTCCGAATCCCGCGAGGATACTTCCATAGACGATAGACGCCGGACCGCCATTGCTAAGCGCGAACTGAAAGGTGACTGCTGCGGCTTCCCATGAGCACTGCAGCACGAAGGAAAAGTTCACGGTGGAGACAAGGTTAATGTATCGCTGCAAGACATGTGAGATGCTGATCGCAATTCGCGCATGACAATGGAAAGCTTACCTCGAGCGTCCCTCCAGGATGTGCGTGCTGCTCTTTGGCGCGTTCGTCGTCGATAGCCTCCTGGGCAGCGACCTCGTCAACATCTCCGGCCTGGGTCGTCAGCTCCAAGTCCCTATCCTTATTCATGGCTAATTCTTGTGCGCGAACAAAGCAAAAGGGTGAACTCTAAAGCTCCCAGCGCAGTGGTTAAGAACAGGACACAGCCGCGTCCTCGAGTCGTTTTTGTTCTCGCAGGCCCCGGACAAAATGAATCATGGTGTCAAGTAGCGGCTCCTGCAGCGGGGAAATTCTGCACCCTGGCTGGCAGGGGCCGCAAAGGACCGTCTCCCTGCATGCTGAAATGCATCAGTCTCCATCCAGCGCACCCCCCACGACGCGATCCTTGACAGGGCTAGGATATGATCGGGGCATGCGAGTTATATGAGATTAGTGCATCGCTTGTGTACTGTGTTTAGAGAGTGACAGGCTTCAGAGCATGTGCTTCGAAGATACATGCTTACTGTTGGGTTGTAAGTACTAGGGTGTGATGGTACTCGAGCCTGCGACGCATACGCACAACGCCACGCACGCGCTCGCTTGACAGTGATTCGTATCCGCGAGATTCCACATTTCGCGTGGGCGTCCTAGCCGAAGTCTACGCGCGCAGGAACACGAGTATTCCCTCATTGCAGCAGCTCGAACAGGAATAACTTTTGAGATGGTATACCAGAGTAGTGGACGCCGAGGACGCCGATAGAGTCTCCGATTCTTTGATCAGGCCACCGGAGCGTCAGTAGCGTTGACAGAGGCGATGAAGGTCGACAATGGCCCTATCGCCTTTGATGCCAAGGTCGTCCGTGGTCAAGATTGGAGTAGTAATTCGTTGCCCATGCTATCGGAGATATGTTCCGATATCAGATTCCTGATTCATTCGAACTATAGCAAGCTCGTAGCATGCCTGCATCTTGACACGAGGACAACCGCGAACGCACAGCGAGCCTGCAGTGATCCTTTCCATCCTCACTGTAAGCGATGCCAATCATGCCCTGGTTCGGATAGTCGAGCTTTCTTCTGCCGCGTCGCATGCAGCAGGGTGAAATGCCGAGCTCGGGCTTCAGACATCGGGCACGCTTTTCTTTTGCGGCGCACGCATCATTCGGTCCGCCTCCATCCGTTGGGCTGCAAAGACACGTTTGAGGATAGCATCGCGGAGTAGCATACACCGTCAGTGCAGTGCCGAGCCTAGGAGGCCGGAGATGATAGCGTACGGGAACCAGTGGGAGCTTCAGCGGAGGCTTCGAGCGGCGACTAGGCGCGGGGAAGCCGCCTCCCCGTCTAGCGTCGTGCGAGCCGCCAGCGCCCGTTTCACGCACCGACGACTCGACATCCCACGCCAAACCCTGAGAGGACACAGAAGAAGTAAACAGGGCGAGTCCTTCCACGAAGCCCTGTCGGTGACATTGCGGAAGGATGCTGCCGTCTTTTCCGGACCGACCCATTGGTGCTCTCAGCATGTTCCCTGCAAGATGAATGCCATTGTGCAGCTGAGACGTTCCCCGTATCCCTCACACACCACGCGATCCTGTCCAGCTGTCGAGAAAAAGGTGCGGTGATGCCGCTGTCTGCTGTTCGACAGATCTAAGGCACTGGCCTCCTACATGCGCGCCATCTCTCTCCAGTTCGTACCATGGCCGCCGTACCGCCGAACAAGCCAGCGCTACATCCTCTGACGTCGGATGATCGCGGCTCCCTCATCATCATCATTGCCTACACATTTATTTTCATCACTGTGCTGGCTGCGGGTATCCGATTTGGACTTGCTTGGAGCAACCGGCTGTACTTGAAAAAGGATGATACTTCTTTTGCGCTCAGTGTGGTAAGCAAAACGTCGGTTTTTGTGTTCAGCCTTGCTAAGCTTCGTAGGTGCTGGCCGTCGCGAGCTCGGTGTGCTTCCACATCGCGAGTAACAACGGCTTAGGGAAGAGAATGGCCAAGGTTCCTCCAGATGATTTGAACATTTACTACAAAGTAAGCACCCGGTTTTATGTATGATTTTAAGTTTGGGCTAACCACTTAGCGTAACAGACAATGTACGCGGGAGAATTGCTCGGCCTGGCCGCACAATGGTCGGCTAAGGTATCTTTTTTGCAACTATGCGAGCGTGTCGCACCTCGAAAAGAAAAACATTACAACATAGTGTTCGGCATGGTCACTTTCTGGGGCGTCTTTTCGATACTCGCAATAGCCTTCCAGTGTGGTCTGCCGGAGCCCTGGGTTTTCGTGCCCGACGACTGCCCGACGAAAGGAATGATGTACTATCCCGTCATTATCATGAACATCATCACCGACATCACCCTGGGCACCTGGATCCTGCCCACGCTCTGGAAACTGCTGATGGACCAAGACCGGCGTATTCTGGTGGTGGCGCTATTCGGCTCACGCATAATGTAAGTAACGTCCGCCACTCCCATACAACAATGTAATGCTAACAGCACAGCGTCGCGTGCGTTGCCGCCGTACAGCTCAGCTCCGTAGCACGCCACATTCTAGATCCCGACGTTACTTGTGAGTCCACTTGTGCACGGCATCTCCACACCGCTAATACGAACAGACGAGTCATTCGGCCGTGTATTGTGGGCCCTGTAAGCACAGTATTCCTCCTATCCACTATCAATTTGCTAATACCAACAGCTGCGTCACCCATCTTTCCGTGCTCCAAGCTACCATACCGCGGACCAAGCGCTTCATCGCAGCCCTCAACATGCGGACACACGCTACCGTCCGCCTCACAGCTTTCGAATTGCAATTACCCACCAATCCCACCACCCTCACTATACCGGGGAAGTCCCTCGACGACACGCTCGACAGCTCCGAAGCTAGTAAAAGTACATCCAGACCAGAAGAAGCACACACGCGCTCTCGCTCCCCGTCCCGCAAACGCTCCGACTCCGACCGCCGCACTTCGTACTCCCCCGCCCGAACCATGCACTCCGAACGCCCCCTCGTCCCCTCCAACTCACCCCCAGCGCAGAGCTGCAATTCACAACCGAAATCGTCGCCCAGCCTGACGCCAATTCCAAGGACTCCAACAGATCGTCTAAGAAATACGATAACAAAGACTGGAAGAAGTACCTCCGCCGCAGCAAGAGCACGACCGAAGACGACATGGCGCTCTCGAGTATCTTCTCGTGGAAAAGCCGCACCAGCATGGCGCGCGAGCGTATCGTGCAGACGAAAGAGGTGACGCAGAAGGTGGAAGTCGTGCAGCCTAAGGAGTCACGGTGGACGTTCAGACGGCCGAGCGAGATATCGAAGAGGACTAGTCTGGGTCAGAGCCAGGGGAGGGGTCGAAGAGGGCGAGTTTGGGGAGGAGTGACACGCCGGGGTGGGGCGGAGTGAGACGCCGAGGTCTATAGGGCAGAGCTGACCTGGCGATCCGCGGTCGGTGGTGTAGTCCGACGGAACGTGGGAAGATGACTCTCGTTTTTGTTCGGCGTTAAGGCGGTGTGGCGCTGTGTTTAGCACGATACCCATTGCGTTTTAATGAGGTTTGTAGGGCGCTTTTAGGCGCTCGCGTTATATCGCGCATGTAGCATTTGGGTAGCATTGTACTGGCGTTTTGGCTTTTGATAGAGGGAGGTACGATTGCGCTGCGAGGAGCACATGTAGGAATTACATACCGGCTGTCGTTTGCATAGCGAGAAGAGCATTCGCTGGATGAAAGCCTCGTGTGAGGTACTGTGGGTCGCACTCATGGCGCGTCAAGCTTGAAGTGAGTAGCGATCGAATGATAGAAGTGGAGATGATTGGGAAACTCATCATCACGTGCACAGCACCACAGGTGTCGCATCGGCCATATCTATACGCACATGAAATTACGAGTTCCTCGAGCGTATGATGTAGCCTACCAAACTACACCCAGTCCAGTACCTCACAAACGCAAGCAAACGACAGTAACAATCCGAAGTCGTCTCCAGTTATGACTGCCGCACACATTCCTCCCCAGTATCCCATTATCCCCTCCACTATCTCCCGCCGTAATCATACCCCAGACCATTCTAACGATGTCCACGCCTCGCCCCGCCATATTAGGAGGGGGAAAGGGAGGCGGAGAGTGAAGGAGATGAGTGCGGAATCGGAGGGGCAGGAGCGGGGATATGAAGAGGAGGAGAGGGAGGGATTTCGGTGGGAGAGGTAGAGGAGTTCGGGTGTCTGAGATACGCAGAGGATACTTGGGGTTCTCGAGGAAGCCGAGCAGTTGATCTTATGCGCCGGTGTGCTCTCGGGTAGTACAGGCCTGTCGCGAGCCAGTGATCCTGTTGCGCAAAAGGCAAGATCTGATGATGTGAAGCTGGGATTTGAGGAGCAGGAGTAGGAAAGGGAGATACTTCAACTTATGTCTGGTGTGGAGGTGTCAAGAGACTAGAGAGGAAAGAGGAGGGTAGACTCTGCGGCTGGAGATGTGGCGCCTTGGGTAGTGCTTTTAGCGACGAAGCATAGGCGGTGTTAACACTAGTTATACGAGCTATGAGCGGGCTGTGAGCACAACGAAATGGACGCACACATACTAGTTCAAGTGTACTACGAATTCTGATATCTGATGAGTCTCACGCTGCTTCCTTCCCCCGCAGCTGGAGATACTGCTCCACCGTTTCCTTAACCCACGCTGACGCCGGTGCAAACTGGAACCCCAGCTTCTCCTGCGTCCCCGTTCCATCAAACGGCATACTAAAACCCTTCTGATCCATCTTCGGCTTCAAAACCCCGTCTTCCACTTCCTTCGGGAACTGTTCCGTAACCATTTTCGCAACCTCCTCCCAACTCGCGCTATGCTCCCCGTTCCCACTTAACACCAAAACTTCATTTGACTTAACATTCCCATTCTGTAATGTCTCAACATGCGCCCTCGCCACATCCTCCACCCAAATCTGGTTATGCAACGGCGGCGCAAGAGGCGGCATGCCGAGATCTGTTCCCGTAGCGATGTCAACTGTCGCCCGGCTCGTGCTCGTCATCAAGTCCTCCACGCTCCCCGCCAGCTCATGCGCGCCCTGAACATACCCCGGACACGCAATCACGACATCGAACCCCCTTTTTCCCTCTCTCATGAATTTCTGCGCCGCACTAACGGCCAGGATCTTACTCTCCTTATACGCCTGGCCCGCAATCGTCACAGCATCTGCTTCTTCGTCGGAAGGACAGGGTCGGATATCCGTAGGTGCGCAGTTGGGAATGCCGACCGTGCAGGCGAGAATATTCCCCGAGGCAGTGACAACGACACGCTTCACTCCCTCCTGCTTCGCTGCAGCGCGCAAAATTTCCAAAGTCCCCTTAACAGCGGGATCGTACAGGACTTCTCTGAAGCTCTTGCCTTCTCCGAGCTGCTCCTTAACATCCGGTTTGAGCGGGATAGGGGAGGCTACGTGGATCACGTATGAGACGTCCTTGATCGCGGAGGTGAAAGCACCTGGGGCGGCCATATGGGGAACTAGGATGAAGGAGAGAGAGGAGAGGTAGGGGTGGATGGAGGGTGCATTGCGGATTTTGGCTTCTTGGTCTGGTTTGCGGATTGCGATGCGGACGGCGTAGTTGGCGCGCAGGGCGACGACGAGGGTGCGGAAGCCGATGTGGCCGGTTGCGCCGGTCATGAGGGTGAGTGGCTTGGGGGACATTAGGAAATTCGGTAGTTGGCGTGTTTGGAAAGAGCGGATGGCGACCAGGGCTTAGGGAGGGAAGGTGGTTGTAGTTATCTCAACTTTTAGTAGCGCTCGATTTTCGATCGTATGCTGAGGGATCCAAGGCGATGAGGATTTTCAATGGTCGCGTTAGGAACTGTGAGGCTGCTTGCTGTATGGTGTTCTCGTGCAAGCTGTTCTTGTAGCCTCCGAGTTGTCCGCCCTTCGTATAGTGGAGCCCTCGCAGCGCCCTTCAAATTAGATGAGATTTGAGATCCGCCGACATGTGTTCTAAAACTGTCAACTCCGACCCTCAGTACGAGCCTCATTCCAAATTTTTGCACGAGATTACCTCGCGCTGGGGCTGTGTTGTGTTAAGCCGCGTAAGACAACGGTGATCTTGCTCATCTTGGTGTTCTACGCAACGCGAGAATGAGTAAGTTCGCGAGAAGATACAACCGATATCTAGATGTAACGTATTGCGATATACAGATGATGTTTCCGTCGCTCGCTATGTAGTGGAGGCGGGTCGGATGCTTGCCAGACGCAATGAATATGACGTCATCGCCTGTGTACCTCGAATTGCAGTCAAGCGAGAGCTTCTGAGCTTCACCCGCAAATACAGTCGCGCATGATCGCTGCCGTAAGCATACCATGCCTCAAGATGATGATGAGTCGCGTTTTGGGATGGAACTGGAGCTCCTTGAGGCCATGTACCCCGAACAAATCGCCTATGAGTCCAAGAGTCGCGACCTCAAATTCACAGCGGAAGGCGGGGCATTGCTGCAGTTGAGGATACCAGAGGACTACCCGGACTCGGCATTCCCCGACGTCTTTGGAGCAAGAGATTCGCAGAAGAACGATGTGCGAGAGCGTATGCGGTCTGCGATCAAGGATCTAGGGCTTACAGAAGGCGAGGAAGCACTGGACGCCATCATTGCGTCCTTCCAGAGTCTGCTTGAGGCGAATAGTGCCGTTGCTCAAAAAGAACACGATGCTGAGGCGCATTCCAACGCTTCAAAAATTTCCGCACCAAACAAGACGGTCATCATCTGGCTGCATCACCTCCTCGCTCTGTCAAAACGGAAACTTGCGCTGTCTCCGACATCGATATCCGGCATCACCAAACCTGGCTATCCGGGCGTCATGTTGTTCTCCGGTCCCGCTACAGCTGTTACCGAACACGTTGATACTCTGAAGGCCGAGAACTGGCAAGCTTTCCAGGTGCGGTACGAGGAGGCTGAGCATTGGGAATTCGAACACGGTGCCGGAATCCGGGAAGTGGAGACGATGGCAGAAGTGGTCAAAGGGCTACAGGAGAAGAGGCGGGATGAGTTCCTGAAGGCGGTGGGGATAAAATAAGATGCGGCAGACCCCGGTTTTAAGGTGCTTCAAGCAAAGCAGATCCGCAAGATGAAGCCTTGCATGGACGCTGGCCAGCTCGCACAATCTCGGCGATCGTAAACGGACAATCGTCGCGCCACAGCGAGAGTCGTGAGAACCTCGAATAGAAACGGTAGTAGGTGTTTCGAACGAGTACAGACCAGCGGCAACAGCAGCCAGTAAAGGCAGCCGCTCTCGACAGGCCAGACACGGCGGGCATGTCGGCGCCTGAAGCTATCTCCATGCCTCAACGAGCGCGAGTGGGAAGAACGGGGCGTGCTGACGGCAGCTCCAGGGTTGAGGGTATGCAAGTGCCGGGCGTAAGACTTCGGCTGGTCGTCTACCTGAGACTTAGTCGAGAGTTGACTCACAACAGTATGCGAGGATCGAAGTGAGGATCAATGCTATGCTGTAGATGTTTCACCGCGAGGATCGAAGTCTGCTGTCAAATGCAACAAGAAACCGATTCCCCAAAGCAAAATTGTGGGCTTTTGTCGCTCACCGAAGCGGCCGAGACAGCATCAAAGTTTCGTCGCCACCGTCAAGCCACAGGCGGTGCCAAACCTAGTTTTCTCACGATGCAATGACCATTTCCCAACACGCCCGCTGTAACTGCACGTTAAACAGGTCCGATGGGGCGTTTAGGTATGTAAGGGTGGTCACAGTGCCGCCGCGAGCTCGCATTGGCCCGATCGCTCTTTGGATCGCGCAGCAGCAGGTTTGGGGTTCCCATTACGCATCCACCTAGTCGACCTCTGCAACTGCAACCCATCTCCGATGGTTCCTCTCGCCTTGGCTAGCTCAATGACATGCCTCCTGTGGTTGTGGGTGCGAATAGCGTGCTGGCAGCCCGGTGGACGAGCAGCCTCATTCGTCGCAGCAGCAGACGCCTGCAATGCACTCGCAAGGACTCAGGACACCCGTTCACCGAACATCAGGCGGTCTGCAATCCCTCGCACGACGAGCGGCGCATGCAGCAGTCAGTATACTCAGCGCCGCGCCTTGGCCGTTGAGTGGCTGCGTGCCTGCTTGCTTCTTTCAGCCCGACTTCAGCGGTCTGCATTGCAGAGGGCAGGCGTTGAAACAGAGGATGGCAGGAAGCAGGCGTCGTAAAGAACAGCAGCTTCCCGGCGGCACAGGCACAAGCACAGGACGTCTTCGTCTGCCCCTCAGGCGCACAAAGTGAAGGACGTGCTGTGTCGCGTCGTTCTGGTGAAACGGCCAATCAAGGCTCCAAGAGGCTAGTCGAAGCTCGCGAACCGCGAGCAGTTCGTGTGGACCAGCGAAGAAGCTCCAGCCAGCCAACCACCCGAGAACACTCGGACGCATGCGCTGAGAGCAATTGTTCCGCAGCACCGTAGCCTGCACTGTATCCACTCTTCACTTTCTCTTATACCAGCACTGCACCCGGCATGCGACGGGGCCGCCTGCTCAAACAGCCTTCCTCCTGGTTCCGTGTCTGATCGCCTACGCTTGCTTCACCCGCGAACAGCACCTCCGCACCCTTCCACGACCGAACGCACCTCTCGCACCTCTCACAGCACGCCCATATCCAAGCACGGCGTAGCCTCCTCCTCGGCATTTTCTGCCTTAAATTCCATCACATTTACATCCCACACGAACATCGGAACTCCTCGCACGGCTGGTGAGCAGCCGCAGCGTTCACAATGAAGGCTGCTCCGCTTCTCGTGTCCTGGCACAATGACAACACGCCAATCTACTCGGCACACTTCGAGCCCCACGGCAAAGGACGATTGGCTACGGCGGGCGGCGACAACAATGTGAGGGTAGGTCAAAAACACCGTCTGACGGCTGAGGATGATGCTGACGGCTGCAGCTCTGGAAGGTCGAGGCCAACGGCGACGAGCGCAAAGTCAGCTATCTGGCCACCCTTGTGAAGCACTCACAAGCTGTAAATGTTGTACGATGGGCCCCCAAAGGTACCTTTCCGCATACACAAGCTCGGATGGCGGCTAACAGCAAGCAGGTGAGGTGTTGGCCTCCGCTAGCGACGATGGCGTCGTACTCCTCTGGGTACCCTCCGAAAACCCCCCAATGAGACAACTGGGAGACGACGGCCCCGAAGACAAGGAAGCATGGAGGGTCAAGCACATGTGCAGGTCTATGGGCTCCGAGATCTACGACCTTGCCTGGTCTCCCGACGGTGCCTTCTTCATCACAGGCAGCATGGACAATGTGGCCCGCATATACAACGCCCAGACAGGTACAGCCTTTGCTCAGAATAACCAAACGCACATTTTCTAACAACACCAGGGGTAATGATACGGCAAATCGCTGAACACAGCCATTACGTGCAGGGCGTAGCATGGGACCCGTTGAATGAGTTTGTTGCGACCCAGTCGTCGGACCGATCGGTGCACATTTACAGCTTGAAGAACAAGAACGGCGAGTTCACGCTAGATCCGCACAGCAAAGTCACAAAAATGGACCTTCCCGCACGCAGAATCTCCTCGAATAGCCCTGCTCCGCCAGACTTTGGAGGTCGCGCGTCGTTTGTCGCACATGGGTCGGCTCTAACAACTGGTTCTCCCGCCCCCTCTGCACCCGGTACTCCCCAGTCGCTGGCTCTTCCGATGAATCCACCACCTACCTCGCACAGCCGCCGGTCCTCGTTCGGCTCGTCCCCATCGGTGCGGCGATCAGCTTCACCGGCGCCTTCGATGCCTCTGCCTGCGGTAATGCCTAATTCGCCCAGCATCGGCAGTCTCGCAACCGGCAACCACCCTGCTCTGTCGGGAGTTAGAAATGCGCCAATATATGCTAACGAGACCCTCACATCGTTCTTCCGACGTTTGACTTTCGCGCCAGACGGGAGCTTGTTATTCACCCCTGCAGGCCAGTACAAGACCGTGCTGCCGTCGCTTGCAGATGCGAACAAGACCACCGAGGACATCACCAACACTGTGTACATTTACACCCGAGGCGGATTGAACAAACCGCCTGTCGCGTACCTACCCGGACACAAGAAACCGTCCGTAGCTGTGAGGTGCTCGCCGATTTACTACACCCTCCGCCAAACCCATCCTCCCACCAAGCAAATCACAATTGACACCTCGTCCGCCGATGATGAGATTCCTGCATTGCCCGAGCCCGCCCTGCCATCAAAGGCGCCCACTTCCTACGCATCGATGGATCCTCCGCCGCTCACCAGCGCACCCTCGCCTTCGCCAAGCATGGCTGCTGCATCCCCGAAGCCGGCAGAAAGCGAGGCTGGGGCGTCAGGCAACCCGCCCCCTGGTCCAGTTTCGGCCTTCAGTTTGCCGTACCGTATGATATATGCAGTGGCGACGCAGGATGCCGTGCACGTATACGACACGCAGCAGCAAAAGCCGTTGTGCATCGTTAGCAACTTGCACTTCGCGACTTTTACTGATCTCACGTGGTAAGTTAAAAATATCCGTTAATGTGGAGGGATGCTAACTATTCCAAGGTCGAGTGATGGATCTACCTTGCTGATGAGCTCTTCTGATGGCTTCTGCTCGGCATTGACGTTTTCCCCAGGCGAGCTGGGCGAGAAGTACAATGGACCACTGGCAAAGGAATCGCGGCATTCGAATACTCCCTCAATCGACACTGCAGCATCGCGAACGTCCAATAACAGTACGCCCACTCAGACACCCACGACTTCCAACATGCCGGCATCGAATACAGCAACAGCACCTGCGATGGCTAGGCAGCCTTCAGCAGGCTTTCCGGCCTCTCCGAGCTCCTTCATACCTGCAAGGCCAGGCAGTCCGACTCGAAGCAACTCGGTTTCAAGCATTGCAACAGCCTCGTCGTTCGCACCGGGGGCAGGCGATATGGGTGTGATGAACGCCCCTACGCCTTCCATGTCGGCAGTGCCTAGCCTAGCAGCAGCAAACACAGGACCCGTAGGGGCTATTCCCATGTTCACACCACCGCTGACCCCAGCACACGGTCACGGAACTCATAGTGCGAGTAGCTCGGTCAGCGGTGTTCCTGGAGGAGCTAGCGGTCTGCGAAGAGGGAGCGAGTCGGAGCGTGAAGACAATGTGTCGCCCCGCAAGAAACGAGACCTGCAAGCTGTGCCTGAGGCCGAGGAGGGCAGAGGGACGAAGAAGCGGAGGATCGCTCCCACGCCGGTCACTTTCCCGTCGGTGGAGACGAACGACAGCGCGATTGCAAGCACCACGGAGAACACACCTACGACTCAGACGTCGACGGAGCAATGAGATTTCAAAAGTCAGCAGCACGGTTACGGCGCTTCATTCTATTTGTGTTTGGGTTCTTTTCTTTGTACGGCGTCACTGGGCTGGTGGGCAATACCCGATACTCCCCTGGCAAGGCGTTCAGAGTGTTTTGGGACATTCGGTCTGACAGCATGTCATGTATGTGTATATTCTACATTGTAGCTCTCGCGTACGGCACACGTTGGAGAAAGCGTTCTTGTGCCGGTTATGCGTACAGAGATGGCGTTTACGACGTACGGATACGACGGAACGGACCGAATTGTTGGTGCAGTTGTCTTGATAGATTTCGCACGTACGTCTTAGCTATCGTACTGCTCTTGATAACGTTCAAGCACTGCCCTTCGTACATGTTGATAACATGTCAAACACTGCCTAGCATGGACTGCGCGGACCCGCGCGATTAAGAGCCCTGTGATAGGGCAGTCTCGCAGGCGATCTATCAGGCGCCCCGCTGCTCCAGATTTCCGGACAAGCTGGTTGTACCTACCTCCACCCTTGGCATCCTCCGCGTGACGGCATGCGACCATGCAACCTTATCCCACAACGTCGGGCTTGCCAAGCCCCTCTTTGTGCCGTCTCTCCAAGATTTGACCTAAGCAGCTTCGGTACAGGCTCCGTGGCGCCCAATGACGACACGGTACGCAGGACCTTAGGCGTCGACTAACGGGGGCGCACCTTCCGCAACGGAGCAGCTGCCCTCGAACGGTGCGTGGGCGTAGCCTTGGATCTGGGCGACCATGACCATCTAGCCGCGCTGCGCCAATCACCGCGCGCGCACGTGGGCTGATGCATACGAGCAGCGTACACGCGCTGTGAAGCCGCCTAAGGTTCTGCCATTGCCGCGCCGCGGGCTCCTGGCGTAAAAAGGTGGTGGTGCCCGCGTGCGGGCGCACGATCGACAGTGTCGCGTTTGCGGGATTTCAGAGCGGAAAAGAGACATTGTGAACGGGCGACTTCAATTGAAGAGTTGGGGATAAGAAGGCGCGTATATGAGGCGCTCTACGACTCGATAAACTTATCATAGACCCCACGGCCAGCATCATGGCGTCGACTCCCACCGAGAAGAAGCCCCATGTCCTCGACGAGCCGTCGCGTGACCTCGAGACCGCGAACGATGATGTGTCTGTTGGGAGGGGCGATATCCTCTCGCAGGAACACATTGACCCTGTGCTCAATGCTAAGATGCACCTTGTCAACAATGCCATCGACGAGATTGGCTTTACGGGGTATCAGTGGAAGCTGTTCGTGCTGAATGGCTTTGGGTACGCCGTCGACAGCTTGATCTTGCTCATTCAGAGCATCATCGCGGGGAAGGCGGCGCTGGAGTTCCATCCTGGGTGGGCGAACGGGCTGACGGTTGCGGCGTACGTGGGCATGCTTGCTGGGGCGAGTTTCTGGGGTGAGTCTGAGTCTCTCCCTCTGTGGAATGAAGGGGCCTTGTCGAGTGCAAAAGCGTGAGAAGAAGAAACTGACGAGACATAGGCATCACTGCGGATATCATCGGGCGGAAATTCGCCTTCAACGTCAGCTTGATGATCTGCTCTATCTTCGCCATCGTGGCGGGGAGCAGCCCGAACTGGATCGTACTGGGGCTGTTCGTGTGCTTGAGCAGTTTCGGAGGAGGCGGCAACTTGGTGCTCGACACGGCTGTTTTCTTGGAGTATCTGCCTAGCAACAAGCAGTGGATGCTTACGCTTATGGCGTGCTGGTGGGGTGAGTCGCACTCCAAGCTCCCATTCACATATGATATCCCGTGTTTGGACGAGCAAGGAAAGGCTAACGCACATAGGCATCGGCCAACTCATCGCCGGCTTCTTCGCCTGGGCCTTCCTCCCCAATTTCTCCTGCGAAGACCCCTCCGTTAACCCCGATGCACCGCCCTGCGTCTACGCCAACAACAAGGGCTGGCGCTACGTCTGGTTCACCTCAGGCGCGCTCGTCTTCGCCATGAGCATCGCGCGCATCACCATCATCCGGCTGAAAGAAACGCCCAAGTTCCTCATCGGCGAAGGCCGCGACGAGGAGGCCGTCGAAACGCTGCTCTTCATCGCAAACAAGTACAATCGACCGTGTAGCCTCACGCTCGAGCGGATGGCTGCCTGCGGAGAAATTACTCGGCGCCGCGAGGGCAGCAAGTGGAGTCCTGCGGAGGTCGGCATCCATCTGAAGGGTCTTTTTGCGACGCGCAGAATCGGCTGGAGTACGTCGCTTATCTGGGGGTCTTGGGTGTTGATCGGGCTTGCATACCCGCTGTATAACGTGTTCCTGCCTCAGTATCTCGCCAGCCGCGGGGCGCAGTTCGGCCAGAAGAGCGACTACATCACGTGGCGGAACTACGCGCTCGTCAACTTCAGCGGCATCTGGGGGCCTGTGCTCGCAGGGTGGATGTGCAGTCGGCCGTGGCTGGGGCGCAAGTACACGATGGTTGTGGGCGCGTTGGTGACGTGTGTGTTCTTTTTTGCGTATACGCAGGTATGTTTTCCCTCCTTTTCGCCTTCTCTTCCTTCGTCTTTCCCCCGGTCCTTTTCCGCAGTCCTCCCACCCCCTTCCAACCTTTCAATCCTATACTAAATGCAAGATAAAAGGTCCGATCCGAAACCCAAAACACAGCCTTCACCTGCATCATCAACTTCTGCCTCAACATCTACTACGGCACCCTATACGCCTACACGCCCGAAGTCCTCCCCTCCGCGCACCGCGGGACCGGAAACGGGCTTGCGGTCAGCGGAAACCGCATCATGGGTATATTAAGCGCTGTAATAGCTACGTACGCGGATACGGGGACGGCGGTCCCGATTTATATTTGTGCGGCGCTGTATGTGGTTATGGCGGGGATAGCGGCGGTGTTTCCGTTTGAGCCGTATGGGAGGCGGAGTTCGTAGTCGTAGGCTCGTAAGCAAGGGCTTGGGGCTTGGGGCTTGTGGAGGAGGGTACGACGAGGAAGGGGTTGTGTATGGATACGGAGGAGATGGGGCTGGGGGTGAGATGGCGGGCGGGGGAGGCGAAAGAGTGGAGAGAAAGAGGATATACCCATTTTAGAAATAAAAGAACTATACGTCGTTTAGATCATACAGTATCCCGGAGAGGAACAAGACTATCAGTGCACGGTGTAGCGACGTTTACGCTAGACTAAGACTACTAAGGTATGTAGGCCTTGCCTCCAACTGCTCGTCGGGGCTAGAGATTGCAGTGAAGTAGAAGAATATAAATATCACACGCGGGAGGAGGGTTGTAAGTCATGCTGCGCACTATCTCGTGCGTGCTACTATTCGCCCAATGAACTTCTTCATATGTTTTCAGCTCTCACCGGAGGCTTGGCGGGAGTGCTCGTCGGGGCTAAAGATTGCAGTGAAAGGCGTCTTTTACCACCAACCTGCATAAGAGCCAATCGGATCAGGTAAACGTCTTGACGGCGGTGCCTACTACTCTATGTTATTAGTTTACTAGTAAGCTCCTTGGGGTGTAAGATTGTGCGTGGTAGGCTGACGGCTCTCTCACCGGTAGTTTAGGGCGAGTGCTCGTTGGGGCTAGAGATTGCAGTGTTGTCGGGCATCACGTTGTTACATGATATTTGTCCTATAAGCGTCCTCGAATCTGTAAGAGCATGCGTGATAGGCTTCAGCTACTCTCACCGGAAGCTTACTGTGTAGCTATAGCTTAGAGGTTTAAAATGAGGCTGACCTATAAACGTCCTTGAACTTGCATGAGGATGCGTGTAATAGGCTTCAGCTACTCTCACCGGAATCTTGGCGCGACTGCTCGTCGGGGCTAAAGATTGCAGTGAAGTGCGACGAGATTCTTAGAAATCAGAGCCACCCAATCTGCCAAGGCCTTACTAAATAAAGCTAGCTCCTACTAGCGCGCCTTAGCAGCCTTAGCGTGCTGTTAGCCTATGTGAGTGAGGGACACTGTAACCTTTCGCCCTACAAGTAATCAAGCGAAAAATCACAGAAGTAACTCTAGCTAATCTAACTTGACTGTATGATAAGACGTTTTGGCAGCGTGGCAGCTTAGCCAAAGAAATAAAGTGATTCACCAGAGAGTTCGCTTAAATAATTACTAATACTAGACATTGCAGCGAGGATTAGTGAGAGGTGAGAAGTAGAAAGTACAGCTGCGATAGTAGAACGGTGGGGCAACGCGTTGACCCCAGAAGAAATGTGGGTGCTTCTTGACTGCTCGTTGGGGCTAGAGATTGCAGTGAAGTTTTGCCAAGCGCGTTTGGCATGGTGGGTGCAAGGCTGCCCTACCTTCGTAGAGGCAACAGTGTGCTAAGGTCAAGCCTTGTGCTTAACTGCTCGTCCGGCTAAAGATTGCAGTGAAAGCGGCGGACAATTAAAACGCTTACAGGTCGACCATATCTTCCTTGTCAAGCAAGCGGATGGTCTACTGTAAGCGTCTTCGAACTTGCATGAGCACGCGTGGGATAGGCTTCAGTCTGACGGGCTCTCACCGGAAGCTTGGCACGATTGCTCGTCGGGGCTAAAGAAAGCAGTGCAAATGAACAGTCAGCCTCTAGCAGTTCCGGGGTTGAAGGTATGTAAGATCTCTAGTAATGCACAACGATTTCGTGCAAATGATGAGGCTGAAGGTTCACCAGAAGCTTGGTACGACTCCTCGTTGGGGCTAAAGGTTGCAGTGAAGTGTGCCCAGATGCGGATTGGCAGTATACGATCTTCTTCTCAAGCTCCTAAACGTTCGAAGACCACACCATCAGAGCCAATTAGATTAGGTAGAGGTCTGGACCATCTGCAAAGCTTAAGGGCGGTGCCTGCTATTACGTGCTATTAGTCCCTTAAAAATACCTGAGCGTATAGAATCATGCGTGTGATAGGTTAACGAAGCTCACCGGAAGTTTGGCTGGACTGCTCGTCGGGGCTAAGGATTGCAGTGAAGCGGGGATAGAATCCAAACACATTCTTTGTGCGTCCCAAGCGGTCGAAGACCGCACCATCAGAGCCAATCGGATCAGGTAGAGATCTGGACCATCTGCAAAGCTGGAAGGCGTTGCTTGCTATTGGTTGAACGGTGAGGTTCTGAGCGTGAAAGCGAGAGTGTGTGTGATAGGGTTCGGCCTGACCGAGTCTCACCGGAAGCTTAGTAGGACATGACTTGCTCGTCGGGGCTAGAGAAAGCAGTGCTGAGGCTGTTAACAAACAGGACCCAAGTGTCAATAGCTGTGGCTTAAAGGATTTAAATAAGGCTGACCTATAAGCATCCTCGAACTTCGTATGAGCATGCGTGATAGGCTTCAGCAGCTGACAAGGCTCACCGGAACTTTGGCGCGACTGCTCGTCGGGGCTAAAGATTGCAGTGCACCGTCTGGATTACGATCCAGTCGATGGGGTACAAGCTTTGTCATAGGGCTGGAATTTCGTGGCAGAGCTGCTCGTCCGAGCGAGACATCGCCATAGCGGTGATCCTTGGCGTAAGGCTGAGTCTTTGTTGAAGGACTGCTCCTTATGGCTGGGACGCATAAACTCGATATGTACAATGACTTTACATTGAGCGTATGCTATAATCCAGAAGGGATACCAGTACAATAAGCACTTTTATTGGGGAGTAGGGAAATCCGTGTGCAATCACGGTCAAAGCAGGATCCTAGAATTGATAGCGTTGTTGTTAACGAGTAGTTGTTGGTCCCAGAGTGACAAGGGTCATTACAAGGATTGATTATGCTAAGTTGATTTTTGGAAATTGTGAGGGGAAGCGAGAACCGCCGACACCGCAAATCGACAATGCAATCTTTAGCTCCGACGGGGAGTCGTGCCAAATTTCCGGTGAAATGGTAGTATCAAATGGCTGTAGTCTTTTCCTAAAGCCGCTAGTCCATTTTATCATGTAGTTGTGTGTAATTCGTTAGGGTTGCGGATGGCACGCTCACCGGAAGCTTGGCTCGATTGCGCGTCGGGGCTAACGATTGTGCGGTGTTGTCCTGCGATTCTAAGCTGTGCATCCGGGAGGATCACCAACATGGTTGGTGCCTAGTCACCGGCAAAGGTTTAATTGCAGATTCAAACGCCGTACCTAACACACGATGGTAATTCGAGAGGCGACTACCTAACTAACTTGACTGCGGGGAAAGTGTCAAAGCTTTCGGTACAGATTTGTGTCCAGCGAGGCTGAGGTTGCATGTTGGTGGCGACTGCCCGAGTGGAGGAGATGTGCTCAGATGAGGGCTACTCGCTTTAAATGCTGAGGAGTTTCCTGAGACTGAACCTCAGAGACTGAATCTGAAATTTATGAAACGTGGTTGCAGGTAATTCACAAAACTGCAATGAAAGGTTATACGCCGCGAACTTGAAGGTCAAAGCATATCGTTCATCACACCATTTTTGTGGCTCCTTGCTAGTAGTTGATGGCCCACCCCCTCAAATGAGGCTCATGCTTGTGATGATGGTGTTTAGGTTGATAAGACATTGCAAAAGACCATTGAAATGGATGTTCCTCTAACTCAGCTTCATTTCAATCAATCAAATGCAGAGAATTTGATAGCGCTTGCAGTAATCTCCGTCACCATTTATATTTCCAGACATGGAATCAAGTTTGAACACAAGATAGCGTACTCAAAACAGAAAAGGCGTTATGATGGCTTGTGTACAGTATGCTTTCACTCACTGCATAAACATATGCTCCAGCCAGGAGCCTCACATTCCCAGAAATCCTTTTTACGGCTGGTGATCTTTCATATTATGTGTACAATCTCAGTGCAAAGTCAACATCTTTACGCGACTGACGATTGGGTGGCCAAGCAAACAACATTCGGGTACAGATTAGTTCTAATTCTGGTCACGAGAGTATTGTACCTCGTTGCTATGCACAAATATAAGTTGATTATATTCTATTGGCAAGCATAATTCTGCTCACCTGAGCTGATCAAGTGATGGCTTAACAAACGATCGGATCTAGCATGAAGGTATAAGTACTGCTAATTCTGCTTACTCTCTCGTCGCATCATCAGCAGTTATTTGCAACTTGATCTTTGCAACTTTAGCTAGACAACTTCACATTTGCATCTTCTTCCTACTCAGTACATTCCCACCTTTCCAAGATGAGTGGCCCAAGTCATCGGGTTTCATCGAGAATGGAGGTCAGCATGTATCACCAGGTCCCGTCATGGACCGACTTCGACTCCGATGCTCGTAGCACAATAGGCTCTGAGCGTACCGACAGCCTCTTCTCAAAGACTGCTGCCCAGAGAAGTGCGCAGTTTGCGACACCTTCTTACAATAACATCATGTTCGAAGACGGGAAGCCAAGCAGCAAGACGTCGCTCGGTAAAGTATACTATAAGCTAGGAGACCTTCCATATCTGCTGTTGATTGATGTGGATATCACTGCGACGGAACCAGCAAGAGGCGAGGATGGAGAACCAATTCTCAATGAGGATGGTTTGCCAGTCTCCCAGCCTACAATGGTGCGGAGTCGCAGGCTCCGGCAGCAAGCTTTGAGGGAGTACGTTGAGATCGACTTTGACGGACTTAGTGTCAAGCAGAGTCAGATTGCTTTCGATCTTGAAGCGCGTTCCAACCAGCTCGATGCTGTGCAAAAGGTCTGGCCAGGCATAGGGGAGTGCCCGGAGCGTGCTAGATTTGGTCGAACGAATCGTCTTATCATCCCAGTGCGAGAAAAGCTCGACGTCAAAAAGGTCTTCAACAAGTTTGATCAAATCAAGAATCTCACTAGAGTTAAGAAAGCATATTCAGAGGCGGAAAAGCGAGCAGATCCTGAGAATTCAGGCTGGACCATCAGGTGTACCGTCGTGAGGCAGGGCCTAATCGCTCATCCTGATATCAAGAGCTCAGAAGATGCGATTTTCCCAGAGAGCGAACATTTGAAGGATGCGAATGTCTCAAATGCGAATAAAGAAGAGAGAACTGTTGAAGAAATGGCTAGTGACGACTATCTAAGTGACGAGACGACGGATAAGGCATCCACCCAGGCTAAAGAATCCTTGAAGGTTGATGAAGCCAGGAGTGCCGCAGAAGCCGGGAGTGCCGCAGAAGCCAGGAGTGCCGCAGAAGCCAGGAGTGCCGCAGAAGCCAGGCAGGCAGCGATCCCTCAAACCGCCAAAGATGACGCAAGCGATTTATATCGTCATAGTGTACAGCTTCTCTTCCAACATCACTGGGATACCGCATACCCTGAAGCGAGGCTTGGAAACACCAGTGAATTTAGTTTCACAAACGCAGACTTGGTCGGTCAGGAGTTGAAAGAGAAGTCCGACAGACATATCCACCAAAACGCGCCGTGGGAGTACCGAATTCGATATAGACCACGTTTTGATAAGGACATCCGCTTCTTTCTCGACTGTGACCTTGTTCCCATCATCCAAAATGGTGTCTCCGTAGCTGAGTACGCCCGCTATCACTTTCCTGCAAACCACCCAACGGCGCCAGCTAGCATGAGTCAAACATTGAAGAAACTCTTACAAGGCCTGCACGTTAAGTATCCGTCAGAAGTCAAATTGAAGGAGAACTACAAGCGCATTGCTAAGGCAAACAAGTGGAAGTTGGTTGAGCAGGTGGACGAGGAGAACGAGAACAAAGAATTGCAGAATCGCACATACACGATCCGAGACGTCAAAGCCAACTCATATGTGGGTATTGTCGTTCCCATAACCAAGCTGCTTCCCGAGGGTGGCGAGGAGAAGACATTCTTCAACGTCAAGAAGTTCCTGCGTGTGTGCGAAGCTCCTTTCGAGGACAGGTTCAAGCATCTACCTTTAGCTGACATCGGAAAGAAGCAACCCTGCTGGGTTCCTCTCGATCTACTAGTGCTCAGTGGTGATCAGGTTTTGGCCCATTTGTATTATCTTACCGATGAAATACAGAGATTGCGGAAATCAGTGAATCCACACGAACTGTCCGCGTCGGGAAAAAAGCTGTTGAACTTTCTTGTCAAGGATCCTAAGGTAAGTCGAAAGATCGATCAAGAGCTGAGTTGGCTGGTGCTAACGTGAGAATAGAAAGACCCCAAGACATACGTGTTCTTTCATGATAACATATGGCAGCCCATGACTGCGCTTCCTTTCCTAGCCTCCAAGGATGCATTTTACGAACCACTGAAGTACACCGCTTTGGAACCGGCATCGGAACCGAGAAGAGCAATCAAGAGCGGCGCGCCTTCCCCTAAGGTAGCCGTGGTTTACATTACACCTGATGTTCACAGCCGCTCCTCAAAGTTGTTCGTTGCTGATGTGCGGAACTCGTTGGCTCGCGAAGGCAACAAACCCACACAAGAACGGATCTTGGACATTGGTGTGGACCTTGACCAAATCTCGGCCGGTGTGGTCAAGTCAGGTCCTGAACTTTTCCGATTGCAAGATCAAAAGCGTTTGGAAAAGCTTGGGGATATTATTGACCCGACAGCGGATGTTCTTATAGGGATTATCGATGGTTCCGGGATGAAACAAGCTAAGTACTCCGAGACGGCTGCGGAGGTGAAGAGGCTAGGAGACCGCAAGCTTGGTGCTATCACTATCTGCCTCAAGAAGCAGGACTTGGAAAAGCATTTCCATCGCATTAACGGCCCGCCCTTCTTCCCCTCAAACGTTCTACGCAAGATTAGGTTCATGTTTGGAGCGATGAACTTTGAGACGAAGAAGCTTGATACTTACATCAAAGAAGAACATGTGGAAGGTCTCATCGTCATTGGAGCTCACATCTCACAGCCTGCATCAGACTCAACAGAGTACTGTCCAGCTGTGGCTGCTCTGGTGATGAGCAAGCCGAAGAACCCATCATTCTATCGTTCCGCGGCCCGGCTGCAGCCTGCCACTAAGTTGCACACACAAGCCTACGACAACGAAAATCTTCCGGCAGATGCGTGCAAATCTCCCAAAATGAAGACAATATACCAGCCCGAGATCTTGGAGCTAAAAGCAACACTGAGGTCTATGTTCCGGGCTTGGAAGAATGATCGAGACGAGTCATCGAAAGCGAACTGGTCAAAGGAGCCACGAGTCGTCTTCTATCGGGATTCATACCACGAGATCGACACTCTTTCACACGAACGGGAGGTAGCACAAATTACCGAAGCATATCAGAATGTCTTCGGCAACACAGAGGATGCACCTGTATCCTACGTTACGGTTATGAGAAACAGCAGAATCCATTCACCGATTCCAGAAGACAAGCAAGACAAGAACGACGTCTGCAAACCGCACTTTACTTTCACTACCACCCAATTCGCGATGGATATCTCTAGAATTGGAACGGACCCCACGCGCAAAGAAGACGGAGCCAAATACCAATACCTTGTCCACTCGAATGGGCGGGGATCCAAGATGACCCTTTCCAAACTCCGCGATTTGACCGGACTACTCAACATTAGCTCTCAATTTTGCCATTACACGTCGCTCGCGCTCCCCCTCCACTACGCCAGGAAACTTGCTCGTCGCGTTCTGTCGTACTACGACTACATGTCTCACAAGGACATCAGTAACTACCCGAGCCTAGCCAAATTGACTCCGTATGATTCGGTGACTGGAAAAGAGCAGATGGGCGAGGTCAAGCAGAATCTCCAAGTCATCGCAAAGAGGAGTAAGTCGTGGGATTGGGTCCGAGACGCTAAGAAGGAAACGCACACCCGTCCTTGGAACAAGAAGCTCGACGACAAGATGTTCTTCCTCTAAGGAGAAGATGAGTAGATCCCTCCATGTTCGCCAGCTTTCTCTTCGTCGCTTCTTAAGGTAACTTTCTCATTCTCTTTTGGCATTTCGCGGATCCCAACATCACTCTGATCTACTCATCGTCATTTCCTTGGTCTTTTCCTTCCTTACGCAGGCCAAGTAAACTCATTCACATTTTCTTGCTTTCTTGCGTTTTAATTCCTTATGTGCACCATTTCCACGATGCCTTGAGGGCTGCACAGTAGCTTTCGGGGTTGTTCGACGTCTTGTTCTGTTTTTCGACCTGTTTCCATGTAGTTAATGCGTCTTCAGTCTTCGACCATAGTCGTTCTTTCAATAAAATCTCTCACTCTTTTAATCCTCATGCATTCCTGGCACGTCGGTGATTAACTTCATACTATGCCTCTTCAAAGTATTACTAATAAGCATTTAACTCATCGCTAACACGATCTTTAGCCAACATTGAATACCGCCCTTCCTCCTTGTCTAGAGCAGTCAAATGCGACACGCTCAAATACACCCTCGAAAACACCTCGAAAACGCCTTGTCCGGTGCAATGAGGACCAGCACCTCCACAACCGCAAAATTTTGCCCGGCTGATCACCACTACAGCAAATTAATCGATGCTATGCATCTCGATAGGTTGCACATGGACGCTGACTGGATCGAAGCCGCCCGCGAATGTATAGTCTCCGGAAGATTTTCCAGGAAAACACAATCAACATCTAAAGTTCACCTCCTAGACTCAGTACTTCTATCTACTTCTATTTCTACTGAGGGTCCGGCAGTCTATTGTATTGAGGCGGCTGGGAAGCACATACATCTCGCCCTTCACATACCGTTTGAGATAGACATATTCTTCGTCTCTGAAAGTAACGCTTTCTCCTCTTTGATCCTCTTCTCCTCTCTCTCGCTATACCGATCACCAAAGAGATCAAAATGTGGGCGCATCACCATCGTATACTTGACAAACTCCTCCATACAATCAACAAGCCTGTCTCTGTTTCCGCTCGGCATCAGCCGACTCCCTCCTTCACCTGCATCCTCTTCGGTGAACTGTTTATAGGCCATTGGAATCGAGCTTTGATTGGGAATAGCGAACATGCGCATCCACCGTCCAAGAATACGCAACGAGTTCACCGTATTAAACGATTGAGAGCCGCCGCTAACTTGCGCGATCGCTAGGGTGCGTCCTTGTGTTGGACGAACGGACCCGGTTGAGAGAGGTATCCAGTCGATCTGGTTTTTGAACACTGCGGTCTACAAAGAATAGGTCAGCTGGAGGAAAGGAAGAAATGGTGGATTGCTCTAAAGCACTGACAAGGTTTCCATGCTGCTCTGGACTTATCCATACATGCCCATCACTCCACTTGCTCAGATCCCGCAGCTCCTGCACTTTCGGGTGCGAGTGTTGTTCGTCGTCTTTTACGGGTAGACCGCTGGGATCGTACATGCGGACATCGCAGCCGAGCCGGAAGAGTATTCGGCTGGCCTCGAATGCTAATAGTCGTGAATAGGATCTGTACGCCATTAGCTATTTCACACATGTGTAGACTAGCCGCACGGCGAGCTGGATATTTACCTTTTCCGCATACTGCCGTGCAAGACGAGAACCCTCAATCTCTCACCACCGCTCCTCAATATTTGGGAGTCCACCATCTCCAACGCCGTGTTCAGCTCAAGCTGTGCAATCCAATCCTGCTCCGACTGTGCACTATCGAGTAGGAACGGGCGGTACTTTTGTCTCACAAGCGCATCGTCTTCGGCAGCAGGAATTGCAAACGAAACATCGCGATATGCCGAGTCATTCCTGACTTCAGCAAGAGCTCGTGCAGCCGCAGTGTTGTTCAAATCTCCATTCGTCGCCATCATGCGCGAAATCGGACGACAAAGAACGAGTTTCGAATTATTAAGAACGCCAGAACGGCGAAGCGTACGAGAAATAATCACAAACATACAGTGAGAAGGGGGCAACAAAAAGCTGTAAAACGCTCCTGAAATTAAGCCTCTGAGGCTGAATTGAAATGGTCGTGAAATTATTGTTGCGAAGGTACTGCTTAGCTAGCGATATGTCACTCGCGTTGTGCTATTGGCTGAAAAATTCCGACGCTAGGGCAGACCCTGCGTCGTTAGCGGCTTCTCTATGCTCGATTACATCGTCGGTAAAAGGAAGCAAGCAGGACTGTAGGGGAGTGATGAATAATAGCTGGCCATAGCAGGCTCATGGTGATGGGTCATAACTGTACGTCGAAATAAGTCTTCCAAATTATGTTTTGATTGAGAAGAAATCTAGGACCGTCCAGCCTCGGACAGGTCTAACGCTTAATTCGCATCAGTATCCCCTCCTACGCAGAAGGTATCAAATACTCTCTTCTCATACGCGTATTATTCACCGTAGGCTAAGCAGCAAAGCTATTTCAATATTATTTCCCTACATATATGGGCATTCATGTTCGGTTATACGTCAACATGTCGTTCCTTTCGAGATTCTGCTGTTTTCTTCCTCTGGGAGACGCGCCAAAGTTCGAGCATGATAAGGGCGCCCAGGAAATATGATATACCGGCAAAGATCTGCGGATACAAATAGGATCGCGAAGCATTAGGGCGTCGGAGCCGTAGTGCTATGGCTTCGGCAACTGCGAGAATGTCAGGTCTATTATACCTCTTCATGCCACCTAGAGGGCAAGCTTACACGAGCAAGGAAGTACAACTGTCAGCGAACTCAACGACAGGTACGAAGTAACATCTCTAAGATCGACAACCTCAGCCGCCAAAGGACCGATGGCAACCCAGAAGATTCCCAGCGCAGCACCGCCTGTGAAAGCAAAGACAAGCAGCGCCGCAAAGCTCATGGTCGGAAGCCAGACGGTGAAGACGAGCAGCGAGCATGCAAACGTAATAATGCCAGCGACTCGAATGCGTCCATACCTATCGCTCGCAAAGCCAATGAACGGACGCCCGATTGCGCAACCCAAGTTAAGCACTGCAGCCACGGTGGCCGAAGCCCTTTGCGATTTCCCGATCGAGAGCGTGTAGTCCGAGAGCGAGAACATGAGGGTGATGTACCCAAACATGATGACGAGACTCCATGCCAACAGGAGCAGCACCTGATATCGCTTGACCAAGTGCCAATCAAACATGCGCTGGTGCGGCTGATCGTCAGTAATGCAGGGCTGGATCAGAACAGTCGCCGGGACGAGGACCACAACGATGATGACTGCGGTGATGCGCATAGTCCAAGCCAAACCAAGCGAGCTTAGCATCGCCTCGGTGGAGAAACACATAATCAGGCCGCCTATACCAGACCCCGCGGCGCAGATGCCGTTCGCAAGGCTGCGTTTGGTGGTGAACCACTGGGGGATGATAGCGTTCGCTGGCACCCAGACGAGGCCCACTCCCCACCCAACAAAGACGCCTTGGAAGAGGTAGAGCTGCCAGATTTTGGTGGAAAAGGACCCAGCTAGAAAGCCACCACAAAAGAAAGCAATCCCTAGAGACATAGGTAGCTTAACACTAACTCGCCGTGTTGCAAGGTTGGTAAGGGGCGCAACGAGCATTGCCATGGAGAAGTTGAGACCGCCGATGTACGCGAAATCCAGGGTTTTGGCATCTGGAAAGGTTTCGTGGGAAAGGTAGTAGGCCAAGTATACGCTGTACGACTGTACACTGATGAGTGGAATCAGATTCAGGTTCGTATAGTACTCACAGCGACGATTCCCCAAGTGAAAGCGTTGATGAGGAATTGCGATGCAACGCATACCCAGCCGTACCCGCCATTTGGTATTTCATTGAACCTGGTGGAGTGGTTGAATTGTAGACATAACATTCTCAGTGCAGTTGAAGAGGCAGAGGCCGCTTGAAGATTGGTCTTGTCCCGTGAAGGAAAACGATGGCTGATACTTCAACCAAAAGGAGTTTTGATGTTGTATTGAGAATTGCGATGTCCAGGGCCACCGCGGTATAACCTTCACCTGTGACGTAAAGACCGATATCGTAAGACTAAGCCCCAGCTCTTGGTAGTCACACCGCGATGAAAGCCAAACAGGGGTCAAGGCGTGTCATCCATCACAATATAGTAACGATGCGCGACGATAACGTTGAGTATTTGAGCTCGTGGTTCCATGATGGGAATGTAGATCATCACCAGGCGACGCTTATGTTACTTAGGTATAGTCGATACTGTCACCGGTGCAGCACTATTGGCTACCAACGAGCCGGAATCCTAGCCTCAAAAGGGTGCATGGGCAAGCTTCCCCTTCCTAGCCTAGCCTATCCGCTGGATGCCTTCATCAACGCCCTGTGCAAGCAGAAGATGAATACCGTGCAGTGTCAATTAATTACTAGCGGGCGTTCTTTATCTTTCAAGCCCCTCATATTGATAGCAAAGGCTCCATACTACGTAGAGCATAGTCAGCTTTGATATTATGACATGTAACCGCATTAGGTGCCGGTCTCGCTCTGGACCGGGAACCATTGCAACATATTTGCAGCTGAACCTTCGTCGGGACCATTCTGATATGGCAGGGTGAATTGATCGTTGCTAGCGCCTAAGTACACCAGCTGTGTAACATGACCGGAATTTTGCTCTTGTAAAGGCCATTGTTGATGGGCCGTATCTACTTGAGAATGGGCTGGGTTTGCAGTATCAAAGAGTCCGTAATCGGCAAATGTAGCGCCTGGAAACGGTGCATCTTGGTCGGAATTGAACCGCGCCTGTTCGGCGGTTAGCGGATAGGCGGCTACTGTTGAGGCCTTACGCTCTTACCTGGGCTTCTATTCCGTAGGCAGCGTGTATACTAGACAGATCGTTCAGCCAACTGGAGAGGTCCCACGTTTGGAACGGATCTGGCATCGTGCCCTTTTCTTGCGCATTGTGTAGCGCGGTTCTCGTCCACGACGGGTCTGCTGAGCTAAGTGCGGGCAGCAGAACAGAGTCTTGCAAACAAGTTAAGTTTGATTCTTGTGCGAGGTGGACCGGGCCGCCTGCCGAGGCTATTGGTTTGTCCTTCTGGCCACAACGAAGTGTCAGAAGTCATGGAATCTGTAATGGTAGTCATGGCCTTACCGGCGGCGTGTGCGACTGTGGAAATTTGGCGCTAACTGAGCAGAGTCGCTGTTGGAGTGTCTCATGGCTCATTCCAAGCTCCGCTATAATCGTGCGGAGTGTCTGGTTTTCTTCGTGGATCCGGCGAGCCTGCTTCTGGATTTCTGCTGAAGCCTGAACGCCTAATCTGACGCATTCCGACCAACGATGCTCCAGATCGTGTATGTACTCTTGTTTTCTCGCTCTCGAGTTACGCTGGTTGCGGCGTAGACGAGCTCGCTGCCACGCTGATCAGTAAAGTGGTTGGCACCTGGTGGGGAAGCAACAACGACCCCTCACTCGACCTAACTGACCTCTGCTGCGGATGTCTTTGACTCGGCTGAATTGGTCATATTCTGCATCGTCAACTAGGCAACCGCAAAAGGGGGTGCATCGGTCGTGCAGAGGTTGAGATTAAGCAAGACAGTGTCGATCTCATTGTACAGCGGGCCTGGGCTGCAGGGCTTAAGTAGGCATCCAAACAGGCGCCAAGCGCGCGCTTCGGGATTACCAGATGATAATCATTAGTATGATAATAGCCTTTCGTCTTCAAGAAACCAATCATTTGAGGCACGCAATTTTTTGGGCAGCTTAATGTTCTATCCAAGTCCCACGCGCACGCAGAACATAGATGGCCTCTAATCTCATCCATCAAACAAGCAGGCAGATCCCAAGAAGAAATTAGCCTTCCATACTTTTTAAAGCCACGACTGGCGTTATAATCTGAACTTTATGAACCATAACATCATTACCAAATACCGCAGCATCTTGCAGACTATATTAAGATAGTGGTTGGTCCAATGACACAGATCGTTGTGCTAGAGTGTCGCTGTATGAGTCCCTGTCTTGCGCTCCAGCGCTATGCATAAAGTCGGGCCGTGCTGAATTCTCGCAAAGTACATCCGTGATGCGCGTGAGCCGATCCCCAGTCAGACCCTAATCCTTACGAGCCAAAGCAATGCAGCTGAAAAGAAGTTCCTTTCCTCCTCCCTCCGCGTTCAACTCGATGATCCTCTTGATGCCCATGTCAAGCGCCCGCGGACTGAGAACGTCCTCGTCGTCAGCAAGACTTCCTCTGTCGAGAGGACCCTTCCTGTCCCCTTCCAGCTCCCAGAGCTTCCCGCCGCTCTTGACAAAACTCACAAAATGCCCACCATCGCGCTCATCCGTTGGATCGGCATAGCTGTCGCCGTGCTGCTCGACCGACTTGTGAGCGATTTCGAATGGCTCGCTGTTGTACAGCATGTCGGCACGTTTGTCCATGTCCAGCGGTATGGCGAGGCTTCGTATAGCCGCGAGATCGGAATCAGGCTTGATAAAGTCGACGGCTGGACCGTTGATCACGCTATGGAGCAGACCGATTGAGCCGCAGGCGTGGCCGATGGTCTGCTTGAACCAGATGACGGGCTCGTCAGGGCCGGAGCCAGTGTAGGGTCCTTTGTCGGCGTCTTCGGCCTTGCGACTTCGATCCCAAGCTGGCGTGAGTGGAATGATGACTAGCAGAGCCAGGACAGGTCGAGGGATATGTGCGAGCAGTTCGGGTTCATCCAGGGAATAGACGTCGTAGAATTGGAGCTCGGACGACAGACCCAACTTTGTTGCTAATTGGTTCATAACATGGGGGTTGTTCTCTGCCATTTTCGATGAGTCTCTACTCGAAAATCAGTGGTCCATGAGGGTGAAAGTCCCTTACCAAGCATTACCCATTTCTTCGCTTCCATTTTGGGCAATCAATAGATGGACGTCAAGAATTCAGGAATTTCGGCAGAATTGAGATGGCGTAGAGATCGCAGGATCTGACTCTTAGATTTATCGTGAAACAGGGCCCCTCTGCCCTGGAAAGACTTCCAGGTTGACTGGCTCAGACACGGTTATGTGGGAGCCTAACCCCGCGCTTGCGGAGACCAATCAGCAGCTCAGCTGACGTTACGTTGCTTACAAAGCTGAGTGTCGTATATCTATCCAAAGATCGTCTCGCCCAGCATCTTCACGTTGTTGAATGATAAACTTTCAATGATCTATATAGCGATCTAGTTAGAGAGGTCCAGCAGTAGAGGATCCAAGGTTCAGACTTCGAATGTACGAATCAGTACTCAGGAACAGATGGCTGAAGAGCCAGCTACATACCCAGCACGGGGCTTAGATTGCTGTAGCTTCTCCGTTTCGTGTCCATTTTCTTGGTGGTTCAGACGCACACGCTCTGCACAGATCTTGGGCTCTGAAGATACCGCCAACGCTCCGATCATGGGCTTCATTACCCACCGTCAAAACTTAGTCAGTCTTTCTTTTACTTCTTCCCACTCTTCCCACTACTTTTGTAAAAAGATGTCGCTTGGGAATTCGTCTTTATACCCCTGTTTCCTCCTTCCTGCCTTCGGTCCATTTAAAAGAATTTCCTCGGCGACATGTATCTGCGTCCCGGCATAACACCACCGAAACGATCCGACGACTGCTTCTCTTCTTCTACCTAAGAATCCCAGCTTCTTTTTCATTGTTCCACAATTTTTGTATTTCCTTGGTAGTCCGGTCCTGAACTTACTCTGTATACGTCACTACCTCCAAAAATCGATCACTCCTCACTTTATAAGAAATCATTTTGAGTAAAAATTTTAACAGCCGTGGCATAGCAGAACCCCCGGATTTTTACCTGCTCTTGAAACATCCACAGCATCACTGCGTACAAACCCGCGATTGAGATTCAAGTTTTCAGCGTAGGTTCTACTAAGAATGTCAAATCAACGGCGGAGCGATCGTCGTGAAATGGGATCATAGTCGTTCGAAAGTCGACTCTCGAATCTAAGCCAGTATCGAACTCGAGCCCCGACCTGCAGGTAGATACTCATAGCATGAGTTCCCTACTAGAGCTTATCTGTGAACGGATTGCTCGACCGCTTGGGCAATCGCAAAATAAGCACCCTCGTCGGAAACCCAACACCCCATGGAAGTAAAGCAAGGCACGACATCCATCAGCCCTTAAGCAGAAGATCTAGATCCGAAAATCACACCTACGTATCCACCAAACAGTCCTAAACAACGATCAACAAGTCGTCTAGAACCCCGCATGTGCAACCCTCACCTCGACGTATCGTCCACGCTACGGACCTCACCCCCCTTCCCTTGTATCTCGGAATCTCGACCGCAAAAAGGCAGATCAGCATGTTGAAATCGCATATCTGACCCTCCGCACCGCCACATAGGTCCCTCGAAAACACCCAGTCACCCGCCCTAATACCCGTAAGGCTGACCTCCCGGAATCCAGACCGCCGCAGTCTAGACCGCTCCCGACCCCGCGTTCCACGAAGCGACGTGCCTGCACGCGACCACGCGCAGCAGGGAAGTTTACCCGCCTCGTCTCGTCTCGTCGCGATCTCGTGTATGCAGCGTGGAGCGCTGATCTGGACACAGCCAGGGCGGTGGTATCTCCAGTACCTACACTCGCTTCCCAGGACGTCGTTTTTGTTCTCCTCGCCGGAAACTGTTCACGTTGGGGAAGCCGATGGAGAGTTGAAGAGTACACCTCGAGAGGTAAGGTTGGAAAGTGTGGGCCATAGTTGTAGCGGTTAGCGCTACCTACGCATATCCGCGAAGGACTGATGCTTATCGCGTCGCGTCGCTTCACGCACACATTCGTATCGTCGTGGTATCGGACTGCGCTTGCGTATGCGTATGCGTATGCGTATCTATACAAATCCACCATTCTATCTGCATGCACGATCCCACCCCAGCCAAGCCACGCGCGCCAATATCGCGGCTGATATACAAAGCCCCATGCAGCCCCCCCGCGATGGGCAGAGCTTGCGAGGGTGTTGCAAATCGCGAACAGACTATTGATGGAGCGCGTGTAGCACGCGTGCATCGCCCCCGCTCGACGGTCGAGGTGTCGCGCAGATCACGCACCCAGGAGAGAGACACGACTAGACTACCGACTGTAGTCATTAGCACGAGTGCTGGTCTTCCCGCACCGCAGCGTACCCCCCACCTCACTTGCAATCACAAAACGCCGCCACAAGATTCCATCGTATCGTGGCGTCTGCCAGCCGCTACGCGCATTGCGGCTGGCAAGTCCAAGGATCACGTGATGTGCTGTGTGGCGGAGTGGTGTCCTAGTGCATGTGGCGCGGCGCTGGACGAGGCGCTCCGCATGTCACGTCATGGCTGGTACTAAAGTGTGCCGAAATGTACATGCCGAAGTATGTAGTAGATCCATCTAGATGAGATCAGCTACGCGCTCGCCCCCGCGCGTCGGCTTGGCCGTGTACCCGTTGAGGGGGCTTGACAGAGCAAGTGTAGTGCCTTCTTCGGCGGTGAGGGGATGCTACATCTACGCGTTACTTAAGTGCTTGACGAACCAAACGCGAGGTGGCCGTGAAAGAAAGTGGGCGGGAATAACTTCACAACATCCCACCATCTTCCTACAGACCGGCTTTCACGCTGTGCTACTTATCGAGTACATCGCTTCCCTCAGTGCTGTGTCTCTGGCAATGGAAAAAGCCTGCGGTGTTGCCCAGAGCGAGATCGGCACACAGACAAAGCGCAAGCGCATCCAGCCGTGTAGCCGCATCACTCGATTGGCGCTAACGACGTCTTCCGCATGCGGAAGGCAGGAATGTATTTTGTCTGGGAGGGAAGTCGCTGCCGGGACAGCGGGTCATCCAGGTACGGACGTGCCGCCAGGTGCATGCGTAAGACATCGAATCGTAGCATCTCTCGAAATGGTACCTTACATTGCATTCCATGGTTCGGCTGTCGATCACAAATGTCATGTCAGAAAGGGTGTCGCTGTCAGCTTGCACACGTACCGTGGTTCATTCGGTTGTCACGACCAAACGCAAGACAAGACACTTTCGATGCGCTATTTCGGCGACCGACTGAGCATGTACATTGCATTTCCGTCCTGCACTGCGCTGTAGCTATCTATGTACAGATATTGCGCCATCAGATGGCCTGCACTCAACTCCAAAATGTGCAAATGGGTATCTCATAGACTAGGAAATCCATGGCCTGCGAAGCCAGTTGGAAAAGAAAACGCTTATAATGTAGAAAAGGTTGACATGTCGCCAATGAGTGTCTATGTATAAGAGACGCCGTTCCATGCTGACAAAAGAAATTGTGGTATTTGGGTGGGTTGATTTCGTAGTATTTGGGGTATGATATTAGACCATGAGACCCGCGACGCCGAGAGCCATAGCGCTCATGCCCGTCTCTCTGACCTCGTCGCCGCTTCGTCTGTGCTTGCCGATAGAGACAAGCTGGCGAGCTGCATCGGCCTTGGCTTGTGTGAGTGCCGTGGGCGACGGCGGCTCAGAGGGAGCACCAGCGCGGATCTCTTCGGCAGCCGAGTCGGAAGAGGTGGAGGACAGGTCGTAGCCGAATGATTCGATGGAAGTGTCGCTTACACCACGGAGAGGAGACGAGGGCCTTTCCACATGGATGGGGGCAGGGATGGGCTTTGGAACCTTCGGTGCCCGTTTGGCCTTCGGGAAGTTATGCGCGTCGTACCGGGGTGGGTGCGAGGTGTACGTGACTAGGACGTTCTCTCTGGTGTTGATGCGCACGCGTTCACCGCCGCACATTACAACGTCGCTCACCCGCGGGGAGCAGGCAAGCAACGCGGGCGCGCATCGTCGACGGTAGCGGAGAATCTGGGACTGGCTTGGGCGGATCATAGGGGCGTCTTTCGGATCCGGATACATCTCCCTAGTTGTAGGACGGTCTTCGATGGCGGTTTCCTCATTAGATACAGTTCGGCTCAGCGAAGAGCTGCCGGGCCTCCGCGAAGGGAAGCGCACATCCTCAGCGTCAAATTCTTCTCGGTCTGCGTCTGCGGGCGCATTAGACAAGTCCAAATCAGGCAACTGAGGAGCACTCGAGGTGCCAGCTAGATGGGGATAAAGCTGGCGAATGATCTCCTCCTGCTCTGCGATCATGCGGCGACCGGCCTCCAGACTGGACAAGTTCTCGAGGTTTTCGCCAAGGCGAGATCCGTCGAGCACGCGCTGTCGTCGGCTTCGTCTGGGCAAGCTGCGATAGCGGGGTTCGCTCCGGTCCTCCAACGGCTGGCTGATATCGATAGCTGCACACAACTTCTCCGACCAGTCGAGCATCTCCTCTTGGGAGCTAGCGCATAGCAAGAACTGTTCGGTCTCCAATCGCAATCGGATGACGTGTTCACGGACGGGTTCGAATAGATGAGGGTCAGTTTCATACAACTTGTGACGCGCGGAGCCCGGGACCAGATGTGCGAACGGAGATTTTGGCGTCAGCGGGGTCTTTTTGAAATCCGACGCCACACCAATTTCGGAATGCTGCAGCGTGAACGACCGGATCAAGCGCCCTGGTACAGGCGAGCGGTGCTTGCTGAGGATGCCGGGCGACTTTACGCGGTGTACGTTGAGCTGGGTTCCTTCCAAAACCACATAGACATCGTGCCAGTCTCGTGACCGCGACACTTGAAAAATGGCCGTCAGCTCTTGCTTCATTCCCATGATGCCGCCTTTGAAAACCGTGCATTCGTAGGGTGGGGGTGATGTATTGTTCCAAAGCTGCTCCGCCTCTTCCATGTGCTTCGTGTATGCCCACGTGAGCGTCTTAGCGCTGTTTGCGACTTCATAAGATGGCGGAGACGCCAATACTGGGGTTGCATGTGTGTGAAAGGTGTTGTGATATCCATAACTGGGCGGTGTTGATTGTGAAGCTGAGTTGTTGCTGTGCCGCTCTGATTGCTCGGCTCTCCGCGAGCGGCTAGCGGGCTGGGCCTCTGTGGTAGGGTCCATGTTGGAGGGCATTTGGAATCCGTGGGCCGCGACACCGATTTGGCTGCTCGGGAAGAAGGACCTCAAATAGCGGCAGCAAACGAGGGGAGGAGTCGTTCGCGGCGGGCCTGGGTCTTGTATGCGGTACGGAGGGCGAGATGAATGCGGTTCATGGATGGATTCCCGGCATGCAGCGTGGTAGCTCGACCCGAAGCGAGTAGTACCGCGGAATGCGCCTGTCTTTGTTCCTGGCGAGCAAGAAGGAAAGCTGTGGCTTGAAAGACCCGGCGCGGCCAGGCGGTGGTGAATGGAAAAGGTCGGCGACGGCGGAGCTGGAGCAGAAGCAATGTGGCGCGGGAGGCTCCTTCTTTGTACGGTGTTTCTCTAAGGGTACGGGCAAGGGTGCAGGTTGCCGTTGCGGTGATGGGCCTGCGAACAGGCCGGCAAGCGGACTGAGGTAAGCGCGCACGGCTCTCACTCGGGCGGGCAAGACAGCGTCACAGGAGGCGCCGAAGTGAATGGCAGCACCGAGTGAAGCGTGCTCCCTTAAGTGCCCGTTGCTTTTCGCAGGTGGTCGCGGGCAGCCCAACCGGAGCAGGCATCCCCTCACGAAGCCTGGTGCTGTGGCGCCGGATCCAGATCGCTGCACCCTGTCTCCCGTCGAGGTTCGGGGTTGGCGAGGCAGCCGTCGTGGTCACGGAGGGCTAGCCCTAGCTCTAGATAGCTCATGCGGTGCACGCAAACACGCACCTGACAGCAGTCCAGCCGCATAATCGCTCCAGAGTGTACATGGCTGTCTTGCACGGCCGTGTTGGCAGCATTCTGCCTGGACACCCTGACCGCCGTGCTCACGCCCAAGGCTGCGCGCATGCCACCATCCTGACCATGGCCGCGAAGGCTGACTCAGGGCCAGACACCGAACGACGACGCTCAAGCCAGGCTGTTCCGGGCCTGGCTATGACGGAGGTCAAGAGTAGAGAGATTCCTCCCCACCGCGCCGCCGTCGCAGATGCGCTGATTGACATGGTGCGCTGCGAAAAGCACGCCGCCTCACCCCTCCCGCGCGCCGTGCCCGCCCGCGCCCATCGTAGCTCTGTTCGGCGGTTGCACCTTGCGGCAACGGCTTCACAAAGTTTTGTTGGCCGCTTGACGCGGCAACCTTCTTGTGCCAGATCCTGTGAGCGAGCCATCCGCAAGCCTGGGAGCAGCTCCGACGATCTTTCCTGAGCTGTAAATTCTCCGCGGCGAGCTTACACCAAAGCATCATAACATGCAGCTCGCGTGCTTTCTTCCTTGGTGCATTGTTTCTTGATCCTGTTGCCCCTCTCGCGCCGACATTCAAGCGTCGCATCGCTGCATGAGGCGGACTCTCTCACCAATGGTGACAGCGCATCTCTACTTATGCTGAGAAAGGAGTCTCCCTGCGCGTCGCAGTGAATGGAAGCGCGCTGATCCAGCTCACGTACCGTGCAGCGGCAGCTCGCATCAGTGGCTTCGTAAATCTGTGCCGATCAGCAACTGCAATCTCAGCCTTACCGCACGAAAACAAACCCGAGCATCGAAGAAATGTCTTCCATTAATTATGAATCTCCAAAAGAGACCCTGTGCAGCTTGACTACCAACGTTGCCTGGGGAATCGTCTGCCATCTGCGACACGTTCCAATTCCACACCCACACATGTACGAGCAGTGCAAAGCTTGAAGAATGCAAATATCGATAAAGCGTTCCTTTCGGAGGAACTAGTTCTTGAACACATCTCACGAAACAATGGTCTCGTGATCGTCCCAGAAGTCGTAATCTGTAGATCTTGACTCTGTGTGGCTCTTTCCGTCCTCGACGCCAGCTGCAGCTTCCCGCACTTTTAGCGTGCCTGTGGTTAGTGCGGCTCAACATTGCAAGGCTCCTGCCCCCACGGGCCACGAACACTTGCACAACATAATCTCTCACACGCTCTCTATTCCATACGCGCCACTCCTGCGAAGCACGCGCAAAGTGGCACGCCAAAATTATGCCGAAGAACACTCTCCAGCCTGATCTCCACACGATGCGCAAGGATTGCCTCCACCCGTTCGCGCGTGCTTAAGTCGCGGCAACCGGACACTACCAAAAGATACTCAATCTAGTACGCCCGCGGAAACTCCAATGCAGCCTGCAAATCACGCTTCCCAGAGCGTACGGGGCCATCACCTCGAAACAGAAGCTACCGCCGCACCATGTGCTGTCTCCACATCGCCGTCCCACCAAGCTAGCCTTCGCTTTCTCGAACAATGAACTGACTTGTAGTCTTGTTTATATCGTCGCCGCAGTAAAAATGTCAACGTGTCGAGCGCAGACCGGTCAACATGTTGTCTGCCATCGCTGCCATCCCCTGCATCCAGAAAGAGCTAGCATGAACACCTCACCTCAGGATTCTGACCCTGTGTCATTTGTTCTCCGATATTGCGTCAATAGGAAGGCGCATAAGAATCGCGTCACTTTGTTCCCACGCGGTCAACGGTCCGTTCCTTTGAAATCCTTCTATGTATGACGGTTGTCGCTGTCTTGCTGCTTCGAGGTCGGTGATTATCGGATAGAGCTAGTCTAAGGCCTCCGGAGTCCGATGGCGGCGAAACGGCGCAACGAGATCCACACGACCTGCACGTCACTAATGCAACGCTCGGGCTTCCTCGAAAGGATGCCCGATGTGTATGGTTAACCCTGTGTATGTTTTCACGAAGCGGCGAGCTTACGCAAATCATACCCTGCGAACTGGATCCGCGATGCGTACACAAGTCTACTCACCATGGTGTACCTAAAGAGACCCTTTGAGCCTCACTCTGTCGAAGCACCTCTGGTTGCTCGGGCATCCGTCTTCGGTACACAGCCGGGTATATAGCCGCTAGGCTCCTTGTCGTGGTAAAATCGCAGCATCGACTGGCTAGTACAATCATGAAACCAAGCCGGAGCTTTTAGGTTGTACCATCGGCAGTTATTGATGGAACCTTTCTGTGAAACTCTCTCTATCCGCCTACTTGTCGGCATATCTTGGGGCGCACGAACCCGTGACTACCGACACACCTGGGCAGGATGCAGACGGGATGCGAATACATTGCATATCGAGTTTGCTGTTCTCCGCACACCTGTAGCGTTTGGTACAACCTCATGACGTACTCTCGAGGGTCTTGCAAACATTCATGTCTGCTTCGTCTTCACTGTTTGACGCAGACAGCCCGGCGAGACTAGTTGGTGAAAGAATTTTAATTGTCCCTGAACATTGAGACCTCGCAAGGAGCAAGAGTGGCGCTAAAAACAACAGGGGTTCGTGAATGCCGATGTCAGAAACTCCCAGCGGCCCAGCTCACAACATCACCAGAGGAACTCTCCGTCACGACTAATCCTGGTCTAATCAATCAAGCCCAGCAGAAATACGCCAACTATGCCTACAAGACCTTGCCACGAGGAATCTAACGGAACAGCCGTGCCTGAAGCTACGACTGTTTCTCTCACCGTCGTCGCGGCCTGTGAAGTGGCACTGGCTACGCAGCGACTGTCTGCCTCACAGATGTAGCCAGACTTGCAGCACACCGAGCCACAACACGTGCTCGGTTTCGTGCAACAGATGTCACCGCAGCATTCCTCAGCGTACAAGTCGCAACAACCACCATTCTTGCAGCACTGGCTGAGTCCCGCACATGCCTTCCCAGGCTGCTCGCAGCAGAATCCCCCTGAGTTGCCGTCAGCCGCCTTTTACACCTGAATGGAAGCAACGGAAGGCTTACAGACGCACGTCGTGCTTCCGCACATGATGTAGCCTTCGTTGACAGGGCAACATGCTTGTACGCCATTGTTCAAGTAGCACTGTAGCTATTGGTTCTGTACCCTTCACACCATCCTGGGGTACCTCGACATACCTGTTGACCTTCGTAGCAGCATCCAGGTGAAGCCAGGCTCGAACACTTGTTATATCAGCCACAACTGCAGAGAACCATCACGATACCTACGCATGTTGCATTGCCAGGGCAGCTATAGCCTGCGCCAGACGTCGAAGAGCACTGCGCACCTACATTGAAAGTCAATCAAGTCAAGTTTCCGGACTCTTCTTTCGCGCTCACCGTTTTGTCTCTCAAAGAGGGTTCCTGCTAGTGACCCGGACGCCAGATCAAGCAGAGGTGCCTGTGGGAATGCAGCCGACCCGGCAAATGGTTTTCTAGGAGTCCAGTGCTTAGTTGTTGCAGTGGCAGTTGCATATTCAGACGATGCTTGACCGGCTGCAGACACCAACCACAAAGCGACGAGCGCCCACATCGTTGCCATATTCTAACGAGAATACTTGAGAAGGCGAGCGAAGAAGGGCATATGCTGTGCAACTGTCACTCGTATTCGCTTCCTAGCCTCGACCTCGATGCTAGTGTTTCTGGGGGCGTCTTAGTTCACTCTCTGACCAATCACGAAGCATACTGAGGGCGGATACCAATCGGCCAGTGAAAGCCAAGATCGTGAATGCGAGCGATACGAGAGCTGAAAGTACTCTAACTGATTTGTTTCTCTGGTTGACACCGCCATCCAAGCCCACTTCAGTCCCGTCATCTGCCGGATGTACCTTAAAGAGCGCTTCCTCCCCGTAGGCATACCATCTCCTCAGTACACATAGAAGTTGATCGCCTCATCGTTCGACGCGCGGATCTTCCTGTTGTTCCTCTGCAGAACCAGTCTCATAACCCAAGCACACAAGACTACGCCTGCCGAAAACCCAACACTCGCATACATTGCCTTGCCAAATCGCGGCGCATCGGTATCCGGCCATAGATATGGCGTGTACACGAACGATAGATTGCCTAGCGTGTTGACAATGGCCAGCGAAACAGCTTTCTTCTCTGGGGTCTGGCCCAGCACACCTGCAGTCCAGGCCAACACGATGTTATTCACACCGTAAGTCGCGCCAACAAACAAAACCATGGCGAAGTATCTCGCACCAATGTTCAGCGTTGCAGTCCCGACTATAAAGCCCACAATCGCAACAGTCTTGGATAGCGTGATATGCCACGTGCGTTCGTTGAATCTTCCAGACGACCAGGACACGGCCACACTTACGAACGCTGAGATCAAGTACGGCGGACACGTCAGCACCAGTGTAATTGTCGTGTTAAATCCTAACGTTTGCACCACCGTCGGCAGGAAATTTTTGAACCCATTGGCGGATAGGTGGAGATTTTGCATCAGTGCAAAGATCCATGTGCGGTAGTCGGAGCACGCTTCGCGTAGGCCCTTCCACACGTCGACTTTGCCCTTGAGCTCGGTGGTATCCAGAGCGATGCGGGCGTGTGCGAGTTCCCGCTCGGGCTGGGTGAGCCAACGGGTTTGCAGGGGCGCGTTGGGGAGCAGAAAGAAGGCGGCTGCGGCGACGAAGACTTCTCATCGTTAGTACTGCACTGAGATCACGGAACCCGGGGGCCGGGGGAATTTACCTGTGACAACGCCTTGAATGAGGAACAACCATCTCCACCCCTCAAGCCCGTGTGCACCATCCAGTCTAGCGAAGATGCCAGCTGCGATGAGCCCGGAGAAGGAACTCGCGAGGAGGTTGCCGGTGTAGAAGACGGAGAGGCGGGTAGCGGTCTCTTTGCGCGTGTAGAATGACGAAATCATGAACAGGGCGCCGGGGTAGAAGGGCGCTTCTGTCATACCCAGTACGAGTCTATCCTCTCAATCAGTTCCATGGCCCCGCCTTACTTCTCCCAGAAACGCACCTGCATGCCAACATCCCATGGTAATTCTTCACCAGCACCATAAGCGTGCTCACTATCGCCCACGCCATCGTCCAGCCCGCCATGTAGTGGCTCGGCTTGACCCTCGTGAGTAGCATGTTGGAGGGTACTTGGCCGACGAGGTAGCCAACGAAGAAGATGGACACGCAGGTGTTGTATTGCGTGCCGACCAAGTGCAAATCTTTGTGCATGCCGTTTATCTTGCCGTTGACGATAGCGTTGCGGTCGAGGAAGTTCATAAAGTACATCAGCCAGAGTATCGGCATCATGTACAAATCCAGCTTCTTGACAAGAGCGATTTCCTCGGGATCCGTCTTCGCGGCCGCGCCGAACTTGTCGATCTCAGCGACATCGTGGGGTTTGGGTTTGTGCAGCTCGTCGATGTGCTCGACTGAGACTGAGGGCTTGAGCTCGTGCTGGTGGGCAGGGGTAGGAGTCGTGGAGGCCATGACGAGAAGCGGTCAGAATCGATGATGTCTGAGCCGGATGCCGCTCATACCGAACGGAGGGCAAGAGGTTATGTAGCATTTTCACGACGTTTATATGTGCATTTCGCGTTTTGCTTTCCTGTGCGCAACGCACAGCTTGTTGAGCTCGAGGGTGAGCTCCAGGATTCGTTGCATGATTCGTGCATGCGGGGTAGGGTCCCGCGTGCCCGTGGGGAAGGTCGCTTGTGGTATAACGTTACTTGGCAATATGTTGGCGGACGTTTCAAGGAAAAGCTACAGATCACGATTGGCAGGTATACGGCGGTATCAGACTGTGGGTCTGTGATCTTCTGCGGTTGCGAAGGGTCGTTGGTGGGTGAATTAACGGCGCAGCGGGAGAATCCGCCCCGCCTCCCCGACTTGCGGAAACTAATCCGGGCAGTGTTAGAACGCGTCGGATAAGAAATCCGGTGCACCAACGGATAAGCCTACTTTGACCTAATCCGGCATCCGAGGCGTGGGGTTACCTCTTTCACTCTTTTCGAATGGTACATGCATTGTTTTACATATATATCGCGTGCACATTTGAGGGATGTCGAGTACTACAGTTATCTCTGAAGCAATGAAGACCGCAGAAGACAAGCCGCTCATCGCGGGTGGAAGCAATGACGACATCTTCACCATCGATGAGTTGATCAAGCGGCGCGCTGCAGAGCTGCGAGGATCGCCGCTGCTGTGCTACCCGAGAGAAGGCTTGACAGACCATGAGGAGCACTCAGCAGAAGCCATCGACAGATACGTGGATGCGGCAGTCGAAGCATTGCAGCAAAGAGGGCTGCAGCCAGCGGTTGGTGGAAGACCCCACAGATATTGAACGTAAAACTAATCGACCATGTAGGATCCAGACCTCGAGCAAGCCCCTTCGGTCGGCATCATGGCGCATTCATCATTGGCTTTTATTATCACCCTTCTAGGCTTGAACAGGTTGGGTTACGCAGCTCTCTTGTTATCCACACGACTCGCAAGCCCGGCATTACAATCTTTACTTCAAGCTGCAGACTGCAGTACCATCTTGACGACTTCACATTTCTACGATGTACTAGCAGAAGTGCAAACGCTACAGGATCTCAAAGTGATCGAGATGCTGAAGCACGAAGACTACTACGGAGTAGAAGCACCCGTTTTCCAACGCAAATACGACCCACACAGAGAGAACCCTAAACGAGCAGTCATAATACACTCGTCAGGCTCGACAGGCCTGCCAAAGCCCATCTATCTCACGCATCGGAGCTGTATTGCTGCTTTCGGGACGAACCTGGACCGAAAAGCACTAATGACGCAGCCACTTTTCCACAGCTTCGGCTTCTACGAGACGTTCCGTTCGATATACTCTGGAAAGCCTATGTACTATGTTAATTACAATTACCCGTTGACGAAGCAGAATCTGCTGGCTACGCTTGGCCACGTCAAGCCAGACCTTCTTTTCTGCGTGCCGTATGTTCTGAAGCTGCTGGCGGATTCAGACGAGGGGATTCGGTGCTTAGCGGATATCGATCTCATCATGTACGGTGGGAGCGCATGTCCAGATGATCTTGGCGATAAGCTGGTGAAGCATGGGGTTAATGTTTGTGCGAACTATGGCGCGTAAGTATTTCGTACCCTCAGATTATGCTGAACGTCCATGTCGCTGACGCAAAACAGGACGGAGACAGGCCGAGTAATGACATCCGTGCGGCCCAAAGGCGACAACGCCTGGAACTACCTCCGCATCCTCCCGCAGGTAAAACAATTCCTCCTCATGGATGAAATCGCCCCCGGAATCTTCGAGTGCGTCGCCCTCGACGGCTTGAAATCAAAGAGCACCGTCAACTCCGATGACCCGCCGAATGCCTTCCGCACACGAGACCTCTTCATGCAACATCCCTCGAACCCTGACTTCTGGAAATACGTCTCGAGACTAGACGACAGGTTGACGTTGGTAAACGGTGAGAAGGTCCTTCCCATACCCATCGAAGGACGCATCCGCCAGGAAGGTCTCGTGCAAGAAGCCATCGTCTTCGGCGACGGAAAAGTCATCCCCGGCATCCTTATTATTAAAGCGGATGCCGCCTCGCACATGTCCGACGACGAGTTTCTACAGCACATCTGGCCGAGCGTCGAGGACGCGAACGCCCGCGCAGAAAGCTTCTCCCGGATACCGCAGGAGCTGGTGGTCGTTCTGCCGGCGGGCACGAAGTACGCCACTACGGACAAGAGCACGTTCATTCGCGCGCAGGTGTACGAGCAGTTCAAGCAGCAGATTTACGACGCGTATGAGAGGTTTGAGAATAACACTGGTGGGTCGATTGCGCTGCCACTCCAGGAGCTGGAAGCGTACCTCCTGCGCCGGTTCCGCGAACAGCTCGACGTGGCGCTGGAATCCCCAGAGACGGATTTCTTCGCCTTCGGCATTGATAGCTTGCAGTGCCTGAAGATGTGGAGCTTGATCAAGAAGGAGATTGATCTTGGGGGGAGGCAGGCCCAAGTCGGGCAGAATGTGCTGTATGAGACGGGCAATGTTGCGTCGCTTGCGCGGTACCTAGATGGGCTGCGTAATGGGACGCAGGAGGATGTGCAGGATCAAGAACAGGTTATGAGGGATTTGATTGACAAGTACTCGTCTTTCGACACGTTTACTTGGCCCAGCCCGGAAAAGCACGTCGTCGTATGTTCTACCATGCCGTATAGATTTCGAAATGCTAACCTTCCCTAGTTATTGACAGGCGTCACAGGCGGTCTAGGCGCCCACCTCCTCGCACAACTCCTCCAACACCCTCACATCTCCTCAATATGGACCCTCGTCCGCGCCCCCTCCGACCTCACAGCCCTACAACGCACACTCCACAGCCTCTCCTCCCGCGGCCTCTCCCTCTCCCAGTCCCAACTCCAGAAAATCACCGCCCTTCCCTCCGACCTCAGTAAACCCGACTTCGGCCTCCCCCCAAAAAGATTACAAGACCTCCGTTCAAAACTCACCCTCGTCATCCACAGCGCCTGGGCCGTAAACTTCAACATATCCGTCTCGAGTTTCGAAAACGAACACATCGCCGCAGTGCAGAACTTCATTAACCTGTGCCAGTCGACGACCCACGGCTCGCCAGCGCGGTTCTACTACTGCTCTTCCGTGTCATCTGCAGGAGGAACGCCGCGCCCTGGCATCGTACCCGAGCGTGCAGTTCCATCCATCGCGCACGTGCAGAAAACGGGGTACGCGCGCTCAAAGTACGTCGCGGAGTCTATCGTCCTGGCCGCAGCCAAACATGGTGCTCATGCCAGGGTCCTTCGAATAGGCCAATTAATAGGCGACACTTCCGTCGGCGCGTGGAACACGACGGAGGGCATACCGCTTATGATACAGACTGCGCAGACGGTGGGTGCGTTGCCAGCGCTAGATGAGGAGATGAGCTGGTTGCCGGTTGATTACGCTGCGGGTATCATCCTCGACTTGTGCGATGTATCACCCCTTTCTGTGGTTTCAAATTCAGAACCGGCACGCGAGACGAGACCGGACCTCGTATACCACGTGCTCAACCCCACGCGCTTCCACTGGACGCGCGACATGCTGCCCGCGCTGTCCGCCGCGGGGCTCGCGTTCGAAACGCTTCCGACTGAGCGGTGGATGGAGAAGTTGCGGGCGTCGGACAGCGATCCGGAGAGGAATCCGCCTATTAAGCTGCTGGGGTGGTTTGAGAGTAAATACGGGCGTGGCGCGAGTAAGGCGAAGGGAGCGTTGGTGTATGAGACTAAGGAAACAGGGAGGAAGAGTGCGACGGTGGGGAAGGTGCCTGATGTTACGGAGGTGGGGTTTGTGAGGTTGATGGTTGAGAGGTTGAAGGGGAGTGGAAACGGGGTGAGGGCGGGAGTTAGGTGGAGTAGCGGGGAACTGGGCGGAGGGCGCGGGAGTTAAGGGATGGTGACCCAAATACAATTTAGACATCTCGGCATGTTTAGGATTGGGTTTGAGCCTAGACATAGCCAGCTAGAGACCTGGTGTAAAACTAGAAATGGACTTTGTGTAGAGAAGGTTTGTGCTGAGGTCTTTTATAAGCCTTTGAATATACATTGTGGCATGGTATCCACGATAGCGGGGTGTTGGCTTACGCCAGCGCACACGGAGTATTTCACCCTCTGTTTGTAGCCGGCACAGATGTATGGGGAATGAGAGGGTTGCAATGATCTACGGACTAAGCTTCAGAGCAATGTTGCGCACCTTTCCATAATCCAAAGTCGTACCTCAACTTGCCTTGCAAGCCCATTCAAACAGTCCGCTCGCGCACAAAGCACTTGAACTTCTGCTTCACAAACCACAACGTCTTGTAATCGTACATCTTTCCTCCGTTCTCCGCATCAGGAACGATCTCGAAGTCAAATTGCCGCACCAGCTGGGGAATGACTTTCGACAGTTCGAGCAGACTGATGTTCTTCCCAATGCAAGTGCGCGGGCCAGTGCCGAACTGCGAACGTGACATTAGCTACACCGCGGTCATTGCGAATGATTGGAGAAGAAGGCACTTACAGCAAGGAAGTTCCTTTCCAGCCTTGCGCGCTCGCCAGGATCGTTCGTCAGCCAGCGCTCAGGGACGAATTTATCGGCGTCCGGGCCGAAGATGTCCTTGTTCCTGTGGATGACCCAAGCGTTGATTCCGACCTCAGTCTGGTTCATGTCAGCTCCTGTACGTCGTTACTGGAAAGATTGTTTGACCTACGCCAGCGGGAAAATATCGGCCTGCAATGTGTGCGCCGCCTGCAGGAACGACACGTACTAGCGGGCAGCCGACCGCAGGATGGATTCTCAGACCCTCTTGAATGACAGCCTGGAGGTAGGGTAGCTTCTGTGCTTCCTGGTACAGCGCTGGATTGGAGAGCTCCCCTCTCTGCGTTGCACTTTCCAGTTCGTGTCGTAAACTGGCCATCTTATCTGGATTCATAGCCAGGTGCCCGATCACGCTAGCGATCGAGATGGCCGTGGTGTCGGAGCCGGCAGCGATGTTCTGCCCTAGAGCGTTGAAGGTGTCGACCCGCTTGGCCTTTCCCTCGTGTTCAAGACGCAACAACTTCGTGAGGAAGTCTTCGCTGTCTGACTTAGGAGGTGATGTCTTGCCCTTGGCGCGATCCAGTATATGTGGCCAAGTGAAGTCTATAATGGCGCGAGTTGGATTGTGAAGGCGAAGGAATTTTCTGATCTCTTGCATTGGGTAGTGCACATCCGGTACAAGTGCACAATAAGCTCCGTAAGCCGTGGAATCGTCGATACCTTTGATGATACCGCTGGAATCGCCGTTGTTTTCCATTAATCCGAAAGAGGAACCAACCTAACGATCCCGAACAAGCCATCAGCAAGGGACTCATAACCACTTAGCAGCCAGTGCAATGCGCTTACGCTGATCTCCCCAATCACATCGAAAGCATAGTACTGGGCCCATTCGCGAAAGTCGACCGCCTGTCCCTCCCGGGCAAACTCTTTCAAACTTTTCAGCAATACCACGTTACACTTGTCCACCTGAGCTTCGTATGATAAAAGGTGTGTATTGGAATAGAGTTGCGAGATTGGTCGTTTTAAGTTCGAGTGGACGGCTTTGTCAGATACGGAGAAAAGGTTGGTCTGGTCATGTCTACCAAATGGGTAGTAGTACTTCGATTTGGCCATGGATGGTGAATGACCTAGGATCGTCTTGATCTCATCCGGATCGTTGATGCTGTACCTGTTGGGAGCGATTCTTACAATTGGTCCTGGATGAATGTAAGTGTGGATGCAGATGGTTTGATCAGAAAAGGTTGCGACCCTGATGCATACCGTACTTTTGATGAAGCGCAATGTTGTAGGTGGCGAAGTCATATCGTCTGACAGCGAACACCTCCCATAATCGTGTGAATCGTGCTAGAAGTGGGCCGGGTACATTCCGCAGAGGCGATAGTAATGACTGAACAAAGGATTTGATTACGAGCAGGGTGCAGACTGCGAGAATGCCGTAGGCATATTTGTGAGTTAGAATATGTTCCACTGTCGAAGTCATTGTGAGATTCGTAGAGCATCACAGAAGACCTTTGGTGTTACTGCACATTTGTACCCGTTCAGTGTTGTTTATGACCCACATGAGTTGTCGATCATTGTCCTAGTCCGCGATCCGATCCGAACTGGCATCCGAGCGCTAGTGTTTCCTCCCCGTACAAGCCGGAGCCCGGAACTGCAAGGATACATCCGAACCTCCATCATAACGGCCGGAAAGTTGAGCTTCCGAGTAGCATGAGCAGACAGACTCAGTGCGGGGAAACACATTATAGTGGCGACCTGCAGGCCATATTGCTCTTCAACCTGATGGCCAATGTGCTCCAACCAACCACTGAACATCCACCTAGTGACAGGCACGTGGCGGGGCAGAACCGTTTCCTCGCTTCAGAGTAGGAATGCATCTAACAGATCGAAGCCGCAGCCATGCGGGACGGGTGCAGTGAAGGATCCTGCGGAATGCGTTACGTCGAAGGAGCCTGGATCCCAATTGGACAATTTTTCAAGTGGGATTTGTCTATCTCGCGAGCTGAAAGCTCCACACAACGTGTTGTTCGATGGCGAAGTATCTGTATCGTCGGAGCTAATTACGAGATCTTTCTTGTGCGCAAGCGGTTGGAGATCGTGCAGTTGTCCGAACATTCTTCCAATCATTCTTTGTTGAAATTCCATTCTTCGGTGAGTGCGGCGGTCGATATAGCTCTCTCCGGCAGCTTGGAGACGTTCTGTTGCTCGCAAAGTGGTCCGGGCCCAACAGTCGTTAAGCTGTAACGTTCGCAATAGGGCTTGAGCCTTTTGCAAACTGCTTTTCAACGGGTAAACTTGGTCCAGATCGGCAAAGACAGCAATCCCAACAGTGAGTGCAGAATGGAAGACGGAGTTCACAGCATATGGCAGTCGCTTTGGTTGACCCGCCTGGGACAGCGAATCCCGAGTGACGTCGATACAACGCACCGCCGAGTTCACACATGCAGATACCAGCATATCACTGAATTCTGAGCTTGGCGTGTTCTCAGTGCGAGAAGAGCGACCTAATGCCTCATCTCCTCGGTCTTCTAATTGGGTGGAAACCTTGTCGAAAAGGAATGGCCATGTAAGGAGCATAACAGACCAATGGTATGACTCTTGGAGTGGAACGAAGAGACGGATTTCGTCTGCTAGTCTTGAGTCGAGTGGAGAACCACTTGCGGTAGCATTCAGCTCGGTTGCCAAGCGATCCACCCAAAGCCGATGCTCCTCCATAGAGTCGTATACAAATTGCTTGGAGATCTCCCCTGGGCTGTTGTAGATAGTCTTGATCGTGGTCTCCATGATCGCGGCTAGATCGTTGATACATGAGTAGCCGCAGCTAGCTTTGGTATCACGGGTCTCGGCAGTAGTCATGGGCCGACCGATAGAGATACTCAAGAAAAGATCAAGCATGCGAAGAGCTTTCCATATTCGCTCCCGCATGGCTTGTTCGTCGGTGAAGATGTACGAAACTGCAGAACGATGTATTCCTAGACCATGCGCATCACGAACAGCCGCACTGAGCGAAGCATAGCCAGCATTAACTTGGCGTGAAGTGATCAGGTAGAATGTCGTCCAGATGTAACAGACAATAGACAGGATGCTTGGCTCGCCGGTAGAGCCGATCATGCTCAAGTACTGGCCGTGTCCGAAGTAAGCGGCCGCCATATCGTCTTTATCGTCTGGGCATGACAAGGCACCGACGGCAAAGATGAGGTTGTTGAAAGCCCCTGTCAAAGGTCTGTCGTCCTGATCGCTGCACCCAAGCCAGTCCCGTATGCTCTGTTGTAGTTCGATTTCCTCGCATATCCCCAGTGCTCCATTTGTAGCCCGCATAGCCCAAGAAACAAGATGAGAAGCCTCGAGACAATCAGGCTTAGGTGGGAAAGCTTGAAGCATGGTCCAGTCTGCAAATTCATTGGTAGGTTCCACTATATAATGCTGTAGTGGTTCGTCAACGAATGAACATGGGCCGAGCGCTTCGGCAACCAGACTGCGAACGCGCTGTAATATGGAAATATTGGATGACGCGCCAAGGTAGACGACGCTTCCATTCGAAATTGGTATTAGTAGTTCTTTAGATGAAAGCGTTGGTTTCAAATAAAGCTGGTCAGATGGAAAGGCCTTCGCAGGCAATGATCGATCATGATCAGCAGCAGTGTCAAGAATACTAGCTTCTTGCGGTGAAGTTGTTGTACACACTCGGGAAATTGGCCAGTCTTGAGTTCGACGGTTGCTGTCCAGGGAACCTTGCGTTCGCAAAGTGATCGGATTGGAAGAGATTGCGTGCTGACCAGGCGTGGAATAGGCGCACCGGTTACGAACCCCTCGTACAATACATCGCTTGCATGGCTGAAGGCCATCACACCGCTCTTTGCGCCGTTTACAGGTGTCGCATCTGTATCGAAAGTCAGAAGAGTAATGAAATTCAGCATGATGGCACCCACGCTTGTACAACCCGACGGCGAAGGTTCTTGGGGACCTTCGGTGTCGGCATGAAGGGAATCTAGACTCGAGCTGACATCGGAGGATTGAGTGTGGGGAAGAAGGGGTAAGGGAGATGCGGCCCGGCCCATTGCGGCAGCCACGATGCGTAACGTAATTAGCGCGGCACGCTAGACCGGAATGGAACCGCGAGCCGAAAGTCACATGACATCTACAAACGATACTGGAGGAAGAATAAAGTCCTCCTCATGTACATAGATTCCACCTCATGTAATATGGAACTACACATCCAAAATGTCGGCTGGTCATTGCCATGCTAACTTTAAATGTTATGATGCTTACGAGATAAGGGCACGAATCTCAGAACAGCAAAAAGATATAGGATGGTAGAGGAAGAACTTTTGCAAAGCATCGATAAGCTTGCAGGCCTGCCCGCTATCACTGAGAGGCATGCCCGTTAACTCGCACCAGATATCTCCCCGCACAAGTTTCGACGTGGCGGACCAACTCCCATACCATTGGTTCACGATAGCCACGCGAAAAGCAATACGAGGCTATCGAAAGCCACCTCCTTCCCACCCATCTTCAAGCTCTTAGTTATAAGAGAGGCTCAAGGCATCAGTTAATATCAAAAGTTTACGATCGAGTCGTAATACCTTGCTTAGTAGAATGGTCAAGGAGAGTGTAAATTTACATTTTCCTCCTTTCCAAGTCACCATAATTCGTTGTTCAGGGGGTTATTAACAGGATACTATAGTTGATAGGTTGGAGATATCTTTGTGGAGCGATGTTGTGGCTCGAAGGTCCTGGGCAACGTCCATGTCGAATAAAATCAGCTCTTTCATGCAGACTTCGATGTTTACGATGGGTCTCCGATCGGACCCAACAAGCGTGTAAAGAACGTATAACTCATTTCACATAGTGTATCGATACTCCGGCAACCTCGTCGCTCCCCCGCTTGGGAAAACTACATACTTCGTATCGAAATTGTTGACTGTCGCTGCAGAACGATGAACTCCTGGCTTTCGTTGAAGTCTTCGTCTTCTCCGCCAAAGTTATTATCACGCGAATTTCTCCAAGCGATGCTCTTGTCTGCTTTGAACATCGCTGGCGCCGGTCGTTTTGGATTCACGACTCCCATATCGCGTTTCTCTTGGCTATTCATGGCATATCCACTCTGATTAGGTAGGATCACTAGACCTCTGCCACCTGAGTTCAGACTCTGTAGCTGAAACGAGGCCTTCGTGCTGTCCACCGTACGGCTACCTTCGGAGGCTGTAATCTCCTTGACCCTGCCTTGATCTCGAGGCCGATTGTTGTCTCGATTCGATGATATGCCAAAAACTTGTGGAAGTAGACGCGACATAAGCGGCTTGCATCCAGGGAGACATCCGCATACTATTCCAATGCAGGTCTCGACAGACATAACGGCGAAGACGGTGGCACCCCACCAGAGAACATCGTACGAGTATAGGTAAAGGCGGGTATAGTAGATCCGGGCGCTACCCGCAACGCATACACTGTGACTGGTCAGCATCGTATCGACAAAGGATCTACAAACGCAGGTTCATGGAAACGTACACAAGTCCGCATGAGAACATGGATGCGAGTGTGATACGCTGACGACGCGATATCCGGACCGCTGCGATGTCCTTCACCGGCCAAAGGAAAATCAGAAAGTCGCTCAAGGTGTTCTGTCCACTCCAGATAAAGTAAATAGCCTTGACGTTGCGACAGCGCTGCTTCACAGAGAGCAGGAACTTGAACGTTTCCCAGTACACGCGGACAGGTCTATTAGATGCGTTAGAAATGGAAAATTGCAGATTTTCGTATACGTTAATAACTCGCCTGCACTGGAATAAAACAAGGAAGAAGCAAGCGATACTGAAGGCGATAGTATACGCTAGCATGATGGAGCAAAACCACTTGTTTGTCTTCGATGGAAATATTCGTAGATAGGTCATTAGGATCGATATCTTTGTCAGCCCTATGCTCACGATGAATAGAAGTTGACCCGCCATTCCGAACGTTTCGCAGGTTAGCAGCGAAACCGAAGCATTTGTACACGTTGCGCGAGAGCATACCTTGCCGGCATCCAATGTTCCCAGTACTTGATCGAGCCTTACATCCCATATATGATATCCCATTTGATAGCGGGACGACGTTGATACGGTGATAAGGATATTATTCGCGATGGCGACGATCTGCAAATCATTGGAACCGTGGTACCTAGGACTGGAGACTGAATAAGAAAATCGGCTTACACCTGCACACAGCATAATCCAATCATCCCAGCCAACGGCATATACTAGGACTGTCCTGCTGTAGAACCGACAGGAAAGGAACACGATGACTAGCAAACTCATGGCAGTCGTAACACCAATTATTAGCGGTTGCTGAGTGACAGGATCCACATAGTTGGGTTCGGGGAATGAGGCGAGTTCCTGTGCGGTCGGGAACCTTGAAGTCATCACTGGGACTTGCGCAAGGGCAACGGACAACAATATTTGGAGGCAGAGTATGCGACAAGCTATGGTACGTGCGGGGCAGTCCCATATAGATCTGTCACAAGTAGACCAGGGCCTTGGTATCTGCCACTTCCGATGATGCCAGCAACGCGATAAGAACAGCTTGTTTCAGCCTCTTCGCGAAAGACTTCACTTCTGTACATTGTACCCTGCAGGACAACCAGCCGCTTGCCTCATACAACGTTCCCCGAGCCAGAAAGAGAACAGCCACCGCATTACCCTGGACTCTAAGGTGCCTTGGAAGTTCACCTTCGATTTCGGGAAGGTGTAACAGGGGCAGATCACGCACGTGCTGCTCATGGCATGCATCGCTACCCCAGTCAATCTCCTACAGAACACGTTGGGACATGCCGGCATTTGTTTGAGGGAGAAAGAGACAGATCTGGACACACGGTCGGGAGATTCCAAAGCTAGAGCGCTATTGGTCGCTGGGCGTTCGTATAGTGGTGGTGCATCGGGGCGTTGCCTCATCGCGACTTAGCGTGCTAGTAATGTAGGGTAAACAAGGATCATGAGGAGCATATACGTTTGCGGTAATAATTGCGACAAAAGGAATGGATTCGGCGCCTACTCTTGGAAAATCGGACCTCGAAGATTTTCTATTATCCAAAAAGGCTGAAAAATAGAGTATAGAAAAGAAAGGTTGGCAGAAGTGCAGCCCAGCCAATGGTGAGAGCTACTCCATACATGACGTATTTGCCGCTACGCTGAATTAGAGTAGATCTGCAATTCGTTCATGAGTACAGTGATCTCGATGCATATATGCTTTCGAGTTACGTGTCACTATTCTTAAAAGCTTGCTGCATCCATAGGCTATGGACTTAGCTTTTGTATCAAGCCCTCTTCTTCCTTCCATGTCTCAAAGTCAAACCCAAGGTCTTTCAGGCTGCGAACATCACGCCTCTTCTCACCTAACTCCAAAGCTGCTTGCTTTATCATCCGAAACTGTTGTCTCGTCCATCCCTTCTCTGCATCCCAAGGGCGGTAGTTTTCCTGATCCCCGAGCTGCACAGGCCTTCGCACTTAAGCTGAGCTTGTACAGCGCGTTAACGTACTCAACATCCTCGGGAAATCCAAGATCGTGGAAGCCATGGCTGCCCTTCGCTTGCAAAACATTGTCTTCCTAGGCTTTCATTTCTGCTAGCGTCGGTAAAACCAAACGTCCAGAGAACACCCGGGCAACGTACGCTGCCTGCGCTTCAGCGACCGGAAAGGGAACAATACGCTGAGGTAGTGCCAGGAACGCCAGCGTGGGTTCAAGGTTATAGAAAATGTGTTGATAGACGTTCCTTGTTCGTTCCCCCGTTGTGGCTACGGGTGGATCTAAGTCTTTCAGGAAAGGGAAAGAGTACTGGTAGCCCGTGCAGAAGATGATGTTGTCGATATTCGCCACAGTGTCGCCGTTGATGAAGCATACGGTTCTACTGTCGGCAAAGAATTCGGCGATCTCTGGACGATATGCAATGGATTCCAAGTCGTTGTGCAGCGTTGTTGGCTTCTTTTTCTCCGAAACGATAACTTGGGCAGCGACGGTGCTTATCTGTCTCGATATATCTAAGCCTGACGCTGAGTTACCCACGACAATAACTTTCTGGCAAAGCTTAGCTAGGTTTTTGTATATCATTTATAACAAGCTTGCCTCACCTTGTCTGCATACGGCCCTGGATTTCGGTAGTATTTCGAGTGCGATATCACCCCCGGATACTTCCCATTGAACTCAGAAATTCCTGGTATTTCTGGGACGAAGGGATCTGAATAATGACCGCTGGCACAAACAACTGCATCGAAGTTCTCTTCGCAGCTCGTCCCTGAAGCCATGTCGAAGTAGCGTATCGCCCATTTCGTGTTGCGAGCGCCATCATCACGGACAAGGCGTACTTGTGTAATTTGGGTTTCGAGTTTCAGGTGACCTCTTATATCGTCCGCGTATTCTTCAAGATACTGCTTGACAACTCTATGAGGCGGAAACAGTGGACAGTCTGTCGGGAAAGGTTGGTCGCTATAATTCATCAAGGTGTGCGGAATGTTCGTTTCAAGAGACTCGTATATGGGAGATGGGAAGACATGATTTGCCGCACCCGTAGCGGTGCGAATCAATACCGGTTGTTCCACCGACTCGGCTAGTTTTGTCCTTGGAATGGTGAGGTCAGACTGATGTTGCTGGAAGCTGTCGCCAGTATAGTTCCACACGCCGCCGACTTCATGGCGTTGCTCGAATACCACGATTCTATCGAATGCGTTCTCGGCTTTGAGATACCTGGACTTGGTCAGCGTGTTACGCTTGTGTACAAGGCAAACATACTTCACCGCCGCCAACCCAGTAGGCCCAGCACCGATGACTGCTATGCTTTTTATATTTGTGAAGGTCTCCATAGTTCATGGAACTGCGTTAGTGTAGATAATCTAAGTTGGGTAAAGGCAGTCGCGCAAACACGTGATTTTCTAGAGCCAATCGTAGGACATCTGGACCAATCAGTCGTCGCATCCTTGCACGAATCAGGGCGGGCGCTATTACCATTCCGGTAATTAACATCGGAGCTAGTCTTCCACGAACCAACAAAATCTATCCTCCCGCCACCCTCGATTATTGTTGATCGTCCCATCCATAAAGGAACAAACAACTCGACAGTGCAATATTCTATGCCAGTAACAAATGTCGAGGGCATGCTAGAGGCTAACTACAAATTTATTGGCAGCTACCTATGGTATACAGTTTACGATACAAGCTGTGCCACGGAAGAGAGCGATGTATCCCCTAACTAGGAGCGGTATTAGACCATTGACCGCAGCAGCCTCGCTACACCCTCATGCCCGTTCTCCGTGGCCAGCGATAGGGCCGCCTTTCCCCACTCATCAGTCGCGTGGGCGTCTATGCCCTTCTCAAGGAGGAATTGTACCACATCCTGGTGCCCACGCTTAGCGGCTAGGTGTAGTGCTGTGCGACCATTCTTCTCAGTCGCGTGGACGTCAGCGCCCTTCTCAAGAAGCAACTGCACGGTCCCCAGGTGCCCAAATATTGCGGCCCGGGTTAGTGCCGTCTGTTCCCAATAATCTCTCGCGTGAATATCAGCGCCGTTCTCCAGGAGAAACAGCACAACATCATGGTATCCGCAGTCGGCGGCGGCAATAATTGGCCTCTCCCCAGTAATAGAGTCTTGCTTATTAATATCAGCCCCGTTCTTGAGAAGCAACCTCACTACATCCCATTGCCCGCTTAACACGGTAGTCATTAGTAGACCCGGTTCCACCTTGGCACCGTTTCGGAGGAGAAACTCTACGGTGGTAGTATGTCCGTTTCTCGCGGCGACAAATATCGGTCTCGGTCCGAACCAATTAATCTTCGTGCTGGTGTTGTACTCAACGAGAAGCTGTACGATTTCCTTGTAGCCCCGCTCCGCAGCCCGGTATGTTATCGAGTGGCTATGTACCTCCGCGTTAGGGTCGGCACCATTCTGGAGAAGGAGCTGTGCGACGGCAAGGTGCCCTCCCTTCACGGCGTACATCAGCGGTGGCCATATATTTCCATGGTGTTCCTCCCTGGCCTCGGCGCCATTCTCAAAGAGCAGCTGTACAATAGCCTCGTACCCCTTCTCTGCAGCCCACGACACCAACGAACGCCCTCTCCACATTTGCTGGGCCTCGGCGCTACCCTTGAGTAGAAGCCGCACAACGGGCTCATGTCCATTTTGCGTAGCCCACCATAATGGCGTTCGTCCTGCCCTATCCGTAACCTGGGCGTCGGCGTCGTGTTCGAGGAGGAGCCGCACGATACTCTCGCGCCCGCTCCGCGCTGCCCATAACAGCGGCGTTCGTTCTTCTTCGTCCGCAGATTGGACATCGGCGTTACGCTCCAAGAGGAGCTTCACGATAGCGTCGTACCCGTTCTGCGCGGCCCATGACAACGATGTCCGTCCAGCGTTATCCTTCAAGTTGACTTCAAGCACCCGAAGTTTCAAAACCTGCCGAACGATCTCTTCGTGCCCTTGTGCGGCAGCTAAGTGTAATACTGATGAGCCATTCTCCGATTTCGCGGTGATGTCGGCTCCATTTCGAAAGATCCTGTCAACTAAGGGCCAGCTTCCTAACCGCACCGCCGATAACATGTCGAAGTGATCTGCCGGATTTCCCTGCTCTTTTAATGACTTCTCGAAAGCGACCTGAACATCATCTCGCGTTCCTTCCTTAAGCCGTTGCATTTGATGCACTATTCGCATATGCTTCCGCAAATCATCCTTCCGAGTAGCTCCCTGGGAACGGCAACCATGTACTTTGCAGGAGAATTTTGGGCTGTGATGAAAATGGATGCGCTTGTGTCGGGGAACATCGCGATTTCGTTTGAATAGTTTGAAGCAAACATCGCATTGATTTGGGGGTCGTGGTTGCTCCTGAGGAAGGCCCATCTTGTGGAAGCGTGGAAGCTACTCGATTAAGAGGTAGCCCTAATAAAAGTAGTTCGGACAAAGGTTGCAAGAATGAGTCTGGATTGTCCTAAGAGGGGGCCGTATGATGGGCACAGCTGGTGGTCGATCCACGCCTAGGGCTCGTGCTCACCTGCATGTGTATGACGCGCCTGGTTGGCGGGCGCTCCGTGTCAGCGGAGCGCCGCGCATCTCCTCGTATGCATAGCCAGGCTATATACCAAGTGAGGCAGATTTGATGCCACGTTAATTTTTAGTAGGTGCGGCGCGCCCATGTCCCTCCTCAGGCTCACTCTTGTGGTCCAGCACGACGACTCTTCCTTCACCCGAACACAACGCTTCCAATCCACTTCTCGCCGTAGTAGCAAACCCAGAAGCATCGCACTTTTCCCTCCCTTCCGTTCACTTCTGTCACAAGCTTTTATCTGGCAAATCCAACATGTCGCGTTACCTCATCGAGCATTCCGGCGACGACGCCGAATCCGGTTAGTTTTTTTTTTACGCTAATGCGACCGCGCCGCCAGAGTTTCGTTCTCGAGGTTGTCCGCTTTGCCATGACCCAGGCTGCGCCTACCGAACGTCCGGACTTGATGCTCTTGCATATCATCTTGAGAAGCGAGACCTTTCCGGTCCTCCCTACGATCCCATTGAAGGGACCACCAGTCACGACAACGCTACCGTTGAAGCTGAGGTCCCCAGCTCAGCCGACCATCCCGCTCAAGATGAGGTTCCCGCTCACGACGAGGTCCTTGGCCTGAACGACAATACCGCTCCAGGTACGGTTCCCAAGCGGATCGCAGGTCGCTTCTACTGCTCCCACCCTGGGTGCGAGATGATATCGTTTAGTCGCCGCCGTGACGCGCAACGCCATATGGATAGCCAACACAACCCACCGCGATTCCAGTGCACATGCGGCTGTGCCTATCGCAGACTGGACATGCTCAATCGACACCGGCGTAACACAGGGCACTGAGACTAGCTATCTGGCTTGTTTAGCTTAGGCGACGAAATCATTTATTTGCTAGATTGAATGAATCAGATTGGTTTCCGCATTATCACTATCCTTGCATTGTTGAGTGAAAGGAGTGCCGGAGTGTAGCTGAAACATTGAACACACCAGACGAACACATGAAAGTGACAACCAGGAATCGCGCTTCTGGTCAGGGAGTCATCGGCCTATCCTGAACGGCAATTCATGCAGGCTTTCAGAATGATGCTACACTGCCACAGATGTCCTGCGGAAAACCCGGCGCGGAACCAATTGCTCCGTAGTAGCATCGCAACGTTAAGCTCTTGTCGAATCATCTTCCGAAAGCAATACTATCCACTCACTAATCACCATGTAGCCTATAAGTTGCAGGATCAAATAGCACTCGGACACCGCGAGAAGAGTAAGCGAAAAGCCTAAAAAGTAACTTATGTATGGCGAACGTTAGACTCCTCTATGCCTCGTTTAGTAGAAGTCAGCGCGCATTGTATAAATATTCCTAGTCTCCCTACTCTTTCTATCGTTACAGTTCTCCTACATATTTAAGCTTCGTCTACTCATTACAGTGAATCATTTGAGTTATTATTATACGTAATTCCTCTTACCCCTTATTTCTACCATAGGGACACCTTTATCTAACACCTTACGCATAAGAGGTCTGTCGAAGTTGAAAAGGGAGAGGCAACGGACTAGAAGATAGAGGAGCAATTGAGCGTCGGATATCATAAGTAATTGCATGTATGCCAAGTAAATTGAGGTATGAAACTTTTGATACCGTGGTGGATATATTATTTCCATGCGCGCAGGCTTGCAATGGTTTTTAGCTACTCGTGCAAACACCTGTCAAGCCCCAATCGAATCATACAAACTTCTTGGCTAGGATCGGGGACACTTACCCATATCGTAGCACACAATTGACGATACCTAGGTAAGAATGTAGTACTTGGATAGCATGGCGCTAAGTCGGCAAAGATCCGAGAGTCGGACCATGGATTCCTGATACAGTTCGCGCTCCTCCGATCAGATTACTATCATCCTGTAGCTTAACACTTTGTTATCATATTTTACTCACCTTCGTCGAAAGTACATTGGAGCATTCACTGACACCGATTTCACTATGGTCATCGAATCCGAGGCCCACGATCTCTATGCAAAAACACTGCACTTGGACAGTCTCAACATGTGTAACTTTTCGCGAGAAATTCTCACTGCCTGGTGCGCCGGCGCCAATGATGGCGTGAGCCGCACGTGCGGGCTCTGGGAAGGCTTCAGAGCCTCTATCACCAACGTCGTACAGTGAAACAAATGGTTCGAAGAGCACTCGATCTTATCGTGCAAGCAGACACCGTCGCTGACATACGGAAAGCAAAAGAGCTTGGGAATATGGCTGTGCTATTAAGTCGGCAGAATACGGCAGGCATTGAAGATCAGCTCGACTACTCTCGCGTGGTTCGTGACTTGGGTGTGCGCAAGATGCAATTGACGTGCAACACGCAGAACTACTAGGCGCAGGCTATACAGAAGCTAACGACAGTGGTTTGACCGGACTCGGAATGGAAGTCGTCAGTGAAATGGCTCAGTTGTGAACCGTGTGTGATCTCAGTCACGTCGGACCTAAAACCACTCGAGACGTTATTGAGTTTGCCCCCGCAGGAAAGCCGCCTCGTTTCTCGCACGCTCTATCATGCGGAAGAGAGACCATCCCCGAAACAAGACTGACGAGTTCATTAGATTGCTTGGCGCAGGGGTGGGTTCGTGGGTCTCACTCAGTTTGGCCCAGACATGGAGGAGGGGACGACAGCACCGTTGACGACTGCGTTAAGGCGCTGGAGTACGTCATTGCTTTGATTGGGATAAGATTTGGTAGGAGTGGGAAGTGACAGCAGCAAGGTCACGGGCTACCAAGCGAGTTCATGGCGTGGTGCAACAAGGACAAAGGCTATGCTCGTCACTTGACGCCGTGGGGGAGCCAAAAGTTATAAAGCCGCTAGGAAAGCTTGAGGATAGGGGAGACTTGGCGCTATCGATGGCTAGGAGAGGCTGGAGTCAAGAGAGAATGAGGAAGGTGCTGGATAAGAGAACATCTTTTTCGATTTCGTCACACGAAACATCACTAATTCCAGCTAGGGGAAGATTGGTTGCGATACCTAGAAAGAATTTCGGCGAGTAATCTACGGGGGCCGCTTTCCACAAGACCAATGCTAAAACCCGTGAAACACTACGTCTCCCACTTCGGTTTGCTGAACCTTGGCACGACCTGGGCACACCAGTCACTTAACGTTCATGAGAAACGCATATGCCGCAATAAGTGTACAATGAAAGAAGCAAATCTTGCTATACTTTCGTAAATGCAGATTGCCGAGTTGAGGCTCCTTCGGCTCAGTGTTCGAGGCGAGGAACAGCACGGCAGCACCAAAGATTGCGGTGAAGAATCACAGTGCCTTAACTTTATATCGTAGCGGCAGCTTCAGGCTAATTTTGATAGAACATGGCGTAGCATCGCTGCCATTGTCCTTTCGGAAGCTTGGCTACTGGTGGTAGCTGTTCTTTGGTACTGTGAATTGCAGAGTAACTGTCGTACCTCTGCGTTGGTTGGAAAACCAGGTGAGTTACGATTTCAGGTATTGTTCCCTGCCCTATTAACTTCTCAGTGGGCACCTCACCGACTCAATGGTGTGCGTTTTGACCGGATGCTTGATGCCTGCTCGTTGAAGCTAGAGAAGGCGGTGTCGTACGGCAACCACCAGTGCCGAAACGAGTCCTTGAACCGAAAGCTACAAAACCAGCTTTGGGTTTTCATGCCAATATCTTCGCATCCCACGTAGAGAAGCTGTCCAAAGTGGCTTACTGAACTTGTGGTCCCTCAGTTCGGATTCCCAGGTGGCTTATGCTTTATGTATCTCGCACTCTTGAACAGAAATCATCATTGATCATGTACAGCAAGGTCATCGCCGACGACCGTGCTCATCACGGATTTGGTGAGTGGCATCTAGATCGAACTTGATAGTATTCCATTCACGCGGCTCCGCTTTCGGGCAGCATCTGCGCGAGGCCAGTCTCCATGTTTGACAGAGCCCAGTTTGGTGGTGCTGTGGGCGAAAAGCGGCGGCATTGGGTGCTTGAGTCCACGGAGGAAAAGGAGGCCGTTAAGGGACCAGACCGCCTTAGTCGCGTAGACTGGGCCGGACATCTTTATCTGGGAGTGAGTAAGCCGCGCCTGGACAAGTCATGTGCCGCTATGGTGGCTCCTCCTGACGGCTGCAGTGACAGCCGGCTTAGGGATGCAGCTACGTTTAGTGCCCAGCTAATCATTATCGGGAGGGAAAACACATTGCAAAACATCGCCCAAAATTTTGTTGCTTTCAGCAGAACCGGCAATTTCACCCGCTCGTTCCTTTCTGCGACCTCACATATACGGACTTGTGAGATACTTCTGACCAGGTCGTCTGTTCAAGACATGATCAACAATGCTGAGAGACGTTACAAGAGCAAATGACTGATAGTCGATCAACTCCTGCCGCACACTAGATTCATATTTTCAATTGATCTTGCATGTCGCAGTGACCCACCTAAACCTAGATAGGAACCTCCAGGCCCGTCATTCCGTCCCCGATGCGTGGAGAATATCGTGGACAAACAGAGCTAGCGGTAAGCTTAGCAAACAAGCTTTTCGATCGCTGTCGTGATTCGCTAGTTGCGCGAAACACGATGATCGCTGGAACAAAGTGGCGCTGCGCTAATCCTAACGCAGCCACAAACACGGTCGGAAGCTACAGCTCCCGAACAGTATGCCTTTGAAATCCCTCTCCTTTCAGTGGCACAGCCTACCGCCAAACGGGGCGCGAATCTCCTTTCAGAAGGCTTAAGATTCATGACGATTAAGTTGATTCTGATTGGTAGCAGAGAGCTTCGGAGATGAACCATCCCGGTGACATTCACGATGGTTTCCGTTTCCAGACAAGCAGACGGTTGGGTTAATCAGATTCGGCCATACTGTGGGTAGACCAGGCATGCTTTGAGGAATAATGAGACGTTCGTACGGGACCAATGTCAGCCACGGAATTACCTATCAGCGCTAATGAGTTGAGGGAGTATAATAAACTCGAGCTTCAAAAGGCTGCCATTCCTCCGCGAAAGCCTCGAGCGTAACCTCCTCTGCAGTCCTTTATTGTAATTCATTCTTTACGATCATGCGTTCCTTCACATCTCTTGCCCTTTTGGGCTGCGCCATTACCTCTGCAGCAGCCCAAAACATGTCAGTGTGCGATAAATACACAACAGCACTTCTCATGGACAACAATGCCACAAACCAGTACACCTTGCTGACACTGCTTGTCAACACTGTTGTCATTGGAAACTACACTCAACCCAACAAGAACGCTGTCGCAGGCATTCTGGCCAAGGGCACCTACGAAGGCGAAGAGGTCAACCTCCTGCCATACTTCGACGGTACCCTGATGTCGAGCAACCGCGGTGGCTCCAAAGGAGTTTCCATCAACTTCCTTGACGGCGGTGGTGCCGCTCCGTTGATGGAGAACAAGCCTGCCAACAACGAGACTTCGAACCAATAGTAAGTCGACTTAGCTTTTCCCACCCTTCACCACGCCTTACTAACCATAGTGCAGCTTCCTCCTTACGCACCTCTACCAGTTCTTCGGCAAGTTGCTCGGCTGCTCCGAGTACGGCTCCATGGGCTTCCCAGCTTACGCTGGACATGACATGGCTTCCGCACACGCCTTCATGAACCTCGATCCCTCCGAATTCGGATACTTCGTTCAACAGGTCGGCATGGCAGCCACCTCGTTCGGTGTTACGGAAGATGATGTCACTGCCGTCGCGATGGCGCTACAGAAGCTGTTCGGATACAGGTGCAGCCCGCCTACGACCGTCATTCCAGAGCAAGGGGCTACGCTCAACAGCATCTGCCAGAACGAGAAGTGCCCGCTTGACCCTATGGCCACGTGCGCTGCGTACCCGAACAATGGAACGGCGATGGAGCCCATGTCGGCGAGTGGCATGATGAATGGAACGATGCCGAGCTCAACTGGAATGAGCCCTTCGGCTTCGGCTACGTCGACGATGGGACCGGACTTCACGGGAGCTGCCGTATCTCAGCGTGCAGGGTTTGCGGCGATGGTCGGAGGTTTGGCCCTTGCGATGGCTTTGTAAGAAGCTGGAATATCAAGACTGCTCATGTCGATCAAGCTTGGTTCTGTCGCATCTTATCATGCATATTTTCTCCCAGGAAGTTTACTTCTATGCTTCTTACGTATAGGTTATGCGTGCCACGCCCTATTCAAGTTTTAATTTACGCTTTGATTATCATAGGTGGGAAATACCTACCTATTACTTTAGTTATCCTTTTATCGGCTTATCATGTCAAATTAGAGCATGAAAATCAGAATGTCGTCCAAGGATCAATCTTAAGAATCGTCCTCGTGCCTATCTGAGAACTCGAATGTAATCTTCCTCATCATGACCTCCTGTGTCTCAAGCTTAACAGGAAGCGACGATCCATCCCAGGCGCATTTTACCTACACTCATCAACGAAAAAGGAAACAACCTTGACGCTTTGGACACGAACGAACTCGTTTCATGAATTGTGTGAGTATCCTCAATGAGTGCGCACGGTTTTCAGAGGAGGAAAAAGGTGAAAGACTCAAGCACAGCGACGCAGGCGCCGGCAGCAACATGAGACGAGCAATTCCGGTCCCTTCTAAGATGCGCGTACATTAACCCAGATCAAACAATGCGTACCGTAAGACAACTCGATGCGATTGGTGCGCATCCCTGTTACACAAGCTGACCCCCTGGTTACACAAGCTGACGTTACCGTTACCCAAGCTGACATTCGGACTCAAATAAGGTTAACATAAGCTTTCCTATTGCTGGGCATTTTTACCTGGCCGCGTAACCTACTAACCTGTATGACAGATGTCTGGATGTCTTACATGGTTCCCCGCCTGAACTCGGTGCCAGCGGGTGCATGAATTCGGACCGGAAACGCTGACCTGCATAGGCCTGCTAAGGACAATTAGCATCTGTGAACTCAGCTCGTCCGAAGCCCCATTTCTAGGTTAGCTTTGATGCAGGCACGAGGCTTTATGGGAGTCGTACGAATTAAGCATTGACTATGTGCGGAGGCCGGCATCATGTCGCAGTCTTCATTGTCGCGATTGGACATTCTCAAGTAGTCGAGTTCTAGCTAACTTCTGAATGGTAGCCAGGTACACATCCAACATGTTCAATCAAAACGAATTTGTTCGTGATTGGCTTACGATCACATCTGGCTCCGATGACAGACCGAAGCTATTGCCTCGTGTCACCTCAGTCCTTTGACATGGCGCAGTAGTCAGTCAATCGACCGGGAATAGTGCATTGGCCGGAAACTATTATCAAGATTCTCATCAGGTCCCCTTAGTGAATCCAACTGCTCGATGTCAGTTCCATGCGTACGAGGACCAGCTACAAGCTTTGCAGAAGTACAATCACAGATTATTTCACAGTGTTAGGAACCTAAAAAGCGCCAAAGAAGAGCTTTAGACTTTTCCGACCCTGATCGGCGGCTTATAGTTACCTCGACAGGATCTCAAGATCCGAGCGCTCCGGAACCTGGAGAGCTCGCGATGCCCGATGAGGTTTCACTTCTGCCGTGATACCAGAGTTGACAGAGCGGCAATTACGCGGGGGCCAAACGCGTGCGGTGACGAGGGGGTTCATTGTGGATCTCACAGCTCTGTAAGGATCCCTCGTTGCGTAAGTCCTTGCTTCCTAGTTCGACCACTTAAACCTGCTACATTTTCTAAAATGAGAGAAAATTGCCTGGCCAGGGATCGGTCCCGCATGTTCAATTTGCCTCACTTGCCTCGTTCGCTGCATATGGATCGTAGTGCGAGGTCGAGTGTCGTTATTCTTTGGCCCCCGCATGGCACACTGCTCCATATGGACGATGCCGGGATCCCAGATCCTCAATCGTCCCAAGACTGTGGGTAAGCTTTACTTAGCTATTATGGCCCCTTCCCGAGTCTTCAGTTCTGTTGAATTGTACCAATGTGTTGCGTGACAACACGTGCACAAGGATGTGGAAAGAGACACTCGCTATATGAACTTCGATAAGACTAGTGTGTATATTAACACCCGTTCAAGCGAATACTAAATATTCTATTGCAATCGGCATGTTGAAGGGGGCGGGTGAGACGGAACTCAGTCCCTCACTCAGATCCTTCCCAAACAATGTTGTTACACATACTTCTTTCAGCTAGATGTACGCGCAAGACATACATGATTTAGAAGACAATGACGTGTGCTTACGCTCATTACTCGATGCCTGAGATTCAATTGAGGGATTTTCAACTCCACCTGCACTGCATCCGACAAGGGACCATGCAAAGGATTGATGACTCTCCACTACGAAGACCCCACGGTATACGGTAGGAGAGAGACAGCTAGAGGCAAGTTGTGGGAGGCCTGAAAGAGCTTCGATGTATAAAACCTGAACAGTCCTTCACCTTTCTCTTCTCCTCACCAATCCAAGAAACATCCCTTCCTCACGACCACATCAACTTCCATCCGATCCTCTTAATCAATTCCTCCACCGACAAAATGCAGTTCAAGCTTGCAATCGGCGCACTTCTCTCCACCATGATGTGGACTGCCTACGGAACACATGTGGTTTGCCAGGCCGGCTTGAGCGACACCAACATTTGCGAGCAGACCTACTGTGATTGCGATGGGCCCGTTCTATTCTGCCAGGGTGGAACCACGTGCGCATCGACATGTGTTTGCGCCGCTTAGGCATCGTTGCAGTACGTCCTTCTTATCAGCATTGAGATTAACTTGGTACTTTAATGCTAATTTTTCAGGAACACCGGGTTAGCAGCGATATCTACGTCTCGATGAGGTTTTTTATCCTCTTATAGGTTTTCCTCATCTTCGAACAAATGTTGAGGCTAGATAGTCCGGAATGAAAAGATGTAATCATTGTGTTTCTCTGAAACGTCGATGCTTGTGATTGCAGTGCGATCGTGGTGCGGCGAGATCGTTGCCAGATAGAAGCCCATGTCTCTACTACGCTGCCGAGCCGGCCAATTATGCCATCAGCACGATACGTCTTGTGGCCCCATGAGGACGGCACCTTTGCTTATGCGCCGGAAGGTACAGTTAATCAACGGGATGACCTCACCACAGGACCAGAGCGAGAATAGTGACGTGTCTGCCAAGCTCGATCGGAATAGATCCAGTGGGCGTTCTTGAGAGTAGGCATGGTGATGGAGGTCTACTTTCCCTTGCTACTCAGTTCGAGACCATCCCACAAGGGATTGACATCACTTTTGATTTAACACTAGATGATTCGAGAAATCTCCTACTTTTTATATCTTTTTAAGGGCCTAAGACATCAGCCTTCATCCAAGAGAGCCGATCCTCGTTCGTTTCCGTAGTCACGCTTCCTAATTGTCAGGAAGTGAGAATACAACAACACCATCGTCGTGTTCGAATCCACATGAAGATACCCAACTTGAACGTTCAGCTCGACGCTTGATCGAAGTCTCTGTTGAGAGATTGGACAGCCCCTAAAAGCAACATGAATATTTTGAGAGAGTTCTCAGATCGACTACCTATGCGCGTGTCTGTTCAAACTATCTGACCAATGATGGAAGATACTCCAAATTGAAGCTAGGCAATGAATCTTGGTAAGCGCGAATTCGGAGAACAGACAGACTATCCGATTTCGAACCATTGGCTTAGCTGCCGAAGGTCTCACGGTAGCGAATTTTCAAACAAGCAAGGCTACTCTGATCAGCTCATTATCGAATATATATGAGTTCGTAGAAGGCTCCAGCTAATAGTGAGTGAATGGAAAAGTACTACTCGTCTAAGTTCCTATAGTATAAGGGCTTTCTAGTTTGATAAATCTAACGCTAAAAACCAAGTGTCATGTAAAACTGCCGACAGTTTTGAAACCACTGTCTGGAGTACTGGTATTGCAGGGCTTTGCACCGGCATCGCACGATTTCTAGACTCGCTCCAAATGGCATAAGATGTTGCGCACTATTGGGCACCTCTTATCTCCCCGCTGGAGGTTTAGCCATAAATACCAGGCTGCTCATTGATGACGCAGTGTAACCTCCGAACAGTCTCGATGACTGGATTCCATTTGCGCTCATGCGTCGTGCGCTGGAACGGATCTACTCTTGTCTACGCAGCCAGGTGCAATAATGTATGTTCTGGCCGGGTGCTTGGCATGACTGCTCGTCGGGGCTAAAGATTGCAGTGTCGGCTGCCTGTTTTAATACACCTTTGAACGAAGTGTGGCAAAGATCAGTAGGCTACTGTCCAATGCTGATATCCATGCACTAAGCTGAGCTACCCCTTGACTACCCATCGCTTCCGGTTCGCTTGATGCAATCTAGACAAGCATGGTTCGGCAGCTTGACCCTTCATTGCTTCTAGTCGGATCTTGGCTGAGATATTCGTTCGCGCTAAAGAATGCATTGAAAACTGCTCGTCGGTGCTGAATATTGCAGTGTTTCCTGCAGAGCCTCATAAGAAGGTGAACATGTTTTGCGAAACACCATGTCCTACGAAATCACCGTTCTACCAGAATCTACCCTGTGCTATGAGGTGACTTTGCGAATGGGTCACGAGTTGTTCATGTCTTTCCAAATCATACCAATCATTCTTTCTTTTTTTCACACTCACCGGTTCCGTAGCTAAACCGCTAAATAACGCAAAGAATTGTGGCTTTGTTTCTTTCGCTTGACCGAAAACTTCAGATGCTTTCGTAAAAGGCTGAGTCCGAGCGCCGTACGTTCTAATGGACGCTCCGCATTTTCTTTCCGGGCATATTACTGCGGACTCCACTGGTTCGACTGTTGACCGAACTCACCGGAAGCTTGAATTGACCGCTCGTTGGGGCTAAAGAATGCAGTGTCACCTGCATCTTCGTTCCGCTCCTAGCTCCCTCTCTCGTCCAATAGCTATGCTGAATCACTGCACCATGACATACCATCCTGGATATGTTCCCTCACCGAAAGCTTGGCTGAACCCCTCGCCTACGCTAAAGTTGCAGTGAAAAGTGGGCTTGATGTCCTGCTAATGCTTCCTCCAATCTCATTACAAAATAAATAATAAGCGCTTGGTTGCACTTAAAGACTTTCGACATCTATAAAATCCTCTCTGCCTTCAGATGTCAGATTCTTTACATGCAGAACTGAGCACGATATGGACCCCTGGGGTGTGGGAGCGGCTTTTTCGACACGATTTTGGTTTCAAAGATCATCGCTTCGGCACCAATTCACATCTCACCTCCATTAGGCACAGACTTCAAGGCTTCCTTAAGAAGCTCGAAAAGTACGGACGCTTATCAATTTCCATGACGTTCAGTGACATAGGAGCCGAGCGCTCAAGATTCGTAGGGACTGCAACCTCAAACACACAATTAAACTAATTTCCAAGACTGTCAAGAAGCCCCAAGAACAAATTTGCTTTCCCAACAACAGCGAACGCTGAGCGTCGAAAACGTTGAGCGTGTCCGCGATTTTAACACAGTCTTCGAGTATCCGGGGATCGTCAGTACCGACGAAAGGCTACACTCATTCTCCATACTCAAGGATACCAGTTGAAAGTTTACGAAACATTTGAGGTTGTTGTCTTTTAGAAAACAGCAAAGGCATTCAAAGACCCATTAACGCGAGCTGACACGTATGGACGCCGACTGCTCCTTAACAGGGATTTGCAATGATAGAACGTGAAGAAGGTTCATAGCTATGATCACTATGTCCTCCTCCAGTGCTTGCCAGGGTTGGAGATTGTAGTGCGATCTTGATTCGAATATGTCCGGACTCCCTGCCTGAGCCTCTCTACAAATATAGGCTACAGTGATTTTTGATTGCGAAGCTCATGTAGGCTTCAATGTTTGTTGCCTACACTCACCGGAAGCTTGGCGGGACTGCTCGTCGGGGCTAGAGATTGCAGTGTCGTTCCTGACAGGGTGGTCTGGGGCAGTGCATGCACGAGCTTGATGACTCCCGGGCTCTAATTGGACATACTTATGCAGGCTTTGTTGACTTTGCTGGTATCTGCACTCACCGGAAGCTTGGCGTGACTTGACTGCTCGTCCGCCCTAAAACTGGAAGTGTAAACGATACGTCATACGCTGCGTTTATAAAGAAAGAGTCCCCCGCACTCTACGCCTCTGGCCATCTCGTAGAAATCTCGTGTGCGTGATGAGAGTTTCTCTATTCGACAAGTTGGAGCTCACGAAATCATTTACTCCAGAACAGACTTTATATAGGAAATATCTATCAAGGTTTATACTTCGAAGCAACTAGAACCAAGGTTAGACTGATTCGTAAAGGTCACCTGCTCTACCGGAATTTGTAAGGACCTTACTTCAAGGTGATCATCGGGATATAAGAATTCATGAATATTGTTTGTATTCGTGAGCAAGTATGATAAACGGTTCGAGCAAGTCAGTATACGTATTACAAGGTCCTAGGCAGCTGTGGTTCGCTGGTGGTGTAACAACAGGGTATGGCCAGTTTACTTGATCTTGCCTCCCAGACCGTAAGAAGACTACCATGTTAAGTATCTTAGCAGGAAAGCGATCAAGCTTACAGAATTCCTACATCCGTTTGTGATGACGTTTGTGTGTGCGCAAATTTCTTCTTGGTGCTAGAAAATGTAGTCTTCGAGTATGATGAGAACCAAACATCCAGGACACTGCTCACCGGGAGCTTGGCTTTACTGCTCGTCGGGGCTAAAGGATTGCAGTGCTGCGCATCATTTCTACGTTTCCAACTATGAGAGCCCGAATTCAATGGCTCTGACTTCAGATTGGCTATGCTACTACTGGTCTCATTGGTCGAGCTGTCGCCTATACTCACCGGAAGCTTGGCTCGACTGCCTGTTGGGGTTAAAGATTGCAGTGTTGTGGTGTCTCGCAAGGCAGATTTTACTGGGAATCAACCTTGATTGGGCATGCTATGCAGCCTGTACTGTTGCCTGCACTCACCGGAAGCTTGGCAGGACTGCTCGTCGAGGGCTAAGATTTCTATAGGCCAGCGATCTTTCACAGGCAATAAACGAATTAGGGACAGTCATACAGATTCTACCAATTAGATGGTTGGGGATACTCACCGGTTCCTTGGCTTGACTGCTCGTCGGGGCTAAAGATTGCATTGTGACCTGGTTCGTTTTAAGTATCGAGACTTTCTACCTGAGGCTCTGCACAAGAGTTGCCATAATGATCATGACTGAGCATTCTTAGGTAGGCTGTGTTGTTGCCTGGTTTGACTGCTAGTTGGGGCTAAAGAGTGCAGTGCAGTGTCGTGGGGGGTACACAAACACTCAAACTTCGTGCCTGAGAGCTCTTTGCAACGAAAGGTCACAATGATTGTGATTGAGCATGCTTATGTAGGCTGTGCTGCTGCCTACACTCACTGGAAGCTTAGCTTGACTGCTCGTCGGGGCTAAAGATTGCAGTGCCATGGGGGTAGATATTCTTAGACATTGTGCCTAAGGCTCTTTAAAGGGTCAGCTACAACGATTATGATTGGACGTACTCATGTAGGCTGTGCTGTTGCCTGCACTCACCGGAAGCTTGGCTTGACCGCTCGTCAGGGCTAAAGATTGCAGTGAAAATTGTTGTTTATGAACATACACTTAAACTCAGCTCCCTCCGCACCTCCTAGAATCTTAGGGATCGCATTTTCCTGGGCATACCCACCTACCATAGGTGTAGTTTCCCAACAGAACACAAAGACACGCGTTCCTCAGTGCTGTACATACGCCGGCTTTCGTATCACGAACAGCATTTTCACGAATACTCGAAGTCGACAGTAGCGGAATGCAACACGAAGCTTATGCGAAACGGTACTGTCGTTCCGCGTGCTGTGAGATGCGTGAGGTCGAGGCACTGGTCTCTGGGGGGAGCTATGAGATTCGACACTACTTCACGCACTGTGTACGCCCGACGGAGTAGGCAGGCGTTTTGGGAGATGCCATGACTTGTCGCCTGTATGATCAGATTGTTGATGAAAAAGTTGGATACTCTGAGGTGTGAGCGTCCCAAGGTTTCAAGGTTCGCTTCGATTCACGTGACATGCTGAGCATAAGTCTGTGCTTCGAGCTTCACAGAAATGCACAAGTTCGCAATTCCATAGAAGGAATATTATCGAGCTTGGCTGAAACACACATGCTTGTGAAGCACAAAGGCATATGGATCTGGCATACTGTGAATATCGTGGTTAAGCGGCTAACCGGCACACCAAAACGGTGTACAAAAGGATGCAAGTACCCCGGATCCTAGCTGTTCCTGGCGGGAACGTTGCCTGGCCGCTCGCCCTCCGACGCGTGTCCATGGAGGCGACCTGGATTGGGACCGACCAGGACGCGCTGGGAGATGATGATAGGATGTGGTCGAGGAGAGTTTGCGCTCCTTTGATGATCCATGCCAAGTTCCGTTTAGCCGCTGCCACAAAGCTTGTGCCCTGCCTTGTTTTGGCGCAGGAACACCCATCATCATCGTCATCGCTTCCACAATTCCCATGTTCTGCACGCAGAACCGCATGCGGCGCGGTTGCTTCCCGGTTCGATCTGTGCGCTGTGTGAAGGACCGGGCGTGATGCTAATTTGACAATGACATCAATTGATGGTTGAGCCGAGCTACCAGCTTATATAGCTTCGCGCTCGGGAATTGGTGCGAGGTACGCCGCTATACACAGGCTCGCTTTCACAATGCGCTCCACTCTCGCTCTGTCGCTGTCTGTCGCTAACGCTGCCGTTGCAGCCTACTCCTTCGATCCCCTGGAGCATCTCGCGGGCATTGCACCGTACTTTGAGCCCGAGGACCCGCCGCTCGACCCGAAGGCGCCGCAGGGTTGCAATGTCACCCGCGCCACATACCTCGTAAGGCATGCTGCCATCTACGCCAATGACTTCGACTATGAGGAGTACATCGAGCCGTTCACCGACAAGCTGGAAAATGCGAGCGTGGACTGGAGCAAGGCGGGACCGCTGTCCTTCCTCTCCACTTGGCAGACACCCATCTCCGATGAGGAGCTCGAAGACTTGACCAAGATTGGGCAGCTGGAGTCGTACAAGTTGGGTGTGGACGTGAGCCTGCGGTACCCTTCGCTCAAGAGGTCGAACAAGGTGTGGACCTCGACGGCGGAGCGGACCGAGCTCAGCGCGAGCTCCTTCATCGATGGCTTGTCCAGGAGCAACGAGACCGAGCGCGTGTCTGTGCCAGAGACCGAAGCTGAGGGTGCCGACTCATTGACCCCATACAAGGGCTGCCCCAAGTACAGCTCGTCGTACGGAAGCGACCAGTCATCTGTGAGTTGATAGACACGCTGTCCATATTCCCCGCTGACCTTTCCAGAAATACAAGGAGAAATACACCAAGCCCATCATCGAGCGCTTCAAGAACCTCGCACCGGGCCTGAACTTCACCGCCGATGACATTGTCGGCATGCAGGAGCTGTGCGGTTACGAGACCGTCATCCGCGGCTCCTCGCAGTTCTGCAGCCTCGACCTGTTCACCGCCAACGACTGGTTGGACTTCGAATACATGAACGACATCCAGTACTTCTACAATGCCGGATACGCCAACCCGATCTCGGGCGTGCTTGGCTTCCCATGGGTCAATGCATCCGCAGGCCTCTTGCTCGAGGACAAGACAGACCAAGACATCTACGTCTCCTTCACGCACCGCGAATTGCCGCCCACCGTTATCGTTGCGCTGGGCCTGTTCAACAACTCGATGTACTCTGGCACCAACAACCCGAATGCGACGATGCCATTGACTACGCAGAACTACGGCCGCGTGTGGAAGTCGTCGGCCATTCTGCCCTTCTTGACCAACATCGCCGTCGAGAAGATGTCCTGCGACAGCTACGGCTACGACGCTGGAGACTACTTCCGGGTGCTGGTGAACCAGAGCCCGCAGCAGCTTCCCAACTGCGACGACGGCCCAGGCGTGAGCTGCTCCAAGGCGACGTTCCAGGACTTCATCAGCAGCAGAGGAGAAGAGTTCGGCAGCTTCACAGAGAAGTGTCAACCGGAGTACAAAAACTCGACTGACGTTATGACGATTTACGATGCATGAGCGTAACATGTAGATTAATGTATAATAATTATGGCAGCGTACGCGTTGATCTATGCTGTTCACATCCCTTTCTTGCATGCACATCTCCAATTGCCGTTCCACAGCCCGCTCAGAGCCCCACGCTTCCCCTGCGTTCTCTGGGGCGCCTGCCCGCTTGTAGACTAGCGGCCGCAAGCGAGTGGGCACTCGTCATGCCGAGCGCGCCGAGCTTCTGCATGCCGCGACTTTGTTCCCACCAACCGAGAAGGGTTGCGCCGCCCAACGCCATCGCAGGACGTCTGCCCCTCGCGAAAATTTTGATCCGCCATTGAGGGGTCGGTCTTCACCCTCATTACTCTCATTTTAGCTGCGGTAGAACCCCAGACCCTTTTGCTATCCCGTTTCTTTCGACTTTGCGACCCTTTCAGGGCCTGCGCAGGCTTGTGCGACGCCGACCCCGGATTCTGGATACTGGATACTGGATACTGGATACACGCGGGAAGCAACCACACCATGGCATCCTTAGCCATCGCCCTCCGCCTGCCCCTCCTCCTCTTCCGCAAACCCTCCAAGGGGCGCAAATCCTCCACCAAGCCCACCGACCAAGATGCAGATGCCACACCCCAGCGCCTGCTCACCTACAACGAGCTCCCAGACTGGTACCGCGCCGAAGCCTCCCCCTTCATAACATCGCACTACCGACCCCCCTCCCACAGCATACACAAAAGCCTGCAGAGTCTGGGACGTCTGCACAACGAAACGACGAATATATACACGCATCTTATACCCGCGGTGGTACTCGCCCTTGCGCTTCCGCTACTGCAGCTTAATATTTCAGATATCTATGCGGATGCTCCATGGATGGACCGCTTCATGCTCGCCCTCACGCCCCTCACCGCGCTCTTCACTTTCTCCGCCTCCGCAAACTTCCACACGCTGTGCAACCACTCCGAAGTCGTCTCCCTGTCGTGCCTCCTGCTGGACTTCACAGGCATTTTGACGTTGATCCTCGCGAGTTTTATATCAGCGATATATGTCGGCTTTTATAATCATCCGTTTGAGCAGAGGCTGTATTGGAGTATGATCACCGTGTTGATAGCCACGAGTGCGGTACTCGTCCTGCATCCCGCGCTGCAGGGCATGAAGTACCGGCCTCACCGCACCGCCGCCTTCGTCCTAACCACGCTATCCGGCCTCGGTCCCACGTTCCACGGGATGTACGTGCACGGCGTGAGTCGGGGGTGGCATGAGTGCGGTGTGAAGTGGTGGGCTGCAGAGGGGCTGTGGTACTTGCTCGGCGTGGGGTTTTTCGTGTCGCGGTGGCCGGAACGGCTCGCCTGGCGGGGCTCGAAGACTCGGGGCCGCTTCGACGTGTGGGGCGGGAGTCACAGTTTATTTCACACGTGCGTTGTGATAGGGGCGGGGTGTCATTGCTGGGGTGTGGGAGGCGTGGAGGAACGCTGTTTAGCCTTCTGCCCCCATACATCAACTTTTCATATGTTATGGTCATATAGACGGCTGGGTTGGGTTGGGTAAATTAATGTAATATCGTATCACGAGCGGCGCGGTTTTATGGTGAGAGAGGAGCCATACGAGTGTGAAGAGGTCGACTAGCGTCTTGTGCAGCACTATGCTCAAGACGTGGTATCACCGAAGATTCATCCTCCTCCGTCCTTTCCACCTCCACTAACCTCTATCGCATCCCCCATCTTCTTACTCCTATACAAACCCTCGGCTATTGATCGGATCCGAATTTCTCTCTAGGCGGTCGACTGCTTCGATGGGGTGGTGCGAGTCGAGGGAAGTGGGATGCGCGAGGGAGTAGAGACGCGGTGGTGCTGGAAAGAGATAGGAGCGCGATGGTGGGTGGAAGAAGGACTGCTTCGCGGGTGGCGTTGCTTGCTGGGTGAGAGAAGATGGTGGACTTATACTGTATGTCTGGCCGGTCGTTAAGTCTTGATTCCTGCTGGTTGTTAATGCTCACTATACAATGCAGCCGGCGTGATAACGCACCGCCGTCCAATCATGACTACACGCCGGTCCACATTCTCGACAACAGGAAAACCGTACGGGTTTACTTCATGAAGGCATCGTAAATTCCAGTATGTATACTTTCCCCAACGAACGGTATCTCACACCCCATACACAAACGTCCACTTCTTATCCGCGTACCTCACCTCGTTCGTATTCTCCGCTTCGATCTCCTCTGCGCTCATACCCGCGATCTTCCTCGCTTTATACTTATTCCACGCCTTCAACTCGAAATAATAGCACGCGTAGCCGACGAACGCCACCGCGATAAGGCCAGTCGTTACTTTCAGCGGCCAGATGTAATTAGGTCCGTACTTCGCAAGGAACAGTTCAGAACCAATAATCCCACCCAGATTGCCCCACCCATTGATACCCAGCACAATCGCACGCTTCCCAGGCTCAGGCGTGTTCCCAGACAGCCACGCGACGGTGATAGGCGCCGCGATGAACGTGCCTGAAAGAAGGACTATGATACCGCCATAGCGGGCGGACGGATTGGTAAGAGGTAAGCTGAACGCCATGATCAAGCCTATAAGTACAAGCGTGATCCCCACGAGGATGTGCAGCGTTCTCTCCCGGAAGTGATCCGAGCTATGCGCGAAGAGCAGCAGTAGCACGGCGCCCACCACATACGGCGGCACGGTCATCAGATTGGCCGTCGGTCCGGAGTACCCTAATCCTTTTATCACGATGGGCATGAAGATGGTGAAGCCCTGTGGCGCAATGCTAGCTAGTACATTAAAAGGTAACACGGCCCAGAGTTTCCAGTCGACAATCGCTTCTTTGACGTCCTTCTTCGAGAGCTTAAACCGCGAGTCGAGATTTGCCGCGGAGTCGAGGACCATGCGTCTGTCGGCGAAGGCCCGCTCTGAAGGGGAGAGAAACCACGATTCGCCCGGGCTTTTGGCGAGCCAGAAGGGGGTTGCGAGCGCGACGGCGATGGTGGCGGCGCCCTCGACGATGAAGAGGTACTGCCAGCCGTGGAGGTGGCCATCGATTTGGAAGCAGCCGTATGCTATTAATCCGCCGAATGCACCAGCAACCGCGTAGGCGCCGTAGAAGATTGCGATGCGGAAGGCGAGGTCGAAGCGGGGGTAGAAGAGGGAAAGGTAGGACACGCAGGTGGGATAGAAGCCGGATTCGAAGATACCGATCAGGAGGCGGACGGCGATGAGCTGCGCTTCTGTCTTAACCCACGCGTGCGAGAGCGTGAGGATGCCCCAGCCTAGCCCGATGATGCCGAGATAGGTCGACTGGCCGACTTTCTTGCCCAGGATGACGCTCAATGGCTGCAGCGGGACGAATGTGCAGAAGAAGAGACTCGTCGCGGTATTGATTGCGCTAGGACTCATGTGCAAGTCCGTTGTGAAGCCATCGGTTTGCGCGTTTCCTAGGTTGCTTCGATCTAGGCCATTGAACATGTAGATGAGGACACAGAAGGGTAGGATGCACAGGTCGAATTTTCGGTTCAGGGCGCGCGAGACTTTCTTCTCTTCTGGGGTGTTTGGGATGTATCCGCCTTGCTTCGATGATTGTAGCTCCTCCTTCAGATGGCTTGCTGTCTTCTCGTCGACCTGCTGCACGCCGCGTGCAACATTCTCGATCTCTTCTTCGACGGAGGCCTTTTCCAGCGAGGCCATGATGTTTCAAAGAAGCGACAAGGCGTGGAGATAAGAACGCTCACTCCATCGAGCGTTAAACTGCGGGTCCATCTCTTATCAGACGTCTGTCAGATGTGATGATCCTTCGCACGTGCTTTGCTCTATGACACGAACACGCTGGGTACGGCACCCGCCCCCAACCTCCCGCTCACCAAGATGCGGGGTCCCCGCACGAGGGTCGAACACCATTCCCCAAACCCACGCGCCATCTCGAGCTTGATGGAGCCAAGGGCTTGGGGAGCGCTTTGATGCCCGCAATTTCCCCAAGTTGTTGTTTTACCTCGGGCTATTTCCTCCAATGGAGGTGCGGCGGAGTGTATTAATGGCGCATACGCCACCGCATATCAGCGCCCGCGGAGGCGCGTTTCTCCACGACTGTGACTGTAAAATGAGGAGGTGTGATAATTTGGGCTCCGCAAAGGTCGACGGGTGATATATGGTGTGCAAAGGGTAGGAGCGAAGGCGACAGGGACAACCCATCACCTAGAGGACACACACCATGGCTCCCACCAGAGAAGAGCTGTTCACTTCATTCCCGGACGATGTTGCAACTGCACCGCTGGTGACCATCAGTCTGAGAAAACTCGACTCTGACGATGCACAAGAGAAAGAGCGACTATTCGAGGCGAGCAAGTCGCTAGGGTTCTTTTACCTTGATATGCGAGACTGTGCCCATGGCGAAGCTCTCTTGAAAGGCTCAGACGATATGTTCGACCTGAATGAGAAGTTCTATGATCTGCCGCTTGAAGAGAAGACCAAGTATGATTTCGCAGCCAAGGGTATGTATTTTGGCTACAAGGGAATGGGAGCAGAAGTCATCGACGGCAAAGGCACAAAAGATAAGAACGAGATCTACAACGTATGGTTTCATCCTTCCAATATAACATTACCAGGCTCACTGCGTTCAGATATCAAAAGACGACATCCTCTCCATCAGCGATCCCCTCCCGGCACCAGCCCTCATCACCAACAATCGTCCAAACCTAGCATCCTACATCTACGCCAACAACGCAGTCCTCACAACACTCTTCACTTCTCTTGCTGCGTCCCTTCAATTGCCACCCTCAGCATTCAGGTCCCTTCATCGTCTGATCTCTCCCTCTGGTTGTCACATTCGGTTCATCCGCGCGCCACCCCAGCCCATGAACGAGCGCTCTCTTGCTCTCGGCTAACACACTGATTTCGGCAGCCTTACCATCCTCTTCAATCGCGTTGGCGGTCTGCAAGTTCTCCTCCCGAACACTTCAGATTGGGTCTACGTAAGACCCATGCCCGGCTGCGCGATCATCAACCTGGGCGACGCAATGGTTAAATTCAGCGCCGGGATCCTACGCAGTAACATGCATCGTGTTGTCGCACCGCCCGGCACACAGGAGAACCTAGTGCGTTACAGCTTGGTCTACTTTTCGCGGCCAGAGTACGACGTCAAGATGAAGAGGATAGAGGGTGGATTGGTTGGCCGTGTGGCGAACGATGGAGAGGTGGAGGATGAGAGCACGAGGGAGTGGCTTAAAAGGAGGCATCAGGGGAGGAAAGTGCAGTTTTTTAAGGGCGCGGAGAGTTGGGAGGGCGCTATGGGGACCGAGGCGAAACCACAGATCGCAGCGTAACACGTCTGGGAAGACTTTGATATTTCGGTTGTGGCACCCGACGAGCTTTTCGCCGATCGGCGTTCACAAACGACTCGGCGATTCGGCTTTTCCCCCGATGACTGTTGAATCAACCTACACTAAGATAAAATTTACAACAAAGTATTTAGTTAAGATTTTAAGAATACTTGCTAAGGTTTTCTCTTTCCTGTTCTATCATATTGTTCATAATGACGCTCACACACGCAGACATCCCACTACAAGTCTCAAACACAAACCTCATCATCTCCACTATCCACAAATTCACCTCAAACCCACCAATTCTATTCCTCCACGGCTTCGGCTCCTGCAAAGAAGATCTCTCAGACATCCAGATTGTGCCTGCCCTTCAAACCCATGGCTTCCTCGCCTACGACGCCCCTGGATGCGGCCATACACAATCCTCCGATCATTCTAAGATCGACATTGCTTTCCTCGTCGCAACCGCAGAAGCAGTCCTCTCGCACTTCGACATCGACAAGTTCCACCTGATAGGCCACTCTATGGGTGGTCTCACGGGGCTTCTTCTCGCACGCAGATATCCCAGGAGGGCGCTTAGCTTCGTTAATATCAAGGGGAACCTCGCGCCTGAAGACTGCTTTCTCTCGCGGCAGATCTTTGACTTCCCTTCTCAGGACCCTGGAGAGTTTCTCGATATGTTTACTAAGCGGTGTTACGCCTCGCCTTCACGGGGTAATGCGTTGTACGCTAGTACACTGAAGACACGCGTGCGCGCTGAAGCTGTGCGTCCTATCTTCGAGACTATGGTGAAGTTATCGGATGAGGAGGCTCTACTAGGGTGGTTTTTAGACCTGCGGTGTAGGAAGATGTTTATGTTTGGGGGGGAGAATAGTGGGTTGAGTTATTTGGAGAGGCTGGAGGAGGGAGGTGTGGAATTGGCGGAGATTGAGGAGAGTGGGCATTTTCCTATGTATTCGAATCCGGTGGAGATGTGGAAGAGGATTGGAGGGTTCTTAGGAGAGCGCGGAGAGTGGGTTTAGTAGGGTTTAGATACGGGGAAATGGGTGTGCGTGTTTTGATTTGTAAAAGAAGGACAAAGTGGTGGAAGAGCAGCTAGGGTAGTGCGGTATTGGTGTTAATAGAGAAGGAAGCACGCGCGTACTGCACCTTTGGCAGCAGGTGGAAGCGGCCAATTCAATGAGAATAATTATTTACTTGTTCAGGGTTATGTCACTCTCCTCCATGGTTAGTTTACTCGTGACCTTTGATCTACGTTTCGCAATTATATTACCGTGTGGACCAAGTCATTCTCCTTCCGCACTTTGATCACGTACTGTTAGGCAATGTTCGTAAGAAAAGCTGTTGATGTAGGCTATTGGATCTTTTAGTGGTAATGCCGGGGGGCCCTTGATTCGCGAAGTGGCTGCTTGCTAGCACTGAGAGCTGCTCGCAGTCAAATGTCCAGTCGTAGACAACGCAACGGTTGAATAGAAAGCGTAGCCAAGCTACACTTCTGCTCAATTTATACACTTGTGTGTTGCTGATATTCTGAAGCGGGAGGCAGATTTACCACCGTAGCTGATGTGTGGTGTCACAGCTCCAGCCTCACGCCATTCCCTGCACTGCGCCTCTGCGCTCGGCGCATGCCGTCATCGGTACTTTGGGGGCGGCGCTGCACCTGCAGGTAACGCCCTGGGGGCGGAAAGCAACGCGCCATTTTTAGTTCACAGCCTTGCCCCTACAAAATGTCTTCTAACTCTCAGCCTTTCCCTCCAGAACGTTCCTGCGAATTTCAGCCTCGCGCTTCACAGATGTTTGCGCTTCTTAATCCCAACCATTTACTGGCACCGCTCCGCAGCTCCGATTCGTTCCAGTCCAAATCTCACGTTCTGCTGCGTTGCTAAACTCGAAATGACGACAGCAACAGCAATGACCAATCCGCAACAAGAAAAGTCCTACAAGGATTTCGTGAAAAGAGTGTACCGGGACCTCAAACCAAACATGGAATTTCCAGACAAGACATATGTTCCGGGCGATTTAAGCGCCAGTATGTGGTTGGCGCAACAAGTTGACAAGCCTCTGGATTATGTGAGTTCGGCGCGGATCAGCATCGTTGATTTCCAAACTGAGCCACGGCGCTTCAACTTATGGTCAGACCTCGCGCCGGCAGAACAAAACGACGGTCTGCGTACCATACATGTCCGTTTAAAAGCAATGAAACAGTTTATACGCGAAACGCCCATCTCTTCCAAAGGCCTAGTCATCCTTTGGAGCAGAGATTCGGGCCAGAAAATGGAAATTGACAGATACTTCTTTCAATCTGCTGTGATCGTGGGACTTGCAGAAGCAATGTCTGCTAGATACGAAAGCATGCACAGTGTGGGTCGCCGCATTCGGGAGGAAGAGAAGGCACACGCTTTTATCCGCAGAACCGAAAACATTCACACGAACACAGCTTTTGCGAGAGTTTTGCAATTATGTTCGATGAAACATGGCGGCCCCATGTCTATACCATATCTCCCAACACTGGACATGGCCCTTGTTGGTGCCAGAGTTCTTGACCTTCGTGGCTGCTGCACGCTGGCTGGGGGTGCATTCCCCATCTGTATGTCAATCCATGCGCCTTGCTAGGCAACTCTATGATGTAGCGCAAACTTAATTTGAACAGACTTGATAACGACTTACGGGTTTGACAACTGGTTTTTATCTTTTGAGCGGCGGCTTTCGAGATCGTCACCTGCGGCATGCATTAGTGCAGTCGGAAACCGTGAGGTTGAGCTAATCTCGCACGCCTGGGAGTATATGCTCAAACAAGTACCACAACAGAGGATGGACAAAGAAACCTACAACGCCAGCCGATATCTCCATGTCTCGACGAAGATGCTCAAGAGAGACCTCGAGAGCTGGGAGAGTACTGGAGGGCCTGGCTCTGTGGCAGAAGTCATGAGTGGACTCTCGAACGTGAGACGTGATATCGAACTTTTCGATCCCGACCTACGCGATGCATACCAAATCTTCGTCAACAACACGACATTGCTTGACGCACGCAAAGGTATTCAGATGGCAGAGAAATCTATAGAAATGTCTGAGAAGTCCATCAAAGAAAGCGAGCGAGTCCGCATCAGTGAGTGCTTCATGCGCGAGTAAGGACAACCGTCTAACAATACCTAGTGACGATAATCGCCTTGATCTTTCTTCCCATCAACCTGGCCTCATCAATATTTGGAATGAACGTCTCAGAAGTCAGCGATGATGCAATAGTACCACTCTGGGCGTTCTTTGTGACCGCTCTCTGCTTAATCCTTGCTGCTTTATCCATATGGGCGGGCAGTAGCGTCTTCTTGCGCTACCAGAAGCTGAGCCTTGCCCAAATAAGAAGGGCACTTGAGGCAAGACATGTGGACTGGAATCGAAAAAGGGCCGGATCATGGAATCATGTCCAATGGAAATTGCGTTTGCAGGCTGCAGTGACCAGTTGGAGGAGGCGACTAGATGCTATGGAAACCCTTTTCGACCTCGACGAAAGCGAACGTAGGCGGAATCCACCTGTAGACTAGCGTTAAGTCGATTCCAGCTCGTTCCTTATTCCGAAATATGCTTTGGCAAATCGGTACGAACGAGCAAACTTGCACATGTGACTTGCCTTCCTTTACCGCTATCAATTCCATGCATCGCTGGCATGCATTTTCTCATGGATCTCGAATATCATCTAGCATCCTCGGCCTGCCTTGTCATGCAGCTGCATAGCCTGGCTTTTCTACTGCTGACTCTTACGCAGACCGCGCCTGACTGGATCGCTGTAGTGCGATCTCGGAATAGTATCACCAGTGAAGGGTGGGAGATTAGATATGTAGAAGGTCTTGGGGAGTACCTATACTGACTCCCAAGTTTAGGCCGTTTCTTCTAACCAAGACAAATTCCGACACGATCATGGTGCAAAGATGATGAATAGAACACTGCATGTTATGGTACCAAGTATTTTATTAGTCTTCGAAAGCTAGCTAGACATCGCACTCAAACGAATGGGAGTGCAGGGGAAAGTGGCCAAAAGCCTCCCCAGAAACGAAACCCCTATCACCAGCCTCTGCATCTACCATCCAATTACCACCACTTTTTGCTGGTAGCCCAGCACCTGTATTGATCAAAGATCACCACACAGTGGCTTTCAAGCTCTTAAGAGCTGAAAAGCCCATAGCTCTGCCAGCTACCGACAAAGCACTTGTCAGCACCAACCTCGGTGGCAAAGAAGCGCGTGAGGACACCAGACTGCTGGAGGCCAGTGTAAAGCGACAAGTGCCAGCCGTTGGTGAGCTGGAGGATGCGCACGCTGTGCTTGGTGGGGAAGTCGCCCTTGGTGCCGCTCCCGGTGGCGGTAATGACGAGACCGTTGCCGCCGCAGTCTGTGGGATATAGCATTAGAACTGTTCAACCACTTCTCCTCTCGCTCTTTGCGAAGCGGAAAAGTTCAGGGAAGAGTGTCATACTGTTGGAGTCGTAAACGACGAACTGGATGTTTGCGCGCTTCTGAAGAGAGCGCGCAGAAACGGAGGAGATGAGCTCAGGAGCAGCTTCGCCGGTGACGTTACCGCCGGCATAGTCAACGGCGAACTTGTCCTCGTTGGTGAGGGGCGCAGCAGTGGCGAGGGCGGCCAGGAGGGCGCTGGTGATGTAGGTGAACTTCATATTGATAGAAGATGCTTAGCTGCAAGCTGGTGGACTGCTGTAGAGTTGGAAGCTGGTAGTTGATCTGAGACTGGTGCGGTGATGGTGCTCAGTGAGGGTCCCAAGGGCTCCCTTTATACCCATTGTGCTGGACGCTGTTGATTAATCTGGTCAGACGGACCGTCTCTTTTCGATCTAACCCCTCATCGTGCATTGCCCTTTTCGGCCTTGATGATGCCCGTAAGGGTCGGTTCGTCTGGTCAGTGATGATATTGTCGCCGAGTTGCCGCGGCGTGTGTAGAGGTGAGCATTGTGTATGGCCGCTGAATGTTCGTATCCACAGTTGGTGGATTCTTACTAGCATAACTTCAAGCCACTTAATATATGAAAGTAATCTTGTGAGATAATTATGCATGAAGAGATCACTCCCGCAAAAGAATCGATGACAAGAGTACACTGAGCGAATTTGTCAAAGTCGTACGAGAAGAGCCACTGGAGATCTCCGTGAGTTATGGCGTATGATTGCGCATTATGCTTAGATGTTCTCCCATCGTAGCGTCTCTATCCCAATGGCGTTTACCAAATGGAAATAGTCCATGTTCGCAATAGCTTCCTCGTGGTTGCGCATAGTAACCGGTTTACTTGATGTTCAAAATAAGTGGAGGTCGAAAACGAATGTGTGAACTAGTCTCCCTGACTGGCCAGTGTCTATGGAAAGCTAGATCTATGCAATTGACCACGTGCAAACCATTGTCTGCGGCTGAATATGTCTAAAACGGTTAACTCGACAGCTTACTCAGGATGGCAGGCAGCTACGTTACCGCTCCATCGGTACCATGAACTGCAGGCACTCTCACCGGAACTATCCAGACCGACTCTTAACAGCATAAGCGTGGTAGTTCCCGGCTAGTCTGAGGTGGCGCCGAGTAGTTTGTGGGGTGGTCCCTGGATTGCTCGATCAAGCGTTTAAGGTAGTGGGGCTCGGGTCATCATAACATCCTCTAGATCCTAATTATCTCGAGCCAGATTGAGTGAGTGTTTAGCGCCAATCCATGGCGAGGCAGGTATTGTTTTCCATCAGTTATATATCCAGCGTACTTCTACAGATCCACTAAATGGGGGAAAAGTATGTCTCTATAGCTTTGGCTTGCTCATCTTCATATCATCTCAATCATTTCACAACAAATGGACTGCGACACCATGGGAACCTTCTGGAATATTTGCAATTGTGCTGTTTCCGAACCATCCGATTCGGCTGACGCCATCGAAGATATCCGTCTGCATCTGCGGTTGCTGGAATTGGCGATGCAATTTGTTGCTGACGCCATCAGGTAGGTCAAATTGGTGCTCACAAGAGTAGCCGAGAGCAGCGTGCTTTGCCCAGGAGCCAGTGTTAAGAAAAAAACTTTCAACGCGAATTATCGGATACCGGTGAACTTTCAAGTTGTGTTGCATATCAGGCACGTATCGCTTGCTACTTGGCTGTACAGCTGAATGCATTCACTAATGCAGGCTTTGTGATAGCTCCGCATCCCCTTTTGGAGACAGGAGCGTTTCCAGGTTTCGTAACCTGAGTAAAATAGGTCCCCAAGTACCAATGGTCGATCGGGCCATGCGAAACTTAAGTGAGCGCAAGGTCTCGGGAACCCAGCTAGGCTCTGCTTCGGAGAAGCGACTCTCAAAAACATAAAGTCCTTTATCAACTTCCCATGAATCTCTTCCAATCCGTGATCATGTCTTCGAGGCCGCAGACGACGTCTGTATACACCGCGCTACGCAGTGCCTCATCCGTAAGGTCTTCGCCGGAGGAGAAATCGCAATCGATGCATTGGCGAGCCATTTTTATGTACCGCTTTCCGAGCATTTTCAACGAGGGTGGCTCCCCACGTAGCATTTTTCGAGCACCAATGATGCGGTGGGGAATTGGAACAGATGAATCTAGGCTGACGCTACCTAGTTCTTGCTTGATGCCAATTTCGAGAAGCGCTACACCCAATCCGGCGAGCGTAAGATTGCGAATACCATACACGTAACTCAGCTCATCTGGGTCACTGCTGGGGCTAAATTTCGCAGGAGAAGACTCAGATGGAAATTGCGTGCTTAGGTGCAAAGTTTGTAGTGTCTTCGTGATCTGGTCTTCAAGTCCAGACGACTGGTTTTTGGTGACCGATGTAGTATTTGTAAAGTACGAGATGTCCTCAAGGCCCCAGTCCCGGCATAGCCATGAAGTGGAGTGATACTGCAGGACCCCTGTAGCAATTTTGTGAGCAAGCACCAGCTGGTGGAGAGTGTGGAGTTTGGCAAGTTCCATGCGGATGGAGTAGGAATCTTTTCCAGGCATGTTCTTTGCCATGTTGGCTTCGGTGTTGCGCCCCGCATCGTAGAAGATGAATGTGAACGAGTGAGGGCTCTCAAGGGATTCTAGATAGCCCAAAGAGATGTCCTTGCAGGGTGCTGACCGACACGCTTTACTCAAATGGCAACAAACACTAGCTGTAGCTCTCAGATCCAGCATAGCGAAAGTGACGGCGGAGGTGGGTTCAGATGCTTTGAGCGATGTCGATTTTCTAGGCGAACGGTTTGATGTCGTGATATTGCCGGCTGATGTGTCAAAGTGTACTCGCTTGAGATTTTTCTTAACTTTGCGAACTACAGAAGCTGGTGTGGAGGCTTTAGCTATCGATACTAAAGGATTGGGTTGAAGGTGTGCAGAGGCTGATAAGCTGCCCAGGATTGAGGGTGAATTGAGCGCAGGTTGCGCGATGTGCTCATTAGTGGTGATAGACCGAACTTGTAACCATATCGGTGGCTCTTCCGGCACTCTGCTTTCTCCTTTCGATACCCCGATAGAGGCTGTTCGGCGACAGGCAATAACCATATCTAATTGTGCCGTACCGTGGTCGGCTTCGGCATCTAGAGACAATCTGGCTTGGTGACCAACGTGTGAGATGTTGGTGCACGACCATGACTCTTTGAGCGAATCGTGAAGCCGTTGGGAAGCGGTGCGAATATCGCTGTATCGTTTCGGTACGCTCTTACGAATAAGGGCATCGGGGCGACGGCTGCGGTGTTTATGCAGCTTGCTTCGCTGATCGCGTAGACAACCCAGCTTCGTGTTCCACTGGTCTAGGTCATCCAGTGACTTGCGGTACGCATTCTCTTTACGAGATATGTCGAAGGCCGTGTAGAGCTGCCTCAGTGACATGACGCGAGAGTCGTTCTGTCCCGCGGACAGGTCTTGGTCGACCTTTGATAGTCGCGCACCCGTGGCACGTAACACATCTCGAATTTTTATGACCACCTCCTCGAAAACTTGACAGTCTCGTCCCAGATATTTGCGTAGTCGTTCTTCGAAAGACGGGTCTTGCCAGCCGCTATGGCTGGGGTTGTCGATCATCTGGGAAAGCTCGTGGGCATTTCCTATAACGGGCTTGAGCAGGAGTTGACAGTCGTTGGCAAAATTAGTCGCGGCAACGCGATATCGCAACTGCACATCGTAAACCACCTGTACATGATGCGTGAAGGACTTGAGGCGCTCTTTAGATGAGTTATACGACTTGAGGATCTCGACGACAACGGGCACGATGCCAAAAATGAGACCGGCCACTTCGATGCCAGACATTGTCTATAATATTATTGAGGAAGCAGAGCGATGTCGAAGACACTGTGTTGTCGACAAGGCAGGACTGGGCACTTCGTGGCGCAGCCCACTGGTGGCGCAGCGCGGGGCTGAATCCGCCCCTAAGTTACGATGCCTTGCGGCATGCCTAGGCATCACGCAACTGTCAATTTGCGAGCTTCTTGCTCATGAACACTCATTTCCTCCCATCCCACGATATCAAGTCGCGCTCAATCTGCAAGTCACATCATCAGGCGAGCCATACTACACTGGCGGCGTCTCATCTGAGGTGAACTTCAGCCTGATGTCATCCCACTGACGGCCATAATGGCTACTGGACAGTCCCGAACATCCTCGAGTCGCGCCGAAGATATCAAAAAATGGCAGATCCAGACACGCGACGGAGATGAGAGGACCGTCTCAACGGCCAATATATCGACACTTTATGATGGCTTAATGAGCTTCCTCAAGGCCATCTTAGCTCACACCAGAGAGCAAGGGACCGAGGTTTCGTACTACTCGTCCTTGGAGCAGAGCATCGCAACCTTGTTCTTCTGGGGGCGGGATTTTGGCGTATCGCAGGGCGAGCTTGACGCAGCGCTGCAGTATTCTCACCGCCTGCGTGACACCGTTCTGACTCTTCTCGTTGCTTTGGGAGATCTTCTGAATCTCGGTAGACACTTCCGCCATCTATCCAGTCCTATTGTTAATGACTCGTAGGACTGGTACAGGTCGTTCCTACGGTTGAAGAACGCCAGGCACTATCCAAAACCTCGAAGGTAGCCTCGCTTACGGAAAATGCTAAGCTCTTAATCGACGAGCCGGTGCAGGCGGCGAATTACAATGGAGAGACTATCGAGCAGCTTTGCAAATCGTTGAAGAACATAATCGAAGGACTTACGATCCTGAGTCCGAGCCTAGAGGCAATTGCAGATGACGAATCTGACGAAGAAGAAGCTAGGGCCTGGGTGCAGCTCAAGGACCGGGCTGCTCATGAGTATTTTATCGATATCGTTAGCTCACGTTTTCCATCTGCCAGCCAGCAACTTGTGCAGGCGCTTGGTCAGTCCAACTGGGATCGATACAACTATATCCAGAGATTGCGCGAAAATGCAATCGATGAGCCGACTCTAGTTGGGACAGACAAAGCTCGATCCGAGTTTCATGACTCTGGGATTGGAAGTTCAGCCCCAGCTCAATCGGTAGTCGCTATCGACCGTCTGGAGTACGCGGCTACCGTCGTCTCAAGTAGAGCCGAGACAAGCCACAAACGCTTACCACGACTTCCTGAAGTGGCTCGATTGGGTTTGCCGTTCAAGTGTGAAGTCTGCAGCAGAAGGATACAGCTAAGACGGACTACAGAATGGAAGTGAGTGGATCTTTCTGTTCCATGTTTTCAGAGCATTGACTCGAGGTTGATATAGGAAGCACGTATTTGAAGATATCTGCGCTTACAGCTGCATCTTCCCTGATTGCTCCTCAGTACGAATGTTGTTTAAGGATCGCGAAGCTATGACGAGTCACTTGGAGTCACAGCACGGTATGATTAACGAATCGACATCAAGTACCTGCCCACTCTGTCTTGAAGAGATATATGGAGGTCGCGACATCGTTTTTCTTCACTTCTCTCGTCATATGGAGGAAATAGCGCTCGGAGTGTTACCCCAGGGATCACAATCGGAAGATGGCTCAGCAAGTTCAGATGATGAGGGAGTGGAGCAGCCTCCAAACGATGCATTGCAATCAGATGGCTCTCATGATTTGCCTCCTGAAAAGCTACCCGGGAGCATCCCAATAAGCAAGGCGCCCACTGAAGAAGGCTCAGCTCACAGCACTTCTGCGCGGTTCCAAAGGAGAGGACACGTCGTAGGCAGGCTCAAGTGCTATAGCTGCAAAAGAGATAAGCAGCAATGTATGCCTCAAGAACGTAAATGGCCACAGCGATGCGATCGATGCGTCAAAAGAGACCTCCCATGCTCAGAAGGCCTGCCCCGGCCCCGACGCCAAACATTGAACAGTACTCCCGCACAATCGGTGAACAGGGATGAGTTCCAGAATACACACGACCAAAAGCCACTCACATCCACAACAAGGCTTAGCACAAGTTTTGAGGGAGACGAAGAGCCCTACACTACCAAGTGCATTTGCGGCTACTCCGATGATGATGGGAACACAGTCCTGTGTGAGTCGTGCGATACATTGCAACATATCCAGTGTTACTACGAATCTGTCGGCGAGGTCCCAGACGTTCACGAATGTGGAGATTGCAACCCCCGACCTCTCGACTTTGTGCGCGCACAAAAAAGACAACAGCATCAAGTATGGTACAACAGTGACTACTCCAAGTTATTGAAGGCGTCTGAAGCTTTTTTGGAGGACGTACCACCCACAACTGGTCACGGAGGTCGAACTAGGGAATTGACAATCGAGTTTGGTAGCAAACTTGACGAGCATGGATTTCTCCAGACAGCTGCCCAAGCGAGGGAACATGATAACAACGACTCAAGTGAGTCAGCTGATCCAGGATCAGAAGCATATGTGCCACCCGAACGAGTCACGTGCGTCTATCGCAGCACCCGTGGTGAAAGATGCGTGAACGTCGAGGAGCATCATTTTAAAGGCCACCGGGACAAGCGAGGTCGTATCATCGGGACTGGTCCATACGAAGGGGACGATGAAATTCTCCCCAGCGTAAAAGATTGGCCATCGAACCTTGCAGCGCGTGATGTAGAGCAGCGACAGATGCGACAGCAGAACGGACTGCCCAATCTATCCTCGGCTAGACTTGGCAGCTTGACCGGAGATGAGCACCTTGGGCAAGCTTCTCTCGAGATGTCGTCACACTCTTACGATAAGCATCTCCTTTCGAGGTTGAACACGAACTCTGTACAAAGCGCCAGCCACGAAAAGAGTGAGGCCGCCAAGATAGGCCTCCAGGCTGCTCAGCGTGCCCACGCTCAGCAAGCGGACAATTCCTCTCATCGGCATCTCGACAATGAGAAAGGTGCCAGACTCGGACATGACGGGAGAGAACCGTGGATTGAACAGCAGAGTAGCGCAATGCTCCCTCCTCCACGTCATCCAACCTCTCATTCCGAGCTGCATGATAACCTTGGCGACTGGGGGCCGGTCTACCACTTCGCAGGGCACGGAGACTCGGAGTCTATGTCCCATCAATCCACTACTGTTACAGGTCCGGCTAGCGCCTTACCTGCATTAGAGGAACTAGCTCCGCCATCAGTATTGCGCGAAGCGACATCCGGTACCTCGAATCATCGTCGAGGGCCTTGGTCTCCACATGAAGACCGCTACCTTATCGAGCTTGTGAATCGGAATGGACCGCACAACTGGGTCCGAAATTCGCAAGAACTGGGTACACGGTAAGTCCCACGGTACAAAGCGGAAGTGTTCTTCTAGCCTAGTGAAAGTATGACCCCTTCATTGTGTCTTGAAGACGCGAGAAACGAGTCTTGTGTTCACTTAGCTAAGACATGAGCCATTCTACCACATCCATTTTTTGAGCCGTACACTGACTTTATATCTTCGGGATTCACAGGTCACCAAAGCAGTGTCGAGAAAGATATCATCAAAATCTTAAACCTACGCTGAATCGCGATCCGATCACCCCAGAAGAGGGCGAGCTCATTGAGCAGTTGGTCGGCGAAATGGGTAAGAGATGGGCTCAAATCGCACGGAGGCTCAAAGATCGCAGTGACAACGCCGTCAAGGAATGGTGGAATGGAAGCCACAGACGAATGACAAACCATAAGAAGTAAATAGCGGGACGCAACAAAAGGGCTCAGCAATGACACGGGTGACGAGCGAGGTCTGTAATCGGATATAAGCATCCTTGGCACACCGTGGGAGCAGCTTGACCCGAGTGAGTTCAATAGCAGGCTTATGAAACTGCTTGTTCTTGATACAATGGGTTCGAATGATGCTTTTTACAAAAAATTACGTTGGCAACGCTCGACTAGATACCGTACCTGTTGACACCTCCGATTGGTTTCGAGGTCATTACGTTGAGCCATCTAGACGGAACAGATCCTCGGCCCTAGGATTGTTTCTCTTGCGGAACAGGAACTAATGAGAAGTCATAGAAGGCTCTCTCGCAATAGCGGGCGACTACCGTAGTCTTCAATGGACGTATGCCAAGAGGGGTTCGATAGAACGGGAGCGCGGAATAAGCATTGGTAGAAGGAAACCAGCTGGAATCAGCAACACTTTTTCAAACAAGAAACATCTCAAGGCGTTGGTTGCAACTCTATCACATTGGGATCAGTCGTTGCTATCTCGCAAAATCACACTTCTTCGATATAAATCTGCTCTTCATTCGCACATGAACTGTCTATGTTTGAAACTATTATATCCTCGCCATAACCTCTCTACTCCTCACGAACTTCGCCGCCATCAACGTCAACGTCCCACCCAATAAAGCCACGCCCCCGAAGATCTGCGCATACAGATACCCGCCATCATCCCTTTGAATCAGCGCTCCAGCGATAGGCGGGCCCGTCAAACACGCCACGCTCACGAATGAGAAACACATGCCCGTCCGCACGCCCATCTTCTTCAGATCCGTCGTCAGACTGGCGCAAGCCGCTGGGAACAGCGATTGTATACCGCCGCCGAAGAATCCGTAGATAACGCAGAAAACATACAAAGAGGGAAGAGCTTGAATGCCTATCCAGCCGAAGATCAGAATGCCGGCGGCAAAGACAGCGGGTATGAGCGTGTTGACAGGCCCAAGCTTGTCAGCTACGAGATTGCAAAGGATACGCGCTGGAACTCCGATCGCGTTCAGCACCAGCAGTAGGTTGAGCGATGTACTCGGATCAACATGCAAGATATCGCGCCCGAAACTGCTGATGTAGAAGTACGCGAAGAACACGGCCCACAGCACGAGAAACATGCCGCAGCAGAACAGGCTAAACGCAGGATCCTTGAATGCGCTCCATTCGACAATCGGCCCTGCTTTGCGCGGTGGCAAGCGCGGACGAGCAATGGATAGGAAGACGAGTGCATTAAACAGGATCACGAAGCCCATCGTACGGACGGTCCAGCCAAAGCCCACGCGTGGAAGGAGTTGTTGTGCGATGACGGGGAAGATGATGCCGCCTGTTGCGCCTCCACAGGCCATGACGCCGATGGCGAGGCTGCGCTTGGTGGTGAAGTATCTGTTTTCTTGTAAGTAAAGTCCATACCATTCTCAATGTTCGGGGGTCAACGTACGTAGCCACCAACGCCACCGTCGGACAAAACACCAAGCCGTCACCCAACCCCTTGCAGATCCCCTGTGCGAGGAAAAGCTGCCAGTACGCCGTCGCTCCACTTGTGGCAAACACTCCAAGTACCTGCAGCGCAAATCCCACACTCACGACCACGCGGAAGTACCCCGCGTCCAGAGCGCGGCCGGAGAACGTGCCCACCAAGTAAATAAGTAGAATCTGCACCGAGCCGATCCAGCTGATAGCCGAAGGCTCCACCTGAAAAGCGTTCGTGTAGTAGCTCTGGAAAAAGCCGAAGGAGGAGATGTAGCCCCAGCAATTGATGATGACGAGGTGAGCAGCGAGTGGCTGAGACCAGGCTTTAAGACCGCCATTGGGGGCCGGCGGAGGTGCGATGGACGAGGGCGCGTTACTGACTGTTGGGTTCAAGGGCACATCGTGTTGGATCTCTCTGGTGTTACCGCCGCCGAAGTCCTGCTCTTTTGTTCCGGGTATCGCGTGCTCGACGTCGGGTGGCGGCATGGAAGACATCTGGACAAGCTGGGCAGCGGATGGATGACAAAATGCTTAACAGCGCGACCCTAGTTCTTATTTTACAGTGTGGTTCATCATTTTACATGGTTAAAGAGTGTGTGGACAGTCATCTCGTAGACCGTCGGAAACCGGATATACAGTAGGTGCGGCATTGCGGAAAAGTAAGTTTTGCGGGGTTCCCCGGATGTCGGGGCAGATGCCGCTTTGCCGTCTTACGTTAGCAGGCGCACATCTGCGAGCGCTGATTGGTCAGAGACGATGGTAAGCACGATGCTTCTCCGACGGGCGGAGGTATCGTTCGCTAAAAGTTTGTGATCACAGTCAAGATCCCGGTATTCATGAGAACAGCCCTCATTTTGGTGCCAGGCGTTCTGTGCTCTACTATCATTACGAACGCCTGCACTGTAGTAGCACCTATGGGATATGGCGGATATGGCGGAAGTAACTTGACGCCTGGATGCAATCACATCGGCCTGACAGAGATCAGCGACTCGGAAATTGATGAACGAAGTAAAAATTCAGAAGTCAGGTTTTCGGCACTTTTACCATGTCCTATGTGGGAATAGTTGATACGACTTGTAGGGTTGTTGAGTGGTAAAATCGATGGAATATATCATGAGCACAATTGTTCGACCACAAAGCACACTACGGCCGCAATACTGATTTCTTCTCTCCTTACGTCGTCCAGGCCCAGGAGGATCTTCTCCGAACACAATCGTTTATCTACGACCATGTACAGCAAAGGAAAACACCCAAGCAACCCTGATGAACCCTTTTTTCGACCACGACGGCTGCGTATACTTGTATCGAATCTAGTAGCCTTGACAAGACCTCTAAAATCACATCCGTACCAACCATCGCATCAAGTCAAACCAACATCCGGTGGCTCAGGCATAGTCGGACACATCTCGAAGTCATCGCGGTAGGTCAGTCCTTCCCCGGCCATAAAAGCATCCCAGTACTCTTTCAGCTGATACCCATGCCTATCTCTCCCAACCTGTCGATACAATTCGTGCAATTCAGAGCCAGGACGCCATTTCCCGACACGCCACCAAAGCTGGCGGCTGGCGCAGAAGTCCTCTCCATTCCAAGAGTCGAAGGCTTTCACGCCAGGTTTTCTGTACGCCATGCCCCATGCAAGACCCACATGATCTGCGTCTGGAAAATTGGTCACTTGAGTTGTATCAAACCTCCTGTACCTATCCTCGGATTCCAGCGCCGAAAGTTCGAGAGTGAGGGGTGACCAAAGTGCAGCATCCTTCAACGAAGGCATATGTGCGAGGGCCCGGGCAAAAGCAGTAAGGAACGGGACTAATAGCCTTTCGTTGGGAGTAACGCGAAATTGAACGATGCGTTGCTGATTATCCCAGTTCGTTTCCATGGCCATAACATCATCATGTGTATCTTTGTCAGTGGTAGTCAAAGGTGGATACATGTCGTTAGTGACGTCAAAGCCCTCTACGGATCCCACTCCAGGTATCCCTTGGAAGTACCAGGAGCCTGAGGGTGCTGCGATGTGAAACATGACATCGATGCTCTTGAGGTTAGGCCACGCAGGCGTGCTGCCATCTCTGACCGTCGGCCAGAATAGCGTTTCATCTGCTACAACGCAAAGTTTCATGCTGCGAAGCTGATAGGATAGGAGGCGGATACTCGTACTGAACGGGTCAAAGGCCGCCGGTTTGACCAGATTTGGCAGGCTGCGCCTTTGATCGATAGATTCTGTCAGATCGAGCGGATAGAGGAAGTCTAAATCGACATGACGCAGGGAAGAGAGGGCTCCCTCAACAAGCGCTTTTCTAAAATCATGACGCGAATCTCGGCGAGGCCCTGCCCAATCTCGTGTGATGTGTCGCAAACCCTCGTTTACGAAACTGCCATGCCATTCGCCACCGCCTACCTTGCATGTCAGGGAATGCAGATTCGGCAGCTTATTGGAGAGGTCTAGGAGGATACGATGGTCCAGCATTCGCAAAGCCGGGTCGAGACCATCTGAGTAGAATTCCTGGTCAGGGTCGAGCACACGAAGATGCTGTATTGAGGAGAGCTGAGGGAGTGTCGCTGATGAGAGGAGATGCACACGCCAACTAACGAAGGTTTGATGGAGGCAAAATTTCTCTCTGTTTACCGATCTTTTAGGTGTATAAATTGACAAATCAATTCTGCCTAGGTTGGAAACATCTGCCTGCCGAGATTCGATTGCATCCACTGTTGAAAAGAGGAAGTTGATTTGGCGGGTGAATTCTTGATCCAAAGACTCGAGCTCTTCGAGTGATTCCCGACAATTGTCTTCATTGTCGTTCGAATCGAATTCGGGGAATTCGGTGCTGAAGTGTATGTAGCGAAGGTAATTGAACCTGCGATTACTGTATGTGGCTAGGAATTTTTCGGCATTGCTTTCGGTCAACACGTAGCTCTCAAAAGTTGCCGAGTACTGTTCGGCTGCATATTGGAACTGACGCGACAGCAACAAAGTGTTCCGGAGATCTTGGCGGCCGAGGTAACTGCTGATGCGGTCGACTAGCTCCTGTGGAAGCTTGTCCATGGTGGAACAAGCCTTTTGCGAATTCACGCCTGTTGGTACTTTGTACTGGGTGCAAAAGTCAAAGTCCAATTTAAGGGTCGTAGAGAGGACTACAAGAGGTCCTCCATCTCAAAGCGCATATTTAAAGTCACACTGGGCTGTGCCGCGGACCCAAAGGTGGGGTTGACGGGTTAGCGGTCAGCACATCCTGGGGGCCAACTTGTAGTGAACGCGCTGTATGTGTTGAGACACAATAGTTCTGACCACGATGCCGATCTCGCTGGATCGCGACCGTTCTCAATGGCGGCTGTGAGTGTGTGGGTTGGCTCTTGCTTGGGTTTTCATATTTTTGGCAAAGGTACCGGGCCGAGGCAGCATACCTATGGTACCATGGGTATGTTTAATAGCGGTGATCAGGAATAAGACGCTATCTATGGGCTCGTCACGCTGTCACCATGCTGATCCTGTGCATTACTCTAGCATTCTCACCAGAATGGGTAGCATCCAGCAACCGTGGATCACGACGAACACAACCTCGATGTATGGAAGAGAGACTCAAGAGGGAATGGCACTAAGTTGATTCATTTGTAACCTTTCTGGAATGTACTGTCAATGCAGCTATCCAAAAACAAATCTTTATTGCATGGCGAATGCAGACAGTTAAGCAGAAATCAATACAAACAACGCATGCGGAACCCTGAGTTCAGTCACGCCGTATCCTAACAGCTTAGCCCTAGCACAGTCTATTCTCTCGCACAAAGTTCCGCCGGTACGCTAGTCTCACATGTGTTCTTCGCAAACACATTCTTTTTACCCGTGGTATTGAGAAAGATATCGACATCGTTGTCCCACAACACATTCTTGATAACAACATTTCCGGATGCGACACTGCCACTCGGCGTGTCGTCTACCACAACAATCCCCGCCCCTTCCTCCAGCTTTTGCCCCTCCACATGGTTTTCTTTGACAAGGGTATTCTGCGCACCATTGACGATGATGCCAGCTGCTAATCCAAAGGTGCATGCTTGGTTGAGGGCATCGATATGATTCCCAACGACCTTCGCGCCCTTGACGCCTGGATCAACAAAGGCCCCAACGCAGCTATCATGCACCTTGTTATCTTGAACCCTCGCGCCATTCGTCTGCACGCATAGTGCGATGATATACTTCGAGATATTGTTACTCGCGATGCGTGGATTTGCCTGATCGTCCATGCACATGCCAATGAAATTGAGCGGTACTGCTTCCGAAGTGACGACGTTATTATCTGCGACCGTGTTCTCCGAGCCGTCGCTCAAGAAGCCGTAGTTGGCGCCGTCGACAAGAACATTCTTGGTAGCCCGGCAGTTCTTCGCACCTACGAAGGCGATGTTCTGTCCCGTAAACCCCTTGATCGTAAAACCTTTGATCAGGACATCTTTGATGGGGTGGCCAATGGAGAGCACCTTGCGGTGTTCCTGGCCTGGAAACGGTCCGAGTTGGATATCGGAGCCGGAAACGCAGATACCGGCTTGCGTTGGGAGACCACTGGTGTCATTACCGGCGAGACCTGTGCAGGTGTTTGAGGTGGGGGTTTTGGGAGGAACGAGGACAGCGTCAGATCCGATGAGAGAGATTCCGCTTGCAGTGATGGTGAGCTGTTCGTAGTATGTGCCAGGCTTCACGAAGATGGTGGAGCCGGGACTGGCTGTACTGAGGACGGCTTGGATGGATTGGCCGGGTCCAACTTGTTTAATCTTTCCGTTATCATGCGGTGAAGCAGTGACAAAACCGTGTAGGGTCAGCAGTGATACTAATAGAGCAAGCATGATTTTCATTGATTAGAGAATTTTGTGGAAAAGCTTCCGAGACAGTTGCGGCTGATGAGAGGGGAAGCAGGCTTACTTTATTGTTTCCTAATTGCTGGGAAGTTCGGACGTCCAGAACATTCTTCAGTAGGAAAGGAATCGTCCATCATCTGCAGATTCTTTGCATGGGCTGGACGAACAGACCCATCCAGCCTGCAGCCATTCATTCTTAATGGTACATGCCGCACAACAGTCCAATGGTACGAGTCGATGGACCGTTCATGTGACACCAAGAAACATAATGATGCCCAAATTACGAGAAACATTGAGGGAGCTGTCCAGCCGTATCGCGGCTAGGGCGCCGCAACCGAGCTGAAAGCTGAAGGTTTGAGAAAGCGCCTTGGCATTCACCATTGTTGTTGACAACGCTAAACCGATTCGAGCAAGCTAGGCCTCGTCGTTTCCATGGATATCGGACTACGAAATCACAGCATGCGCTTCAAAGCCGCATCATGCTAGAAAGACAGATCAATTAGAAACTGAACAATGCTCATGGAACACACCCTACAGTATTCGTACAGCTTCTTTCCGGATTTCATGACTTACGCTGGTTGGGGATGTCCATATCAGCTTTTTTTTTAACTCTGTTTGCAGATAGCATAGGTAGGAAAGTAATTCTAGCCATTGTCGCTGCACTCGGGGGTGAGTGGTGCTGTCTTTGCAACATCTGGTAACTATTGGGTATTACTTGCCGCTGCAGTGCTAGGAATCATGAGTCCAAGGCACTTATCACCATGTGGTTTATAATACTCTTTAAAAACCAGACGTAATAGTAACCTCTTCTAAGGCTAAATAGCCCTTCATCCTCCGGCTTTAGACATTAGTCCTGTTCGTAGTAGCAGATTCCATTGGATTACTAGCCCTGTGCTCTTCGTGTTGTTTTTGCTCCCTCAGTAACTTATTTTGTTTCAGCCACATGCTTCGAAAGTTCTTTGCTCCCCAGAGCTGGGCAGCGCTGAAGATAAAATACAAAATTGGGGTGACGACCCTGAAAGGAAGAGTCCAACGATGCCATAGCGAGCCGAAGAGCCACATGACAGTCATGGTTTCGATAACGGTGCCAGCGAAGGTGCTGATGTAGCTAAAGCGGAAGACTTTGCGATGGAAGTTGTGGTTGGTCGGGTATACCCGGTACAAGATGATGGCGATATGTGGACAGAACTCGGCGATGATGTCGAAAGCGCCCATCGGATGGGTTTGCGTTAGTAAAGGAGAAGAGGGGAAGAGGGGAAGAGTTGAAAGCCAAGTGGACTTTTACAACACGAAACATACCCCAGACAAAACAAAGGATGAACTCAATGGTGGCATCTCGCTCATGCTTCCAATTAAGACTTATGGCGATCGAACTTTGGGCTATGACGATGGCTCCAATGTGGTGGGCAACGGCGACAGGAGAGAGCTTCATGCGGAAAAAAAGCTCAAAGATGTACATAGCAATAAAGAGCTGATTGAGGACGATGAGGACTGCATTCTTGTTAAGTAATGAAATACGACTATGTTAACGATTTTGATAGAAGAGGGACGTACCGTCACCTAGAGTCACGATTTTAAAACCTGCGTATAGGGCGTGCACCGTCGCATTTCCAAAGGTCACGTCAATGAATGGATAAGCACCAACGGCCGCCATAATAATCTTAGCGCTACCAGCAATGTGGTGGTTGACAAACCCTCACCAGTTGACCTCATCAAGGTTCAAGTATTTGTCGCCGTAGCATTTCCGCATCAAGAAAGTCTTGAAGAGGTAGTAACGCACGAGAAAGAAGATGACCAATATGACTGTGAGGATGAGTGCAGAGAATGGTGCCAGCTGAGAGATGGCTTGGTTGATCAGATCAACGACGTGAGGAGGATCGTAGTCAGGATGGATATCTGTTTAGGCTACCATAAGGCTCAAACGGTTTGAAATGCAGCAAAGGTCGTTGCCCCTAGGGGCTATCGAAATGGGAGTTGCAGTGGAGCACCTCAAGCCAGCACGCAGGTCGCCCAAACGTCATAGAATTAGCAGCACCCTAGGGCGGAATGGGCGGGGTCAAGCCAGTGAGACCTAAAGGTAGCAAAGGCTTAAGCTAAGCGAGGCCACACGTTCATGCTAGTCTCCTCGGCGATGTCAGCCTAGCCATGCCGATCAATAGCTTAACTCAACTAAGCAATTCCATAGGAAACGACTGATGCTAAATGAAGCATTGCGTGGCCTTGCAGTCCCCCGCACGGTTTGCTTATAAGAGGGCATATAGAGTCGCCTGCGTTACCTTTTTTCAGTCTACGCGCACCGCTCTACTTCCAACCTGCGCTGCCTTGCGTATTGCGTTCCCAAAAGCCGCACTCCATTGCTGGCCATGATTATTGAACCCACCGCTTTACCGTGCGCTAAAACTTTGGTTCTTGTCGCTTTGCGAAACCGTCTGCACTAAGGTGCCATTGCTACTGTTCAACCAATCGTTCCCTGCTAGAAGGCGGCTAACCCTGGTCGACGCTGAGGTTGAAAGATTGGTCGTCTGAGAGGAGTGTAGTCATATATCTATTCGCGTTTGCTTCAGCCTGAATTATTTCAGCGATTAGTACTTGGAATAAATTCGGAGTGGAATGACAGCATGTCTTTTCGGCACTTGTCATCACGTGCTGTTAGGCAACGTTCGTGGGAATGGCTTTGATGTGACTTGTTATTGTGTTGTTGAGTGGCTATGCCTAGGATGGAACCGTGTTACGCGAAGTGGTTGCTTGATATCACTGAGAAGTGTCACCGCGTATCGACGCGTACATGTACACCTTGAAAAGATAGAATGATGATAGTGAGAACATGAAGCATAGAAGAAGTGGAGGTTATCAAGGTACATTCTACAGTTCCAGCTTAGAAAAGAACTTTGTGGTACCACTTCTGTGGAAAGGTAATTCATACTCAGCCATCTCCGTAGTATAAATGAACGCCTCGTGTCCCTCCCCGTATAAACACCAATAACGAGTCAGTTTTACAGCTCGATGATCACTTCGTACCTCCTCACGATTGCTGAAACATGAGATCGCTCACGTCCTGTGGAGACACTGGCTTTCCTTTGCGTCTCTGCGTCGGCTCTGGCATGAGCTCGCTCACCACCAGGTTCGTAGCCCTCGCCGCGTACAGGCCGCAGAGTCCGTCTTCGAGGACCTCCCTGTAGAACATTAGGAACACAATGTTTGGGAAAACATACCTTCCTGGCTCGGGCCAGGCGGCCAATAATATGACCATACTCGACCATCCAAGTTCCAGGCCTGCACTTAAGGACCTGGACTGGTCCCTCGCAGTCCGGACCGCTTCACCAGCCCCGAGAGGAGTCAGGGCCGTTTCCATTCCTCAGACAGCCCATCGAGCTCAACGCAAGAGAACGAGCCAGCCTTGGCGGCCGAACCCGTTCACACGGAGCGAAGCCCTTTCAGTACAAGCCGGATCGATTGGAGGGTGGTCGAGTGCGCTGAGGGAAGCCTCAAAGGGCGGGGGAAGGGGCGGCTTTATATACCGCGTAAGGCGCTCGGACCTCGCGGGCACGTGAGTGGGGCTTTTGCCAGGCCTTTGCCCTTAAGGGCATATTTCACTGTGCGATTGAACTCGCCCAGCTCGGCTCGTGAGACGACTCCTAGCTCGATTTTCGGTTCTTTGATTCAAAGGGAGCCTGTTCGCCCCTGTCAACAGCGCAGACTCAACAACCCAGAATCAACGTGGTACACCATGACTGGTCTCACGGAGCTACCCAAGGAGCTACTCCAGGACGTTTTCAAGCTAGTGCGCTTTCTTACTCTCTGTGTATCGTGTAAATCCAGAACTGACCGTTCTAGTTGAATTTGCACGACAAGCGCGCCTTGCTCATGCTCAACAAGGACTTCCACGAGACTCTTGCCTATCTGCTTGGCGAAGACATGGGCCTGCTTGACATAGAATGTTTCGATGACCGCCAAAGCCGGGCTATGACGGTGAACTACCTTGCGAGTCACGGTTACGCCACGAGGAACTTGCTTGTCCACTACGGTCGGCCGCATGTGGATAGCTATCATCAAGAGACAAAACTGCTTTTGACATGGTCTGTATCCTACGTGTAGGAGTGTATGGCTCTCAAAGGATCTAATCTTAATATCCTTATGCGGCGCCTATAGCAATTTACCAACCAGTCTATTTCATTCCCCATCTTCGATATCTGAACTCTCATCGTCTCCTGCGCTCCTCTTCTGTACTCGGCGCACGCGATGCTGCCGATAGGACTTCCTCTTCCGCGCCAGTGCCTCCTCATCTTCACGCCTTTGCAATCGTTTGCGAGTATGGTCAACCACCTGCTGCGGAAGTATACTAAGCTCGCGCAAGTGACTACGTTCATAGTCGCCGTACGTCGAGACAAAGTCGGCACCAAGCTTCCAACGCGTCTCGAAGACATCATCGGGGAGATCGACTATTTCCTCCGCTCTGAAGCTTGCATGGCCATCGTCTGCCTTCACAGCACGGTAGGTGATTCCGTTGTGGCTTATTGTGGACCACCATGTGGAGTCGTTGCGGATGGCGCGGTGAACAATATGCACCCATTGTATTTTCAACCCCGCCTCGTCGAAAATGTGCAGGAGCTTTCCAACCGCGAGTTTTTCAGTCCATATGTCATGCAGGGTATAAGTTTGGGTCAAGCCGGGCGTAAAAAAGGCAACAGTGTCCAGGTCGTTCATCAAACTAAGCGAATCCTAAGGGTGATTAGCATACGACCCACGAAAGTAAGGTATGTCTTACCGCCAAATCTGTCGCATGCTGTTGGAAGTTGGCTCGAATGTTGTGGTTCTCAGGGATGATGTAACTCCAGTTGCCACCCCAAGCTTTGACCTTGTTTGACTTGTCTGCGAAGTGCTTGAGCTCGGGATAGACGACGTCGCCTTCGCCATCGCGGAATGAAAACGTTATCAGCGTCGGCTTAGCGAAATCGTGAAGTGAGCCCCCGTAGACAACTGGACGCACAGAACCGCAATTCGGTCCTGCTTCCTGACAAAATTTATGAGCTTTTCAGGATCAACGGTACTGTAACCCTCGTTGAGTCTAATTGTCCGTTGGAGGTGGACAAGTTCTGCAAGGCCCTTGCATCCTGGGGTATTCTTCTGCACCTCTGCCAATTGCTCCAACGCATGACCTTGGTTGTATTTCTGGAACGTTGCAGGATCGTCGCAATTGTCAATGAACGCAAGAGCTTCAAGACTAGCAGGGAGGGTAGTCTTGGAGAGCGTTACAGTATTGCAATTGTACAGTCGGAGCGTCTTCACAGATGACAAGTTCATAAGCCCCAGGTCCCGTCTGAGGACCTCCCAGCGCTTTAGGCTGCGTTGTGGATTGTGTCCAGCTTCCCGGTTGCCGAAGATCACCACTTCCGTTACCGTGCGGTTTTCCTTCTCAGTAGCAACCCTAGCTGCGTCTAGTGAAGCCCAAGGTCTAACGTAGAGTTCTGTCTGCTTGTCGGGTTCCTTGCCGTCTGTCTGCACGATCTTGATGATTGCTCCGCTTCCAAGGACCGTGGGCTGTGTCATCATGCTGTAGGTTGGCGCGCCGAGGTAGTTTTCGATCCGTGGCAGAACAAACCGCTCTGGCAAGGTGTCTGCTTTCAGAGAAGTTTTGATTGATGAGTACGGCTCCGGGCCCACGACGGTGGGAACCGAGAAACCGACAAACTTTGACGTGGATCTTCCGCGGTATATGTCGAGAATGCGCTCAAAGTTCTTCTCGTATGCGGCGTTACGTACACTTCCCTCAGCTGGCCATTTGTAGTGGATAAGAAGATTCTCTGCAGTGTGTGCGCGTTGAGCGAGGTAGTCAATAGTCATGCGACGAGCCTGAAGGTCGAAGCAGTCCATGTCGAGCAGACCCAAACCTATGCTGAGCCTGGGGGCGCATATGTCGTGGAGGTACTTATCAACCAGAACGACACTGCGCTTCTCTTTGAAGTTCAACTGTTAAGGTGAGAGAGCCGTCATGCCCATATAGCGTTGTATCGGCGCAGGGTAACTGACCTGCTCGAATATTGCGTGCACCAGCTCCTTTGGGAGCTTGTGAAGAAAAGACATCGCGGTGATTTCGGCGACCTCGTGGAATGGGCTCTGATGGGGTGAGCCTAGAGTCGAGGGTTGCCCCGCGAGATTTCGAAGGGAGAGCGGACACGCCTTGTCGAGCCAAGAAATTACCTCAGCCGCCGAGCCAGGTGAATGAAGGGACACGTGCTAACAAGGTCCGAGCGCCATGCCGTTGCCTTATAAAGTTGACTTCGCCTCTTGTTCTTCTCCCACCCTTAGCTCCACTCGATCCGCGCGACCACTTCAATCGATCCGGCAAGTACTGACGGCGCTTTGTTCGGCATGGTAATGAGGGTTGGCGGATGGCTACAGTCACCATGAAACAGTTGGTTGGCGGTCACTGCATATCCAGTCCCACTGCTTTGAGCGCGCTTTGTTCGGCGATTCATCGCGGGGTTGCAGAAGTGGCTCATGCTAGAACTGGTCAAGTTCTGCCAGCTCGTTCGAACTGGCTAAGTTCTGCAGCTCGAGCCGCGAGGTAGTAGCTCAGGCGTCTTGGTGCTTGCCTGGAACTTGGGTGGTACAGTGCATAGGGATCAAAGGTACGTCTTCCTGAAACATTTTAGTTCTAACATTTTGGTGTAAGGTCGTCGGGAACACAGTTCTAGCTCGCGTTCGACGCACCCCACCCATATCCAATCGATCCGACTTGGACCCTGCCCCAGTCAGGGTGAGGTACGTTTCCCCAAACATTGGAAACTTGACGATTTGTATAGGTGGTCCTCGAAGACGGACTCTGTACCTGTACGTGGTGAGGGCTACGAACCTGGGCTCGAATTCGCTTGTTGCCCAGAGCCGACGCAGAGACGCAAATGCTATAGTTTTCAATGCAACGAATTGGGGTCAAACGCTTCGTATCTTTTGTTACCAGGGAGACTGCATAGCACTGTGCCGCAACTGATCGTATCTTATGCTCATATCATGTTCCAACGCGTAGGAAGACTGGCGATCCCCTTGATGTGTGCGGGGTGATCCCCTTTGATGTGTGCGGAGCAAAGGAAACAGGTGACGCTTCGCAAACCGTTCGAATAACTCTTGTGCCAGTATCTTGAGTGAGGGTTTCGACAGAGTGCAGCGCGGAATATCCAACACTACGTCTTTCATTACTGCATCGCAGTGCTTGTTAATTCATAACGACAGTAAATTGACAAGAGAGTGATGGCTTTCCTGCGATCTTTGACCCACGGTGAGGAACTAAATCTGCGCACATGGTTCATGGTCTAGCAGTTGCCCGGGCGCCATGCGTTTCTTGGATGAAGCAACGCTTGTGATGTAGTTCCTTTGCGACATTTTGGCACTATCTTATGCCGCATACAATAGTATGATAGTAATGTAAAAAGGACGAGGAATGAGGAGCGTTGGGTCATGGCCGTCGTCTGAATTGAGGTGGGCCAATGCGTCGAAGGAGGAAGGTGCACCCGAGCGCCCCACCTAACGTCATTGCTACACCAAGATGCAGGAGCTCTCTGTTCGCAAAGCTTCCGCGCAATGTTCAAGTTTACATGCTCCCAACGCTTCGAAATAACACGATTCGAACCGCCATGAAGCTCGACTCAGCCGTTGTCCAGCTCCTACGCCTCGATCCAGAGCACACGAACGTGTCCTCGGCTGGCGGAGGCGGTTGCAGCTCCGCAACTACCTCGAAGATCACATCCAAGCTCGGCGATGGCACAGTGAAGAGCTTCTTCATGAAGACTGGGAAAGGCGAAGATGCCGAGACCATGTTTGAAGGTACGATCCGTTCCTAATCCCGTGTTTTTCTTACCAATTCTTGTGCTAGGCGAGCACGAGTCGCTCAAAGCTATCCACGACGCCGTACCCTCACTTTGCCCCCAGTCATATGGCCACGGCCGCTTCTCCTCCCAACCCTCGATCTCGTTCCTCGTGACCGACTTCCTTAACCTCACGTCGCGCTCCGCACCTAAATCATCCGCACCCTCATTGGCGGCGAAGCTCGCGAAGCTCCACACAACGCCCGCACCGGTACCCGACGGCCACGACAAGCCCATGTTCGGGTTCCCAGTCACAACATGCTGCGGTGACACGCCTCAGGACAACAGCTTCAAGGATTCGTGGGCGGACTTCTACGCGAACAACCGGCTGCGCTTCATCCTACAACGCGCGGAGAAGTCGAACAATGTAGATAAGGAACTGCATACATTGGTGGAGACGACCGCATCTAAGGTGGTGCCTCGCTTGCTGAGCGACGACCAGCTAAACAACGGCAAGGGAGTCACGCCGGTGGTCGTGCACGGTGATCTGTGGAGTGGAAATGCTAGTGTTGGCACCATCGGTAGCGACACCGGTGCCCCGGAAGACGTCGTATACGACTCAAGCGCGTGTTATGCGCACAACGAGTTCGAGCTAGGCATAATGAAGATGTTTGGCGGATTTGGTGGCAGCTTCCTGAAAGAGTACCACGACCTGTGTCCAAAGACAGAGCCCGTGGACGAGTACGAAGATCGCGTGAAGCTGTATGAGCTGTATCACCACCTCAACCACTACGCGCTATTTGGTGGCAGTTATCGTTCTGGTGTTATGAGTATTATGAAGAGCTTGGTGCGAAAATACGGAGAGTGAGCGTGAAGGGTACAGTATCACGCCAAGAACGGAGACAAGGTGGGTACGAGAAGGTACATAAAACATCGAGAGAACCACTCTAGATTTATGACAAGCGGCTGTACCTCCGCGTTACTCCACGCGGCTCAAACGCGGCCTCAAGGGTGCGAAACGATGACAATATGTCCAGGACTGGTATAGGACCGGGGTTTCCTCCTTATCGCCCTCTGCAGGACCAGGTGCGCGCATTCCGATATTGCTGCGAATCCTAACACCATCTTTTCTCGCAATCAAACCACGCGCGCTTGTTATACTCGGCATCAAATGTGCTTGCAATATAAGCCTCGTGGTCGCGGAACCCTGCGCGTTGCCTACGCGTGATGCGACGCCAGACCAGGATCTCATCCTACTAGATCCGGCAACTCGAAACGCTCACATTTGCACACGGACCAATGGCAACCCCGAACAGCTTCTACAACGGTCAACGCCGCTAAACAGTGACCCTGAATTTCTTTCCCATGCGCGGCGCGCGTGCTTGATTGCTCCCAAAGTGGTCCCTATAGAGCCGCTGAGTCTCAGGGTTTACCCAAGATTATGAACAGGTTTAGTACCACTCGCCCAACGTACCAGGACCTGTCGGGCGAGTATTCTTACCACCGGGCCTTGAAACTCAGAGATGGGCTTCGGTCCTCGTCATCTTACACTTCGCAGCTGCCATCCCATTGCGCGCATGCCATGTCTTATCCTGAGGTTCTTCAGGCTGTACGGCTCATGAGACGTTTCGACATGGTCCACCTTGGAATCAGCATGAACTATATGAAGACGGTGCCCTCGTCGCAAACCTTTCGAGTAGGAAAAAGAGTAGGTACCTTAATTGTAATCCAATAGACCAGCATGCGTTCGCATTATCTTTACTTCGTCGTTTTACCAGGGCTTTGCGCCGCCCTTCCCGTTCAGGATGGAGGGTTTATCTCACAATTCCCAGTCCACACAACCAACGGTGCCGACGGGTCGGTCATCGATTGGGTGGCTGTCAACTCTCAGGTGGACGATGATGAAGTCGCTACTGCGCCTGAGCTCCCGAGCATAGTGGCTTTGTCTGCTTCGAGTTTCAACGGAACCAATGGAACCACCTTAATACCACAACCCATCACCGCAGAGGAGCACGTAGGACCTGAAGGCACTGTGCCTATCGTTCGCCAATATGGCCGACTACCAGACGTCAAGGCCCCGCCGCAGACCATGAGCTCGTCATTTGCGCAACAAATACACATCGGCAAGCGCGCAATCGGTGACCACTGGTACGCCTCTTCCGCAGAGAATGTCGTGAACCACGGCGGCTCAGCAACATACTCCCTGTACAAAGCCTATACCGAATCCAGCGCCGACTTCTCCCTCCTCCAAAGCGCTGTCATCAAGTATAACGTCAAGAACCCGCTGTATAACGACCCCTCCCGCGTCGCCATGCAGACTGTCGAAGCAGGCTGGTAAGTTATGGCCCCCTCCCCCATTATATACACCCCTCTAACAGACGCAGGATCAACTACCCCAACCAAGTCTCCGCGCCCCACCTCTTCATCTACTACACCACCAACGGCTACACCACCTCCGCCAACAACCAAGGTGGCTGGAACCGCGACGTAACCGGCTGGGTACAAGTCGACTCAGCCATCTACCCCGGCGTATCCTTCTCCCCGCTCTCCACCCGCGGCGGCGCCCAATACGACATCAAAATCCAATGGCTACTATACCAAGGAAACTGGTGGCTCTTCGTCCTAGACCGCTGGATCGGGTACTACCCCGCGACCCTCTTCGGCGCGAACACCGACGCTTCAAAATCCCTCCAGCAAGGCGCCGACGCTATCAACTACTACGGCGAGATCTACGATAGCCATGCGAGTCTTACGAAGACGGATATGGGGTCTGGCACGTTTCCTGATAAGGGGTATGGGCAGAGTGCGTATATTAGGAATATGGTGTATACGGATTCGAATGGGGCGGATCAGAGGTATGATGGGAGTAGGGGGATTGTGGTTAGTGATACGAATAGGTATCAATTGAGTGCGGATTGGAGTGGTAGTTCGAGCTGGGGGAGTTACATGTATCTTGGGGGCCGGGAGCGGGTGGGGTTGTTGGGGCGTGAGCAGCATGGGTAATGATAATGATGGAGTTTGTGTATATGGATGGCTGGCTGGGATGGCTGGCTGGTTGGGAAGGAGTGTATATATTGTCGACTTGGGGGGAAGCGTACATATGGGATTGATACCATGGGATAGACAGGCGCTGGATTAATGGATGATTCATTCTATTTCACTTGTTGCGCTGACCCTATGTAACTCTCTTCCTTCGGTGCGTCTCTGCTTGGCTCTGGCAATGAGCAAGCTCAAGTCCAGGTTCGTAGCCTTCACCACGTACAGGTGCAGAGTCCGGCTTTGAAGGCCACCTATAATTTGTTACGATAAATGTTCTGGGTACACATACCATGAAGGCTTCGGAAGCCAAAGCGGGTGGGTTCGGAAGACTTCAGTTACTCATCTTCCCAAACACGTCGCAAAGGGCTTTTCCCAGTGCAGTTTTCCGTGGCAGGTCAAATATTGTAAAAGGCTCTTGCTGCGATCCATTTACCACGTCCCCCTAGATGTAGAATTAGCAGCTCCGACTTGATAAGTATCACAAAGGCTTACCTAGGAGGAACAGCTGTACTACTTGCGTAGCGTATCCAAGCTCCTTCCCACCAGTGCCTCTGGGACTGGGGCATCACCCGCCATCGATATCTAGATCAATTGCTGTAGCCAGAGGCAACATCTCGGGATATATCACTCTACAGACCAGCTATCACGGCGAAGGGCGATACCTTGTCCCTTTTAACATATAGAGCTCCGTCCACTGGCCTGTAGAGGTTGAGATTACACAGCAAGCTACGTCATGGTGGGTCGGAAGAGTGAAGGCTGTGCGCGTTCGTCATGGTGAATCGAAAGCAGCGCGAGCTCAGGGTCGAAAGTCTCCATGGTGGCGGCGGCGGCGGAGGGGAGGGCGGCGGAGGGAAGGCGGCGAAGACTGAAGGAAACGATGGAGCGAGGGCGCGAAAAGCGTGGAAAAGGTGCTGGCGTGAGTGGGGGAGGCAGCGACGGGCTTATATAGAACAAAACGGGGCACGTTCAAGGCGCTAACCAAAAGTTTTGCTGGCCTGCGCGGTTGCGGCTGGGAAAGGCAGGCGCGTGTGCACGGTGCAGTGAAATGTGGACAGTGGTGTGAAGGTGAAGTTGAAACATGGTCACACTGAACACGGGATAGCAAAAGCACGCGCACTGTTCTGCACCAAGTTGCCTTTCTGTTCATCTGCTGAGGATTGCATGTAGCTGAGGAGCTAATGTATGGAACCGTTGGTCGCCATCGCTATATCACGGCTCCGTAAGTCACCTCGCGTCTATCCGATATCCGATTCAACTTTCTGATGAAATGACGCAAGTCACGACTATGGTACCTAAGGCCAATTCAATTCCATGTCTGAATCTCCGTCTTGATCAGCATCGAGCGCTTGTTCCGGGAACCCGGTCTCCTTTCCCTGCTGCTCCAAGTCTCGTTCTTGCTCCTCTAAGAACCGCTTCCGCACATTGTCGTATCACTCCCCCCTGTTTGTTCATCCTCTCACGCTCTAAACGCTCATCCCTCTTTTGCTGGCATACTTTGGTCTCATCTTCGCCTAGGTAGAGAGCACCCAATCCGGCACGCTCGTAATCATTGAATATCAAGAGAGTGTCTCCTCCAAGATTCTTGAGGGCTTCCGTTTCTTTCGGTGATAGCTCCTTGATCAGTGGGGAAACTACCGAAAACATGTCCTGTTTGTTGTCGAAGTCGAACCTGATCCGATAGCATACGGCCTGGCGAATTTGGCGTCGGCGAGAAGGGGTATTGAGAATGTTCCGATTGGCAACGAATACCGTCTCTAGAAAGACGAACCGATCCGCGAGCTTATCGACTAGATATTTTACTGCACCGCGTTGATGCTTCTTGGCTACCTTGTTGAAAGCCGCTGAAGTAGCTGGGGTGATCAACAATAATACTTTCAGCGAGATGGCCGGAGATAGAGCGTCCTATAATATCGTTAGCTTATAAACTTCCATACCACTTGGAAAGGTTGTTGCAACACGACATGTCAGTCGTGTGTAAGAGGTAAGGCGAATTCACCCGGCACAGAAGCTGCATATACTTACTGCGAGAGCTTCCGCTTCCTGCTTGAAGTCATCACCCACTCCCGTCATCAGTCCAGTGTAAAGAATTGATGGGAAGTTCATCCCCCAGCCAACAAGGCCGTTTGCTACCCTGAAGAAGGCTTTGATGTCTCTATAGTTCCGTTCGTCTTCGCCGTGCTGATGGCAAGCATACTCCAATGTCGGGATTGCGAAATCGGAGAGAGGCCCCATGTACCTAAGGTTCTGTTGAATGACTTGTACAAGCATGCCACTGAACTGCTGCACGAATGCTGCAAGTACATGACCTGGCACTGTCTGTGAACCGGTAGGCCAGCGTATAGTCTGACGATGTTTGAACACTTTTAGAACGGGAGTAGACCCAGGCGAGTGTTTCGATTTGATGTGCGCGAATCGCTTCATCAGATCTTCTTGACCACGATCATCCGTCGTCTGTGCTTTGGTGTTGTTGAAGAAGCATAACGCTTCGATGCTGGGTAAGAATTCAATATCGATGAAAAAAAGAAAGTTCGAAAGCATGGAACTCGATACTTCGTAGCGACTTGAATTGTGGACTCGCGAGCCAGTTCGCATAAGGACTCCTGTTATTGCGGAACTCGTAACGGTTATGGCAGAAGTTGCCGAACAACGAAATATGACTAACTTCAGATTTTTGAAAGTCAATGGTCGCTTCGAAAGCCTCTGGAACAGTTCCAGGTCTCAGATAAAACGTAGTAGTACGTCGAAAAGAAGATTCATTCTGTGTCTGAAACCCGACAGTTGCCGAAGTCACCGCGATGGCGCCGACATAAACCACTGGGATGTGGTCAAGCGGGTACACCTGTGGGATTACCACGTGATCTGGTAGCGGGCCCTGTATTAAGGCGTTTTGGAGAACATGTATTGAGCTCGGAAGTTGCCTTCCTAAACCATACGGTGACGAGGCACATATGGATGAGCTGGTCGAGAAAACAAGTGAACCGAGTTGATGGCCGCGAGTTGGTTGCAAGATCTTTTCGAGTTTGTCTTGCTCCATACTTGGATAGATATGTGCAGCGTTGTTGTGAATAGCAAGATTCTTTATCCGATAACTGGCAAGCTTGTATCCGTCGAGGTTGGCGTGCGAACCTTCCAAGAAGTTCACGTCCACAAGACCGATACATTCGAAGAACACTGGAGAAAACGTCCAAAGGAGTTGCTTATTGACTTGAAGAACTGCACGGCGGTCATCGAGACGAAGCTAGCAATACGTCAACTCGATAAAGTCTACAATTGTGCCATAACAAACCTCATTGAAGATCATGAGCGTCAGCTCATCCGGGAGAGTGAGCAGGTGCTGCTGGGGCTGTGCCATTGCGCATGCGACTTGATTTTTGCGTGGCGCGAGAAGCTGGTGCGCGGTTTGGTGCGGTCAGGGCGGGTTGATGGTGAGAACCTTGGTGACGAGGCGGTCGAGCGGCAGCGTTTGCGCGTCCAGGCGCGTACGTAACAAGAAGAAGCTCACGCTAGGCTGCTTCAGGAAACCATATCAGTGAGACGTCAACGTCACGTGGCAATGATGACATGAAAGTCGATGGCACGATCAGCGCCGGTGATACCCTCATCGCAGGATATTTTCTTGCATTTTGTTTGACAAACTACACATACTTATGGGAAGCCGATCTTCCCTTTCCACAGCGATTTTGTGTTCTCCGAGAATACATCGTTCCTTTCCTCAGCTGAAAGAAAGTCGGCTTCCGCGAGACCATTGATGTTCGCATTGACATCCCAGAAGCCAATGCCGTACGGATAGTCCTGCACGTATGTTAGCATACAGAATCTTGTCGTACCCTGTCGATAGCAAACTCGGACTTGAATTAACTCACTGTCCCAAATACCATCTGTGAGATAGGTATATCGTGCGCAAGCAAGCCTTTGATTTGCCTGGGGTATACGGGACCCGCGCTGTCATACCAGAAGCGCGTCGTATAGATCTTGCGCGCTTGTTCTGCGTCCTTTGGAAACCCGAGAAGGAAGCGATCGGATATATCTGGAAATGCACCTGCTCCGTGTGATACGCGCCAGTGAAGGTTGGGAAACTTGATGATGGTGCGATTTGCCGTTATGCTCGAGATTGCTCGCGCAGTCTCGAAGTAGAACTCGCCGAGGCCAGAGCGCAGAGGTGCTGTATCTGATGAGCGTTTGGGGTGGGTCACCACTCCGCAAGGTAGCTTACAAGGTTTTGAGCTGACAAGCCTTCCGTCCTCCAACCTTATCACAGGATCGTGCGGATGAATAAACACAATCTCTCGCCCGTCTCCCTTTTCTGCACGCTTCTGTAGATACGTCCAAAGTGGGTCGAAACTGTCTTCCCCAGGATACAACCCTTCATGGTTCGTCAAGACGCCCACACCCACGGCTCGCAGCTCCTCAAGCGCGTACCGCACTTCCATTACAGCATCTTCCACATACGGAAGCGGGGTGACGGCCATCCAGCTGAAGCGCTCCGAATATACCCTCACCAGCTCAGCGGAGAACTCATTCAGCAATCTTGCCAGTGCAACGGTTTTTGCGTTGTCATCAGGGAAAGCGTTCGCTTGCGGGGTCGACACACAAAGGATGGAATGCGCTATGCTGTGCTCCTCCATGAAATGTAGATGAGAAAGTGGATCCCAGGATGGTGTTTCGCGACCCGCAGAAAGAGGCTGGAGACTACGGAACCAAGATGGGACGGGGTGAGTGTGGGTATCGATCCGGGTCGCATTCTTGAATGAGGGCAGTTGCGATTTGCTGCGATTGCTGGATAGAGTAGATATGTCGAATAAGGCATCCTCGAGGAACGGAAGAACGGATAGGTCGATGTTGTCGCGTAATGCGGTCGCTTTGATGCGCTCGATGCATGCCGAGTTGGACGCCATTGCAGTTGCGAATAGTACGAATTACGGCCAGAATTGCATCATATTAGCACCTCATGCGTATCTATGGGTGGATTTTGCTCTACAGTGGTGCAAGTGGGAGAGATTAGAAGAAGGAGAACTCGACGGTGAGCTGCAGTTGATGATCACGAATGTGGAGGTTGTGCGACGTGAGCTGCGGTGCGCCGGCTCCCCGCGTTCCAATATTACACAAGCAAGCTATCTACGACAGGATTCAATTTGCAAAGACCCGACCGTTCCATGCACTGCTCTCTTTATCTCGATCGCACATGTCGAATTCTAAACAGACAACTCTCGACGAGACCACAAGATACAAACAAGGGCAAGCTCACGTGGACATGCACGTGACTAGTAACCGTCCACAGGCACAGTCGCTTGCGACCGGATATGAACGAATCAAGGAGATCATCATGCAACAGTACAATCATCCATTGCTTTTCATGCTTTCATCCTCATACACATACAGCAGGTCCAAGAACGACAGACAAGAGCTGCATAAACACATCAAATCCTAACCACTCAACAGGAAGCTAATACTCGGTCATCCCTTTCTCATATCCACAACGTGCGTGAAGTCATACAAGCTGTATCTCGAAGACACGGGCAACTCCATACCATAAGAAACCAAAACTTACTTCCTCCGCTCAGCACGACCGTCCTCGCCTGCCAGCCCAACCCAATTATCCGGCCTATTGAAAGTATGCCCCATCGCCTCTGCAACCTGTCGAACCGCCTTGGACTTTCCATTCGGTATCATACGGCCGAACGCTTCGATGAGATTGCCCGACTTGTTCATCTTGACGGTGCGAACATAGTCTTCGCTAATTTCATGATGCTCCATCTTCCGCGTCTTGTCGTTCTTGACCTCGATGCTGTGGCGAGCTGACACCGGCACGATGATTGTTGCCGGTGAGTTCGGAGCCGTGGCGGCGGGCGTCAGTGGCAGGCGAGCTTGGGGTGAAAACTGCAGGCGATTTATCTTCGGTGCCGGTGAAGCGTTGGATGTATGTTTGGCCTTGCGCTTCGGAAGTAGGGTCAGAACCGGTGCCATTTGAGTCGGTGAGGGTGTCAAGGCTTGAGGCCAGCCGGCTTGGCCAGAAGAAGCGCGGACGATGGTCTTGAACGTGTGGTCGACCTGCTCTGCGAGCTCTGGGGCGAGCGAAATGCTGTTGGAAGCAGCCCCTTGGCTGTCTTGCGCGTGCGTAGCCATAGGGGCTAGTAGGCCTTTCTGCTCGTGGCTCGAGTCAAAGTGGTAGAACTCGAAGGTCGGTTTGAGAGGGCTTCCGGCGCAGGCTAGAAGTATGACCGCACCACGAGACATTCGATCGCCGTGGATGGTCAGTCTATGTCGTGATTCGAGGTGATTTTTCGTCACAGCAAGATGAGCGGGCGCTGTGCGAGCAGGAGGCATGCAGAATTCTGGATCGGTGACAATCACAACCAGTACCGTGATCGCGGCGTCGGACTTCTTTTGCACAGCCCAATGGCGAGTACCGGCTATTGGAACTCCATTCACAACCGCGTCATGTGTGAACTCTGCTCCGGTGCTGGTGCTTGGCCATACTTGCTTCACCACATACTCCACCGACGGGAAGTAGTGGCGGAGCATAGCTGAGACGAGAGAGCAGCCAACGAGTACTCGGGGATAGCCAGTCTGCTCCTTTACTCGCTTCAAGAAGTCGTGTTCTTCGTAGTGGTTGTAGAAATTGCGGTAGCTGAGAGCAAGGGGCTTAGGCAAGACCGGGATTGGGGACGGAACGATAGCCTCGCCGAACGCGTTCATTTTCCAATGTGACTCTTTGCCAGACATGTCGACAAAGCCAAGGCTGACAATGGCGCTCTTCCTTAGAGGTGCTGCTTTCTCGGCCTCTGACGCTCCAGGTGATGCGAATGATGATGTGATTGTATCATCTGCGACAGCCTTCTCAACCCCCTGCGACCGAACAGTAACGGGTGTCGAACATCCCATGACGTGTATTCTTGGATGAGTTAGCTGTTGCGTGTATCAAACTGTACGAGAGCCAGATACTCCACAGCGGGAAAAAGCTGCGAAAGGTTTACAACCGGACGCTAGGTTGAAGCGGATGTTTACTGTTGAGTTCGCTGATTGTTTATATGTAGACTTCAAAAAGCGAGAGCGCGTCTTTGAGTGGCGTGTACTCAAGTACTTCGGAAGCCAGTGTGGCTGCAGTTGAAGTTGAGGTTAGAAGTAAGTAGACGCTGTGCTTTGTTTATGCGTCTGCTGCTGTATTTTTATGGAGCCTTTCGTGTTTTTTGCTGGCACGAGCGCCTTCTTAAATGAGCCGGATTTATTTGTGGTGAAAGACTATGGTGAATCCTTCAGATGTTGCTCCTTCCGCGACTGGACGTGTTCACCTGGTCGGAAAGTTTCGACAAGACGCTGGACTCCTTGAGAATCCCACTACTCTACGTTTGTGCAAAACGACAGGCTCTTCGTTTTGGTTTTGCACGATCGATCAGGAAAACAGGATTGGCTTGTTGTGCGTATCGGGTAAGAAGTTCGAGATTGGAGAATACATAGATGCCTAGACCGAGAAGTAGGCACGAGAACGTAGTGATGCCTCAAAGGCAACAGAACCTATTGATAAAGTTAAGCATGATAATAGAAAGCCAGACGACGTCTACAAACGCCTTCACGGTGCGCAAACGCCAATTCGATCCAGATGACATCCTCAACTGCTCAGGGCGTTCGCATTTAGCTAGAGTGAAGACTCGGAATGATTGTACAAAATTTCGAATATATCTCAGGGGTTTGATGGGAAATCCTCGTGTAAGAGTCATCCGTGTAGGACTAGTGTGTGCGCGTTGAGGCACTCGAGATGCGTTTGCTCAAGGTCAATGCTTGGCAACAGAAGTTGCGGTATTACAAGCGAAAAATTTACTGCATGTAGAAGGACCTAGGCATCACCGCTCAATGGAACACTACCCAAAAGGTCACATCAAAGCCATTCTCACGCACGTTGCCTAACAACACGTGATAAGTAGTGCCTGAAAGAGAACCGTCACGCATAGATATTTAGACTTGGGTCACTTCTATATCGACACACTGTTCTAGCAAAGTTCACCTCTCTAGTAACAAAGAATCTCCGATGACACGAAGAGGAAAGTCCGTCATGCACGCCAACATCTTACATTCAGATAGCTACCTAAAAAGATAAGGACAATAAAGGTCGTGAAAAGAATACGGAAAGAGCTCCGTCGTCATATTCCGTGGAATCAGAGGGAAGAGATATCAGATCTAATGCTGTATGCAACCTCCAGAACACCGACAATGCACTTGGTGCCCCTGTAGGACCAGACTCCAGACCTCCGCTTGCAAATTTTTCTTATCGCTCGATTACTCCATGTTACGATCGAAAAATGCCGTTCCGTGTGATCAAAACATTGTCTCCATTCCGTCTCGAATGAAGCACCTCAATGACTCTGGGTGCTCAGAGTAATCCACGTGGTCGGGCTTCAAGGTTGGTTCTGACCATGGTTAGCGTTGCCGTTGAGATGGTTGTTGAATGCGCGTGCGTGGATATGCATCATCTGCTGCAGGAAGCCGAATATACCCGCAGCATGACCAGGTTGCTGAGGCGCACCGACCTGAATAGGGCCATCATCTGGCTGGTGTGGGACGAACGGAGGCTGTGGTGGTCCTTGTGCGGCGGCCATCATAGCGTCGACCCAGCCATCTCCAGGAAGGACGTTATCGGGAAGCCAATTGCGAGGATCCTGCATGATGTTACGCTGGGTTTCGGCACAGCCGTCGCCATGCTGCATCTTCGGACCGTAGGCGACTAAGCACGAGAAGCAGAAGTCTTGCTTGCAGTGGCCACCTGTGAGACTGTGTCAGGTTATAAGGTCCAGACAAAAGTGATATGACATAACTCACACTTCATGTGGTTGCAGCCACCGTTCTTCACGATTTTGACTCCGCACTTGGGGCAGGGCTTGGCTCCCATGTCCGTGATGGCTTGCAAGGAATGCTTCTCTTCGGCGATCTTGAATTTGCTGCAGCTGGTCGAAGCGTGCCATGGGCGCATGCACTTCATGCACATGCTCTCCTCGCAGTGTGGACAGGCGATCTTCTGGCCGCGGCTGGACTTGGACGACTTTGGTAACTTGCCCTGGCAATCTTCGATCGAGAAATATTGTGCACATGCCGGGTTCAGACAAGCAATGTAGTTTTCGCTAGTGCGGAGATGGTGGTTCACCAGCGCGGTGTCCCAGCTACACGTACGGTCAGCATCCATTGTATAGAAATACTTGTTATCGTGAGTACTCACTTCTCTCGGGCGCCTTTGAAAATCAATCCCATGATGGTGTGGTAGTCGAGCACGTGCTCACAATCCGGGAAAGCGCAGATCAGAATTGCTTCACCGAGATCGCGCTGCACGATCTTCTCCTTGATCATCTTTCCGATGCAGACATTGCAGGTGTTCTGGAAATGCTCACACGCGCCCTCCACGGCCTTGAAGCCGCGGCCTGCGGAATTACCGACCTGGCGGGTGGTAACACAGATGATGCACTCTTTCTTGACAGGCTTCAGCTTGGGTTCCTTCTTTTTCGGAGCGGCCTTCTCGACCCGGTTGCCCTTCATTGTCTGCTGGCCTACGATAATCCTTCCCAAGCTCTTCGCAGGGCGCAGGCCTGAACGGCTTATTGGTAGGGCGGGTGCATCGGCCGCCGCGGGCGCAGGGCTGTTGCTGCCGCGAAGGACGGTGGGATTACCAGAGCTACCGGTGTTTGAGGGCGGAAGGGATTGTTCGACAGCGCGTCCGGTACCGCGCGTGCGAGCCATTGTGGTGGTCGGTTTTTCGGTCGATATGTCTGCAGTGGTGGGAGTGGTGAGCGGTGTGGATCGCAGGTGCGGTTGGGTTATATGACGGGTGCGGGTAGCTGCATACACGCCGCAGCCGAGACGAGACGACTTGGCTCAGCTTGGGCCTGCGGAGAGAGCTCTGAGCGGGGCGTCTGGCCGTTTGTTTGTTTACGCGGGTAAGCGCCAATGCTGTTGGTCAAAGTGAAAGACAGTGGCGCATAGACTCAGTCCGTGACAGCTCGTCGCGATTCAATCCCCACGATTTTGGCGAATTCTACACGTTGGCGCAATATTTGTCTGTCGAATAGATCGTTCCTCGGAGGATCAAAATGGTCTCGTTGAAGCCTTTAATATGGCCACAGAAAATGGCATTTCCAACCACGGTCGACCGCGCACGTGACTCAGCCCAGCCAGTCAACCGTGCGACTTACTTTTCCCTTCACACCCTTCTACGAGGCTGTAGAACTCATCGTACCTAATCTTGACTGTCGAGACATCACACGTTTCGGGAATTGTGTGCGTTTTGTATACCGATATCGAATAGCAGTCCCCTGCTGTGAAGTTAGCGAAGGTGGTACTAAATCTACGTCACATGAAAATGGAGCAAACAGTCCTCGGTCATGTCCCGCTCTGGCACCCATGTCCCGCTCTCGCACCCATGGCTCGCTTACGAGACCTCCACTTTGGTGGTTCCCATCACGAGAATCTCAATCCATGGCAGATCACTGATATTCAACACGCCAAGTACTCATAATCACCGCCTCTCAGACACGACTATCAGGCTACAAAAGGATAATTGCACTCATGTGCCTCGACGGCCTAAGCCGGGAATCTTACGGTGTGCGAAAAGGATGAGCATTTGCGTACCTATTCGCATACATTCGGGTTGAGATTTATCTAGGATGGTATAACCTAGGGCAACTCAGTCTGCAATGAGTCTGAAATTATCATATAATACGTACTACCACCAAAAGTCGACTCCCCATGCAATCTCAGTCCGAGAGTTTCTCCTCCCTACGGCGCATTGTCGCTCGCCGCTAGAAGAGGTTGATTCTCACCCTGCGGACCTTCATCTTCTCTTTCGCCAGCTTCGCCAGCCGGACTCTGCAGCATGCCATACCACGCAATGATAGCCACCATCGCTAGCCCGTTTATGATACTGACTATTAGCGCAATGATACCCTTCGTGGTGAATCCATCAGGCAGCGGTGCCGGAGGCGCAGGCTCGCCCTGGAGGTTGAGCAGGTCATCGACATTACCGGCTGCATTTCCAGACGTAGGAACCGCTGGTTTGTTTCGCGCACAGAGATTGTAGTGGGATGGTGGGATGGTTGTTGTTTTCTGGAGCTCGAGCGGCGCCTCGATGAAGGTTGCGATGAGGCCGGTGGTAACGTGCCTTGGAACAGGAATTGTTAGTTTATCATGCAGCATGGATGTGTATAGAGAGCTCACCATTCGATGTGGCAGTGGAAAAGCCAAACACCGGGATTATCGCTGCGGAATCTGAGAACCGCGTAGCCGTTGGGGTTTACCAGTATGGTGTCACGCCTCATGGGTACGGCAGGCTGGCTGGCTGCGCTACCGGCCTGGTAAAATCCCGCATCCTCCGCGGAGCGTTCGATGACTTGGAAGGCGTGTCCGTGGAGATGAAATGGGTGTTTCTATGGGCGGTCAGCTATGCCGCAACAAGACCGGGCTTATAACGCACCCCATCATCGTCATTGTTCAGAATGATTTCAACGGTCTCGTTTCCATTCAGCACGAAAGAATTGGTGTGACTGCCATAGACAAGCGAGTTGCTGGAAGCTTGGCCGGAGGACATGACAGTGTATAGGGTCGGGACTGTCGGTTCGACATATGTGTTGTCATTGAAGAAGGCACTAGATGAGTGTCTCAGTATAGTGATAGATGATCGAGAATTGACACTTACTAATTAGCACCGTCTCCCAGGTTGTCCATCTTGATATCTAGCCTGACAGTTCTGTCCACTTTGTCGAACAAATCCAAACTGTCCAAGGGTTGGATTGACAAGTCGTCCAAGGGCTCGAAATCGTCAACATCCGATGGTTTTGGATGTTCTCGAGTGCTGTCCAGTACAAGCCAGCCAGTTACGTTGGATCTCAAGTCATCTGGAATAGCATCGAATAGTTCCTTGATACTTGTCAGACGGATACCAGTCTTCAAGATGCGCTAACCTACCTCGTCCATGCTTGCTACAAAAGGAATGTTGGTCGCAGCATCGCTGTCGATGGTCAGAAGCACCGAGTATCGTTGACCAGCCGTAAGGTAAAGCATGCTCGCTTCGGTAGGTTTGGTATAGATGCCATCCACTTCAACGACTCTCATTGAGCAGCTCTGGAACCACACGTACATGCCTGCAAACGCAGCCATGTTCACCTGCTAGAGTAAGGTCGAGCTTCTACTTGTCTACCTTGCTATACTGACCATGCGTATCATGTAAGTCTTTCCTGCCTGAACTGCAACTGTGACATTCTGGGAATCATTGATCAAGGCCGAGTTTGGCACAGGTTCCGCGCCGGTCGGGTTGGTGACGCTGATGAAAGACGAGAGGAGCGGTATCATCGAATCGTGGTACCAATCCGAGAAGGAGAGTACAATCTCTTCGTCGAAATCATCCTTGAAGGGATTGTCCGGATCGTCGACAATGAGCGGAGCTCGGAGTCCATCAGGATATTGGCCTCTGGTGTGAGAATGAAACCAGTATGTCCCCGGCTGGTCGACCTTGAAGTCGTAGATGAAACTATCACCAGGCGGGATTTCACACTGTGTTACGCCTGGCGGGCCGTCCATATGCGCTGTGCCATTCTGGTAAAGGCCATGCCAATGCAAGCTAGTGGTCATGTTGCCAAGGTGGTTGTGCACTGTGACAACGACTCGTTCGCCTTTCGTAACGCGAAGAGCTGGTATAGGCCATTGGCCATTTATGCCCATGACGGGCCTTTCGTGTAGTCCATCAGGGTTGCGGGTGACCCACGTGATGTTGTACTCGTGGTATGTCACCTTCGCGGAGGCGACGCCATGGAAGAACACCAGTAGCGCCCACAATACAGTGAGCATTGTGTCAACTAGTGCCGCGGAGGAGGCCAGCAGTCGATGTACCGGTAATGTCGTCAAGCGAGGTTAATCACAACACGCGTGCGTGCTGAACATCATGGACTGCCGATTTCCGCGGGGAAAAGAGAAGCGGCTTTCAACTGTGGGACAAGATCGATGCCCAGAGACCCAGACATTATTCATGATGATCTAACCTCATAGCCAGTAAGGCTTGTGTGCGAGAGCGGTATGCGGGGCGTGGCGACACATTTCGATTTCGTTATCAGATCCGAAATTGATCCGACTAATCCGCTTCCGGCACAAGCTCCGCACAATTTCTGCCGCGCTAATCTTATCTGATGGGTCAGATCCGAGTTGACCCCACTTACATGACCACATTTCACACACATGTGACCAGGTGATTCGTTCCGACAATCCTTCGCGTCCCAGGTGCATCAAATGCGACCCACTGAAGAGCGATGTAGGAGGGTACTGCGGTAGGCCATCTAAACATCTCCGGCGTAGGACTCTTCACGACGACGAACGACCTGTTCGGCCTCGAATCTGGTTCGACCCTTGGTAGCTCCACGCTCGCACATTCGCCATGGTCCAAATCTTCGCCGCGCAAGGTCTGTAATATCAATCACACTATTGCCATTGCGTACTAAACGAACTAGTGTTCTTCATCTGCCTGCGCGAATGCCTGGAGACCAGCATCATCGTGTCGGTCCTGCTCTCCTTTCTAAAGCAGACCTTGAGCTCTGAAAATGACAAGCCCGTCTACCGAAAGCTGGTCCGACAGGTCTGGCTCGGAGTCATCCTAGGCGTCGCAATATGCCTCGTCTTTGGAAGCGCTATAATAGCTGCTTTCCACTTGCTCGACTCCGACATCTTCTCGCAATACGAATACATCTGGGAAGGCGTATTCGGCATCATCGCATGTGCCATCATCACCCTCATGGGCGCGGCGCTGCTCCGGATCTCCAAAATGCGCGACAAGTGGCGCGTTAAGATCGCAGCCGCTCTTGAAGCGAACAGTGCCGATGACGCTTCCGCACCAAAAGGCCTCAGTTTCCTCGGAGAGAAGTATGCCATGTTTCTACTTCCCTTCGTGACGGTGCTTCGCGAGGGACTCGAGGGCGTCCTATTCATCATCGGCGCTGGTCTAGGACTACCAGCGACTGCTTTCCCGCTCGCTGTGGTGTCAGGTTTGGGTGTTGGTGCGTTGGTTGGGTATCTACTTTACAGGTAATCATTGCGCGTTGATTACCTGTTGTAAGGCTGACACGTCGCAGAGGAGGTAACGCGGGATCTTTGCAAGCGTTCCTTGTCGCGTCGACCTGTTTCTTGTATCTGATAGCCGCTGGCCTGTTGAGCAGGTCTGTGTGGTTCATTGAGAACTATGCGGTATGTGTTACGGAAAATAATCAACGAAGAGCTTTACTAAGAAAGTGGTAGTGGAACGTCGCCATCGGCGGCGACGCAGCGGAGACAGGCGTCGGACCTGGGTCATATGATATTCGTCAGAGCGTCTGGCATGTGAATGTGCGTCGCTCTCTCTCACTTTTCGCTCGACGATATGTTGCTGACAATGATTGCGACATTAGTGCTGCAGTCCTGAAATCGACGGCGGCGGCTGGTGGGGTGTCTTCAGTTCGATCTTCGGTTGGCAGAACTCCGCCACCTATGGCAGTGTCATCTCGTATAACCTCTACTGTGTTGCAGTTGGTGCTGCATTCTTGGTCATGTATTCCAAGGAGAAGCATGCGGCGAAGACGGCGTGAAGTTCTTGGTGTTGGGATGAGTCGGAGACGAACCGCGGTAGAGGTCTACAGAAATCATTTTATGCGGTGCCAGAACCACACTTCCCCATAATCCAATTCTTGCCTTGAGTATATCCAGGATGCCCTTTCATCTACTCTATCGACAGCATCTTCGCAAGCATCCGCTCCCAATGCCACACACCCACTTTTGCAAAGACACCTTATACGCGATGAGGATCACCACCGCCATCCTCGGCTTGTTCGCCGCCACGACATTTGCTCATCCCGCACATGCAGACAACCACGCCCCTGTCGTCCTCGACGAGATTTCCAAATTCGACTGCGTCGTAAGTCCTCATGTCAGTGTCACTCACACCAAATGCAACTAACATCCTCCAGAAAGACTGTTGGCGCGCACACTCTGACATCGAGGACTACAACCGACGCCAATTTTGCCACAGCCACGCCTACGATATGACTATGAAATTGTCACGCAAAGTTCTACCTTGTATCAAAGAGTCATGTGACCATCACGACAAGGATGCAATCGTACTTGAGAGCCGTGTCTGGTTCTGCGATTTCTGTGGCTATTTACCCGATGATGCCGAGATCTCGTGTTGAAACACGATGGAAGTTTAACGAAAGGAACGCCGCGCGAGCAGGGAATCTACACTGGGCTTGTGAACACCGACGATGCAGTACTATATCAGAAATCCAGACATTCATAGCAGACTGAGTTATCCCAAGATATATCATCCTAGATAGCGCTTACTGACCTTTTTTTCGATTATTAGCAGACCTTAAAATGTTCATGTTACTTCATCTCAGATTCGTCTCAAATTTTTCAGTTGCAGCCAGCCTGGCATGGGGAGGGTGAAAGTGAATGGTGAGAGTCGGAGCGTAAACCTTAGATAAACGATAACGGAACAGCTGCTTGCTTCCTTTCCTCTTCGTCCACACAGCTCGCACCTACATTGCACCTGCACACTCAAAGCTACTTACTGCTCACATAACTCTGCTCTCTTTTGCTGCTCTGCTCTGCGAAAATGGCTTTCGCAAAGGAATTGTGGGAGACGCTGCGCGCTGCTGTGTGGGGAGCGTTCTTCCCCTTCCTCTTGTTCGCACAGGTCGTAGTGCCTGTGTACCTTATCGACGTCAGGCTGACGAGTGAGTTACTTTTTTCTATAAAGGCTAGTATGTCAGCATTCAATAAGCTAATAACACCCAGTGTTCGTGCTGGCGGCCAGGGACGATGAGGGCTGGGCTATGTATAACATGCCCAAGGACTCGGGCACAGCTCTGGGTGCCGCTATCGCCGTCGCCGTCCTCTCCAAGGTTTTTCTTTTGCTGTGGGTGATTCCGCTTGGGTACTGCCTTTGGAGCTATTACTGGGTAGCTCGCCGGTGGAAACCGGTTTCGGCACCAAAGACACCTACCAAGCAGGTCAAAGCCCATAGTCAAGAACGGCGGTATTGCGACCGCTGTAAGATTTTCCGTGGTGACCGGACCTACCATTGTCGAGACAACGAAAAATGTCTCCCATACTACGATCACACCTGCTTCTGGTGGACAGGTGGTGTATGGCTACACAACGTCCAGGCCTATGTGGTCTTCCTCTTTTTCCTCCCGGTATATCACCTTTACATCTTTGGCATCAGCCTGTGGGTTCTTATCAGCCCAAAAAAGTACCTTCAAGCCAATGTGTACATCGCTCTTGGGGTACCTTCTATCCTCGCACTGCTCATCTCTGGTGGAGTTGCCTTCGTATACATACGGCACCTCGTGTTCTGGAACATTCTGGATAACGAGGTTGATCATGGGGTTTGGTACCTCAACGATGACGGTGAAGCCCAATTCTGGGATCCAAAGAAGGAACACTCTTCGACAAATCCTTGGAGCAAAGGCTGGCGTGCAAATCTTCGAGCCTTCTTCAGCAATGAGCTCCGGGACACCATAGAGTGTTACCACCAAGAAGAAATGCCTATCCTGCTTCGCCCTCTCGAAGTGACCTCTCGAAGGGCGAATGCTTCAAGCACTGGATTCGAGTCAGACATCGAGCTTGGCACCCTCGTTCGTCGATCCCAATCCACAGCTTAATTTCTTTTTTAAATCCCCCACGGTAGGGCAGGACCGTGAACAAGACCCGAATTACTCGAAGGCACTGTCTAGCCATGAAGAGTCTTTTGGGCATAGCAAAGGGAGGTTGGAGCGTTGGGGTACCGACATAGATTCGGAACGCACGACCGGCTTAATGCACTCTTTGCTATTCGCTCCTCTCCTTCGCACTAGGTGGTGGCTTTACGCTTTACAGCTGTAAACCCGTTCGCGGGGCCTGTTGAGGGACAGGTGCCCATATCCATAGGCAAGGTTGAGTTGATGCGACCCTGTCATGACTTCGCGCCTCTACGTGGCGACAGGGACCAGTACGCGGTTCAACTAATCGAACAGAACGGAATCCGCGGAAGCCAAGCAAGTCAACCATCGAACATCGATCACGAACGAACACAGTCTCTCCATCGGCCTACAAGTTACAACAGACTGTACCATGCACGAGCAGCAGCAATCTCACCGCCTATCGCATCCACTCTACCCTAATGAGACGAGCCATCATCTGCATGCGAGACCCGCCAAAGAATACCAGGGCATCGTGATCAGGCCAGACCAGAGAAGGAGCTGCTATAAGCTACACCAGCCAAGTCAAGTCAGGCTGGAGCAAACAACAGTCATCGCAACATACGAAAGCAGCAGCATCGAGTTAGCAGATGCATCGCTACCAGAGCCGAGCAACACACCGTCAAGCCAGACCAGCGCAGACGCATTTTCACCAGAACAGACGCAATGTTACCAGAGCAGAGGAGAGCGCATCTACAATTCACACTGTTCAGGTCCAGTCAGGCTAGAGCAGAGCGATCGTCAGCACATCTCGAACAGAGCAGCAGCCCCAGGTCATTCCAAACAGAAGCGTCTTTATCGAACCAAATCATAGGAGCAGCATCTACAAGCTACACCACTCAAGCCAAGCCAAACCAGACCACGAAAGCGCCATCAAGCTAAGACGGACCAGACTAGCGCTTTCAAGCCAGGTCGGAACAGTATCTCGTCAAGCCCGACCAGACCAGCGCATCCTCAAGCCAGCTGGACAAGCAGATTTTCAAGCCAGACTGAAGTCGAAGCACACACACCAGGCCATCTCAAGCAGCAACATCTACAAGCCATATCAATCTAGTCATGTCGGGCTATAGGACTAGCATCGTCATCACGCCAGACCAGAGCAGCCCTTCCAAGGCAGGCCGGAACAGCGCCTTCCAACCATTCTCAACCAAAGCAGAATTACCACCACGCAGATTCGCATCAACTACACTCAGCCAGAGCAACTCAATCCTACCCCACCAGGAGTGAAAGTAGAAGCGATGATCAGGAATCTCAACGAGGCCAGGCTCGCAACTCGCCACTGAGAAGGAGCAAATCGACTAATCGAGTCAGCCACTTGAAGCCAATGCCCCGTGGTCGACGAATCAATGCTCTTCGTTACAACACTACACTTCTAAGTCATTCTTCGAAGGTCATTCTTCGTTGACCCTCGAAGCCACCAAAACAGCCCCTCATGATCACCGTCCGAGTCAGTCTCTCAGTTCCAAACACAGCATGACCAATCCCTCATTTAAAATTTATGGCCAGCCCTCTATGTCAGACTTACGACTCGTCGACCAGTTCCTGTACGTAGGGCAACTTCTCCAGCCAAGGGTTCAAAACAGATATCAGAGTAGTCTCTCACTCGAGTTGTTTTCCAGTCAAGACATCAAGCACTACAGCCACGCCAATCCCTATGGAATAGCCTTGCTTTCTAATATGTCTAAGCCCTGTAGCCCAAACAGTCCGTCAAAGGGCACATCCGTCAGTCCTTTAAACAAGACGGCGATCAGTCTCTCCACCACGATGTCTACGCCAGTGTCTCAAACTAGACGCTCAGACAGTCCCTCAAAATCAGCTACACAAATCAGCAGTCGAGAAAACCGCCTCTAGCACAGATACTAGAGCCAACCTACTTAGGTCCGTTTGACAATCTCAACACTCGTTACCAGAAGAGTCCTCCAGACGAGCGCCCACGGACCTTCCGACCGCGGACTACTTGCCATGTCACCTCAGAGAAGAGCAAAATGGAAAGTAGCTGTCGCTCCGGAATTACAGCTGTTTCCAATCGCGCCTGCATCTGCAACAGCCTCCTCGCTACGGAAAATCAACCCACCCTCAGACCGCGTCCAACTCAGTCTCGATCCTTTTGATGCAAGTGCTAAGTCCTCGATTGGAGCAACTCATATGCGATGAAGAATCGCTCTTTCGAGAATACTATCGCCGGAATCTGACATCTGTACAACTTCGCACATGAAGCTTCGACTGCAGACACAAAGTCAATAGATGAATGCGAAGCTTTGAGCCGGAGCGATACGTGAGCAAGCCAGGTTCGCGACATCTGCAAAGGCCTGCGTCTTACCATAGGTATACCATTATCGAAACTCAAAAGCCGTGCCATGTCGGTCTCAATTAGCATCGACCTTTGCTAGAGATTGACATGGAGTATGGGTGCGCTAGTCAGTCGAACTACGTTGGCATGTATGAAGGGTCCGCTCGATCAGGCGCCAGCCGCAACACAACCTCGCTCTACGCGACCTCGGCGAACTCTCCAAGCAGATCGAACCAGATGGTATCTCTAAAAGCGTAAGTTCGGTCCTGTATGTGCCATACCACGCCAATATGCGGTGGTTAATAAGGTGGGGTCGACCGGGTAAATAGACGCGCGCATCTCCACCATATCATCCCACCTACGAAGGCCTCAAATACGCTACAAACCCAGATCATGATTCCAAAAGCGCATCGCCAACTCCCCAAATTCTCTCCTCCTCGACCACCAGCCGCAATGCCCGAAGTGCTCAACCCAATCCTCCCCGGCTTTAACGCCGACCCCTCCATCCTCCGCGTGGGGTCGGACTACTACATCGCAACTTCAACCTTTGAGTGGTTTCCTGGCGTACAGATCCATCATTCGCGGGACCTCGCAAATTGGACTCTCGTCACGCGGCCGCTGAATCGCAAGTCGCAGCTCGATATGCGCGGGAATCCTGATAGCTGTGGTGTCTGGGCACCGTGCTTGACGCATGATGGATCCAAGTTCTACTTAGTGTACACGGATGTAAAGAGGAAAGACGGGAGCTTCAAAGACACGCATAACTACATCGTCACAGCCGAGAAGATCAAAGGACCCTGGAGCGATCCGTACTACGTGAACTCATCCGGTTTCGATCCTAGCCTTTTCCACGACGAGGACGGAAAGAAGTGGTTCGTGAATATGCTCCAGGATCATCGCCGGCGGCCGAGATCTTTCGCCGGGATACGGCTGCAGGAATGGTCGGAGAAGGAGGGTAAACTGGTGGGACCGTGGAGAACGATATTCCTCGGCACTGAGATCGATCTCGTTGAGGGTCCGCATCTCTACAAGAGAAACGGGTGGTACTACCTTCTCACTGCCGAAGGCGGCACTGGGTATGAACACGCTGCCACGCTCGCGCGGAGTAAAGACATCTGGGGCCCGTACGAAGTACATCCCAAGAACCCCATTCTCTCTTCTACAAAAGCTCCGCTCGCGCCGCTCCAACGAGCAGGACATGCAGACATCGTGGAAACTGAAGATGGGAAGACATACATAGTCCACCTGACAGGCCGCCCGATAACACAAGCGCGTCGTTGCGTCCTCGGCCGCGAGACCGCCATCCAAGAAGCATACTGGGACTCCGACGACTGGCTCTACGTGAAGAACGGGCCCGTCCCCTCTCTATCCGTCGAGCTCCCCGCTGCAAGAGACAACGCCGCATACTGGGCAGAGCAGCGCTATACCTTCTCCGCTTCAGACGGCCTGCACAAGGACTTCCAATGGCTACGAACCCCCGAGCCAGAACGCATCTTCGCCGTCAAAGACGGCGCCCTCGAACTCACCGGCCGAGAAGCAATCGGCAGCTGGTTCGAACAAGCCCTCGTTGCGCGACGCCAGACACACTTCTCCTACGACGCGGAAACAGTGATTGATTTCAAGCCGTTGGATGAGAGGCAGTTTGCGGGGTTGACGGCGTACTACTGCCGCTACAACTTCTTCTACCTGACCGTCACGGCGCACGGGGACGGCCAACGCGAACTCCTTCTTCTTACCTCTGAAGCGTCGTGGCCGGAAGGCAGACTCAAATTCCCGATCCCGGAACCTGTTCCTATACCCCAGGAAGGCAAGGTGCGGCTTGCGCTCAGCATCCGCGGGAAGGAATTGCAATTCTCTTATGCGCTGGAGGGCGAGGCAGAGCTCAAGAACATTGGGCCAGTATTTGACGCGAGTATTCTGAGCGATGAGTGCGGTGGGCATCAAGCGCATGGCAGTTTTACAGGGGCATTTGTCGGAGTCGCGGCGAGTGATCTGGATGGGTTAGAGACGAAGGCTACATTTGATTATTTTGTGTATAGGCCAGTCAAGCATGAGAGCGATCGGTACGAGGTGGAAACATACACGTAGTTCGGACGTGAAACGAGTAGATGAACGATGATTGATTGTTCTGGAAGCCATGCAGAAATGCCGAAATGTATAGACAACGCCTTTACGCCCTGCTCAGCCTTCTCTGAACAGAAGAAGAATCATACACCATCCTCTGTTCGGTCCATCCTCCATCCCAAGTCATCCCCCAAATTCCCCCGCTCTGTTGACACGAACGCGCATCCCTCCCTCTCACATAGCACAAGCCCCACACCTCGCAGTAGCGCCTGCCTTCAACGGCGCTCGCATATCCAACGTGGCCGGTAACCTTCCTCCCTCCTCCCACCTCCACTTCCACCCGTGCCCCTCCTGCCCTGCCCATGCATGCCCGCCTGGTATTCCGACGGTCTGTTCGCGGGGCGGTAAAAGCTGGTTGCGGAGGGCTCGCGGTAGGGCGAGTTGCGGGCGGCCGTCCAGGTGTCGAGGGAGAATAGCGTCGTGAGGTAGAGGGCGAGGAAGGTTGTCAGAGTGTTAACGGGGGAAGATTTGCTATTTATAGTATCAGTAGAGATAGGGTGGGAGAGATACAAGGGAAGGACGTACGCTTCGGACATATTGGCGGTGAGTTTGTTGGTTGACAGCGGGACGGTGTGGAGATGTTTTGAGCGCAAGACCCGACGCAGTGAGGTCGTGAAGTGGTCTTATTACTGCGCCATCGTGTGAATCCTACGAAGTGCCTGTTTGCGCCCCTGCAGCCTAACAGCCGCACTAGTTTGGACTAGCGCGCCATGTTACAGGGATCCGCGCTTGCGCCTTCCCCGCAATTCGCGTGGGCAGAAAGTTCGCTCGCGTATTTTTTTCGATCGACGTCGGTGAAGGTTTGCGACAACTCAATTGAAGCGCATTACGCCGTTCTCTTACCCTCTGAGCGATGCGCTGATTCATATTCAAAAAGAGTATTCCGCAGACCTTAACGCTCGTACCGCGCTTCGACGATGGGACGCATAAGCCTCGACAACGGCACGATGGGCAACGAGTCCTCTAAGACGAAGTCCAAGTCCAAAGAGCCTAAGAAGAAGGAACCGGTCGAATACGTCAATGGAAAAGGCTGGGTAGACGAAGACGGCAACGTGGTGGAGGAAGAGACGGGCAAGGTGAGGAACAGGAGGGCGCTGGAGCTTGTCGACAATGTCATGGAAGAGCACGAGGCGAGGGAGCAGGAGCAGGCAAGAGCTGAACGAGAGGGCAGGGAGGTGGAACAGCCGGAGCTGGAAACAGAAAAGAAGGGCAAGGTGGGTGTTATTGAAGTTCTGTGTAGGACATGGAACGCTGACGAGGTGCAGAAGCGGAAACATGCGGTTGTGGTACATCAGGAGGAGACGAAGACTAGGAGCGCACAAACAGACATATATGACATACCTGGTGAGGGGAGAGATCAGGCACCCGCGACACAATCTTCAATAGGGAAGAGGTCGAATCGACAGAACAATGGTCTACAAGATCAGGTGGATGCGCAGATCGAAGCAGAACAACATCCTGCTAAACGGATACGAAGCGAGGGCACACAGAGCAAGCCCTCTTCTTCCAATGACCTGCTGAATGCACAACCTGCGAGAACGCTTAGGAAAGGCAACCCTTCAACGGAGCTACATACCGAAAAGCCCTCCGCTACTTTCAAACCGCGCACAGCTCGACCTTGGACCGTAACGATGGCTCTCCCTGGCAGTATTCTCAACAACGTCGCTCGACACGACACAAAGACGCTCCTCGTAGGCCGCATCGCCCGTGCCGCCGCCGTCTGGTGCGTCGACGAGATCGTTGTCTACGACGATGACCCGAACACCATCCCCGAGAAAGTCTCAGGCTACTATCGCAGCAAGAAGAAGACCAAAGCGGAAATCATGGACAGCATCTCCGAAGCAGACATCCCGTACCAGAACCCAGATCGCTTCATGGTAGGCCTGCTGGAGTACGCGGACTGCCCGCCACACATACGCTCGGCGCTATTCCCCATGTGCGAGCCATACAAGCATGTGGGCCTGCTTCCTCCGCTCGACACGCCGTCCCACACCAAGCCGCACGAGTGGATCCGCTTCCGCGAGGGCGTTGCCCTACCATCCCCACCGGCTCACCTCCGCTCCAAATCCGGCAATCAAGAATGGACATACATCAACTGCGGCCTTCCCTTCCCGGTCAAAGTCCCCTACGCCGTCCCGCAAGGCATGCGTCTGACCGTAGAGTTCAAAGACGCACAGCCACCCTCCTGGCCGTACCTCTCCGAATACGAATGCGAGAGTCTCGCCGTCGATGCTGTGGCGCCTGAAACGCCCCGCGAGAAGGAAGGGTACTACTGGGGCTATAAAGTCCGCTACGCAGCGAGCTTCTCGAACATCTTCAGCGAGTCTGAATTCCCCGACGGCTACACCTTTGCAATCGGCACGTCTGAGCGGGGCGTCCCCCTCTCTTCCATTCTACCCGATGCCATCGCGCCGCGGAACCGGCCTATATCACACGAGAAGAAGCTGCCGGATTCGTGCGAGCATTTACTTGTCGTGTTCGGCGGCGTAGCAGGTCTTGAGCCCGTGGTCGCGAACGACCCCGTGCTAGGCGAGCTGAGCAAGGAAAGCGCGCACGAGGCGTTTGACTACTGGGTTAATTTGGTGCAGGGGCAGGGAAGTAGGACGATTCGGACGGAGGAGGCGGTTGAGATTGGGCTGGCGGGGTTGAAGGGGTATGTGGATTATCAGTATGAGGCTCATGCTTAGGGGTGCGTGTATTTAGTACAGCGCTGGCTTCGCCCTTTCTGGGACAGTGTACCCCAGGGTGAATTAATCTACAATGAAGCTTCAAGACCTCGATATGATATGGTTTTGCTGCTACGTTTGCTGTACGGTTTTTCGTAGCATTGCATCAACATTCAATACGCTGTGTTACCCCAGGACAGTCAATACAAGTGTGGCATTCACACAGTGAGGAGCTCGGCATCTGTGCCAGCGGAGAGATGGCAGAGCCTAGGACGGAGCTTCCACAGCACTGCCAGAGAAAGGTTTAGTACTCTGAGTTACCCCAGGACAGACGATGCAATGGCCGACTGTAGGCATACTGGCCACGTTCTCTAGAGTTGCCCGTCTCAATGACTGCAGGCTCGTTTCTTCCCTGCTCACGTGTTTCTGTACGCTGTTTCCCCAAGCTAGACAATGCAACGGCCGATTTACTGTAGCGCGCAGGTAAGCCCATAGCACATGCAGTCACGTGCCTCTCCATAATCTCTCGAATAAACTTGATCACGTATCAACTTCTAGACCTCCTTTCAGAACTTCATTCATAACAATCATTCCCTTTTCCCCGCTATCTCATATGGTAATCTATTTCCCCACACGCTGATCCAGCAATGCTACCCCAAATCCCACAGCTCCCAAAGCAGTCCCCAATCCGCATCGATCATATTACGCCACGCTCCCCACAACTAGCGCCGCAACACCCTCCTCCTCACTCCTCGCCTCGATCTTCATCGTAACGCCCGTCTTCGCGCTAAACGCCATCCTCACCATAGCCGCAACCTTGCCATTCGTAATCGTCTTGCCGTACAGCTTAAGCGTATGCGTTGATTGCGAGAGCGGGACGTCTGTGCCCTCGAGGGGCTGGAGGGAGAGTGTCTTAATGAGTTGTTCGGTTGCATCTACATCCAGGTCAGATTTCCTATTGCACGGTTTGGGGGAAAGAGGCTTACCTGCGACACTCTTTATGTTAGAAAGCTGCAGCGTCTCGGTCGCAGAATCGACGTTCGACTGCTCCCAGACGTTGTCAAAGCTACCTGCGTATGCGGGGACAACATAATCTGCGCCGTTGAGGTCCAAGTCCTCGACTTGGTACTCATCGGCATAGCCGTCGCCTTCTTCAGGCTCGTTAGTGCTGGGATCGATTTCCTTGCTGACGAACTTGAGCGTATTTGTAAACGATGTGGCGATGAACTGTGACTCGGTTTCCAGGCGCTTGAATGAGACGTAGATGGTGCCAGGCTCGTTTGTGGGAAGTTTTGGCGCGGGAATGATGAAGTCTTCCTCCAGGCCTACATCATCGTCCTCGGCGGCAACAACCATTTCCACGTCCATAAGTACAGTGTCGGGAAGTGTGTTCTTGACATCGTACTGGAAAACAACGTGGTCCTTGAAGATGTGCTTGACAGCAGTGACGACGTATTCCGTTTCGGATTCTGTGAGCTCAACCACAGCACTGGACTTGAGCAAGCCACCGTGCGCAGCCAGCTCTGGGATCTTCTGCAGCTCTTCGGCGTACTTCTGTGTTGCTGCAGTCGCTGAAGCGGCCGCATCTGCGCCAGTCTTGGCGGGTGCTTTTGTGGCGCTCGGGGCTTTGAGTATGGGTGTGGAGCCTTCGGTCTTCTTGCTGAGATCTGCTGCATCTGCCTGTTCGCGAGATACAGTGGGAATCTTGGTAATGTCGAAAGCGTCCTGGAAAGTGTCCTTCGAGTCGGAGCTGACATACATGGTGAGCTGGTGCTCGAGGGTGGGTAATGAGTACATGGAGTCGTTTCGGACAAAGCTGAGCGCGAGTTCGTCGTCCTGGTCCATCAATCTCAGGTTAAGCGCAGCGCGGTCTCGGACCTCATCGTCGACATCGTCAAGACACCTGCTAAGGAGTACATGAACAGACTTCTTGATTTCGGGGTCTTTCTGCCCAACACCGAACTTGGCAAGCGCGGAAGTGGCAGCTGCGCGAACAATGGCGTTCTCCAAAACGACGCGGTTGTAAATATACCGAATATACTTGGTTGGGTGTGGTGTGGAGGGACCCTCCCGTCCGAGTACGAAGAGGATGCGGACTGCAAGCTTGGTGAACTCGCAGTCTTCAATGAACTCGCAGAGGGTAGCCAGAGCATCCTCCTTAGCTTCCGGAACGAAACGGATGAGATCCATGATAGCTTCAACCACGGATCGCTTGAATTCATAGCCACCCTCATCACGAAGGATACCGCTGAGGAATGCAAGGAAACCAGCCTGTTTCGACTTGAACTTGAGGGCCAATGTGCGGACAGCTTCAACGATGGTCACCTTGAACTCGTCTGTGATCTCAGCCATGAAACCAGAAATTTGCTTCATCAAGCGATCAACAGAAGATTCATTGCCCGTCTTGAGGAGGGTGGTGATGGCGAAGGTGGCAATGCTGCGGTTAGAGTTGGTGATGAGCGATTCGATATCCTGGTTGCAAGATCGGACAGCATCGGGCTTGAACGAGGCCATGGTGGACAATATCCTTAGAGCAGCAAACTTTGTGACAGCGCGAGGAGATGTGAGGAAGAGCTGCAGAACGTGGACAGCCTGCACGAGCTCGGCGTCTGTTACACCGCGCATGTCGCAGATGGCCTTTGCCGCCTCGAAATTGACCATCTCGGACTTGTGGCGCAACCAGCCATCGAGGAGCTGTACCATGGGCTTGCGCAAATTCGGGTCTTCCTCTGCGAGCTTGGAGGCGAGCCTGACCAGCAACACAGTAGCAGCAGGGCTCTTGACTACACCCGCAGCGGAGTATTGCTGGACCATCTTGACCAAGCTCATCCTGTCGCCTGACCGCATCTGGTACAGCAGTCCAATGGCGTGGTACTGCGACATGTAGTTTGTGCTCGCCTGGAGGGTGCTGTGCGAGCTGCCTCCGAAACCGCCTAAAAAGCCACCAGACTTTGGACCTGATGCCGCCTCTTGAGCTTCTGACTGCCATCTCCGAACAACATCCTTTGCGACGGGGAGAAGGTGATACGACGAAACGAGTGCGGCCGAGGCAACGGAGGGGTTCTTGTCCACGATGCATGTCTTGACAAGACGCTCAATCGCCTGTACGGTGGAGGCATCGATGACGCGGCAGAGGGCGCGGATCGCATTGGGCCGGTATACGACGTCGCTGCCGACGGAGGTGTCCTTCATGATGGAGGCTGTGACCATGATAACATCGTCTGCGTTGCCGGCGAGCTCCTTGAGGACAAGGTAGACCATCTGGCGGAGGGAGGCATCTTTGTTTGAGAAGAGTTTCGAGACTATGATGGTCAGTACATCCTTCTGGCGGTACAAGGACGGGTTGCATACTGCCAAAGAAAAGGTTAGTAGCTTCCTGTCTCCCCCAGCTTTCGCCGGTGAAGAGCAGCAATGCAAGCTTGGTCAGAATCTACATAGGGTCAATATTTTAGATTGCTTCAGCTCCAAGTTGCAACATACCACTCTGCATTTCCGCGGCGATATCGGACTCTGGCTGAATACTCGTGCTGTGCTTCCATGTCAGCTTCCGCATCTTGAAGACCCCTCCGCAAGCTCCCCATTGCATTGTAGGTCGCCATACCTTCCTGGAACACGGAAGTCTTATCGATCTGTGCCACTCCACCAACATCCTCGTGCTTCTTGTCCATGATTGCAGAGTGCAGGCACCCGCCGCGAGCCCGTCCTCAAATAAGTGTATTGTGTCCTTCTCCTGCTCCGCCTAACGTGGCCTTTCCCGAAAGCTGGCGGCGCGATGTGAGGACCCGAGTGTAATGATTTGGTTGGATGGCGAGAGTGAGAGAAACCGCGAGCGGGGTGCGGTATGGCAATGGTCTCGTCGGAATTGGCGACGTTGTGGTTGTCCTCTGCGGCGCAATGCAGGGATGCTCCAAATGTGGGCGGTCGGTGTTTGCTGTGTTTGCATTGGATGCCTGTCTGCTGAATAAGGCAGCCCTACCCCGTTAGCTTCGGGAGAAAGTGCGGCCAGAGGCGGGATTTCGAGGACTACCAGCAACTTTGCGTGCTCAACCTCCATCCTTCTAAACACGCCTCTCACGCACAATGGCAGCTTCAGTGCCCCGGTCAGCATCTCGCCTCGCGATACCGAATGCATCCCGCTCAATACGACCGGCTGCACGATGCGCCCGCACGTTCGCCACCGCTGTAGACACTCCCTCGCAGCCCTCAAAGCCCGCCCGACCAACCACCAGATTTGCTGATAAGCTGAACACCGGGCCTTCCTTCAACGACTTTGTAAATCCAAACGCGCCGCTCTCCCCATCCGAAGCCTACGAGATAAAGACCGCCACGGTTGGCCCCAACGGTCGCAAGAAAACAATCACACGACTCCCCGAGTGGCTGAAGACACCTATACCCGTCAATGAAAACTACAAGCGACTGAAAAATGACCTCCGAGGGTTGAATCTCCACACCGTCTGCGAAGAAGCAAAATGCCCGAACATCTCAGACTGCTGGGGTGGAAGCTCCAAGAGCGCAGCTACAGCGACGATTATGTTGATGGGCGACACATGTACGCGAGGCTGCCGCTTCTGCTCGGTCAAAACCTCCAAAGCACCCCCACCACTAGACGTCCACGAGCCCGAGAACACCGCAGAGGCACTGCGGAGATGGGGCCTGGGCTACGTCGTCCTCACAGGCGTCGACCGAGACGACCTCGCCGACGGCGGCGCCCGCCACTGGGCCGAGTCCGTCATGAAAGTCAAGCAGAAGTCCCCACAGATGCTGGTCGAGACTCTGACGGGAGATTTCGCAGGCGACATGGAGATGGTTAAGCTCGTTGTACGCAGCGGGATGGACGTCTTCGCACACAACATTGAGACAGTTGAGGAACTCACGCCCTTCGTGCGCGACAGGAAGGCAAAGTTCAGGCAGAGTCTGGACGTCCTGCGCACCGCGAAGGAAGAGAGACCAGACCTTATCACCAAGACTAGCATTATGCTGGGTTTGGGCGAGACAGAGGCGCAGGTTGAGCATGCGCTGAAGGAGCTGCGTAAGAACGGCGTGGACGTGGTTACGTTCGGCCAGTACATGCGTCCTACGAAGCGGCACATGGCTGTTACGGAATACGTCACCCCCGATAAGTTCGAGATGTGGAGGCAACGCGCGCTCGATATGGGTTTCCTGTACTGCGCTTCAGGGCCCCTCGTGCGGTCGAGTTACAAGGCGGGAGAGGCCTTCATCGAAAACGTGCTGAAGAAGCGGGCAGCGAAGAGGAACGAATTGGTCGGCGCGCAGGCCGTCGAGGACTCGTCGCAGACGGTTTGAAGTATGCGTGGCAATTTTTTCATCTTCTTGTACATTATGAGGGCACGTGAATACCGCGCTCTGTATAGCGCTTGTCACTCGACCTCGCAGAGGCTTCAACGCTCTGAGCGACGCGCTATCGGATCGAAAGTTTAGATTTATTAGCTAGTAATGATCCTTTGCAACGTGCTATCGTGGCACGTGGACTCCATCTCACTAAGACGCCCTCCATGCGTTGTTACATATGGCAGCTGTAGTATCTTCCAAGTTCCCCTTCATACTGCCAAAACGTCTTATTGAAGGTATGAAGCACGATTCTAGCTTAGAGAAACGGTGTGGTGGGGACAAAATCATAAACGTCTCCAAGTCCATAACAAGTTTATAGTAATAAATCTTAACCCATACCAGATGTATCACGACAACTTAGATTTCACCAAGCATGTGTTCCACGATATTTGGTCGATTACTTGTCAAATATTAATCATTCTAGTGGATAGGTTCAAAGAATTACGGCCAGCCGAGGAGGTTGCCTCTCGCCCAGGGCGGCTTCCAAGGGTATCTATACCGCCGGTCTGAACCATGCTGCACATACGGTTCCGAGCCTGCCTAACGCCTGACCGTGCCATTCCTCACCCTGGGGATATCATGCCAAAGAAAAAAATCGGGTTGCAACTGGCTTGTGCACGGGAGGTTAGTGACAAGCGTAGTATAACCCAAACTGAGGTAAACAAATTGAGGGATTCGGAGAAGTGATGGGTGAAGTCTCCTCACTACAGCTCTTTTCTGGACTCTTCCCTTGACGCGGCCTCCGCCTGGCTGCGAAGACTCGGGGCAGTGGTCTCTCCTGGCGCGGTCTTCTGCTCGATGTCTGCGGCCCATAGTGCAGCGCCGACGGTGTTTGTAAAGCTGAAGAAGATGCCTGCGATTGGAACAAGCTCGAGGAGGACAGCGGGCACGCCGAAGCTACAACATATTAGCATTCCAAAGATTTACGTGTGCGTGATCCGCTAAACATACCTTGTGTACGCAGCTTTCCTGCTCTCGATAAATTCCTCTTTTTGATGCTTGTTCATCTGCTTGAGCTGGAAATACCTCGCGTGCGCCGTTGGTCCGAACTTCCTTCCCTGGAGTATGACGAAGAGCACCGTGCCCACCACGGGAATCATGTTCAGCGGCAGGTACATAAGGTACCTGATGATGGCTTTCGGACTGAATCTCTCGAATGGCTTCCGCGTGATTTTACCCAGACGCGCCATGTAGTCGCCGCCGCTCTTCATTGCCCTCTCTCGCGAGACGAGGGCGGCCTGATCGCGCGCGAGAAGGGTGCCATCGAAGGTGTCGATGAGGGCATCATCGATGAGGAAATTCTTGGAGAGGATGTTGAAGACGGTGGAGGCTTCGGACAGGACCAAAAGAATGGTAGTCACGATCGCGAGAGGGCCGTTGAAGATGGTCAGGACGGCAGCTTGTGGTACGTAGGTCACGGCGAACATGAAGACTGTGACACCAAGACCGAGGGAGAGTGTGGGGATGAGCTTGTTGGCGAGGGGGCGCCAGAGTGCGCGGTGCGTGAAGAAGTAGGCTATGCCCTGGGGTGTGTGTTAGTTGCATTGTTTGATATGTGTGTACCAAGCTTGAGATGCTTGAGATATGGAGGGTTGGAATTTTCAGCACACAGTAGCCTGTATGCACTGAAGTGGTGTTGCAGAAGCTAAAATTGCGGTCTGAAGCTTACTTTGAGTGGATAGAGGTAGGCCTGCGACCGTACTGCGCCTGCGGCGAGCACTTTGGCCTGCTCAAACTCCTCCTTCGCAACCTCTTTGACTCTCTCCGACATGGCTTTGCGGAATCACGAATAGAGAGAAGGATAGGTAAATCGTAGGACGTGGTGTTGACACTGTTGAGAAAAGGGTTCTACTATGGCGGGGGAATTTCACACGACGCTACGTCATCGTCACGTACCTCTGACTTTTTACACCACGCGACTGGATGTTGGGCGCGCGTGGAAGGATTTCGATCACGAACTCCATATCGAGATTGCTATCGAGATTGCAAATTGTGCCATGTCTTACGATAGCCACGCTGCTGATAAGATGCACGAGGTTCATGCAAGAAATTGGGTGCAGGGCAAGGGCGAGGGGTCTTTTTCCCAGCGGGTAGATGCGGGCTGGCCTTGATGCCCTGGTCTCTGCCGCTTCAGGATCTGCGAGAGCGGTTGCTTCCTTTGGACCTCTGATGTAAATTTGAGGTACCCTAGTACGCGTCTCAAGTTCATCTTCCTGATCACGATCGTGCCATCGCCGACGAAACCCCGCGAATTGATTGTTTGTTTGTTGATGCTTCAGGGTAGACTTGCAACGTCATCGCTTTGACGCAATTAGCTATCTCCCCGCATGCCAGAGGCTCGAAGCGTCGAGCTGAAGGTTTCCCCAAAGTGCTAGCAGAATGCTAAAAATGCCAACATCCTAGCGAAACCGTGGCTCTAGATCCGGACGGACATTTTCGTCGTTGCGTTAGCAGAACTGGTCCCTCATCTGATCGGCCATGGAGGGGCTAGCTAACAAGTTTTCGCTACTTTTCCCTGCTTTTGCCGTCTCACCGCCACAGAAAACGCTCCGGGCTGATGCAAGACGCCTCCAAAAACAGGGACACGGAGACCACAATCGATGGTTAAGCTTTCATCAGTCCCCGCACTTTCTCCGCTATGACGCACTGCACAGCCACTTCTCGCACGGCCACGATCGAGCACCGGAATGATCGCTGGCGACGCCTAGCTGGATTCAGCCAGCGACTAGCCGCATATGTCAGGATAAGCTCCCGCTCCCGGCGCATATGGCTCAGCACGTGTGGCAGCTGTGGCGTCTGTTGCGAACATCCGAGCCCAACCTTGCGCAATGCCAGTCTTTGTAAAATCTAGACAAAGAACGCCATGCGAGGTGACCGCAATTGGTGGAAGAGAGTACATTCCCATGACGACACAGGCCCCTCTCGTTACTGCTTCTGTTTGTATCCGGCACTAGCGTCCGACGCGAGATTGCCTATGGAGTCTGAGAGGCAGTTTCACTGCAGACGGCTACCCGTACGGTAGCACCTTCTGTCGGCTGATTGAGCTCACTCGTTATGACGTACGGTAGGGAAAGAGACAGGAAAGAGCACCGCGTGGTATATAAGACCTAGCTCTCCCGCCATCATGGCATACACTCACACAAACAACCACTTCCACACCTCTACCTCACTTCACAAGAACTTTGCACACTTTTGATACCCCTTCACCTATCTATACATCAACTCAACAATCATGTCTGGAGCCATGGAAAAGATCAAGGCCAAGGTCGAGGGCGTCCTCCACAAGGATAAGACCCACGATGACCCCACTGGTCCTCACTCTTCCCACTCTGCCAACCAGGCCGACCCTCGCGTCGACTCCGACCACATTGGCACAGCAGGTAACCATGGCTCTGCTGCTCATGGCACCACGGGCACCCACGGCACCCACGGCACCACGGGCGGCTTGACTGGCTCGGGCGTTGGCAGCAACACCTACGGCTCGGACCCCACTGGTCCCCACGAATCCCGCATGGGCAACAAGGTATGTCTCTATCAATCACATCTCGCAGCCAAGACACTAACAATGTAAAGGCTGACCCCCGCGTTGACTCTGACACGTATGGCGCCGCTGGCAACATGGGCACTGCTTCTCACGGCACCCATGGCACCCACGGCACTACCAGTGGCTTGACTGGCACGACTGGCTCAGGCATTGGCAGCAACACCTACGGCTCAGACCCTACTGGCCCCCACGACTCTCACCTCGGCAACAGGGCCGACCCGCGTGTCGACTCTGACCGCGTTGGTGGATTCGGCAACACTGCCGGCACTGGAGGTCACTCTTCAGGCTTGACGGGCACTGGTCACTCAGGCTCAGGCTTGACTGGCAACACCACCCACGGTACGACCGGCGGCCTTGGAGGTAACACCTACTCTCAAGGCACCACTGGCTCCGGCCTCACGGGCAGCAACACCTACGGCTCAGACCCGACTGGTCCTCATGACTCTCACATGGCCAACAGGGCCGACCCCCGCGTCGACTCGTCTGTCCCTGGAGCTTACGGCAACACTGCTGGAGGTCGCACCGGCGCCTACGGCTCCGACCCCACCGGGCCTCACGACTCTCGCCTTGGAAACACGGCTGACCCTCGCGTCGACTCTTCCACCACTGGTGGATACGGCAACACCCACTCCACTGGCGGCTACGGCGCTGGCTCCAACACCCACTCTGGCGTCGGCGGTGTCGGCAGCGGTCACGGTGCTGGCGGCCTCTCGAGCGGACCTGGTCCTGCCGAGAACACTGCTGGACCTCACAAGAGCGACATGCTCAACAAGGCCGATCCCCGTGTCGACAGCGATCTTGATGGATCCAAGACCTACGGCGGCAACAAGACGAGCGGCTACTAGATGTAGCAGGTATGGAGGAATGAAGCGGACCTGATGATATCCCCGCGGGTAATGAAATATGGAACCTGCCACTCATGTAGCACTACATTCATGGTTTTTACTGTGTTTGATTATAATGTATGAATGAATGACACGATTATTCAATGATAATCTCTACCAAACTTCCGTGCTATGGTGAATTTGAGCTTGACATCCGAACCAAATCAGCAATACCTTGAAAGCATCAATTATTTGACTAGATTGTTTGACTCGGACAAAGTTCTCTTTATTGTTCCATGTTCTTATTGACCCTGGAATGAATCAGGCACCACGAAAGTTCGAGACTACTTGATGCCCGTTTGCTCCTGTCTTACTCATCATCAACTCCAATTCCAGGAGAACGAACAATCGCAAGAAAGACGAATTGACCTGCATCGTTTGCTCCTGTCTGTTGAACTATTTACGTAAGCCGCAGTGCACGCCTCGGCCCATGTTATCGGAACAGCCGCCAGTTTGCGCCTAGCCTAGCGCTCTACTTCCCAGTTGCGCCATAAATCCAGAGCTCTCCGCCCGCATATACACGCCTCGCTCTGAGCACCGCCTCACGCACCCCTCACGATGCAGTCGCTGCCCGAGTCGCGCCAGCAGTCCTTTGAGGAGCTGTACGGCCCCCCGGAGAACTTCCTCGAGATAGAGGTACGGCGCTCTCTAGAACCCCTCAGCTCCACGCCCGCCCCGCAATGAAGCTCACCCGTGTCGCACACAGGTCCGCAACCCCATGACCCACGGTGTTGGCCGCGGCATGTACACCACCTACGAGATTGTCATGCGCACCAACATCCCCGCCTTCAAGCTGAAGAGCTCGTCGGTGCGACGGCGGTACAGCGAGTTTGAGGCCTTCCGAGATATACTGGAGCGCGAGAGTGCGCGCGTCACGATACCGCCGCTGCCGGGGAAGGTGCTGACGAACCGGTTCTCGGACGATGTGATTGAGCACAGGAGGGAGGGGCTGCAGCGGTTTCTGCAGATTGTAGTCGGGCACCCGTTGCTGCAGACGGGGAGCAAGGTGCTGGCGGCGTTTGTACAGGGTTAGTCGATCTTAAGAGGGAGGGGAAGGTGTACTGACGGATGCAGATCCGAACTGGGACCGCCACGCATGGTAGACGACGACTGCGAGCCTTTCGAAAGATAATTCGCCGTCCTACGGACTTCCGCGCATGCAGCAAGCGGTCACACGATGTCACGAGACCACGAGGAACGACCTCGAGAGGGAGAACTCTCGGGCGAGCTGGGGCGTAGTACATATTGCAGACATACTTCTTGAGTGGGAGGCCATATTTATGTTGTTGTTGGCTGGAGACGGACGACGGGGTGTGTGCATGGAAGATCACTCCGCTTGGAGCGCGTTGATACTGATCGTATACCCTTCCTCCTTTCCTTGATATATCATCTCATAGCTCGAGCCTTAGGATATCAATTCGTCATTCAATGTGTGTTTGCCTGGCGTCTCCAGCGACATCAGGTTTTCAGCATACTATCAGCGTCTACAAAAGGAAGACAAGATTACTCAACCGACATCGTCTTGTGCACCAAATCTCAACCGTCTAGTTAATTCCTACAACATAGAGCATTGCAGTGCCCTTCGAGGTGTAGAACGACCGTTCGTAACGGATGTACGCTAGCAGCTGTTAGCTTCCTATACCGGAAAAGGCGCGAGCCAAAAGCAAAATTTCAAGCACGCCAGACGCTACCCCATGAGCTTTAAAGCTTGAGCTCCCCATCCCAGCTCCGCGGTTCTCTTACCACCGACCCACGCAGCCTCGTTTGCTTGCTTCCTATCCCTCTCTCCATCGCCATGGGTGTACCCTCCACGCAGGCGTCAAACGCCATCCTCTACCTCACCTACGGCGCATTCCTGTAAGTGGCAAATATGAATCAAACTAGGGAAGTGATGGAATTGACAAGGTGGAAGGGTCGTTGGATGCTACATCGCTTGGCGGCTGCGGCACCAGTCTAAGACGGAATGGCTGAGCAGTAACAAGACACAGAAGGGTTAGGATACCAATTGCGCCCCCCGTCCATTTTTATTATATCACCCCATGGTATAAGAGTGAGAGCTGACTGTGAGTAGGCATACCGCTTGCCTTCAATTTCATCGCATCGGGTGAGTGCATTCGCGCGGTGCTCCCGGCGTGAAGGGCGGCGGCAGTATCGGCTTTTACAAGACGTATCTCGAGGCGTCATAGGACGCAAGCAAGGTTCTTTTTTGTTCGAGGAAGATGAACAGGTTCGTATTTGAGATCACTCGCAGAGCCTGCTCTCTCCTGCTCCGATTCTGTCGTTAGATGGGATGGAAGCGGTGGGAGGGCGGTTCTGCGCGGCTACACTGCGGGCGCTGAGCTAAGTTGGATGTCATGCATGTCCAACAAGGCAAAGCTGAGAAGTACCGCCTGAACTCGATCAAGATAATACTTGCGTGAGGAACGTGCTGCCGCTACTCTTTTCCCCCTTTCCTTCTTTACACTTGCTGACCTAGCTTTCTCTAACACCAGCTCTCGGTTCCGGCATCCTCTTCACGTACCCTGAGATTGCGACCATCTGCGGTGTGCAAGGCGTGGTGGTGTACGCGCTTGCCAGCGCCCTGCCTCTACTCATCTTCGGTTATCTGGGTCCCATCATTCGGCGCAAGTGTCCTGAGGGCTTTGTTCTGACCGAGTGGACGAGGCAGAGGTATGGTGCTGTGGCGGGCCTGTTCCTCAGCGTCTGCACGCTGATTACGATCTTCTTGTACATGGTGAGCGAGCTGTCTGCCATGCAGCAGATCGTCACTGCGTTGACGGGACTGGACGGTCTCCCTGCCATCATTGTTGAGTGCGCCGTGACTACGATTTATACTTGTAAGAAGGATTCCCCTTTCTCCTTTCTTTCGCATGAAGACTGACGCCAGCACAGCCCTCGGCGGCTTCAAAGTCTCCTTCATAACCGACAACATCCAAGGCGTCATGGTCGTCGGCCTCATCATCCTCGGCGTAATCACCGTAGGCGTAGAAACACACATCCAGCCCGCCCTCATCAAAGAATCCGGCTTCCTAGACGCCTCCCTCCTAGGCTGGCAACTCATCTACATCCTCCCCGTCGCCATCCTCACAAACGACTTCTTCCTCTCGGGCTTCTGGATGCGCGCCTTCGCCTCGCGCACAGACAAAGACCTCTGGGTGGGCGTCTCCATCGCTAGCATCGCCGTCCTGCTCATCCTCACCCTCGTCGGCGTCTCAGGCTTGCTCGCCGCCTGGAGCGGCGCCTGGCCCCTGGGCGACGCAGACAACGGCTACCTAGCCTTCTTTCTCCTCCTCGGCCAACTCCCCGCCTGGGTCGTAGGCATCATCCTCGTCATGACCGTCTCCCTCTCCACCGCCGCCTTCGACTCCTTCCAATCCGCGCTCATCTCCACCGGCTCAAACGACCTCTTCAGAAACAAGCTCAACATCTGGGTCATCCGCCTGCTCGTCGTCGTACTCATCGTGCCTGTCGTGGTGGTGGCGCTAAAGAGCCCTGATATCCTTCAGATTTTCCTAATAAGCGACCTCGTCTCCGCGGCCGTCGTCCCGGTGCTCGTCATCGGATTGAGCGACAAATGCTACTGGTGGCGCGGCTTCGACTTCGTAGTGGGCTCGCTTGGCGGGATTTTCACGGTTTTCCTGTTTGGGTTGGTGTATTACCACGGGGACGCTGTGCTCGCTTCAAAACTCCTGATCTTGGAGGGAGGACTGTACGCGAACGACTGGAGCGCGTTTGGGGCGTTTGTTGCTGCGCCGTTTGGGGGGCTGCTGTGGGGGTTTGGCGCGTGTGGATTGAGGCTTGCTACGCTGTGGGTTGTTGCGCGCGTCAAGGGACAGCGGTTCGATGCGCTGGATAGGCCTATCCCTAGGGCGCCCGGAGCTATCGGTGGGATGGATGAGGATAGGGAGGCGGAGCGGGTGTTGGAGCATCCGGACGACAAAGCTATCTATGGGAAGTTCTTCTAGGCTTCACGGAAGCATTTGTGGAGGGAGAGAGGGGTGAGCAGGGAGGACTGACGAGGGGTAGGTGCACAAGGGGACGTTGGTGTATGGGTGGTATGCACCACATGACGATGAGCGGTTCAAATGAGACCATACGCACAGGAAGAGGAGTTAGGGGTCGGGGTGGAGTCAGAATGCGGTGCGCATCGTGAGCCGTGTAGCTCAGATCACTTCACTTCACTTCACTTCACTGAACCATACTGTACCGTATATATAAATTGTAAATGTAAACGAGATGTAAATGAGAGAGATAAAATGCTGCACTTCCTATCTTGATATTCTATCATCCTGTTATGTAAACTCCGCCATGCGCTCTATATCTCGACCTCACATCTAATCCTTTCTTACGCTACAGCTCGAATTTGCGAGACGGATGGTTATGAGGGGGTGTGATTCTCGGGTTGTACACTCATATTAATAGACATAGATCCATAAGGTACTCTAGTGTCTAGATTTCAATGCCAAGGTTTCACATCACGTTGGGGTATAAACTCTAGTCGTATACCGATAGATACACATCCACACATCGGTGCCCAGCGCTTCATCTCAGATGCTTCGTTGACGTGTACAGAACCACGTCGAAGGAGAGTCTCGTAGCGGCTATTTCGTAACATAGCTATTCCCCATCCTTTTGCGCCTACCAGCCAAGCTATGCACCAGTCACCGTTCTCACCAAAGTATGATACCCAGCGAAAAAGCAAGTAATTCCAGGGCAAGATGCGCGTTTGCGCGTAGTATAGTATGGGAAGGAAAGGAAATCCCTTCCCTTCCTTCCGCTCATCCAGCCAGTCCTTACAAAACTTCGACACAACACCACAGAACCATAATCCAATGTCCCATCCACTACAATAAAAATAAAAATCAAACGAGACACTTACCACCTGCCCTGCATAAATATAACCTCTTTTCCCTATCTCCCTCCTAACTTTTCCCCCAAAGCACATAGCTTAGATAAATAACACGAAACGAAATGCCGGCGCCTTTTTTTCCTATGAAAAAAGTTTATTTAATAGAAAGAGGAGGCGACGGGATTTCTTTCAGAGCACGTCAACCAAGCTATTTATCAAGATGGACAGAGTCTAGAAGACATGTAGGTGAGAGCGAGTACGGACGTAGAGCAAATGGTAGGGATGCGATGCTATTCTATTCGATTTAAGGGTTTGGCGACGGGCGTGCGGGTTGAACATTGGACTTGGCGTTGTGCTAAGAGGTATGTGAGAAGTTTTACACACACACTCCGCCTGGGGTGGTGTTTTGTTGAGGAAGACTGTGTTTTATATGAGGATGTGGCTATGGTGGTAGGCTGGAGGGCGGGTGGACTGTGGCGTTGTGTGTACTACGTGTATGTGTAACCGGTGATGAGGGGAGAATTGGCTGTGTTCGTGTTACGATGACCTGCATGACCCAAGAACATGGTCGCAGTGTTTTAGAAAGTATTTGGGATACTTTGCCTAAGTTCTGTTGTATTCTGCTGAAGTTGAAAGTTGCGAGTCTGGCCACTGTCCGTATTCTTACGGATGAAGACGACACCGGCGCGTCTTTCGCGCCGTTGAGACTTGCACAGTACATGAGATGAGTCCCTATATATTCAAGTTTGTGTCACAAGCAGCAGTCGCAAATTGAAATTCGTCATGGATATCATGAACGTTTTGTCATTTCCATAAATGACCTGAATGGTCCCCTATGCTACCTCACGCCATATTGGAACCCGTGAATGTAATGCCGAAAAGAGACCTCCTACAACCGCACTAGTTGTGTCACACCACACACCTAGTACCTCTTGCCCTCGCGGAGCACATCGCTGTACTCCTCGAGCGGGCCTCGAGGCAGCTTGGTCTCCTTCCACAGGTTGGGGGTAAGGAAACCGTATGAGTTGGCGACAGCGACGAAGGTCGCCTTGAGGGTGTTCTCGAGCGTCTTGGTCGAACCAGACGACGCGGTGTAGATGTCATTGACACCAGCGAGCTGCAAGAGACGCTTGACGGCGGGCGAGGCGACGAGGCCGGTACCACGGGGCGCGGGGATGAGACGGACGGTGACGGAACCGCACTTGCCGGACTCCTTGGTGGGGAGCGAGTGAGGCTCACCGAGGTTGGTACCCCAGTATCCTCGTCGGATGGGCACAACGCTGAGCTTGGCGATGATGATGGCGGCGCGGATGGCGGTCGCGACTTCCTTGGAGGTCTTGATACCGAGACCAATGTGGCCCTCGGAGTCACCGATGACGACGATGGCCTTGAAACGGGTACGCTGACCGGCACGGGTCTGCTTCTGGACGGGCTTGATCTTCATGACCTCATCCTTGAGCTTGGGGAGGAAGAAGTCGACGATCTGGTACTCCTTGATGGCGAGAGAGTGGAGATAGCTGCAATTGTCAGTCCTGCGTTCTCTTGCTTCGGTGAAATTTTTCGACCTACATCTCCTCCATGCTCTTGATCTTGCCGGCCTTTACGAGACGACCGAGCTTGGTGACGGGCTGCCACTCCTTCTCCTGTGCCAATTGTCAATTTTGTCTGCGCATTTTCTCTAGCCAGTGTGTATCCGTACCTCGGTCTTGCCGCCACGACGGCCACGGCCGCGACCACGTCCGCGACCACCACGGTCACCACCACGAGATCCGAATCCGCCGCGGGCGGGGGCAGGTGCGTCAGCCATTTTGTGAGTCGGTGTAGGGCGACAACTGAGAAATTGTTAGCTACGGCTACGGCAATATTTTGGAAGAGAAGTACTCACAGATTTGTGCTGTGGTTAGTGCTGGTGTCGCGATGCTGGACCTCAAGATCAATTTTGTGCGGAGTGGTGGCTCGCTTAAGCGAGGGCGGGAAACTTGGCAAGTGCGGCCAGCAAGCTAACCATTTTAGGATTGAACGTCGTCGCAACACCTCTGGGATGAACACCTACTTCAGAATGCCGGAAATGCACCCCCTGTCGCATGCAGCAGCATCCTGAAGAATCACAGAGGGTTCAATTAATATCCACTTACATCACTCCATCTTCACATGTTCAATGGTCTTCGATGAAAGCCATCCTAGCGCCCTGTTTTAATCCCGCTCCATAACAACGCACGAATTTTATATCATAATGTATAGTGCTACACTCGGTCTCTGAATGCCACCAAGTATATCTTCCCTCATCTATCACAGCTCTTTGATGCTGTCAGCTGCGCCTGCCCACGCGTGAGCATTTGTTTTTGGCTTGGCGCGAAGGACTCCCGAGACAACGTCATTGGCTAACGGTCACGTACCAACTGTTCGTACAGCTCACCTGAACAACATTCCACTATGCTGTCTGAGCCTCTGTAGCTCCGGTTCTCTCTCTGTCCCATTCCTACACCCTTCATCACTCACCATGTCGTTACTAAACTCGGTGCTCGGCTCTATATCGCCATCCAGATTCCGCGATTCTTTCGAGGATCTACGTGCGCCAGACCATGAGCTGCCTCTATCTCGCTCCCCGTCCTCGTCACGATCGCCGTCACAAGCTCCGCGCATCCCTCCTCCTATAGCATCCACAGTGTTATGGAGCGTTCCACCCACACATTTCAAACCCGCAGCCCGCGTTCCCGACGAGCTCCTTGCCCTCCAACGAAGAGCGCGGCACCTCGAACAGCAACTCCAAGAGCTGCTCGACGCCCAGGCTGATGGCTTGATGGGCGGGCTAGCGGGGAAGGACTCCAATATACCCGATGACCTTGTCTCGAATGGTAGTACCACACCTACCGTGAGTAGCGTCCGCAGCTCAAGTCACAGCGGTGACGGCGATGAGAACTCATACAGTCTGCCGCGGAAGAAGAAAGTAGGGCTCACTGCAGCGCGGAAGGGGATCTACAAGCGCATACAACAGCTCGCGAGCGTCAAAGCTGAGGAGCTGAATCAATTGGACGAAGATCTGCAGGACTTGAATGGCATTGTAGGGCAGACGGATACGTGGACGAAGAAGCGTGCGCGGCTGGAGCAGAAGATACAAGACATCGAGCAGGGCGAAAGCAGCGCATCACGTACGCAGGCTTTGCACACTGAAGCTTCGAATCTGGAACGCGAGATACGGCAGAGAGAGGAGGAGTTGGCGGCGTTGAAGGCCAGGTACAGGAGTGTACGGACAGAGCTTGAGAATGGAGAAAATGCGGTTGAATCGAAGCTCTCTTCATACAAGGCATCGCTCGCAATACTTGACAAGAACGTTGCAAGTTTCCTCGCCAGGCCACCAGATACGAACCACGTTTCTCTTGCAGCGTCATCTTACCTCTCTCTCCCACCACGGCGTCGGACTCTCGAGATGGCACACGACTACTGGACGGATGAGCACATGCGGCTCGTTGATAAATGCGAAGAAGTCGACATTGAGCGCGCCGCGCTAGACGAAGGCGCCATCTTGTGGAACGACGTAGTCAAGAAGATAACGACATTCGAAACCGCTTTGCAAGACATGATGCAACAAGGTTCGCGCGCCCCATCACCATCGAGAATCATCGCGAAGATGGATGCTACGATCACGTATCTCGAAGAACAGGTGGACTTTGTAAAGAGTAGAGACTGGAATCTTCTCTTCCTTGCCATTGCCGCCGAACTAGAGGCGTTCAAGCAAGGGAAGGACGTACTGGAAGACGCGCTCGGGTTGAAGAAGAGCAAAAAGGGTAAAGAGAAAGCGATTGAGAGCCTCGTCGATACGGATGACACGACCCATGAGAGCGACGAGGAGGTTTCGAGGTCCGCCATACGCATACCGAAGGAGCCGCCTAAGCCAGCTGTGTCTCCGCCGAAACAGAGCTTCTTCGATACAGATAACGAGGACCCGGATCCGGAGTTGATGATCAGTCATCAGGATACTGATACGGACTAGAGTAGGGGTGTTTAGTTCGTAATGATCATCAGATTTCTTGTTGCTATTTGTGTAGTCCAAGTGTTAATAATCAATACTGAAATGATTACTGCCTAACGTGCTTCCCTACGTAACGGATACTCTAGGCTGGGACAAACTTAAGCTTTTAGCGTGAGAAGTCTCTCCCCCACCACTTTTCATAGTCATAGATATCATGGATACGATATCGTTGTTGTCTCTAATATACTCTAGGATTCACCTTCTGATAGTACAGCGAAATCAGCGTTTCTCATATTGTCGATTGGTAGTCTAGAGTATTGCATCTCGCTTTAGCATACTTTACCTTATCCTAAATAATTGATCTAGGTTCCAGAGGTATTTGACGATATTCCTGCTACTGAGGAAATATTGGTTGGGCTTTGAAAATGCTGCTCTTGCGCAATTGAGCAACCACACTAATACCCTCGAACCTACAGCTAGACTTCCGCTACTTACACATGTACGAGGCAACCCAAAAATTACCCAACGTGGGCTACATGGAAAAACGAACGATCGTTACAGTGGTCAAAACTCGAAAACCACCATTCGAGCCACCCAAACCACGGTATCCTCAGCGTCTTCCACACGTTTTTACCCTCCACCTCTCCGGCACCGGCGCTCTGGACATACGCTCCGCCAACAGACGCAGCCATTACATAGATGCCCCTGGTATTCCTGACGTGCTCTCCGTAGTCGCAGTCGCGGTACATGGTGACGATGAGCGGCATCGATTTCGCATCGGTTATCACGAGAGGCGGCTGCACGACCCAATCGTGGCGATACTGGCCCACGCATGCGCGGCGCCCGCCGCTGTAATGTAGCATCATGCCGACGATAGGCCTGTGGGCGTGGTCCTGGTTGACGCAGCAGGTGACGTGCGAGACGTCTTCCAGGCGGCACTTGTTGAAATATATCAGGCTGGGAGACGGGGGCCACGGGGAGGCAGAAGGCGTGAGTGCGGGTGGGTATGGGGTCCAATCTGGGCTGATGCTTGAGACGAAATAGTGGATGTCGGTGCTAGGGAGTCGCTTGAGGGTCTTGTCTATGCCTATAGCTTCGATGGTTTGCTTGTGCAGGTTGTAGTCTATATCGCCTAGGTAGAGTTGTGACGTGGGGCCACAGGATCGGGAGAAGATGCGGAGGAAGTTGGGGCGGGGTTTATTGGCGAAGTTTACCATCCGGCCGAGCATGCTTGCGCGCCCGAGGTTGGTTACGAACTTGCAGCCAATTTCGTTAGCAAAGGTCGAAAATCATGCATTGGGGTGGTATGGCGTGTGCCACACGCATGATAGACAGCTTACCATGAGCGCCCTCCCTCCCTTGTCGAATTGCACGACCCAGATGTTTTCCACATACTCGCCCTCGTCAATGGGCATGTACATCCAGTCACCGTAAGACAGACTTCTGTACGTTCTCAAAACTTGTCGCGAATATCCCGGATTGTCGTGGACATCCGCGATCACTGCATCGACTAAACCGTATGTCGATGATGCGTAGGCGCAATACCCTCTTACATTGGATGCCTGGCATTCAAGGAGCGTCATTCGCGGACCATAGTACTCCATTGTTCCGCCGCTCGTAGATATAGCTTCGTAGCCCTCATGATGTAGGCAGGGCCAAGCTATTAGGTCTTCGCCGTATTTGTGCTTTACAGTCCTTAATTTCAGGCCCTGCGGAATGTTTTCAAGAGTCAGTGGCTAGTCATGGCCCCATGGTGGGCAACTGAGCGATGGAGAGGAACGAACATCGTGGATGCAGACCAAGGTCTGTTCATCGGTATCAGGTCTTATCACCTTCCAAAACGGCAGAGAACCAACCCCAAGAGAAATCTCGACGGGGTGCTCCTTAAGATCGACTCGCCTGACGCCGAGTTGATCGAAAGCCACCCATAGGGCTTTTACTTTCTCATCTCTTCGGGCCCTGTATATACACGGTCCCTTGCCGCCCATATTCGTATTCGACAACCATTGAACATAGGTAACGCCTTCGATTTCACGATATCTCACGTAGATATCTTGCCTTAGATCGAGCCTATATTTGAAACCGTTTGTGGACCTCATCGAGGAGAATATCTCTTGGGAGTGAACAGCAGCCAGCTCCATGACCATGTTTTCCGTAATCATGTCGACGAGTTCCTGTGACAGATGCTTGAGCATGCCTGATCGTAATTTGACCGAGGCAGCATCCCTTATGCGCCTCGCTCTCAAGCGCTCGTCATCATATGATGGCCTGTAATCGTACGCCATGGCAGCTGCAAAGGATGGTGAAAATGAATCCGGCACAATGGAGTAGCATCCGGTGTGGAACGTGTAGGTGTCCTTGTGACGGACTATACAGCTGGACCGTCCGCACATATGGATCCGGATTCCATTGTCGAGGTCCATTTCCTCCATATGGTGGAAGCGAAATTGACTTGTTATATGCTGGTCTCCGCATACTTGATGAAATCTGGCATTAGCAGGTCAAGAGAAGGGAAGAGTTATCTGACCTTGGAAAGGCACGATGCACTTACACGCGGAGATGAGGTCGTTTTCATCATATCTGAATCGACACAGGAAGCATCGCACGTCGACCATGCAATAGTTGGGGCCCCGCGGGGGAGGCACATAGTTACTAGGCGCGACGATATCATAAGAACTCATCTTGACATGTAGAGTCAAAACAAGCTGATCAATGCACGATAAGTACAGTAAAGAAAGCAGATGATCTTTATCTACTTGTTCGTGAACGGAATAAATTGATGCATAGCGATGGAAGCGAGCTCATTTAGATGCGGCGAAGCAGCTGCCTTGAGGTGTTCGTCACCTGACATCACCCTTCTAAACCAATCATAGCCTGAAGGATTCGATGTTCCAAATTCCGCCTAGCGCATGTCAGAGTTCCCCAGACCACAACCTTACATTGGTGTAGAGCCTTAGGATCCTCCCCGTACAAGCTTAAATGGATTTCTCTGGTACTTTGTGCCTGGAAAGAAGCTCTGACACTAAGTGCACTGATGTTCGAGCACTACCTCTGTCCAGGGATTTTTCTTTAGAGTGTAAGCATGCGCTGTGGTTTATATAAATTGGCAGGAATGCTAGGAAGAAAATACGACGCACAGAAAAAGATTTACTTCATGTTCGTAATTTTTGAGATCACCTTACAATGGAAGGATGATAAGTAATACTCATGGTAGACCTACTAGTAGATATAACCAGAGTGTTCAACCTCCAAGAAAGGAGATTGAAAGAGTCTACGCAGTACTCGAACTACGTCAATTCGGTGGGATTGTGAGGTTTGATGGTACTTCGCGTGCATTCATGATGCGCACATCTGCCTCATTTCGACTATGAAACTTGATAAGAGGTAGGAGACGATTCTCCTCGCTGTTTGTGCGGTCCACTTCTGATGGAAGACTAGCGGAATGTTCGATCTGAGATATTAATCCAACACGATATAACGCACCACGGACATAGAAAGAAGAGCTAAAGCTAGACATTGTAATAGTATGTAAGACCTTCCCATGCTCTGTAGGTATAAAGGCCCATATCAAACCCCGCTGATGCAAATGCCGTGGCCCCAGCGCCAATGCCAACAACACAAGGAGACATGATAGGAAATCCGTTCCCCATACACACATACATATCATCAAATACAAGTACAACAAGCAAGCATGCCGAAGCACAACCTCATCTTGTCTCCGCTTTACTATCTACCTTGCTGCTCCTCTCGCTCAACTGACTCCGCTTGCTATGCAAACTCCGGAGCGTGCGCAAGCTCTTCGTACTGGGTATATGCGCGAGTTCTACATCTTTGATCGCGCCGCTTTCTTCGCTCCACCGCCCGGCTGGCGTCCGCGGGCGCATCTGCCGCGCCATTTCCTCGATCTCTTCGTAGTCTTCTGGCTGCGCGGGTTCGCTGTAGACCTGCGTCGTGGTGATGAGTTTGATATCTTTAGTCCCTGCACCAACGAGGTCGTTCTGGCTGTCGTTGTCGAGGGTCAGGGAGAGGGAGCGGAAGCCGCGGCGGGTTCTGCCGGGCATGGGATGTTCGGTGTCTCCGCCTGAGATCGCCCAGGTGCCACCGAAACGCCGAGGCTTTTCGTTCCAGAAGGCGACGAAGTTGTCGATGCCGTTGTCGTCTGCGGGAGGGTCGTCGGAGAATATCATGATGCGGCGGGTGAGCGTGTAAAGGAGAACGTCGAGCCAGCCGTTTGAGGTGATCATGCAGGCTGCTAGACAGAGTCTCGCGTAGGACGGCGGGTTACCGCCCATTGCGGACATACGTGCTGATGCGAGGGGGATGGTGCAGATAACGTAGACGACGGGGTAGACGACCATGAGGAGCGAGACTTCTTTAACGCGCTTGGCTTGTTCGGGTGTGTAATGACCGGAACGGATTCGGAAAATGAGGATGGTGTAAATGGCGACGTAGATGAAGACATTGCCGAACTCAGCGACGAAGATCCAGAAGTAGTGGAGCCAGAGACGGAGGTCCTGCAGGTCGTGGTGTATCCAGCACTAGGTAACTATTAGTCTTTGTGTAACCGTGATGAAGAAGAGGTACGTACCCATACGCCTGACCGCACGTACAGCTCCTTGCCGTACATGCCCACGCCGATGAGTGAGATGCCATAGATGAAGACCCACAGTCCGACAATGCAGGCGAAGAAGCACCTTTTGCCCAATCTATAGTTGAGAATGACAGAAGCGAATGTGTGCAGGCCGATAGCGAAGCACCAGACGCCACTCGACAGATCACCTGTTGATACCAGCCATCCCTGTGTATACTGTAAAATGGTTCCCAGTCAGTAATTGCCTTACATCGATGGCTTTGGGACTTACACATATCGGAGTGCCGACGACTACCGAGTTCACACGGAGCCACTCAATGTTGAGCAAGAAAGCTAGCGACTGCTGAATGTCCGCTATGAGCAAGTTGAAAATCAAGATGACGAATTGGTTTGTGCGCTTGGCTTTCCTTTGCCAGCGAATGAGACGGTACGTGAGCAGGGAAAGTAACGTGATCGCCGAGATGAAAGAAAGGAAGCTGAGGACGACAACGGCTTGAAGCCATGGGCGGATGTGGCCTGGGAGTTCAGGTAGAGTGGCCGAGTCGGCGTCCAGAGGCCCTAGGATGTGTTTTGGCATGGCAGTAGCAGTAGGTACTGCCACCGACGTAAATGGTGTAGATTCGCGATTCTTGCGCTAGTGGAGGCGTTATGAGATACGACGCGATAGCATGTCGACTAGCTGGTGATGGAGAGGGTGTAGATGGGGTGAGGTTGGGCGTTGTTGTTCTATCGTGACATGGCGGGTGCTCGAGTGTGTTTGTAGGTCGATGGGAGTCCTTCGCCCGTCAATGTCACTGGGAGAGTGCCGATAAAGTAGAGACCCGAAGACCAGAAGGGAAGGCAGGGTGGGCTGATCAGATCTGACTACGGTAGGTACCTTTTTTTTCCCTGCAAGCACTAGGATCATCACCTCGAGCGGGAGGCGGCCCACTTACGCAACTACCCCAGTCCTCACCTAAGCCCTGACAGTGGTCCCGATCCCTTCAACAACCCCGGCCTGCACATACAGACTCGTGAGCATCATGGATGAACCGAGTAAGGTGCGGACTTCAGCAACAATTCGTGTCACTCTGCGTCTTTACGGCGCGGTTGTCACGCCGCCGCCATCCAATCGAAGCTAGAAGCCACTGGAAGGCAGCTGGAAGAAGTTCAAGCGCAGGCTCAATGGTAGGTCTGGCGCGGTTCGCACGTGGAGCGCTGTCTGTCAAATGCAACCAATCTGTAGCGAACCTTGGTTGATTGGATGCGCGAGTCGTTACTTGTCGCCGAGCTCATAATCACTTCATATCACTGGCTGCATTGTGCCAAGGGCGAACTGTATTTTTGGCGCAAGTAATGCGAATCTCGTATCCGGCCTTGGTGGCGTTTTCTGGGCCATACAGACGAGACGCTCGGCTGAACTATCTTCTTGGAAACACGCCGGCGTCTTCGGAGCGACCGTAGGGGCTTTCTTCATCGAACCCTGATGGACGTGAATGCTACCCGTGGTAACGTCGTGTGGTATGAAACGATTACATGATATAGAAAGTGTGTTGAGGGAGACTTTGCTGTGGTGAACGTCTGTTTACAGCTGAACGCGATCGGCGCTAGCAAGGGTCCCTGGTCCTTGCCTGTCATCCTTCCTCGAAGCGAGCGCATCGAAAATCCGGCCCCCTACGAGAGTCTGTGCTCCCAAGGATGCCCCTCACAGCATTCAAGGTCAGTCAGGTACGTAACGATATTTGCTGCGATATCGTACGGGCAGCTCTCTACGATCACGGCCTTATGTATACCGAAGTCCGTTCACCGAGCCATAGCAACATAGAGCAACTTCATCCGGCTTTGCAAGCGACCCATCGACCGGAACAGCGGACATGGGATCTGCAAGTCCCGCTTAATGGAGACGCGCTCTTACCACCTGCTCCCTATAACAAAGCTGCTATACTAAGGGTGTGCCTCACCTTGACCGGAGAGGTACAATTGGCGAACCGTCACTGTACATCAACAAGGCCAAACGGCCCTTTACAATCTCTACACTCTGTTTCAGGCAGGGATAATCAGAGATCTACTAACCACTTCTTGACCGTGCTCGATATCGAAAACAGTAAATTCTAAGTTCATTCTAGCGCCGTGATTGATGGAACGTTGATGAAGTTCGCTTCTTCGCTCCCAGTTCGCAACAAGCGCTCTGTCTATGCGGAACCGTGTAACCGCTCCTACTGCATTGTTTTACAAGCAATCTGTACGCTACAGGTGCAAGCCACGCTCGTATGTACTACTTTTCCTGAGACAGTGGCGCCTGCCAACGATGTCGCAACGGCACGCCCCAACGCTCCTGGCAGCCACCACGTGCAGCGGCGAACCCTATGTCCAAAAAAACCACTATAGAACGCACGAGAAAGATGCCTGCGTCTTGTGTTCCGGAGAATTGGTCGCATTCTTTGCGAGGTACGGGGTCGAAAAGGTGCACCCAAGCCTTGGACTGCCGGCAGGAAATCCTTCCGTAATCCTACGATCCTTCTGTGACTAAAATACGTTGTCAGACCGGCTCCTGCTGAAAGACGTCTTTCTCGACGTCACTACTTTCAGAAATTAGATAGTGATCTCGAGTGTGTTCGAGATCTGTGCAACCTGCGGGGGTGGCACCCGTATCGCGTGCAGAATCACGCACCTTCCCGGAGTGGTGAAAGGTTAAAGCGTTATAGTTGATTCCTCGTATATGTGGGTGGGTCTCGTCTGGCGGTCTAGCCCAGGCCTTCGGTAAGATCTTGAGATAACAGAGGCCTGTCCGCGAAGTGGATCCCAGATACTGCAGATGGCATCGTTTCCGATCTGTCTCAAACATCTACACACCATGCAAGTATACATTTACGCAGCATAGGATAATAGCCGAAGCACGAACCTCGCAATCGGATTCACTCCTCTCAACGACGCTAATGATTCATCTCTCAACCTGATGCTGCACCAATCTATATGTCGACAATCCATCACTACACGCAAGTTTATCAGCAGATTATACAATCCCGAACCATAGTCACCAGTCTCGACCTCCCCTCTCTACCCCACCCATCCAATGACGCACCCTCTCCCTCGCTAGACCATCCACTCCACGGCCTCCGTGTACAACTCCGAATCCCATCCACCCAACCACGTGCCATCTCATCCCTACCTATCTTCACCATTTCGCTTCCTTCCTAGGAACCGCATCGGCGGTATCTCGGACGCGCACACTCCACACTTTCTCATCGCTAGTTGTTCCCTGCTCGTGATGCCTAGGTTTAGAGCATAAGATGAGGCTGAAGATCGTGCCTTCATGGGTGTAGCCACGAGGCTGGGACGGGTAATGCCTGAAAGTTGGGTCGCAGCGCTGGAAATAGCAAAGCAGGCGTACATCCAATAAGGCGAGTTCAAGGGTGCACTGTAGTACCGCGCAATTTAGAGGTCTGTATACAGTTTTTCGAGAAGTTATAACGACTAGTACATTCATCGACAACTTTAACCGTGTAGATGTTTACATCCTCGAAAAAAAAAACCTATAGACATGAGTATCGTCCACCAATAGCCCTTACGAGTTGAAATAGTACCCACCTGTTCAATGATCACCACATAGTCACGACATGCAACACAAGACCACCCATCCCTAACCCCCCTGCTTCATCAAACACAAAACCTCCCACATATTCATCCAGCAATACATTCATTGCGCTTCAACACACACACAACTGCATTTAATGCGAAAGCGAGCCGGCAGGAACATCATCCCCGCTCCTTACGCAGACCGCACCACGCACAATCACCTCGTCGCTAGGGAAACTTTTCCCATGTAAGTAAACAAGGGGCTGAAAAACCCCTGCTCTGCCCGCCGCACAACCATGTCGCTCCAAAATAGCAGCGGAAATTAGGACCCCACGCACGAGACAAGGGAGCAAGGGAGGAACGGGCCGCTTGAACCCAAGAAAAAAGCAAAGAAAAGCTGAATGAGATACGGTATGGTGCGATGGGCGACAAGACAGCATCACAGACAGCAGTTGTAGTAGAACAGGAGGAGTGGGAGTGCACAGAGATTTGTAAGTTAGGCATCCCATTTTCCCCATCGGCGTCTAGCGATTTGCCTTTTGCAACGAATGCACTGTGTGCTTTGTGCCCAACCAACAACCCAATCCCAGGCGGGGCGACCAGAAACGCCACTGTAATGAACAGAACAAAAAGATCATGGGGAATCGTACAATATGCATGCATGCACGCCAGCGCAAACCTCTTTGCAACCCAATTTCCAAAGAACCTTCCCACGCGTGTACACGACGGCTATGCACACGCTCACATCCCCTTACGCATGTACAAACGGATTTGCACACACTCACATCTTCCCATCAGTTCATGCGGAATACTGACTCGCCTGCGTCTGCACCCCTCCTGCCACACCGACACCACTCCCCTCCCCTCGCCGAATCCCAATACTGCGTCGGCTCCTGCGTCGGCACCTGCGTCATCCCCGTATAATACAATCCCCAGATCCCTCTCCCTCTGCTGACTCCTAAACTCCTCCCCGCCTCCGCCTCCTCCTGACTCTGCCTCTGCAGCTTCTGCATCTCCTGAATGTCCATGATGATGCGGTTGAACGCCTCAGACACGTGGTGCACCACCTTGTTTCTGTTCCACTCGCGGCGGTCCTCCCAGATGGTTTCCATGAGCGTGGCGTTGATCTGCTCGAGCTGTTCGAGGAGCAGCCTGAGGACTGGGAGACGAGCAGGTCGTGCAGGGCGGACAGTTGCTGTTCGTCGAGGAGGAGTTGCGGGTGGGGATCTTCGTCGCGGTCGTTGAGGATGGCGGTTAGGGCGCCGGGGCCGCGGGGACGGCGGGCGCGGGCATGTCGCGGTGGTCGGAGGACGCCTGTGAGGGCGGCGCTTGGCTGCTGATGTCTTCTGATGGGAATTCTGGAATAGGCGGCAGGTTAGGCTTGAGCTGGTGGTGGGGAGGAGCTGACATGTACGAACTTGACAAACCTTGTGTGTCCGGGAGCTGTGAGCCGCCGGGCTGAGGCGCCATCTCTGAGAAGTCTGGCGCCCCAGCCGGAGCATTGCCGTTTGTGCTTTGGGTGTTGTATTGCGTGCTGAAGCGCGCGCCCGATGATCGATCCGAAGTCTTCTTCCCAGAGGTGGTCGTTGAGGCACTATTCTGGTACTCGTGGGGGTTTGAGTTGGGCGCAACGAAGGTGCGAGCCGATATCTGTGACTTCTGCGTTTGCGTTCCCATTCCACCAGGCGTCTGGAGCTCGTGATGCTGCGTATGGGCATCAAGATCCTGACTATCCGTCATATGCGTGTCTGCATCTGTTCGGGATGGTACAGTAGATCCATTCTGTTCCCCACTTGTCCCGTTTGTGAGAGGAGCAGCCGGTGGAAATGGCCGTATGGGTGTGACAGGGGGTGCTGCATCGAACGCTGGTACTGGCTCTCCTAGCACAATGGGACCGGACGATTCAGCGGTGGTGGTCGACTGCTGCGGTGGTATAGGAGGAACAGCGGTGGGCTCGTTGCCGGCGGCAATGTCCCTCTCACGCTTTTCTTTGGCCTTCTTCTCCCGTTCAAGTTCTCGCAGATAGAGAGCCTCACACTCTGCTGCTAGAGCTGGATTGCCTTGTATGATCCCTTCAATGTCTACCTCCACGTTTGTCACCATCTCATTGGCCTTCAACGTTCGTTCTGTGTCCCCGAAAGTCTTGGAATCTTTTGCCAAAGTTCTAATGTCGAAGAGGAAGTCCCGTGGCCTCTTATAGTACCCATTCGATAACCTCTTCTCGATGTTACCGAGATCGAGATTGTAATACTTGTTACCACTCGGGATGTGGAGCAGCATATCCACACCTTTGTTGTCTTTCGAGAATGCCCAGTGGCGCTCGTTCTCCTGCTGCTGCTGCTGTTCAGGCGGAAGGTCCGTGGTGATGTGGTTCGGGTCGGTTTCTGTCAACAAGTACGAGTACCACGTCTCGTCTAAGCAAGCCTTGAAGAATTTCCGGTAGGACTTCTTCAACTGATCCATGATAGGCTGGATGGTGATTTTGAGCTTGTTCAAGGTCATGCGGTCCTGTTTGCGTTGCGCCTTCTCCCGAGCTGCCATTTCGCGGGGATCTATGACTGGCTCAACGATGGGCGCAGGAGGCAGCTCCGGGAGTATCCGCTTCTTGCGATTGTCTGGATCCGGGAAGTCTGTAGGTGACATGCGTATGTAGGTGGACACTTCAGTGAAAAACTCGCGCCGCGCTTCTTGATCCGGTCTCCTCAGGTCGTAAATGTTCTGCTTCGTGTAGGCAAACAGGTCTTTCATCATGCGAGGATTCAGACGCTCATTCTCGTGCTCCTGCTCCATGACACCCAACAGCAAGACAGGCTCATTCGCCTGGATGTCTCTGAGCATCATGTTGAACATCTTCAACGCGGCGTCCGGGAGCGAATCGTACCATACATCGACGGCTGGGATGTAGATGACGCTGGGTTTGTGGCGTTTCACTTCATTGAAGAGCTGGATTATCGCTTGCTCAGGCGGTCGAGTTGAGTCCTCGTAAATCGTTGGGAGATCAAAGGACTGGACGTGTAGACCTTCGATTTTGCTAAGCAGTGCTGCACTGAGGTAGCGCTGCCCCATGCCTTCCAGTCCGTTGATGAGCAAACGTGGCCGGAACATCCGATTGTTCGTGAAGCTGCGCATGAGCATTTCTTTCTCGAAGCCCTTCTCCTCATCTCGATCATCGTATTGGGCTTCTTCGAGCGCTGTAAGCTTCTTTCTTCGAGGTATGAGCTGATCGAGACGTTCTTGCAGTTCCTTCAGTGGCTTGCGCAACAGTGGCTCGATGCCCTTCGGAAGCGGTGCTGCTTTCGATGTGGCCGTACGCTGCGAAGACGGCACGATCTTGTTGACCGAGATCATGAAATCCTTAGCGAGAACCTTGATGCTCTTAGCGTCTATGAGCAACTTCCTCTCAGACGTGTAGATTTGGGGGTATGTTCCCTGCACCGCATTCAGCGCGGCTTCAGTACACAAAGCGCGGAGATCGGCACCGCCGTAGCCCTTCGTCAACTCTGCCAACTGGTCTTTGATTTCTGGTTTCAAAGCTGGTTCCCAGCCTTTCGTGTGGATGTCGATAATAGCGCGTCGACCTCCAGCATCGGGCAGAGGGAAGTAGAACTCGCGATCGAATCGGCCTGGTCGCCGCAGTGCAGGATCGACCGAATCAGGCCTATTGGTAGCACCGATAACAATAACTTGCCCACGACCATCCATGCCATCCATAAGGGCTAGTAATGTCGCCACGATGGATGCGTGAATCTGCTCTTGCTTGCTAGATCGCACAGGTGCCAGACCGTCTATCTCGTCGAAGAAGATGATACTTGGCTGATTCTTGCGCGCTTCCTCGAAAAGCAGACGAAGCTGGCGTTCGGCTTCACCAACCCATTTGCTGAGTGCATCGGCACCCTTGCGCATGTAGAAGCTAACCTTTTGACCGGATTTGCTGACACTGGAGGAGAGCGCACGGGCGAGCAGTGTTTTACCGGTTCCGGGAGGGCCGTGGAACAAAACACCCCGTGGAGGCGTGATCTTCTTGTGAATGAACACTTCGGGATAAAGTAAGGGGAGCTGCACCATCTCTTTGAGCTTGTTGATGTGATCTCCTAGGCCACCGACTTCGTCAAAGGTAACATTCGGATCGACGCCCAGAGGGTCGGCATCTGCGAGAGCCTTCTTGTCCTTGACTTTGCCTAAGTTGGCCGGGCCACCACCTGCTCCCGCCTGTTGCGGATCAGCATTGTGAGTCTGTGGGAAGCCAAAGCCGGGGGCTGTTGCTGTGGTTGGAGTCATGCCAATGGCGCCGCCTATCGACGGTCTAGGCATCTTCTGCACTTCCTCATCGCTGCTATCTGAATCAGCGCCGCCCATTGCACCGGCTTCGAGGCCACCACCAAATGGACCCTGGTTGCTGAAGAGACTCCGGTATTTGGCGCCGCCTCCTGCCCTAGACCGAGACTTGTCGGCTGCCGCAGCGGCACCTTCTTCATCATCGAATGCCGCATTAAGTTCTGGGCGGACAATGCGATAGTCGACCTGGTTTCGGGCACGATTACGTCGCTGAGGTTTGTCGTAAGCAAGGTCGCTGTCTGGGACGTTCCTGTTGAGGCGGCGCCTTTTGGTGGCTCCCAACTCGACTGCTTCTTCGGCCAGCTCGTCATGATCCAGATCAGATCCTTCACCGGACGAATTGGATTGTCGACGACTCCTAGTCCGTCTCTTCCGAGTGCGATTGGACCTCCTGCCGGAGCCGGAACCACTGTCTTCGGATGTCGACCGATGGCCCTGGGGCTGATCGTCCTCAGACATTTCTTCGTCCTCTTTCTCCTCTTCTGGAGCAGGCTCAAAGTCGCTGCTCTCGTCGACGCCTCGCTTGGGCTTTGCTGCGGACTGCATGTTGTTAGCTTCACTTCATTGACTGCAACAGCTCGACTCACCCTAAGATTTCTCGCGCCACCGCGAGTCACGGGGCCCTCTTCCTCTGAATCGTCGGCTGCGAGTGGATCATGCTGGGATTCCTGAATGACGCCCTCCTGCATCTGCTCGTCATCATCCTCGCCCTCAGCATCATCCTTGGCGGCTTGAGCTTCTTGCTCTGGTGACGCTTCATGGCTCGCCTGTACCTGTGTCTCGGTGTTCTTAGCGAACAGGTCGTCGAGCGGACCAACACTGGTGTCGCGATGTACCATCGAGTCTTCCTGCGATGCCTCCATGATGGCGCTGGCCCTGGGTGCCTTGGCGCCTCGCGTCGCTCGCGTGGTAGGCATAGGCTCGGGGCTGCGCGTACCCTGGCGGACTACGTTGACGTGCTTGCCGGAGTCGGACAGAGCTACAATGGGCTCTTCAACATCGTGGGACAAACGACTACTACGTCTCGTGCCAAACGGATTTGGCGTTTCGCCGCGCGTGTTGGCGATGGACTTGCTGCCCTGGCGGGTGCGCAAGTTCCTTCCGCTTGACATTGTAGAGTTGAGGTTCCGCGCTGCGTCCTCGCCGATCTGGAGCTTCACTATGAGGGACGGATGCTCGATGCTCTGGTGGGCCTTGTTGCGGCGGCGCGGCGCAGGGCTGTCGCTCTCCGAGGGCGTGTCTTGGATCTCGTCTTCTTCGCTCTCTTCGTATTTTATCTGCTTCTTGGTCGCGCGACGCACGCTGCGGCCCGTGTTGGGGTTGATTTCAACCTCTTCCGAAGACGAGCGGTCGGTAAAAGAGTCGTCGGTCACGATCTGGTCGTCGTCGTCGACGTCGGACCCGCTATAACCGCGGCGCTGGCGTTTACTGCCCTTCTTCCTCGGTGCGCCAGACGTGTGTCGCTTCCTTCGGCGTTGTGGTGAAGGACGTTCCGCGGCGTCCCAGTCGTGATCGTCGGGATCCGACGCGTTCGGATCGAAGTGCTCGAGCTTCCGCTTTGTGCGATTCGACATGGAGTTCGATGCGGTGAAGCTGCGTGCAAGACTGCCGGGCTTTAGCAGCTGTAGAGCGGCATGAGGATGCGCTCAACTGACATCGCGCAATAAGTTAGAAATAACTATGAGAGGAGCATCTGCAGCAAGCGATGCGCCCTGTGAGCTCGCGACTGCGATGGCGACAGTGCAGGTGGTAGCGTGCGGTTACCCGGACGCAGCTGTTGATGCAGAATGTCGAGGACGACGCGCGTGTACAGACACAGAGCGAATGCGCTGAGAAAGGCTGCACACGAAGGAACGACAGCCACAAAATATTGTAAAAAGCCGAATTGCGCTCGTCGTCGAACAAGGTTGATGCGGGGGATCAGATGGTATGGTGAGTGTGGTTGTGTTGGGGGTCGCGGTTCAGAGGGCTTGGACCCACCGCGCACGGTTGCCTGTCGTAGACGACATTCTTGGGTTCCAGGAAACACCCTTTCACGACTTTAACAACATGCATTATTTTCCAGCTATTCTGCGCTCTAATGGACTTTCTGATGATTGAAATCACATTTTCGACTGCGACACGTTTGATCCGGGCACTTTTCGGGAGTCTCCCGACTGCCCCTGAAGCATTATTCAAGGTCACAGAACCGCAGTAGATGACCATCCTGCTGGCGATCGACTCTGTACCTGCAGTGCGGCTCAAAAGCTTATTCCTCCCGTCGGTGCTGTCAACGATCTGTGGGGAAGAACCCACGTGTGTGCACGTGCCATCTCAGATGCTGAGACGGCATTCCACGCTCCACCTGTTCGTCCAAAGGACCCGTCTTCACAGATACCATGCGCTTTGAACGTGTTTATCTCTCAGGATTGAAATTACGATTTATCTGCGTGCTCATGGACTTGTGCGAGTGGACAAGAACTAATGCAGGGCTTGCGGAATGACACGCTGATTTGCGAATGCCTACACAGCCTTAGTGTCGTTACAGTGCATGTTATTTGTCTGTTCGGTGCTTGCGCAGGTGCGGCGTTTTGGCTGATCCCTGGCGTTGTGAAAGTCTGGATAGACCCAGACTTAAGCGACGTTGGTGTTGCAGGTCGCCCTGCAATCCGTTCCACTTCCATCACCACCTCAGGCAGAACGACGCACATCTGAACAGTTTCGAAGTGCTCTTAGGGGATAATATCATGTTATTGCGTTTCTAAGAAATATGTTGTGAAAAACAGCAACATGTTGGCTCGATTCAGATGTTCCCACCTAGCGCGGGGCTTCCCCCTTTGCCCGCTGTAACAGGCAGCACTTGAATCATGCAGAATAGATAGTCGAACATCACATAGTCATATTCCATGATTAGTCCTGCTCTGTCATTTTATTTGTTGCCTTTGCAGAATTGAAGTTTTTACATTTCACTTGACAGGTGTCCGTCGCTCAAGCCCCACCCACAGTAGGGAAAGTAATACATAGTGTCAACATGCTACCATTGCTCAATTTTCCGCCGGCTTGAGTATCATACACGTATCTTAAAGTGGAAAAGTAGTTTATAAAGGAGGATGTGTCGTAATGGCTCTGGAGGGTTGCTTGCCCGTTGAATGTGCGCACAGTCGACCAGTTGATCAGCCGGGGTCTTCTGCAAAGGACAGTGGTGGGCCATATCGGCTACTCAACGGGCAGAATACGGTCAACGGCTGTAGGAGTTAGTAAGCTGTTATTCGAGAGAATCGTCGATAGCCAACGTACCTGCTCCTTGCTCCCGGAGATACCCAGTGCAGTCAATTTTCCACTTTACTCCGTCAACTTCGACATGGATAATTCCAAACTGCAGCACCGCAAATTTGAACCTCAAAAAGAAGCTCGTCCACTTCTGTTCCACCCAACGCGCCATAATCTCCCATACCTTTAGCGGAATCGACAGGTGCTCCAAGCCCTGCGTAATACTCTGTTGTCTTGCTCGATTCGCCTCAACTATTTCCGCTAACATAGGTCCCGTCTTCTCGCTGATCGTGGCGTTGAAGATATCCGTTTCGATCACTTGATCCTTCGCCCAAGGCTCTTTTCTTCCGGTAAGTCGCAGCTGCAAGCGACCGCCCCTATATCCGGGAACCACCTCGAGCGTGGCGAGTCGCCGCACGGGACGCTGGTAGATGTGGATTCCAATGGCGCAGAAGGCTATGCCTATCACGATGTACGTCGGTGCGACGAAGAAGCTCAGGCCTTCCGGAAGGACCGAAACCCAGTAGAAGTTGTAAAGGCCTATGCCAGTAGTTACTGTAGCCCATGCATATACTTTCATAAGGTAGTTGTTGCGCGGTGGCTCCTTGTATAGTAGAACAGGCTGGTGCGTTTGTATGACCGACCGAAGGACGGGATCGGCTTGCACGTAGGAAGAGCGACTGGGCGCCGCATAACGTCGGAGTATTGATGCAGAGAATTGTCGAGTAGGAGGAAGCGCGCGGGTGGCTTGCAGTCGGGTGTTCAGAAGGGTCGCGCGGAGAGTAGAGGGGAGGCGGAAGGCATGCGGGTGGAGGAAGCTGGTCACTCCTCGAGAAAAGGCAGCCATGCTGGAGGCAATTAGACCAATGCTATGTCCAAAGCTCGGAGCAACATACCTGAAATACCGCCTGTTATAGTCAAGACGACTAGTCGCTGGAGAGCATGCTGCCGTCGCGTCCCATCAAGCTCCAAAATGTCAAGCCACTATTTTCGGCGACCGCGCGCTCGGACCCTTTGCTCAACAAGCTCGACATTCTTCAACAACCCGACGCTCCTCCACATCCTCTCCCGAAACTGCCTATCCGTGTCAATTGCGCTCCATGGCCTCGATCGCTGCGGCATGTAGGCTGTCGGCGCGTGCTGTGTCCCAGCAGCTGAGGAGCCAGGGCGCCCGCAGAGGTAGAAGCTCGCCGATCGGGGATTCAGAAATAGACTGACAATGAGCCATAGCATTCCACACGGGACAGGCGTCGCTCGCAGCGCAGAACTTCAATATGCCCGCACTCTCTCCGACCATGACCGAGGGCAATATCGCGACGTGGAAGGTGAAGGAAGGTACGACCGCCGACCGGACCGCATCTCGGCGCGAACATGGCTGACGAGCTTTAGGCGATTCTTTCGTCGCCGGAGATGTGCTCCTTGAGATCGAGACGGATAAGGCACAGATGGACGTGGAGGCTCAGGATGACGGTGTGCTGGCAAAGATTTTGGTACGCTGCGCTTCCCAGATGAGGAATGCTACATCGGGGCTGACATGAAGTAGCAAGGCGATGGTTCAAAAGCAGTTCAAGTCGGCACGCGGATAGCAGTCACTGCGGAACCAGGCGATGACCTCAGCACTCTCGAAATCCCCGCAGACAACAGCAAGCCCTCCCAGCCCGAGGCTTCCAAGGAGGCTTCCAAGTCAGAGTCCGCGCCCGCGCCCAAGAAGGACACTCCTGCCTCATCGTCTAAGCCTGCCTCTTCAGGCGCTTCCAAAAGCCCGGCTGGAAAAGCCCAGAAGCAGACCTACCCACTCTACCCTTCGGTGCAACACCTGTTGAAGCAGAATGGATTGCCCAAGGAGGAGGCCGACAAGATTCCCGCGACGGGTCCTAATGGAAGGCTACTGAAAGGCGACGTGCTTGCCTACCTGGGAAAGATCAACGAGTCCGCTGGATCGGAGGTTGCTGCACGCTTGAAGCAACTCTCACACCTGGATCTATCCAATATCAAGCCCATGGCACAGAAGCCCAAGCCGGCTCCCGAGAAAGCGGCAGCGATTCCTGAAGAAGTTCTCGAAGAACTGGATATCGAGGTCGCGCTGCCCATCTCTCTCAAGGCAGTCACCGAGGTTCAACAGCGTGTACAAAAGTCTATCGGCGTATTCCTGCCCCTCTCGACCTTCATCGCCCGCGCCGCAGAGCTCGCAAACGAGGACCTTCCTCGGTCCCAAGTAGCCAAGCCCTCTGCTGACGAGCTTTTCAATGCGGTGCTTGGTCTCGACAAAGTAGGTGGAAAGTACTCTCGCGGCGACTTCGTGCCTCAGGTCACGGCACTACCTCCCACCACTTTGAGCCCTAGGATACCAGCTAGGAAGCCAGATGTCCTGGACTTCCTCGCCGGAAAGAAGGCAGCCGCACCGAAGGCGCCTGTCGGTGGAGCGGCGCAGGTGGTCGGTCCGTTGAATGTGTTCAGCGTAAGTGTACCGAAGGGCGACGAGCGAAGAGGACGCGTCTTCCTGGAGCGCGTCAAGAGCGTTCTGGAAGCCGAGCCTGGACGATTGGTTGTCTAAATACCAAGTCGCCTGCTCTGTAATCTGGATGTACAATGATACTATATTGGCACGTTATAGATGGCGCGTGAATCATTTGTATTCTTAGCTTTGCACAGTTCGCAACTGCTGCTATCTACTCCCATAACCTTTCAACAGTCTACACTTGCTCTGATCCGGCTTTTCGACGCATGCAGCGCTTTCCCCACTGCTTGGGCCTGCGGGTCGGATCGTCCTTCCCAAAGTCTCGTTTCCTTGGCCATCTTGGGACCGACCTCGATGCGACACCAGAAATTGTGGGGGGCTCAAGTGCTGTGACAACACAGTGACATTGTACGCTGGCATAAACCACAAATAAACCGGATGCGGGTGCTGCGAACCATGGATGCGCTGCGCTGTCAACCGAGATGCACTAAATTATATGGCAGATGCAGCTTGACCCAGGAACCAGATACCTCGTTACCGACGGCATCGACTGATGGCAAAGTACCGCAGAGCCGCATCGACTGAGCGGTACTGGATATGTATGGAGCTCGCCCGGTCTTCGGCTGCCACGGGACACGGCTCTGCTGTCTGCGCTGAGCTTCCTGCGGCCTCCCCACGCCAAAGCAGCTCGAGCCCTGCAGGTGATCACACCATTCGATTGGATTGGCGGTGAGCGTGGGTTTTGTGCTACCCATCCCCATCCCAGGAATAACAAAACCTGGCTTGAAATTCCTACCTGTCCGCGGCGCGCCTCACTCTGTCTCTCGTACCAAGGGGCGACCAACGCACAAGCTTCAACATCCACTCCAGACAGCTGTCGTGTTGTGCTCGTCGTTGGCGGCGCTCCCGTGCCTGTCCGCGCCTTCTCCACGATTTCCCCGAGTTGCGCTAATCGATAGCTGGCAATTAAATTTTGTCTGTGCATGAACTTCGCGCCGAAACCCGCACAGCTCTAAGCTCCTCCTAACGGCTCGCTGCTGGCCGAGTCACACGCCCATCAATCTCTCACTTCCTCCACCCTCCCGACTATCATTCCGACTCGACGACTCTCGTTATCCGCCATTGATACCTGCATCCCTGTGCTAACGCCGACTCCGCCATGGCGACTGTAACGGAGCAGGTCGGCGAGGTGCTCCTCGGCACCTCCGATGCGCCGCAATTGTCCTCCATCATGCGCCAGACCTTCTTCCGACACGCCAAGAAGGATGAGAAGGATGAATACGTCTTGGAGGAGAAGGATTTCATCGACGCGGTCGCGCCCGAAAGCGAGGATTATGTAGATATACCCTCTGCAACGTGTCGAGTGCATTGGAGCTGACCACGCGTGTTTTCTAGCACAAAATCAAGCGCTACCAATATGGCATCCTCTTCTACGTCGCAGATCGCGAGCAGAAGGGCAAGGTGACCCTCCAGGACTGGGCTGTCTTCCAGAACCTGCTTGCGAAGCCAGATGCCGAGTACGAAGTCATCTTCCGCTTCTTCGACCGCGATCGCTCTGGATACATTGACTTTGAGGAATTCTACGGGACATGGCAGGCGCACAAGGGCGAGGACAGCCTGCCGTTCAACTGGAGCGGAGACTGGGCGACGCTTTACATCGGCTCGAAGAACAAGCGGCATATCATGACCTATCCTCAATTCGCGCAAATGCTCCGCGGACTGCAGGGAGAGCGCGTTCGACAGGCGTTCGTGCATTTCGACCGCAACAAGGATGGATTCATCGAGCCTGAAGAGTTTCAGCGCATCATCCGCGAGACCGCTGCCCACAAGCTGTCTGACTACCTTCTCGACAACCTCCCCACCCTTTGCAATATCGCGACTGGCAGCAAAATTTCTTATGCCAACGTGCGCGCATTCCAGAACATCATCCAGCAGATGGACATGGTCGAGCTGATCATCCGGAACGCAACGATCAAGAGCACCGACGGCAAGATTACCCGCACAGATTTTCTCAACGAAGCCTCCAGAATCAGTCGCTTCAACCTGTACACGCCAATGGAGGCAGACATTCTTTTCCATTTTGCGGGCTTGGATGAGCCGTCAGGGCGACTAGGCCTGCGTGACTTCGCTCGCGTCCTGGACCCTTCGTGGCACACGGCGTATACACTCGGAACCGACGCGATTGCGGATGCCGGCCAGAAAGCTTTCGCCGGCACGAAGACTCTTCTGCACGATGTTTTGGAATCGGTGCATCATTTCGCGCTCGGTTCGCTTGCGGGAGCGTTCGGTGCCTTCATGGTGTACCCGATCGATCTCGTCAAGACGCGCATGCAGAACCAGAGAAGCTCGGGCGTCGGCCATGTTCTTTACAAGAACTCGCTCGACTGTGCGAAGAAGGTCATACGGAACGAGGGTTTCAAAGGCCTGTACTCTGGTGTTTTGCCACAGCTCGTTGGTGTGGCGCCGGAGAAGGCCATCAAGCTGACGGTGAACGACTTGGTGCGCGGAAAATTCACAGACAAGGCCACAGGCAACATCTGGTGGGGTTGGGAACTTATGGCTGGTGGTTCAGCAGGTGCCTGCCAAGTGGTACTATACCCTGCATTAGCGATGTAGAGTCGACTGGAAGCGTGCTAACTGGACGGCTGCAGGTCTTCACGAACCCTCTTGAGATTGTCAAGATTAGATTGCAAGTGCAGGGAGAATTGGCAAAGTCTGCAGACGTGCCGAGGCGATCAGCCATGTGGATTGTGCGCAACTTGGGTCTCGTCGGCTTGTACAAGGGTGCTAGCGCCTGTCTGCTGCGCGATGGTGAGCTTGTTTGAACGGAGGTGACATGAACATGGGCGCTGACGACTATAGTACCCTTCTCGGCGATCTATTTCCCCGCATATAGCCATCTGAAGAGGGACTTCTTCGGCGAGAGCCCGCAAAGGTCGCTCGGCGTGTTGCAGATGCTTACCGCGGGTGCGATCGCGGGTATGCCTGCAGCATACCTCACAACACCGTGCGACGTCATCAAGACCAGACTGCAGGTGGAAGCGCGAAAGGGCGAGCTTTCCTACACAGGCCTCCGGCACGCGGCTACAACCATCTACCAACAGGAGGGCTTCAAGGCCTTCTTCAAGGGTGGCCCGGCCCGTATTATGCGATCATCTCCCCAGTTCGGCTTCACCCTTGCTGGCTACGAGGTGCTGCAGCGGTACGTAAACGATCTAGCCTATATGAAAGACCGCTGACATGTTCGCAGCTCGTTCCCCATGCCAGGCTCCCACGCAAGCGAAGGGCCCAGCGGCCACGTCGAGCCCGGCGTCGGGCTTGCAGAAGCGAAGGCTCCGTTGCCGTACCTGCGCAGTCGCAACGCGCTCAAGGTGATCCTCGACCTGGACGAGAACTTTGGGCGGCCCCGGTTGCCCAAGGGCCAGAAGTTCCCGGGCATACCTGGATTCGGCGGCAAGACGCAAGAGTCGTGATTCAGGCGGCCCCTGCAATCGAGGTGAGGGGTGCAGCGGAGGGGGTAAAATGGCATTGGACGGATTTGTCGCATGAGGGTTGCATCTGGCGTGGTCGAGCGTTAGCCAATTGTTGTGTTTTTGGCGAGCGTTGGGCAGAGGGGCGCCTGTCGGTTTAGTCCGTCAGCCGCACTGGGTGGGGGCTTGAGGGCGGGCTTGCCCATCTGGGGCGGCTTGTTGCGTTACATGCATATACATAGAGGTCGGTGGTCAGCCTGCCGCGGGCTGCGGGGGTGTACGATAGGGAGCGGGGCCATGTAAGCAGCGGTGAATAGGGAGAAAGCGCGCATTGCATACGACAGAGCCCCAGAGCAGGCAGATACATCAAGACTGGCAAACGGGGCTTAATCTATTCGACCTGTTCTTACTGGACACTCGCAGACACACTGGGGACGTAGTGGGGGCTAGGCCTGTTCGGGCGGGCGTTGTGCGGGGTCGCTGCCATGGTCGCTGCTTCCCGATTCGAGCGCGTGCTCAGGTGCTCAGGAAGGAGCCCTGGAGCAGGCACGGAGTCGTCGCGGGGAGCATCTCGCTGCTCCAACGAGCTAAAAGACAGTCAAGCCAGCAAGTTCTCCTTTTGCCGTGCCGGCGACGGGGCGTGGGCTAAGTGTGGGCAGCCCGTCTGCTAGCGGGCGTTGGCGCTGGAGACCCCAAAGACCCCGAAGAGTCCAGGCGGAGAGAGCTGCGTTGGGCCGTGCAGGCGCCCCCCGCGGCTTGACGCTTAGCGACACGCCTTGTCCTCGAATGAGGCTCCATCAGCCTCCAAGAGTGTGTGCTCCAGTCAGCCTACAGAGACCTCCCGCTGCGCCTCTGACCCTGGGACGCTGATGGCTCCCCTTCCCTCTTGGACAGCTTCACCTCCTCCGCGAGCAGAGAGTCGCCGTCCTCCGCGAGCCACCGCGCCGTCTCAGCCGCTGCCCACCCCACACCTGTCCTGCTCGACACGAGGGAGCCCTCGCCCGGCGTCTGCGGCCCACGACGCACCGCGAGACCCCGCCGCCAGAGCCCTGCGCGAACGCCCGCCCTGAGCAACGAAACGAATCTGTTTTGTTTCCTCGTCGCGGAGCCCACGGGCACGCGCCCCTGAGATCGTCTCCCCATGCGTTCGTCGAACCGGTGCCTTGGAATCCGACTTTCGCATTGACGTAGGCTCGCGATCGGCGCCCCGACTTTCTCCACCGCTTGAGGCTGAACGGCTTCGAGTTGCACCTCGGGTACGTCTCCACCGCGCAGAGCCGCATTCCCGCAATTCCTCCGTTTTCCTGCCCACATTTTTCAATCGCTCGTTTGCTTTAATCTCCTGCTGTTTTCGACGTGTGCGCTGTAAAAAGCCCGTGAGATTCTTTCTAGCTGCCTGTTTCGGTTCTCCGTCTCTCTCGAGGACCACCGCCTAGTGCTACTGGCCGCAGCCTTGCCCGCTGCAATTTCATGAGGGCCACAGTCCACCTCTGATCATGTGTTTCGAGCTTTTCATGGGCGCCGCACATTCCCAAAGTCCGTTCTACACCCTTCATGCATCTATCGCACCACATGGTCGTTGCTTGTGCCTGCGCTGACCTTCCTCAGTCCTCACTGGCGCATGCTCTACCGACATCAGTCTCCAGCCCTAGGCTTCAACGTCCAGGCCAACTTGCACTTCTTCCCACCGCAGCGTGGGGGCCATTGCTGCTTCCGTCCCTCAATCCCACCAGTCGCTTGCTTTCTCCGACCGAGGCTACGCTCCACGGTAGTAGCCTCCGCGTCAGGAGCGAATGTCAGCCAACTACGATTCCGACGACGCACTCCGCAAATCGCCAGGCCTTGAACCATTCCGTCCGCGCGCCACTCCCTCTGTTTCGCCGCCCCCCATAGTGACCCACCACGTGCCCCTCTGTACGACTATTCAGAACGTCAGTCCATCCTCCTCGAGACGTCGCAAGAAGTCTAATCGGAGAAAGACCAGGCCCAGCCAGGGCGACTTCGTCCTCATCAGGGTCATGGATCCGAACCAGCCCGATATAGCGCGGCAGGTGGGTGAGCGGGCGCTCAACTCCGAATCGGGCTCGGAGATGGAAGATGAAGAGATGGAGAACAGGAGTCCGATCGAGGTAGCGAGTGCCGATCATGCGAATCACCCGAGGTCGGATGGGGCGTCTCTGGACTTGTCAAGAGTGGCGCAGAGAGCCCTGAGCGTAGATGCGACGACACAGCATACGTTCGCAAAACCACCGCCGCCGTTGCATCGAGATTCGGTTGTCGAGCCGGACGGCCATGATGCACTGCGCAAAGCCAGCTTTGCGTCTCAGGCGACGGATACGTCGGGGAATGGCTCGCTGCTGTCAGTCAGCGATGCTCTCGCGAGAACTCGGACGCTGAGTGTTTCCGCCACCTCTGCATCGTCGAGAGAAGAGCGCAATGGCTCGATTGCAAACGGCCATGCAGACTCTGGCTCATCAGGGAGGACTCCAGATCTCCACGATCTAGCCATACCGTCCCGGAGCGGCTCACCCAGCCAAAAGCTCCCGGCACTCCAAACACCACAGTCGCCGCCTCAGAACGGTGCAGCAGCCTCACCTAATACCCAGAAGCAACAACTCCCAGGTTTCCGACACCTCAGCGATCTCGCAGAAACAGCGATACAAGAGCAGGAAACAAGGAATAACAGCATCGCACACCGCCAGTCCATATCCTCGACCGGCCAGTCGCCTACATCGGTTGGCCGCCAGCTCTCTGTTACATCACTCTCCCCCAACAGCACATACGGCCCGCATAGCGCGGCCTCCCCCAACGGCGACCCCCAATCGCAGTTCCAGACTCGCGACCCCTTCCTGCGGTCAGGGCATGGGCATCTCACGCTCTTCGCCAACACGCGGCGGCCCTCGCAAGCGTCAGATTCGGGTCCCTACTCCGCGACAACACTGCACTCCGCCACGACAGAGAACAGCTATAGCTCCGAGGGCGTGAGTCCCGGCGCGCAGGTCACGCCCATCGAGATGCGCGGCGGGCCAGGCGGACGTCTGAGCATCGACGGCGCCCTCGCAAGTAGGACGCTCCCGCCGCCGCCAGGCGTAGGTGCAAACATCGGCTTAGTCCCCAGCCACGGCAGCGGCGGCTTCAAATGTGACCACCCCGGATGCACAGCATTACCCTTCCAAACGCAGTATCTTCTTAAGTACTTCCCCCTTTCTTCCTCCTCTCTCCTTCCCTCTCCCCCAATGCTAATGCTAAATAAAGCTCCCACGCAAACGTCCACTCGCAGTCCCGCCCACACTACTGCCCCGTGAGCGGCTGCCCCGCGCAGAAGGCGGCAAGGGCTTCAAGCGCAAAAACGAAATGATACGCCATGGGCTTGTGCATGCGAGCCCGGGGTATGTGTGTCCGTTTTGTCCGGATAGGGAACATAAGTATCCGAGGCCGGATAATTTGCAGAGGTATGTTCATTCTGAGTTTGGAGGAGAGGTGGGAAGGGGTGGGGAGGGTGGCTGGGTGAAGGAAGCCTGGTGGGTGGGTAAATGGGGAGGGGAAGGGGAAAAGGGGTGGAAAAGGGATGAAATATGCTAACGGGAAGAATAGGCATGTTCGAGTGCACCACGTCGATAAGGATAAAGATGATCCGCAGTTACGCGAGGTGTTGGCGCAGAGGCCCGAGGGGGGGAGTCGGGGGCGGAGGAGGAGGGTCAGTGATGTTTGACTACCGACATGACCGCTTCTTTTAGGGACGGTGTGTAGGACGAGCTGCGTAGCCTTGGGTAGCTCGAAGCAAGGACTTGAGTGAGGTTTGTGCTGATGTTTAAGTGCGTTTTCTTTTTCAAGCGAGCGTGCTTTTTACACTGGCGTTCTGGCATGGGGATCCCGCACGACGTGCACGAGCGGCATGTTGCTCTCTTCTTCTCCTTTCTTCTCATGGGATGTTATGTTACAGAGACCGCGTTTCGGCGGTCGGTCGGACGTCGTTGTCTGTCTGTCTGTCTGTCGCTACTAGACACCAGACCAGCGCCGAGTCCTTTTCGTCCGTGTTCGTGTCCGTGTGGTATAGCGTGTGTGTTTTCTGATACCACTGTACCACTGTTGCTGTTGCTGTTGCTGTTGTAGTCGTTTACATACGGGCCGATGCGCGGTCCGCATGCGTGGGTGGAAAAGCGGAGTCTGTACCGTACCTACCGTACCTGACGTTCGATGTCTGTGCTGTGGAAGTGAATGAGATGAGGTGGAATTGACGACTGTGTTGCTGGTCTGGCTTCCCTGTTTATCCTATGGCCCACGTGGAGCGTGCTGTCTCGTAACATACCACGCTCATACTGCTTCTTATTCTCATCTTGGTCCTGCGCTGTGATGTGGTACGATACGTTGCCTCGCGTTGCGGTAGTATCCACATCCACATCCAATGTATCCAATGTGTCCACCATATCGAACGACGTCGAACTCACCCTCTCTTGTCCAAAGCCCGGCACATGTGCGTTTCACTGCGACGAAGGGTGGTTAGGTTGTTGCTGTGTGATGGAGAGATGGAAAATTAGACGGAGAAGGGGAGGTGGTAAGGAGGTATGGGGTTGTATGGGTGTATAGGGTTGGGGGAGGTAGTAGGAAAGAGGGGGAGGTAAGGAGGGTACAGTGATAAGGTGGTGAGGAGGGAATGGGGATATAGGGGTTATATAGGAGTGCATAGGGTTGTTTGGGTTGCGGGAGGAGGGTAAGGTGAGGAGGGTGAGGAGGGTGAGGAGGGTGAGGTAGGGTTAGGGGTTGAGGTAGTAAGGTTGTGAGGAGCGTGAGGTGGTAAAGTAGTGAGGAGCGTGAGGTGGCGAGGTAGTAAAGTAGTGAGGAGCGCGAGGTGGCGAGGTAGTAAAGTAGTGAGGAGCGCGAGGTGGCGAGGTAGTAAGGTGGTAAGGAGGTATAGTGTCACTAAGAAGGGAGAGAAGAGAAGGGAAGAGGAGAGAAGCAAAGTGGCGAGATAGGAAGATAGCTAGCGAGATAGACAGGTAGCTAACCAGCTATGTGTGTAGGATAAACACAAAGGAAAAGGTTCAGCAGGTTAGGTACAGTGCCAGCATGTTATGCCCCTTCGGCCTCTAAAGGGGTATACGGCGCTAAGCGTTTACGTAGTAAAAGTAGCTTTTTCAAGTGCGCAGAGGCTGTGTAAGGTCCTAAATCATGTAGCGCTGATTGTGGGTGTAAGGGCGAGGGGTTGTGTCGGAGGGGGTGTAGCTTTACCCCTCTTACGCAAAAGTATCTAAGCTATATGTAGATGGCGGGCGATCTTTCTTATAGAAATCTCGCTAGATACCACGGTGTGTACTTAAATAAGCCTCCTATTACCTATGTTTTATTAATTTAATAGCTTTAGAGGCAGGCGAGATGGCAAAAGGGTACTAGGATATTGTATAGGTCTACTAAAGTAATATGTCTCCTAATGGAGAGACGTTATCTGTTTATTAGATGTGTTATCAGTGTGTGAAGGTAAGACGTAGTATAATGGCGTAGGAAAAATGTGGGAAAGTGGGATAAGTTAGTGGCGTTAGTTAGTATAAAGTCGAGGGGGGTTGGGGATGGATTGGTAGAAGGTAGTATTAGGTATTCTAGTGAAGTATATAAGCGTATGTAGCTAAGTTATCCTTCCCCCTCTGTACAGGGTCAGGTAGGTCCGTATGGCTAGCCAATCGTGTTTTCGGGGTATCGCATTTGCATCGGTGAAGCGATTAAGCGACAGTAAAGATGTTGAGATACGGCCGAAGATCAGTATGTTGCTATGTGATGATGCCACAGTCGCGTTTGATCAAGTACATGTTCGTTACACACGCGGTGCGGGGACGATCCCTACGATTACGCCAAGGCAGAGCTCCAGGGCTGCCATGGGCCACAGCTGAGCCTCGCGGCCTCTTCAGCTCATTTCCATACACGGAACGACTGAAGGAGTACCACAAGCTCGACGATATTCCTCATATCGCTTGAAAATGGACCCTTCGAGGGCTACTGTTTATCCAGCTGCACTCCGGGCTTCGGGAAAGCGTGAGTGTGACCTTGCCACCACTACAAACGACCAACAACCTACTCATACTACTTAGCTGAGACCGAGTCAACGAGCGCGACGAGTATTTATTCAACATCCCAACTGATTTCGTGGCCAGCCGCAACCACAAAATCTGGCGCCCTCCAAACCGAGCAGCCCTCGTTGGCCTTGGACTTTCTAGTGACACTTGCTATGACCAAAGTCGCCTTAACGGGCCAATACTACGACAATGGCCCTGAGCGTGACCTTCCCGTTGGCTCTGGGAGTGTGGCGACCGTAGTTCGTTCCGAAAATTTCCTGGAGGATAATGTGGTCGCTCTAAAACAAATCCGTGGCCCACCAAAAGAACGCGCGGCAGAACGTAGCCAATTTGAATACCAGCTCCGTCGCATATGCCTAGAGCTGCGCATTCTTAGTCATGAACCCCTGAGGGAACATGCCAATGTCGTAAAGCTTCTAGGGGTTGGCCTCTTCACAGACTGTGGACATCCTTCTCTTTCTTTGGCTCTAGAGTACTCCGACTACGGCAACTTGAAAGCTTTCTTGGCTGCTTCTGGGGAAGATTTGGACAATCGAGCGTTGGTTGGGTTTTGTGCACAGGTGGCTTCGGGACTTGGCGCACTCCACCTTTCAATGATATGTCACGGAGATGTGAAGACTAGCAACTGCCTAGTTTTCCGGGAAGGAATTGAATGGAGGATCAAGATTTCGGACTTTAGTGAATCAGTTGTGGGACAAGCTGATGATCCCTCACTCTTGATACGGTGTAATTTTGGAACCCGGTTTCTCAATGCTCCCGAGTTACGGCAGAGCGGTAGCTGCTATCTCGACATCCGTTCCGCCATTGCTGCCGATGTCTATTCCTTCGGACTCCTTACATGGGAGCTGTTGAAAAGAGGGCAATCGTATCTGGATCCTTTGTGGTGTGCTGAAAGAGAGTCAACGGTCGACGAAGATGCTATGGAAGATTTTCTGGAGAGGTTAGGGCCATACGGCTTGATTGATCTGGGGGAAAGGTATTTGAGAGACAATATTCTGGAGCCGCAGATTGTCAAGAATGTGTCTCGAGTGTTTGAGGCATCATTGTGCGGCAACGCTTTGGAGAGGTGTTCAATGAAGGAAATTCGCGAATTTCTAAAGATGGGAAGCGAAGAAGATCAGTGAGTAACAATCCTTCTTTTCGGAATAGCTACTGAGTTGCTTTGAATCAAGGTCGGAAATCGAGGATGAAGCTCCGGCACTGCAACAAATTTCGGATTGGAGTACCAACCGGAAGGCCCTTATAGAGGTATGGTGTTTGCCCCATATCCGCATTGACGTGTTGGCTCAATCAATTTAGTTGATCGAGTCTGGGATAGACCGTGATAATTTCAACATTGAAGGTCTTCCTCTGAAGATCAAAAAGCACATAACAACGCAGATTAAGACCATAGCCCTATCAGAAGGACTTCCAAGACAATCAAGGATACATGCCGCCCTCTGTGCGGCCGAGGCTTACGCGTTGGGGTTTGGTGTCGAACATGACAAAGAGAGCATTTTACATTGGGTGTTGCAGGCAGCTGAGCTAGGATCTGTCAAGGCTCTCGCCTGGTATCCACGGCTCTGCTCTGCATTTCAAATGAAGCCTCTTGTCAATGATCTGACGTCACCATCTTTGCTTCTTGAAGGACGAATCTCCCAATGTCCGCCAGAAAAGTATCTTGGGAACCGTATCAGGCTGCAGGTTCAAGTAATGATTGAATCGATTCAGGCTCCAACCAGCCCCGAAATCAAGAGTCATGGCACTTCGCTTGGATCTATTTCGAACTTCATGCTTTTCAACAATTGGGAACCGGACATGTTGCACCCAATACACGTTGCTGCTCTTACTGCAGACGAAGTTGCTATCAATCGCCTATCTAACGATCCCAGATCGGTTCTCTTATCCTCACGTGGATTCAGCCCAATTCATTTTGCTTGCATTGGCGGGCATCTGTCGGTGCTCGACCTCTTGCTCAAAAGTGGTATGGAGGCCAACTCAGGTGGCGGTAGAGTCCCTACTCCATTGCATTGTTGTGTATTCTTCAACGAAGAGGAGGCATGCGCAGCCGCTGCTCTTCTCATAGCGCATGGAGCTGATCCGAGTATCGAAATTGATGAGGTTGACTGGGAGTACCATGACATACAACCACTTGGAACCCCACGTGATTGGGCAATAGAGTGTCGACATAGATCGCTTAATCAATATCTACTGCCTTTCGAAAAAGATGAGGAGTACATGGCGATGATCGCAAGGTCATTTTTCTGGGAGCTTGGTGGAGACCTCAAGGAGCATTTTCGTGAAGCCGGCAAGGTCCCATCATCCGAATCACACATACACAGTGTTCTTCAACCAATCGCAATGTGGATCGCACATGGGGCCAATTATTCGGAGGCAATGAGACGAACAGCTCAGTTGTGCATCGAACACGATCAAGAGTATGGCCTCTGCAAAGGGCAGAATACGAATTGGGAAAGTCTTATGCTCCTCATCAACAACGCACGCTTTGAGGACGACTTTGTGCTCGTTCACGCCTATTTGGACTTTCTGCCAGTTGAAGAAGTGAAACGACAAGAATGTGATGGACGAACAGCTCTTTCAGACGCAATATATCGCGCACAAGACAAGAGGATATGGACCGACGTTATTCAAAAGTTGGTGAACATGTACACCATAAAGGAATTAGAGGTCAACGTATTGGCAAGGCACGACGACCCAAGTCCGCCGAGCGAGGTATATCTATCCTATTACAAGTACTTCCCCACAAAGTTCTATCCATATTTGCACTGGGCGACATTGCATGAATCCATTATTGGAGCTCGCATTCTACTGCAAAAGGGTGTAGAAGTTAACCAGACCTGTTCCGAGAAAAACTTCGAGACCCCCTTCGCGACTTGTCTTGGACAAAGAGAGTCGGCAGATATGTACAACCTGCTTCTAAGTTATGGGGGAAGGATGGATCCTAGAGACCCCACCTACTGTGATTCCATGCTCGAAGTCCACCTACTCCGTTTGGAAAATGACTATGACTTTCTTGAGATAGCAATGCGGAAGGAAAAAGAACTGGGTACTTTCGCACAGTCCCTCCATGGCGCCTTCGATAACGCAATCGACCTCTTTTCTTCTACTTCACGGAACCTACCCAATGGCTCTGAGTACTTGCTGGGATCGAATTTAACGGCAGAACACATCAACGAGCGGGACAAGCTGGGCCGGACACTAATACAAAAATCGGCGAAAGGACTCAGCGCTGAAGTTGTGAAGCTTCTGCTGGAAGCAGGCGCAGACGCTAGCATTACATTCGAGGATGAAACATCAGGAAATCATCTGACACCATTGGAGATGGCTTGTATTACCGGCAGATCGTTCAACCGCGTCTCATATACAGTAGAGTCCAAAGCACGGTTAATATCGAAACGAGACGCATTGCCAGTCGCCTCAGAACTACTGCAATGGCATCACGCCAGGTCTGATGGATTATTCGAAGGTATAACGAAGCTTCATCTTGCAGCCTATATACACTCGGAAAAGGATATAAGAGTGCTACTCGACGCTGAGTACAATCCAGAGGCGAAGGGCAGGTGGCCTAACATTCCATATCTAGTTACGCCGAAAGCTCTATGTCGGGCCAGGCACGACTACTGGTCAAAGCAAACAGGTACTCAAAACGAAGATGTGGCACGTGCTTCCCCCGAAAGTGGTATTGCGCCAGAAGCTCCTTGCCACAGTAACGATCCTTTTTGGGACATTCCTGTATGGGACGTAGAAGAGCTGGACGGCATGGACAGTGAAGTGAAGGAGTTCTTTTTATCCCTCGATTTTGAGGCCACAGCGGAACGATTACGCACTATAGATGCCATGCTTCCGGGCTAATCATGGAGCTGATACAACCCTAGTGGGTGTGACAGCTCTAGCACCTTCTCGTCCTCAATGAAATGGATCTCGCTTCAGATGCTTCCCCTCCACCAATTCCGGATGAGGGGCGTTGTTCAGCTTTCCTATCAGCTCAAAGAAATCATTTGGATGCGCTTGTTTGATAATAAATTCGCCGAGTGGTGCACGAAACCCTGGCTTTACGATCCAAACAGTGTCTCCAATTTCGAAAGGGTACTGCGAGGGTTCGTTGGCAAGCGATCTTTAGTTCGCGAAAACTATCGTACCGGTGCCGCAACTGCATATTGCCCCACGTAAGGCTTTCCGGGATCGGCAGCCTTGCTCGGGCGTTAGAGGTCACGTTTGCAGAGGTTTGAACGCACACACCTCTCCCTTAGCACCATATTTTCTAGCCAAGTTATTACTCATGGCAACACAGTTGTTTAAATAAAGCTATTGAGGCACTTGTCGATTCTGGGTGGGTAAGATACTGGGTCTGTTTGGAAGAGTTCCAGAAATTGGTTCTTATCGTGTCGGCCGGGGCTTTGATGCTGTGTAACCCACCAGCGCATTGCCTCATCGCCAATTGTATCTGCCTAAAAGGCACATGCCTAAAGGAACAAATGATAAATACCACATGTACAATATGAGTAAGACGAAACTCAGAATACCTACATGGCGATACATTTTGTAAAGTGTACACGCTTGTGAAAATGAACTTTAGGTACACTTCGTCCTCGACCAGCACAGCGTTCGGCATGAATAGGCAGTTGGTTCACCGGTTGCACGCTAATGTACGTAGTAATTAGCGAGCATTCGCTCAGTTTTGCAATATCGTCGTCACCTCATTCACTTCGGCTTCCAAGCTGGCCCACTTCTAGTGTCTGCTTTTTCCACAAATGTCGAGAAAATATAAACGCAAGTCGCCACCCAGTAAATCTAGAGATCTTACTAACAACCACGTGTGCATAGTTGAGCATTATAGGCGGGGCTATCCAAGGCTGGCTGCATTTATCAACCTGGACGATGAATTCAGCATGCTGAAACGGTTCGATAACCTACACATGCGTGTTCTGCTCGACCAACAGGATCGTCTGGCTGAGTTAGAGGAGCTTCTGAATACGTGCGATGACGACGAGACAATACAACTCAACCTTAGCAGCAGACGGCAAGATACCAATGTGCAGCGCCGGCAGCTGATTCATCAGATCAAAACAGAGCTGAAAGAGTACTGTGAGGCAATTAACTCAACAGCTTTGCCATTATCATACAAACCCCTGATGCATAATAGGTGAAGCGGTGCATCGATATCGGAGGATGCTCTCCATTCCAACCGCACGAAAAAGACATCGCCGCAGCGTAGAAAACTGGATTGTTGGCAACACGCCTCTCGTTAGATCCGAAACCAAAAGCTTTTTAGAGAGCACTCATTGCGACGACAAGATGGCGCTGAAAGCGGAGAACACCGATCGAGGTGGTTTAGAGACTTTATTCGACGTGCTAGTCATGACATACCCAAATCTAGCGAAACATGTTCGTACTCTACGTTATCATGTGCAGAATTAAGCTGACATTTGCGGCCACATATCTCTTATAGTAAGGTTCGTCACCTGGTACGGATGGACAAGAACAAGCACATGCACTAACAGTTCAAACAGGCCAAAACAAGCGACTCTCAGATTTTGCTATTTCGCAAGCAGAGGTTTGAACAGTTTCTCAGACTCTTTGTGTCGTTAGTCGTACCGTCAATGCTCGTTTTCCCCGGCCTGTTACTGTATAGATTCCCTCATCCATCGAGTCGGGCAGCGATTTCTACGGTTTTCACATTTGGTGCATCTTTTGTGGTCTGTTTCATGACCAACGCCAGCAAGTACAACTTGTTATTAGCAGTGTTCGCGTAAGGAAGTAGCGTAATCTTTCGGTATTAGCCCTTCGCTCACTTTTGCTTATAGATATGGCGCAGTTCTTTCGGCTTTCTTATCAGATGGTTAATCGAAGGATGGAGGAGTCTGCTACATCTCTGATAATTGATGAAGTGGGAGTAGAACTCCTAGGCCCGACAAATTGCGAGATCGAGTATATGACAGTCCATTCTAAACCAACACTCAACTAAGAACTCTCATGAGAGTAGAGACAGAACTTCCTCGCGAATTATAGACTGTGCCTCCCAGTTCTCATATTTCTTCCAATCTCTTGGTCTTATGCAAGATCGTACAGCGCTTGCGTATCTTGATCCAGCCGCATGGGCAACACTGGCGCAGATAGGGCCTAAAAGAAGGTCACGAAAGCTTTCCGGCTGCTGAATGTGAGTGAATTCTCTGCGTTTCTTGTCCAAGCTCGGCAGCGCCTTCCAGAGACCAACCTCCAGCAAGAGCACACCCTACAGTTTCCATCAGTCAGGAACCAATTTCGTACACCGACTACTCGACTTACCAGCGCATAGACATCATGGTGCCGCTCGAATCCTCGCGGCCTTCCCCATCGATCAGGATGCCTGTAAATGTTGTTCTTGTATGAGAAGTCCGTCGCCGTCCATGTCTCAGCATCGGCAGGCCGCGAACAATCGAACCCTGCCAAATATGGATTGACTAGGTCGTATTGCATGTACCTCTCGTAATCAGGCTGGCCCTTCCCGGCGGAGTCTGCGTTTTTGAAAATGAGAATGTTGTCGGATCGTATGGCCTTGTGAAACCATCCAATGGCATGCAGATCTAGAACAGCGTCGCAAATAACCGCCGCGAGCCTCTTCCGCACTTGGAGCGGAACCATCTTCATACTTCTCATCAGGTCAGCCAATGTGCAAATTTCAGTCTGCGCAGGAAGTTCGTAAACGAATCCAAATCTTCGTCCGTGCAGGACCTCGTGTACGTATCCCAATCCGCGCAGGATACGAAATCGATCAGGCTTATCCTCTGCTAGTAACTTGGATATTCTTGCAACACGATGTTTGATCGCAACAAAAGCTTCTTCTGATGCAGGTTCCTCGTAGTACCAGTAGTCGACTAGCACGGTGGAACTACCCTTCTTCCCATTCCGAAACCGCTGGTTGGATGTTGCTTGATCCTCATAGTTCACCCTGCATGGTTCTTCCATTCCTTCTTCTCGTAGCAGTGTCAGACGCATAGCTACTCGGCTTGCAAGTACTCTGTTTTCGCTTAGTGCCTGGACACTTTGGGTATCGCGCGACGCAAGTTCGAATGACGATAAGTTGTCACTCAGGAAGTGCAGCAGGGCGTGGGTCCTAGTCGATATGGTTTCTATCAAATCCACTGTCTGGCTCGCGTGCGGTAGATCCTCAGGAAGAGTCAGCGCCTCTCTCAGGGAGCTGAACAGCTTCCCGGCCTCTACTTGGGCTTTTTGCGATAGCCAAGGCAGAACGCTTTGTTGTAGTCCGGGCTTTGGCTGTAGTATCTCGCTGCTCAAGCTCCCAACCTCGGTCGCTTCTGTGATTGTTCGTTCTATGACTTCGATGTCATGGATAATGGATGGGGAGCCACGAGTCAACCACCTCAGAAGGGACTCTCTCTCCGAAGGTTTTGGTTGCTTGATTAGGAACAAGCGCAGGTAGAGGGATGCTGCATGCTCCAAAGGTGGAAGGGGAATCTCCGATGCGCTGCTCCCTTCAAGCGGCCTCCATGGCTGAAGACGTATGACCCCTACAGAATCATCGGAGGAATATGGAAAGTAGAACGGCTGCTTAGTGGCTCCCGCTTCTTTTCTCAGCATTCTCCGTTGCAAGCCAGGTAATGTTGCGGAGCCATATTCTCTCAGCATCGCCCTCAGTTCTTGACATAGAACTTTGGTGAATGATGGCCACCTTGAATCCTGTCCTGACGGAGTCATCTGGTCCCTGTCCGTTGCTGCCAAAAACTCCACATTATGCACCAAGCGAGAGCGAACAGCTTGGCCTGCATAACAACAATCGAGCAAGAACGCGACGTCGCAACTGGCTCCAAGGAACATTGGTTGGATGCAAGCCCAGTCCAAGATAGATCCGCCAACGATCTGACTGCGGTCCGACTCAGCCATCGGCCATAGCCTGTGGTTTGGGTACTTACGCTGCCCATATGCATGCTGCGTCCTCCGAATTGGCCGCTCGACCACCATGGCCACTGTAAAACACGACAATCAAGTTCTCTTCATCGGCATAGCGAGAGATAAACTGGGAGACGTGTACCTGGAGTTCCTCTTGTGGCTTCTGCGATGGAATGTGGTATGGCCAGACTAGGTAATTGAATTGCTCCCGAAAGATGCTGCCAAGCTCACTAAGTTCATCGGCTATCTCCTTTATGTCACTGTCCTTCCAGGATAATAGCAGCACATGCACACAAGCATAGCGTTGGTGTCGCCGGAGTCGGTAACGAGACAGTGCTCCTGACAGGTCCGCTTCGGCGGACTGCATCACGGGATCTTCCATCTTGCTGGCTCCTAGAGAGCAATGGACGTGCTGAAACACAATTCGCGAAAATCAATAGGAAACTTAAAGGACGACGTGTCCCTAAGTTATGTCTTGCTGACTTACACCGGTCGGCTGAAAGAATTTACATGCACCGAAGTGCCCCACGCTGCTGCCTTGTTATCATCTCGCTTACGAGATTTGGGAACATCTAAGAAAGTACCATACTCGAGCCCCGGTGACACGAACATCACGTGATTGCTCTTCAACATGGGAATCTCGCGAAGAGCACGGAAAATTTATGATAGGAATCTGTGACGAGATATTCAGCAAAGAAAATGGCTCTATTTTGGCCAAGGAAATATGTTGCCATATTGTTGTCGCGATTCTTCTTTCTCTGTTATGAGGCTGAGCCTATCTCCGTAGACCATCGACGGGAAGGACTGACCGTAGAGGTCGCGACTAATCGTTGTGCATGTCTCAACCCTTTTTACAAGGAAACGCCCTGTAAAATTAACGATTCGTGCATTATCTCGCGATACAATGCGTGTACCTTGCGCCTCGTCCCATCCTCGGCCCCTCTCATCTGCTTACGTATATTCTGGGGCTGGCAACGAGGCGTAATGCGAGCGTGTTCTCTTGCGGCATGTTATCAAGCACTATTAGGCAACATTGGTATGCAAGAGTTTTGATGCGACACATAGTGTTCTGTTGAGTGGTGATGCCTTGGAAGAACTATGATACGCGATATACATATGTAGCTACTTGAGGACACTGAGAGTTCGGGTTACCGACGCTGAATCGGGCACAACTTTTGCTTCCTCCCTAATAAGACGATAGGGGCGACCCAACGCTTCCAAAGAAGAGGCTGATATTTTGCTGGACCCCCTTGAAAGATATGTGTCAAGGCCTCAATACGATGAAGTTGTGGAGGTGACGAAGCATCAACATTCGAAGCAGGCATCTATCGCCAGTAATAGGCCGCTGCCAAAGCTTAAGATAGGATATGAATCCAATAAGCCTATTGATCCCTATACAAGAAAAGGTGAGCGCGGATAACGCTAAGGAATCGCTGACCAGGCACGCCAAGAAGTGGGGTGCCGGCAGGGTTTCCTAAAACCGCTAATAATAGCTTCTATAGAATGACGTCTGAACTACAAGCTGAATCATCAAGGCCCCGAACTGTTCATACAGCACAATTCCAAGCTTCGGAGTTAACTTCATCTCAATACGTTCATCTTTCGTCACTCGACGTATTGAATATAGCTACAAACGCACCTCTTGCGGCTTTCCGAGACAGTAGGAGCGCAGAGCTTTGGTAGTTGGCAGGAGAGCACCCCCAACACCGGTACATCATGAGGCGGGGACGGATCAAATTTTCGTGACGTGTCGGACTGTCCGCCATGCAAAGACCGAACCGGCGATTCAATAAGACGTTAGTGTATTATTCTATAATTGAGAGTATCAATGCTTTGGATTCAGTTCTTCCAAGGATGCTATGTTACATGATAAATAGCCTGATCCGTTGAAGCGACTACTTTGCTTCCTTGGAGTCTGACAGCAACGGTCCCTTTCCCTGATCACCGGTCGATGGGAGGCTGAGGCCACCACCGCTGGCGTTCAACCCCTCGATTCCTTCGCCCTTTTCAACTTCGGGCATTGGGGTAGTCTTATCGGCACGAGCGACATGGTCGGACTGTATCATGGGTGAGCGAATCAGGAACATTAGGCCAGATTGATGGACATACCACATTGGAACCTGCACCGTGAAGAATGTCATGCTGTGCCTCTTCGAAGGGGCCATTGTCAGAACTTCCGTCTCCTTGGCGAGGCATGTCTGTCGATGCGTTATGGCAGGTGTTGAAGCACGGGCAGAGGTGTGATTATGCTTGTTGAACGTTATCGAACGTTGTGGTCGAAGACGAAGGGTAATTGGAGGCTTAGAAGAAGTTCAAACACTGATGTAAAGCCCCCTGTACAGATTAACGAAGCATGATTTCACACTGGACCCTGCTTCGCCATTCTGCGCTAATCGAGCAGATGCGAGGATATTGGATTGACATGCGTGATATGGCAAAGCCTAAAATTGGACGGCTCGGCTCGAGAACCTTGAATTGAGTCATCGCTTACGCGCTTTAATTATCGTTAATCCTTGATGCTTATGGTACAACGTTCGTAACCTTGGAATGTAACTACACAAATCGCGCTAAAATGGTCCATAAGCGAGCCGGGCACGCAAGCGAACCGGCCACTTTTCACCAGCGGCTCGCCTTCGCAGTACAATAACGCTACGCCATAGTCATAAATAATAACTTACTGTACACTGGTATATTCTTTGGACTCGTCGCTATCATCCAAGACCTCTATTCCTACCTTACAGTGCGACGGGTATATCATTTTTCGCCACTCCGCTGAGCTCACAAACCACCTCTAAAAGAGCCAGTTTCTAGTCCTACTCAAGAAAGGTGACTTCTTCCCTATCTTATGGAAGGCGTGGATGAGCTTCTTTGAGGAGGAGACGATACTCACGTTATTTGAAGCAACAGGAACATCACCATTCAACGCAGAGGGCATGATCAAAATGTTCAGCAACACCACCCTGGATGAGCAGGAATCGCGAGATAGTTCTACGTCAGTACTCGGTGGATCTGTATACGATCGGTATATCATTCTCTGTATGATGGGCTGTCTCTCATTGAGTCCCCGGGGTGGTGTGCAGGCAAAACCATTACGCGGGTCTGGCCAGAGATGCTCAGTCGGTCGTCAGTCTCAGCGATAGCACGAGAGATCCCGGCGGGTGCGGGTCTGTTGTGGTGTTGTGCGTGCCTCACGCGGAAGGATACGTCATCTTGGGTTTAATTTTGTGCGTGAAATTCCTTCAGCTATGCTTGATATGAGCCAGCTAGGAGGCTATGTATGCTCAATTGTGAGCATAGCTCTCTTGACCAAGGGGAGAGGCTCTAATGTGACCCTATGGGTGAACAAGACGGCCATTTAGTCTATCAAAAACGTCGACAAGCTCACGAGTCCGCTGTTGGCTACATCAAACGGACAATTAGGCCTTTATTTAGAAACGGCTATATTAGAGAAGCTATAACATCCCCACCATTCACCGTCTCCCTTTTGCTGGCTCGTCCCACTGCAAAGTATTTTGTTACATCATCCACATCCGAATCCTCGATACGCCCGTATACTAGGTTGTCACTAGGATCGGCCCGTAGGGCTACTGCACCGCAACGTGCGGATGATTGGACATACCCGTAGAGGGAAAGGAAGGGGTGATGGAATTGGAGACTGAGATATGATAATTTAGCAGAAAATTAGCGACAACGTCCGTCAGATCAAGATGCTTAGGTGGGGCGATTCCCGCGCTGCCCTTATATCATGTCCAGTTGTGATGTGAAGTTCAGCATTGGCGGAGTCGGATGACATTGTTTTACGGTTATGTCGAACCCACACTTCACGTGTCTTCGGCTGCTCGCAGACGGGAAACGTTCTATCCGGACCCATTTCGTCGAATTTTCCATGGAACTTCTTGAAAGCAACTTAACTGTATGAGCCTCCACAGCTGCTAGCGTCTATAATTACCCCTCATGGGTAGGGGTATTTGAATGACGTGGAACACGTCAACCAGTCTAACGATGGGCAAGCGAATCGCTTCCATTCTTGGGAAATTACTCTTATGGAGAGGGCACAATCAGTTCAATCACTGCGAGGTGAGAGTGAGCGCAACTACGCGACTTTTCAATATCCGAAGGATCGATACACAATTATATCCCCACTATTTGTCCATGTGCGCTGCATCCACGGTTATCCGTACACAGTTCATACAACAGTTTGATGTAGTAATCTAGCTTTGTGGGAGTTATTCATTGCTCATGACACCACACGGCTGTGTCTGTTAGGTAGGGCCATTGCGTGGGGTTACCATAGCCCATAAATGGCAGCTTGTTGACCAAAAACAACCTCATCAAACATATATCCTAGCGTTGATGAATACCATAAGCTATCAAACCATTCCATGCTTGTCCGCATCGACCACCAAATCCAGTAACCAATTCTCTAATGCCATCTCGTCAATATTCTTCAACCATTGTTCTGTCGTGTTGCGCACTCTGTATGAAAGCCTCAAGTACTCGGATCTGTCAGTCATCAGTTTATCCACAGTCTCTACCCACGGCCCAATGTCTTGCTCAGGCACGATATATGCTCCTTGCTCATCGCGTTCTCCTCCGATGGGACTCACAGGGACAGTGTACTCCAGCCCGAGCATGGCCTCGGGAAGTGCCCCTACAGTAGATGAAATGACCGGAATGCCGCGCAGGTGGGCTTCGATCACCACTATTCCCCAGGCCTCAAACCAGAGAGAGGGAACGAGGAGCACTTTGATTTCGCGCCAAGCCACTTCCATATCTGTACATGTGGGGCGGATTCTGAAAGTAGACACTGTGTTAGTTTACAATGCTAGACTGGATTTAGTTTACGATGATGGACGTACGTCATGTTCTTTAACCCTTGCAGCTCTTTCGCAATCTTATCATCGTAACCCCAGCTTTCATACACCAGAAAATCATACTGCGGGCATGATTTGGCGAGAGCAACGAGTATCGTCGAGCCCTTGACCACGCAGGGATTGATCAGACCTACGAACTGTTTGTTCCAGTTGCGTAGATGGACCGGCAATTGGTGCTTCTTTTCCTCGAGGTACGTCCAAGGATGATGCACGAAAAAGCTCGTCTGTAGCTGTCCGTGATCGAGAGCGTAGTGCTTGAGGGCGTTGGAGACGCTCCAGATGCCGTCAAGCATTTGAAGGAGTTCCAGTTCGCGGGGTGAACTTGCGTGACCTGGCACACCACCAGCAAATGGACCAAAAGGAAGCTGCTCGGCAGTATGTATAATGCCAATACGGCACACATTCATACTCGGCATTTCCAGGGCAGAAGTGGCCTTCATGGATAAGCCATCATTACTGATGATGTGTGTCGGCGAGAAGTGCGTGACTTCCTGTTGCAGGAAGGAGGCAAAGTCGAGTAGCCGGGCTGATAACGTCCCGGTCTAAGGGAGAGGAGAATTAGATATGCCGAAGTTACAGTAGCAAAGCTCCATGGATTAGTTACCTTGATATAGTCTGCCGTCTCCTTGGCTATGTCTTTGTATATCTTCTTGCCACCAAATGCTGCATCAAATGCTTTGCTGTCCAAGGCCACAATCTGAACGCCGTCATCCATGACGAACTGATTGACTTCCACATTAGTTCCTGGCCCGCCGTTCTCAGCCCTCAAATGCAGCATTCTCTTGCGTAGGTGCGGATCATGCCCGCCGCTGTTGGCCATGGACTGAACATATGTCTCTGCCTCACCGGGGTGAGAATAGCAGAGTTGGCGGACATGATGGCCACGCGAGGCGAGATAACGCAACAGGCAAATATTGGCTTTGTAACCACCCGAGGAAGAGAAAAGGCCCTTTGCAGTCTGGACGAGGAAGATACGCACAGGGATGAGACCCGGGCTAGAAGTAGAGGTGCGGGAAGAGGAGGAAGAAGAGGATTGAGTAAATGGTTGGTGAAACATAGTGATAAATTAGCATGAAGTTCTGTATATTATGTTGATGCTTCGGGAGGAGGAATGAACAGACAGAGGGTGGGAAGAAGGAGGACATTTTTAATCGTAAGTAGCGAGGTATCAGGAGCAGCTGTGTGCTCTCTGAAGCGCAAGAGGATGATGCACGTATGCGAAAGAGTCAAAGGTTAGAAAACGTCAAGATGCGTTAATATTTGCGAAAGAAAGTACCAGAATCTTAAGTTTCGAGGAGATGAATTCTAATCCAGCATTTGATTTTCAGGTCATTACTGACAAACTCTTTCCTAGCAGTTGCTTAGTCCTAGGATAGCATCGTACACTAAGGTAGCGTTGATAACTGGATATGAGGGAGAGCGATCCTATTGACAGGAGGCCAAACAAACAAGTACACACGGAAAACCTCTCTAAGCCGCTAAATCGGTCGCACAAAGGTCGCCGTGGAGATGCTGTTGATATCACGCTACTCATGCTAAACCGTCGCTTAAACCCTGTTCGTTATGCCCTGGTGACGTATAACATACCGACCATAAGCGCTAAAACAAACTTCGTTTCGGCTGACCGCGAACGGCATGTGCTCCACTCCGACCCAAGTATCCAAATCCCCGTGTGGCTCGTCCGACTGTGATAGAACTGCATGTGAACCTGCAACAGACAGCCTTGGCTAGATATGTCCTTCGTGAAATGTAATCCATGGCTACAACCTGCTATCACACCCTTTCTGGGTTGCATCCAGTAGAGCACTGGCCTACTCCGAGCGTTCCTGTCAGAAGTATGTGCCGTCACCTGACTGTCGATGCATGCGGGTGCGTGCAGGGTATGCTTCGTCTAACCAAGAAGCAATGGGGCCAAGATATCGATGTGACGGTACGGCTTCCGACTGGATAGCTAGCATCAGCCATTGGCATTGCGAGACTTGAACGTCCCTGCATTCAGCGTCAATCTAGCATCATGTTGGGGAGTCAGCTACCCGATCTTATTTGACACGGGATACACAGCCGATGCTTGGAGCTTTGGCCTGCAACTCAACATTCGCAACGGCGGCTATCAGATGCGTGCCTTCCCCGCAAGGTCCAATGATGCTATCGTCCGTTCTGAAGTGCAGAGACAAACATCTGGCCGTGAATCTGATCGCGATCCGTGGTTCTAGAGACGTTATTTCCACACCACCTACTCCCTTTTCGACGCATGAGATGGAGATCTTGATCCGGCCTAAAATCCGCCAAGGAATCTGCCACGAAGATTCCATATTAACCCCTCCAGGATATCCAGAGTATTTCCCTACTCCACCAGCGTGCCTAACCTGTAATGTCTTTGAGATAACTTTCCACCCTCTGGAAGTACCTCGCATCTTGAAGCGCTGTTACTCCTTTACGATACATCACTTTGCGCGTTCTACATTGTACGATACCAAACCTCTTAATCCTACGTAGTCAATCGCTCACAGAAGCTCAGATACTCTAGGCAGTAACTGAGTATCAAGAATCGGCACTCGCTGATCATGATGGGGGGTACCACTCAGCAACAACTCCAATGGTCAGAATCCTCCTTTGTCACCCCCATTAGCCCATTTCCCCACCACTGGCATCAGGGATGGCCTGCGTTCGAAAGTGGTGTGGCGCAAACCGTCACTATCTCCCCCTATCTACTGAACCTGGAATCGATCGAAGAGAGCGACTGGATTAGTCACTATAACGTGGTTTCTCCTTCCGAACTTCCCCGCAACTTTGGTGAACAGTCTTTTGTTCCAATAGACCAACTGAAGAGCGAAACTTTAATGTCCGAGAAGCCGCCCGACATATTTCAAGAACGTGGAAGAGCTTCGCTATCGAACCCAGATATACAGCACTCATCCTCAAACCATCATCATGCCAGCGGAGAGGCTCCTTGTAGTCCGTTCGAGGTACGCAACAGTGCACGACAGCCTGTCACCAATTCTGAGCCTCTGAAGCGCCGGCGTGGCAGGCCTAGGGCGCACCCTCCCGCGACCGATGCTTCAATCGCTCGAGAAACACGTCTTGAGAAGAATCGCATTGCCGCCGAAAAATGTCGACGACGCCAAAAATCACACATTGCTACAATAACGGCAGAAGCCTCAACTCAATCCTCTAAGAACAAAGCTTTGAAGGAGGAAGTAGCTGCTCTCCGCCAGGAGCTACTTGATCTGAAGAATGAGGTGTTACGCCATGCTGGATGTGGATCATGGACAATTGACCAGTACATTGCGCAAAGTGCTAGTGGTCAATTCGGCATGAAAGAGTCATCCATACATACACCATCACTCAAGGACTTGAGCCAGTCCGAAGGTTCTCCTGTTTCTTCCTGCCTTACGGATGAGCCTGCTAGTCAAACCGCGACCGTGACCGAGTGTTTGTCCTCCCAGGGAAGTTCAAACTCTAGCGTCGATATGGACGAGTACTTCGGCCCCTGGCTCTTGGAGGACTCTGATCATTTCAACATATCAGAGGAGACAACTTCATCATCATAGGCAGACACGGCAACTTTTTTCGTTCAATTGATGGAACATCGTGCCTTGCCGGTCAATGCGCGCGGGATCCAAAATTTTAGTCAATGACTTCGTAGTACAGAGACTATACAAAAGTTATTATATTGAGAATTTTAGGGTCAAGGTGTCTTAGGCCTACAAGGAACTCCCAGCTAGTTGAGTCATAATCCTTCTCATCGTTGTATACTTTGGCTGGAAACAGATCCCTCACTTCGTAGTCTTAGAGCTTTCAATGCTGCAATGTACACTTCCACCACCTCCTACCCAACCATATTAATAGTTCCCTGTTCACCAGCGTAACACATCAGGCCATCAAGTTCAAGCCGCGCCAGCAAGCCGGAACGCACCACTCGCTCCTGGCATACTCCCACTTGCTTTAGCTCTTTACTGCGTTCCCTGTTCGCGTGCTTTATACATCCTTAGGCTTCCTCTAAACAGTGGTCTCCACAATCGCAGTCACATGCTCTCTTGATCACATTTCCCTTACTTTAATTGCCGACATCTGTACTCTCGTCACGTCGACAAGTACGCTTGCGCTACGTCGCCGATTATGCTATTCCCGCCTTACAAATCTCTGCCGCTATTTAGTGGCAGGAAGCCGCCATCACTAGGATAACACCCCCAGCACCCCCTAGGACCTCGAGGCTCCGATACTCCGTGCAGGGGTCCCAGACACAATTCTAGTCGAGCAGGGCTCGACCTATCGCGAACAAATGTTTCGTAATTTTGACTATACTATGACAATAGACTTGGGACCGGAATAAGCACGGTAACAAAGACATGCTGATGAGGTCATAGGAAGCCTGGTGGTAAGGAAGGTGTATACGATAGGCTTTGGAAGCTTGGTAGGGAGGTAGGAAAACCCACCACCGAATTCCCAAAGTTACAGGATGAGATTATTGAATAAAAAGCTCCTAAGCCCCGCTCCCAAGCTTCCCCCTCTGGAGTAGATTAAATAATCTATTGTAAGCAAGCGATGTGGTTGTATTAGTCCTTTAATAATATCTTTCGTTAAGTCACTGCATGTCCATGAATATGATCTGATAGCATGTGCAAGCAAGCCGAGACAGAACAATGAATCATTGTTACTATGTTCATACTCTCTTGGGACAAGCTCCCACCATACGTTCAGCGCTACGCCTTCCCTGCACGCCTACCATGCGAAGGTTACCCCTTTCCCCACGGTCTGGGTGAAAGCGACCTTGCCTGCGATGCACGGTCATGCCGCCCCTCTGCACAAGCGCGGCACAACTCGCGGCGTGAATGCTACATACAAGCTTTCCTAAATATAACCGCCTTGGCTTTCGTGCGTCTTAGCACTTGGACCTTACGCCAATCGAACATTTTGGCCTGGAGAGATAAGCGCGGGATGATTTAGCACTGACAATCACATGATATCATCGATATGGACCGTTGCGCAACTGGTAGAAAGAGAAAGGCACCCGTAGAATGCATAACGAGGGGAGATATGGCTTCTATCCCGTACAGCAATGTTGTAGTAGGAGGGTAGTGGGCCCAGAGACGCAACCGACACTTGTCAGTAGCACTGGACTGCAGTGGGCGTTACGTAGCTGCGCAAAGAGAAGCCATTCGTGGCGAAGGACGTCGGTATCGGCCGTCCTGATGGAAGATCAACTGGCGATACCGGGATGGGCCAGGGCATTTTATCTGCGCTCTGCGCTATCAAGCCTCTGTGCCCCGATCCCAGGATTCTAGCCAGTGGATTATCGGCACTCGTAGGTACAACCAAATCTTGTCTAACATCGCATGCCTACAAGCTGAGACAGAACTGGCGGTTCGACGCCCGGCCGTTGAGAAGATCTATGGCTGCACGTGAGGTCAGCGAGTCGGCACATGCGTCGACGCGGTGCATTTTACGGTGTAGTTCGATACCGAAATGGTTGCTATAAAGTTAGAATACTAGACGAGCCACGGGCTTAAGTCTTCCTAAAATCAGAAGAGACAGCTGCGAAACGTTAATCTAAAGAAGCTGTACCCTCGATAGTTGCCAGAACACGATACCGAATAGACAAGAACGTCGCCTGTGATAGATACAAGAGCCAGTAGATAAGCGAAACGATGACGTTACTGTAGTAGAGTGAGCCCCAAACCGTGTCCAAGTTTGTCGAATTATGCGACAGCACTACATACTTTGTACCGTGCTCCTATGGAATTCGTATCGTGCTTCTATGGCACTCGCAAGCAAGCCGTTGTACCCCTGTTCGGGTACTGTACCCGCGGCCCAACTACCTGGCAAGGGAACGCTCGCAGCATTACAAATCGCTAGGTATTCACTTGGTAGAACTATCTTGCGATACTCTTTGTTACCCTACCCTAACATATAAGGTGACCGTATTGAATACTGTACTATTATACTTTACATAGTCATAGTTAATATATATAGTTCTCGACCTCGACGAAAGAGACGTTTCAAGGCATTGGTACGTTGGAGCTGTTGAAGAGATGAATCGTGAAAATCCGAGTTAGGCATCTAACGCTAGTAATTGGGTGCTGCCAAAGCTACTCACCGACACTTGAGATATAGAGTACCGCAAGAATAACGTACATCCCTTATCTACCACTTCACCGTCTCCAACGCCTTTGCGTCGCTTTCTTGCCAGGGATATTGCTTCTCTGCCTCCCTGATCAGGAGCTCATGTTTTTCCGATCTTGGCTTGATAGAAACGCGATACGGTACAGGATGCGATACCACTCCGGGTTCAAACTTCATTTCTGGCTTTACCACCTTGCCGTTCTCATCGACTGGGTTCTCAATCTTGAAAACAGCGAGCGACTGCGCGATTGTAAGGAACAAGGCGTTCTCTGCAACGTATCGACCTGGGCACACGCGCCTTCCGTACCCGAAGATCCAATTGCGCGGGTCGGGTTCCGGCTCTGCTTTGAGGTAACGATCGGGGTTGAATTCCATGGGGGAATGGTACACGGATGGGTCGTGGGTAAACCACCTGGCAATTGTCAACGGAGATCGCTGGATTGGAAATAAGGGAGTACTCACCAGTTATTGGGAAGGAGCAGGCTGCCCTTGGGGATCCTATATCCATTGATAACATCGTCCTTGGTACTAGCATGCGGAAGCGCCATAGGCGCAACTGGATGCCATCGGTGGGTCTCACTAACAAGCGCTTCGATATACGGCAGCTTCTGGCGATCTGCGCTGACAGGCAATCGGTTGCCAATGACGCGGTCAAGTTCCTCTTGCGCTTTCTTCTGTACGTCTGGGAAAAGTGTGATGGCGAGGAAAAATGTCATGAGCGAGGAGACGGTGGTATCGGCACCGCCGAGGTACATGGAAGAAGCGGACCACTTGTGAACACTCTCCATATCATCAGTGTCTGAGTCGCCTTTGATGTTCTCAATAGCCTGCGAGAGGAAGGATGTCTTGGCCTTGTTTTGGCGCATCTGCTGCTTGACGAATTGGTAGGGTTGTTCAGTCGTCTGGTGCAGTTGGGCTGCCATTTGGCGTGCTGTGCGTTTGAAACCCGCGCCGGGAAACCAGTCTGGTGCGTATTGCACTATTTTGCAAAAGGAATCATCAGTGATTGCTTGCATGAGCATGCGCTGCTCGCGAAGGTACATGTACTCACAAAATGGCATGATATCTACCGCCCATTTCCCCGGCACAGTCGAATCGGCGAACTCATGCATTGTCTTGACGGCCATGTCCACCAGCGGGTCTTTGCCATGAGCTTCAGCTGTATACCCATAGGTAATTTTCAAAATCACAGCTCCGGCTTCCTTCTTGATATGGGAGAAGAGATTCTCCGGGGAAGAGAGTACATTAAGGAGAAAGTGCACTGCTTCTTCCTCCTGCACGCGGTCAAATACAGAGAGTGAAACAGTACTACCAGCGACCTTTGCGATATTCTTGCGGTGCAATTTGAAAGTATCGGTGTAGCCACTGAATGCGAGTGTGTTGTTCCAGCCGATCCTGGGCACCGTCTGGGTCAGCAAAACATGCGACAGACATTGCAATCAGATAATGCGCGCATACATGTCGCTACTAAAGACCATGTGTGGCCGCGCAGAATGCATAGCCGATCGGTCTCGGAGTAGCTCAAGCGCTATCTGCGCATCGTTGATTATAACGAAGGTCTGCCCTAGCACGGTGACTGAGCTGATCGGACCATACAGTTCCTTGTGCTTTAGCCAATGGTGGCACTCTAGCATGCCTGGCTTGGGCAGGTCATTGACGTTGCCCAGAAGAGGGAGCCCTTTGGGCCCTGGAGGGAGGGGTAGGTCATGTTTCTGGGATCGTACAAGACGGTTGAGAAGGTATGCCGCGACGATACTGAAGAGGACGAGGAGGGTCGTCGGCGACGAGACACCCATCTTGACGGCAGTCTCAGTTTAAGAAAGGAGGGTTTGGGGGAGTTGGGGAACTCTGGAGCGGAAACACGGAAGACCAGTGCTGGAGCATATCGCTGGCCCACATAATGTTTGAATGGAGCGGGCGGAGGCTCGACTTACCGCGCGGCTTGCTCGCTTCATATGCATGTAACAGTATCTCGCCTAGATGATGCAAAAGCCGCACGTGCGAGGACAAGGGTATGGATATTCAATTGGGCCTAGCAATGATCGGCCCCCACAATACCTTGCTGAAAGAGGCTTGACCTGGAAGCAGGTCGTTCTGCATACAGTAAAAACCCAATCTTCATCAGGCAAGTATGCCGCAAAGAAACAGGCTTAAGATGGTCGTTCTTTCTCGCGAATCGGCTATGGGGGATTTCAAAAGAGAGGCCCGCTGTTGAAGTTGTGAGTCAGGGATAGTCGTTGAGTCTGCAGCGCGTGCACGGCTGGCAAAAGTCGTCTGCGACTTTTCGTCAATCCCACACGTAGGTACATAGTATGATGGATGTCGAGAATCCTTTCAGCCCTATCCCAACTACTCTCGATTTTCTGCGATGTCAGCACATGAATAAGAGCGAAATAAGCCATGAGTCGTTCGCTTAAGGCCGTCTTCGACTATCCGCTATGCAAATAGAGCACGGCACAGATGTCATCTAGCGCCACTGGGCCGCCCCTTTAGCCTACCCGACGTGAGCCGACCGTCGCACTTTAGCGTCAAGCGTTAGACATGTCTGCGAAAGGGTCTTTGAGGGGGAGAATGATTCTGAGTGCCCAAGAGGCTAGTGTTTCCGCCTCCGTGATAGGGAGCGTACAGAGCGTACTGGGCAATTGGGCGGCAAACCCAACCGTTACCCTCCATGAGCTTCAGCTGCAATTCAACAAATGCTCTTCTTAGTCGATATTCGCGCAATTGACCATCGATGTAGTGTAGCGCATGTTACAGCTAACTTGGCTTGTTTGGGACCTGCTGCGGATGACATGGTTGTTTCGAGGTTGCGTGGCTCGGTGCACCTTCGGTCAGATGGCGCTGCGGGCCTGATGTTTGGTTGGGGGACTCGGCTCTACTCTAGGCTTTCCTGGGGCATAGCCGTAGGGGCCGAGAGAATTTTTTTCAAAAAGGGAATGACCTGATGTCGAATGTGTTGATCGTTAAGGGTCATGAATCACGGAGTAAATTTGACATCTTGTGAACCACACCACAATCAAGAAATGCCTACACAGTATAAAGTTGAATCAGCTACGGGGCGAGACGTATGGTTCCCGCATCGCATTGGAGAGCCATGGTGAAGCAGCATCTACACTCCTTTGGTAAGCCGTATCTATAGTGGGTAGGTAAATCGCACTCATTTTGGACGACCCCCGTCAGAAAGTGGGACTGAAGATGCATGAACTCACAAAAGGCCAAGTAAGATCGTGATCACCTCGGACCATGGGCGCCGCACCGTTGCGTCCTAATCCCTCGGATGCTGCTTCCCCAAGCGACATTTCAGGCCGTCACTCAGAGGCTTAAAAATTAGTGTGAGTTTGACAAGCCGTTGCATTGCAGATCTCATGCTTCTCAGGGTGTGTTTGGGCTCAGGAGGGGATGGCCCGATGTCGTCGCCATATAGGTTCTGCTACTTACCCACCACACAGGTGGTTTGACGCTGCGTAGTATGTTTGACACTGTCGACCACAGACACAATGATGGTCCGCATTAATCTCCTGCTGTTCGCTTTCTTCGTAACGGGCGCCTTCACCCAGCAGGATTTCTTCAACCGACTACCTACTTGCTCTGTTCGTCTCCTTCTCCTTCATTAATAGGGTCCAGACTGACCACGACTCTCAGGTGCGCTGTCTTCAAGCTACTTTGCCCACGACATCCTGCTCGTCCACCGACTTCAATTGCCTCTGTACCGATGGAAACTTCATGCAAGCTGCGGCGGCTTGTAATGCCGCAAACTGTACCGTGATCGAGGTGCTGCAAGCTACGAACGAGACGTACGCAGCGTGCGGCATCCCCGTTCGAGATCGAAGCGCAACGTTGATGGGAGTCGTCGCATCGCTCGGGTCCCTAGCCTTGCTGATGGTCATCATGCGGCTGGCTGATCGAGCCATCTCCTCGGTAACGCAACTTGGATGGGATGATTTCTTGATTGGTCTATCAGGGGTATGCAATTACTTCTTATTGTTGCTCTGGATGAGAAACCATGCTAACGACCAGCGTTTTATAGCTCTCGTCCATCGGATTGAATTCACCAGTCATCGTAGCGGCTCATTTAGGCTTCGGTACCGATATGTGGGGCATGGAAGCCGACAACATTACCACCAGCTTGAAATGGTTGTATGTCGCCTACTTCATGTACATGATCGCCGAAGCCTTGTGCCAGCTCTCTATCCTTGCATTCTACCTGCGCATTATGATCCACCCAAAGTCGCGCCTTGCCGTCTGGACCTTGCTGTGGCTGGTCGTTTGCTTCGGACTCGCGAATGCGTTCTCCATGATCTTCCAGTGCGCGCCCATCCATTTCTTCTGGAATGGCTGGAAAGGAGAAACACCTGGGAAATGCATCGACGTCCGTTTGTTTGGCTTCATTCGAGGCGGTATTGAGATCTTCCTCGACCTAGCCATTCTAACCCTGCCTCTTCCTATGTTAGCAGGACTTCAGATGTCAAGGAAGAAGAAGCTACAGATCATGTCCATGTTCTGTGTCGGCTTCATCATCACGATCGTCAGTTGCCTTCGCCTTCAGTCGTTTGTGCAATTCGCCAGTACTCAAAACCCCACGTGTTTGTTACCACTTTCCCGACTGCCATCTCATGATCGCTAACATATGCAGACGACAACACTGCCGGTCTATATTGGTGTGCGACCGAGTCGAATCTGTTCACAATCGTCGCCTGCATGCCTGCCATACAGAGCATCTTCCACAGGGGTCTAAGAAAGGTCCGTGGCGTCAGCACCCAAGCGAGCAGGAACCACTATAACAGCGATGGATTGGGCAAAGGGTCGTACTTGCGTCAGGGTTCCAGCCGGGATCAGAGGTCGGGCAGTCTTCCTTTCGGTGTCATTTCCAAGTCGGTCAACGTGGACGTTTACCGCACCCAGCGGTCCGACTCAGACATCGAGCTAGTGGATAGTCCCACTTTCAGCAAATAAGGTCATACTTGGTTACTTCTACTAGATTACACAAGCACCGAGAACATGAGAGCGCAATGATACTGGTGAAAGACTGATCCAAGCCCGCCGGCAAGGAAGGGTCTGCATGTATTTCGAAATGTACCTCTTTCGCTCCCTCTTGAAGTAGACTCTTCAGATGGAAGCATGTTGTCGAGCTCAACCAACGGATAAAGGTCATGGCAGTGCGCGATCCGTTTTTCGACTCCTTTTCGATTCAGTCGTTCCACGTAAAAGTGGAATCGTGATACCTTTAGCGGCACGAATAAGAAACTTGGGGGAGGCAGAAGGGTTGAATCTTTGACAAAATTGTTGATGATGGAGAAGTACAGCTGTGACACTCAGCGAACGTCGGCACGACTTGAACTGGTGTCAGTGCACGAGCATAAGAATGCTGTATTGTCATTGCAAGAACTTTGATTAGTACTCAATCGGTGCCCGTATGTTCGATATGTAGACTATCGTTTATAGTGTATCGATTACATCGAGGGTACTTGCGAACATGGCATCCGCTTCTGTGTCACTCCGTCTCACGTCCACTATCTTAGCCAGCTTTGGTCCTGCAATCATAGGAATAGCGCTGCTCTCCTCCTAAATGCATTTACTGTCGCTGTTACTATCCGTAGGCGCTCTAGTCACCTACCCATCACGATTCCTTCAATTGGATAATCCCGTCAATCGCTTGTGTCGTCCAGAAACGACCTGGTCACCAAGAGATGACACGCAGGCCTTTATGGTTTGCCATTGCAATATCCTTCTTCCACTACATTTTTGCCATGCTAGCAATTGTAAACTTGAATGCGACAGCAGTCGAGCTGGGACGGAGGTCAGTTGTCAGCTCATGGTTGCCGCTCATGCGGGCTATAACACCCATCGCTTGTTATGCTCCAGCAATCTTGAGTATCGAAATCTAACCGCTAGGGCTGCCTGTTTGATCACGTAACCTCTTGAGCTAAGTATAAGAACGTGAGGGAAAGGGTTGTGGCGTTCCTTGAAGAAGGCGAAGCGAGGCGGGAACTTCATTCGCACAGCGTGACCCCATATCCTACACCGATCACATGGAAACGGTTCCATTGACCTCATGCGCATGCCTGCAACCGTGTTGCCTTGTTTTGCCTTGTTTTGCCTTCCGCTCTTCATGAACGCTTCTTCGGGTGGACGGGGGCCAAAGAGATTTGATGGCCAATCAGATCAGATCTTCGGGTGACGGAGGGTTTTCTACACCGATATGTCGGGACAAGGCTGAGCGCTTCCTAGCCTGCGTGCCTGCTGCGCTACTGTGGACTCACTTTGTAATATCATTTCCAATTACTTGCTTGCTCTGCGGGTTGTGTAGCACCTACCCGAAAGGTAGCTGGTGCAACAAGAGGCTGAACTGCTCGTCCAATCGTCCACAATACTTTAGTGAATTGTCCTTGCCTAGTGTGCGGACAGTTAATATGCGAGTATGTACGATGTAACGTAATCATCCATGCAACTGCACAATCCTGTCGCAATGGTTCTAGGACCGGCCAAGTTGGTACGGAAGGAAGAAAGCTTATTTACTACCTTAATCCGCCCCAGATCGATGCCTCGCCCATCTTTGTCTACAGCCTGCTTTGATCAGCATATCGTCTGTAGTCATGGCCCTACTTTTCGCTTTTAGTTTCCTCGTGACCCACTTCGTCGCTGGGGCCCCAGAAGCGCAAACCACGGCCCGAGCCGAACTGCACGTGCGCCAGAGCGTGGACTCTGCGACTATCATCGGGTATAGTCATATGGGAGGTTTCTGGGACCCCAACCGTTCGCCGTGTGAGCTGTGTCCCTGCTAAAGCATTACTGTGCTTGCTAATATGTGCGGTTACAGGGTCGCTGGTAGCATGCGAAGACCAGAAAGAATATCAGACCAGCGGCGATTATGCACGATGCGGCTACGCACAATCTTCTTCCGATGATCAGTACGCTACTGCATGCTCTGATGATACCGTCCTGTACGCTGGGACACAAACAGAGGCGTGCGATTTACCATCTTCCACTTGCGATACTGCTTTTGTTGTGCCTTCGCAAGATGGGGGCGAGACTGCAACTATGATAGCTTGCTGGTCCACCACTTTCGTCTTCGGTTCCGTTTCTCTGGTGAGGAACACTGCCGATGGTAAGTCTATGGGTGATATTGCAACGCTTGTGTGCATGCGACTGACTGGGTGCAGCACCTGTCACCGATAGCGCTTCATCCACAGGAAGCCTAACGGGTGCATCTGACTCTACTAGCCAGTCTCCGCTTACTTCAAGCGCTACACCGAAGTCAACTGGCGCTGCTGCATTGGGTGTCACGTATTCTAACACGGGGTTTGCTGGGTTGATTGCAGGTCTGCTCGCTCTGCTTTAGATGTAAATAATTGAGGTTCAAATGTGACCATCTCATCTTGTTATTTATGGAGTCCGCACCAGTAGCTTCAGTTTCTTCGGTTCGAGTAATCTAAGGGTGAGGGAAGTAAGGCTGAGAGAACTGGGTATCGAGTCTAAAGAGATGAGCGTTTGGGCGAGCTGTGAGGAGGTTGAGAGCCCATATATGGTGACGAATTCATACTGAGCTTGGATGAATGTTGCTCTCAATGTGACTGGACACTTTCATAGCATAGCATTGTCTTTCTAGTCTCGTTTTGCCAATCTAATCAAACGGACGTTCCAACACCGAGTGCACGTGTTGCCGACGCCTAGGTTGTGTGTCATCCTGAAAGTTGATGAAGTACGGCACGTCATCCATCCAGATATGTGGCAAAGGCTCCTTACCCCGGCACCTACTTAACTCTCCTGCATCCACCTTTGCATAACGCTCAAGCGGCTCGTCGAATTTATGATCGCTTGGACGATGGAAGCCATCCTTGAAGAACTCGTCTCGGAGACTGATGACCGCATTTCGCCGTATCTTCGCATCTTCCGGCCTTTGTTCCCGCCACATACTGAGCATTTTATCCCTTGCAAGATGCGGTGATGTCGAGTTCTCGGGAGACCATTGCTGGTAGAACAGCCATGGCCCTTCGTGTAGAATAGCCCAATTCGCCCATGAGTTACCCTCTTCTAGAATTCTGTTTTCCGGATTTGGTTGCCAGTCTTTCACAAACCAGTCAAAGTCGTCTGGGCCATGGTACATGCTCTCTTTGCTCGCGTATATACAACTTGTAACTTTGTCGTGCTTGGTTCTGAAGGCGGAATGAACAAGAAATATGGCTATCGCAAAATATGCCAGGTCTGCGGGAGTCTTCTGTTGCAAGTACTCGATTCTTCGTTCCGCGATGAGGTTTTCGCGGTGTTCCGTCACATTCTTCGCCATGGTGGTCACCGGGCTGGTGAGGAATTCCAGAATGTTCTTTCCAGATGTCTTTCGGAAAACAATCTCATCAGGGAGTGCGTATATGTCTTTGGATATGTTGGACAGATTCCTCCAGACTCGGATACCTCGCACCAATCCTTCTCTCAAGACATCTCCAATGTCGCTCTCTGCGGGGATGCAGCGTGTCCTACCAGTATAGTGTGAGGACAGAATATATCTGTCCAACATAACCGCTGCTAGATACTTAGGCACCAGTGACTTCAGCCAGGTAAAGTCGAGAGGTTGTTCAGGTGCCACTTGTAGCATGCGCTTCGCTTGCGGAAAGACGTTTGAAGCGACGGCTGGGGCGATGGCGTTGGTGTGAGAAGCAATCACCTCCGATATCTGACGGCTAACGAGTCGGAGCGAGAATAAATCAACGAGCGTAACATGCTGGAAGATGAGAACTTGCAGCTCAATTGGGCAAGGCAGGTTGTTCGACATATTGGTCAGAGAATTTCATGCGACGGTTGACGAAAGATTCCGTTTACTCGAAGTTGGTGCTGATAGAGAAGGTAGGGGACGAGGAGAAGTAGTTGATACAATAGGTGCCTAGAGCTCGCTAACCGCTTCGGGCGCTTATCCGATGACGTCAAGCATGTTCTCTCTTTCGGGACTTTGATCACGTGCTGTTAGGCAACGTTCTTGGGAAGAGCTTTGATGTCAATGGTTGGTGTTCTGTTGAGACGTGATGCCTAGCATCGCCGGGCGAAGAATCCTTCCTGCGCCTTTCATTATCCATCCGCTTAGGAACCTTGGGGCCAGGGCGGGAACGAAGTACCTAAACACTGAAGAATAATCCCATCCTATGCCACTACGGATCATGAGATCTCTGCATTCGAAACATTTTGTCCCAAGACATACCTAGGTGAGCCCAGAAGGAGTTTGGAGCTCCGCTATGCGTTATCAATGGATTCTTTAAACGACTAACTTTCGGCGTACTCTTAGGAAAGCGATCAACTATGCATGGAATCAGAATGAACACTGACTTGCGGATCTAGAGTTCAAGAGTCTCTTGGGGCCCAACTTGCTACGGGTATAGTTCTACTGGATGTTTCTCACAGCTGATTCCCACGACAATAGACCATCTCTGAAACGAAACACACAAGATCGACCCAGCATCCCATCAAACCAGCGCATTGAAACACAGAAGGCGCGCATGTATGAACCTATTGCACCCCAGCATATAAAACCCCACAGTCAACCCCCAACCTCCCCATCGCTAAACCCGCAATGCCCCGCCTCATCCCTCGACCCCTCCTTCGTAACCCCCACTTCAACGGCTGACACACAACACCACCCTCCTCCCCAGTCTTATTACTTTCACTGCTCGTATCCACATGACACGCTGCACTGATAACAGCGCTATTCGTCCCCCAATCGGCATCCCCTCAGCCGGATACCTCCCCACCGCCCCAACAACCAGCGCCGCAACAACCAGCACAAGCCCACACACAAGCGTGCCGATCAACGCATAAAGGCTATAACCCAGCTCGCTATCCTGCGTACGCGACGGCTTATCCGGATCCAAAGCATTGTAGCTAACCACCCTACTCACGAAGATAGTCTGCGAGATAAACCAGTGGAACAGCGCGCTTAGCGCCATCAGCGGAAGGCTGTAGACGTAGGGAAGTGACAGGAAGTAAGTTGAGCGCTGGCCTGGTTTAGCCGCGCTGACGCGGAGGGCAGCGCGCTTGGTGCTGTACTGGGCGTATTCGCGGTTGGCGAGCATTGTGGTGAAGAGGCCGTTGTAGGTGAAGTAGAAGAGGGAGGCTATGAGTTGGGGGTGTTGGCTAGGAGGGCGTAGGCGATGATGTTGTTTGTGTGGCGGAGGGAGGGGGCGTCGAGGAGGTAGTCTGGGGAGGGTATGGCATGTTAGTGATGGAGGCGCGGGCGGGCAATGGAGATTAGAAGCATGGGAGGGTAGGGCGAGCGTGAATTACACGACTATTTGTTTTTGTTGGGGGATGGGAACTTGGGGACGTACTGGGATTGAGCTTGCCGAATTTGTTCATGTAGCAGCGGTGTTTGAGTATGATGTAGTTTTCACAGTATTCTTGTGAGTGACCCTTTGCGATCCAAATGGCTACAGCAGTGCTGATGATGAATCTTGAACGGAGCGTTAGCGCACTCCTCTTCGTGGTATCTCATCATGGTTGTGGGGAAGGTTGTCTCACAGCATTATAGGAACACTCCAACGTTTTACGCTTGCGGCCCGGAACCAAGCCTCCGTTGAAGGCATGTGAAAGGTCCGGCCACGGCGACTGTCCAGTGGTGTCTTCCATGCCTTGACTATGTCGTGTCGCGTTTCCAGGCAAAGGTTCGTGGTGGTGGCATCCGGAGTCTCGATGAACGATTGGATACCGTCGCCGATGGTGGCAATAGTGTCCTCCTTGGTAAACTTCCACAGTATCACAAACATTGTTCCTATTTTCACAATGCCACATGCAATGACAATCCCGATGATTGTTAGGCTGAACTGTATGCCGCAGCGTCCAGGTACTTCTTGGCTTATGCAGTCTGCGAAAAGTTGAGTATTGGAAGTATAGCTGGAATTGTAGGACTCACACTCTAGAGGGAAGGCTGTTGGGGAGGGGTCAATATCACTATCCACCGGGATTGAGCCTCCGTCAGTAGGACGGGTCCATGAGTATACAGGCGTAGCTCGATTGATGTAGTGCTTATGTTCTTTCCGCCACGACTCAGCTGGTACACCAAAGGCGTAGCCTCTCATCATATAGGGCGCTTCGTAAATATCCCTACATTGGTCGGCCGTGAGATTCTTCCACACTGACTGATCTTGGTATTGGCCGTCGGAAATCATATTCCTGAGTTCCGGGAAGTCCTCAGCTTTTTGTGTCCAGGCCGTGTCGGTGCTAGTGAAGATTGAAGGATCTACAACGAGGTAGGCAATTTCATCATAAGTCGCTTGATCCTTGATGAGGACGGAGTTATAGCTGGCTCTATATGAGTATATCTGTAGTAGTAGAACGTCGGAGCCATTCTTACAAAAGATGCAGCGGCAGGCTGCTCAGGGCCAGCATAACCCATAGCACTATGCGCATCGGATTGATCGAGGGGAGATTCCTCACACTTGGCTTCCCGATATCGAGCCATCTCCTCTTTGCATGAGCAGCATCGATCTCGCTTCTTGTCGGTGCCACCAATCGTTGCATGCAATAATTGGACGCGGCTAGTAAAACAGTACTGAAAACGTTGATGAGAAATTGCAGTCCTTCGAAGATGCGCTCATAGACTCCACAGTCGCCACGATAGATGGTCGTGAAGCCAGATTCCGGGTGAGGAGCGGCTCCTGCGATGATTGCGAAGAGAACGTTGAGGAAGAGCACGAACGCGGTGCCATAGGTCCACAATTGGACACCACCACGCCAGCCTGGAAAACGGCGTTTAAACCAAGACTGTGTCCTGCTCCACCACCTAAAACGGCGTTTGAACCAGAACTTTAGCCTGCTCCACCAAGACCTTTTTGCTCGTGGAGATTCATCGACAGCCTCTTCGGCCGCTTCCACGTCGTTTGCGTTTTGAGGGAGTGGTTGATGTTCCACGTTCGAGTGTCCTGAGGTCTCGGCTACCGGCGGCGCACCAGAAACGTTCGCTGGAGGAGGTTCGTTAGGGATGCTTGCTTCGGCCGGCTCCATTTCGTCATCGTCTACATGCGCATTTCCAGGAAGCGCTTCAAGTTCGATATTGGAGTGCCCTAGGGATGTTTCCGCTGCCGCCTGCACACCTGAGATTGCGTTTTAGCAACAAGTTCCATTGCGGGCGAAAGCGTATTTTGGGCATACTCATGGCGTAAGGCGTCCAGGATTATTTACCTCTAGTCTTTTATCTGTCGTCTGCATCGTATGCGCAATGGCACTCTTAACAACATTTGCCCAAGCATTTGCCTTGTTCTGAACGGTGTGCGCAAACTCATTATCTTGGGGGCCGTTTTGTCGGGGAGGGTTACTCAAGGAGATTATCCCCCGCATTTGTACGACCACCCGCCTTCCGTCACAACAAGTGAGTGGTGGTCAGCATTTTCCTAGTCCGGCACGCATCCTTTTATGGATAAACGACCGTTATTGACAAGCCTCTCCGCCAAGGCAACCTGCAAGGCTTGATGCCATTTAGCTCTCTATCCGTGGATCGCAGGGATGGAACCATCGGTGAACAATACTGCCTCGACCTAACCAATGGCAGCTTGGTCTTGTTCGAGTGATGTCCAACTTTATTGACACGTGCGACCATCTTCGAAAGTGGTGGCTACTGTAAGCTTAGGCTTCACAAAGCTTCTTCATAGAAAGGTTATGAATCGAGGATATAAATGTAGAGGTTATAGTAGTATACAGTATGAATGTTTTACAGAAAAGGTTTAGTACCTGGGCATTAAGCTATAGGTATTGAAAAGATCGATTAAAGTAATATCTATGAAGTTGAGAACTAATAGGCTACACAAGCCGGCAAGCCGGAACCTCGCAAACCGCGTATGTCCGCTATCTATGGTACCTAATCCGTTGGACTGCATTTAGCTAACCGAAGTACAGACCTTTCTCATTTCTTGTCTCTTTTCTCATCTCATCGTGTACAGAACATAACAGAGAGCCGTTTACAGTTTATATAGTACTAACTAGCCACTTCTTTACTATTAGGTAGTTGCAATAGCAGCTTCACTCCAAACTTTCTTCTGAACTGATGCTGTGATGACTCTTTTGCTAAAACGTTTCGTGGCGCTGTACCTAGATGGCGGGTTCCCGCCCATGGTCTTCTTGCGGCACTTGGATCATGTGCTGTTAGCCCGCCCATGGTGCCGCATCATTAGCGCGCACGTATGGCTCATCGATATCTAGACCTTGCACATATATAACTATGCTGCTTTTTGATACATTTGCACCTTTCCGCGATCACATCCACCGTACAATTATGTCTCAATCAAGTTCCCCACTCCTCGGCTTGCCCCGCGAAATGCGGGATGAAATCTGTCGATATACGGTACAGGAGCCCGGTGGCTATGCGCACAACGCCTCGTCCGGAAGATTACGTACCTTCAGAGACGCACCTATCGATCTCTCTATGAGCTATACGTGCAAGCAAATCCATTCGGAAATGCGTGGCGTGGCCTTGAAAACCAATTCGATTACGTTCACGTCACAACTAGATCGATCATCAGATATGCAAGATTCATCGATTACGGCACGTTTCACTGGCCTATTGGCAAACCAATACATCGCACTTAAAACCATGTTATCTTGGGTCTCTGACTGCGTCACCGCTAGCCATCTAGATACTTTACTCGCCTTGCACCCGTACAACAGCAATGTCCGCAAGCTTCAACGGATGAACGAGGTCGACAGATTAGATCAATTGAGAAATCATGGCCTCGTCGCTGGATCAAGATCCCTAGAAAGTATCGCAACCGTTCGCGCGGTACGCGATCTGTTGGAGCTTGTTTCCGCAGACGAAAGATTTTACAGACTGACAGCCAAAGAGTATGACCGGATGTCTAGAGACGGTCAAATACCACCAGGTCACCTCGACTACTACCGAGAAATTTATCCCAATGCAAACGAATACGATGGTTCGGAACATGTTCCACGCTATGCGCCAAATTCCGAAAAACAGCTCCTTGCACGAGTTCTGGAACCTTGGTGGATTCTGGACAAAGTCGAGATTGACCACTTTGACAAGCTCCTTCCGGATCCTTGGGCAGATCAAGTATTTCCTAACACTGTGCAAAGATGGTATATTTCAGCTGCAGCTGGGGCCATTCAGTTTCTTAACCGACTTTCCGAGGACACTCGCGGATGTATTCGACACATCTCAATCATCGAGGACCATGATTGTAGGACAAATCATCCTTGTCACCCCCATGGTTTTATCCCGTTCTGCGTAGAGAATCCGCATCTACAGGTGGAATCCGAAATCGATGTGTGGAACGTCCTCTTTTGGCAAAGCAGCATGCACCACCGCCATGAGATCTTTCCAAGTACAGTTATCTGGAGAACAGGTCAATACCTACGAGAAGCACTACTTTTACCTCTGAATGGGATGCCAAAGGGACAATATACGCTGAAACTTCGGGGCAGAACGCCAGAGATGACGCAGCAGGTATGGAAAAAGATCAAAAGAGGAGCCGAGGTACTCGCAGCTGCCCAACAAGTTCACCAGTCGCATCCCGAACAACAAGAACACCCTCTCATTCGTCACCTTGCCAAGGATCTTCCTCAAATTGTTAAGGATGTCATAGATGGCGATACACCAGTGCTCTTCGACCACTGTCCCGGGTCTTCGTGGGACCTTGAGCAAGCTACGTTTGACCTGAAACACACTTTGCCATATGAAAATGAGTGGCGCAATGTAGTCGATTTCTCGGACTTTGAGCGGCAGACTGAGGAATGGGAAGCATTGGAGAATGAATACATGAGAAACGTTGATTGAGTGCGTGTTGGGGAGCTGGCGACTGCACTTTCTATTTTTTTCTTGCAGCTGCATATTATATCTTTCTTTCACAGCGGATTTGCTCCCTCTTCTGGCTGAATTGTTTGGTTCGGCCTCAATGGCTTTCTGCACACAGCTGAGATCTCCATATTAGCAGTCTACACACCTAAAAACCGCTTCCGACCCGAATAGGGCTGCCAATCTACTCATCTCGCCGCTTCCTGAGGTCAAAAGTCACCAAATCGAATACTCGGCATCCACTTCGAAGCAACCGAGGCAGTCTATGGAAGATGGGCAGCAGCTCCAGATTTATCAATGCATACCTAGTCGAAATTATTGTCTCCATGGGATTGCAAACACTTTGGATCTTTGCCCATCGCCGAAGGATAAAGATAGTTTGTTCGTTGGGAAAACTTTTGTGCTAATAGCTAGTATGGCTTATGGCAAGTGGGCAAGACATTAATCGAATGATGTGACTGAGGTAATGTGTCTCTGAGGTGACGCATGATGCGTACTTCCGGACGCTGAAGCTAGCCTTCCATGCAATTTTTCCTCACTTGCCGGAAGCTGCGGCAGGATCCGTTGTAAAGAATTAGGCTCCCTGCTATCGATTGAACGCATGGCAGATCATAGGAACCGCAAATAACCAACGATGTCAAAATGACTCACAGAAACGGTGCCAGTCCGAGACGTAACACCACATGCGTGATTAGTCATGCTTGATTTAGGAGTCATAAGAATTTTGGGGCCCGCAGGGCGCTACCGTAGAGATGAGGGACCCAACGTTGAGAGACACCTTGTGCATGCCTCTTTCGGCACTCGAATGACGCGCTGTAGCCAACGTGCGTGAAAAAAAAAGTGATATGACTCGTTGTTTTGTTAAATAGTGATTCTTTGGATGGAACCATGGTTTATGCACCTGGGCATGCCTGAACATGAGTGACCAGACTCATGATTCCATGAGCTCCTCTCGAGTTTCGTCCTGTGAAAATACCTCAAATCGTGAACCCAATAACCGCTGGGCTTTTATAATGTGCCGAACTATGGTACATCCATCGTAAAAGTATCCCCTGCTAAGCAGCTCCTTCGCGATACATGGTATCATCCTAGGCATCACTACTCAACGAACCAACAAATCATCATAATTTCCCACGAGTGTTACCTAACAGAAAGTGGGCATAGTGCCAAAAGAGAACCAAGTACTTATATCGGGTTCGCAGCCCTGCGTGATCCTTGAGTCAGCATTCAACTTGACGCACACCGACCTCCCACGAGACCGACACCATGTCGCAATATCAGTCGCCTTTGTTTCGCCTACCCCGGGAGCTCAGAGACGAGATATACAAGTATTCATTATTAGAAACTGGTGGTTATCTCTATGATCCAGCGTCTGGACGATTGCGTACGGCTCAAGGAACTCCAATCAATGTTGCTTTATGCTTGACGTGCAAGCAGGCAGCAGAGGAGACGCATGACCTAACTCTCCAAAGGAATACCATCAGCTTTACCTCGTTCGCAGACGCTTCTCTTGATGCACGGACCTTCGACCGCCTCCAGGACCGTTGTTTAGCTGCTATCCGGAGTATGTTGGCTTGGGCTGCGCATTGTGTCACTTCCGACCATCTTGACATCCTGCACTCGAAGTATCCTCACAACTCCGGCGTGCGCACTCTTCGTGCCGCCACCATAGCGAGGCGAATATATCATTTGGAATCCTTGGGGATACCAGACCTTTTCATCATGCCAGTGCATGTGCATTCCAGAGCTATACAGTCTCTACTTGAGCTCATTCAGAAAGAACCCGAGTTTCATGTGTCAACAGCCAAAGAGTACGACGCGACACTAAGGGACGGAGAAGTACCTCCGACAATAGCATGCAGTCACGAAGGGAGAAGGCCTGGAAAATACGATGAAAGCCGTCACTTTCCAGCCTATAGTACAGATTCCCAGCAGCGTATCATCGAAATTCTTCCGCGACCTTGGGATATTCTTGGGTCTGTTGCTTTAGACGAGATGGCCAAGCTTATGCCTGAGTCACAGCGGATCAAGGACTTTTACGCGGCTGTCGATGAAGATGTCGAATCGCCAAAACGATATTGCTATTCTGGGACAGCATGTGCAATTCAGTTGCTCAAGGAACTTCGTTCAGAGCACCGGTTAAACCTCCGAAAGATCGTGATTGACGAACGATACCTTAGCGTATGCGCCATGGAGTCGCATGCAAATGGACTCATTCCTTATTGCAACGAGAATCCGAAGCTCTGCATAGAAGTCAAGGTGGACGTGTGGCATGTGCTCCTACAGAAAACTTGGTATGACGGGCGTCTATTTGCATACTCGGTGATCGTAGGAGTAGCGAGGTGGCTCAGCGAGGCATCCTCACTCTTGGCCCAGGGCATGCCACAAGGTCAATATACCCTATTGTTGGGAGGAGCAGAACCAGAGCTCTTGGAACCACTATGGAACGCGATCAAGAGAGCTGCCGCGATATATGAAGGGACTCAAAATATTGAGGAAGTGCATTTGGACCTATTTAGCAGGTTTCCTACGGACTTCCACGTGTTAGTGAGACAGAGTTTCGATGGAGGGCTCCCACTGCGATTTGATGCGCCTTTGGGCGAACCCTGGGATCCGACGCAAGTGATGCACGAGCTGGAGCATTTAATTCCTGACGCGATTGACTGGCATAATATGATCGACCTCTCGGCCCTGGAGCGGCACGCGCACATCTTAGATGCCATCCGGAAGGAATACTACACTGTTAGCTAGCGATCCGTGAAGAATTTCGATCTATCGGCTCAAAAACATTGCTGTATAATTCCTCTTTTTTATTGCCCTTCGGTTATGCTGCGCAAGTAATAGCTTAGTTTAGACCTAATGTTATAGGTCTGGTTATGGTCGGTCTCCGAGTCATCACGATTTGATCTCGTCTTCAAATCGTTGAGTGAAGAGTTAAAATGTGCTGTTTGTCTTGAGGTTGGACACCGCCACCATGTCCGTGCCTTGGGCTATGTGGCATGCATAATGATAATCAAATCACGTGGAAGCTGCCCACCTGCGCATTCAAGATAAACACTTGCTGTAGTGTTGCTTGGCTTTCCCGACCCTCGTGACACGCAGACCACAGAGCTGGTAGTCCATTCCCGTAGGAGTAATTGCCACCTGGTCCAACATCACCACGGTAAATCTATTTCCAGGGACTTCTAACTCCTTTCTAGGGGTTTTCTGTCTATAATTTCGGAGTCACTTATAACCAAAGTGCCAAGTCCAACCCCTCACGCGCACGTTCGCTTGTGTAAAGGCACGGCGGGCAGGAAGGTGGGGGGCATTGGAAAAGCAACAATCGGTATATCCTAATGTGAAATATAGGGAAGACGAATCCTTGGGGTGCCAAGGGTTCGGATGGTGGGACCAAATATGGGCTGTCACATGACCATAGTAGTCTCGTGAACGGCCCTGGGTATTTCCGATGGATTTTCGCCAGGACTGGAGTGATACGATGTCGTGATACCTAGCCGCGTAGATATGTAGGTACTTTTTTTTTTGTTAAACTAGCTAGTAGGGGATTTCGTACGGAGGAGCATTTCAGAAGTCTTTTTCCATACAGAGAAACGATAATCGACTAATGACAAGGTGGATAACAAATGGCGAGGTGGATCGCCCAAGAATAGAGCAGTGGTGCCGAGGATCTACGTGACATGGTCCAAGCGTTTTTAGTGTGGGACATCCGATCCAAGGCGCCAAATTCCCCCGTCACTTCCCCACGTCACTCTTCTTCATTCAGAGCAACAATGGCCGACCCGCCTTCTCCTCCACCTGGGCCTGCACAATATGAAGCGGAAATCCCTCTCAATGCTATCGACCTCTTTCCCCGCAAAGTCGGACCGAGAATCTTCCATTTGCCGGACAGAGGTGCAATTTTGAAAGTTGGGACAAATGTAAAGATGGCTGAAGCTGAGGCTATGCGGTTCGTGTCCAGCCGTTCTTCCATCCCCGTACCTGAAGTATACGAAGCGTACGAGAAAAACGGATTGGGGTACATCTACATGTGCAAAGTTGAAGGACTGGAGTTGGCGGAGACGTGGTCGTCGTTGTCGGACGACAAGAAGGCATACGTTGCAGATCAGCTTCGAGGATACGTGAGAGAGCTTCTTGATATGCGCGGGGACTCGTATGGCGCGCTTTGGAATCAACCTAGCGAAGACATCTTCTTCTCACACCTATGTCTGACATCACATGACGACAAGCAGTACGGCCCCTTCAATTCAAGGATCGAATATAATCAAGGGCTAGTCGAGGCTCTTACCAACTCTCGTCCCGGAGGTCAACTTGGGGAATCAGAGAATAGCCTCATCGCCAAGATCACAGCTTTGACTGAAGATGTCAAGATTTTCTCTCATGGCGACCTCCACCTCAGCAACATTCTAGTTGATGGCAACTGCAAGATTACGGCCATCGTTGATTGGGGCTCAGCTGGCTTCAGTATACCAGGTCGAGAATATCTAGAGGCCAATCTACGAGCTCGACGACCTGACTGGATCAAATTACTCGACGATGTATTCCCTGAAGATGCAAAGGCGGAGTATCATATACTGAAAGAGCTAGATCGAGCACTCATATTATATAGTGGGTTTTAAGTTGAATAGCTCACTCGAACCCATTCAGTCCTTGACAGCCATACTCAAGGCGCCTCTAACCAACCGCACGCACCCAGCGGGACCTGGTCTTATTCGCCACCGTCGCTGCTGGCTGTCCCAACAACCCCCAAGCCACTCGCTCGTTCCCGGTGGAACAATCTCTCCCACCTCGAGTGCGATGATACAATTCTGCACCTAATCTTGGCACCTGATCCTCCCATTATTCGGAGCCGGCTCCTGACTGATGATATGATCCGCACGTTGATACTGCTCTAGCGACAAGGCTGCTATAGTAGCGTCTCCGGATGATTTAGACCGAACCTCGACGCTTTTGCGCTTTACAAAAGCATAGACGAGTCTATTGAAATCGAGAAGAGTGACATGAGAAAGTCGCCGACTGAGAAGCCGGGCCCATGGAAGGCGAAGGCCCAGTGGGAGCGGTGGTTTGAATCATCACCAGGACCGCAAATCACGACTGAGAGGTAGTATGACATGTCCATGCTATTGTTATTGGGAACCCTGGTTCCGAAATTCCTTCTTCAACTTACTAGTACAACTTACTAGTAAAGTCCCACCTTAAGGAATCTGTCTCCTCGAGACTTTCTTTTGGATATGATGGATAGTTAGTCGCCAGGCTCACGCTTCGTAATTATCCAGGTTCAAAGTCCAGCATGCTCATTCAAGATACGTATTATCCATTTCGACCAATTTGTTGATGCTAGATCAGCCATCCTTTATTCAGTTTCTTTTTGGTAACAACCCACAAGACGCACAAGCATCCCGATGCGACCAGAAGACATATTCCAGACCAAAGCTGTGGACCCAAGAAGTCCGTCTCTCCATTCGGCTTCGTTCTGAGCAGGGCACCAGCTATCGGCGACCCGATCAAGGTAGCTATACTGGATACACTCCACGACATGCCCAGGCGGGTACCGAGCCGCGACATATCCGGGCAGATATTTGCAAACGCAGCTGAAGGAAGCGTAACAAGTGCGGCGGACAGGAAACCTACAGACAGTCAGACACTGCAATCAAGGGAACGGTCGATGGTGCACTTACCCCAGAAAACGCTAAATGCAATGAACGATGCCTGTGTATCAATACTAATCCAGCAAAGCGCCAAAATACCACTGGTGAAGGAACACAGAGCCCACGTAACAATGCTCCCCAGGTAATGCGCCAAAAGCCCGCTTCCAATGCGACCGAAGAAACTCCCGGCCAACGCGCCGATGAGCATGTACAGCGACACGCTTTGACTCGAACCCAATTTCTGCTGGGCAAATGTCGGGATGTAGAAGTACGGGACGATGTAGCCGAGGAAGTTGCAGAACGTGCATAACGTGAAGAGAAGGAAGAGCTTGTCTTTGACAGCGGAATTGTCAAAGAGGGCGCGTCTTTTGCGCGGGCGAGCAAGCATGCCACTTCCAGAAAGGAGGGCGGGGAACGACAGCAGAGCGCAGCCGAGAGAGACGAAGCCGATCGCGCGGATTGTCCAGGGGAAGCCGGCTTTGTGGATAAGTTGGTCAAACATGATGATGTAAATCACGCCGCCTACTCGCCGTCAATACAACATATGCAAAGATTCATGTACAAGGACTCACCGACAGCGATACCGCTCATCACAATACCCAGTGCCATCGCGCGTCTCCTCTCAAACCAGATACCTACTAGCGCAAGACTCGGAATGTATAACAGGCCAGCGCCCAAACCCATGCAGATGCCTTGAGCGAGGAAGACCTGCCAGTAGGTCCTGCAGAGACTGAGCATCATGATGCCGAACACGATTAAAAAGTTGCCAATGTAGAGCATAGAGCGGAAATAGCCGAGGTCGAACAACGGACCTGACAAGACTCCGACTACAATTAGCAGCCAGCCTTGAACAGTACCGATCCACGATATCGACGATGGTGACTGATCGGGAAGTAGCGTGAAAGTGTAGTAGGATTGGAAGGTGCCATAAGCGAGAGTGAAACCCCTGACACATGAGTTAGAAGCAGGATACACCCAGATATGGGACTCCGCACCAAATGTTGATGTACACCAAAAAGCCACCAAAGACTTTCAACCATGCGTGAAGACCACCATCAGGCGGTGGTGGCAGCTGAGATCCTGCCAGTGATTGCGATTCTATGTGTTGTAGATCATTCGTGTTGTTGGAATCCTGTGCGATCGAATTTTGTCGTGTGTCATCCTGGGCCTTCTCTTCATCGTGCCATCCAGTAGATGACGCATTTGAATGTGGCTCTATGGAGGATTTGCCTAGTTGCCTCTTTTCTTCCGCACCTGTTGATTCTGACATGGTACCGATGTTTCGTAAAGTTATTCTCCCGACCGTCAAGCCTTGTGTATGATCCAAGCAATTGTGAAGTGACCAAAGGCTGATTCAATGTTCGGAAAGCTTTCGGCAGGGGAATAAAGCCGGAATTCGTTCCGCCACTTAGCGTACAGGAACACCAAGGCGATGAGGTATTAGGACGGTGAAGAAGGCAAGGCGCGAGAATGATGTAGGGGCACGCAAATGCAAGGAACGAGAGACGTGACCGCGATTTGAGACGAACTGACATGACGAGGCCAGCGCGCCTTTTATGACCACCGGAAAAGGTCATGTCCATTGGGCGTTTAGATGCCGGCATCCACAACAATGTTAAGCTTAACCTCTTTGGGATGAGCTGTGCGGGGATAATGGTACCGAGGTCGGTGCTCTCCCTGCGGCACGATGGCGCCAGGCCTCAAGAGGCAATCGTGAATTTAGCAACGACCCGCTCAGATCAGGTGCTTTACTCCGAGTACTTGCCATTGTGGATTGTGCTCGGTGTGAATGTACAAAACTTGGTTGGATGTGAAGGGCAGACAAACTCACAGATGAAGATACAAGTGTCGACCTCGCATGCTCCGCGGAGTATCACGAGGCTGGAGGAACGCAACACCAGTCTTCCAAATATTCATTGGATACCGAAATCCAGTATGCGTGCAGCAATCCCTGCAGCAATATTCTACCCTAGCGTGACTCACGGCCAGTGAGTTTCATTTTAACTGTGTACGCAGCATCTTGCCTCTATTTGAGTTGCAGCTCCAAGATCCACGACAGTCCATGTTTTCAGAGAAGCAGAAAAGGACCAAAGCCTTGCTCTCGCTATAACCAAACCGCAACGACGAGGTTTTTGTATTATCGTCCTTGATGCTGTAGACTGCCCGAACCGGAACCGGAACCGGAGCCGGAGAGAAAGAAAACCATTAGTCTATGACCAGCATGTCAAGAGTGTCATGTCAGAATCCGGGCGGCAATGCGACCATGCACTGCGAAGCATGTGCTTCTTGTATAGCACAGGTGCGCTGTACATTATTGTTCGTCTGATCTTGGAATATTGGATAGATAATTCGGAGGGGAGCAATAGCAGGGTTCAAAAGCGAAAGCGCTTATTTCCGACAGGTAATCTAGTGGGATCTTCTGTAGATTTTCACGAAAGAACCTGCATCGCGCAGAGAAGCATATAGTAAAGAGTATGATTTTCCAGACCTGAAGCGTAGAAAGAGCATGAGAACTGTGTCGGAAAGTGAGGAAGTTCTTGAACATTACATCATTTACAAATTAGAGTTACCGAGCAACGATCATTGCGATGTCCGTGCTCCACACTAGCGCTTTCGCGGGACCAAATGCTGAACTGCATGCAAACCAAATACCCCTTGCACACTTTCAAGCCATCTCAATAACAATGAATGGGTTGCTATTTTGATGACGCTGGTCAGAAGTTTGACTTTTGTTGATCATACATGTTCCATGGCAAATTATATCACCATTCTCGTCACCAGCACGTGCTAAGATGCAGAATTTGACTGCGCAGTGCTATCAAGCAACTACATCGCGTACCATGGGTCCATCCTACGCATCCCACTCAAAAAAACACCAAAAGGTCACATCAAAGCCCTTCTCACAAACGTTTCCTAAAAGCACGTGATTAAAATCACGAAAGAGCACACGCTAAGTTTCGTCAGTGATACGGAAGCTGGAACGAGAAAGCAAGTATTGGAACGAATATTGGAACTGAGACAGATACATACGTGTATACGTTCCGATAAAGATACTTCAACTCCGGTCTATTGTTACCAGTTGTTCTCTGTGCCAAAAATCCATGTCGTTGAACGATGCCAACGAACACTGACGATACTCCACACTTAATGACAGAGCATAAGGGCTCGACGTACATTCTCGCGACTGGCAATTCGAGTCGAGCCATATCTCTGCTCGCCGTTCGCTGTGACCGGTGAATACTCGTCCGGGTTGTATGTAAGATATGGCATCACCGACTAGCCTTCGGGGCTCTGTTCAGTCTTCTGCCGCTTGGCTAATTTCGACGACGCAAATTCGCTATCCTCGGAATCGCTTGGAGTGCGAACGCGCCGACCGAGTGTGGAGCTACCATGAAGCTGTCAGTATGCTTCCAGGCAGGTACAGGCGACCATTGAGGAGGGTATGACTTACTTGGTGGAGGCCTCGTGGTTGTGGTCTGCTAGAGGATATGATTGCGAAGCGCCATCCATTGACCGAGCGTCATCCACCATATGGAGACCCTCTTCGACTTGTTCGGCCGAGCAAAGGCCGCTCGATAAGAGATAAGACTGCAGCGTGGCATCCGAAAGACCACACACCGCATCCAGCATCTGCACGTCGTGCTCAGATGGTGCTCCACTACTGTTCGGTTCCACTTCGAGAGCAGTACCTGTTGCGTGATCAGAATCTCCAACGAATTCCACTCCCACCTCCATCGAATGCATGATGGCCTCAGCTAGCGGATCTTCAACCTCTTCTAGTTCTTCGGCAGGCTCACTACCGGAATCGCTTCCGCTAGATGAGTCCTCCGAGTCAGTATCACTTTCAGTGTCACCAAAGACACCTTCGTCCACAGTAGGGTCTGTATCCTCGCTGCGCGGAGCAAACAGTGCCAAGAACCTTTGGTGGTTTTCCTCCAATTTGTCTAGCTCGTTGTCGTATTCGAAGTCCTCATCGCAACAGAAGCTGGTGTCTGCCCACCCATCCTCAGAAGGACATGCATACCGTCCGGGACGGTAGTAGATACCAGAGGTCCTCCTGAACTCGTATCCCCTCCGTTTCTTGTTATCTAGCACGTCGACGGCGAATGTAACTGCCTTCCTTTCACGAATCGGACTGCGAGGCGGCGATAAAACTAGTGACGGCGAAGACGAATCGCGCGCTGACGATGACGATGGCGATGGCGGTAGCGGTGGGTACGCATGCCCAAGTTTCGAGGGGCTTGGCGTATGTGGTGGTGACAATGGTTTATCTGATAGCGGAGCTCCCGATTCTATGCTTGGCCCGCTCAGAGCTTCTTGAGCCTCGTCGCGTGCGGTAACATCAGTTTGGACTTTTCGTAAATCAGTGCGACGATGCAGTCGCGAATGCAGCGCGTATAGCACGCCGACGCTATCCATGCGATGTGGATCATTCCTTCGTGCAAAGTGTAAAGCTTCCAGCACCGATTTCGCCTCTGTCAGCTCCTCGAATGTATAAGCCGGGCTCGCCTTCCGCATTTCGTTGTCCTCCCATGCGACGACGCCTTTGCTCAACTCCTCGTATTTGTATACGAGACCCACCCATCGATTCTTCTCAAAACGCCAAATGTCCTTGAGTATGTGGTACAGCTCGCGTGAGGACCCTTTCGGATCGTATGGTAACCTCCGGTCCGGAGCACCCAATGCTTTCCAGGTTTGCCATGCGCGAGTCAAAGTCCAGGTGATTTGTTCCATCGTGCACACCGGGCATGCCGTCGCGAGGCAAGACGACCGTATCGCGGGATGCATGGCGTGACCACAGAGTTTCGCAATCACGAGCCTGGTTGTCGTAGGTGTCCGGTACACCTTGAACAGCTTTCCGCGCGCATGAAGCCAATGCATGAACGCCTTGTAGCCTTGCGGGTTGGGAAGATGTCCGTGAGGTACGAGCTGTGAATTGAAGCACGCTTCTATCCATGCTTTTGTGCTCCTATACAGACCGCTGCTACGAGGCAATACGATCGAGGACTGAAATTCGAGATATTCGGAGTATAGATGGTGGCCGAAAAGTAAGAATGCGACGTTAGGTGAGGTGACGGGGACCTGTAAGCCACGGGAGGCGGCCATGGCCGATGATTGATTGGGTTGAGCCCTGGTGGGCCTGAGGTAAGGGATGCTTTGGGTTTAGGCGGCGACTGCTCGAGGATCTTTTGTAGAAAGCGCGGGTTGGCTCCTTCACTTCAGTTCAGATCACGTGCACGGTCCAACTCCAGGGCTAACTCAACTTTAGATGGCCAAGCTAGGCTGCCCACATTCCCAACAAGTGCGTGCAATGACCCTTACCAAACATCCGTAACGCCCTTTCCAGAATCGGACCCTACAGCAAACACACCACTTCACAAGAAACATTGATACTCAAAGCAAGCGCAGTGGCCAGAGATACCATTGCATCGGCACGAAATGCAACATTGCCAAGAGTCGTTCTCCTCGTCTACACCACCGCATCATATAGCAAGAAGAGATAATGAATTGCTCTTTCTGGCAATAAATCGAAATACCTGCACATGGGGATCGATCCACTGACGACGAGAGAATGGAGGAAGCATCTGTGGCATGTAACAACTGTGGCATGCAACAACAAAATTATTCCCTCCTGGTTTCTCCATCATCAGCCCTCTCAAATTCCTCCGCCTGAATATACGTAAATAATGGCTCCGGCCACTCTGGCTTTTCCCCTGCCCTCGCTCCCCTTCTCAGCACATAGGTCTTCCACTTCCACTTGACCATCTCCCGTGCCCATGGAACCATACGCTTCATCTGATACCCCACGTGCTGTTTCGTCGTTGCACTAAAGATATAATTCAACTCCTCCAGCGAGATGTAGTTGAGACCCTGAGCATCATCGACGCCAGTGATCGCAACAGCAGTCTCCGGAACAAAGAAGAAGATCAGAATGAGCGCGATGACATTGAGGCAGGTGAATATTCCCAGGAGTCTAGATTCGCCGGTCTTGAGGTCGGTAGTCTCTCTAGCGGTCGAGGCGGTGTGGTTGAGCGCGAGGGTTAGTTGAGGGACTACGAGGGCGATTATCCCTGGGTGGGATTAGTCATGCGGTATGAAAATCGCTTAGGGATGAGTCAGTATTTACCGCATCCGAATAGGTTGGCAAAAACTGCGAAGCTCATGCCTGCCTCACGGTTGAGCTGGGGAAAAACTTCCGAGGAGTAGGCAAATGGGACTGCGAGGGTCAGTAAGGACTGCGAGGGAACCACGAATTGCAAGCGTACCTGGACCTTGACCCCAGGAGTAGAAGAAGATGAAGCAGAACATGAAGAATACCACGACGATCAGCCGGCTTTTATCGTTCTCGATGTTGTAGGCTAGGCATGCGGCTAGCATTGAGAGGATCATTCCGGGATACGATGACAATAGGAGGAATCGGCGACCCCGGGTATCGATGAATTCTGTAAGAGGACTGGTTAGATACCATCAAACGTTCATCTGACGAGCCTTATCAACAAAGAAACGGTGCCGCTCTTACTGTGCAAATGTTAGCTGGAGTTTGTTTAGTCATCTCTTTCTGGGACCTTCATACCGGTATATGGGAAATGTAAAGAGAAAGTTAGCCAACCCAAAGCCTAAGCTAAGCCCCGCTCCTACAATCGAATCCCCATTTGAATCTCCGGGATCACAAGACCCGCGGCTCGAATCAACACTCGGATCACGGAAGAAAGTCGTACTGTAGAACTGGAGTATATTCTACGACATATTATCAGTAAGTAACACAAAAACAAGCGGACTACACTTACAATGCCGCAAAGTTGCTGCGATATCATCATTATGAGCGCTGCAGTTGTCGCACGTCTAATACGTGGGATTCGAAATAGCTGTACGATGCGATCGACGAAATACGAGCGCTTTGCACACAATTGGTATTCATCCAGCTCGCCATCAGCGAGCTCATCTCTAAGATGGAGAAAGGTCCAAAAGTATCGCAAGCGACCGGAAAGACTGAGGCATCCGTACGATGCGTTGTTGCCTGGTTGTGCAGTAACGCCTATGTCGTCAGTATTCTTCTCAGGATCTTCGATATTCATGGTTTCGCCCGCATATTCACTATTTCGTCGTTTTTTGGCCCGAGCTTCGGTAATCACCTTCTTATCACTTCCACGTGTGCTCCGCTGGAGAAGCTGGAGTTCGGCTTGGAGCTGAGCGTTGGCGTAGAAGAGTTCAGCTGCAGCCTGGAGAGGTGTTGGTCGAATTGCACAGAAGGAACGAAAGGCTTCGGCATATCGACCCTTTTTAAGGAACCATCGTGGTGACTCTGGTATGGTCCATATCAAAGTGAGCAGACAGATTGTTGGGATGACTGCCGATGCCACCTCGTATCTCCAGCTGTTGTCGCCCGATTTAGAGACGATGAGGTTGGCTGTGAAGCCGAGAAAGAGCCCAAATGCGTCGAATAGCTGCCAATTCATCACCAAGGCTCCACTGTCTCTTTATTAGCCCAAGCAGTGACAAAGAAGAGGAAATGTTGCATCGTACCGGAGATGCGTCGGACTAATTTCTGCACCGAAAATCGGCGTCACGCTGGCTTTCGCCCCCAGTGCTGCTCCCAAAACGATCCTACAACCTAGCAGTTGTTGCCATGTCTGAGAGCAAGCACAGCCAATAGCTCCGGCCAAACAGAGGCAGGCTGAGAAGAAGATGGCACCTCGGCGACCAAGAATCAGTGACTGGAGGGGATCAGACAGCCAGCATCCTATTATGCTCGCAGAAAAGTACAAGATGGAATTGATCCCGGAGAATATCCAATTCTCACGATTTCTGGTTGGAGGTACTGCGTCACTCAAGCCTAGTTGGCAGGGCCATTTGAGGTTCGCGCCGTTCTAGTCCCGCTGTCAATACAATTCATAGATAGTGCCTCGTAAAAAGGTTGGATACACGGTGTTGTACTAATCTGAGCAATACAATATCACAGGAGGGGGGAAATATGGCTGACTTACCAAGCCGGTTTGAACCCACCCTTGGATGATTGCAGACAAACACAGTGTCACAATAGCGATCCGAAGCGGCTTAGGCTGTTCCCAAAAGCCTTGTTTCCACTGTCTCTCGATAGCCAATTTTTCCTCTTCTGTCAAGTCCTTGAGACGTGCACACAGATGGGGAACTTGTTTGTACCGGGCCACGAGCGCGGCTTTCCTCCAAAACTCAGTGTCCCGATGCGTGGGGTTGATCCTTTCCGCAAACGCATCCGCAGCTTCGTTAAGCCTTCGAAGGCTCAAGTGAGCTAGCGGATTGTCGATCCTGGATCATTTAGCAAGATACTGGCCAACGCAGAAGAGTCAAACTTACTCGCACTTCGCGTTCACTCCTGAGATGTCGTGTCTTTCTTTTGATGACTTCTTACGGTTCGTCTAATACTCGTTAGCAGCGCATTACTGTCTTTTGATTAACCACACAAACCATTATTGCTGTTTCAGCAATATCTTTGGCCGTTTGGACATGGGGTTTGGCTCAGCTGGGTTCAAGGAGCCGTTCGTAGTCTGAGCACCGGCTCTGTAAGTACGCGAGAATGTCAAATAGTTGGTATATTACGCGTCGAGCATACGGCATAGCCACACAAGGCTGAAACACGGGAGGACTTGAAAGAAGGCAAAATGTCTTGGAGTGCATATGGCTTCCACAACCCGTACCGAAATTTGTTTTTCCACTGCATTGTTTCTCGCCTCCAAGGCGGCCTGGGTTGAAAAGGCTCTGCATCCTGGTGACTGCGAAGCCTTTCGAACCGTTGGAATAGCTGCGCCTACTGGCCAGGTTCTGGTGGAGTCTCGCCCCCAAAAGGATCTATGTCGATCGCGTTGCTGGTCGCTGAGCTCGATAAGTTACCCCGCGCATTGACGAGGGTGAGAATGAGTTCGCGATGGCTTGATTGGTTGCAATGGTTGGTGGCGCAACGGGGAGCCTTAAAGCGACACGACATTCAGCCTTGAGAGATGCACAGCAAACCGCCTGCACTTGCCTGCGATTATGGCAAAAGGTGGCTTACTTTAGCCTGAGGCGCGTCTCACCGGTCGTGTGGCGCACATATGATGACGTCAAACTCGTATTCTTGCTGGCATTGCGCCTTCCGTCTCGATACTGTCCATGGTTCTCTCAGCCATTCAAGCTATGTGAAGAAGTGGACTATGGACTGAATTTATACGCGATATGGCTGAGCTGCAAACGGCATCTGCCATTTGTGGCATTGGTACGATTTTCACGACACCTGCGTTTAGGGCTTCGCTGACAGGACCCAGTACGAACGACATGGCAAACGATAGAACTTTCCAGAGACATATTCCGAGCCCCAGAGGACGCTCAGATGCTCTGGGGGCGCACCAAGTCTACATATCAACTGATGCAATGCCTCGACGCTGTCATCAAACTGAGAAGAGAGAATGCTGTTGACAATACGAGACCACTCAGTGCCAGCATTGTTCTCGTCATCGAAGGCGCCGCCAAGAACTGTCAGCAGGTATTGCAGAAGCTGGCAGATAAATGCATCCAACTTGGGGCACATCAACACATAACAAGGGGCAAGACCGTGAAGGAAAGTGTGTCATTCGCGTTATCCGCAAAGTCGATTCAAAAGTTCGAGACAAACCTGATATTCGCTACCCAGATGGTGAAGTTTGCGCTGGAACTACTGAACAACGCCGATAGAATAACCGATAGAGTGGACACATCTGTACGATTCGATATCATCGAAGCACTGTTGCGACAACTAGTAGCCGATCGGGGTCTCATACTAGACAATCAAGAGAAGGACCACACTCTGCCTTCTAAATCTAGCACGACGACTCGTAAGCGCCTTGACTCAGGAGTGGGGCTCGAAGAAGATGCTAGAAGCACTGCGCCAAATATTGAGAAGACACTATCGACTAGTATAGGCGAGGAGGGCCAACTCATGTCCGAAAATCTTCTAAAATTTGCGGAGCAGATCAACGTGAGCTTCGGCGATTTTCATCCACATGTACCTAAAGAGTACGGAAACAATGCAAACCCGACTCCCTTGAGAGCGAACGATGACGACGATGTGAACGAATTGCATACACTTGAGAGCTGTCGCACCAACTTTAGCTTGTTGGGAGCGATCGAAGAACGGTCACCAGAGAAGTGTGAGGCACTACTCAGCCGGGAATGCGAGGTGAACAAAAGAAACGAAGAAGGACTCACTGCATTCATGTGCGCAGCAGCCTGTGAACATGGAGATGCATGTGAGTCTTGTCTCAGGTGCATGAAGATGCTTGTCGACCATGGTGCTGATCTCGATCAAACCCACGAAGAAAAGTCTGCGCTGCACTTGTCGGTGAAACATGGGAATCTCCAAATCGCGAAGTGGCTGGTCGAAAGCTCTGCCGAGATTGAGGCTTCATCCCCTCGTACACCTTTATTTCTTGCCGTAAAGTACAACAGACCAACTTTTGTGGATCTCCTCGTTTCGGCGGGCGCAAACGTCAATGTGCTCGATGAGCACAACTGGAGCCTCATACATTACGCCGTAAATAGGAACTGCAAGGCCGCTCTACTCGAGCTATTACAAAGCGCCAAGTCCAAAGGCATCGACTTGGATGTCAATGGTCGCTGCGAAATGACTTGGACCCCGTTGATGCATCTCGCAGAGGTATCGGACAAGGAAGAAAACGTTCAACTGGCTGGGATCCTGATTAAACACGGCGCCAAGGTCGATGCCACGGACGGAAATGGATATACGGCGTTGTGGTACGCTGTGCAAGGACGGTTTTCTGCAGCAAGAAATCGGTTTGTGTTTGAGCTGTTGCGGAAAGGTGCGGATGATGCGATTGTGAAGAAGAAGGCGCCAAAGAAGATAGCGGTTTTTGGCGCTTTTAAGACGTGGAAATTGTCGACCGTGTCTCGATGACATTGTTTTCCTTGGACAAGGGGTTCACCAATCAGAGAGTTCCAACCCATACTACTGCAATGTACAGCACCACCGCCAAATAAACCCAATCAGACCACCACCTGGCTCCTGTTTCCGCCTAGTTGATCTACCTTTCTGGCGGCCGCTGCTCATAACTTGCTCTCCACCCGGAGTGTTAGGCCATGGTCTCGATTTCGTGGAGTATTTCTTAGTTCGAAGAAACTTCACGTCCGAGGCTGAAGAATGACTGCCAGGGCTCTCCTGTGGGATTTCATAGGACAGACTTGCTTGCGCAGTATCACATGTTGCCGGTAAGACCGTTGTAATCGTATCAAGCAAGCCTTTCCGATCTTGTTGATAGCACTGAGCTTCAGACGCGCCTGAAATGGGGTTATCGATTGTAGTAGATTGCTCAGTATCTGCCTACAACTTAGCGAAACTGACCGCTCCGCGGATGGACTTGCGTGAACGCACCTTCAGACCGTCCCTTACGCTCTACCATCTCCAGCCAAGCCAGCACCAGCCTACCTTCTTCCTCAATCTCTCGCAATCGCAGGTCGTCATCGTCGCACCCCTCTTCCTCAACACCTTCCCACGCTTCGTCGCACCCCTCTTCCTCAACACCTTCCCACGCTTCGTCAAGTTCACGATCGCACTCTGGCATCCCGTACCTCGCCTCCCGCCAAAACGACGTATCCACCCACGGCTTCCCCTCAGGCGCACACCACCTCCCAGGCATATACCGCCAGTGCGATCTAGCAAAGCAGTGTTTATGTCGAATTAGCCGCTCAGCAACACCATCCGCAAACCTAGCACTCTTCTTCGGTTCCACCCGCGTACCAGTGCATTTCGGTGCATCGTCATCAGAAGCATGCCAATCAAGGAACGGCGTCCTCTCCAATGCCATCCTCAACGCTTCTCTCGCACTGTTATTTGCAAGACCTTTGAGTGCTGTGGGGTGCTCTCTTTCCCACTTCGTCTCTTCCTCTAGCAAGATCTCGAGGCTTGACATGTGGTGTTGAAATGCGAGTCGCTCTGCGTAATACGCTCGCAGCGCACATGAGCGATTTGCATTGCGTAGGTACACTTCGGCTAGCGGATCTGGTTTCTCCTTGCTGTTGAGGTATTTGGCTGTTGTGTGGAGCTGTGCGAGCTGTTGGTCTGTGTGGCAGGCAGGGCAGAGACCGTAGCCTTGGGTGGTGGATGGATGGAGTATGTGGCCGCAATGCGATGCTGTGCGGATGATCGGCGTGTTGAGGAAGGAGCATGAAGAGTCTTCGGGGTTGGAGTTGCCCAAGGGGTCGCTCAACATTGAGGTCAGATCGGGGTTGAAAGGCATAGCTAGATTGTCGCGACAAGTACTGTGGACGTTCTAGATTTGTCCCAAGGAGTCATGAAGACGATCTCGTAAGGAAAATTTAGGGTACTGTTTCGACTAAAGAGGTCATTACTATTCTATCACATGGGTGGTGACCGTCACCAAAGAATAGCTATCCACCTCTAAATCATTATTCTCTTCAGAGATCCCGAGACACAGTCATTCCGTGACATGTTCGCTTCGCTTCCCTTGATCACACCTTCACCAAAGCCTCATGTCTCTTCAAAAACTTCTGCACACACCCAACAAATCTCTCCAACTCCTCCCACGGCGTTCCCAGAATCAGTGCAATACTCCCTCGCTTCGAGATCCAGAACCCATCCTCCATCATCTCGAACCAAAACAGGTCCTTCAACTCATGCTCATCTTTCCTCTCTCTGTAGCTCTTCAACTCTTTCTTGCCGTCCTCCAGGAAGTGAATGCCAATGACTGTGCCCCGCCCAGTGACAGTCATCTTCGTACCGTGACTGATTTCCCGCAGCTTCGCTTGAAGCCTATCACCCATCGCATTGAACTCGCGCGCCACGTCGGGGGTGTACACCTGCGACATACCAACGTACCCCGCAACCATACCCAGCGTATTATTATTAAACGTACCAGAGTGCGCCAGCGCCGCACCATCTCTTGGGTCTGCACAATCGTTAGAATATATCCCACACACACTCATAATCCGGATAAGAAAACTTACCATAAACCCTCATAATCTCCTCCCTCCCCAAACGCCCCAAACGTAATCCCTCCCCAAGATACTTCCCCATCGTCGTAACATCCGGCTCCAGCCCTCCAACTTCTGCAGCCCCCTCCGAAACCCGACTCGTCATCACCTCATCCAGGATAAACACCGCACCCACCTTCCTAGCCGACTCCTGAATCTGGTGCAAGAACTCGTGGCTCCCTACTATACACGGCCCCGCGCCCTGCATACCCTCCACCAACACGGCAGCTACATCCCCACTCTCCTCAATCTTGGCCTTCGTATCAGCAACGTCGTTGTACTCTGCGACAATCCACTCATCGCGGTCGACACAGTTCTCAGCAGGCGCGTCGGCGGGGAAACTGAAACACCCGCCGTGATACCCGCCCGTGAAAACGACGACTTTGCGCTTTCCCGTGTGGCGCTTTGCGCCGTTTATGGCGTGGAGATTCGCTTCTGTGCCGGAGTTTGTGAAGCGGATGCGGGCGAGGTTGAAGCGCGAGCAGAGCAGTGCGGCGTGCTGGGCTTCGAAGCGAGAGGTGCCGCCGAGGTTCATGCCGATGTCGGTAATAGTGTTCACTAGAGTCTTTGTGATGAGGGGGTGGGAGTGGCCGAAGAGGGCGGCGGTCATTTCGCCGACGAAGTCGGTGTATCTTACGTCTTGATTAGATTTCGCTGCTGGAAGAGAGAGGGAGAGGGGTGTTACGTGTGGCCATCTTCGGAGAAGACTTGGTAGCTGTCACCTTTCTTGAGGAAGACGGGGAAGGGCGCTGTGTGGAGGAGACTGCGGGTGTTTCCGCCTGGTAAGCTTTTCACGGCTTCGTTGTGGAGGTTCAAGCTCGTGGCGTTTCTCTCCGTGAAGCGTGCTTTGGCAGCTTCAAGTGCCTCTCTGGCAGTAGAGTGTCCGCTCTTGATGCTGCTTTTGACATTGTTGTTGTCTGCGATGGTGCACGCATCGGATGATAACACGCGGGCTGGTGCCATGATGCTGATAAGAAATTATCGATGTTCTGTATTGTCACACGTCTTCTGTCAATCTGGATTAATTGTCATTATTGTATCATTCAATGCTCCTATTTGAGCATTTATGATATGGAGCTATTGACCCAACAAGGCACAGTGCAACCGCGTGTGTAGCGTCAGTTGCGGGGTTGAACAGTGTAGGATTCGTCCCAATAGTTTTCCGTAGGGCTTTTCCGGATCGACGTATTGGTAGCGCACGCTCTCATTCGCTGCAACCCCTCGTTATCAGATATCGCAGATATGCTATCTTATCCGATGTGTTGAACCCGATCGGAATGACACCTGGTCTGCGGAATGCTTCCATTCGCGAATGGGCTATTCGATGCGTCTTAGGAGTACGAGGAGCTCGTTTGTGCTGAGGAATAGCGATCATACCCCAACAGAATAGAGCTCTACCACTACGAGATTTCATCCTTTAACAATAAGGAGAGATGATAAGCAAACTTCCACTATTCCTCCCATTGCAATAGGGTGTAGTATTATAGGGAGTTTATTAAAAACGCGACGTTGTGAAGTATTTAGTGTTCTCGGCGCATATTCCTCGATGAAAAGGAGCTTCTCGTCCACGGCACTGGCGTCAACGTTGCTCCTTTCACGCTGGGGACAAAGATGTTGATGGTGCGAAGCAACTGGAAGAGAGTTCGCTGGTTGTGTACCAATATAAAGTCGAAGCTTCAACGCTCATACAGACTGATTGCGCTCAAGCGCTCTCAGCAGCCCCTTCGCGATCCACGATTCCGTCCTAGACATCACCACTCAGCAGCCCACTAACACATGTATTGCCCAACAGCACGTGACCAAACCGCCGAAAGGAGAAAACGCTCATATCATACAAGGCCGCCATCCCCACTCCACCTCAGCCCTACAGCCTTGAAACATCGTGGGGTCCGCCCCTGCACCCAAAATAGCCACTACCTAGATCTAGGCACACAACGCTGACATCTTCATCCGGTCGGCCTGATCACTCCCCGCGCCCCACTAAACTTCCAGAACGAAACGCTGCGCATACGAGGCTGCCCATGCATGATTAATTAAGCCAAAGGTAGTTCGCCTGCGTGCCAAAGACTCCGTGTAGACGCTATCCCACTTGACACAACGCTGACATCTCCGTCCCCCGCTACTAAACTTCCAGAAGGAAACGAAGCGCATACGAGGCTGCACATGCACGATTAATCAAGCCACCAAAGCCGGTTCGCCTGCTCCCAACAGAAAAGAAAGATCTCGTGCGAAACTCAACAACGATGCAATGTAGCTAGAAAGCGAAATAACACAGATGGAAATAGACCTCCCACCGCAAACCGCCTTCTCCACGCTCGCTATTCGAAAGTACCGTACCTTTCCACCACATCGTGAAGTTCCCTCAACCCAACCCCACCCACCACCTCTCAAAGTGCCCTGATCCCCAAAACAGGCACCCTCAAGCGCCCGCTAGTCTAGTCTAACCGCATCCCGCTATCCCCTCGTGCATTGCATCCCTCAGACCACGGCACCTGCCGCTCCTCCTCTTACCACTATGTCCCTCCTCCACCCCCCAACCTACTCCATCCGGCAATCCAACTTCCCTCCAGAAAAAAACCATCGATCGCAGCGCTCTAGCATTGTCCGTTTTGGGTCGCAGGCGAAGGATCGTATTGCGTAGTTTGCATGATGCGGCGGTGCGTGTGCGGCGGCGGGTCGAGGTGGTGGGGCGGCTTACGTGCGTTAAGCGTTTACGTGCGAGACGTGTGGGAAAGCGAGCGGGCGCCGGATGGGGAAATCGCTAGAAGGTTGCTAAGAGGGATGGGGAAAACGCTGGTTATAGGATTTTGTATATGACGAGAGGAGTAGATGGAAGGGGAAGGGCTTGCGAAGAAACTTGTGATTCGAATTCCGATCTCATAGTTAGACAGTGAAGGAAGTACATTGCGAAAGAGGGAGATGAATACACGGGATAGGTTGAAGGGTACATGTATGTGAGAAAACGCACATGCTATGATACAATCATGATTTAGAAGAGAAAGAGCAAAGGGAAGAAGATAGATGCGAAGATGCGATGCACACTCCCACCCTCAATCTCTATCTCTCCTCGGCGCACTATCCCTCCTCGGCGCACGAATCTCCAACGTCTCCACCTCCCTCTCCAGCCTGCGCCTTCCCCCCCTACTCGGTCCAAGACTGAAGCTCCGCCGACTACTCGGCGCCATCACGCTATCGCTCCTCCTCTCCGGCATCTTCTCCACAAGCTCAGCAACATCCAGTTCGGCCTCCAGCTCGCCGATATCGTGGTCCTGCCACACGTGCTTGACCAGCGCTTTCACGTCGCCGCAGACCGTCTCGTGGCTGTCGCTCTGCGCGCACAGCACGCACGAGTAGCCGCCGTCGACGCCTTCGCGGTGGCACTTCACGACGAAGCGGTTCTGCACGTGGAAGCAGCGTTCGCGGACGCCGTCGTCTTTGAATATCTCCCATGACCTTCCAGGCGAGAGGTGCAGTGAGCGCTTGCAGTATGGGCAGAAAGGCGAGGGGTCAGAGGTGATGCTCGACGCGAGAGGCTGCGAAGCGTGTCTCTGGAGGTCGAGAGCATAAAGACAGAAGTTGGAGTGGAGGGTGGTCTCTGTGCCGTAAGCGGTGGGGCCCGAGTAAGCTGTTGACTCTGTGTCGGTTCTCGGTACGGGAGGTCTGCTGAGGATGGTGGTCTTTGCGGGATGTACTGAGCGCAGGTAATCTTCTGGCGGGTCATGTCGCGACTTGATCAGCGCTGTCGATGCTGAGCTTGTGGCAGTTACAGGATATGGAGGTGCTTTCATGCTCCCCGCGCGAGACCTCGCTGTCGAACGCGGAGTGGGCGGCAAGACAGCGATCTGTCGTTGTAGTTGCGCGGTCAGTATGTCGACGGCGGTTGTCCCTGCCTCTCGTGAAGCTTCGAGTAAGGTCTTGAGATGGTGCGAAAGTGGCTCTGGCGAGGTAGGTCCGTAGAGGAACGTCGTGATGATGGCTGACTGCAAAGTGATAATCTGCGACTGTAGCCCAGCTTGCGAGATGACTACCATGTATCAGCATGAGGCCTCGCATTCATGGAGGTTGCAGTCTTGAAAACAAAGTTTGAGCGCGCTGAAGTAACACCAAATAGACCGGACGGAGGTGAAATGCGACCAAATTTTCGTTCTGCGGCTGCAGGAGGTTTCCCGTACCATCTCCTAGAGCGAACTGCGAGCCAACATCCTGAAGCCCATTATCGAACACCCTCCGGACCGCCGCCTTGTCCATGACAATCTCTTCCTCGCCGTCTGGGCCATCGTCCACGTAGTCGATGCTCCGCCTGTAGCCACGTGACCTCAAATTCTGCTCATAGTCCCTCCTCTGCTTCGACTTGAGGGTCTGGTACAGATCTCTCGTCGCATCGAAGACGTCCACCAGCGTGTTGACAAGCGCTTGCACGACGTTGGCCGGATCAACTGTAAGGTTCTGCGATGGATTAGCGACGTTGCACGCATCTCAGCCCAACAAGTGTGTCCATACCGCAGCACCCATTTTCACAGGAGATCCACGTCTTCGAAATCGGTCCTACAGAAGGTAAGCAGACCCTGCATTGGTTATAAGAAGCATCTTCGGGCATCACACCGCCGACGTGATGCTGTTCCCGCATGGTTCTCGGCGGTGTCCACCCCCAGCCACACCACTCATGTGTGAACTCTATGTTAGCCGTTATGTGGAGTGATGCGCTTGTACAGCTGGCAGAGCGTCATTGGCGGTGAGCGAGCGCTGACTGACCGGATGGGCATGGCCGCGGCTACGGGCCGCCCATTAAAGTGGTCCAGACGCGGTTGCAAGGATGCATGACGTAGTTGGCGTCATTAGCAAGGCACAAGAGGTCGGAAAACGACGCATTTCTGCGGTCAATCCCCGCTACGCATTTCGCATTTCTTCTTTGGGCGGCGCAGATCGCGACGTTGTCGAATTTGGACAGCGTAGTGGAGTATCAAGACGCGTATTGGGACTGTGGATTGGCTGTGAACGGTTCGTCGCAGCCTCACTGGCGATGGCCTGCAATGGAGTATAAGTGCGATATCGTCGCGAGCTGTCTCCAGGGCCTTCGCGAGGTCAGAAAATGCGGTGATGCGGTGTCAAGGGAGCAGCTGCGTCACGGTAAGAGCGATTGCGGAGTTGGCAGGCTCAAGGCTTCGTGGACGAATGGCTATCGTGGCGAAAGACCATGCCCATGGTAATATGTCGAGGAAGGGGATTGTGTTCCCAAACGCTGTCATATGTGACGCATGACGTGGAGGTGTCAGAGAGGGCCATAGTCGGGATGAGACGAGGGAGGAGCTGTCCTCGCGCTAGTGACGCGGCGCGACACGAACGCGACATCGCACCTCCATCAGCTTCATCGGTCGGCCTGCGCAACGAAACAATTCAGTTTCGGCTCACTCGCTTCCGCTTCTTCCAATGGTCGGCCCGTGTTGTTCTGAGTGGCCTCGGCCGTCACGCTTTTCGCCGGAGTACACTCGGCCCGACAGGTGCGACGTGTCACTTCACCAAGACTTCACCATCGTGGGGGACAAATGACGCAGAAGAGCTCAAGGGAGCACCTCAGACATGCGGGCCAGAGAAATACGATATGTCGCTCTCAGTGCCATCAAGCAGCTACATCGCGTACCATGGTTCCGCATTACCGCTCAACAGAACCCTACCCAACAAGTCACATCAAAGCCATTCCCACGAACGTCGCCTAACAGCACGTGATAAAAGTGCCTGAATGAGAACCTAGAGGATCCGAATATGCATATCATCTCCCGTCCCCGCCACCCCTCCATCACACGTTATATCCGACCACAGGAACCAATCGCCATGCCAGCTCTGCTGGCTCCCAGCCCAGCCCCAAACAAAGTTACAAAACGCTTCGTCACCCGGTCCAGAAACGCACATCTTTCCCTTGTCCGCTTGGTAGCAATGCTCGCCGTTGCCCTGCTTGCAGAGGTCGACGAGGCGGTCCGCGGGATTCTTGACGTCCGCCCAGCGCCCGGCGTCGTCGGTGTTCTTCCAGCAGTCGTAGGCGCTTGTCTGGGTTGCGAGTGCGGTGATGAGAGCGGATATATAAAGGGAGACCTTCATGGTTGCTGGTCCAGATTAGAAGGGCCGTGGAGATCGTCCGGAGAAGACTAACCGTTATTGATATTGATGTTTTCGCAGATAGTGGTTTGAAGACTGCTTGTTTGATGCGCGATGGAGAGGTGAAGAGGTGAAGAGGAGGCTCTTTATACATGGCAAAACCTTGGGCCACACGGATCTCGATTGCTCGTGCCCTCGTGCTCGAACACGCCTATGCTGGGGCGAAACCGGTCAACACAATGGGTCCCAATCGCCGGAGCACGAGGGCTCGAACTTGACCGGAGTTCTCTCGCCGAATTGCTCATAACAAGGTGTACGAGGTAAGGTCCAGTGGTTGTGGGACCTTACATAACTTGTACAACCGAGGTGAGTCCGACTGCCCCTAAGGATAGGTTTCACAGCAGGACGAGTCTCGGCGTAAGCCCATCTAACTACTTGGGTATTCCGGTGAAGACGAGATATGTGAAGTTGCCAATGGAGGTTCACTGGAAGGACGTCTGCGTGTGTAGGCCCCAAGTCTCGTACAACACGACTTCGTGCACCTGGATTACCACGTCCAGTATCGGACTTAGAACGACGCACGTGTATTGCTATTGTGTAGCAGATTGCCTTCCGGTCAATCGCCTGATCTCGTTGCCCGGTGCTACTTGTTTGGCTTTTTGAAGAGCATGGGTAGGACGGGTTTCAGCGCACTCGTATGTGCGGGCGTGAACGGCCGTGAGGCTATACATAGGTATTGGTGGTTTCCTCGGGTTCCAGGGGTTGTGTATCGTTAGCACCCGCGACTATTTCGCATTGATGTTCTCGCTGGCATATGTGCAAGTATATCTCACATGTTACGCAACCACTTGTTCACTCTTCTTAGATAAGCTTATGTTTGAAGTGTCTTTTAGGAAACATCCTTGTTTGTTGCGTGGGGTTCTAATCGACAGAATGCCTGCTCTAGAATGAACAAACCGTTCAGATGTTGAACAACCTCAGTCGGACGTGACATGGGTATGGTACATTGCTTGGACATGCTCAGCATGCACGCTCCTATATTACAATTCATTCCAATACTTCAGACTTTCACTTCTCGATTCTTATCGTCTATCAGCATCAACGACTCCTCTTCACGGCTCCAACTGCTGACGCCTCGCCTTGATTTCCTCCCTGACTCTACCCATCTTCTCCTGCTCGACCTTGACCTTCTGCGCCCACTTGCTCCGCGCACGCACTTGCGGCCCCTTCCAGTAGAAAATGTACACTGGGATGCACACCAAGAAGGAGACGGCGAAGAGGAGGAATGTAGAATTTTGAGTGCCGAGCGACTTGTACATCGGGCCGGTGTAGAAGGCGCACAGGCCGGCGAGGAGATCGCGAGAAAAGCCGTTTCCGCCAGTGGCCGAGGCAGCGTACTTGCCTCCGTAGGCGGCCACCATGTAGTCGATGGTCGCGTAATAGATGGCCATGTTTGCGGTGCCGATCAGGACGGCGAATATAAGTGGGGCGATCCTATGTGCGGGTTAGCGAATCCAACGACGAGCGCATGTCTGCTTATACGTACCATGGCAGCGGAGGTCCAGTCACAACAAAGGCTGAGCCGAGAAGGCCGATCGGCAACAAGGGGGCGAGGAAGAGCAGCCACCAGAGACGGCTCTCGGGTGTGACTTTTGCGGGGTCCGTCTTGCGCAGCTTGTTGTGGTGTCGGATCACTGGGAAAAAGGAGAAGTACGCGAGGCAATATCCGAGGAGTAGTGCGAACATGGCTAGACTGAACTGCACGGCGTTGAAATCCCACTGGCTGAAGACGATGCCATAGGACTCGAGGAAGGAGAAGATTAAGGCGTCGCTGAAGCCGCTGAGGAGCGAGAGGAACAGCACGATTGGCTCGAACAAGAGCACTGTGTAGCGTTAGTCTCAGAAATGTCCACATAGACTGCGGATGCTACTCACTGTGGTACGGTCGCCACATCGTCTTTCGGATCTCCTTCCACGACAGGCGCGCGCTGAGCGACTTGCTCCCATTAGGGCCATACACGTTAGCCCTTTGTTGCTTACGCATTTCCTTGGCCTTTCGATCCAGCATGACGGTCGACCTTGTCTCAGGAACAGTGAAGAAGTGCACAGCTTGCACTCCAACCCCAAACATCAACTGGATCCAGAAATTCCAGCGCCAGTCAAGGTACTGCTCCACAGGCCCGCCGCAAATCCCACCAATCACGCTCCCAATGCACGACCAGAACGAAGCCCAAAGCACCGCATATTGCTGCTCCTCGGGATCAAACATGTCGGCAACCATGCCCACTACTCCTGTTAGCTCGCACCGCTTAACACCATCTATGCAGGAAACTTACATGTCACCGATCCACCAGCCGTCGAGAAACCACCCAGCACACGCGACGCCAGCACCATGTTCCAGCTGCTGCTCGCGCCCGCCAGCGGCTGCCACACGTTGATGAAGAACAAACTCATCTGCATGATGATCCAGCGGCCGAACTCCTCGGACCAGGGCGCCCAAAGCTCGCAGCCGAAGGCATACGTAATGAGGAAGGCAGCCATGCCGTCGCGAGCGCGCGTGATGCCGTAGTGCTCGTTCAGCGGCCTGACAGCGTTCGAATACACCGCTGCGTTCTATTACTGTTAGCCATAGCCACGACTCAGGGATTAGACTCGGACGAAGCGAAGTGACGGGACATACAAAGTTCATGCTCGTCTGGCAGAGCGCCACGACGGTGAGGATCCACCATTTCTTGCCGGTGGAGAAGTTGTACGCTGTGTACTCGTAGCTGTTTATCTCGTCGAGCTGCGCGACGCCGCCCAGTTCGACGGTGGGGTGCGCAGGGGTCGCGCCCTGCGTGCTTGCAGTGTTCACGTGCTCGATGTGGTCGAAGGGGCTGGGGCGCTTGTGCTCCGTCTCGGGCGTGCTGGGGACTTCGCTGGTGGAGGTTTCGAAACGCAGGTCTGCCATGCTGGTGGAATTGTACATGGTGTAAGTCGTCATTGGCTGGAAATCTTCGTCAAGTGTATGACGAGAGGTAAGAGTGTGGGGAGATGAAGAGTATATTTAAGTAAAGGAAGAATGGAATTATCAAGCACGGGCTGTGTTGAGCCCGCGTTGCTGGGAAAAAGCAGTTCCAGTCCACGATCGGATTGCCTCGGAGGACTTTTCCGGTAGAGCACTCTACAATGACGGTGTGATCTGGGTTGCAAGCCTTACGATGCGTGGATTGGAAATAACGTCCGTACCAAACTCGTACCGTCTCAACATGATCGGACCACGCCCTCATGTGGAAGATAGCTGGCAGCGTAGGGGGAGTTCGAACATACACAGGAGCATCTTCGCTATCAATACGATTAATGACTCTTGAATAGCAGCTCACAACAACATCTGCTACTATCACGATGAGCGTTACAACAGACGGCGGGCCCAGGGATCACGGATGGCGCCGCTCGACCCACACGCATCCGTGGACCGCACATGTACTTCCCCGCACCGAACAAATCCACCGGTCCAAAGAGTAATAGCCCTCCATGGCTCGCTTTGAAGCACGTGATAGTCGATGAACCGTTATTCTCCGAACGAGCCAATTGCAGCAACAAGGTGGTGACGACGCACCTCTAGGAACACTCTCATTACATGATAACCGGCTACAACAACTTCCATTCTTCCAAGACATCAATCTCGAAGCCATCGATCGTCCCACTTAAGGACCGAACATACAAAGCCCCAAATATCAAAGCAAAGTCTATGAAAGCACTCAAAAGCGCCCACCTTGACCAATGCCTATGAGCTTGTCCGGTCGCCGTTGGCGCACGAGTAATCTTGCGACCGCACGTCCGCAAGACCAAAGCCTCAAATCAAGTCACGATCGCCAGCCATAACTCTGGCGCCGCTTGAGTGTGCCGCTTCCCTTCTAGTAGGCTGTGGGGAAACGGCGAACTGTTGAGGAATACACCCCCCAGCTACCATGTATGCGTATCCAATATCGCCCAACGCAAACGCGGCGTCCCAGAGTTTAGACACGCTTTTGCACTTCGACGCTCATCTACTCGTCCCTCTTCGGGACACTGCGTACATATAAAGCCCATCGCCTTGCCGTGTTCCTCGCACAATCCAATCCAATCCAATCTGCACCTGAAATCTACATTGCAAGCTCGCGCAAACCTCAACATGAACGCAAAAAGGAACGCAGAAAAGAATACAAAAAACAACGCCAGAAAGAATGCACAAAAGAACACACAAAACAGCACCCCCGCCCCAAACCCAGCCCCTCTCCCGCCTCAAATCCGCCTTCAAGCTCCACCTCTCCTCCTTCCCCTTACCCGCTCGCCAAAACACACCTCCCCAGACCCCTCCCCAAAGCGCCCCAGATCAAAACCCAAACACAACTCCAAGCCCCCAAGGGTCTCAAACGCAAACCCCGCCCCAGCGCCAAAGCCAAAGCCAGCGCCAAAGCAAGCGCCAAAGCAAGCCCCCACCCTCCGCACCGTCGCCTCCTCGAAGCCTCCACCATCGCCCCATACGGCCGCGGCACAGTAGACCTGCGCATCCGCGCGCAGTGGGCTGCGCGCGTGCAGGCGGAGAAGGAGGAGAGGGCTATAGCTGTGCTTACATCCGGGATAGAAAAATTGGGGACGGAGCCTTTGCTGCAAGAAAAGATGGAGGGGAGAGGGGTGAGAAAGGGAAAGAGGGACGGACTGGGGTGGGAAGGGAAGGGGAAAGAAAGGGAGACGGTGGATGAGAAGGTTGGTGGAATGGGGATGGAAATGGGCATGGGGATAGTTATGCACAGGGAGATTTACCGTGTGGGTGTTCCTATAGCTATGCCTTTACCTTTGCCTTTGCCTGTCACCACTATCTCAGCGGAGGCTTCTTCTTCTCAATCTTCTTCCTCACTTCAACGATACCGCGAGGACGTACGCCGCATGGAGCGCAGACATCCTACGGCCCTCACACCCGGATATAGCACCATCCCCGAAGAACAAGAGCGCTTAGGAGAGGAGTCTATCGCTACTGAGGACAGCGACGACGGGTCCGAAATACGGCGGCGGTGGCCATCTGCAGAGCAGACGATCCAGCGACGCAGTCTACGACGCGAAGAGAGGCGCAATTGGTTTCAGACACCTCCCCGGGGTCGGGGGTGTACTTCTACGCTCGCGGTGGTTGGCAAGAAGAGCGACCAGGAAAGCGACAGCGTGCTGAGCGATGAGGAGAAGCGCATAAGGGTTGAAGCTAAGAACGTGATTTTTGGTTGCAAGGGTGAGGATAGGTTAGTCCGGGTGAGAAAAGTGGGTTGAAGGTATCTTGCACCGGCAAGTTATAGTCAGTAGACTTCTCCTTATAAAAGCAGATTATTAAAAGCAATCTCTATTAACTATGTACCTCAGTACAAGCGAGTGTGGAACCCATAGACTTGCTTGTTTGGTATGGCTACAGAAACTCCGGCGACAGCTCAGATCCAGTATCGTAGTCGCTGCAGCATACGACTTTGAAGCATTCGCAATAGAGTGACCTTAACTCCTCATCCACCATAGGATGTTTTTAAATCCATCAAACCCTGATCAAAGCCTTCGAAAGCAGCCCAAAGTTCTCATTTGAGTATCGAGGCTCTTGGCCACGCCTACTCATACTGTCAGCATCCCATATATAGAAGGCATGAACCGTCGTCTTACCTAACTTATCCACGACCTTTGAAGACAATATGGCCGTCGTCATCGTCATCATCATCGTCCTCATCGCCGCTAAGACCGAAGCCATCGCTATCAAAGTCGCGCCCGCTGCCAATGCCTTCACTGCCATCTGCTAGGCAGATGAGGTCATCCTCCGTCAAGAGGAATCGACGCTCAGAAGACAAAGACCTGGTGTTGCTGCCTGAAGCCTTGTTATTGTATGCAAGGGCGATATTCTCGAAAGCTTCGTTGAGTTCCCTGCCGTCCATTGCAAGGATCGCCTCCACGCTATAGCGGCTGGCTTCCATATCCGCCTGCATTTTCATGATATCTTGTACGCGATTTTGGCGGACGTTCCATTGAGCAAGGTGCATGGATACCACCTTCGCATAGTAACTGTGAAATTCTTGCTCACTTATCTGGAAAAGCGAATCCTTAGACTCAGCGAAAGCGGCAAGCTTCATCGATTCCTGTTTCCACAGGATCTCTTGGATCTTGTGTATCTTCTCGTACAAGCCTGTGCAGTGGGACGTAGTTTTTCCGTGTTTGGACTTGTAGTGTTGAAGCTCTTGCTCAATCATTTGTTGAGCCTACAACTATTAGCAGATGTTATTGAGTCGCGAAGAATACGAACGCTATTGATGTGGTGTAAACCAAAGCCAAACTCCTTCGCCTGGAGCGTCCTTGCCATGGATTCGTCATCTGAATCCGTGCCGTTGACGAGCGTAGTGCTTGAAGGCCTTCGTCCTGTTGAATTGGCAGGCACTGTAAAATAGTTGCCAGGTGCGGGGCGCGATGTGACCGGGTTCGAACGCATTACAGGAGCCATAAGCGCCTGCGATTTAGTTGATACCTGGAGACCCAAGAGATCTCTCGCTGCGTTAGATGAAGCAGAAGTAGCCTGCACCGCCAGAATCCTCCTCTTGTGCGGAGGAATACTTCTGTGATGAGACTGTCCCGATATTGAGCTATTGGCGTTTGATGTGATAGACTCGGCCTTTGTAGCGACGGATAGAGGAGAGGCATTCGCATATGCTGCCGCAGTCTGTGCGCTTGCAGCTCGTACTCGCTGCTCAAGAGCCTTGTTCATTCCATTAATAGTGCAAGGTACCTGCGACGCATCGCCTTTCTTGCTGTTCTTGGGTGCGCTCGTAGTCTTCACGCCCCAGTCACCCCAGGTACCCGTGCCATCTAGCTTGAGCTCGTTGCTGTCGCTTGTGGTATCCCACTCGGTTGAGATAGCAGCCATGTTTGCCCTCTTCGGCCGCACTGGCTTCGTCGCCCACATGTTATCTTCTAGGAAGCGCGAGTCTCTGCCGTTGCCAGACATAGGGATCTGATCAACAGGTGGCTGCCAGTTCGCAAGCTTCGGGTCGGGCGGAGCGAACCCAGCATTGAGGTCGAGCGGCGCGTCTTCTGTGATGGTTAGTCGGACGGAAGCAGCAGGGCGCTGATAAGGTGTCTCTCGATCGATACTTACTGCTGTTGTAGCGACCCACCATTGTGCCAGAGCGTTGCGCGAAGCTCTGCGTACGTATTGATGTATAGAGCTTGTTGTGGTGTTTGGTGTTGGCGTTGGAGTTGAAAGCAAAGCTGAGAGAGGAAGCAATTGCCAAAACAAAAGTCGTTGTTTAAGGTGGCTTCAGGTGAAGGCCAGTGCGTGCTGTAGCAACGCGTTGGGTGACAGCGACTCGAGAGAAACAGCAAGAGCGGACGGGACACGAGCCGGAACCCGACACAAAGCGACAGAGGCCGGATGAAGACGAAGAGATGTGAGGTAGAAGATGCAATTAAAAGAAATCTAATGTGAAAACGCCCAATATACCCGGGTATCCACGTGATGTGAGAGAAGGAGCTGCCGTCTTGATCGACTCCAAATTCTCTTACTCCAGCAGTAATCTTGTCCCTTGTGAAGTAGGTGCCAGACAGCCCATCAACAGAACGACAACGTCAAAGTGAACGTGTCGCGATCTCTTCCTCCCCAAAGTCTTCCTCTCCAAAATCTTTCTCTAAAGAAAACCAAACCACCCAACTCTTACAACACCAACATCGCGCCTCCGATGGCCGCAGCTCCCCAAATCATCCCTACCAGCGCCGCCGTGTTACCGAACGTGCTGGCTCCAACCATCGAAGCAGCACCTTCAGCACCCGTGTTCTGAGCTTGGCCACTTCCCGAGCCAGATGTCTCAACCCCAAGGATACTGTTCACATCCGCAAGGGCGCTCGACACCGCTGGACGGGCCGCAGATGGAGCCAGATTAATCAGGCTCGACACTCCAGCTGCATCGGTTGGGAAACTCTTGTCCGAGAGTATGGAAGAAAGGGCTGCTGCGAAGGATGTTGGAACTGCGGTGCCCAGCGAACCAAGGTCACCCACGAGGGATGAAAGAGGGAAGTCGTTGATGGCGGATTTGGCTTGGCTTTCGACTGCAGAGGCGAGGTTGTTGATGCCGTAGGGGAGGGCGAGCGTGCCGTCATTGCCGCACTTGGTGACGGTGCCCGAGGTGTCGCATTTGTTGCCGGATGAGCAGCAGAAGCCATTGCTGCAGTCGACCGAGTTGTCGCCGCAGACAGTGTCGGGGCCAATGGAGAGGTTGATTGCGTTGGCAGCGAAGGCGAAGGCCAATGGGAAGAAGAGAGTGGCGGCGCGCATTTTGACAAGGTGATGGATCCAGAGTTTGAGTGTAAATTCGAATTGTATTCGAAGTAGTTATCGTAGCGACTGATAGAAGAGGACGGGAAGAGAGTGTGGGTCGAAGTCGAGAAATGAGCGACAAACTACCGCAGGGGCGAGCTCGTACTTAAACGGCCATGCACAAAATCCGCCGCCCGCGTGGTAATCCTGGGGTCGCAGCTGCCTTACTCCAAACGCGGCCCCTCTTGTTGCAGTTGTAAGCTCAGGCCGGATGGTGGTCGCCCAACGAGGCTGAGCATGCGGCAGCGACAAATCGGGCAACCCTCCTACCGTACGGGGAGACCCTCATTCGCTACATAGTCCACCAGGCATGTAACCCTGCTGATCGGACATTTCAAACAGTCGCATGCTGGACGGGTGTAAAAGTGCGATCTCCGTTGGCGCACCGTTTGGGACGTGGTCTGTCGCACGTCAAACACTTGAATTCGGACTTTCAGAGGTGGCAGCAGAAACGGTTACCCGATTCCGATCAGCGTTGTCCTGTTCACTCGAAAGAGTGGGAAAATTCATAGGCGAGACTGTACGTTCGAGTACTCGAACGCCGCAGCCAATTTTGGGTTGTTGCGCTGACGCAGGGCCCCGGATGCTGCCGTTATAGATCTCCGACATGGAAAGGGGGCCAATGAGCATCGCGTGGCTTCTATCAGGCCCACAAAAGACCTGCTTATATTAAGATCAGCCTGTAGCCAGAGCATCTGAAACATGACACTGTGCCTCTGTAGCACATCAATGTATACTCCGTTCCTTGCACCGCCGCATTGGAAAGGTATCGATTGAAGGATTCGACAAAAGCGGATAGAGGCAATGAACGCTGAGCCACGAAATGTAATGATTGAGAAAAGTGACGAGATAGTATCGGACGATTCCAAGCGACATGCGACGAATATCGTGATTAGTGCTCTCATGATTAAGTCACCATTGCGCCTTTCTTAAGCCAATGTGTGAACTCCGAAGGCACGGTCTGACTGAGATACCGTCTTGAGCTTGTCATCTGATGTTACTAAAGTAGCATGCTGCCATATAGTCAGCCGCACATCTTAGTATATGAGCCGAGCGTATTGTTGTAAGTAAGCTCCGCCTCCGCTAGTAGCGGGGGAGCCAAGCGCAGGCAAAGGTAAGATGCGTCTGCTGACATAGCATCTCTTGTAGGCAGCTGACAAAGCCCTCGCCGGTCGCAGAAAAAGATGCTTGAGATTGAAGTCGTCCCACAGACAAAGAAGTTGCTGGCTCGCATGGGGTCGGCGGACGAACGTGTCCTAATCAGAATCGGAGCGAAAGGAAGGATCGGGACGCGATCATGAAGACACAACAGTACGCAGCCAGACTGAGGAAGACGGTATGCGCCCTGTTGTTTGCTTTGTCGTGCGAAGAAGATGGATGAGAGGACTTGACCTTGGAGTGTGTTGAGGATGGTCGGTCACAATGTGAAAGTCCACCTTAGGATGAACCGGTTTAGCGGCTTGGCAAAGACGAGTGCTCCTCCCTTCCTCAATTGCCATCCTATCTACGTCACTCTCATCAAACGCGATCTATCCGCTTGACATCTCACCGTCGGTCTACATCTCTCAGCTTTTCACACACTGCCGCCATACGCCAACTTCGGCCCCGGCCTCCATCCCGATTCTGCTACCGTAGCGAATCGGACACAACACCTATTACGGAACATTAAGAGCTGATCTTGGCTTCGCGACCCGTTTAATTGTTCGCTTCTTGAAGAATCATCCAGTGACCAAGAAATGGATACTGACGTGATCGAAGCCACCCGCGGCCACATGCTCGGCGCAGAACAACATGACACTGGTACCTGCTTCCGCAATGCTGGATTGCAAGTGCAGTCGCGAACACGTGAATGAAATGTGTGGCTAGCGTTTGTCTCCGTCTGCGCTTGCCCACCTTAATACCAGAGTTCTCAACCTCGAGTCCTCGAACTCATGGCTTGAACTCCGCATCTGGGGACCTCAAGATGGCTGCACACGGCGCAGCAGGTAAGAAATACTTCTTCATCATTTGCGGTACTCTGCTCAAGTGGCCTTAGATTCACGCCATCTGATCGAGGTCAAAGTCGCGCCTGGCAAAGGTCTAGGCTTGTTCGCACAAGCTGACATACCGCGTGGAACTCGTATCATCGCAGAAGCAGCGCTACTTGGAAAGAACGTCGATTACACCGCGAAGGATGTCGTGAAGGAATTCAGAAGCCTCAGCCCTACACTGCAAAGCCAGTACCTGGGGCTCCATGGGTGTATGCCGGAGGACGTCAAGGGCCAAATCGAGCTGGAGCTTGGCCAGAAGTTGGAGAACCTCTCAGCGCTCCACCGCAAAGTGTTTGCAATTTATGCAGCCAACGCTATCGGTCGAATTATCTACCTCCATGGGTCACTCTTCAACCACTCCTGCATTCCGAACGTCCACTTCGCGTACAACTCAACGCTTGGCATGGAGACTTTTCATGCTGTGCGCGACATCCTGGAAGGAGAGGAATTGACTGTTTCGTATATCAACGGCATCATTCTTACTCGAAGCCAACGACAAGAAGCGCTCGAGAGGTGGGGTTTCTTATGCGCCTGCCCAGCATGTGCCGACACGGAGGAAGCCAGAAAGGCCGACGTCAAGCGGGCACAAATGTTCGACCTCGACCAGCAGCTCGCCATATACTTTCGCCGTGAACACTGGGAAAGATTTCGCAAGTTGGCACAGAAGCAAGCAGCTTTGCAGCGTTCCGTCGGGTTCAGCGGTGGGGAGCTGAGCAGCACGTAAGTCACTGCTTGCCAACAGAATTGTGGGGCTAATATCGATTCAGGTACGCCAAAATTGCCTGGGCATGCCAGCAATTGGGTGACAGGGGAATGGAACTTCTGTGGGCATGCAAAATCTTGGATATCGACCTCCACTGCCTGGGACCCGATCATCCCGACTGCGAGTGGTTGGAGGAACAGGTGCCGAAAGTGGCCGCAGTAATAGAGAACCAGGCCGCAGTCGATGACTCCGGAGTCAACCAGTAAAGGGAGGCTGGAGGAGGGCCACGCAGCGACGTGAAGGCCGCCGTTCCTTCTATGATGATCCATTACACCCACTTGCCGCCGATTTCTATTCTTTTCACTTCGATAAAGCAGAACGGAAAATGGTTGCTCAAGGAGACTACACAGAGCATCATGGGCAGCTGGGGTTTCTTCCAACGGCCCGTGATAAATCTGACATGCTTGGCTGCTTTAGATGGTCAGCTCACATCTTTAGATATGGTTAGCGCACATCAATGGATAAAAAAACACAAAGTACCCACCTTGCGCCCGTCCACTGCGCACATTGATACATTTGATGCCCATAATGCAGCACTCAAGGCTTCGAGAAGTCAGACTCAGGACTTGGCTGTTCTCCCAATACTACTCACGAAAACACGGCACCTTATACACGGCAACTTCGCCATGCAGCGATATACCTGGTTCCAGAGATCTTCATCCGACCCCACTATGTAAATGCTCAAACGACAGACAAACAGACAGCCCACATGCACCCACGCACATAAACGCCGTAAACTCCCAGCACCCGTACATACACGCCTCACCCTATCTCATCTATCTCTCCTCACCGCTAACTCCTCAAAAACTGCTTATAGCTCTCACTCCCGGTTACATCCTTATACGGATACCCGATGTCCCGCAGAAACGTCTCCAGCTCGCCGTACTTCCCCTCCTCACACTGTATCCCGGCTAATATCCTTGCGACGTCGCCACCGTAGTTGCGGTAGTGGAACAGAGAGATGTTCATGCCTGGCTGAAGCGTGTTGAGGAAGTTGTACAGCGCGCCGCCTCGCTCGGGGAACTCGAACATGAACATGTGCTCGTCGGCGGCGTCGCTGCGGCCGCCTACCAAGTAGCGGATGTGCGACTTTGCGAGCTCGTCGTCTGAAAGGTCGGTCGCGCTCATGCCTTCTGCTGAGAGGCGGGCGAGCAAGTCTGGAAGGTCGGTGGAGCGGGTGCCGGCTTTCATTTCGACGCCGATGAGGATGTTTGCGGCGGAGGGGGACGAGTAGCGGTAGTTGAAGGCGGTGACGGCCATGGGGTGCACGACGGAGACGAGCTTTGCGAAGGCGCCTGGCTGTTCGGGGATGGTAACGCTGATGAGGGCTTCTTTGTTTTCGCCGAGGGCAGCGCGCTCGGCGACGAAGCGGAGGCGGTCGAAGTTCATGTTTGCGCCTGAGGCGATGGCGACGAGGCCGCGGGATGGGTTCGGGCTGGGATTGCGCTTCACCCATTTTTTGAGGCCGGCGAGGGCGAGCGCGCCGGCGGGCTCGACGATGGAGCGCGTGTCTTCGAATATGTCTTTTATGGCGGCGCAGGTTTCGTCGGTGGTGACTTGGACGACTTCGTCGACGACTTCCTGGCAGATGCGGAAGGTTTCTTCGCCGACGGTTTTGACGGCTGCGCCGTCGGCGAAGAGGCCGACTTCTTTGAGGAAGACGCGCGAGCCTTTGCGGAGGGATTCCACCATGGCGTTTGCGTCGTAGGCTTCTACGCCGATGATCTTGACGTGCGGTGCTATCCGCTTGATGTAGATGCCGATGCCACCGATGAGTCCTCCGCCGCCCACGCAGCAGAATACTGCTTCCAGGTCCTGTAGATTTGTTTGTCGTAGCAGTTCCATGCCAATCGTGCCCTGCCCGGCGATCACGTACGGATCGTCAAACGGCGGGATGCTAATCAAATCATGCAGCTTCTCCAACCGCGCTGCCTCCGCTTTTGCCGCGTCAAAGTCTGCTCCATGCAATATTACACTGCCGCCCAACCTGCTCACGTTCTTGTGCTTGATATCCGGGGTGCCAGACGGCATGACAATGGTCGCGGGGATGCGCAGGTGCCGCGCGCTGTATGCAACGCCCTGTGCGTGATTTCCTGCGCTGCACGCGACAACGCCTTTCCAGCGGGCCTTTGGGTCAAGGTGTGCCATCTTGTTGTATGCGCCGCGCAGCTTGAAGCTGAAGACGGGCTGGAGGTCTTCGCGCTTGAGGAGGACGTTGCATTCCAACCTATTGCTGAGATTCGTCGCGTGCGTGAGGGGCGTTTCGGTGACGACTTCGTAGACGCGCGACGTGAGGATCAATCGCAAGTACTGCCATTGAGTCAGAACCAAACATACTCTTTCTTAGAGTTGAATCTGAGATTGGGAGCGACGGAAACACACATCAGGATAGCCATTCGGCAGCAAAAACGCCTCCGGAATCGCACTCTGCGCCTTGCTCTTCTGGTCCTCAGACGGCGGGCTAGGATTCGCCGTGTACTCTGTGAGACTCAATCCCACATTCTTGGGCGTCCGAGGCGACGACACGCCATTGGGCCTCCCGTTCTCGTTTTCGGGCGTCACCGGCCGCGAGTAGTCGTCAATCGCAGCAGGCGGCATCGTGGGCGATTGTTGTTGTGTATGAAGCTGTGACTGTTGCCAAAGCTCGAAATTTTGGGGCATGATGTCGGTGTGCTATCGGGGACAGGGATTGCACGGCCGCGATAGGGCGTCGTCGTGGGGTAGCTTCGGTCCGATAGCGCAAGCCCGGTCGGACCGCTTTACGACTCCTGGAAGGAAGTAGGCTGATCTTCACGACATGCTGTGCTTGGCTTGTCGCAACTTGATTACAGCAAACAGTGAGGTCTCAACTTGTACCTTGTTCTTATTCTGACCATGGACAGTGTAGAATCACGTGATCTGCAGCTTCCAAGGTTTCCAACGTCCCACGAGCGCGTGCGCAGGCCTGGGCCAATTGAAGCCTCGAGCAGACTATATCGTACATTTCAAGCAGACCTTGAGTACTACACATCTGGTTGTGGTACAACTCAAGGTACTCGGACTCTTAACAACACGCTGTAATGAGCACGACCTCACCTTTGGACTCGTGCCCACCACCCAAGCATGGACACGCACCCAAACAGCGGCCTTGAAGAGCTCAGAGCAAAGCTTGACGAAAGGCTCAAAGACCTCCTCGCTCCCATCGATCTTCCAAGATTATCACGCCTCCCAACCTCCCGTTTCCTCCACACAGCCCTCCCAAACCTCACCCTAATAGAACTCGTCTCCGCCTCCGCCTTCGCAGAAGATTACAACGCCCTCTACACTTCCACATTCCACGGCGCCGAGCGTGAACGCCCCGATCTAATCATCTCCCGCCTTGCGCAAGACTCCGCCGGCCAAAGAACAGGCCTCTTCCCCTACCGCATCATCGGTCTGCGCGGTAACTCAGGAGAAGCACTCGGCGCAGCGCAATTCTCCGTCCTCCTATTCCCCACCGAAGAAGGGCATTACGCAGTCCCCTACCTCCAATACATATACATCCGCCCCCAAAACAGACGGCAAGACCTCTCCGAGCTCCTGCACACCCTCGTCCTCGCCGTCGCCACAGCCGAGGCCGCGAAATTTCCCTGTCCCGGTCTCGGTCACGGTCAACCAGGAGATAATGGGACTAACATAAAAGTACAAGTTCCGTTTACGCTTTTTGAGACGGAGCCACCCTCCCACGGCGACGACGACGACGCGCGCGCTATAGCTGCACAACGCACGCTTATCCACGCCCGCAGCGGGAGTATGGCCCTCATGCTGCGTCGCAAATTCCCCCTCCCAGATAAGCAATGGAAGTATCTAAGCGCACACGTCCAGCCGGGTCTCGAGGCAGGCGACCCCCCTTTAACTCTGATATGGGTGATCCGGCCGAATCCCGCTCTCTCAGAAGACGCCACAAGTCCGAAGATAGATATAGGAAAATTACGTCCTGCGGTGCTCGCGGCGGTCTATCTTAATTTTCGACACGAGGGGTTTCCAGAGGAGAATATTAAGCTGGCGGAGAGTGTGGCGGGGAGGAGGAGAGTGGGGGCGGAGTTTTGCGTAATGGAGCTGGGGATGTGGGGGGATGTATCTTGGGGTGGACTAGGGAGGTGCTGGGATTGGACGGGATGGTGGGCGTGGATGGTAGAGATTCATGACACGTGATAGACGAGGAGACTGCTGGGGAGTGTGATTTGTATCTATCCTAGTGAGAGGCTAGTCCTTGGTTCGTCATAAACAAGGCTACGCAGCATGTCGATATCCATCGATCGGGAAACCAACCCTTCCTTTTTCTTATCCAGAAAGGCATGGCCGCGGCCCTATCACCCTACCTTCTCGCATATGGGTGGGTGAACTTACCGTACCCATGACCACCCCTGATCGTAGGCTTGGTCAGCTTGGATGTCGGCTGGTATTTGACGAGTTGGACTCCGCTTGGATGTTGAGCAGCGAAGTCACCACGGGTTCTCCCATCAGCAACGCCGCTTCCCCTTACCACCTTGTAGTGACCGTTTGCCATGGGGACGTCGGCGGCCATCAAGAGTACGTGCTCCAAGTTGGACAGCTTCTCAAGAACAGCTGGCGCAGGCAGTCTATGCAGTATGACGATGGACTTGATAGCCTGACACTGCTGCGGCTGTAGACGGTCCTCTTTAACCAGAAAGTTGAAGAGGGCGTTGCCAGAGTTGAAGTAAAAGTCGTTGAGCGCATAAGGCAATGTATATGTCTCGTAGTACAGCTGCCGACAGATACCATTCAGCAGCGTCATGCCTTCCACGCGAGGATTGTCTTTGAGAAAGGTCTTGAATCCCTGGAACGGGTTGCGTCGGTCGTCATACACGTTGCTGGTGTACTGGAAGTAGGGAACACATCGGTTTGGGCGACCCGCCCGTTTCTCCACGAGGTACGTCACATGTCCGAATTCGATCGAGTTGCCCCCGAGAGCGTAGTCGTAGATCCTTCGGCGGACGTTGGCGGGTAGGCGCAGGAGCGATGCGTTGGTTTGGTTTGCTGACCATCTGGGGTTCAATGTTAGCAATCGGACCTGCGAGGACTGGACACCGGATGGGTACTCACCCCAGAGCCTCTGCAGAGTCTGTCTGCATCCTGACGCCCCACAAAGTCCTCCGCGGGGGAGCGGTCTGGGGTGCGCTGTATTGTCGTCCGTTGAAGACACGAGCGGAAGCCTCGGCCGCGTTCAGGGCGCTGCCACCGCGCATGGTAACGTTCACGGCAGGCGAGCCTTCCATTGGGAAGTCCAAGTCGTCTGAGCCGAGACTAGGTATCTCAGATTCGCCGTGCGGCGGAAATTGGATTCCGCCATCGACGGATAAGTCGTCACTGAAGTGAACTTGAGTTTCCTTCTTCTTCTCGCGCTTGCGGCTCTTGAGCTGGGCTGAGATGGAGTTGAGCACGGTGCGTCCGCCGCCATAGATGGAGCCGCGCGGCTGCTGTGGCGCCTGTCTAGTCTGCGCCAATGCGAGGACGGAGTCGAAGGGGTCAGTCTTTTGTTCAGAGTCGTCGGGATCCATCTCGTCCCCTGGCAAAGTGGTCGGCCCGCTGAAACGCTTCTTGCTGTTATTCTTCTGCAACATTTCGGATGAACTCTTCTGCTTCATGCTCCGCGGACGGCCGCCGCCGTTCAATACATGCGATTGGGGCATCGGGCCTACGGGTGACGGTGGTGTCGGTTTTCGGCGTTTGTTTGCCTCGTGATGAATGTTGTCGGGGTCAGAGGCCCTCAGTTCGGGTTCTGCGATCGACATGTTGTGCCGCGAATAGGTACGTTTAGACGCCATGATGATAAGAATGCGGCGTGCGGTGGTAGCTGTGAGCGAAACTGTGGGTGCGTGGAGTTCTTTAGATCTAATGCTTTGAGTGTATATACGCGCCGCGCACTGGGCCGTGCTGCCCGGTTCGCGGGTGAAAGTGAGTGCCACGCCAGAGAAGTTGACCGATACCACGTATAAAAGTTGGGGCACGTGTAGGTGATTCAGGACTCCCATCTTCGGGTTAGCGCTGGCGGACGTCACACAAAGCAGGAACGGCAGGTACGCGCTGTCACGTGGCCCATCAGGTCAGATCCATTTCTCAGTCGCCGCCAGCAAACCAATCGTGTTTTGTGGATTAGTAAGAACTGTTTGTACTTGACTTCTAGTGTGATCCGTACGCATAATAAATGATGAAATATTTTGTACGCCCCCCAAGTGGGGGCTGACGAGTTGGCATAGAGGAACCTCGATAATAGAAGTTTTTTCTTGAACAGAACAGGGCTGGATGAATTCTTAAATGGTATTAAGCCTTTCAAACATGCCTTAATCCCACCATGGTGTGGTCAATGACACCTCAGAACATGCTTCGCAGAGATTTCCTTTGTATCGATCCAGAGCGATATCAAGCATCCGGATCAAAGCTTAGAAAAAGTGCAGCACGCGAGATGAGTTTAGGTGAATGAGAATGCTGATCTCCTACCAACCTTGGAAGCCCGGGTGATGCGAGACATCTACACATATTGTTAGTGAAAAGCCATGTCAAGCACAGGCGCAGGTGCGCAGATCTGGGCACGTGGGTGAGGCTGAGCCCGAGTCCACCACGGGAATATGACTCCCCTATCTAGAGAGTTGTCTTCGATCGTTCAGTCTACTCATCAACTGAGGCTGGGTTGAAGGATTCAACAGTAAAGCAATCGCCCTAGGCATCCACACGACATCCTACACACAGCCTCGCTTGTACCACGGGCGTTTTTTTTCTCGAGGAAGGACTTTACGAGGATTGCCGAATTCGAATACCTCTTTCGGATTACATCCTACATAGGAGTCAGTCTGACCTGCAGCGTATAACTCGCCCGTTTCAGGCCGAGGTAAGCGGCCCCCAGGTCGCCTCGATCGCCGAGCCTCATAACAAGGTACAATCGCGCAGTCGAGAAGTACCTCAAATTCCATTTTCGAAATTGCAGAGACATTGAATCTTTCCTTCTGACCATCATGGAATCGCGATTCACAGAGGAAGCAGTCGCGCCGTCTACAAACGAGGAAGCGACAATCCGACGGCAACTTCCGGTGCTCCCTTCCACGAACACAATGGCAACAGACAGTGCGATGAGTGTCGTTATGGAAAAGAAATTCGATGTCGTAGGTGAGGATGCCGAGATCGGTGAGGTCAAGAGTGCGGTTGAGCTGCCCAAGCAATGGGGAAATCCTACCCTTCGTAAATTACGATGTAAGTCGCACCTCCCCATGCTTGAGATCCACTAGCTAACAATGAACAGATGCCTGGGCCAGCTCGTACCGCAAGACCTTCACTCTCATCTTCGCCATCAACCTCGCCGTCTTCATTGCACTTGTCGCGACTGCACCGAATGGCCGGCCTGAACATCGCGATATCGGAACCGCAGCATCAGCAAATCTCCTGGCGGCAATTCTGTTTCGCCAGGAGAACTTCCTCAATGTCGTGTATGAGGTGTTTGCACGCGCTCCTCATTCTTGGCCGTTGAGCGTCCGCAAGCGTTTCGCAAAGGTCTTTCACTACGGCGGAGTTCACTCTGGCTGTGGCGTCGCTGCTGTTGTATGGTACATCATGTACACCGTGGAAGCCACGCTTCTTCTGATTGAAGACAAGAACACGCACGGCGACATTTTGGCCAACATGGTCACCTCTTGGGTTCTGGTAACCATGTTCATCGTAATCCTCGCCGGCGCACATCCTTGGTTCCGGAGAAACTACCACGACCACTTCGAGGCATTCCATCGCTTTGCTGGATGGACGGCGCTGGTAAACTTTTGGGTTCATAATGTCTTCTCGGCTGCCATCACCGCGCGCGAGACTGGCGATACCACTGGCATGGCACTTTTAAAAACACCCTCCTTCTGGACAATCCTCGTCTCGACGGCTTGCACTGTACTATCCTGGTCGCGCCTGCGGCTCCGCAAAGTATATCCGGAGAAGCTGTCAGATCATGCCACGCGCCTGCACTTTCGGTACGCAGGTATGCCTTCCTTTTACGGCGTCAAACTCGCGGACCGCCCCCTCCTCGAATGGCACGCCTTTGCTACCATACCTGACATTGACGAGACAACGGGTAAGACGACCGGTTTCAGCGTCGTGGTCAGCAACGCCGGCGACTGGACGAACAAGCAGATTATGGCTTCGGGCGAGCGAAAGCTCTGGATCCGCGGCAACCCTCTGCACGGCTTACTTTACACGTCCCGCCTCTTCAAGCGCATCGTCCTTGTCGCAACAGGCTCTGGCATCGGACCTTGTCTCAGTCTCATGCATGCTAATATTACGCCGACGAGGGTATACTGGAGTACCCGGGATCCGCAGCAGAACTACGGCCGAAGTGTTGTCAACGCAGTGAAGAAGGCCGATCCTCGGGCCGTGATATGGAACACGAGTACACAGGGCCGCGGTACGATCGTGCAAAGCGTGTACAAGTTGGTGAAAGAGAGCGACGCTGAGGCGGTGTTTATTATCAGCAACCCCAAAGTGACGGAAATGGTCGTTTTCGGCATGCAGAGTCGCGGCGTTCCGGCGTATGGTGCGATATTCGATTCTTGAGCAGAGATTGGAAAACTGTGCGGCGGCCAGGCGTTTTGTTCGTTGCCGTTTCTTTTTTGGCGCATGGGGATCTAGAAGCATCTTGGGTCGGCATAGATTTTTGGATCAGATCATCGGCGCATATTTGGTTCAACAAGAACGAGCCGCATTGCAAGGCGTTCATCGGCGGATAGACGATATTGAGTCGACATATACAAAGAGCTTGCAGGTGGCGCTCAGCAAAATTCACGAGTTCTTCTGTCACGTCTCTGTGCTCCTCCGTGAGTGTCAGCGTCTCAGGCATCGACAATGACCTTAACAAAGATTCTCCTCTTCTGCTGACCATCTGTAGCTTGTTTAGTTTCATGATGTTTCGTATCGCGCCGTCGTCCGGCACGCGGATGCTCTCTTCTCCGATTGTTGATCCACAGCTACCACGTGTGACCGGATCGCCCATGCAACCCTACGAATGCCGATGCCTGCTTCCTCGCCCGTGCTTATGATTACCACACACGTGCTGTACGGAGTACCAAAAGACAAGGTACCTCGGTGCACTTCTCCCCACACGGCGTTCTTGGATGACGACACTGGGGAATTGCTCGGTATAAATGCTCCTCTCGGCTCGGGCTAAACTGCACCGGGCCACCTCCGCAAACACGGAGCCGCCAACGGCCAGACTAAGAAAATTCAACAACACCACGCGAGCGATGGGTCCTCATTTTACAGCCCGGCCGGCCTCGTCACGAGTGCCGGTCAATTGCCGAACGCGCGACATCGCCGTGAATTGGGCCGTTGGTACTTGGAGCGGGGTGCCAAGGTGCGAAATTTTGGGGTGCATGTCAGTTCAGGCTAGGTTCCCCGCTTGAATGATTCGTGTGGGACTTTGGCATCGTGGAGTGCGCGTGGGCGACCGCGGAGTATGCTTCGGCGGTGAGCACTCCTCGTTCTGTCCGCGCGCTTTCGTCGGCTCCAAATTTCGTCAGGAGGCACGTTGAAGAACAAAGGTTGTGGTAGTGAATGGCTTTATAAGCCTCCGCAATCAGGAACCGCGCCGGACCAGCCACTGGCTCAAAGAATCCCACGATCGACTCACGAGGCGCAAACAGGGGCGAGCTACTGGTCTACTAGGCGAGTGCTACTCATCCATCCCGCAAGCCACCGCTCGGGATGACGATGCTAGCTCCACGTCCACAACTGCACGCCAACGGGCAAACTTCGGGTCGAAGAAAGCGCCCTTGAATGCGGACGCGGTACTTAGCCGGCAAGGGAGATTCGGCCAGGTCATTGGTCGTGCGAGAGGCTGGTATAAAGACTGGCGTCCGGTAGCTATGAAGGAGCTCAAGACAGTCCTGCTTGTTTCTCCGAACCATGGCGACTCTTCTCTCTGTCTTGCTTGCGGGCTCTGCCCTTGTCAGCGCCCAGGACTTTAGCGGTGGTTCAAGAGGCGAGGATGCATTCAGTTGGGTCCAGCCGGTGAACACTACTATTTTGACCGAGCATGGCTCTTCGCCGGCCGTCTATCCCTCCCGTAAGATACCTTCGTTTCGAATCTTGAGAAACAATTAACACTTATTAGCCAATGCAACCGGGGCCGGTGGTTGGGAGGAGGCCCTGCAAAAGGCAAAGGAGTTCGTTGCTCAGCTTACCGTCGACGAGAAGTCCTACATGGTCTCGGGTCAACCCGGTCCCTGTGTTGGCAACATCGCCGCCATCCCTCGTCTCGGCTTCCCTGGTCTTTGTCTTCATGATGGGCCGTTGGCTATCCGTGTAGCGGACTATGCTAGCGTCTTCTCTGCAGGCGTGTCCGCGGGAGCGTCTTGGGACAAGGCCCTCATGTACGAGCGCGGTCACGCCATGGGTCAGGAGTTCAAGGGCAAGGGCGCTCACGTCGCGCTCCAGCCCGTTGCTGGTCCTCTGGGTCGCTCTGGCTACGCCGGCCGCAACTGGGAGGGTTCTGCTGCTGACCCTTACCTCGCGGGTGTCTTTATGAGAGAGACGATCCTGGGTACCCAGGATGCGGGTGTTCAGGCCTGCGCAAAGCACTACATTGGAAATGAGCAGGAGACTCAGCGCAACCCCGTGTTCGACCCGAATGGCACCGACACGGATGTCATCTCTGCGGCCATCTCTTCCAACCTCGACGACAGGACCATGCACGAGCTCTATCTCTGGCCGTTTGCAGATGCGGCACGCGCCAAGGTTGCATCCTTCATGTGCTCGTACACGAGGATCAACGGTAGCTACGGCTGCCAGAACTCTGCGGCATTGAACGGTCTGCTCAAGACGGAGCTTGGCTTCCAGGGTTACGTCATGTTAGTAAATCGACGTCAAGTATAAGGATAATTCACTGACTGAGCTAGGTCTGATTGGGGTGCAACCCACACTGGTGTCGCCGGCATCGAGGCTGGTCAGGATATGGATATGCCTGGCGGTCTCGGAGCCTATGGCACTGCTTTTGCTGAGGATGTCCCAGGACGCATGCCTTCCTTCTTTGGCGGCAACATCACTCTCGCCGTTAATAACGGTTCTTTGGCTGAAACTCGCGTCGATGACATGATTATCCGCATCATGACGCCTTTCTACGCTCTCGGCCAGGACAAGGATTTCCCGACTGTCGACCCCTCGTCCGCTGAGCTGAACACCTTTTCCCCGGTCAGCACTTGGAAGATCGACTGGAACCTCACTGGTGAAGCCAGCCGCGACGTTCGTGGCGACCACGCGAAGCTCATCCGGAAACACGGAGCGGCGGGTACCGTCCTGCTCAAAAACGTGAACAACGCGCTTCCCCTCAAGGCCCCCAAGAACATTGCCATCTTTGGCAACGACGCTGCAGAGCCCACTCAGGGCCAGCTCAACCAAGTAAACTACGAGTATGGCACTCTCGCGGCTGGCGGCGGTTCCGGCACCGGCCAACTAACCTACATCGTCACTCCTCTCCGCGCCCTCCAGGACCGCGCCGCCTCGGACAACGCCAAAATCGTGCAATACTGGCTCAACAACACGCTCATCGCCGACACCGACATCGACACCCTCCTGATCCCCGACCGCCCCGAAGTCTGCATCGTCCTGCTCAAGACCTGGGCCGAAGAAGCCGCCGACCGCGCCTCCCTCCACGTCGACTGGAACGGCGACGCCGTCGTCGACTCGGTAGCCTCAAAGTGCAACAACACCATCGTCGTCACCCACTCCTCCGGCATAAACGTCCTCCCCTGGGCCGACCACCAAAACGTCACTGCTATTCTCGCCGCGCACTACCCCGGCGAGGAATCCGGCCATTCGCTCGTAGATATCCTGTACGGCGACGTCAATCCCTCGGGACACCTGCCGTACACCATCGCGCTCAACGCAACGGATTACAACGCCCCGCCTACCACGGCTATCAACACGACGGGCGTGTACGATTGGCAGTCGTGGTTCGACGAGAAGCTCGAGATCGACTACCGGTACTTCGACGCGCACAACATCTCGGTTCGATACGAATTCGGGTTCGGCCTGAGCTATACTTGTTTCGCCTTCTCTTCCCTAGCCGCTGAGCCTCTTGCGGAGAATATTTCCGCGCTGCCGGAGAAGCTGGATGTAGTGCCGGGTGGGAATCCGGCGCTCTGGGAAGCCGTGTATAACGTCTCTGTTAGCGTTAGCAACACGGGGCCTGTGGCGGGGCATGCTGTTCCGCAGCTTTATCTTGGGCTTCCGGGTAGTGCGCCTGAGGGTACGCCGCCTAGGCAGCTGCGCGGGTTTGAGAAGGTTTGGTTGGAGGTTAATCAGACGAGGACGGTTTGCTTTGAGTTGATGAGGAGGGATTTGAGTTTCTGGGATGTTGTAAGTCAGGAGTGGAAGATTCCGGAGGGGGAGTTTACGGTTGGTGTGGGGGAGAGCTCGAGGAAGATAGGCGTGGAGAAGATGGTGGAGGTGTTGGGGGGTTATTGAGTGGATGGAATCATGGTGTTATGATGGCATGACTGCATGAGATACTCAGTGTACTGTAAATAGAGTTAATGTTCTTGTTCATATGAGGTTGTGCCGCGGTCGTGCATGCGTTGATTTGTGAATGGACATGCAGTATGAGGTATCAAGCGAAGGGCGAGAGTCGTGCGTATGTTTTTGGACGGCGCGAATGTAGGCTGGTGCGGGGGTTTTCGGTTGGGAGAATGATTGATGGTGTTTCTGCCTCTCTTCTAGATCTGACAGTCATGCGTCCCTCCCAAGCACGGTCATAGCCGCTCTCGTTCGTAAGGTTTAGCATGAACGCACATAGCGACGTCCGGTATTTTTAGCGGCGTGAGAGTCGCCCGTGCATTTTTGGACGTTTCGGGTGTGGGACTAGTGCGGCGGTTTTCGATCAAGAAGAGTTGTTCGCGGTGCTTCTGCCTCTGCCTCTTCTTCAGGATCTGACAGATGTGCGTCGCTCCCAAGCACGGTCATGCCCGCTATCGTTCGTGAGCTTCGGGACGAGGTGGTATGCTTGTTCATTCAATTGGCTGATCAGATGCTCAATGCGCTGCTGTGAAAGAGGAAGAGTCCAAGCTCGTGCGCTTCTCCCATGACACGTATGACGTAGGATGTGGTGAAAGTGCCTTCTCGTCATAGCATATGCCCGCAGTATGTCGGGTGTTCGGACCCAACGCGAGTTCTTTGGAAGATTGGAAGATTGCGTTGGTCTTGAACAAGGGCTTGGTATCAAGATCTAGCCCTTAACGATGAACAGGGTGATTTTTGCCTCGCTTTGTATGGATGCACTTGCATGGCGAGGATGCGAACCTCTGGAGCTCCGGAGGGACAGCTTGACAGCTGGATATCCTGGGGAGTGGTGTGTTGATTTTCATACGAAGGCATGTTTCCCTGTGCAAATCGCCCTGTAGGTCTTTTGAGCCGCTGTTGCTCGGAGTTGCATGCTTCCTCCTGCGTTGCTCTTCTTCTGTGCCTCGTGTTTCTTTCATTCTCGCGGATGGCCACGTTTCCGTGTATGCAAACTCCCGTACACTTATTCGCCTTTGTGTGGTCTTGTTGCTGTCACCTCTGTCTCCGTCTTCCCGCGCGTACTAATCGCATATGGCTTCCGTGGGCCATCCATGGCCGTCGCTACGGAGGGGTGCTGGTGGAGTTATGTTGAAGAACACGGTGCGGTGGAGCTGTAGACATGAATACCGCAAAGCTTGGGCATGATCATTGTAGGTTCGCAAAGCGGATGCGCCGCTGTCTGTTATTGGTGCTTTTGGAGCATGATTGTGGGATAATGGCGGTAGTCATCGATCTGGGATGTCGATTGTTCTGTCCCTCTGCCCTTGGCCCACCTCTCAAGCTATCCCCTCTGACATGTACGCGCGTGCTGCCGTCAAGCCCGACTTGAAGATTCCGTACTGGTTCGTGAATTCTCGAGCGGCCGGCAGGGGGAGGCTACGTGGCCCATGATGCCATCAACTCCAGCTGTTCGCGAGACGATGGAGGCGGTTGCGGCAGCAGGCGTATTTTCTTCAAGTGGCTCCTGTGTATAATGGCATTGCCCTCGCACACCTTCCGTTCTTCGTGATGCTATAGCTTCTGTCATGTAGCTCCGGTGCTCCTGTCGCTGTGGAGGCTGACCATACCGAACTATCGGCATAAGAACGGTGCCTTCGAATCTCCCTCTCCATTGACCGGTCCAAGTACAGATTGCAGGCCACTAACCGTGATAAGCTCCAATCTCTTTCACCCGCTAGCCTGTTTGCCTTTCTTGATGCCGGAGTCCTCTTCCTGGTGTGGTTGAGTTTCTCGTTACCCACGCAACAGCTGGCGACGCTCCGGGTAGCTTCTTGCCTCATAACCCTCACTCGACATCTTTCTACCACTGCAATCGTGTAACCCAGCTTCTTTTTCGACCTCAGAATATCGCCTGCCGCCTGCTTACGATTGGCTTCAGCCGACACAACGCGTGAGTGCTTCGCGTCCGCGATCTTTTTCGACCAGCCGAAGCTCACCCACAACAGTGACCACCACCGCGAAATTCTTCGACCGTGTCATTCTCACTGTTCGACCTCTGATTCCCGATCGCCCACGCTTGCTACCAGGTATGATTCCGCTCTCTGCTTCTTGCTTTTGCTCGGCCCTTGGCCATAGCAGTTACAGCGCGGCGGAGTTTCTTCGTAATTCTTAACCACAACACAACCCCTTTCTAACACACAGCTCTCCAGGTACAAGCTGCATCTTCTCCCAGCTGCTTAGCTCGCGAACTCCTCTGCCGCGTAAGTGCGAAAACAGCCGCTCCTGCCACGCCTACTGATCCATCACGAAGAACCCAACCCTCAGCTTTCGCCGCCGCCGCCGTCCTTGCGCTCCTTGCACAGCACGCTGTCAGGTCACATTCAGGCCGCAAACATCCCGCAATCGACAAGCTAGACGGCTTGCCTCAGCACGAGTTGTGTAAGTGCGCCTGAAGTATGCAAACACCTCTTCCTAACAGTATTTAGAAGGCGCAAAATCCAGTAGTAGACACTCCACGGCGTTCGTCACTTGAACGTCGTCGTATATATACTCAACAACCAAACATCCGACGCGTAGTCAGCACAAGGTAGGGAGTATCTCCAGATCCCAGCGCGGCACTGCTAACCGAGACAGCAAGGTGCGGCCGACTTCGTACTTCAACCGCTTGAACGAAGCCATAGAGAATCGCGTGTTGTACCCATTCAACACGATCGCGCTGTTGGGGCAAGATCCAACGCAAATGCAGATTCCCATACCAGCCTCGTTCCTCGCTGCGATGGAGCCCCGCGTAGAAGCCACCGTGCGTGAGCTACGCAACCGCTTGACCTACCAGGAAGCGAAGAAGATCGTGGTCTCCATCTTGCCTACTCTTGAGCCTACGGACGTGTCTTCAACCCACTGGATTGCCGAGCCTTCTTCCCGCCTGCTGCGTCCTCAAGAGGTCATCACCTCACTGGGGCCGCACTCAGTCTTCCTCGACCAAGCCTTGCAATCCGATGACTTCTTCCAGAAGCTGGTGTGCGCAATGCTTCTCAAGAGTACACAGCCGAAGTTGTCGTTCCTCCAGGTGATCGTCATGGCATTGATGGCTTATGGGGATATCGCAGATGAGACCGAGATCTGCGATTGGATGTGGGAAAACATCCCCTTCTGCGGTCAATGTATCAAAGCGCGGTTGGCTCTTGTAATCCACAGGGAGCTCACCGTAGTCTTTGAGAGCCGCCATCGGGTCCTAGAGCCGATTGACGCTGCCGTTTGTGGTCGAGGACTGGTCTACGAGCGAGAGCAGAAGGGTCGTGTTTGGCGGCTACCCACGAACAGCGAGAACCGCATCTTCCAAGGCCTGTACGCGCCAGGGCACGTCTTACTTTGGAATCGCCCGCGGCCCTTCGTAGCCACCCAGAATATGCCCAGGATACGAAGTGTGGCGGCGATCAATGGGACCCCGTTCCTAGCGCACAGTTACGTCCCCAAGCTTGAGATGATGCCCGCGGAAATCTTGGACCAGATCGCCTGGCACAGTGTCCTGCGTTCCGAAACTGTTCAGGCTCTGATAACTTCGGCCGGAATTGGCTTCTACCAGATCGCGGCAGAGTCAATCACAGCAAACGCCACGGGTCAGTTCGCAAACCTTCCTCGACGCCGACACTACCGTGAGCTAGGACTTATCGATGCCAGGCCGTTGTGCGGTCTTCCACGTCTGGATGAGCTCATCCGAGAACAGTTCTTTAGCAACAACCACTTTAGGTTGAAGGACAGCGTCCACGGTTACCACGCCACGACGTACCAGATGTCAGCTTCAGGTGTCGCTAACGATGTGACCTATCTGCCCTGGGAGTTCGTGGACCGGCTTGGCTCCAAGAGTGCTGAACTCCTTACGAGTATCAGCATCGAACTTCAGGTAGAGGCGCTTGAAGAGACCGAGGTGTTCCACTTTGACGAGGGGTACGCCGAAAAGGTGATAGAGTTCCTGAGCTTGGTACGGGAGAGTAGCAATCTCCGGTGCTTGGAGGTACACATCGAGTGGGTTCGGGCTGAAGACGTCCGAGGCCTGTACATGGGTGGCGATGTCCCGGATCTCAAAGTTTTCGAGGAGCTGTCAGCATTCCGTGGCCTTAGGGAGGTGTACCTTCCTGGTCTAGAACTCTTCCCTGCACTACGTGAAGAGCTGGTACGCCTGATGACTTCGCCTCAATAGAACTGGGCCACAGGGCAGGTCTCACAAGCGGGAAAATGGTGAGTTTCAAGTACCCCGAGAGTATTGAAGAGGACTGACCAGATCCAGGAAGCATACGATGACTACGATCTAGGGGGGTATCCACTATGGAGGCGCTTGACGCTCGTGGTTGAGGTGGTAGGACTATGACTAAAACGTACCAAACGATGTTGTCTTTACTTTCAGCGAAATCCTGTACACAGTCCAGGGGCAAGTTTAGTTTGGTATCATTAGTGTACTTTGAACCTGAAAATTCTCTTCTACGACTCAGATCGTTTGCTGTGGTCGCGACACAAATTACGCAAACGGCCTTTCTTTGCAGGACTTCTTTATGCCCGGCGAGCTAGCTTTTTCATCTTCTCCTCGTATATGGTGCGCTTCATTTCGTGGAGGATAGATTCATACAATGATGGGATCTTCTGACTTATTGCACTTTTGAAGCCACTGCGTTATTCTATTATCACATGATGGTTTGTACAAAGGTCTGGTAGATCTTGTACCCCTTTCCAGTCTTTCGCTCTCGTCCTGCTAACATGCTACACAGGACAGACTTGAACAGGTATGAGTAGGTTGCAGCGATTCAATGCGACTTCCTGTGCTCGATCAGGTAACACTGGATTGTGATAGCCCCATCGTGGCCGTGACACGGCGCTGCAGAGCATGCCGAAGCAGCGGTAGGAAGCCGGAGTTTTAGAAGAGACCATCTTAAGTCGCCCGTTCGCAATTCCCGAATGCTCGCAGACTGACTCCTTTCTATGTATACACATAATACCGAACTTCTGCGGCCTCGGATCATGGCGGCCCGTGATTGCTCTTTCATCAACCTCTTTGTCCGACAAGGAAGGTCCGTGCACGGCGCGTTTGTCGCTGGGTCGTCCCTAGCGGTGGCTGCTACGACCACTCATTCCCCGCTCAACTGTGTCGAACTTTGTTACGCCTTGTGTTGAGCCAGCGGCCTGACAGATCGCACCTACGCCAAAGTGTCTGTGTGCGCGGGCTTCAGTGCACGTGTCTTTTGCAATCGCGCTCAGATTCCATCGCGTAATCTCAAAAAGGTTGAGCCGGCTCAGCATTCGAGGGACTGCAATGAAACGGCTGGGATCTTGAAGTGGCGCGACTCACATGGCGAACTCGTTTGCAATCGCATGGCAGTGCTCAATAGAAGGTCATAACAACAGCCTCTGCGAACAGTTCCAACAATCCAATCGAGGGCCTTTCTCTATAAAACATCATCCGGACGAAGCCAGAGTCAAAGCGAAAATGCCCGATAGCGCAGAAGCAAGACAAGCCAACGACGGGTCGAAGTGGTTCCTGTCAGCCAATGCATGAGGAAAAAATCTCGGAAAGGCTAACATCGTAGTCGGCATTCATCAATTTGAGGTGGCGACGGAGGAGAAGAACACGCTGCGTCCATGGTGTGGCAATTAGGGTTTTCCAGACAACGGACAGGCATACTGACAACAGTCATGCCTGCCCTCTCCAAAGCGGCGAAGTGGCGCCATTGGAATCATTACCCACATCACCGGCCATGATTTAGATCCCAAAAACCTTTGTGCGTCTCGTTCCGGGAGGATAGATTTCGACGTCCATGCCAGCCAGGTCGGGCTTGACAAAATGGCTGGTGTTCTAGTCTCGTCGTAGCCAAAGGAGACCAGGACCATCAGGGGTCTCCTGCCCCCATGACAATGCGCATGAATAGTTGTTTTCATTGGAAGACCGTTTTGTCGACCATATCTGGGGAGCTAAACTAGACGTGGCTGTTTGAAGCTCCACCGCCTTCTCGCCCCTCCTGAGCCTTCGATGCCCTGGTCCCTCTCGGCGTCGGTCTGGGTTGCGCAGTTTTTACAGAGTGTGGTTCATTATCAATGGCTGTCCAGCGCCGCGAGCCCTGAATCGAAGTGTATTGGTTCCTAAGTGGTGACAGGTATGAGACGCCTGAAGCACGCGGATTCGTGAGAACTGGTTCGAAGAGAGGCTTAGCGAATAGGGTCCCCCCGGCCCCATCAGTCCGCAACACCAGCATCAACAGGGACTCGAGAGCAACGTTCCGATGATGGATGTCCGTTGTGTGTGGTAGACCACATGGACTGTATGTTTGAAAGAGCTATGCCGACTGGATTTTAATGTGGCCGAGGACGCTGTGGTGTCCCGAGGTCTTCGAAAGACAGAGTCATCGGCACCTTCCAATGGAGACAACGGTGGATCCATAGCCCACGTTGAGACAGGGATCGATGAACCTTGCCAAGGGGTATTGCGAATGATTGGACCGCGGAAGTTCTCTCCGCTGGCAGTTCTCTCACGCAGTTGTATACTGTGCATGTCCTTACCGAGTCCTCCGGGATCAGCCCTCGAGATAGGCAGGCAAGGCCAATGACGTCCGCCTTGTGGAAGGGCTTTCAGTACCGGAATGTCGAAAAGGCTTCTGTGTTGGCTGCTCAGTCGAGAATCGGCGATGAGAGTGTGTCTTCTGCCGAAGCTGTCCATGCGCGAACGTCCGGGCGCAGACATAGACCGGCCACCAGCTGTGGGGCACGCCATGGGCTACAATGGGGCACCTACTGTGGAGGTTCGCCAAGGTCCGTCTCAGGCTGCAGACGAGATGAGCTACCCACGGCTTCCACTCCTTATTTGTCCGTGTGTAACGATGTTTGCGTCGAGGCGGAGGACAGAGCTGATTATGCTTTGCTTGTCGCACAAGCGTCGTACATCTCTTCGAGCAGCGGTACGATACGTCCAGCGTACTGTAGCAACTGTGCGCTCAAGCGTTGTTGATTGGTCTCCCGGAGACTTTTTCGAGGCAGAATCGTGCAGCCGCCCTCCGAGGGAGCCACACCTGTACTTGACAGTGGATAGGCATGTATACGCATTGGAAAACCGGTGTCAGTGAGCTGGTTCAGCGCATGAACTCTGCGGTACGAGAAGGCATGTGTTGACTGTGTGTTGAACGCGGAACAACCGGGCTGTGTCTGTCAGTGGTTTGCAATCAAACGACCCTGGCAAACATTGCATACATCGATTGCGTGGACTCGAAGCACGGCACATTTGGCCCTCGCCAAATGACTCGGTGTGAAGACGAGCCCAAGTAACGGTGAAGCAGGTAGCTGAAAATTCAAGAGAGCGAGGTGGTGTGCACGCACGGGCCTGATTAGTTTCCGGGCCCCCCTACCCGGTGAATTGCTCCAGAAACGATGCTCTGAGGTCCTTACTTGGGTTCCTCGTTGGGTGCATTTCAAAGTACGTTTCTCAAGGACAAGTCTGAAATCCTGTGCGTTGGAACATGCCACAAGAAGCCGGATAAAAAGCATTTAGGAAATCCCGAGGCCTTGTCTCCTTCCACCAACCCCCTGGCGCTACACTGCTCAATATCGCCTCAAATTGTCTTGCGATTAGGCATGCCATGTCCAGAAATCCAAGGGATCAGCCTTCTCAGAAGCAGAGAGAAGTACTACAAGCTCTCCACGGTACAATTTTCCCAAGTACTCGGTCAGCGGACTCCTCCTACGCCGCACGGCACCGGTTTGATGGGGACCTCGATACCAAATCGTTGACAAGACAAGTTGACAGCAATTGGGATGCTCTTGCCACTGTCGCTGGCTTTGATTCTCCTGAGATGGCCATAATGATAGCTGAAAAGCATGCGACGGTGATAAAGGAGGAAGTATACGTAATGGTCGCCGTCTTTACTATCGTATCTTGAAATAATCCTAGACGTTATTTCACACTAGGAGACTGCCGTTCCTCGGATGGTAGGTAGATCGTCTAGCACTTCGACAACAGCCGTTCCCAAGCGCGAATTTCAGCCAAGGTAATCCTGGTGAGCCACGCTAGCAAGCCGCGTCGCGGTTCTCTTGAAACCAAGGTCACTGACTCGTTAACTCCACCTTCCGACGGCCCCCGAATTCTAGTCATTCCATCGACAACCACAGCGATTATCAATCGGGGTAGGTCTCTACCTATATCTCGGCATCTAATCAATCATATCAATCTCCTCTGTGCGCCACTGATGGCATGGCGGTGAAATGGTGAACGATCGACAAACAAAAGTGCACCAGAAATCCACATCGAAGAAGCTGGAACAGGAAAACAATGCCATCGCAAGTCATGAGTTCCTGTCCATTCCTATATCTCCATTCACCAAGTGCACGTTGGCCTCCCGCGCAGCTTTCAATGATCATCGATTGGCCAAGTTCACGTTCGGGCCTTTTGGGAGCAATCTTGTGGCGGTGTGACGCATTCTATGCAAACGTCCATCCTATGAGATTTCAAGTCGTCGTGAGCGCGAAGGCGAAGTGGCGAGCAATCTTTTCGAGATGCGTTGAGGTGATGGGATGCCTGATATTCCCAGGTAGGAAACTCTAGCGGGTGTACTCGTCTTCGGGAATTTTAGATCGCGAGCATGGCCACGGGGATATCCTTAACATATTCATATTGATACATGCAGCTTGTAGTGATCGATAATGTTGATGTCGATTGTTCCAGGCTCGTGGATATTTAGCTTCCCCGGCTTATAAAGATCGTCGACCGGAGATGACTCCTCCGACGATTTATGCTTAAAGGTAGGGTCTGTGGCAACGACTTACAGCCCGTGGAGAACATCCGATGGTAAAAGTCATCAAGTACATGCTGTTCGCAGGACGCATGATGCCGCTAATGCTATTGCTGTCACGATGTTCTGCTGGGATAGCGGAGAAAAGGAGGCTAATGTAGGCGCCGCTTCACTCTCAGGGATGTGAGGATTTCGGCAGCTAGGCCGAACGTTGATCCTCACCACGTGATCGCGCTTAAATTAACATGCACGTCTTCATCGCTCTCTTCGACGATGTCGCACATGCGAACATTGCAGCAACGTCTGCAACATTCTACACCCGAAGCGCGATAGCTTGCCCACACCCTCCTATCTACCCAATGATGACCTCTTCGCCGGCATGGCATCTGCCGTCGCCATCGGTCCGAAAGCGCAATCTCGAACGGTGAGGCTCCACCCTCCCTTTTGGGTGTCGCTCGGAGCCCAAAATGTCAAAAGACCCGGATCTATCTCGGCAGCTAGCCCTGTCAGCTTGTGTGATATTACAGGGATAACGCAGGGATAACGCAGACTCTTCTCGGCCCACCAAACTCAAACGCAACACCTGCCAGACTTGAAGCCGCTCACTGTGGGGAGGCAGGGACTAGACTGCAACAATTGTTCGCTTTCGTATAAGACGCAGTGCAATAGTGTCTTTTTCCATCATTTTGCCACTTCATTCGCCGCTTTCGAACCTAGAGTTCATTTAGGGGCACGTCTAGTGAGTTCGCGGAAGCATTGCGTGGATCCCGCCGCAACGAGAATCGACATGGTACCCAGCCCTGTGTAGTACTAACCAAATTCTGCCGTTCCTCGGATACTACTCCAAAACCAGCCTATGATCACCACGGTACCTGTCGTCGTCACGGATCTAGGTTCTCATCCGAGAATAAGGTTCCTCCCCCCACAGTTCTCTAACACAAACATGCTTAGCAGACGGCATGGGTGGGATATTAATGAGACACTCGGTCGCAGGATCGACGAACAGGGGAAGACTATAAGGATTGTGGGCACCCAAAAGGCGCAACGTTCATCCTTCAATTACCGTTCTGGCGCAATCCTTCCGCATCCTCCTACCATCAGTACAGTTCGTCTTCAGCCCTATTGTCTAATTGCCCGAATTTAGCCCTATACCCATCTATGTTTGTTTGAGGAAGAGAGGTGAAGCGTGGCCGTGCCGTTGCTCGGATCGCTCGGAACCGATTGAGGCTGTCGATTGAGCCTGTTCAGCAATGGAGAATCGAGGGGGACAAGTAGCTGCTGTAGCTATTGTCTTCTTAATCTTGACATGGCTCACCGTGGGCCTGCGGTGCTACGTGCGGTCAGTGCATCACTCTTTGCGCCGAGTTGGTAACTAAAACAAACCAGAATGGCCATTGTTAAAGGCTTCGGATTAGACGACAAGCTCATGGTAGTAACTCTCGCCTTCTTCACAGCATACCTAGCCTGCCAGCTCGGCGGTGCAGCCCATGGTACTGGCCAACACCGTTCAGCACTCACGGACGAACAAGCGCAAACTGCCCTACACTTTTGGTATTTCTGCGAAATATTTTACACCATATCGACGTGTCTCTTAAAGTTGGCCGTCGGATTCTTCTTGCTGCGCATAACAGTGCACAAGTGGCACATTTGGATCATCCGCTTGATCATGGCCGTTGCCGGTTTCTTAGGCATCGGGTACACCGCATTGGTCATCTTCCAGTGCAAACCAATCTCGTACTGGTGGGATCTTGACCCTACCCATGAGGGGAAAATGCCTGGACGCCTCACTTGTCATGATTTTTACGTTTGTGGTATCGGCTCTGAACTCGTTTGCAGACTGGACGTTTGGCATCCTGCCCGTTCTTATTGTCAAGGATCTGCAAATGAAGAAGCGCATGAAGGTGGTTGTTTCTGGTGTCATTGGGCTGGCAGCAATGTAAGTTCCGCATGGGTATCTCCCATTCTGGACACATGCTTACAATAACAGCGGCTCTACTGCAACAATCATCCGCTTGCCTTACACATCTACCCTCAAGCCATACAAGGGCGATTTCCTGTATCGCACGACTGACTTCGCCATCTGGACCACCGTCGAAGTCGGCATCGGTATCACAGCCGGTTGCATCGCGTGTCTCAAACCCCTCGTCAAATCCAGCTTCCTTTCTACTCGATCAGGACAGAAATCTACCGGGAACCCTTGGAGCAAAGGCACAGGAAGCAGGCTTGGAAGCAAGATTGGTGGAACCAATGGCAGGCAGACTCCCATAGGAGGACTCGAAATGAAGCCAGTCGTTGTTGCCAAGAACACTACGACAACTACGGTCACGGCTGGGAGGAGTAGTAGCGACTCAGACGAAAAAGATCTCGTGAATAACGGCATGACGGTGGGAAGTTGGGATAATGCGATCAGCAAAAGTGTGACCACTACGGTTGTGGAGGAGCGTATGGATGACCGTGCTGGTCGTGCAACACGCAGACCTGAGCCAAGCGATATCACCATCCAGCGCAGACGAAATGGTAGCCCGGGGGGAGATAGTGGGTCGACCCTTCATGACGACGAAAGACGAGGGCCAGTACGAGCATATGGAGCGTTTTAGCAACTTCGAGCGAATGTATTATCATCTCCACGCCACAAGGCATCGCTCAGGAAGTGATTGCTATGTCTCCATGCCCGCCGACTCACTGTACTCACACAGCATGTATATTACTACTTTGACATAATCGTAATAGAAGGAGGTCATAGGCGTCTTGAACTGCACGCCTTTGGCATGAACAGTGCCGCGTCCACTTGGCAGTTGGGAACTCGTCTATGCCTCCCAGGGCAACATGAAGCTCGTGCGCGACACGTGGGATGTCAAACTTGAAACCATCAAAGGGGTCCAGGGGTTTCTCCACTGGGTGGAGCTTGACGCTTGGCTGACGAACGTTCCAAGAGTGGGTCACTTCGGCAAAAGGCAGCGGTGCCGCGAAGCTCGCCGGTCACAACCTCGGGGAAATCATGTGCCCAATCTAGGCCTAAATAGTGCGCCCCTAAACGGTAGCTAGACACGTGCTAGCCTCCAGCGTTCATTCCACTTTACGATTCCGCGGCCTTGGTAGATGTCTCACATCGCGAGGTATTTTGCTGACTCGCCTTCTCTACGGCAATTGCGCTCTATTACATGCCGACAGCAATATGAAAGTTGCGAATACGAGGTAGCTTCCCGCAACTTCATTAGCTAAAGCTTGCATCCGCTACAGTTGCCTACGGACACTAAGCTGGACGTCTACTGCACCACGCCGCGGAACCACGAACGGAAGCAAGCTCTCCGGCTGTGATGACGTCTGATACGTTTGTGTAGACCGACATTCTAGGAAAACACCAATGCCGCTCAACGTTTAGAGCTACATTAGTTACGTTTTCGGTATGTTCCCATAGGCAAACCTTGACGGCTCATAGCCTCTGCCCAAACTCTATACTGTGGCGCGCGCGTCTGGTCGATGCCACTAGTGATGCGCAAGCTGCGGATGAGAGCGCAACTATCGTAGAGTCTGGAACATTTTATTTACCCCATTGACCGCTAGCGAACTGACAGTCGCGCGCCGACGTTACCTTATTTCAGGAACCGAGAGCACTTATGCCCGTCAGAGGCCGTGCACCCGGCATAGCAAACTGGGGCTGGGAGAGAATGACTGTGACGGGTTTCGTGATAGTTGGCGCCCAAATCCTGGGGGCTCGTTCCTAGCCATGACCTCAAGCGATGTGCAACATCCTTCCGAGATGAAGTAGACTCGTCCAGTCCCGGAGACACTGGTTCAAGATCACCATCTATGACTTCCCACATTCTACAGAAGATTTGGTTGAGCTCTTTGACGACACTACGTGAAATGACTGCCACTCGCGATGAGTCTCCAATATAACTGTGACTGTGACCTTGTCCGCGGCATTCCGCATTGCACGAACGTGAGATTCGTGTAACGTAATTGACCAATGGAACTGTGGGTTGGGCAGCGAGAACTACAGCACTGCATTGTTTGTCACCTTGGCGACTGGGCTATGCTCTCGACGTTACGGTCTCAGGCACTTGGACGGTAATGTACTCTTTTGTGAGTCTTCAGTATGAGTCCGCTCATTGTATAAAAGTTCTTTCCGAACCTCTTGTTCAACTCTTGTCGCTATCGATATACAATCACAGCTGCATCTCCACAGAACTGCCAAAACAAGCATCTCGCGAGACCTTTTCGAGACCTGAAACCCATCCGCCTCACCGAGAGTACCCAGGCCCTTCCCCTTGCCATTTCTACATCACATGATGGCAACCCAAACACACTCGTCTTCTTCCCTTGTGGAGCCGGTCACTCCAGTAAGCCAACGATCTCCCGACGCAATCTGACTGCCCTCATCCTGTTCCCAAGATTATGTTCAAACCATTCAGGCTGTGGCGCAAGCGGTCAATAAGCTTTACGAAGATTTGGGCGAGAAGCGCTTGTTCACTATAGAGAGCATTAAATACATGCAACTTCTATTAGACACGATCCACGACGTTGAGAAGCTAAGGTATGCGAACGTCTCGGAAACAACGGAAGAATACACATTCAAGGATAGACATGGCAAGGAGCACAAGTTGAAGCATTTGAGGACTGCTGAAACTTTTGAACATGAGCAAGAGCCAGGTTCAAAGCTTCTAGAAGGTACGACCACGATGACTTTTGAGAATGCACTTGGCGAAGAGCACCAATTCGAGGTTCCACTCGTACCATGGTTGTATTCGCATGACCTCTTCGACGTGGAGTGAGTGAAATACTTGACTATCAAGAAGGTCTGCTAATTTACACCTAGTGTGAAACCTGTGATATGCTTCTTTTCGTACCAACAGTTGATTATCGATCCGACTTTGGATGCATTTTGTCCAGAGCAGCTAGCTCTACTTGGTCAGCAATTTGAGAATCGACCGATTACGCCGAAACTATGTTCGTCGGGAAGTTGGCAATCGCTTGCTGCCAAGTACATACCGATGTATTTTGGTTACAACCTAATGGATATGATAGGTTCAGAAATTAATATAATAGATCCAGAAACCGGCGGCACTTTCGAGCAGCAGGAAAAGCGGGCGGAAGAGATTAAGAAGGATTCTGAACCTGAGCGAGACGAAATACTCAAATTCGTTGGAGAAGCCAAAGGCACCATCAAAAAAATCGTGTGCTTCGGCCTGGGCTCAATAATCGGCGACGAAGAAGTTAATGAAGATGCGGTACCTCTGCATTATACCGTATTGAAAATTGCAGATAAGTTGGACATTCCAGTCTTTTTTCAGGACCCTTCCTATCAAGAGGAAGACGAGATATTTCTGCGAGCGACAATCTTCGACCCGCCGAGGATCCAATTCCTCCAGTATCCGGAAGGCCTGTATGAGATCGATCAGAACACACTCGTTTTTTGCGCCAGAAATCCTGGTTTCCCAATACGACAATTGGTCGCAGATCTCACCCATGAATACGGCGGACCAGCTGCAATCTTTTGCCCGCGAGTCGAAAATGCCGTGATGAAGGAGTGGACTGTGGAGGCTGAGATGAAAGAATTCCGCACGGTGACAAGCGAATGGGATACGGGGAATGAGGTGGTTAAAATCCGCACAAAACCACATGAGTCCCACTATGATCCCTGCAACAAGCATGTTGTGAACATGCTGAAGGGCTTCAGTGAGGACTTGAACATCGACGAGTGGTATGCCCGGACAAGGGAGGTGCGTGAAGGGTCCTGTTTCCCATCGCGAGCGTATAACTCCGGGTGCTCCTTGTATGTCAAGAAGGGCACCGCAGACTCGTAAGGGCGTTTGAGCAGGCACTTGAAGATCACGAAACCTAATAAGCTTTTCTAGCCATGTAAGTATGGTATGAATTCTACTTTGAGGTTCTTGCATGATCGATTTAATGATCTGTATGTTGTCCATTATGCTGAACCTGAGCAATTCCTTTCATAATATGTGTATCATTGCGAACTTTGCGACAGATCTATCACGTTGATGTTAAGTATTCAAGATCTTCAATTCTAGTTTCTCGTCACAAGTTACTAAACGTATAGAGTATTCGTACGGCAGCTAACGTGCTACTTGCTGGCGGATCTTGGGCCGACAAGGTTTCGTAATCTACTCTCCAACTGTTGAAAGTAAGGATAGACCTCTCGACTAGTCTTTCTACTCGATTTCCACTCGTTCGTTCGGCCAGCCAGTATAGCGGGTCATTCACCTAACGGTGCATCCTCAACCCCATAACGCGACCTGCAAGCACCTTCAGCTCCGACCAGACACGCGAGGAAACGAACTGCGGAGAGATTAGAGCGCCGTGACCACCCACAATGAAAAGGTTTCTGATCGTCGATGAGAATTAGAGCTAATTAGCGATACAATACAAATTGATAAGATTGTCTCACTGTCTGTGAGACCTCACCACGAAATTTGCTTTCAATATCAACTCCACGCAGCATATAAGTAGGAATCTACGCATCCTTAGATCCGAAGCGGCCAGTATTCTTTCTGTTACTGCACCAATTTCTGTTACTGCACCAAGTGTTCTATATCCACAATACCATCCCGGACCCGCATAGTCGGTGAGTAAATTTGGAGCCCCGGGGCGATCCACAGTCGCCGGCGCATCTAGTCTTCCTCACGACAGCCTGAATCAACTCGATTTAGCATACACCACTTGAATTATGGAAAGATCGAAGTCGCGCGTTACAACATAAGTCTAAGAAATATGGAAACTGATCAACCGCTGATGGTGCTCCAGCCATTGCCTCAGGCGTTAACGACGAGGCTGTAAAAATGGACTCACGAGGTGCTCTTCACACATGATCGCGCTTGTCTCACGATGTATGGGCTTTACCAGAAAATCATAGCTCAGCGAATGTGTAGACAAAAGTATTATGTATTACCAATTATATACATCATTGAACATTAAACCCCCACTAAACTATCCCCTTCTACTCCTCCCATCTACCCGCACGCTTATGCACAAGTAGGAGCATTCTTCTTCGTCGTCGTCGCCCAGCTCGTCACAGTCTGCGTCTGCTTAACCAGACTAGTCTTATACACCGTCGCCTGGCTAGTCACCGTAGCCGTAGGCTTTAGCGACTGCGTAACCGTCTTCCACACAACGGACGTGCTCGCAGGTAGCGTCGTTGTACTCTTCACTGTTACATCTTTGCTAGACGTCTTTGTAATAGTCTGTGTGGGTAGGGTCGTGGTGCTCTTGATGGAGACAAACTTGACGCTCGTCGTCGTTGGGCCTGGCACTGTGGACGTGGACACGGATGTTGAGGTCGTCATCACGGTCTGGAGGACAGTCGATGTAGATCTCGCCAGGGTTGTAACCTTGCCGGTTGCGCTTGTCTTGATGACAAAGGCTGTGGCTGTCGAGCCCTGGAGCGTCGTAGTTGTGAGTTTGGTGCTCGTTGAGTAGCTTGTGCTGGTTACAGTTGAGGCCTTGAGGGATACGGTGTCGCTGGAGGTAATAGTCGTGTATACATCGGAGGTGTAGGTAGTACCCGGAATAGTTATTATGGACGTCTTGACAATTGAGGTGAGGGGAGAAGTGATGGTTACAGTCACGGTCGGGGCAGATGCGGCACGACCAGCGAGCTGCTCAAGATCACGACGGATCTTGTTGGCAGTTGGTATACAAGTCAAAGTCGACGTGCTCTTCTTCGTCGTCGTAGCAGTCGTGTACGCCGTCGAATAGACAGTTGTAGCCTTTGCCTCGACCGTAGTCTCTGCGTCACTTCCAACAGTCTTCGTAGTCGTGCTCGTAGCTTTGACGGCCTTTGCCGTAGTGGTGTACAAGCTCGTGATAGTGGATCCTTGCGAGATGGTAATTGTCTTCGGATCGGGTGTTACTGTCGTCAGCGCCGTAGTTGTAGAAGTGCTCGCCACGGTTGACGCCTTTCCTGTAGTCGTCTTTACACTGTATACCAATGATCCCTGCGTGACGGTCGAGATCTTGACGGTTGGGTCTGGTGTTACGGTAGAGGCAATGTTCACATACGAAGTAGATGTCTGGGTAATGGTCTCATCTGGTTCGGTTACTGTGTAGGTTTGAATCGTTGATGTCTTCTCTACAATATTCTTCGTCACCGGTGCGGGAGTGATTGTAGTTTCTACATCTACAGTGGTAGTGTGTAACTTGGTGAGAGTTGCGCCGGGAATCGTAGTGGTCGTAGAGAATGTCGCTTTGACTGTCGAAAACTTCGTGGTTGTCACTGTAATGGTTGAGATGGGAAGCAGCGTAGAGGATGAAAGCAGCGAGGAGGTGGAGCTTGCCATCGATGTCGACGAAACTGAACTCGGTAATTGCGTAGGAACGATGACGGTCCCAGCAGAGAACGGAGTTCCATGCACCAATGTCATGTTGATCCAGGAAGTTGACGCAAAGAAGCTGGCCAGCTCAAACTGCGCTGCAGAACCAGCAGTGAGCTGGGTGGCAAATGAGGCGCGACCAGACGTCGATGCACCAGGACCGTAATTGGCCAGCTCACCAAAGAGAACGCCATCAGTTTGAGGAGCGGTCTTTGACCATGCCTCCCATCCTGCGGCTTCAACACAAGAGCCAAGGTAGCTCTCGATGAAAGCAACGCGGGCGAAGTTATTCCAGGGTCGGCCAAGAGAGATTTCGGAGTAAGAACTGCCGCTGACGGGAGTCACCGTGCACTGATCGAACACGAAGCCGGCCGCAGTGGTGTTTGTGAGCCGTTTGCTTGCTGTCAGTGAGACGTCGTCTGTGTTTGGTGATATGGTGGTGTTTAGGAAGTAGCCCGCTCCGCTTCCCCAGATCATGTCGATGCTGCCTTGGATCAGGGAATTCGAGGCAAAGAAGAAGCCATTGATGAGGAGGGCATCCTGGTTGCCATATACCTGGCATCCGTATAGCGAGGCGTACTTGCTGCTTTTAACACCGAAACCAAGTGTAGCAAAGTTCTTCGCAGTGCCATAGGTATTAGCAAAATTGATGTTGATGGCCTGAAAGTAATTCCCAGTGGCATAAACAGTAGCCGAGTCCGAGTTGGATGCGTCTGCCTGTGTGTCTATGCCATGAGCATAGGTAATGGTAACCTGGTTTTGAGTGTAGTCTTCAGTAGCAGCAGTGTAGCCCATGAATATGGTCGTGCCAGACTTGTTCAACACGAGTTGTTCCTCGTAGACACCAGGGTAGATGAAGACAGTCGCGGTGACCTTGCTGGATGTGGGCAAAACGTCCAGAGCTTTTTGTATAGTATCATAAGTTGTCTTGCCTTCAATGGCGGTCTTGGACACGATGTAAGCTCCTGCTGGTGGTATAGTTCCGTCATACGTAGTGTTTCCGGGTTCAGGAGTGACTATGGTAGCCGGCTGGGGAGTAGATATTGTGTCCCAGTATGTCATGTCGATCCAGTCCGTGCTGTCCATGACTGTCGCGAGAGGGTACGAGTCGGTGGTCAGCAACGTGCAGTTTTGCCAGGCTATTCTGGCTGCAGCATTGTTCTCCCAGTTACCGGGTCCAACGTTGTTGTACTCGGCAAACGTAATGTGGTCCGTTTGTGGGTTGGTGGCTCCCCAGGTCTTCCATCCAGATGGGTTGATGATGTCAGTCAGGTAGCTGTTCTTCACGATGACGGTAGCGTAACTAGAGTATGGTCTTCCGAGGAACACACTCTGAGTCAAGTCCACCGTCGCACTGTCTGCTGCCTTGAAGAGACACTGGTCGAAAATGTAGCCACCAATCGCCGAGGATGGCGCACGACTCTGGGCGGTGATGGCCGACTTTTGCCGCTTGGCACCAATCGTGCATCCCTTGAAGTAGGCCTTTGAGTAACCCCAGATGAAATCAATAGCACCCTCTATGTATGAGGATTCGTAGTATTGGTAGCCATTGGTGGCGCCAGTAAGCAGGGTATCTTGCCAGCCGATGAATGAGCAACCGTAGAAGCCAATATGATTGCCATAGATGCTTCCAGCGAGAGTGACATAGCTGGGTGTGAGACCGTCCAAGTTATCACTGTTGATTATATTGACGTTGTACATGCTGATCTTGGTGCTGCCGGTAGAGAATGTAGCAGTCTCGGCATCGCTGTGACCGACCGGCAGGGGGCTAACGGACAGACCACGTGCGTTGGTGATTGTGACCGTGTTGCTTGCGTATGACTGACCCGGATTGCCTTCGGTGTAACCGATGATCATGACTGGACCCGCTCTAGAGACGCTCTGTACCTGCTCCTCATACGTTCCAGCATACATGAAGATGATTTGGGTGCTGGAGTCGCTCGGGAGACTGGCCAAGGCAGAAGTCAGGTTGCTGTAGGATCCATTGACCGACCCGCCAGACGAGACAAGCACAGCGCCAGTGGGAGGAACAGTGCCACTGGTGGGATGCGCCCAAATAGCCGCTGCGGAAGAAGACGCGGTTGGGCTAGTTGATTGAGTTGGGGTGACGCCTAGGGTGAAGCTCGGCGCATAGTTGTAAGCCGTCATGTCGATCCAGTCGGTAGCACCGATGAAGGAGGTTAGCGTGTACGCAGATGCCTGTGACGAGGTGAGATTCGTCGCGTATGAGACACGAGAAGTGCTCCAATTTCCTGGACCGGTGTTGTTGTATTCGCCAAACATGACATTCGCAGTTCGAGGATCGCTGGTGGACCATACATTCCAGCCTGCAGATGCAATGTGTTTGTCTAGATACGAGTTCATGTACACCACAATGGCATACTGAGACCACGGACGCCCGAGGTACGTTGTTCCAGTAGATGAACCGTAGGAACTGGTGTATGTGACGTAGCACGAGTCGAAAATGTAACCACCTGCAGAGCTGGCGCTGGGTCGATTTTGAGCTGTGATGTAGGCACCAGCAGTGTTTGAAGCAATTTTACATTGATGGAAATAGGCCTTGGAGTAGCCCCAGATGAAGTCCACGCTACCCTCAATGTAGCAATTGCTGAACACTTGAACACCTTGGTTGGCTAGTAGAGTGTCCTGGAAACCGATGAATGAGCATCCATAGGCAGCCATGTTGTTGCCGTAAAAGTCAGCTGCTAGAGCCGCCGTGTTTGATGTTTGAGGGTAGATGTTGACGAAGTCGATATTGTAAAGCGCTAGACCAGATCCATCCGTTTTCTTGGAGTTGATGACTGGGGTCAGCTCATTTTGGTTGGCGCTCGTGGAAACTCCATAGCTGAACTGTATCTTCACCACGTTTTGGGAATAGTCATTGGGACTTTGAGTCTCTCCCCGCAGTGTCACCTTGCCGGTGCGGTTGACCCAGACTTGCTCAGTATATGTTCCAGCGAGGATATAGATTGAGTATGCTTGCCCATCATTGGGAAGGGCAGCCACAGCAGACATGACAGAACCGTATTGACCAGCTGTTGGTGTAGGCGCAACAGTATAGCCTGCGGATACCGAGTTTGTAGCAGTGGAAGCCACCGACGAAGCCGAAATGGTGGTAGCAATCATGGATGAGCTCGAGGCTGTCGTGGCGGTGTTTAGATACACTGAATCTGGGAAACCGGAGAAAGGGGCAATGGCATTATTATCGAGCCAGCTGACATCTCCAAGAACATTGGCAGCGGAGTAAGCCGAGGCGTCTGACAGAATCTGAGCGCTAGAAATTCGAGATGTCGTGGATGATCCGGGACCGGTGTTGTTTGATTCTACAAAGACGGGCGACGCGCTAGACGACGAGACCTTCCACCCAGCGGGGATGATGTGGTTGTCAAGGTACGAGTTGGTGTAAGCCACGTGCGGCGAAGTCGAGTAGTCTCTGCCAAGGTAGGTGGAACCTGTCGGCACAGACGAGCTGCCAGGGACTACAGCGCAGTGATCAAACACAATGATTGAGCCCCCCACGGACGTCTGGTAACTTTGAGCCGCAATAGTTAGTCCAGTACTGGTACTCGTCTCAACAATCTCAGAATTGTAAATGTAAGCAGCTCCTTGGCCCCACACAAAATCTGTTGTGCCCTCGATGTGGCAGTTGGAGAAGTAGAAGGCTCCGTAGTTGAGGAGCAAGGTACCTTGGGATGACTTGATATTGCAGGAATAAAAGCCCGCCTTCTTTGGCTTGATCGAAACAGCAACCGCCTGATAATTGGTCGTCGGCGTGTAACTGTTCTCGAAGTTGATGTTGTAAAAGGTGAGCTGGTTTGTGTAATACTGCGTGGACTGGAAAGCTCCAGTGCCCGCACCAGCTCCCGCGCTCGACAAAACACCGCCATTAGTTTTAATGGTAACGGTGTTTCCCGATCGAGATAGAGGGTTGGCAGCCTCTCCGCGGAAGGTCGTTGCACCGGTTCTGGCGTTGGGAAACACCACCTGCTCGCTGTATACGCCGGCCAGGATGTAGATGGTCTGAACAGTAGAGTCAAGAGGCAAATCGGCAACTGCAGCAGAGATGCTCGTGTAGTTGGCACAAGATCCAGTCGGTCCTACAGTACGAGCAGTACTAGGCACTGAAGATGGCAAAATGCAACCCGTGGCGCTTGCAGAAGCGCTGGATGACACGACGCTTGAGGACGATAGGGTGGTGGCAGAACCAGCAGAGGACCCCGATGAGGTCAAAGTCATCATTGTTGTTGCTGAAGCAGCACTTGAACTCTGGACAGAGCTTGCATCCGACTGTAGGCTGGAAGAAGCTGAGCTAGAGCTCACATCTGACTGTAGGCTAGAGCTTAGGGTCGAACTCAAAGTCGAGCTAGAGCTAGATCCGGCGGATGAGCTGACCGATGAAACAGAAACCACGCTTGAGCTCGAACTGGAGCTCGATCCACTGCCTTGGCTTTCTTGTGCCGCGTCGCTAGCCTGCATGGCGCTCAAGACCTTTGAGTCAATCCACGAGAGGCTAGTAGTTGCCACCGAGGGATATGCGTTGGCGAAGAAGTTGGCGAGACCAAAAGGCGCAAGCTGGGCCGGATCCGTGACAGAGAAGTAGTTGGCTGCATATGGAGTACGGGAAGCCTGGTTGTTCTGGTAGCTTCCAGCACCCGTGGACAAATACTCGTAGTAGGTGTTTGCAGTATTCTGAGTGCTTGTGTCGACGTGGACACCGGATGGAGCAATGCAGCTAGCCATGGCGGTGTTGCGATAGAGCACAACGGATCCCACACCGTTGGCAGATGCCAGATAGACGTAGTTGTTTGTTGTTCCTGGCTTCTGGATTACCGAGCACGAGTCGAACACGATGGTCGAATTGTATTGGATTCCTCCCGAGATTGCACCCTTGTTGTATGTGATCAGAGCACTTTTGGCTGTAGCTGCGATTGTCGAGCCGTAGATGTAGAGTGAAGGATAAGAGTAGATGAGCTTGTCCGCAGCCTCAATGTAAGAGTTCGCAATGAGTGCTGACGCGTAGTTCGTGCTGAAGCCAACAGACCCCGCGGCGACGAATTGGCAGGAGTAGAATGCATTCTGGGATCCGCGGAGGTACATGAAACCTGCAGCGGAGGCAGCATTCGTGTTGTAAAAGTTGATGTTCTTCCAGGTAAGTCCTCGAGTCGCAACGTTATAGGTTACCGGGGCTGCGGTGTTTGAAATGGTTACGAGGTTCGAGGAGTAGGCGTCGGCATCGGTTGTTTCTCCCACGATGGTGACTGCCGCGGTGGCTTGAATCACAACGCCCTCGGTGTATGTCCCAGCCTTGACCGTCACAGTAGGAATTCCTTGACTCTGAGCATACAGAATAGCAGCATTAATGGCAGTGTATTGGCCAGTTCCATCGGCGGCCACTGTCACGGCAGACAAGGCAGCTATCTAGTGTCAGCCCAATGAACCCGCGATGACGGGACTGCGCTACCATACCAGAGGACGTTGAACTCGCCGAGGATTGGGTACTCGTCGTAATTACGATGCTGGATGATACAGTACTTGTTCCGAGCGAAGAGTCAGAGACTAAGTTGGATATGGAAGCTAGAGTAGCACAGATGTCAGCGTCGACAATTCAAATTACGGCACCGGCAGGACGAAAAGAGGAAACTCGCTCACAGCAAGCGTCGACAGAGGTTGAGGAGACGGCTGAGGAGGTCGCACCTTGTTGTGCAATGCTCCGACCCGCAAGGAGCAGTAGGAGGAGAGATGAAAGCATCTTGGTCACTCCTGAACGAACCACCCTGACTTCCTGTATTGTTGTCGAAGTCTGCCCTAGTAGAGGAATCTCATCGATTGTCGGCAAGGGCAGAACACGGCATTATGACAGTTCGTCAAGTCAGCCCCCGTGGCTGCCACTACAAATTCATGTCGGCGAGACCGGGGTGCCAGACGCGCATACGAATGACGGCAATCGAACCCAGAGGCCTGGATTCGGGGCGATGTTGACAAGCTTGCAGATCTGGACAAGCTTCCCCAGCGCACTAGCTATCAGTGGGATGGCCTTTTGCTACTCGGAGGCGACAATGATCGAGACACTGCCAAATTACCACAAAACGGACTAGTTGACCGATGGGGCTAGAAGATCTGGATTGCTACAATGCACCGGGAATCCTGGGCTTCGGCAGCTCCCGAAGAGCATCATTCGGAGTGCCACGGCAATTGGGTGGAGGAATACCAGAGGCGGGGATCTGGAAGGCAGAGGGAACTCTACGTATTTTGACCTTTTGAGCGAGCGTGGTAATTCTTCCAGAGATGGTCACGACCACTGCGTACAATTTACTTGAATAAAAGTCAGATTGTGTCAAGGCGTATCTGGTGAGCGCTGTAGCGTTGAAGCGGGATCAAGACGCCGAACGGGACATGAAGACGATTGAGGCTGGCTGGAACTGGCCGGAGCTGACTCCTAGCAAATTTTCTCCATCACGGCTGCTGAAGTCGTTGTACGCTGCTGCACTGGCCCCTGACTTGAGGACTCAGTGGCGGTTCTCGAGCATTTAGCGAGGCCCACGTGCACCCAATCATGATCAAAGGCTAGAGAGCTGGTGGTTTGCAGATCCAGATAAGAGCACGTATTGAGGAAAGCGCAGTTGATAAAATCGGAATCAAAATAATGCGCCGCGTGGAGTGCGCGACAAAGGCACGTGGTCCGCGGAATCCAGTATGATATTCCACCTATGAGGATACAGCCCGATACGCCGGTCGCGGGAACGCTAATCCGTAAGAGGGCTTAAAAACCCGGGATCGTGGTACCATTGGATGCGAATCTGATCGGGACGGAATCTGGTCACAGTAGGGCCTAGGACGATGAACTAATCGAGCGTTATCAGCCGAGGCTGGACCTGAGACTATTCCTGTAAAAGGCGACGTGAATGAGCTAGGCCCTATGGGCATTTCCAGAGACGAGTATTGTGCCGCGTTCAATCTTTTGTAGCGTCAACACTGCTGTTCAGGGCCGTGGCATCTTGCTCACAATTTGTATTTGAGGAACGACCTCTTCATCATACGCGAGATCTTTTTAGGTGACACATCCAGCGTTATCAAGCGTCCGACTGTTGCAGTGCAGTCGCGTCTCTCATCTACGAGACCATGTTCAGTAAGTTTAGAGGAAATCTTCCACCGTCATCGATTTTACCAATGCGGAAGCGGAAGAAAGCATATCCCCGGAGATACGAATGACCGATGTAATATTGTAGTCGCGGTTGGTTTGGTTCGGTATGCCGAGCCGTCTCTTAGGTTAGCGCCACCTTTTGCTAGGCACACGGGAAGTTCGAGTATATATAGAATAGCTACGAATGCTCTCAGTATCGGTGTAGATCAAGGTTCGGTGGATAGCATGGGCTTGTTCGGTACCGAAACATCCAGAACAACATCAGACCTACAATTCATTAAGCGAGCTTCCTGGTCGCAAACAAGGCTCGAACAATCGAACATGAGTTGCATGCGCCACCACACTCTTCTTGCTTGGCTGTCCCGCTAGTCTTGAGAGTGGCAAGAAATACGCTACGCCTGTCGCTGGCCTTGTCTTGTTGACCATAGCAATTGACTGGCTAGCTTCTCCAATCCTGCCCCGGGTTACAAGCTATTGTGGCAACTCTTCTCTCTTCCCGAAGAAGACGTGGAGAATGGCTAGTACGAGTATCAGGCCCTCAACAGGCCTGTATTGATATCGCCACCCCATGTTCTGGCTGCTGCTACGTGTTGCTGATGTCGCGTCCAGCAGACACGGACAAAGGGGGTTAAGCGCCCATGTTGTGGTTCGGATCAAACAACGGTAGCGCAGTGTTCGAACATCATTTCCACATTCCAACACGTGCTCAAGGCTGTGAGCAAGTACCCTTTGACTCGTGGATGGAGTTTTTGAACACGGTCACATCGATGGCAACTAGATGCGGTGGTTAACATCTGGCCGTGAATGCACTTTAATATGAGCCTACTATTCACACTGGCCCCAACAATTGGAAGCCGAATGCACAGAGCGCTGCAAAGCTCGGCCAACTCGTTACGACAAGCGTGGATATCGCCACCACGAAAGTTAGTGTTTACCACACGGCTTTCCACGCGACGTAGTCGAGAAACAAGAAGTGAGCCAACCGGCGAGTGGCTGTAGAGGAATGTGATGAGCATTGAGGATGATTTGACATGCCATTGTTTAGTGTTCCGAGACAAGTTCAATCGACACTACGAGCATCTGGACATACCATCAGATTTACCAAAGTGTTCTTGCACCGGAGGCATATTCTGCACGTACCTGATCGACCACAAAGCCAAAGCCATAAGTGAAGATCATCTGCTACTGGTATCCACCAAAGCCCAGCTCTTTGAGTGTTCGGTCAAAGACAGCTTTTTGGTTAGGAATTCGCCCACGTGGATCCCTCTTACGATACCTTCCCGAGTTTCCATCACCTTCGCGCATCAACTTCCGATATTGGGTAACTCTCTGTAGTACTTCAGCTTTCACAACATGCATGCGTAGAAACGTACCGAATGGGAAAAGAGAGGGAAAATCTGCCATCTGCATGCATCTCTTCGGCAAAACCACCAATCACGCCAGTAGACCCGCGTATTCTTCATATACTATAAAGCACCCGGAGCAACATGCCACGCAGCCTACAATATCTGTTCGACGCAATAGGTAGTCACAGAGGGTTACGTCCATATAGCAGATTACCAATGTAACCCTCGCTGCAGGTACACACTGTTCAGGGAGGATGGTATATAAGTGAACTTCGCTAGCTACCTCTAGCTACAACCAGCGATCAGTCTACGATGAAGGCGACGTCTCTTCTGGCGTTCGGCGCCATGTTGATCAGTGCTTGCGCGCACTGTATGCTTCTACCTTTCTCCCACTGTCTCTCTTCATTCCTCCTGAAATTACCAATTCCTCTCCCGTACCATTTCTGCTCTTTACATCCCCAAATAATTGATCAATCGAAAACCTAACACCAACCACAGACTTCTTCGACACGCTCATCCTCAACAACACCTTCACCTCACCCTGGGAATACATCCGCAAGATCTCCCCCCAACCCCGCACCGACGACGCCTTTATAACCGACTACGACTACATCCAACCCCTCGTAGACCCGTCCTCCATCGACCTCCGCTGCGGCAGAAACGCCTCTACCGCATGGAACACGCCCAAAACAGCCGTCGTCCGCGCCGGCGACACAGTAGGCTTCGCAGTGAACACGACCGTCGGCCTGCCCATCAAAGACGCGCCTGTCAACCCATGGGATAGATACGCAAACATGTACCATCCTGGCCCGCTAACGGTCTGGCTTTCCCCGGCGGAGGACCTGTCCGCCTACCAAGGCACAAACCCCTGGGTCAAGATTCTCTCCGTCGTTAATAGAACTGCGCAGTCTGTCCCGCCCTCCGACGACTACACTTGGAAACACCAATGGGGCGCATACCAAGCGCCGAGTTGGAACTTCACCATCCCCGCGTCTACGCCGGCAGGTGCCTATCTGCTGCGCATCGAGCAGATTTATCCGGTGCCGGTGGGGGAATTAGGAAGCCTGGGCGCGCAGTTTTATGTCAATTGTGCGCATTTGAGGGTTGTCAACGACGGGGAGGCGAAGGAGGTGGGGGACGATTTCAAAGTTGGCATCCCGGGGGTGTACACTTATGGTCAGCCAGAGATATATAGGTGGGTGGATATCGGGAATGAGACGTTTGATATTAGGGATTGGGTGGAGCCAGGACCCAAAGTGTGGGAGGGGTGAGGGGTTTGATGTAGGAGAAGATGGATGGGGCGTTGAGCATGCATATATGCATGTCGTGGGTATCATTGCTTTATCGTCGTGACTATGGCCGTGACTATTGTTTTCGTTGCCGTTTCTTCGCTTTTGAGAGCGCCGCTGATATTGCAGCGACCTCCTCCTCCACGTCCTCGTCACTTGCATCGCCTTCTGCAACGAGTGTCTGTGCATCATCGCCATCTTCGGCTGCCACATCAGCCGCTCCATCATCGCTGAAGCCGTCAAACTCGTCATCGTCACCTTTTTCATCCACCACGTCCGTGGTAGCAGCAACACTCTCGGTTGCCTCGCTCTCCGCACCCCTCTTTCTCTTCTTGTGCATCTCGCCGAGTTTACCCTCCCTTCCGTCTATGCCCTTGACCGGGCCACCACCCTCACCCTCAAGCAGAGGCGGCGGCGTGAACCACGGGATCTTTCCTCGTATCCAGTCATTCAACACTATGCGCGCGACAGCATCGAGATCTGCCTCGCCACCCTTGAGTAGTCGACCCATCTTTCTACATAACAGCTCAAGAAAGCTCGTCGAATCTGTGTACCCGGTGACATCGTATGTCCTTTGTAGATGCTTAGGCTGCACGCGTCGCAATACAGCTTCCACGTACTGCGCAGGCCATGCGACATTCTCCACTCGGACACTGCCGCGTAGAAGAAGCTCTTCGTCGGTATCCTGCTGGTTGGGTGGGACGATACCGGGGCAGTCGATGAGGTAGATGCGTTTCATAAGAGTGATGTACTGCCATACCTTTGTCTCTCCAGCAATAGGAGCGACTGTGCATACTGGCTTGTTGCGAAGCGTATTCACGATGGAAGACTTGCCGACGTTGGGGTAGCCAATGAGACCGACTGAAATTTGTTTGCGGTCTGCGTGTAGCTGGCTGAATTGCCTGAGGAGAGATATCAAAGAACCCTTGCCGAAAGAGTTGTTGATGGATGCGTGGAATGCGAGGGTCGGGAATTCTTTGGAGAGGTGGCGAACCCATGCAGCCTGGAGCACGTTAGTCGAGCTCCAAATCTCAAAGTGAATTGATCTTTGATGAAGATGTGCGAAACGTTACTAAGAGAGCCGCCACCAAGCTGCGAAGCCTAGGGCAAAGCAGAGGCAGTCCTCAACTCAAACGGGACACGCAGACTCTAGCGACGTGCCACCAAGACGGTAGCACGTCTACCCACGACCATAACGGCCGCGGGGGAGCGAGTCGTTTTCAATCTTCCATCAATGTAACAACGCAAGTCCATGGAGAACGACAGGCATTTGACTTGACCGATGGGATAGAAGGAACGCGAACGAGAGTAAAACTTACAGCAACTTTACTGGGCACCAAATCGACCTTGTTCAGGACGAAGACCAGGTGCTTGTGTGGTGCTTCTTCCCTGAGGTATTTCTCCACTGATCTGCACCGAGTGCCTACCGGATCTCTCGCGTCGATGACGTGAAGAATCACATCTGAGGAATCGATAACCTTGTAGAGCTCGTTCCAGATGCGCTTCGAGGTACCCTTTGAGAAGATGGCTTCTCTTGAAGTGGTGAGCTCGCCGGTGTCTTCCTCTTCCTGCCCAGAAGTCCCCGACAGCAGTTTGGCCTGTTCCAGGCGATCCAAATAAGTGTCGTGCATATCTCCTGTTCTCCCAGCTAGGCCCTCAAAAGTGTCAAAGTCAAGCTTGGGTCGCTTCCTTTGCGCTTTTGCTCCGAATGTCTCTGAGAATGGCTGACTCTCGACGGCGATCTTGGCCTGATGTTGCTTGAGACCGTTGACGTTCTTCTGGTCGGTAATCAGGGACATGGGAAGCTTGTTCTGCTTCAGAAGGAACGACGTAGGGTCCGAAGCTTGCGCCTGCACCGCCGAGCGGAAGGAGTCGAGCGCATCCTGAGAGATGACGCGAGTGTTGTTGAACCACTTGCGATTTGGCTCCACGCGAGCGACGGGAGCTTCGCGGTTCTGGTATGAGGCAGCCTTGGTGATGTCGCCTTTGGCATTGCGTTGTGCTTTTCCGTCTGTGAGGCGCTTGAGGACCTTGACTTTTTTGCCGGAGCGGTAGAAGTTCTCGCCCTTGACTTTGACCTGGAAAGTGTCAGTAGGGAAGCGCGGGGGAGGATGCGAGAAGAGCGCACATTGCCCATGCCATCGCCGGTCTTTCCTTCCCGCTCCTTGCGGTTCGCCTCCTTCTTGTGGGTACCCATGCTGCTTGTGTGGGAAGAGGAAGTGGCCCAAAGAAAATATCTTGAGGAAGCTGGTCGGAGGTGTGAAGCGCGGCGTTTGAATTTTGGGCCGAACTTTTTCTGCGCTCGGACCACCTCGGCTCTTGGCATCGTCAACTTTTCGAATGCAGGACAGACGACAGCAACAACCATTGCTCAATTCATCGCAATGCCGCCCCGAATACCAGTCCGCTTCCCTTGGGCGGCCCGAGAAGCCACGCCCATGATCAATGCCAGCCTGGCGACCCGCTCCTTCTCCTCCACCGCGCCCACTCTCGCCCTCGGCCCTGAGTCTCCCAACTACATTGAAGTCCCCAAGCCGGCTCAGCCTACGTTTCCCCTCAAGCCTGCCGTCAAAGGACATCTTCCCGTCCCCCGCGACGTGTTCAAGACGCGATCGCCTCTGTCCAAGGAGTCGGAAGACTTCATTGCGCAGGCCACCCAAGATGCGAAGAAGGTCGCGCGACCAGGACCATGGAACAAGGATGCAGAATACAGGCTATATAAGCAGCGGCTAGCTGACGCGAGGAAGAAGGCACTCAGGGAAGGTGTCAAGGAGCTGCACGAGAGGAAGGTCACCACCGATGAGACCTTTACTGCACAGATTGAACAAAGCAATGCGGAGCGGAGACGCCTTGCTATGGCGCCCCCGAGGGCTGTGGACATCTTGACACAGACATCCATTTCGAAGGGTGTCCGCGACTTCCTCGGTGACGCTCTGCCGAGCACACCGCGCGTGGTCATCGCTGCGCAACGGAAGAACGCATATGAGAAACGCCTGGCGCGGCAAGAGGCTGTGCGCCGGTCACGTCTCCACGATTTGTACACCAACGCACGAGAATTCATTGTGAGCGAGGAGCAGCTGGACGAGGCCATCGAGAAGGCGTTTGGTACCGACGAGAGGCCTGTGCGCTGGCACGTTGGCGGCCAGACGAGCCCCACGGGCACTGGTGCTAGTCCTTGGGAGGGCGGCGTACCCGAGGGCGTCAGCGAGAGGCTGCAGAAACTCAAGGGAGGCGAGGGGGTCGGTTTGGCCAAGGAGCGCGTCAAGAAGGTGGCGGAGGCCCTTACTGGCGGAAAGATGTAGGATGCTGGCGGAGTGTAACATACCAAAGACGTTGTATAATACTGTACATGGCGGAAATACATGGAAAGATCTTGGGGTCCCATTTTTTTCACATATGGGGTATCTCCTCGTTCGCGTAGCATCTGTACAACCCAGCATAAGCATATATTCTTCATCCTCGCTGAGTCCAGCCTGTAGACCCTCGTCCTTGATGTTGGTTGCCTGCGTCGCACACTCATCGATGGCGCCTTTCGTTGCCATCGAAACCACAAACTACTCTGGTCTACATGGTCTTACTAGCCGACTGTCCCTTACAGCTTGTTTTGCACGTGCTTTAGGTAGCAACATATTGCAACGTGCGTGGGAATTTGAAGCAGTTTGACAAATGTGGCAGTCGGCTGGTCTACGTTCCGGAGAAATTGATCTCATTTGCTCATGGAACATACTATAGCCTACAGTACATGCTACCCCATGCTAAATGTCCGTTACAATCAACTCCTGTACCCCTCCGGCGCCATACTACTTGCCATATTACACTGCCACAACAACCTCCTCTCCTCACACTGCGCCAGCTGCCCCGAAATACTATGCATCACGCCCCTATTATGAAACATCACCAGATCCCCCTTCTGCCACGCATGCGCGTAGATATTCTCAGGCCTATACACTTTCTTCTGCAATCCATGGCATATCCTTCGCACCTCTGCGAGATCTGAAATTACTGTTTGACTGCCGGTGGAAGGGTCGATGGTCGTGAGGGCGTAGACGCAACATCCAGCAATTTGCAGGTGTGGGCGCCCATTTACAGGGTTCTTCCACACCATCGGGAATGAATGGACTTTGTCTGGATTGAAGGGCGGTAGATCTGAAAGTGGGGTCTCGCGGCCGATATTCTCGATTGTTAGGCCGTCGGATGAGGCTTTGCAGTTGCGGATCATTTCGTAGGCGCGCGGCGCATAGTGGACTGTAGTGTTCAATGCGAAGTCCTGCTCCTCTGGGGAAAGGACCTCGAAGTTTCGCGCGCCGGAGAAGACTAGTATGGTCAGTTGTGTAGCTGAGCTTGGAGGGAGAAGTGTGCTCACAAAGTGTTGCACCTGCTGCAACGTCCATGGTTTCGCCATCTGGGAACTGCAGTTTTTGTGCTGGTACCTCTGGCACCTCGATGGCGTGGAGTGATGTCACGATTCCTGGAAGGTTCTCGTACAGGGCGGCGTCCATGTGCCATCTGTACGGCCGGGTAAGCCCGCTCGCAACTTCTTGCTCCGAAAGTGGGTGTTCGTGAAAGCTCGATTGATCCAGGTGCTTTAGGTCCAGCTCTTCAATGCCCTCGTAGTCTTGCACATGCCCCGATCCTATGACAGTGACCTGAGGCGCTCGCGGAATCCTTGAGCAATTGTTCTGTGACAGAATGTTCTTTAGATCAGTGACCTGTTTCTGGCCGCCGGAGTGGTACGGCAGATGGTCGGGGTCAAGCAGGTCAGCAATGTCGTAGAGGACCTGCGGCTCGATGCCGGCCTGGTTGCGGATCACAAGAATGCCGTTGTCGAAGAAGGCTTTTCGGAGCACTTCTTTCTCAGCGTCAGATAGCGACTTTGGATTGAGAAGGGTCATGTATTCAGGCAAGATGACTTCGGCGCCAAGAGATGTAGACTTGCGCAGCTCGGCTGGCAGAGGCCGGATTTGAAGAGGCGCAATGGGATGCGGCATCTTGATTGGCTGTTTGAAGGTGATTGGAATCCGACGAATGATGGGGAGTTCCTGGATACAAGTCATAAGTGCGGGATTCTAACGATAGAAATACCTAGCCTTCCCTTTCCTCGATGTGGCGGACATGATCCGGATCGGGTGAGATAGAACTAGCTTGTAAACTCGTCCGAGTTGCTTCTGGACCCACTTTGGAGGTTCCACGTTTGCATGAACACTACCAAAATAATTACCTAAAGTGGCTGTTGAACCAGATGTCGAAATCTTCGGACTGCTCTCGGATATCCAGGTAGCTGGGTTCTGGATGGTGCATTGGCGCACGCTCGTGCTGGTCTAGTTGGATGAAGCGATGCAAGATCTGGGTGAATCTGTGCCTGGAGGTATTCTCGTCCAAACTGTCAGAACTTGAATCGCTATACAAGTCTTCATTCAACATGGCATCGACAAGATATACCCCTCTGCGCGCCATCGTATCGTTTTTGGAGAGGGCCAAGCGCTCTCTTGCACTACGAATCAGTAGCACGTAGTTGTCACTTCGTTCTGATGCCATCGAAGTGTGACAGTACAGCAATTCCAAGCAGATGACAACGATGGCTGCAACACAGAATGCTGAGTGGACCCAGATGGGCGGACACTCTGGTCCAGCCTTAGAGATCTCGTCATGCTCTCGGAGGATGGTCCTAGCGGCGGATACGCAGGTTTGCCTTGTAAAAAGGTATGCTGGAGACTGAAAACTCTTGAGCAAAAACGATCGATGGATCATGATTATCTAGCCCTTTGTGAGCGATGAGAGAGTGCATGTAAGTTAGATCTTACCTTGTCAGCTGCGGCAATCGCTAACGTGCGACGAGCTAAAGTAAGCCATTCGGGACTCGAATTCCCGTTGTTCGATTGTCGTAGAAGGGTCAATGGTATTCCTGCGACTAGGCGTCTCATCTGGCGGTCAATGGCGATGACATGTTCATAGCGGGAAGCAACGTCATCGCCCGCACTTGGCCCGTCGAGCAGTGCAGGAATCAGGACAGCCATCCTGGCTTGCGTCAAGGCGTACGTACTTGATGTAAGCACTGCATCAACTTGGGTTTGTAGATCATCATCGCAGTTCCCCGGCGGCTTGGTTGAGCAGTGTCTGAGGTTTATGGAGTATGATCCGGTGTAGGGGATCGAATGATAATCCATTTCGACCAGCTTCCACCACACCCTGCGACCGACTTCTTTTTCCAGAGCTTCAATCCACGTTTCATTGGTATCTTCTCCAATGCGATGGAGCCCCAGACATTGTGCGATGCGCACGCTGGCGCTCAGCCATGTGACCAGCAGATCGCTTTTGCCCAAAACATTAGCCACCATGCCGGAGATACAGATTGCTTGTAAAGAGAATATAGTATGCCTGCTCATGAAGTCATCTCGACTCAGAACAACGCCCATAAGCTCGAACAGATCGGCGGGAGAAACACTTGGATTGAGCACACCAAAGGCATCTTGACAATCTGGAGTGTTGTGAATGCTCCAGGCAGAGGCGCTTAGGACTGCACAGTACAGAGCTAGCCATTGACCGTCCTCAACGTAAGCAGAATGCCAGAATCTCTCGCATTGAGCAAGAAAGGTTGGGACGTGCAAAACGTTGTGGTACCAAGCAAGGACACGAACGTGGAAGTCAACCAGTCGTCTCGCATTTGTCACGTCCGGGAGCTTTTCGAGCACGTCTTCTAAATGAGAAGCTGGTTTTGAAATATCGGTGTGTGCTTCGAAGCGCAAGCAGTTCCGATGCGGATACTTGTGGCACTGATGGCGTCCCCAAGCCAAACCTTCGATGCAGGTAGCAAGGTCCTCAAATTCGACCTGAGTGCAGTCCAGGTCATTCAATCCCTTGTCGAGCGTCAAGTTGAAAGCGGGCCTCGCCGCTGGACTGGGATGGACGCCATCTTGTGTTGTCGGAACATGTTTGTGTATCTCGGCCGGGCTACATCGTTCATCCGCCGGCGAGTATAATTCATCTATCAGTCGGGGCTCTGGTCCCGTGATGGAAGTCGACTTCCGATGTCTCTTCCTGGAGAGGTCCACCGCCTCTCGTTCGCAAGTGATGTCTCTTCGAAAGCATCGCGCGCAGGGAATGTTCTTATCGCAGCGAACTTTACTCTTTGTACAGGCACGGCAGGCGAGTGGCTGTCGCTGCGACAAGCGCTTCTTCTTGTCTGAACAATCGATGGGAGATGTAGAGTAGGAGGTCTCCGACATTGTTGGAATGCAAATTCTTCGATGACTTTAGCCTTGCTCTGATTGGCTGGAGCTGACCTGCGATGTGTTGGAACACAGAATCAACTCACCCGAGCACGTAGATATAAGGGCCTTATTTTGCATCCAGTTGTCGGTTGATTACACCCTTCTAGACCGAGGAGTGGCCTATCTATAACTTATCTCGGCCGGGTTGGGAGCCCCAGGTTGCTAGTTGCGCGCTAGTACCGATAGCCGGGAACGATGTCGAGGAGCACAGATAGGGAAAGATGAACGACGACTGGGACGATGTCTATATGAACTTCGAGGATGTCATCAAAAACGATGGTTGTAGTCGAAAACAGCGATGGACATGACCAAGAATATGACGAGTTCGGACAAGGCTGTGTCACGATCTGCCACGGACGAGATATCGGAAGGGCAGGTCGCATCTTTCAATTCGTCGGGACCGTCGCTGTTCCATCGTTTCAAAGATTTCATCAAGCTTGACCAGTCCGAGGTTCAGAGTGTGCATGGGAGATGGAGTAATGTTGGTATGAGACATGCTTCGGTTTGAGATGCATAAGTTAATTTTCACCAGATTTGGATCCCGTTCCTCCAGAAAAGCAGACATGGAGATCGCATCACTGTAAGTGCACGAAATGATTTCAAAACATCAAAAAACCTAACCTAAAACAGTTGTGACCTATTGGCTCTGCGATGCTGTCGCTCCCGGAAATCTACGCTTAGGTTCAAGCATCATGACCCTCGGCTTCTCCTGGCGTGAGACGATTGGCATCATCTTCCTTGGTCACTTCCTCATTTCGCTCGCCATAACCGCCAATGCCATCATTGGAGCAAAATACCACATACCATATACCGTTCAAAGTCGCGCGAGTTTCGGCTTCTTCGCCTCGTTCGTCGCGGTATTCATTCGCATGCTGGTTGGCTTCTTCTGGTACGGAATCAACACGTACAATGGCGCGATTTGCGTCAACGCCGTCATCATTGCGATCTGGCCATCATTCAAGAATGTGCCAAATGGCTTGCCCGAGTCTGCGAATATCACCACGCAGATGATGACATCCTACGTGGTGTACTTTTTGATCACGCTTCCATTTCACTATATACACCCTCGCTACCTCAAGTGGTTCTTTGATATCAAGACTATCGTATGCTTGCCTGGCGTCTTCGCACTGCTTGGCTGGGCTTGCCACCAGTCCAATGGAGGCCTCCATACTACGCTCTTCCTGCAACGAACGTCTCTGCGAGGATCCGAGTACTCTTGGGCCTTTTTAGGCGCTCTCAATGTAAGCTCTCTTCATAGTCTAGAGCATCTCGCTTACCGTTTCAGTCAATGCTGGGAAACTACGGAACCATGGCTGTGAACATCAATGACTTTGCCCGATACGCACGCTCAACCCGCATGGTCTACGCTCAGATACTCGCCGTTCCGCTGTCTTTCATGCTCATGTCGTTCATGGGTATCATCATTGCCGGCGCTGCTTCCGATCTCTACGGAACAGACATCTGGGACCCTCTGACCATCATGTCCTACTGGAGCGGGAGCTCCGGTGCAAGAGCTGCCGCCGCATTCGTCTCGCTCTCCTTCGTCCTAGCCCAGCTTGGAGCCAACATCAGTGCCAATTGCATTTCCGCCTCCAACGACCTGAACGCTATGTTTCCTTCAGTATGTTTCTTACTCAACATTGGCGGACGTGCGCTTACGAGAAATAGTATGTCAACCTACGTCGTGGCTCATACATCATCGCGTTCGTGGGTGCCTGGGCCCTGACCCCCTGGAATATCCTAGCCTCAGCATCCGCCCTTCTCAATTTCATGGACGGCTACATCATCTGGGTACGTATCTTCCCTATTATCGACGTCTGCGAAACTCGACTGCTTACGTGAACCAGCTCGCTCCCATCACCGGCATTCTCTTGGCAGATTACTACGTCGTCCACCGGCAAACGTATGATGTCGACGACATGTACATTCCTGACGGAAAGTACCGATACAACAAGTGGGGCACGAACTGGCGGGCTGTGGTGGCTTGGCTGATTGGATCTGTGCCGCTTATCCCGGGGTTCGCTTTGCGGGTATGTTTGTGTCTATGAGGCTCTCAATTGTGTGTCGCTAACGCGTGAGTAGATGAACAGCTCCCTGACTGTCTCCAAAGGTGCAGATCATTTGTACAGTCTGGGATACATATATGGGTTCTTTACGAGCTTCGTAGTGTTTTCGGCGCTGGGTATTTACTTTCCCGCACGGGCGACGTTCACATATGAGGAGAAACATGATGAAGCTGGTACGAGCGACCGGTCGGAGTAGTCATGCGAAGAGGTAATCTAAATAGCGTGTTTGCTAGATGTTGATACTCGTTATATCAAACTGTGGATTGAGAAGAAGTGCCAGATCGCCACTCGAATTATGATACTCTTCGTTTTAGCTGCTTTTGGTTTTGCAAATCCAGAGTGGTCCTGGCTCACAACATCCTACGCCTTTTTCCGAGGGGCAATCGCGCATGCGTTCTGTTCGCCCCATGTTCACTACCCCACATTTTCAGCCCCATCACACCCGCAGGATCAGGCTATGGCGGGAACTCAACAGTAACTGTCGCTTACCGCGCTGCGCCCCCAAAATGTGTGCCTGTGAGAAAGCGGGGTTAGGTGTATCATCTTGCTCGAAACATCGTGTGGCGACTCCGGTCCATCTTGCGTTTATAATCCGTCTTCAAGGCACAATGGACTCAGAAGTCTTGTAGTAGAAGTCCCCAGCTTTTCCCGAACTTTCCATCAACCGTCACCGAACTCGTGACTTGCTACTCAGGATGCCCATCACGGTCTCCATCATCGCAGACAAGGCCGACTTGGTTGAAATCTCGCCCATGGTCCTCGACGCATGGCAACAGCCCTACAACCCACAGCTTAAGCACTTCCGCCCCACATTTCCCACCCATGCCGAAGCTATTGCATATGGCACGGAGCGCTCCGTCAAGAGGCTCCAGGAGAATGACCCAAAGCTGTTCATGTTGAAAGCAGTCGACAGTGACAGTAATGAAATCGTCGGGTTTGCGCAATGGTACGTGAACGACAAGCCAGATCCGTATGGCGAGCGCACAGTAGCTACGTGGCATCCCGAAGGCTCGGATGAACGCGAATTCGCAGAGCGGTTTATCAACGGATTGTGGGACTTCATTGGAAAGAGAGTGACGGGACCGCATATGGGTGAGCGAAAACCAGTGTGTTGATGATGCTTGAAGTGCTGATGTTCGCGCAGACCTACATTCGATCACTGTACATACCGGACATCGGTATCGCGGCATAGGGCGGCTATTGATCCGCTGGGGGCTCGACAAGGCTGATGAGCTGGGTATTGAAACGGTGGTCAGTTCGCTGGTATCTGCTCGCGGTGCTTACGAGAAGTGTGGGTTGGGCTGCATTGAGATGATTCCTCCGAGTCCGTCACTGAACGTTCCGTATCCGAGTGAGAAGTGGAAAGAGTTAGAGTCTGATCATCTGAGTGGGTGGTTAATGTGGCGGCCTGCTGGTCACGACTACGTTGCGGGTGTAGACAAAGCGCCGTGGGTTTTATGAGTTTGTCGATGCCCAATGTCGCGATGGTGCGATAATTTCAGTCGTGCGGAAATTGAAGACGAAATCGAAAGTACGCTGTCCTGCTTTCACTCGATGACGGAATGAAGCCTGAAAGACAACCAACTTTATGCCTACATCATAATGTGAGCTTGATTTTTCGAAGACGCGATGGATAGACGGCATTGGTCAGTATGAGTCAGAGGCACCCCTAAGTTCGGACACGATCGCGGAACAACAGCGGGTACTTGGTCGCATGTCCATGCCGAGGAGATATGTAGCTTCCTTAACGTAATCAGTGCAGTGTGTGCACATCTCACCAGTCGCCGCCAAATCGTGCTTCCCTTCAATCCCAGCCTCCTGATACCGCGCTGAATGCCGATGCAACCACCGCAAGAACGAGAAAAATTACCCAATGGATCCAATTCAACATCGGCAACCATTGCACCCGATCCAACGGGCTGTCATTCTTCTCGTCTACCGCAGCGCTGTTCTCAACCCACGGCACCTTGCTTCCATGCGCACTCTTCAGTATCTGCTCACTCACGATCTTGGCTCCAGCCAAGACAATAGGCACTCCGGTTCCAGGATGCGTACTTGCGCCAACAAAGTACAGACCACTGATGTCCGGATGGCTCGTCTTCGGTCTAAAGCTAAGAACATTGAAGAATGAATGGCTGAGGCCGAGAATGGCTCCACGATCTAGATTGAACGCGTCTTTCCACGATGGCGGCGTGTTTACAGACTCGTGCACGATATGTTCACCAAGCGAAATCTTGAGACGTGATTCGATAGTCTTGAGGATTGTTTCCCGGGCTATCGAGACCATGGTATCCCAGTCTTGCGTTGCGCCGCTTGTGTTTGGCGTGCCCTTGTGCGACTCGGAAGATGAATCCAGGAGATGGCCGACAGGAACTAAGACAACGACTGCATCGCAGCCTTTTGGCGCAGCCGCTGGGTCCACGCGAGATGGTACGTTGACGTAGAAACTCGGCTCTTCGGGTATCAGATGTTTCTTGAAGATGCTGTCGAAGCTTTCTTTGTAGTCTTCTGCTAGGAAGATGTTGTGCGCTGATAGCTCGGGAAACTGCCTGTTTAGTGCCCAGTAGAAGGAGATACTTGAGCAAGATGCTTTCCGTTTGGATAGAGAGGTAGCATAACTTGTCGGTGGGAGGAGGTTGTTATACGAGTAGATTAAGTCGGCATTGCATATGACTCTGTCGGCTTCGATAACCTCGCCGTTGTCCAAAACCACACCTGCGGCTCGGGGGTGGCCGGCCCTATGCGTCCGGACTTCTATCCGTGACACTGAGGTATTGAGCCGGTATTGGACACCCTTTCGTTTGCCCACTGTTACAAGTGCATCGACAACCTATTTTATCAGCGCCAGACTTCTCTTACATGAAATGATGTGCGCACCTTGTGGAAGCCGCCAATGGGGTACCATATGCCTTCCGCTAGCTCCGTATACTGCAACAAAGAGTACGTGCCCGGTGCATCGAAAGGGCTCATTCCCATGTACATGCTTGCGAAAGTGAAGACTCTTCTCAGCCTCTCAGTCCAGAAATACTTGCCCGCCCGACTGTAGATGCTTTCGAACGGGTGCAACGCAAGCACATGCCTCAGAAAGCTCGGTCGCATCATGCTGAGGAGAGAAAAGAAGTTCTTGCGAAGAACATGCGTCATTGATAGCTCATAGTGTCGATGTGACTCTTGAATGAATGACATGTACCGCTCAAAGCCATCTTTGCCTTCAAAGCGTTCTATCTCTTCCTTCATCGTGGCCAGGTCAGTGGACATCTTGAAGGAGGTCCCATCATGGAAGTGAATGTTGTAGTTTGGTTCGCATTTGACGAGGTGCACACCTTCTGCTTCCATTGAAGTTCCCAGGTCCTGGAATGTCTCGTGGAACAGGTGTGGGAGGAGTAGCAAGCTAGGACCCTGGTCGAATCTCTGATCATAGTCAGCATTTATTCTGTAACGTAGATTCTTCGCCGGCGACCTACATAGCCATCTTCATTGATGAGGCTGCACCGTCCACCGGTGAAGTCATTCTTCTCCACAACAGTGACTTTCCATCCCGCAGCAGCGAGACGAGCTGCAGTGGCGACACCGCCAATGCCAGCACCGACGATGACAGCAGTCCGTGGCTTCTTTATTCTACCCATTCCCGCCTAAGGCTTGCCTTTGAATACCTGATGGTTGCGCGGTCCACGATATCGTGAAGACACGCGCGCCGCACGTGCGCGCTAAGGTCCGATGTTTAGCTCAGTCATGACGTAGGCGATTAATCTAGGCATCGACTTCTCTGGCCACAAACACGAGATGGTAGCTGGCGTGATCAAGGAGCAACCAGCACACGAGTTGTATCGTGTCCGGACGTATAATTCGGGAGAAGCAGGCGCGTGTACAAAGGTAGTTTCGCCGATCAGTAGACGAAGGCGCGGGCGAGGCGGGCCTTCTGGATTCGGCTTAGCCCCGTTTTCTGCTCTGTCCCAGTACGACGCCTTCTACCATCAACCAACGATCACAAGTCACCCTTACTGCTTCAATTTCTACAGAGCGGAAGTACGCGCATCTACAGAGATTCCTTCGAATTGAAAGAACCCCAATGCTCAGAACCGCCCAAAAACAACATACCCACTCGCTTGAGCTTGTCCCCATCGCGTCTCAGCAGCAGTGCATGGACTGACGTATCTAATCCATGCCAAAAGGTCATAGACATGAGATACCGTAACTTGTTCTTATTCACTACGGGCTCATAGAGGCAGCCACGTGCCCGTACATTGAATGGTACGCGGAATCTGCGGATGATGGTGCAAGCCTTTTTTTCTGGCGTTTGGTATATTGCCAATATCAGCGTACTCCAGGCGTCGCATATGTGGACAAGAGTGTGGAATATATAGGAGGATGGAAGTGGGATAGGCGATAGAGTGGTCAACTGCGCTCTCAGTGCTAGAAAGTCTTTTTCGCATTCTACGGTTCTATTCTAGGCATCACTGCTCAATGGTAACCTAAGTCAAATTACTCAGGAACATTGGGTAACAGTACTTGATAAAATGCAGGAAGCAATTGTCAAGATAAAAAGGAGTCCTCCTGAAAGCTATCCACATCGATAGAAGTCTGTCCGTATGGAACAAGAAGTTCACTTTATCCGTATCTCCTGCTCCTTTTGTCCAGCCAATGATCCACCTACCTCAAACTCATCGCCGATTTGTTCTTCTTCAGTCTAATGTCTCTTCATTTTACACAAGAAAACCAAGAGGCTAAATTCCGCCCTTTATCGACTGCTGCCCCGCCTGCACACGCCCAATACTATCCAAGAGCGCCAAATGGGTCCAGCCCAGCCACGTTCCAGTCCACCAGCTGAAGTTGAGTTTGTCGGAAGGACAGAGTGGTGCCCCACGCTCGTACGATATCTAGCGTCTTAGTTTAGGTCAGACCCGCGGAGCGGAAGATTGAACGCCTCGTGGCACCTGCAAGCAGCGAACAAGACGGCGTCAACGCAATGCAGCCTTCCGAGATGCACTCTATGGATCTTGAAAAGGTGAGACGCACCACTGAGACTGATCCAACAAGTCACATCAACAGTATTTCCCACGAACGTTGCCTAACAGCACGTGATCAGAGTGCCGCCCGGGCGAAAGGGAACTGAGAGTGATGTTGCAGATAGCCATCCCTAAACGGCGCACGGAGGACTGGGTAACAGCAAGTACCTGCAGCGTTCCTCAACGGCTGTATCCGACACGCGAGCTGCCGCAGGGCAAACAACAGTAGCTCTAGAACGTGTTCAAACTGCGCTAGTCGGAAAGGCCATTTCGAAAGTTTGGTCCATCTAACAACATCCCATCCTGAGCGATGAGGGCAATATCTGTGGGGTTTCCTATTCTGTCCTCTTCATTGACAGCGCTAATAAAAAGTCCATAGTACCCTCCACCGCGATTCTTTCTTGGTACATGGTCTCGCAGATCCTCGATTGAAATGAGGCGCTCTACCCCGTGGCAACGGAATTCACCGCCAAACACATCTGTATCGGCGACTTGCTCGAGTAGCTTTTAGCTAGCCGTTTGGGACGTACTCAGTCAAGTGTACATATCCAGGGCGCTGGCTGCTCGTACGTCAGGCGAAATCTCAAAGATAACCGCTTGCAGATCACGAGGCATCTGGATGTTATAATAGACACTCGTCATGACGAAGGACGGTGATTTACTCACACTACGTACATGGCCGATTATCGCATTCTCCAAACACCCATGGTATAATGGGCAATAGGCACTGATTGACCATGGCAAAATCGTGAATTTCGGTAGATGGGAATAAGCATTTCGCAATTTGCTGATTCGCCTACATTTCCTTCTATCACCGTTAGTCCGTTGCGCAACTGCAGGATTCTTCGGTATCGGTTTCTAGATCCTTGGCTTTAAGCTCGATGATCAGCGTGTGATCGGCCCGATTCTGGGTCCCCGGGCTGGCAGATCCGAGGTTGCTAACGAAGGGCGAGTCGACGCGAAAGAGCTTGTGTGCGCTAGGTAGCCTTGGTATTAGCGTGGTGGGCGAGTATGGGTGATCCCTTGCAGGGTCTCCTTTTACGAGTCGTGCCATTGCTCTCTGGCAGGCGCTCGGTAGCAGCCGAGCCCCTTTCATGAGGATATGATGGCGAATGTGCCCAGGATGGTCGTGTGAAACTTTTATGATCGAACAGGGCATGCAAATTGAGTCCTGTCAAGATGGCAGCGCAAGTTGCTGATCTAGCGCCAGTCTAATCATCCATCGGCCAGGAACCGTCCGCGTCAACGGGAGACTGTCCCTGGGGCACGGACAGTACATTCTCATCCTGACAGCACGTCTCCACCTTTCCCGCCGTTGAGGATTACTGTGATTCGAGGCGCATGAGACAAGTATGCGAATACAGACCCGGACGGTGGTCTCGAGGGTCTACCCGCGAACCAGACGTGCCTTGATCTAAGATATTGCAGCTACATGGAGTTCCCTAGAAGAGGATACTATAGAGTTTGCAAGGTAACCTACCCACGCTGCTCGTCAGTACTGCACTTGACACTCGTTGTGGCACGTATTTGCAAGGAAGGTCTCCCGGATCATGCGGCGTAGCAAGTTTCTGAGTCCCCATTGCGCTATTGTTATCGCGGTAAGACGGTAAATTATGATGCGGTCCGCGGAGCCTCCTGCACGTTGAAGATAAACTTGTATTTCCTCGGCGGGCTGTCACAACGGCTCGGCAAAGACGCCGCAACACTGCGTGAAACTCGTTGCTCAGCTGTGCCACTCTTGCTGATCAGATTTCATAGCCAGTGGCAAACCCAGTTCAGAGGCGGCGCGCAAGACCAAGTCCCGCTAAACACCCCTCACGCTATGGGTAGCTGCTGGGGCGCCCACGGTATGTGGAGACGCACAAGGTTTTGCTTTGATCGAGATGCTTTGGACACAATCAGGAGCGCTCCAGGGTCGCGTTGATAACTCAAGGTGACGCTCTTTTAAGCACACCTCCTAGCACTGACAGCTCCTCCCGCTACCTTTTTACTATCCTGCATTAGCATCCCCACCTCCACGTTGGACCCTTACTCCAACGACTCACCATGACACTTCACGAGGTGAGTTGCATCGTGGGACTTGAGTGAAGCTTCACTGATGAATTGTCGAAAGGGTTTGGGGCCAAACCTCGCGGCTGCGGTCTTGACATGCGGGATATTCGCTTTTCTCACCATGGGCCTGCGAGTGTATACTAGGACCACCAGAAGAAACTGGGGTCTTGAAGACTCCGTCATGGTGGCAGCATGCGTATGGCCTCCGCATCGCAAGACATCGAGAGTTCAAACTGATTGGAAGTTTAGGTACCCCTATTACTGATGACAATCTCGTGCGCTGCTGGCTCGTTCCATGGAATCGGTGCTAGGGACAGTGTGTTCAAAATACCTGGCAACGAGGGATACATCGAGGAAGCATACTTTGTGAGTGGCATTATCGGAATCACTGGGACGTGTGAGAGCTAACGTCGCATAGTGGTTTTTCCTCTTCGAGGTCTTCTTTTGCTTCGCCGTCATCGGTGTCAAATTGAGCATTGCGTTCATGCTGAACCGGATTGCCGGCAACAGGAAAAAGTTCGTCTACACGAATTACGGCATCATCGTTCTCTGTGTCAGCGTCAACCTGGCCTCTGCATTGTACATCATCTTCCAATGCAACCCTGTCGAGTAGGTGACCCACGGATATGCCACGATCCTCATGTTAACTAGTCGCTTGTAGAGCTGCATGGAAACAGGACCTTGTGGCTGAGGGGGGACACTGCGAAAAGCCGGTCTACCTCGCCAACGTCTACTATATGTGCACTGCGGTCAATATCTTCACTGATTGGGCAACTGCGCTCATGTGAGTACTTGGTGCCCGTTTTCTGTCAATCAGCCACTCATGAAAAGCAGGCCAATCGCTCTCCTGTGGAACGTCCAGATGAATAGAAACACGAAAATCTCCGTGGCCGGTATCCTGGGTCTTGGAGTATTGTAAGAACTCTTTCCTGAATGATCGAAGCTGTACGCTAACGACCGATAGCACCTCCGTTTCCGGCTTGATCCGTCTTAGGTATACAATCGGTTTGACAAGTAGCGTCGACTACCTGTGTAAGTACTCGACTCAACCCTGCATTTAACGCCGCTGACTTGACTACTCAGATGGCGTTGCGAACATTGTCATCTGGGGTTACGCAGAGCCCAGCCTGGGAATGATTGTCGGCAATATCTCGACCCTTCGCCCCTTATTCCTCCGCGTTTTCAACCTCGGTACCGAAGGCTCCTCGGGCCCGCATTCAAATGCAACACCTCAAGTGCTTGGCGGCGCCGTTCGTTCGCATCCTTATAGATCATTTGGTCCTGATTACGAATTGGAAACAGTGGCTGGCAGGAGTACCCAGATTCGGGGCGGAGACGGGAGGAGTAGCTTGTCTAGCGATGGCGCCAGCGAGAAGGAGATGCTCGGCAAGAATGGCAATGCTGCCAACGGGATCGTTGTCAGCAGGCAAGTGGAGATTACGCGCGAGTGATAGAGGCCGGAGAGCGACTATTGCGTATCGAACCACCGTTTAGGATAATTATCGTAATGTAATTGGCAATGAGATGCTTTGAACAATAGTCGCTTCGAGATTGCTGTTGCGAACCCAACTCTTTCTAGCACCGTTGACTGGAATCTAGGCCAATCCGGTGGAATTACAATAAACCGTAACACTGGTCTCAAAGAACGCTTTTTGCTACTGGTAAGTTGTCCATCTCAAACGTAGAAAAACGTGTTAGCGCTGTTATGATGGTCAAGCCCAAGCCGCACAATAGCGGAGTGGATCGAGCGGTGTTTTGACTTGTAGCCCGATCAAAAGACATCGGCGCATCGGAGGAATGATGGCTATGGACTCGACATTTGGTAGAAGTGTACGGTAGGAGAGGGTGGCCCATACCTACACGAACTCGATAAATTGGTTCACTTTAGGCACTTCTATCATGTGCTGTTAGGCACGGTTCGTGGGAAAAGCTGCGTGTTTATGTGAGAGAGTTGTTGAGTGGTAACACCTAGGATGGATAGAACGTGTAGTAAAAGTTTGTCAAGGTGCTTCACCAATGAAAGCCCCTGGAACAACCCGCTGCTTCGGCATCTATATACTCGAATGTAAACATCAGTTGTACGCCTTCTCAACCACGCCTTTCTCGCCTTCCCTCATATCATCTATGATCTGTCACAGATGCAAGCCCACACCCATAGCCTGCGGTCCCGCTAGGGACGACTGATGCCGATTCCCACTATCTGAAAGCGGATCTCACATGCACCCTCGGCACCGGGAAAGTTCCGCGGAGGAGAGTAGCCCTTGCGACTTCGCGTCGCCAAGGTAAATAGCGAATATCGGATCGCATGGCAATGCTCTGGTTCAGGCTTACCAAACAACATAAAAGATGCAAGAGGGAGATCCAGCTCCACAACCGGCTGATGTAAGCATAGAGGCTCCCAGCGCGTTTCCACACGAGTGCGAAGTTCTCTTCTTTTCCAGCATGCCGGGTCTAGGTCCATTCAAAATGCTCGATACGGATTTCGAGTTGAACGGCGTCGACTTCTTTTGCAAGGGAATTCCGATCCTGCTGTTCCTACGCACTGTAACCCACGGTCCACTATAGTGAGTACCGATCAATGGTCACTTGCAGAAGTCATGAGCATGAAGAATCATAAGATCATTATCATCATAATAAATTACTAAGCTCCTTAACGCCTCATTACCGTAAACTTGTCGCCGTACTTCATTAATCGAACCGCGTTGACTAAAAGGTCGTCACTGCTTATTTCCACGAGATCATCTTGAGTATGTCCAGACTGCCAGCATCATACCATTTATGGCTCCACGGAACTGGTTGAGCTACTTGAGCTGGCAGAGCTGGTCGAGCTGCATGAGACAAAAGAACTTCCAGATGCACTCGACACAACGCAGCTCCTAAATTCAGTCGACACGACGGAGCTTGCAGTTTCAGTCGTTACTGCGGATATAGTGAAGTCACTAGAAACAACAGAGCTGCTAGAGTCACTCGACGGCACGGAGTCGCTTGACGCAAGAGAAGTGCTCGGCTCAGTGGAAGTGCTCGGCTCAGCAGAGGTACTAGTCACGGCTCTGTCGCTCGACTCGGAAGCGCTGCTGGAAGCTAACGTGCTACTGGGTTCAGAAGGGGGAGTACTGCTAGGCTGTGCGATACTGCTGGATTCGGAAGGACTGCTTGAAGCTGGAGTGCTGCTAGAATCAGACGTGACGGTACTTCCCGATTCCGAAAGACTGCTTGAGGTTACATCAGCGATTGAAGTAGTCGATGGCGGTTCACTGGCGCTACTGGAAGCGTCAGAGCTGGTTGAAGATGCGGCCTCGGCGGTAGAGACGCTGGACGACAATTCAATGGCAACGCTGGTGGATGAAGCCGCGACAGAGCTGGTCGATGTGGCTACGACTAAATCGGCAATAGGCTCGCTCGACGAAGATGACGAGGTGTCCGCAGTGGAGCTGGTGGGCGACACTAAAGATTCAGAAATAGAGGCTAGGCTGCTAGAAGGAGCATCGCTTTTCGAAACAAGGGCGCTGGAAGAAACCGCAGATGAACTGGCCGAAGTCGTAGTAAGCAGTGCTTCTTGCGAAGAAGCAACGCTGGGTGATGGCGTGACAGAGCCACTGCTCGATACCGCTTCAGCAGGACTGCTCGACACTGAACTGCTGGCCGAGACAACGGCGGAGCTGCTGGCGGGGATGGAAGAGCTAGAAAGCGCTGTGCTCGAGCTGCTTACGACTGCCATGATCGAGCTGGGCGACGTGGCTACAACGTTCACAGACGTGGCCGTGCTGGTTCCTGAGGCTACGTTTTGAGAAGACGAGGCAAGGCTGCTTGACAGAGTGACGGGCTTCGAGGTGCTCAGGCTTGACGAAGAGACGACACCTGTGCAGTTGCCGAAGGCCGATTAACAGCCTGACATAGCAGCGCAGTAGTCGCTTATAGTACCGTAATTTCCATACTTGCTACAGCACATTCCGGTCTTGCAAATGTACCCATTATTAGCGCCCTTACCACTGTCTCCGCATATACCGTCTAGTGTCACGCTTCCACGTCTAGGGGCGGGATCGCACTTTCTAAAGGCACTTTAACAGACGGTAGCAGCGTAGTAGTTCGAGGTCGTGCCATAATTACCATACTATGTCCCTAAACTATACCACTAAGGTAGGGTTAGGTTGCCCCTAGGGGTAAAAATAGTAGCTATCCCTAGGGGTAAAGGAGGTAGAAAGCTACCCTTAGTAGTAGAGCCTATTATCTAGCTCTAGGTATCTAATATAGTTAAAATTCTCTTTAAACGGGGACTCGCCCTTATGCCCTACTACTAGAAAGGACTAGTGCTAAGACTAATAAAAAGTCTATCTAATAGGGCCTATTAGCTAACTAAACTATACCCTCTCTATCTAATAGGGCCTATTAGCTAACTAAACTATACCCTCTCTATCTAATAGGGCCTATTAGCTAACTAAACTATACCCTCTCTATCTAATAGGGCCTATTAGCTAACTAAACTATATCCTCTCTATCTAATAGGGCCTATTAGCTAACTAAACCGTGCCCTCTCTATCTAATAGGGCCTATTAGCTAACTAAACCGTGCCCTCTCTATCTAATAGGGCCTATAATAGCTAACTAAGCTATACTAAGTAGCTTTATAATATAGGATATATAGCTAATAGCTTCTATTTCTAAGTAGCTTATATATTAAAAAGTTATATAATACTCTAGACTCTATTAAAACCTATTACCTACTATAGAATAAAGTAAAGAAAAGAGAAAGTAGGTAAAGTAGAAGTCTAATTAAAAGGTATAGGCCTAAAAATACTAGTTTTATATAGCCTCTCTATAATAGCCTAATATATAGTAGTAGAGCCTATCGTCCAGCTCTAGGTATCTAACATAGTTAAAATTCTCTTTAAACAGGGACTCGCCCTCATGCCCTACTACTAGAAAGGACTAGTGCTAAGACTAATAAAAAGTCTATCTAATAGGGCCCATCGGCTAACTAAACCGTGCCCTCTCCATCCAATAGGGCCCATCGGCTAACTAAACCGTGCCCTCTCCATCCAATAGGGCCCATCAGCTAACTAAACCATGCCCTCTCCATCCAATAGGGCCCATCGGCTAACTAAACCATGCCCTCTCCATCCAATAGGGCCCATCAGCTAACTAAACCGTGCCCTCTCCATCCAATAGGGCCCATCAGCTAACTAAACCATGCCCTCTCCATCCAATAGGGCCCATCGGCTAACTAAACCGTGCCCTCTCCATCTAATAGGGCCCGCGACGGCTAACTAAGCTATGCCAAGTGGCTTTATAATGCAGGATATACAGCCAACAGCTTCTATTCCTAAGCAGCTATATTAAAAAGCTACATATACAACACTCTAGACTCTGTTAAAACCCATTACCCGCCATAGAACGAAGCGAAGAAGAGAGAAAGCAGGCAAAGCGGGAGTCCAATTAAAAGGCATAGGCCCAAAGACGCCAGTTCTATGCAGCCTCTCCACAACATACAGCCTCTCCACAACAGCCTAATATACAAAACCTACAGAGGACTACAGATCCAAAGCTTACGCCATCTTACGCTACACACACCCCAAATACGCAAAGACACCCATCCTTTAATATTCATACTTAACCAGTTAACAACGCTTTACAGGAACTAGTTCCTAAGCCAATACCCTTACTACAGTATGCACCACCCATTGAACCAACCACTACAATGCAGAATACTACCCCTTTAATAATATAGGCAAATGCCTTTTAACTACTCACTCCATACATCCCCTCCATATACACATCCACACAGCCGTATACATTACAACGGCCTATACTAATCTAACTAACGCATTAGATACTACCACCTACGTACCAACGCATTATCTAATTAAATATATAATAACTATATCTAAATACACTACAACCATCTGCACCAGCTTCCTTACAACAACAACCTATACCCCTTAATCGCATATGGCTTACTTAAGGGATTAAAACAGCACCTATAGTAGCTAAGCCTACAGTAGCCAGTACTGCTAAAACCCTTATAAATTCTCCCAATAACATACTAAATAATAACTCCCTAGATTACTCTAAGTTATTTAGGATGCTCAACCTATCTATCACTAATAATAGAGACGACCTAGTGCCACCACTAGTTAGCCCTAAAATATATCTAGAAGATTAGTTAAACACAGACATACTATAAGCATTACTAAGGTTTACCCTAAATAGTTTACCTAACTTTAGTAAGTACTTTTCCCTATACTATCTATCTTAGTAAATACAGTATAGGGAAGGGGCTAGTCTCCGTTTTTAGTAGAGTATAAGCTCTACTTACTACTCATTACTAGCAACACTAGGGACTTTCCCCCTTCCCTTATAGTGGCTATCTATATTATAGACACGTGCTTACAGGCTATAGGCCCTACTAATAATATTATGTCTGTACACACACATTTACCACCACTTAGTACCTAGTCCTACCCACTAGCTACTCCACCGAACAACAAACCATACAATGCTAAAACATATACACTACACTATCCCAAATTTCACACATTAACCACATCACCTAACATTCCTCTAAGAGAAGACAATCCACCACATAACCAAATACTTTTAAGTACCATATCCAACTATATCTTAGTTTCATGCCGCTATAGTGTATCCCCACAGGAATATGGCCATACACTTAAGGAGATAACAATATGGCTAAACTATACTATCCTACCTTTAATCCCTTTAGTTAATCTTAATCCTTAACCCCTTATGCTTCCTAAAGCTCTTATATACTATAAAGCTACTAATTACTCTCTATCACAATTATAGGCACCTGCTCTTACTAGGGTTTCTAATAACTCTAACCTTAATCGTCCGTGTCTTAGCTTAGATCTGTCGGAACAGGCCTACCTTTAGGAAACTAGACCCCAGACTCTGTTATAATATTTTAATTATAATAGCATTATCTTTGCACCTATAAGCCTTATAGTTTTTAGAGAAGACATTTCGCTCTCCTTTCTACCTAGGTTTATAGAAGGATTCAATAGTAACCAGCACATATTATTCTCCCCTATTAACCTCTCACATTACTAGAATATTCTATTCTATCTTACTAGACCTTATTAATGCCATATCTTCTAGCCAAATTTCCCTAACCAATACGTAAACGCATAAGGCCTTACCATAACTATATAGTCCTAACACATTAATAATATAGCCCTAGGATCTTAGATTAACCACGTAATTATTCCTACACTACATTTAGTTAGCAATGTCACAACTTAAGGCCATTATCCCACTAGCTTCTAACACGTGAAATCCAACTCTTATATTAAACAGAGCAGGTCCAAAATGTTAAGCATAAACTCTAATTAGGTTAATATGCGCCGTCCCGTTAGTTAGTTAATACTTAGCCCACTATAGGATAAAATCACCTCACTAGCATCTTCTATGCACATTCCAGGGACTAATATACTAGATAATATATTCCAGGACCCCCATCTTATCGTGTTATGCTATAATCTCAAAACTAGTCAGCTTAGGGGACATCTAATATATAATACATATCTCTTATAGCTTAAAAGCTATATCTCCCACTACTAGAATATAGACTTCATTAATAAGCGTTAGTTCTACTAGGACCTAGGCATCCAAATAGGGTTAATAACTGCCAGCATAACTACCCTACGTAAAGCACGGTATAACAATAACTAGAGTAATTTCTTTTACCATAGCAGTGGTTAGCGTACTATACCAACATTCTTCTCATTTACTAGTACTAATGCTGGTTCAGCCGCTATTAAGCTTGGCAATAAGAACCGCTTTCACAAAAGTAGCTTAATACATGCTAAGGTATACAACACTAACAAAGAATTACTATACCCTCTTATTTAAGGTAAAGGCATCTTCACAAACCTATATCTTAAACTGCTTGGCTTCACACAAAAAACACTTAACAAGTAGAAATTCAGCCAGACTAGCCGTTATAAAAACACCACCATCTCACAATAACACCTCTTTCGCCAGATTAAATACCACAAAGAACAGCTCTAAGTTCTACTATCCCTAGCTGCCTACTTAATAACATTTACTAATAGACAAGAGCTTAGAATATCACTACACCACGTAAGAAAGGTTATAATCTTAATATTAGTTAATAGCAACACTTATTCCATCTAAGAGACTAGTGATTCCACCCATTAGAGCTTTTAGATCCTACCTACAGCTAATATTAACCAGTTCTATATAGTAGAAAGCAACCGCTAGCTTACTACCCTAGAGGCTATTATAGTTAACGCATACAAAGATTTCTCTAATAAACTTACTTAAGAGATAAACTATATTATAACTATAGCCCTAGTTTAAACACTAAATCTTATTCTAGAATATTATAATATTAGTGAGCTACCCTCTTTAGGTAGAGGTAGAGAGATACGTTAAGCTTACGTCTTTAAGCACATAGCTAATAACCGCCAGTATAAACGTAAATAAGAGAAACAATAGGGCCTAGAGTATATTTAATTAATCTAAAATTATGGGATTATCTAGATTCCACATAAACTTAGTATATAGAACAAAGCAATTCCATTATTCTAGGTCTATAGATATCCACACCTTAATGTCCACTACTATATCCTTTATAATACTACAAGACGACAGTTTCTAGCGCACCAATGCACAACTCAGCGATACCTAGAGGAATATACACAATAGATTATTATAGATATACTTAAGCAGAACCTATCTACCAATTCTAAACCCTAGCAAAACCTCTACTTCTATCTAGCCCTCCTAGTAATATAGGCACATAACCA